TCAAGCGGGGCGGCAGGCAGGAGGGGACCGAAGCTGTAGCGGTGAAGCGCATTTCGGTGTATGATGTCGGCGCAGCAGACCGCACGAGAGTGCTCGGCGAGATCGAGATGGCGCTGAAGGTCGCTGCTCAGTGCGACAATGTGTGCCGGCTCATCGGCTACGTTGAGGACGGGTCGGACTGGCTGCTGATCATGGAGCTGTACGACAACTCGTTGATGGGGCTGATCCGCGAGCGAAGCCCCGCGCCGCTGGATCTGGACGAGATTCTGAGGGTGGCGCACGATATCAGTCGCGCCCTGATGCAGATGCATCGCCGGCACATGTACCACAACGACATCAAGCCGTCGAATGTGCTGATCGACGCCAGCGGGCGGGCGGCGCTGTGCGACTTCGGACTGGCCAGGACCATCACGACCTTTGGTGGGCAGACAAGCACGCATCACGGTGGGACCTTCCAGTACTGTGCCCCGGAGTCATGCACGGAGCACTTCAGCGGCAAGTCCGAGGCTGCGGACGTGTGGTCCTTCGGGTGCACGTTGCTACACGCCGCCACGGGGAAGACGCCATACAGCGGCTTGAACCACATTCAGGTGGTCGCGCGCCTGGGCCAGGGCCGTGGCCCTGAGGTGCCTGCAGACGTGGCGCCACAAGAGCTCCGTGATCTGATCTGCAAGTGCTTGAAGGTCGAGCCGACGGGCCGGCCGACGATGCGCGAGATACACGAGGTGGTGACGGGGATGATTGCGGCGCAGAGGACACGAAACGTGCAAGAGCGAGAGGCGCGTCTGCGTCGGCTCTGCACCGTGGAGGGCCTCCGTGCAGCTCTCAACGACGGAAACGACACGGTGCGCATCGTTGCAAGACACGCGTCCCGCTGCAAGTCGTCCGCCCTCCGGATGCAGGCGCTTGTGTTTGAGGCAGCCCGCGCCATCGCTAACCAGGGTTCGTCGTCGTCGGTTCGCCCCTGCAGGTGATCGACCTGCACGGACGCAGTGTACAGGGAAGCGGCGAGGACACCGTTGAAGTGACGCGCCCGGGCGTGACGCTGCGGAACGGCAATCTGCGCGGTTTGCGCCTGCTCATCAAGTCGTCAGCGACGGGCACCCGCTTGGAACGCATCTCCGTCAGCGGATACGAGTACGACGGTGAGATCGCGCCCGCTTGTCTGAACGCTTGCGGTGGAGCAGCTCGGTCGCAAAGCGATCCCCAACACTGCGTTGTCGTTAAACGTCCCCCGTTCTTTCCAGGCTCTGTTCCTGACATCCGACATTGTTGGCTCCTCAGGCAGCTTTCTCGCCAGCGGGCGCAGATCGAGAGGCGAGATCCAGCTGCATTCTCAGGCAACTGACAAAGTCCATTCGTTACGCTCACTGCAGGTGATGATGCGTCCTCGTTACCTCGGCTGCTGAGGACGGCTCTGAGGCTCGGGCGGGGGCTTCTTGCGGTGGGACGGGACCGCTTCAGGGTGTTGAAGCTTCTGCTGTCGAGCTTGAACGCACTCAAGACGGACGAGGCCGCGGAGGACGCGCGGGAGCAACTGGCTGAACGAAGGATGACAGCAGCAGTGCAGATTGAGGCTGCGAGAGGAGTCGTGATCAAGTCCTGCAAGCTCAACGGCAACACGAACCATGGTCTGAGCGTGGTCGACGGAGCACAGGTGCAGGCGACTCGGTGCATATGTTGTACGTGAGCAAGGCGGTGTGCTGGGCATGTGCAGTGGGTGTGCGCTGCGGTGGGCGCGGGCGCGTGGGTGCGCGGGCGCGGCGTGCGGCGGCGGCTTGCGTGTCTGGCGCGGGCGCGGTGCGGGGCGGCGGCGCGTGGCGGCGCGCGACCGCGCGTGCATGTGCGCGGGTGTGTGTGCAGGTGACGGTGGAGGGCGGGGAGTGCTGCGGGAACGGCGTGTACGGCGTTTGTGCGGCCGGCCGCGGGACGGAGGCGACCGTGCGCGACACGAAGTGCACCGATAACACGAACGATGGCGTCGCGGCACAAGGCGGGGCGAAGGTGCGTGCATGTGCAGTGGGTGTGCGCTGCGGTGGGCGCGGGCGCGTGGGCGCGTGGGCGCGGCGTGCGGCGGCGGCGTGGGTGTGTGGTGCGGGCGCGGTGCGGGGCGGCGGCGCGTGACGGCGCGCGACCGCGCGTGCGTGTGCGCGGGTGTGTGTGCAGGTGACGGTGGAGGGCGGGGAGTGCTGCGGTAACGGTCTGTGCGGCGTGGCTGCGGGCGACAGCGGGACGGAGGCGACCGTGCGCGGGGCGAAGTGCACCGACAACAAGGAGGTCGGCGTCTGGGCATCACAGGGGGCGAAGGTGCGTGCATGTGCAGTGGGTGTGCGCTGCGGTGGGCGCGGGCGCGTGGGTGCGCGTTGGCGCGGCGTGCGGCGGCGGCGGGCGTGTGTGTGGTGCGGGCGCGGTGCGGGGCGGCGGCGCGTGACGGCGCGCGACCGCGCGTGCGTGTGCGCGGGTGTGTGTGCAGGTGACGGTGGAGGGCGGGGAGTGCTGCGGCAACGGGCTGAGCGGCGTGACTGTGGTTGACAGCGGGACGGAGGCGACAGTGCGCGACACGAAGTGCACCGACAACACGATCTACGGCGTCTGGGCAGCGGAGGGGGCGAAGGTGCGTGCATGTGCAGTGGGTGTGCGCTGCGGTGGGCGTGGGTGCGCGGGCGCGGCGTGCGGCGGCGGCTTGCACGTGTGTGGCGCGGGCGCGGTGCGGGGCGGCGGCGCGTGACGGCGCGCGCGATCGCGCGCGTGCGTGTGCGTGGGTGTGTGTGCAGGTGACGGTGGAGGGCGGGGAGTGCTGCGGGAACGGCCAGAGCGGTGTTGTTGCGGGCGGCAGCGGGACGGAGGCGACAGTGCGCGACACGAAGTGCACCGGCAACAAGGACTTCGGCGTCGTGGCAGTGGGGGGGGCGAAGGTGCGTGCATGTGCGGTGGGTGTGCGCTGCGATGGGCGCGGGCGCGTGGGTGCGCGGGCGCGGCGTGCGGCGGCTACGCGCGTGTGTGGCGCGGGCGCGCTGCGGGGCGGCGGCGCGTGGCGGCGCGCGACCGCGCGTGCATGTGCGCGGGTGTGTGTGCAGGTGACGGTGGAGGGCGGGGAGTGCTGCGGTAACGGCCGGTGTGGCGTGGCTGTGTCTGACAGCGTGACGGAGGCGACAGTGCGCGACACGAAGTGCACCGACAACACGATCTACGGCGTGTCGGCACAGGAGGGGGCGAAGGTGCGTGCATGTGCAGTGGGTGTGCGCTGCGGTGGGCGCGGGCGCGTTGGTGCGCGGGCGGCGGTTGCGGCAGCGGGGTGTGTATGCGGTGCGGGTGCGTTGCGGGGCGGCGGCGCGTGATGGCGCGCGACCGCGCGTGCGTGTGCGCGGGTGTGTGTGCAGGTGACGGTGGAGGGCGGGGAGTGCTGCGGGAACGAGCTGTGCGGCGTGGCTGCGATCGGCAGCGGGACGGAGGCGACAGTGCGCGGGGCGAAGTGCATCGACAACAAGGAGTACCACGGCGTCGCGGCACAGGAGGGGGCGAAGGTGCGTGCATGTGCGGCGGGTGTGCGCTGCGGTGGGCGCGGGCGCGTGGGCGCGCGGGCGCGCGGGCGGCGGCGGCGCGTGGGCGCGGGCGCGCGCGGCAGCACGGCGTGGGCGTGTGGCGCGGGCGCGGTGCGTGACGGCGGCGCGTGACGGCGCGCGACCGCGCGTGCGTGTGCGCGGGTGAGTGTGCAGGTGACGGTGGAGGGCGGGGAGTGCTGCGGTAACGGTGGGTGCGGCGTGGGTGTGTATGACAGCGGGACGGAGGCGACAGTGCGCGACACGAAGTGCACCGACAACAAGGCCTTCGGCGTTTTGGCAGCACGGGGGGCAAAGGTACGTGCATGTGGCAGTGGGTGTGCGGTGCGGGGTGCGTTGGCGCGGGGTGCGGCGGCGGCGCGTGCGTGTGGCGCGGGCGCGGTGCGGGGCGGCGGCGCGTGACGGCGCGCGACCGCGCGTGCGTGTGCGCGGGTGTGTGTGCAGGTGACGGTGGAGGGCGGGGAGTGCTGCGGCAACGGGCAGTGCGGCGTGCATGCGGTCGGCAGCGGGACGGAGGTGACAGTGCGCGGGACGAAGTGCACCGACAACACGAAGCACGGCGTCTGGGCAACAGAGGGGGCGAAGGTGCGTGCATGTGCGGTGGCGCGGGCGCGCTGCGATCGGCGAGGGTGTTTGCATCTCATTCTGAATGATTTGGAATGTTCTTTTATACTGATGCGACTCCGGTTCAGCAAAGCCTTTTCGCTGACTCCGCGTCGGCAGCAATGACGAGCACGAAGCGATTTCACCGGCGCGTGCCTTGCTGTGCGCAGGTCGTGGGGCGCAACCTTCAAATGAGCGGCAACAAGGGAGGCAACATCGGCACCTGCGACGAAACAGGGGGTGTCGTGGACGTACAGTAACGCGGCGATGTACCAGCACGCATGCGCCTCACAGCGAGCAGAGCGACGCGCACGAGCGGGGACGGCCGTCAGGGCAACTGCCATCCCTGCATGTCATCAATGGCGCCCCTTGTGCCCGGTGTAACGCGCTACTCCGAGCGCCGACGCCATCATACATGCGACGGGAAGCACACCAAAGTGCACATTGCTCCCAGAGCTGTCACGATGCCACTCCAATCGCGACCTGACCGGCGTAGCCCCACTCCCCCCCTGACGCGACGAATGAACAACAACGCAGATCGGCGCCGCTCGTCCGTTCGGTGCCCGCTACCCAGACTCGACTGCCGTCAACACCTCACCATCGCGCTCTCGAACCCGCGGAGCCGCCGCGACGTGCAATGCGGCGCGGGACCTGTGGTACGGGCACACGTCTTGAGTAGAGGTGGTGGTTCCTTTGCAACGGTTTATCGTCACAGCAGCCACCTGGTCGCAGCCGCACGGACCGCCACGCGATTCAGCGCGCTCCCGAGCCCCTGCGCCACGGCCGTCCGAGGAGGTCCGCGCTGCCGCCCGCGCTCGAGCACGTAGCACGCAGCGCTCACGCGTCCTCGCTGGCCTTGTCCGCGGGCTTCTTCTCCTCCTTCTTCGCGTCGGCCTCCTTCTTCGCCTTCTCCTCCCTCTCGTCCTTGAGCTCCTTCTGGAACTCGTCCGTCGCCTCCTGGAACGACTTGACGCTCTTCCCCAACTGCACAACAAGAACAAGAATATAATATATTATATTATACTATATTACTCAAGACATGCTGATCCCCCCCGAATCACGCCACCAACCAGCACCCAGCACTGGACGTAGCACGGACAGTCCACGCCCCACGCATGGTCACGAACAGCGCGTCCGCAGCCCCCACGCGCCTCCGTCCAGGCCAGCTGCGCCCGGGCCACGCCATTCGACGAGAAATTCCCGCCGAGCCATTGTCCTTGCAGCAGTCGGCCCTCTGCGCGTCAGCGCGGCCGCGCGCACCTGCTTCCCGAGCTCCGGGAGCTTGGAAGGCCCGAACACCAGCGCCGCGATCCCGCCGATCACCACCAGCTCCGGCACGCCGAGCCCGAACAGCCCGTAGGCCTTGACCTGCGCAAACGTAGCTGTGCAGTCCGCGTCACACCACGAAATCTCCGTCGCGCGGCGGCGCGTCCGGGACCGATAATGGCTCCGCGGAGGCAGCACACGCAGCGAGCGGCGCTGCTGCGGCCGCCCGCGACGGCTGCGGCTCTGTGCGGGCGTGGACGTGCTAGAGGACCGCGCGTGCGCGGCGGACGTACCTGGCGGCGGCCGGGGGCGTGGACGGTGGGCTGTTGGAGCCGGTTCGGGTCCGTGCGGCTCCGCAGCGCGGTGCTTGGGAGGCTCCGCGGGGCTGCGAGGCCCTGGCAGCGCGCAGACATGTGTCCGAGGCTCGGCATCGTCTGTGCGCCCACACGCGTCGCGAGGATCGTGCGCGAAATAGTCAGTGATGCACTTCTGCGCTCGGGCGTCTCGAGAACGACCCTTTCGGACGTCAAACGCCGACGTCCGTGTCGAGAATGTGCGTGAGGGTCTCCCGCCTGGCTCCTGGCGGCAATGGCCGCGTCGGGCGCGCGCGGCGGGCGTCGCACTGGGCCCGCTGGCAGCTGACGGGCTCGCGTCAGTGGGGGCTGTGGACCGCTCGAGCCAACAGCGCACTCGCCCGCGACGCACGGGCACACGCAGGTCTACCCTCCTGCGACACGATCACTGCGATTTCGGCTCTTGCCGCCCCGGCAACAACCGCTGTGTGTAGCGGTGCAGTCTGAGCCGGCAGCGAGGCCGAGAAGTCGCGAAATCGCACAAAAACCCTTTGGAGGGGAGCACGATCAATATAGGCGTAGACGCTGGGAGCGGGCGTGGTAGAGGTGGACGGGAGTCGCGCGACAAGCACCGTGCAGCATTTCACCAGGCTGCTAGAGCACTGCAGTGGCACTGGAAGGGACCAGCTGCAGAGCGAACGCACTGAGGCGTACGAGTATTTGACTTTCATTGCGGACAAGCGGGAATCTCTGTACCGGATGGCGTGCTAGGTGCGCATCACTACCGCACTTGCCCACGGCACGCGCTCCTCGACCCGTTCCACATCCATCTTCCCGTCTGAGCAGCCATTTCGCAGCACTTGTATCCTCTCTCACGCTCCGTCCACCCACGCGCGCCCCCGCCTGCAGCCACCGCCGCAGAGGCGCTGAGAGGGACCCACGGGCCATCGCTGCAATATGTTCGCACTCGCGCGGTTCGAGGACGTCCTCCGGCTCGCGCCGAAGAACCTCAGCCGGCCGCTCGAAGAGGCCATCGCCGACATCATCGTGGTGCGCGCCCCCGCCACCCACCCGCGCCCGCCACCACGCACACGCACACAGCAGCTCACGCGCCGCAACCCGCCACCGCCCCCCCGCCGCCGCAGAGCACGTTCGTCAACAAGGTCGTGCCGGACGTCGGCCTGATCGTCACCCTGTACGACATCCTGTCCATCAAAGGCGGGGACATCCACGCGGGCGAGAGCTCCCCCATGTACACGTGCGTGTTCCGCCTGGTGGTGTTCCGCCCGCTCGTCGGGGAGGTCCTCAACGGGCAGGTCAAGCGCTGCACGCGCGCGGGCGTACATATGACGTTGGGGTTCTTCGAGGACATATTAATTCCCGAACACTGTTTGCAAGAACCTTCCATCTACGCCCAGGCGCAGGACGCGTGGCTGTGGAAGTACAACGGCAACGACATGTGCGCCCCGGCCCGCGCCGCGCGCGCGCGCGCGCCAGACCTGCCCGCTCGTGCGCGCGGCAGTCGCGATTCCCCAACTGCCGTTGGCGGCGTAACTCGAGTCTTCTCCCGCTCGTCTCCGGGCCGCCGCGCGCAGGTACATGGACGTGGGCGAGACGGTGCGCGCGCAGGTGATGGAGGTCGCGTTCCCGGCGTGCCCCACGCCGCAGGCGCTGCACGACGCCGCCGCGCAGGGACGTGCAGACCCCGGCACCGCTAGCAACCCCTTCGCGCCCATGACAGTCGAGGTAAGCATAGCTCACTTGGACCTCATCTCGCACAAACAGCCAGGACTTCATATCTTCGATCCTTGTTTTTTAACTAATGATTTTATATGATATGTGTGTGTGTGTGTGTTTGTGCAGGGCTTTGTGAACGGCAGCGGGCTGGGGATGGCGTCGTGGTGGGAGGACGCGGGCGGCGGGGACGAGGACGGCGGCGCGGAGGGCAGCGAGGGACAGCCGCTCTCCGAAGACGCGGGCTAGCACACGGAGCTGCACTGCAGCATCGTTGTCGCTGTGGCCGTTACGCAGTCCTCTCGCGACGAGCGCCCGCGTCGCTGTGATTCGATTCAGCGCCGCGCGGGACGAGTGCATGCCGCACTACGACGCTGGTTCGGCACCTGAGTCACCAAGGGGGGTTGTTTTGAGCAGTGACCGTGTCAGCACGCGGCGTCGAGGCGGCCGTTGAGGGGGCGCGCCCGGGGTGGCGGCGGACACCTCGGCCGCACGATCGACGCGCCGGTTCCGCGGGCGGGCGCTGCCCTGCGACCTGAGCCTGCGCCATACAAGCAGACACACCCTCGTGCTGTTGCGTAGGCGTGCGGGTGCTCGCGACGTGGCCTAGGATGCCCCTTCGGGGTGGATTCATGTTGCGTATCAGCTGAGCTAGCTGTGTGGGGCATTTTACGGGGGAGTTGCGCATCGGGCGTTCGGTGCGGGGACGTGGCGCGATGGGCTCAGCTCCCGGGGCGAGCTGTGGCGTGCCGAGCGCAGCTGAGCTCGTTTCGGACGGGCCTGAGCGCGCCGAGCGGAGGCTGCGTGATCTGAGAATATCGCAGGGCACCGGGCGAGCCGCGCTGAGCGGCGCCCTGGACCTCAGCGCGGCTCTAGTGCGCACGGCTTGGGAAACCTTGGCTCCGGCTACCGCCACGGGGCGCGCGGACAGCCACGCGTGCGCCGAGCCCACGGAGCGTAGCGAAGACAACGAGCCCTGGACGTCGGCCGGCCAGCTCGTGGAGGCAGCGTGCGCCGTTCAGCCGTGGGAAAGCGAGCTGGGCGCGTGGGAGGTGCTTGGACTGCGACTCGCGGTGTGTCTGGTCGCGACGAGCGGGTGTCCGTTGGAGAATGTGGACGTCCCGCGCTGCTTCGTGGTCGGGGTGGACAAGGACCCGGATATACGGAAGGAGGCGCAGGAGGTGCGGCACCTGCTCTCTTTATACAATGCTGTCGTCGCTCGCAACGCGCACCTCGAGATCCCGAGTCATTCAAGTGCCCGGGGACACGCCACCGCCTCGATCTGCCGCAGCACGCCTGAATCTTCGCGGAAATGTGCCAGCATTCACGCAAACAAGCACACATAGTAATCACCCAATCAACACCATATCAAATCGATCAATCCTGGCGCGCGCAAGTGCAGGTCTACCACCGTAGCTTGCTCATGGCCGCGGACTCCGGCGCGCTGCACCCCCGCAGACTCGCGCACCTCCTCGACCGCGACACCATCACTCCAGCCCTCGACAGTGCTGACCCTGCCGCCGTTCAGCGCTTCACTCGCCGCTGTCTCGCAGCGCCGCCGGAGCGCGTGGACCTCGCGGGCGCGCTCGCGCTCGCGGCCCGGGCGGGCAGCTTGCGCGCCGCCGCGGCGGCGCTGATCGAGCCCGGCAGCAGCGGTCAGCACAGCACTCCCGACGACGGCGACGAGAGCAACAACAAGAAGAGAGGGGTTCTGAGGGCGCTGTTGCCGGCGGTTCTGGGCAGCGGGAGCGCGAGCGGCGCGGGCGCGGCCACGGACGGCGACGCGCTCGCGTGCCTGCGTCTCGCCGCCCCGCTGGTCGACGGCGAGGCGGGGTGTCTTCGAACCCCCCCCGGGGTGTTGCTGGACGGGGCGCAGATCGGGCGGGCGTTCGAGCTCGTCGTGCCGCGCGTGTTCGGCGCGGCGATGCAGGCCGGGGGGCGGAAGAGCAGGAGCCGGCAGGGATTGATGCATGGGTCTGACGCGACAGTGGTGGATGTTTTGGCGGACCTGTTCTGGCTGCAAGCGGCGTGGAGTGCGGGTCCAGGGCGTGGAGCGGGATCGGAGGAAACAGAGCGAGTGACGCGGGGGGCGGTGCTGGCCGGGGCGGCGTTTCTGTGCACGTTGAGGGCTGCGGATTTAGACTCGGAGTTGTTTCACGAAAGACTCGGGGATTCCTATACATTCGAGGTGCGCTACGTGCTTGTTGCAAGACGGCCGAGCGGGGCGCGGATCGGAGGCGGTATTTCCGTTCTTCGTTCGCGCCATGGTTGATCCGGCGCGCAGCCAATTCAGACACAGAGTTCTCTGAATGAAAATGATATCTCGCTTCGCAGGTAGTGGTCAGCGCGGCGCAGCAGGCGATTCGCGGCTGCGTGGCCCCGGACGCGGCTCCCGCAGCCGCACCTCCCGCGCGCGAGACTCCCGACGCCGCCGCCGCGATGCAGCGCGCCTGTGCGCGCCTGCAGCGCGCCAGCGTCGCCGCCGTCGCGTCCTGCTTCGAACACGTCGACGTGGACCGCGTCGCGCGCGCCACGGGGCTCCTGCAGCTCGGCCAGGCGGCGTTCCACGCGATGGTCACCGCGGCCGGCGACGCTGTGCCGTCCGGGATGCTCGCGGGCGGCAAGGATGACGCTCGCGCGATGCTGGCGGCCGCGTGCCTGAACCTGCACGCGCGGCGCGACGACGGGGGCGCAGGCGGCGATGCGCAGTCCAGGTGCGACGCGCGTCTACGCCCGTGCATGTGTCTGTTTTCATCACTTGCTATTTGTTTATATCATCGCAATTGTTTCGTTCTGTTGATGCAGGCCGCGGAGCGACGCGCACGGGTACCGGTCCGATCTGCTGCGCATCGCAGGCCTGTGCCGCGCCCGTCACACCGCACACGAGCCGTCACGGTCCGTCCCTCAAAACACACACATGGCACATACACACCTGTTCGTAGCACAAAGCGCTCCGAAACTCATTCTGTACATCTGCGCGTCCGGCCCTCACGCAGGGACTCGCCGTGGCAGCTGATCGACGCAAGGGCCGTGCAGTGCCTCTTTGACATGCTACCGCATATAGATATATCAACAGTGGGGAGCGCGAAGGAAAGTAGTACCACGTCGCCTCTGGAGGCGCACAGGGACCTGCTGCCGCCGCGCATGCGGCCTGCGCTGTGCAGGGCGCTCGCGTGCCTCGCAGCGGTCGCGATGGCGCGGAGCGCGTCTGCGAAACACCCCCCCCTGACAGCGCTGGCGCGCACCGGCCTGCGCAGCCTCTCGGCGCACCTGGAAGCGCTGTGCGGGCTGACGCACGCGCGGTGCGAGGCAGCCATGCCGCGCGACGTCCGTCAGGCCGAGGTCCTGCTTACGAGCGCCCTCCGGGAGCTGCGAGCGTGCGACGCGTCGAACGTGCGTCGTGACGCGGCGGACGACTCGGACTCGGACGGCATCCTCGCGCTGACGGCGGCTCTCGTTGCGGCCGTGGCGTGCGCGGCCGGCCGCGGCGGAGCGTGGCACGGCATCCGCGACGGCCTGACGCAGGCTTTTTCATACATAAAGACACCCCCCCCGCCCTGCGCGACGACGGTTGGCGCGAGCGCGCGCATCAGCGACCTCGCGGCTGCGCTCGGACAGCCGCACGTCGACACTGCGGCCCCGGAACCGATCCCTGCGGCGCACGCGGCGTCACTTGCAGCTGCGCTCTCCGTCGTGACGGCCAAGGCGGGGGCGCCGCACGCAGGGGCGCACTCGGCGCTGCGGAGCCTCCACACCGCGCTGTCGCGGATCTGCGCCGCCATGCACCGCGATCACAACGCGACAGGCAAGAACAGTGACGCCAGGGAGAGCGCTGGTGACGATGCTGACGATGCGAGCAACGCTGAAGAGAGAGACGCGGCCGAGGAGGATGCTGACGTGGTTGCCACGTGTCCCCTGGCTGGGTACCTGTCCGGGGCGCTGGCGGGCGCGAGGGCGGCGCGGGGCGCGCGTGGCGGCGGCGGTGCGGAGGAGGGCGGCGATGGGCGGCGGCGGGAGAGTGGTGGCGGAGCACGCGAGGAGGGGCGGAAAGAGAAGGCGCGGCGGAGGGCGCGGCGGCGGTCGGCGAACCCGTTCGTGGACGCGGCGTTGAACGAGGGCGGTAGCGACGCGGACGATTACGCAGGTGAGACGTCGTGTTGCTTGAAGCCTGTCTTTGGTTCACTCCGGCAGATATGAATCGCCGAATACGAATCTAACCCAACTCTCATATTCTTCCGCACGCGTATCCGTCTGCGCCGAGGTGCTCGTTCTCACCGGCCCCGCCGCGCAACGCTCGCGGTGCAGATCTCGACGACTTCATCGTGTGCAAGCCCGGGCGCGACTACGAGACGTTCCGCAAGCCGTAGTGATGCGTTGTCATGTCGCGCGACTCGTGTGCCGCCAGCGCCGTCGCCGTGGGGCGCGTGCGCAGGCCTAGCCGGCCTGCTGTCCGCGGGTCGACGGTGGGCTCACGGACGGGCTCCCGAGCAGTTCCTTGACTTGCGAGGGGTTCCTGAGAAGGCACGCCTGCACGATGTTTTCAAACACGAGTTCTCGAGTGTTTGTGACGCGAACTGGGTCGTCTCAGACGCTGTGCGAAGAGGCAGGCCCGAGAGCGTTCACGTCCGGCCGCTTCCGCCCGAAGGCGGATGCAGGGTGGGTCCAGAAGGAGGTTGGAGTGACTCACTTGATAGGAAAGCATGACTGCGGAGCAGTCGCGGCCCTTGGGGGCCTCCCGCCCCTGGAGGAAGCAGTCGAAGGCCTGAACGAAGGACTGCCCGCACGGTCCCTCTGCAAGACGACACGCGGCGCTTCGCGTGCGGTGAGGGAAGCAGCACGATAGTGAAGCGGGGCTGATGCGTCGTGGAGCGCGTTCGCGCCAGTAAATAATCGCCGCGGGTAGCATGTCGTTGCAGGTCGCAAGGCTCGTGCACCGCACACACTGCGATGCAGGCGCTGTGCTCTCGGCGCGGTGCAGCAACAAGCGGCAGCGCAAGTCTGCCGCTCCGCGGTTCCAGTGTGACGGAGGAGCCTCGCACCTTTCAGGTCCTTAATGCAGTCGCAGTCAAGAAGCCGCTTCGCCTCGCCACCGGAAGCGTCCTGACTCATCACGACCAAGGTGGGCTCAGCCCGCAAGCCCCTTCCCCCCACGTCGCTCTGCGACCGCCACCGACGACGAGATCCACCCGAAAACCTCGCTCAAGACAGTGTCACGTGTGTACGGCACCGAATCGCTCCAACAGTGATCGAACGCGGCCGCAAGGACGCTGGCAGCCCCTTCTGCAGCCTAGAGGCACCTCCGTCGGCCGGCGGGCGCACTTCCAGGACGCAAGCAATGAGATTGAGCACCGTACCAGCAATCTAGCACCACTGACTCCCCACTGGCGGGCAAAAGCGCCGCCGGGGGGCACTCGCCTTCCTTGGAGGGACTCTTGTTCCTACCATTATATGGCAAGGGCTTGGTTTGCGTGTGCACGCGACCGTCGCGTGCCCGGAGACGCACAACGCCCGACGCACACGCAGCGCAAGAACGCTCACAGCCCACACTGCGCACCAGCACGCTGCAGCCCCAGCCCCGCCCCGTCCAACACACTCGATCAATCAACCCATTTGCACACCAATCTCTCTCTCTCAATTCCAACTACCGCACGTTCCATCCACTCGCGCCCCCACACGCCACACCACCGCTCACTCGTCACGCATCACACCCCCCCCCGCCACCAAAACACCCCCCTAGTAGTTCGCCCCCTGTGCACTCCCGCACCAAGGACAGGCCTGGAAACGCTCGACCCACTGGTTCCAGCTGTCGCGCGACGCCTTGTGCCGCCCGTCCGCGCGGCACTCCACCACGTCCTGCACGGGCCCGCCCGTCACGCAGCACTGCTGCGACACGTGCGAGCAGTTATGGCACCGCAAGCCCTGCTCGAACGTCGCGGCGCCGCACGCCGTGCACGTCCGCTGCGAGAGCTCCTGCTCCACCTGCGCCTGCACCGACACCGCGAGCACCCACTCGCGCACGTCCTCCTGCTCCGTGTCGTCCAGGTAGCTGTCTTCCGGCAATTCAAACACGCGCGGCAAATCCGTCTCCACCATGTCCGACATGTCGAGCGCGGGGTCCCCGCCGGACGCCTGCTCCTCGCGCGCGTCGTAGATGTCGAGCAGCTTGTTCAGGAACACGAACGCCATGTTCTCGCGCCCCGCCGCGCGCCACGCGTCGCCGGCGAGGAAAAAGGCCTTGTCGGCCGGAATCGCGGGCACGTAGCGGCACAGCGCGGTGGACTGCAGCGCCGCGGTCTCGACCCAGCCCTCCTGCACCGCGCGGCGGCGCATCGCGAGCAGGTGCGCGGTCCACGTGAGAGCCTCGACGTCCTTGGCGCCGGGCGCGCCGCGCAGCGACGGCGACGCCTGCACCGCGGCGTGGAGCCGCCGCATGACGCGCGCGAGGTGCCCGTCGTTGCTGCCGTCCTCGCGGTCGCGCGGGAGCGCCACGACCTGCCGCGCCACGTCCACGCACACCGGCAGCAGGTCGGGCGTCACGGGCGGCCCGCACGCGTCCAGGACGCGCGCCGCGCCCACGGGGTCCCGCTGCGCGAGCAGCATCGTCGCGTGCTTCCGCACGTACACCGCGGCCGTGTCCGGGCTGAGCTTCGCGGCCATTTCGTGCACCTTTTCCCACTCGCCGCGCCGCACCATCATGTCGAGGGCCTCCGTGGTCGCGCCCTGGCTCGCGAGGCCGTCCGCGTCCCCGGCCTGCACGAGCTGCCGCTCGTACTGCTGCTGCACCAGCCGCTTCAGGTCCGCGCTGCCGTTCGCGTTCGCGAGGCTGCGCGCCTCGTCCCACATGCCCCCCTGCGCGAACGCCTTGATCGCGCCGGTCCAGTCGTGCACGCGCCGGCACACGTCCGCGGCGGCCGCGTGCCGCCCGATGCCGCACAGCTGCGCCGACGCGCGGTCGACTGCGTCCTGCAGCCTGTCGGACACGTGGTTCTCCGCGAGCGCCACCGCGCGCTCCCAGCAGTCCTGCAGCGCGTCGAGGTCGCCGAGCTTGGACGTGTCGAGCGCGAGGTACGCCTCGATCGCGCCGGTCCACTCGCGGCCGCGCTCCAGCGCCTGCGCGCGCGCCAGCGCGCCCTCCGCGCCGCCGCCGGGCATCTGCCCGCCGCTGGCCGCCGACATCGCGAGCCGGATCTGCTTCGTCTTGTACTCCGGGAGGTAGTGCTGCGCGACGCGCAGCGCCTCGTTCCACAGGCTGCGCGTCTGGTACATCTGCGCCGCCAGCTCGGGCTGCCGCGCCGAGAGGTACAGGGCCTCCGCGCGGGCGTACTCGCCCTTGCCGGCGAGCGACTTCGCGTGCGCGCACTGCACGTCGGGGATCGACGCGGCGTCGTGGTTCTCCGCGACGCGCAGCGCGGCGCCGAAGTCCTCGGCGTGGATGTGCATGTCGATGGCCTCGCGCGGCCGCTCCGCCTTCACGAACTCCTCCTCGGCCTCCTCGAACCGCCCCTCGTCCTCGAGGTACATCGCGTACTTCAGGTGCACCTCCTTCAGGCGCGCCTTCATCGATTGGTTGGCCAGATCGAACGCCAGCGCAAAGTTGCTGCTTTCCATCGCGTAGTCCAGCGCCTGCTCGACGAGGCCGTGCTTGGTGAGGTACTGCGCGCCGGCCTCCCCGCCGAGCGTCACCGCGCGCGCGTACGCCACCTGGCGCGCCGCGTTCGGCCCGGCGCACGTCTTGGCCACGCGCAGCGCGTCGTCCCACTGCTCCGCGCGCCGGTACATGTGCACCGCGCTCTTCCAGTCCTGCGCCTCGACGTAGTGCTTCTCGGCCTCCCGCAGCCGCCCCTGCTCCTCGAGCTGCTGCGCCAGGTGCAGGTGCGTGTCCGACAGCAGGTCGCGCCGGTGCCGCGACACCAACCGGATCATGTCGTCGAACCGCCCGTGCCGCTTGAACATGCTGATCGCCTGGTCGTACTCGCTCACGGCCACGTACAGCCGCTCCGCGTCCTGCAGCCGCGCCTGCTGCTCGAAGTCGCGCGCCTTGCGCGTGTACAGCAGCCGCATCTCCGACTCCAGGAGGTACCCGGAGGCGACGCGGAACGCGCGGTCCCACATGCGCGCGCGCACGTACATCTCCCACGCGTCCGCGGCGGCGTCGGCCTTGACGTAGTACTGCTCGGCCTCGTCGTGGTTCCCGCTCTGTTCGTACGCCTTGGCAATGCGCCGGTACACCGCCGCCGCGGCCTCCTGCGACGGCCGCTGCTGCTCGAGGATCTGCACGGCCTTGACCCACTGCCTGGCCTCGAGCGCCGCGTCGATCGCCCGGTCGAAGTTCCCCGCCTCGATGAAATGGTTCACCGCCGCGTCCCACTGCCGCATCTGGGCGTGCCACTCCCCCCACGAGTCCTCCACGTCCATGGTGTCCGAGGGGAAGTGCCGCCGGCACAGGTCGACGGCCTTCTCGAAGCAGTACCCCTGCAGGTAGGCGGCCTTGGCCTCCCCGAGGCGGCTCTGCCATTCGAGAAAGTCGCCGGCGACGGAGAAGAGGCCGGCGCGGAGGAGCGCGGAGGAGACGCGCTCGAGGAGCGCGGGCTCGAAGGCGGACTCGCCGCCGTGGCGCGGGTTCATGACGACGCGGGCGGCGCGCGCGGGGAGGCCGCCGGCGAGGTACAGGCTGATGGCCTGGAGGTGGTCGCCGTCGCGCTCGCACATGGCCGCGGCCTTGTCCTCCTGGCCGGACTCGAGGAGCCAGTTGTAGACGTCGCCGCGCATCGACTCGACGTTCTCGGTGCTGCGGTGCGGAGGGGCCGGTTTGAAGTGAGGTTTCGAATGCGTGCGCGAAACGCGGTTCAGGTCAGCCCCGCTGCGAGACGCCGAACGAAGCACAGGGCATGCGGGGCACAGGAAAGCATCGTGCGCGCAGTGCAGGCGCCCTGCAGGCGCACGCGGGAGCGACCGCGGCAACGCGGCGTTCTCACCCGAACCGCTCCGCGATGCGCAGCGCCTCCTCGTTGTGCGCGACCGTCCGGTACATCTTCACCGCGTCGTCCACGCACCCCGCCTGCAGCAGGATGCTCTCCGCGCCGTCGAAGTCCCCCCGCAGCGCCTCGAGGCGCGCGCGCACCACCGGGTGGCTCAGGCCGTCGCACGCCGTCTGCGCCTCGTACTTCTCGCGCGCCAGGCGAATGCTCTGCACGAACCGCGACCGCGCGAGGTCGCCCAGCCGCGCCCACGCCAGCTCCGCCACCCCGAGCTCCCCCGCCGCCAGCGAGCTCTCTGCCAGCACGTTCCACCGGCCCTCGTTCTGCTCGAGCACCTGCGGGTTCACCGCCTCGCTGCTGCGCTGCAGAATGTCCACCGCGCGCCAGTAGTCCCGCGCCTCCACCGCGGAGTCGAACTCGATCATCATGTTGTCGAGCGTGTACTCCACATGGTTGGGGCCCTCCTTGACCAGCACGACCGTGTTCTCCGCGTTGCGCTCGATGTCCGTGATGTCGCCCTTGATCGGGTACGTCTCCTGCCGGTCCGGCGCCGCGCACGAGTACCACACCACCATGCTGTCCCCGCTCTGCGCCACAATCACGTCGCTCTCGGGCACCCACTGCACGTACGAGCAGACGTTCAGGAGGGACCGCGTGCGCCCGGAGTCCACGTCCAGGAGGCTCAGCTGCCGGCGCTTGTCGCGGAACAGCAGGTGCGTCCCGCGCGGGTTGAGCTCGAGCCAGTCGACGCGCTCGCCGTGCGCCACGTCGGCGATGTCGACGCCCTGGATGAGGTCGCGCACGCGGACGGTCTGCAGGTCGACGAGGTAGGCGAGGCGCTTGACGGCGGGCGTCATGCCGCGCTGCGGCTGCACGCGCACGGAGACCAGCGCGCTCTTGCAGTAGTCGGTGCGCACGGCCCCGATGGGCTCATTGTTGGAGTACTCGACGACGGTGACCTCGCCGTTGCAGAGGATGAGGCACACGCCGTCCTGGCCCGTGAGGAACTTCTCCTCGCCCGTGCCCGCCGGCCACGCGACCTCCGACAGCATCTGCGCGACTTGGGGGGGGGAGGGGGGGGTTATGGGGTTGCGTTGTTGTTGTTCTGCGCGCAGTGGCGCTCGGAGGATGTGGGGGAACCGGGGGGCGAGAGAACGGTTCGGGCCTCGGGCTGCTTGCGCTCGCTCGCTCCCACAACTACGTAGACGTAGATCAGAAACAAACAAACAATCAAACATACAAGAGCGAAAAAGCAGGTATGGAATCCCAAATAGGTGTGTGTGTGTGTGTGTTGGTGCGTGTGAGTGCGCGTGCCTTGGTCTCGAGGTCCCCCAGGAGGAGGCTCTCCGACGTCCGCCCGACCACGAACCGCCCCTTCTTGATCCCCATGTCGTCGATCTCGTACCCGTACGCCGACCGGATGCTCAGCCGCGTCCTCGTCTCCAGGTTTTGCACGATCACCTGGCTCTTGCTGATGTAGTGCAGCTCGAACTGCTGCCCGTACCGCACGCGCCGCAGGCAAGACTCGTACAGGTCCACGCACCCGCACAGCGTCCCCACCGCCAGCCGCGACCCGTCCTGCCGCCACGCGAGCGACGTCACCGTGTACAGGTTCTCCACGCGCTTCTCCTCGAACAGCTCCCAGCCGCGGCGCCGGTTGTACGCAAACACCCGCAGGCAGTCGAAGCCGCCCAGGACCACCGAGTCGCCGCCGGGGCTCGCCACCGCGCACGTCACGTCGCGGCTCAGCCCCTCCGCGCCGACCTTGGCCAGGTCGAACGTCTTCACGACGGACAGGTCCGGCACGCGGTACATCGTGATGTGGCCGTCGGCGCCCGCGGCGACGATGTGCTCGGCCCAGGCCAGCGCGAACGGCGCGCAGGTGTGCCGGGCGTCGGCCTGCACGCCGTCGGCCTGCGCGTACCGCATCAGCGTCCCGTCGTTGTGCCCCGAGACGACGCCGACGCCGTCGCGGTCGGCGACGAGCGAGACGACCGCGGACCCGGCCTTGTGCGCGTACGCCGTGTCGGCCTTGTTCGTGCGCAGGTACCCCACGCGCACCTGCGACCGGGACCGCGAACGAACGAACAAACAGTCGGGTGTGCCATGCGATGTGTCAACCAACGACGGGGTTGGTTGGTTGATATAGAGCACCCAACTCGTGTGTGGCAAGCGAGGGGCCCTGGCCTCGTAGTCATCTCAGTTCCGAGATCGCTTCTCTGGCCTCGCATTCGGGACTGGGGAGGAGTTGGTGCCTCGAACGGCAGGCTTCGCGTCGCCTTGTGCAAACAAGCACGGTGGGTGCGCGTCGCAGGCACTCAGAACCGGACTTCGAGCGCCTCGGTGGATTCGGACAAACCGACCCCCCACCGCGCCCGCACACACGCGGCGACGCGAGCAACGCGCCGACCCTCCGCGGCACCGGCGGGGAACCAACCCCTGAGCGACCGCTGCGCGGTGAGTCGACGCGCGCCGCGCGGCACAGGTGCGGGGAGGCGTCGCGCACGGGCGCACGCACGCACGCACCTTGCCATCGGTGCACCCAAAGAGGATGTCTTCAGGGTGCGTCTTGAGCCACACGACGCAGGTGACGGGCGCGGAGACCTCGAAGCGGTTGCAGATCGACTTCTTCTCGCCCCAGTCCTCCCCGAGCCTGCAGCGCCGGCACGCGCGACAGCGGTTGGGTGTCGACAAGCGGAGGCGCGCGTGCACTAGCAGGACGTGGCGTGGGCGCGCCGGGGGTCAGGCATCGCGAGCGGGGGCGCACCGGTACACGAAGACGATGTTGTCGCTCTGCGCGACGGCCAGGCGCGTGCCGTCCGGGCTGAAGGCCATGCCGCGCACCACGTAGGGCTGCATGGACGCAGGATCCTTGCTCGCGGGCTTCGTCTTGAACTTGTCCCTCTTCTGACCTGCGAGCAGCGTGGCGCAGATACGGGGCGTTGCGGCCCGGTCGCGGGGGAGGCGGGGCGCGGGCGCGTCACGCGGCGGCCCGGCGCGGCCCTGGTGGGTTGTGTTGTGGCAGCAACAGCGAGCAGCGCGGCGCCGTTTCGCGCGCGTGCGGACCGCGACGCGACGTTTCGAGGGTCCCTCAAACCAGGGTACCGAAAAAAATCGCAGCCGGACGCGCAGGCCGCGCGCACGGGTGCCCAGCAGGTGCACCGAGGCTCTGGCGCGCTCGCAGGGCCGCACAGGTGCGGCTTTCCGCGCGGCGAAGCCGCGGGTCGCGCGGGGAACGACGCGGGCGAGGGGCCGCGCGGCCGCACCTTCGGCATCATACAGCGTGACGACGCGGTCCGTCGTCGCTGCGGCCAGCTTCTGCGGCACCCGGTCGTGGGCCGTCTCGGGGCTGAACGCCACCGCCGTGACGCGGAGGATCCCGTCCACGGGGTTGAGGAGGGACTGCGCGTATCTGAGTCTCATGGCGCCTCCTCTCTCGTCCCTGGCGGGGCACGCGGCTCAAAAAATGGTGCCACCCTCGCAGCGCGTTTCGTCACGCGTGTCCGGCCTGGCGCGTCTCTGGGCGTCCGTGCTGCTCCGCCGGGGCTCTCCCGAGGCCCTCGGGGCGCAGAGGGCGTCGGGCGCGGCCGGGCTGCGCGCGCAGCGGCCGGCGCAGATGTGCACAGCTTTGGTCGGGAGCTGACTGCGCCCTGGCCGGAACGTGCAGGAGCTGGATACAGCGCGCGGTGCTCTGGACCGCGGGCGTGCGGTGGGGGCGCAATGGGCCGCGGCTCGGGGGCTGCTGGCTGCGTGCTGAGCTGTGGTCAGGTACGAGCGCCACGCCCGTCCGGCCCCTGGCCTGGCGCGGGCGTCTCCGGGCTTTCCTGCGCGCCCGCTCGCGCACCGAATTCAGTGCATTCGAATCGCTCACGGTCCGTCGCCTGCGCGTACGCACACGAGGCTGTTTCGCGAAGCGTGACTATGTCGGAGCAGGAACCCACCGACGTGCCCGAGGCGGCGCCGGACGCCCCGGCCGGTGAGTCGCGAACAACCAAAACTACCGCGCGACGCGCAGCGCGCGCACGCCAGCCTCCTGCGCACGCCGTCCCCTCGCTCCAGCCCCGTCGCACCAGATAGCCCTTGCATGCGCGGCGCAGCGCCGTTTCGCGGCCGTGCGGCTCCGCGCCCGCAGCCCCAGCGCCCACCCGCGCCCGCTGACGGCCCAGCCGCGGAACGATCCGTCCGCGACGCGCCGGCCCCAATGCATGCATGGCCCATTTTTGGAGGCCGACGACCGCCGCCCCCGCGCGGCCATCGGCCGGCATTTTCCGCGCAAAACATTCCGCTGAATCGCCAGAACGCTCGACGTGCGCGCAGAGGAGACGCCGGCCGCGGAGGAGCCTGCGCCGGAGGCCGAAGGCCAGCCCGAGGGTGATGCTGCGCCCGCAGCGGAGGACCCTGCGCCCGAGGACGCGCCGCCCGCCGCCGAGAACGAGGCCGACGCCGCCGCTGAGCCGCCCGCGGACGCGGGCGACGACGCGCCCGCTCCCCCGGACGCACCGCCCGCCGACGTAGACACCGACGCACCTGCCGAGCCCGCGCCGGGGCCCGCGGGCGACCCGGGGGACGCCGCCGCCGCGTCCGAGGACGCAGCCGAGCCCGAGAAGCCCGAGGACGCGCCGCCCGCGGACCCGGAGCCCGCCGCGGACGCCCCGCCGGCCGCGGAGGACAGCGCACCCGCGGAGCCCGAGGCTGCGCCCGCGGCGGAGGAGGACGCCGCGCCGGCCGCGGAGGAAGAAGCCCCCGCGACGCCCGCAGCGGAGGAGGAGCCCGCGGCGGAGCCGGAGCCCGCAGCGGAGCCGGAGGCCACCGAGGAGCCTGCGCCGGCCGCCGAGGGCGCCGCGGAGCCGGAGCCTGCGCCGGAGCCCGAGGCGCCCGCGGAGGAGACGCCCGAGCCGGAGCCCGAGGCGCCGGCGGAGGCCGCGGAGGACACCGCTGCGGACGATGCGGAGGCGGACGCTGCCATGGGCGACGACGTAGGCGAGGGCGGCGCGGAGGAGGCGCCGGCGGCGGAGGAGGCGCCGGCGGCGGAAGAGGCGCCGAAGCCCGTGGTGCCTGCGAAGGCGAAGACGATGGGCGTGCGTCCGTACCTGGACAGCACCGTGGTGCCGATCCTGCGCCAGGGACTGAGGTGCGGCCCGCGCGCCTGCGATTGCTGCGATCGCTGCGTTGCTGTGTTTGGTCCGGCGTGGCGGCGCGGTGCGACCACGTCTTGTTCTTCCTCCCGCACCTGTGGTCGGAAAGGATTGGCTTGACTGGTCGCGTGACCGTGGCGACCAGTCACCCGACGTTCAACGCCATCCTCTCCGGCCACAAGTCTGGGAGGAAGAAGGAGACGTGGTGGCACCGCGCCGGGGGCTGCGCCGCGACATGCCATGCCATGCGACGAGGAGGAAGGAAGCGGAACGTGTCGTGACGTGGTGTGGCTGCGCCCGTGCTGTGCGTCGCGCAGGGCGCTCGTCAAGGTGCGGCCGGAGGACCCGTACGAGTGGCTCGCGAACTACCTCGTGCAGCACAAGCCCCTGTCCTAGACCAACCCTCGTGTCTTAGACCCACCCTCGCACCACGACACCGCCACACACACACACGCACACTGTCGCCCTCCGCGCACCTGCGGAGGCCCGCCCTGCACGACCCATCCCGTCGGACGACACGCGGCGACAGCGGGCGCGCGCACGGCGCCCCACGCGTGCCAGGAGCCGCTCACAGCCACGCACATGTGATCATGTGATCCTCGTCCCCCCCGCGGCCCCCGCTACGCGCCAGGCCCGCACGTCGGCATCACGCCTTGTTCTTCTCCTCCTTCTCCTTCTCCTCCAGCGCCCGCTTCAGCGGGTCGTCCTCGCGCACCCACGCGTAGTAGTAGGCGATGCCGACCACGACGCACATGATGGCCAGCGCGATCAGGCCGCCCCACCACGTCTCCCAGTCGTCGATCTTGAACAGCGGCGTCATCACGAGCGCGAACACCGACATGAGCTTGATCAGGATGTTGAGCGCGGGGCCCGACGTGTCCTTGAACGGGTCGCCAACCGTGTCGCCGACGACCACCGCCTTGTGCGTCGCGCTCTTCTTGCCGCCGTACACGTTCTCGTTCTCCACGTACTTCTTCGAGTTGTCCCACGCGCCGCCGGCGTTCGACATCATGATGGCGAGCATGAAGCCCGACGCGATGGAGCCGCCGAGGATGCCCGCGAGGAAGCGGGCGCCCACGAGGAGGCCGGCCACGATGGGCGAGAAGACGGCGATGGCGCCGGGGAGGAGCATCTCCTTGAGGGACGACTGCGTACACATGCGCACGCAGGCCGTGGTGTCGCACTTGACGCCCTCCTTGCCGTCGAGGAGGCCGGGGATCTCGCGGAACTGGCGCTGCACCTCGACGATGATCGCGCCGGCGGCCTTGCGCACCGACAGCATCGTCAGGGCCTGCGAAGGGAGGGGGGGGTGTGTTGCGTGGTGGTCGGTCTACATGTCATTTATTTGGTCATTTATTACTCATCACTAATGAATTATCAGTGAATTTATTTATTAGTGTGTCAAGAATTAATCAATCAAGTACTAGAAAGGACTGAATGGAATAAAATCGTTGTGGTGGGAATGTCCGACTCACCGCGAAGAGGTACGGGAGCATGGAGCCGCCGATGAGGCCGGCGAGCACGAGGGGGTCCTTCAGGTCGAACACGGCCGTCACGTCGATCTGCTCGGCGTACGACACGAGGAACGACAGCGCCGTGAGCACCGCGGAGCCGATCGCGAAGCCCTTGCCCGTGGCGGCCGTGGTGTTGCCCAGCGCGTCGAGGAGGTCCGTGCGCTCGCGGACGTAGTCCGGGCAGTCGGGCGTCATCTCGGCGATGCCGCCGGCGTTGTCGGCGACGGGGCCGTAGGCGTCCGTGGCGAGGGTCACGCCGAGCGTGGAGAGCATGCCGACGGCGGCGATGGACACGCCGTACACGCCCGAGAGCTCGTTGCACGCGATGATGGCCACGCCGATGAAGATCACGGGCGGCAGGCACGACAGCATGCCCACGCCGAGACCCTGGATGATGACCGTCGCCGCGCCACCCATCGAACCGGCCTCAGTGATCGACTGCAAACACACGCGCACGCACACGAGCGAAGCGGGTGAGCCGATGCGCACCCACGCACGGCGGAAGAAGCGCCGCGCGCGCGAGAGCGTGCGCTGTCGTCCTAGGCACTGCGGCGAGTCGCGCGCAACCGGCCCAGGAGACCACACACCAGCGAGCAAAACACAGATATCATAACAAGTGAGGAATACACGACACGAAAGAAGTCCAGAGCGGAGCCGCGGGAGCCGGCGCGCGCGCGCGCGCGTGTGCGTGTGTGTGTGTGGGCCGGCGCGTCTCGCACCTTGGTGGGGGAGTAAGCGTACGACGTGAAGTACTCGGTCGACTCGCCGATCAGGATGCCGGTCAGGAGGCCGATGAGGATGCAGCCGTAGATCTTCCAGGCGTCGCTGGTGCCGACGACCTCGTTGTCGTCGAACACGGCGTACGTGAGGAGCGCCGAGAGCCCGACCACGAGCACGGCGGCGGTGTACATGCCGCCGTGGATCGAGTGCAGGAGCTGCTTCTGGTTCGCGTCGTCCTTCGTGCGCACGACGAAGAACCCGATGATCGCGCACACGATGCCGCCGCCCGCGATCCAGAACGGGAACGCGATCTGCGCCCGCGAGTCCGCCAGCGTCGCCGCCGCGATGATCGAACCACTGCGAGGACGAGGGGGGGGGGTGTTTTGCGGCGTGAGCGGGCGCGCACGGGGCGCGGACAGCGCGGGCGCGTGGCGGGCGGCGCGTGGCAGCAGCAACACGGCCCGTGCTTTGCTCTGTTGTTGTTGTTGTTGTTGTTGTTGTTATTGTTGTTGTGTTGCGTACCAGAACGACTCAAACAGGTCCGCGCCCATGCCGGCAACGTCGCCGACGTTGTCGCCGACGTTGTCCGCGATCGTCGCGGGGTTCCGCGGGTCGTCCTCGGGGATGTCGCTCTCGACCTTGCCGACGAGGTCGGCGCCGACGTCCGCGGCCTTGGTGTAGATGCCGCCGGCCACACGCGCGAACAGCGCGATCGAGGACGCGCCGAACCCGAAGCCCGTGAGGAAGCGCACCGCGTCCTTCATGTACTGCCCCTCGTCCGAGCTGTCCGGGTTCCGGCCCTTGGTGAAGATGTACAGCAGGATGGTGATGCCGAGCAGGCCGAGCGAGACGACGGTGAAGCCCATGACGGCGCCGGCGGAGAAGGCCACGCGCAGGGCGGGGTTCAGGCCCGTCTTGGCGGCCTCCATCGTCTTCACGTTGGACATCGTGGCGACCATCATGCCCATGTAGCCCGCCGTCGCCGACAGCAGAGCGCCGACGAAGAAGCAGATCATCGTCTGCCAGCCGCCCTTCTGGGTGAAGCCGAGCGGGGGCGAAGCCTGGCCCTCGAGCACGCCGACGATGAACGCCGCGCACGCTGCGGGGGGCGCGGGGCGCGGGCAACGTGTCGGCGACACGCGTAGCACGAGTGCGGGCGATTTCCGGCGCGGGGCGCCGCGTGCTGTGCGGGCGGGGCGGCGCTTTCGATAGCGTGGGGGCGCGAGGGTGCGGGGCGGTGGGGCAGGCGGAGGTGGGGGCGCGGGGGAGGGCGGGGGGCGCACCGATGGAGAAGGGAATGAGATACAGGTACTCGGTGCGCAGGAAGGACTGGGCGCCCTCCTGGACCTGGCGCGAGATCTCGACCTGGACGCCCTCGCCGTCGGGCGACGAGCGGATCTGCGCACGCGGGGACAACGCGGGGCGAGGTGGTCGCTTGGCGCGAGCGGGCTGTCGACGATGGCGGCTGTGGGGGCGTGGAAAAGGTCGCGGGCGGGGCGGAGGGGGTGGGAGTGCGGTGTGGGCGCGGCGTGCGGATCGCATTGCCGCGGCGGGGCCGCGGCGGCGCTGCGCGCGGTGATTGTCACTCGGCCGAGAGTGCGGCGGGACGGCGTAGGGGGTCGCAGGGGCCGCGGGGGCGAGTGCGATGCGGATCATGGCGTGCTCGCTGTCCGATTGTGCAGCTCCGCGGGCCATCGGGGCCGCGCAGCGGCCGGCGCGCGCCCACGCCACTGGCCGGCCCGAGAGGCGCCCCACGCGGCGTGGAACGCCCTACATTGCCCTCGTCCGCACGCAAACACCGAGCCCGCGCATCGAACACGCGCACAGCCGCACGACGGCGGCGGACCCGCCGCCAGCGCCGCGACAGGAGAGGCTGCCCTGATAGCCGAATGCTCGCCACGTCCGCAACGGCTGCCGCGCTACACGCAGTCCCGGCCGGCACGGCTGCTTCTCTCGGGCATTTCGCGCCCAGGCAACGCGCCGAATTCGCGCCCACGCGCCCACGCGCGCGGCAGGCCCCCCTGCGGCCGTCGTGGGGCTTCCGTTCCGCACCTTCAGGTACAGCCCGACCACCATCACCAGCGCCAGGAGGCCGGCGAAGAACGGCAGCGAGGCCACGACCTCGATGTTGATGTCCGCTTCCTTCATCTTGGCAGCCGGAAAACCCTCAAAGGCTCCCGCTGGGGAATGTTGCGCTGCGCAGCCTCCGTTGCGGCCGCTGCAGGGACGTGAGCACTCTGACGCGCCGGTGCTCCGCGGGTGTGGCCGGGCCGCGACGGCGGCGCGGCCCCTTGGCCCGCGGGCACGCCACGCTGCGTACGACGCTCCGAAAAGACAGTCAGGCGATCGGGGACGTGTCCCGCGGCGCCGCGTGGGGCGCGGAACTTCGCGCCCGCTGGGCCGGACGCACTCTCAGGGACAAAACGTGCCTGTTCCGCGGGGTAGAGGGCGAGAAACGCGCGAGACGACGTCTGGAGGCGGGGGACAACGTGTGAGCCACGTTTCGGAGCTATCGTCTATAGTTTGCCGAAACTATCGGAATTGCTGCCGCGGACGGCGGCAGCGTGTCTTCGCGGGGACCGTGCTTCGTCCGGCGCGCTCGGTCGGGCTCGGAACGCCCGGGGGCGGACTTGTAGCGGTTGGCGCGCAAGGCGTGGAGCGTTGCCGTACGGCGCGCCGCCAGGCCGGCGAGCTGCGCGGAGGCCGCATCCGCGAGCGGCGTGGCGCGGCCATGCCGGCGGCACGCGTCGGAACGGAGCGCGCAGCCGCGCGGCGCCGTTTGATGGCATGAAGTTCGCACAGCTACACATAGGCATTATGAGGGTGCGCGTCACTGTTTTGCACGCGTCCTCGGACTCACCGCCCCCGCGACCTCACACGCGACCCGCCGCACCCACACGGCGAGCGTGCCCGGCTCCCAGGCGCTGCTTTCAGCATCACAGCGGCGGCTTCGACAGGCGCTCCGCGCGGGACGAGCGCCGCTGCCGCGCGCGCGCGGCGTCACACGCGGTTCGGCAGGAGGCTGCCTGCCTCTGAGAACTGCACGTCGTTGAGCCCGAGCATCGACTGGACCGTGAAGTTCACGAACACAATTGTAAACACTGCAAACCCAATGACGAAGATCGCCGTCGTGGGCTTCTTCATCATGTTCGCCAGCGGCTTCACGAAGATGTACCCTGCAGGGAAACCGCGCGCGGGAGCCGCCTGCCGCTTCATCCGCCGCGTGGCAACAAGAAGTACTGTGTGCAGAACAATCTTCGGGCGATATCTTCCGGCGCGAGCGCCGTGGGGGGCTCGCGCGCCGCACCTGTGCCGAGCATGACCGAGACGAAGTAGCGCATGTACCGCACGACGTTTCCCCAGAAATCCTCGTTCTCAGCGAGGTCAGCAAAGTGCTGCGTGGCAACTCCGGCAGCCTGCATGATGCCGCCGTCGTCCGCGCCGGCCTTGACCGCCTCGGGGAACATCGCGAGGACTGCGAGCGCGAACCCCGTCGACGCAACGCACGCCCACAGCGCCGACAGCTCCTCCGCGCCGCTCGCCACGCCGCCGTGCCCCTCCCGTGGCCCCGCGCTGTCGCGCGCTGGCGAGGCCGCGCCGCCGCGCTCGCACGCGCGCCGCGAGACCGTTCTCCGCGTGACGGGCGCACGCGACGGCCGCGCCGGTGCTAGCGGGCGGCGCGCCACGCACGGATTGTGCTGCAAGGGCGACCTGCGGATTGGCGTCGGACGGATCTTTCGGTGGGGTCTTCGTCCTCGATATCGTGGCACAGCATACAGGCTGCCACGTACGGGCGGCGCGGGGGGTTTCGAGGTCAGATGCGGGGCTGGTGCGGCGGAGACGGTGTGCGGTGCTCTCAGACGCGGCCGTGCTCGTTCGTTCTGGCTCGAACATCGCTGTGCGGCGCACCTGAGGCACACTTGCTGCATGGTCTATGCGCTCGTATTCCCAGACACCCAAGCACCTGTCCAGGTAGAACAGGAATCGTGCTTCGAGGCTCTCTTGGCCTGATCCAGTCCGACCGCGCGACGGTACGGGCCCTGTTCCTTCGATTGGGACGACGTCTACCTTGCACGAAGTCAGGCCTATCCGTCCTGCGCGCCTACCAGCGCCAGAGCGCGACAATGAGCTCGGGAGGACCTGACAATGAGACCAGCCACCTCAGGCACGCTGCTCCACACCGTCGGACGGGGCGCACTCCGCGCGGCACGCCCCCACGCCGCGTCCCACGTTGCCTCGCCGCGCGGACGACCTCCCCAGACGCTCGAACCGATCGCAGCCCCTCTCTCGACTCCGGGAAACCCATCGCGAGGTTCAAACCCAGGCCAGACTCTCTCCACGAGGCCCAGCTGCGCGCGACAGCTCGCCGCAGCGCCGGCACGGCCCCCTGCGCCTCACGTAGATCACACACAGGACCGCCGCGAGGCCGGAGCGCCGCGCGAAGGTGCGAGGCGCGCACAGCGCCCTCCGCGTCCCGTCGCAAGCGCGCCCGCATCTCTCTGCCGCCCGACGCACGCCAGGCCGCCAGACAGCGCGTTCTCGGCCGCGCACGCATCCCCAACATCGCGGCTATCGGCAGCGAGCGCGCGGGCCGCGGAAACCGCGATTCGAGCCCCCCACGCAACTTCAGGCATCTTACGCGCGCTCGCCCGGCCCCGCGCGCGCCGCAGACACCTCACCGAGCGCGGAGCGCCCGCGCAGCGCGTTCGTATAGGTCGTGAGGAGCGTCGCCCGCGATGGGGACGATGGGCGAGTCCACCCGGCGCCGCATGGCCGCCGTGGTGCAAAGCGCGCAGGGCCTCGGGGCCACTGTGGGCGCCCGCGAGGGGCTCGGCCGCGGCCCGACCGTCGGCGGGTACGGCGGGGGGCTCGGCGGGACGTGGGGGAAGGCGCCCACGGGCCGCTCGACCTCCCAGCGCGCGGAACGCGGCCCGGGCGGCGTCCCCGACGCACCGCTGCGCCCGACGGGCAGTGCAAGACAACTCGGGGGCGCGGACGGGGGCGTCGCGGGCGCGGCGAAGGCGCTGTCGCGGAAGGACCTGTCGCCGGGGCTGCCCGGCGGAACGGGCCACCGTCCGGGCGTGCGGGAGCGCATTCGGCCGGCCTCTGCAGGTGCGTGTGTGTGTGTGTGTACGCGGGTTGTGTTGTGGCTGCGCGAGTGTGTGGCTTTGCTGCTCGCTGGCGGTCGCTGCGGCGGTCCTGTGCGGAGCAGGCGAGCCGCTGCCGCGCAGCCGGCGCGAGCATTCGTCCCCGAAGGACGACAAATCAAATCAAATCAATGATCAATGATTATCGAAACAACACAGAGTCTTGTGTTCAATCATGCGTTGTCAACCGAGCGCTCGTCCCACGCTCCCCCGCCCCCGCGCCCCCCGCCGCGCAGCCGTGAAGAACGTGTGGGACACGATGCCGTCTGACAACGTCAAACACTCCCCCGCCAAGAACCGGACCCCCCCCCTCGGCGCCGCCCGCGTCCCCGGCGGCGCGCGCCGCCCCCACACCGCGCGCGCGCGCACGGACGGCCCCGTCGCCCTCGACGCCGACCTCCGCGGCCCCTCCGCGCCGCCACCCGCCGACCCCGCCACCGCCGGGCTGCCCTCTCTCCCGCCCCCTCACGCACGCCGCCGCGCCGCAAGCCACCTCGAACGCGTTCCCGCGCGCCCCAACGCCGTCGAAGCGCGCCGTCGCGCCCGCGCGGCCCCCGACGGACCCGCGCCGCTCGGAGCCGCGGCCCACGACGCGCGCGCGCCCGGCGCCGCGCCGGCCGCGGCGGCCGCCGCCGGCCTGTCCGCGCTGCACCTCCAGAACCTCGAGGAAGAGATCCGCGGCGCGCTGCGGACGCAGCGCTCCGTGTACGAGGACGAGAAGGCCCTGTTGCTAAAAACGTTCTCGGCGACGGACAGCCAGGGCGACGGCCAGGTCGACATCGAGGACCTGGAGAACATCTGCAAGCGGCTCGGCGTGTCGGTCTCGCGCGAGGAGGCCGCGGCGCTGTTCGAGAAGAACGGGTTCCGCGACGCGATGCCGTACGCGCAGTTTGCCGCCATTCTTCTCGCCAACCCCCTCCAGCGCCTGGCCGACACGCAGACCGTCCGCCGCGGCGCGTTCGTGGCCGGGCAGCGCGCGGACTTCTACGGCAAGATCGTGTACCCGCCGTGCCACACGGGCGTCTTCGTGCCGTCCGACTGGGACCCGACGCTGGCCGAGCGCTCGGCGCAGCTCCCGCCCACGCGCCTGCGGCTCGAGTACGTGTACGGCTTCGACGGCATGTCGTGCACGGGCAACAACCTGTGGTACGGCCCGGACGACAACACCTCGGTGTGGTTCTCCGCGGGCGTCGGCATCGTGTACGAGCGGCAGCAACACCGGCAGAGGTTCTTCCTGGGGCACAGCGACGACATCAAGTGCCTGGACGTGCTGCAGTGCCCCGTGGCGCTCGACGGCGTGGAGTACGCCGGGCGGACGATCGCGGCGACGGGGCAGGTGTCGCACGTCGACGACGGCCCGTACGTGTGCGTGTGGGACACGCGCGTGGGGTCGCAGGACGGCGAGAACCTGCTGCGGAAGATCAGCCTGCCGAAGTCGTCGCGCGGCGTCAACTGCGTCGCGTTCAGCCCCTGCGGCCGCTTCCTCGCCGTGGTCGCCATGGACAACCAGCACACGGTGCAGGTGTACGACTGGGCGTCGGGCAGCCTGCTGTCCGAGGGGAAGGGCTTCTCCGGGGAGCCGCCGCAGGTGTTCGGCGTCGCGTGGGACCCGTTCCACGAGGACGTGGGCATGCCGCCGCGGTTCGTGACGTACGGGCGGAAGCACGTCAAGATGTGGGTGCTGTCGGAGGCGGCGGGGGCGGGCGGGGAGGTGGCGGTGTCCGCGCGGCTGATGTCGTTCGGCGGGCAGAAGATGCAGAACGCGACGAGCTGCGCGTTCTTGCCGCCGGCGGTCGGGGGCGGCGGGGAGGCGCTGGCGGTGACGGGGATGGCGGACGGGACGCTGTACGCGTGGCGCGGGGGGAAGTGCGTGCGGGCGCTGGACGCGCACGCCGCGGGGCCGAAGCAGAACCTCAACGACGGGTCGCGGGCGACGGTCGGCGTGCGCGGGCTGCGGCTCGCGTATGTGGGGAGCAAGTGGGTGCTCTACAGCGGGGGCGCGGACGGCGTGGTGCACAGGTGCGGCGTGCGGTCGCGCCAGATGCCACAGCAGCACGCTCGCTTCGCTCCTATCTGGAAAATCCGTTTGCAATCATCATTACGTGTCTGTTTTTGTTTTTGCGTGTTCCTTTCGTTCCGTGCGTCGCGCGCCCACGTCCGCGCGTGCCCGCCCGCGCAGGTGGGACGTGTCGGACGGCACCATCCGCGACGGCCGCATGGCGGGCCCTCCGATCCGCGTCCGGCCGCCCTACGGCGCGCCCGGCGCGCAGCCACCCATCATCAAGGCCCTGGACGTCGACTCCACGGGCCGCACGCTCCTCGTCGGCACCGCGGACTGCGACGTCTTCGAGGTCACGGACGCCACGCAGGATATCTTCGTCGACGGCCACGAGGGCGACCTGTGGGCCGTCGCATGCCACCCCGCGCGCCCCGACGTCTTCGTGTCCGCGGCGGCGTCGAAGTCGGTGTTCCTGTGGAGCGCGTCGCAGCGGCGCGTCCTGCGCATCGCGAACCTCCCGTTCAAGGCGCGCTCCGCCGCGGTGTGCCCGGCGGCGCTGGACGGCGCGCACCATATCGCGGTGGGCGGCATGGACGGCAACATCGCGGTCATGGCCGACGCGGACCTGCGCCCCATCGCGCAGCTGCGCGACACGCACCGCGAGGCCGCGGTCGTGCGCTACTCCCCCTGCGGAAGCTACCTCGCCGTGGGCACGCAGGACTGCCACGTGGACGTGTACGCCGTCAAGGCCGCGTACAAGCGCATCGCGCGGTGCTCGGGGCACTCGAGCGCGATCACCGCGCTCGACTTCTCCGCGGACGGCTCGGTCCTGCAGTCCACGAGCCAGGCGTACGAGCTCTTGTACTTCAACCCGCGCACGGGCAAGCAGGTGCTGCACCCGCAGCGCGACACGCAGTGGGCGACGTGGACGTGCCCGCTCGGGTTCCCCGTCATGGGCATCTGGCCCGAGGGCGCGGACGGCACCGACGTCAACTCGGTGTGCCGCTCGCGCGCTGGCGACCTTGTGGCGACGGCCGGCGACGACGGGTTCGTCTCGCTGTACAACTACCCCTGCGTCGTCGAGGAGGCCGCGTGCCGCGCGTACCGCGGCCACTCCAGCCACGTCATGTGCGTGGACTTTGCGTGCGACGACACGCGCGTGCTGTCGGCCGGCGGGAAGGACCGGTCGATCTTCCAGTTCGCCGTGCAGCCCGTGGAGCCCGAGCCGGAGCCGGAGCCCGCGCCGGAGCCGGTGTGGGGCCCGATGGACCCCGAGGGCAAGCAGTACGGGTGGATCACCCCCCCCGCGCACGGCGCAGGGGGGGTGTCCGAAGGGGAGGCGTCGCCGTCGAGGGCGCCGAAGCCGCCGCTGCCGCCGCGCGTGCCGTCCGCGAAGCTCGGGGCGCCGGGCGGGCCGAGGGACGCGCCGCACCAGGGGGGGGGAGTGACGCAGACCTGTTGTCAGGGCCCATGTCGGCGTCCGTCGACGAGGCGGGCTGGGACGACGGGAGCCCCGCGGCGGACCTCGGCGCGCTGCTGGAGGACCGGGCCGCGGTGGCCGCGCAGGCTCCGGAGCTCGCGGGGTCGCCGAGCAGCGCCGACGCTGGCGCGCGTGGTCAGGGGGGGGTGTCTGGTGCGGGCGAGGCGGCGCGGGCGTCCGCGACGGGCAGCCAGGACTTCCTGGTGCACGAGGGCGCGGGCGAGGAGTCGTCCGTGGGGAGTCCGCGCGCGCGGCCGCCGCTGGCGGGGGACTCTGGTGCAGCTGCGAGCTACCCGGAGCACGGTGACGAGGCGGGGGCGGAAATCGAGTGGGGGGACTCGGGGGCGTTCGACGACGTCGCGGGGCCGCGCGGGTACGAGTACGACGACGTGGACGGCGGCTGGGGGACCTAGAAGGAAAGAAACGCCGCGCACGCGTTTGTGACAGCAGCGGCGATGTGTGACGTGTAACGCAAGCCAGGCCGTGTCGACGCGTGGCGCGCGCCGCCTGCGCAGCCGCGGCGCAGCTGCTGCGGGCTTGCGCGCGCACCGTCGCGGTGGAACGCGACCGCTGCTGCGCGTGTCGCGCACTGCCAGGTGCCTCGAGCGGGCCGTGTGGAGTTGGAGCGCGTGCCGTCGCGCACAGGCCTGCTTTGTCGATTCGCGGCCAGCTGCGGCGCCGCGGCCAGGGCGCAACGTCCGCGCAGGCCACGTGGCGCACCGTTGGATGGCCTTTTTGCCCACTCTTCTACTGGGCGGCCGGTTTCCCGCGGGTGGGGCACCTCGTGCCCACCGCAGCGCGCGCGCTGCAGCGCTCAGTTCGCGGTCTCTCGCGTCGTGCCTGTATGGCCCCCGTTGCGCCTCCGCGCGCGGCAGACGGGCCTCTGTCTTTACCTGAGGGGGGAGGTCGGGGCGCCGCGCCGGGCGGGCCGCACACGCGCCGCGGCACGACGGCGCGGCGCGCACGCAGCGCACGTCACAATTGTAGCGCGGACACAGGAAGTGTCGGCGTCGTCGAGCAGGACTGCGGCCGCTCGCGAACGAAAGCGCACCTTCAACGGCTCCGCGCCGCTGCGCACCTTGCGTCCGGGCGCCTGCTTGCCTGGGCCCGGCGCGCTCGTCGTGATACTCGCGCGCCCGTAGCGGCGAAAGCGGCCCTCCCCGCGCGGATCCCCCGCTGCTGGCCGCACTGGCAACCAGTGCGCTCGTTCGGCTGCTTCGGGACCCTTTCGACGACGCATGCCCAGCGGAGCGGGCGGGTGACGGAAACGAGCGCCTGAAAATGACCAGCCTGGCGACGGGCGGCGACAGCTCCCGCCTGGAGGCCGGAGAAGCACAGCGCCGAGGGACCTGGTGCGCCCCGAACCCCCGCCGGATCCCCGCCCACGCGGCCGGGCTGCGCGAGCAACGGATTCCGCGCGCCGTGCCGCTGCTTCCACGCGCTATCGCGCGCGCAGCACGCAGCTGCTCCGACTGGCCACCGATCGCGTCGTGACGCCCGTCGCGGCCCCCCCGGGCCGCGCAGCCGCGCCCGACGCGCCGCACGTCAACTCCGCTCCCCTGCGCGACGGCCATCCCCCCGTCTAGACCCCTTCCGCGCGCGCCAGCCGCGCCTGCGTTGTCGACAACTGCTCCGTGTCCCGCGCGCGCCGCTGCGCGCCGCGTCCGGCCCCGAAACGCCCCGACGCCGCCCTGCGCGCGCAGGTCGCCGTGGGAGGACGAGCTCCTCGTCAGCGTCGTCACCAAGCTCGGTCCCAAGAATTGGTCGCTCATCGCGGCACAAATTCCGGGCCGCACGCCCAAGTCGTGCCGCGTGCGCTGGCAGAACCAGCTCAATCCGCCCATCAAGAGGCTCCCCTGGACCGAGGCCGAGGACGCTCTCATCATCAGGTCCGCCCCGCCGCCCGCACGCGAGCCCCTCCTACGGCGCACCCCCACCGCGCCCGCGCGCGCGCCCCGCCCCCGCCCCGACCTCCCCGCCGCGCCCCGCGCAACCACGCACCCCTCCGCTCCGCGAAACTCCGCCCCGCGCCCCCGCCACGCCGCAGGGCGCAACAGCAGGAGGGCAATGCCTGGGCGTGGATCGCCCGGCTGCTCCCGGGCCGCACGGACAACTCCGTCAAGAACCGCTGGGTCTCCACGCTCAAGCGCCGCGTCGAGCAGGGCTCGGTCGACAACCGGTACCTCAACCCCAACATCCCGCTATCGGATCTGGTGACGCTGGCGGCCGTGGAGAACCACCGGCAGGCGATGAACAGCTCGAACGAGACCGCGCGCATGCTCTCCGCGCTCCCGAGCCAGCAGCAGCCCGCGCAGGCGCCGCCGCCGGACGCCCTCCCGCCGCAGGCGTTTGCGGCGCCGCCGCCGCAGCAGCCGCCCCAGGGGCCGCCGCAGGGCCTCGCGAGCGGCCCCGCGGCCTCCCTGAGCGCGGGCGTGCCGCTCCCGGGCTACCCGCCGACCCCGGCGCGCAGCGACTACTCGGGCCAGGTGTCGGGGGACTCTCTCCTGCATCCCCGCGAGCTCCTCGCCATGCTCGGGTCGCTCGGGCGGAGCCTCCCGAGCGGGTCCTGGGGCCCGCCGTACGGCGGCAGCGACCAGTGGGGCATGTCCGAGGGCGCGCCGCCGAGCCTCGCGCAGCAGACCTCCTTGCCGCTGTACGAGATGCTTCACTCGCTGCAGTCGCAAGTGTGGCGGCAGGACGAGCCGCCCGCGGGCCCGCCGGCGGGCGGCGGGCAGGCGCCGCGGGAGGTCGCGTACGGGATGTACGGTCCGGCGCGGTGGGCGAGCGAGCCGGGCGGCGGCGCGGCGGCGCCGGCGGCGGGCGAGGCGGCGGCGAAGAGCGAGCGCGACGCGGGCGCGCGCGAGGCGCGCGCGCAGCAGGCGCAGGCGGCGCCGAGCAACGTCGCGAGCGGGCGGGACGCGCCGGAGACGTCGCTCGCGCAGCAGATGGCGCGGGAGCGCCGCGGCGAGCAGCAGCAGCAACAGCGGCAGCAGGCGCGGGCGCCGGGCGCCCGCCGCCGCGGGACGGCGGCAAGGCCGCGCAGGACGACACGCGCGGCCGCAGCCGACCCGCAGCCGCAGGCGCCGCAACAGAGGCCGGCGGGCGCGGACCGCGCGCCGCTGCCAGGCCTGGAGGACGCGCGGCAGGCGCCGGCGGCGCAGGGGCGCGCGGGCGAGGGCGCGAAGCCGCCGCTCGCGCACGCGAACAACCTCATGCGGCCGCTGTCGGGCGAGACGAACATGTTCAGTTCCGGCGCGATGGCGGCGGCGAGCAACCTGCAGACGTCGTCGCTGCTGGACTCGTGCCCGCCCGGGTGCCCGTCCGACGGCATGCACACGCGCATGCCGCAGGGCGACTGGGCGGGCCTCGCGCGCGCGTGGAGCCTCCTCACGAACTCGCTCAGCATGATGTCGGCGTCGCAGCCCGACCACACCAACACAAACAACAGCAGCCAGCCGCACGCGCCCGGGACGTCGCACCCGAGCGCGCGCCCGGGCCAGGACGACTCCACGTCCATCGAGCGCGACGGCAGCGGCCGCATGGGCGCGTCGGGCGGGAAGCGCCCCGCGGTGGGGTCGCCAGAGGAGGCGCACGCGCAAAAGACGATGAGGATCTCGGTGGACGGCGGGGGCGACGCGGGGCGCCTGCCCGCGGCCGCGCAGGCCGAGGGCGGCTCGCCGAGCGTGCATCTGCAGCAGCCCGGCCCGCCCGGCGGCGCCCCGGGCGGCCCTGGTGGCGGCGCGGGGCTGGCGCCGGCCGGGTTCGGGGTCGGGGGGTTCCCGGGCATGGCGCAGGCGGGCGTGCCGGCGCAGGGGATGGGCGGCGCGATGGGGGACGGGTCCGGGATGGACGCGGCCATGATGCCGGGCGGCGGCGGAGGGGACATGGCGGCGCAGCAGGCGATGCTGATGCGGCTGTTCACGACGCTGCAGGCGCAGCAGCAGGGCGGCGCGCAGCCGGCGATGGAGATGCAGAAGGCGCCCGTGCAGCCGCAGCCGCGCGGGCAGATGATGCCGCCCCCGCCGCCGCACTCCCACGCCCACGCGCGCTGAGGCGCGGCGGCGACCGCAGCTTGGAGCGTGCCTCCTCGCCCTCTGTCCTCCTCTGCCTTGCTCCGTCCCGCACAGGCGCCGGACACGCGCGCCTGCGTGCGTCGAAGGTCCCCTCAGTCCGTACCTTTCCACTTCCCTGAACACACCCCCCCCCTCCGCCCCTATTCCGAATTTATCCCCGCACACGCGTCTTAGAATTCCGCCGCGCGTGCCCACAGCACCCGGGCGGTGCAAGACCAGTTTCAACCCCTCACCAACCCCCCCTTCTTCCCAACACCCCCCCCTCCCCCACGTACACGTACACCCCTCATCTCGCGTCGTTACCACTCGAGCAGCTTGTGCACCCCCGCGCTTCGGACCCGCCATCGTTGCCTGCACCGGCCGGCGCCCCCCAAACGTCATCGCCAACGCACGCCACGGACAGGCCGCCGTCACTCGAGCGCACGGACCCCGATCGCCGACGAAACCGTCGCGACGCAGCCACTCTACGCGTCCGCGGCTTCATTCAAAGTCAGAGGCGCTCCTCACGGGACTGCATGATGTCAACGTGTCGCTAGAATACCCTCCCTTCCAACTTCGACCCCCGTCCCCGCTCCTTCTCGCTTCCTTCCTTAAGCCGCCCCGCTCTCCCCTCTAACCATGCCCTACTCGAATGCAACGCCGCGATCCCATCGCGCCGAATGGCGATGGGCTGTCTGACCGAAGAACAACCCCCATCTTTTGTCTTGCAACGCTCGCAACGCAACAGTGGGTGTGGACGGAAGTCCCCCACGGGTACAATTCGCTGACACTGCGCCGTCCCCCGGCGACGGCACGCCAACTCGAAGATGGACGCCCGCGAGCGACCGCGTCTTGCATAGCCTGCCCGGGGGGCCCACAGCCACCTCCCCAGTCACCCACCTCAGCCGTCCTGCGTGCCTGCAGTTAGTTGGCTTCAGCGCACGACCCTCGAATAGACAGTCACTGTGACGAATCAGTCGCAACTGTAGTGCGACAGTCACTCGATTCCGCCGCTACGCTCGTCCCTGGACGCATTCTTCGTCCAAGCACTCATCCACTGGCCCTCGTGACGGCGCTGTGCGTCGCGTTCCCGCCTCTACGTGCTCAGCCGCGCTCGTCCGGCAGACGTCGTGGCATCGTGCCATCTCCGTGCCGCTGCCGCCGCAGCAAGCGACCGATCTCGCATCTCACGAGCTGCCGGATGACGGGTCTGGTGCGCGAGATCGCCCCCTGGCTGCGACTGCAGCGTCACGGAGATAGCATGATGCTGCACGTCGGCCGGACGGGCGCTGCAGAGACGAAGAGGCGGGATCACGAAGCGACAGCGCAGCCCAGGGGGCCCCATAGATGAGTGTCAGGACGAAGAGTGGCGTCCAGAGACGCCCGTAGCGGCGGAATCGTGTACCGTGTGACTGAAACTCCTGCTCATGGTGGTCGCGAGGCCGCCTTGGCGGCGCGAGCTGCGCCGAACGCCTGCATCGCACGCGATTAATGTGAACAATTGTTGTACGCTATTTCATCCGCGAGCACTCCGCACGGCCAAGCAACAGGAAAACGGTTGGGCAATCGTCGAGGCGGACGCGGCGCCACGGCAAGGAGGGTGAGGCGTTCCTCCTCCGGCGGGGTGTCCCCGGGCAGTCGGAGCCGTGCGGCCCGCACCCGCCGCGCGAGGCAAGTTCGTCGTCTCGTGCCATCACTACATTCCTTCGGGCTGACACCCGATTCGCGACTGCTCGAGTTGCAAGCCGACCCGGCGCTTCAGACAGCCCTCATCGAGAAGCAGCTGCTCGACGATGCCAAGATCGGGAACGGCCTCGAACTCGAAGGACCAGAGTATTCTTGGGCATTCCTTCGGGCTGACACCATTCCGAGTTATCGGTCCGCACTCAGTCCGGACCGTATGCAACAAGCCAGATGGGAGCATGGATCGATCAACCTTAGGAGGCAATGAGTGCCTTAACTCGGAATGGTGTCAGCCCGAAGGAATGCCCAAGAATACTCTGGTCCTTCGAGTTCGAGGCCGTTCCCGATCTTGGCGGCATCGTCGAGCAGCTGCTTCTCGATGAGGGCTGTCTGAAGTGCCGGGTCGGCTTGCAACTCGAGCAGTCGCGAATCGGTTTCGACCTCAGCGACAGCCGTGTCCACCCGGGGATAGATCCAGCCCGGTGGAGCAGGCTCGCTCGGCCCCAGTGCCTCGCAGACCCTCCTTGCCCACACGAACGGGGGGGGGACTCCCAAGAACATCGTCAAGTTCTGCCAGTCAGTCAGGCAACGCCCCCGTGGCCCCGGCCCACCGCCCGCGGCCTCGGTCGTCGCGGCCCCGCAAGCCTGGTGCGCGCAGCGCCGATCGCGCGACGCAGGAGACGCCGCCTGCTGCTAGGGGCACGGACGTGAACGTCTCGAGACACAACCGAGGTTCGTGGTGGTGGCTCCAATGCAATGTTTGTGATTCGTTGTTGTTTTAACATCCGCCCAGGGCGCGGCAACAGCGCTCCGTCCGCAGGGGTTCCGCTCGGTGGCCGTGGTTCCGGGCCGTTGAAAAAGGCATCGAGGAAACAAGACTGCCGGTCAGACGGTTCTGAGTCCGACTCTCTGGCCCCCCGCCCGGCGCACCGGGCCGCTGCGGTGGCTCGCGAGGCCACTTGCGGGCCGCCAGGGTATGGAGTAGCGCGCTGCAGCCGCGGGCCGACGCAGGGGAGCACAGGCGGTGGCGCTGGGAGCAGGAGCAGGGGTGGTGAGCGGCGTGTGGGGCCGAACCCGGGCTTTGACGAACGCGGGCGGTTCTGGGGGGGAGTGTGAGGCCGTGGGCGTGGCTGGAGGGCTATGGACGGCAGGGGCGGGTTGAACTACGGCCCCCGCGGGGGCTTGATGGCTGGCGCGGGGATGGGCAGGGGGGCTGCGCCGGGGGCGGGAGGCGGCGCGGGGTTCGGGGACTCGCTGCCGTTCGCAGGGGTTCTGCAGAGGCTGGACGCGTTCCCGAAAATTCGCGACGAGGAGTTCTACAAGCGCACGTTGGCTGGCGGAGTCATCACGATCGTGGCTGCGGCCATCATGACGCTTCTCTTCCTTTCCGAAGCAGGTGCGCACCGCGAGAGCACGTCCCATGCGCAAACGCTCCTCAAATGCGGCCGAGCGGGCGTGTTGTGGCCGCGTTCCCCGCATCTTGCTTTTTGCTGCCGCTGCGTCCGCCCACGCGCGAACGCCCGGCCGCTGCGGCGCAGCGATCTTCCTGCGCGTCCACAAGAGCCACGAGCTCACGGTGGACACGACGCGGAACGAGAAGATCGACATCACGGTCGACATCACGCTCCCGCGCCTGCCGTGCGCCTGGCTCTCGGTCGACGCCATGGACGTGAGCGGCGAGTCGCACCTCGACGTCGAGGAAGAGATCTTCAAGAAGCGTCTCGACGCCCAGGGCAACACCATCCAGGTCACAGCGTCCAAGGTCCGCGCGCAAACCCCCTTCCTCCTCAACAGCGCAGCCCCCCGCGCCCCCACACGCTCCTGCCGGCCTCTCAGTCCGCCCCGCCTCTCAACAGAGCATGCCAGCGCCTCTGAGCCCCTCGTCCGGCCTGTTCGCGTCCACAGGTCGGCCCCGAGGTCACCACCCAGGACTACGCTAAGAAGAAGGCGGCAGGGAACAACCGGCGCAGACTCCAGGGCATCGAGTCGTCGATGATGAAGGGCCGCGACGACGGCAGCGAGCCCGCGCAGCTTGGCGGCGCGCAGGGCGGCTCCGGCGAACCACAGGACGGAGCTGGCGCCAGCCAGCTGATTGACACCGCGGGCGACTCAGAGGGCAAGATGATGCCTCAGGACGCGGTGAGCTGCGCTCTGCGCTGCCTGAGTGCGCGGCGGACACGCCCACCAAAAGCACCCACGCGAAAGTCAATCAACCAATATTTCATATGTGGTTTTCTGCTGTCTTGTTCGATTGGGCGCGAATGCCGCAGTTCTGACGCCCGCGCGCCCGGCGCCTCCTCGCTGCAGCCGAATCAGGCGCCGGGGGGCGTGAAGCTGCGGCCCGGCGACGAGGGGTACTGCGGCGACTGCTACGGCGCAGCCACGCACTGTTGCAACTCGTGCGACGAGGTGCGCGAGGCGTACAGGCGGATGGGCTGGGCGCTCCCGGACCTGATGACCATCGAGCAGTGCCACGACGACAAGCACATGCAGGTATAGCCCGCACTGCGCCCCTCGCAGCACGCCAGCTGCGCCCCGCCCGCCACCCTCTGCTGCGCTCCGCACGCCCGCACCCGCCCGCTCTCTCCACGCACCGATCATGCAGCGTCACTGCACCAGCACCGGCACCCTCCGTGCGCCCGTTCGTCGCACCACGCGCACGCGCTGCCAGCTTCGCGCGCGTCACCGCCCCGGCCCGGCCCCGCCGCACCACCGCGCCCCGCAGGACATCCAGGAGCAGCGCGGCGAGGGCTGCCACGTTTTCGGCACGCTGCGCGTCAACAAGGTCGCGGGGAACATCCACATCGCGCCCGGCCGCTCCTACCAGGCCGGCCCGCTGCACGTCCACGACCTCTCGCCCTTCGGCAACGACCCCACCTTCGACCTCTCGCACACCTTCCACAAGCTCTCCTTCGGCGCCGACTACCCCGGCAAGCCCCCGGACCCCCTCGACGGCCTCACGAAGGACAGCCGCAAGAAGGGGAGCATGCCCGAAGAGCTCGGCATGCACCAGTACTTCCTCAAGGTCGTGCCGACGGTGTACAAGGGCGCGAGCGGCAAGGTCGTGCGGTCGAACCAGCTGTCGATCACCGAGCATTTCAAGCCCTCGGTGCAGGAGGGTTTGGACGCGCGGACACTCCCGGGGATCTTTATGTTCTACGACCTCTCGCCGATCAAGGTCGAGGTCGTGGAGGAGCGCGCGTCGTTCCTGCACTTCCTCACCAACGTGTGCGCGATCGTCGGGGGGGTGTTCACCGTGGCGGGGATCCTAGAGGCGACGGTGTACCACGCAGCGCGGATCCGGAAAAAGATCGAGCTGGGGAAATTCAGCTGATGTAGGGGGCTGGGCGCCCCCGCAGCGCAGGCCTCGCGGGGCCGCCTGGCGTTTGCGCGAACGCAGTGTGAAGTGTGCAGTAGGGCGGGGGTCGGGGCGCGGTCAGGACGATCGCACGCCCGCATTTCGGTTCTTGCGCCCTAATCTTCGGGCGTTGATATTGGTCGAGTGTGCTTGCATTGCGCGTATGCGGTTTCCTGCTGCAGCCGCTGCATGCGGCATGAGCAGCCGTGGTGTGCGTGACGCGGGTCGATGTTTGAACAGAAGGGGCACGCAGATACACGGACGGGTAGCTTGGCGATCCTCGGGGCTCGTCGTCGCAGCGTTCCGCCCGATCGAGGCGTTGGAAGCGTATCACAAATCAGATTTCAGTGGAGGGACTGCACTGCACTGCATGCGGTAGAAATGGCCAAAACACCCCCAAACGGCAACAGCACGCCGCGCTAACAACCCGCCTGCGCTCCGCTGACACAGCCTGCGTCTCTTCGCGTTGTGGAGAAGATCACACTGGCGTCAGCCAATTACCCCCCCCCCGCTTCCTGCTTCACTCCCCCGTCACGACGCCCGCAGGTTCCGCCACAGCCCCGTCCTCCTCCCCGCCCGCGCCCGCCTCGTACCGCTCCTCCGACGCCGCAGGCGTCTGACTCCCCCCCCCGCTCCCAGACCCCCCCGCCGTCCCGCGCGTCTTCGGACTCGCGGCCTCGCTCCCGCCGCCGCCGCCCGTCGCGGGGCTCGCGCCGCCGCTCGGCGACCCCGCGCGCCGCTTCCGCGCCCTGCCGGACCCCGCTGGCTGCGCCATGTACGTGTCGCCCGCCACCGCCAACTCGCGGCGGCGCTCGCGCGCGCGCTTCCTGTCGCGCGCGCGCCGCTCCGCCTTCTTCCTCGTCGCGGCCGCGTCGTCCCCGTCGTCGTCGTCGATCGCGCGTCCCTTGCGCATGTGATGCTGTTTGGCCAACTCCTTCTTGTGGTCCCAAAACGGCTCCGGACGATACCAGTCGTTGACCGCCAGCCAGTCCTTCTGGCTCGGGGCGCCGTCCTGCACGCGCGCGACGCAGCGGACCGGTTCAGGCACCACGCAGCAGCGGCACGCATGAAAAAACCCACGCGGGCATGTTGCACGCACTGCGCGAGGCATGTTCGTTGCTGCGGGCGCTCACGTAGTGGCTGGCGTGCTTCTTCGGCCCCGCGGGCTTCGGCGTCTCGGCCGCCTTGGCCGCCTCCGCCTCCGCCGCGCCGTTCGCCGCCTCCGCCCCCTCCTCCCCGTCGGCGCCCTCCTTCGCCGCCCCGGCGCCGTCCGCGTCAGCGCCGCCGCCCGCGGCCTCGTCCTCCTCGCGCTTCGCCACGGGGCGCTCGCCGCCGGGGTACGGCGGCGTCTGGAACCACTCCTGGACGACCTTCCGCGCCTCGGGGTGGATCCCGGTCAACCACACCCCAGTGAAAAACGCCACGCACTCGTGGTACGCCTTGTGCGACACGTGGTGCCTCTGAATGAGCCGCAGGTCCGGCTCCACGCACCAGTCGTCCCACTCGTCGATCGTGTGGTTGGCGGCCACGCCGCGCTCCTCCTGCAGCCTAAACTCCTCCACGATGCCGTTCGCGAACGCGCGCACGTCCTCGGTGCTCCAGCGGCGCAGGAGCTCGTGCGGGTCGCTGGTGACGCCGAGCGCGCGCGCGAGCTGCGGGCCGACCTCGGCCTCCATCGCAAAGCACGCCTCCACCGCCATGACGCACCGCGCGGCGTGCGGCGGCACAGCGTCCGCCGGGACCCCCCCCGGGACCTTCGAGGGGCCGGACGGCATGGCCCCGAGCGGCTGCATCAGCCACCGCTGCTCCTGCTCGATCTCGCCGCGCATCTCGTCGACCGTGGGCAGCGAGTCCATTTGCAGCTTGCCCATGGCGACGGCCATATGCGGCGGCAGCGGCGCAGGCACCACCGGCCGGGCCTCCGGCTGCGGCGGCAGCGAGTCCCGCTGCTGCACCTTGCGCGGCCGCCCGCGCCGCGGCCGCTCCTCCTCCTCCTCGGACGACGACGCCGACGGCGTGAGCGGCTCCGGCGGGGGCGGCGGCGGCGGCTTCGGCTTGGTCTTGCGCTGCTTCACGGCGCTCGGGCGCTGGTCCTGCGCGTACTGCGGCGCCGCGTACACCGCCGCGAGCTGCGCGTTGGCGGCGGCGAGGACGTTGGGGGCTTTCCCGGCGAGGCGATCGTTGGCCTGTGTGGCGGCGCCGCGCCGCGGGCGACGGCCCGCGCTCTGGGGCGTGCTGTCCGTCTTTCCGGCGTCGAGGCGCGCGCGCGCCGCGACGATCGCCGCCACGCCGTCGGCCGCGCGGATGCCCAGCATGCGCAGCTCCTGCTTCGTCGGCATTCTGAACCCGGGGGGGAACTCCGGCTCCCTGTCAGACTCGTCCCCAGACTCCCCCTCCGACCCCTCCTCGCCGCCCGCGGCCTTGTCCTCCTGCCCCGCGCCCCCGGCGCCCGCTGCGGCGCGGTCCTCCGTCGTCGGAGTGCGCGCGGCGTCGCTGGCCGGCTTCTTCTGCCCGCCGCTGTCGTGCTCCACGCCCGCGCCCTCCGCCGCGATGCCCTCGCTCATCCCCGCGCTGTCCGCGACGCGCGCGAACGCGCGCGCCGCCGCACGTCCCGCGTCGACGTCGCCGTCGGCGGCCGCCGCCACCGCGGCCGGCGGCGCGTCGGTATGTCCGCGTCCTCGTCCGCCGCGCCCGCGGCGCCCGTCCGCCGCCTTCGACGCGGAGCCCCCCGCGCGGTGCCCGTGGGCGGCCGCTGCCGACGCGTCGCACTCGTGCGTGGCTCCGACGCTGCGGAGGATCTCGTCCATCGAGAGCCCGCGGGCCGGCGAGGACTGCGAGGGCCCGACGGTGAGCGGCAGCGCGGCGGGCGGCGTCGCCGGCAGCGGCACTTGTATCACGGGGCGGTCGCCACCGAATTGCTTCGACATCTGCGTCGCGACGGACGGCTTCGGGCGCCACTCCGGGAACCACGTCGCCTGGTGCTTGACCCCGACCTGCGCCGCGGGGCGGAAACGCGGCGGCGCCGTCGCGGTGCGGGCAAAGTAGTTGCGCAGCCGTTGCGGGCGCGCACGGGCGCGCGCGGCGTTCCAACGCTCCTGGCGGCGGCGCCGCGGCCGCGCGAGGCCACGGCAGAGGCGCCGCAGTGGGCGGCGCACCTTGGGCCGGTCCAGGCGCTGGATCCAGGCCGCGGCATTCCCCATCTCGTCCACATTGATGACTTGGACGTTCTGCGCGGCGCGGCCCGTCCTGCGAACGCCTTGCCTGCGGTCGGGAGGGCGCGGGGCGCGTCCGGGGGCGCGCGGCGGCGCAGCGCGGCGGCGCGAGGGGCGTGTGTGCGGCCACGCAAGCTGTTACGAGCCCGGGCGGGCGCGCGGGGCCGCGTGCGGCACGGCAACGCGGCGCGGCGGGACCCCCGCAGCGTGAGCGAGGCCTGGGGCGGCGGTGCGGATCGCGGCGGCGCGCGGCGGGGCCGTGCCGGCGGGATGCGCCACGGTGGGGCTTCTTGCGTCGTGGCGGGGCGCAAACCTGGTCAGAATCATCGCCCCGATGGCCTTGCAGAGGTTGAGCGCCGGTTCGGCCTCCACGGGCATCATGTTCTGCCCCCTCCCCGTCGCGCCAGTCGAGTCGGCAATTCCCTTTCCCCGGCCCCGCAGCACCTTGATTGGCGCGCGGTGCTTCCCGAGCCGCGCGCGCTTGCCCTGCGGCAGGTGCAGCCGCTGCTCCATCTCTGCGAACGCGTTGCCCGGCGCAGAGCCGCGGTCAGCGCCCTGACGTGGCACTCGCGCGGCTGCTCTGACCACGGCGCAGGAGAGAGAGCTGCTACGTGCAGCGCGGGCGGGCCCGGGCGGCGACGATCGCGCCTGAGGGCGCGCGAGCGGCATGGCTGCGCGATTTCCATATCGCGGCGCGCGGATGCGGCCCGCGGGCGGCGCGGCGCGGCAGGTGGTGGTGCTTGCCGGCCAGGGTCACGCGACGCGGCGCCACAGCCGTAGCGCGGCGAACGCGGCACGGGCGGCTCGCGCACGCCCTCGCTCGCGGCACGGTGCGCGAAATGCGCGGCAATCTGGGCCGCGGCGCCGCTCGTGCGCCCGTCAACGCGCGAGAGAAGAAGGGGATGCCTACATCGCCTCGCGCGCGCTCCCGCGGCGCCGCGGGGCGGCTGCGGCGCCGGCGTACCTTGTTTCGAGCAGATCAGCGCGATGGGGTTCTCGCCCGCGGTGCGCGCGCACACCAGCGCGGTCCGCAGGCTCAGGGGGGCGGTGGACAGCGTCATCTTCGGGGGGGTCTGTTCGCCCGCCGCGGCGGCCGCGCCCGCGGACCCGGCCGCCGGGGTCGCCGGCCGTGGCGCGGGCGTCGTCTCGGACATCTCTCCGGCGTCGGCGGCCACGCAGTGTGCGGTGTTGCAACAGGTGCTGCTTCGTGCGCGAACGACGCAGACGCGAGGGTGCGTTGGCGGGCTGTGCGCGAAGGACGGGTCAGGAGTGGTGTCGCCTGCCCCGCGCGACTGCTCGCGGCCGGCGGGCGCGCGCGGCAACGGCCTGAGAGGCTGCAGGGGGGTTGGATGGGGTGGACTGGGGGTGTGGGCTCGCTGTGACAGACTGGGGCCTCCGGGCGCCGCGTTGCCGGGCTGCGCGTTGCGGGCGCTGCAGAGGCGGCGCCGGCGCGGCCCGGTGCGTAGCGGGCGCGGGATGGCGGGCGAGGCAAGGGTGGCGGCAGCGGAGGTGGCGGGGGAGGGGTGGAGGATGCCAGCGGAGGTGAGGTGGACGCTGGTGGAGGAGGAGACGCAGATGGAGGAGGTGGCGGCCGCGCTGAGCGACGCGCTGTTCGTGGGGATCGACTGCGAGTGGAAACCTGGAACTAAAGTACCAAAGGCCTTATTGCTGCAACTTGCTGTCAGGTGAGCACGGAACCCACATATAGCGGCGCTCAGACCGGCTAGCAGCGCTAATAATTCCTTTCCGATGCATTTCAGGCTACGTTCGGCCCTGTCCGGCCCGCAACGGCCCCACGGAGTGCTGCGGAGCTGCCCCGTTCGCGCGGACACCCTGCGCCGCCACGCGGCTTTCCCGCGCGGGGCCTCCTCCGCGTCGCACACTTGACTCGTTCGCCTCCTCCTCCGACGCCGCACGCGCGTCCGCGCCGGACTCTCCGCGCAGTTCGCACTCACACACACACACACGCCATTGCGACGCCTGTGCAGGCGCGCGGAGGGCCCGGACCACGTCTTCCTCCTCGACCTCAAGCGCCTCCCGGAGGGCGCGGCGCGGCCCACCGTCCAGGCCATGCTCCGCAACGACCGTTGCGTGAAGGTCGGGTACAGCATCGTGGGCGACCTCAAGGCGATCGCCGTAGCGTTCGGCGGCGAGGGCGCCGGGTGCGTGCGCGCCACGGTGCCGTACCTCGAGATCGGCGCGGTCAGCAAGCACCTCCGGAAGCACGTGGCGGACCTGCGCGGCTGCGTCAAGCACAGTGGACTGTCAGGTGTGTGTTTTTTTACCCCCCCCGTCCCGCCGCGCCATCGCAGCTCCCGGCGACTGACCACGCGCAGCGCGCTGCCTCGGGGCACGTCTCCTCGCGCAGCCACACCAGAACGATGCGAAGACACGATAGATAAAGACTCATAGACATTAGACATCAGATTAGTTATTTCTGGATCAACCGGCCGTCCTGTATCCGTGCGGCGCCGCAGGGCTCGTGGCCGCGCACCTCGGCGCGCCGCTGGACAAGGGGCAGCAGTGCAGCCAGTGGCACGTGCGGCCACTGACTCCCGAACAGATCGCGTATGCCGCTGCTGACGCACACGTGCTGCTGGCGTTGACGGACGCGCTCGTCGCGGCGTGCGGGGGCGCCCCGCTGCGGCACCCGATGTTTCCTGCGCGCGGCGCGGCGAGCGGCAGCGACAGCGACGGGTCGGGGGGCGCGGAGGCGTGGTGGGTGGGGCTGCGGGCGCGGTGTCGGGCGCGGGGGGGGGAATCGGCGGGGGGGAGTCGGCGGGCGGTGGCGGAGGACGTGGCGCTGGCGTGGGGCATCCGGCTGCAGATGAGCGGGGGGAAGAAGATCGATTTCGATGGTTCGGATCGGCTGCCGAAGGGAAAGCGGCGCGGCGCGCGCGCAGGCGGAACGGACGTGTTGCACGAGGTGCGCGGCGGGGGCGGCAACGGCGCCGAGGAGGACTTTTCGGAACTGCCCAGGTGCGCCGCCCGCGCTCGCACGCCAGGGCGGTCCCGCGGGCGCAGGATGTTACAATTTGCAAAACACCCCCGTCCCGTCATGGGGGGTCTCTGATGGCTTGCCTGCCGGCGCGGCTACTACGTCCCGGCCCACCCTGCGCGATGCGCGCGGAGAGCGCGACGATTCATCTCCACGGTCGGCCGATTCCCGACGTTTGATCTTCTGCTTTCGTTCCTTGGCTGCTCCGCAGCGCCGTGCCGTGGGAGGACCCCCGCGACGCCAAGTTCCTGTGCGACACGATGCTCGAGGGCCTCGCGCGCCAGCTGCGCCTCTTCGGCTTCGACGCCGCCTCCCCGCCGGCCGCCGCGACCCCCCCCGGGCCCTCGGACAAGTCCCCCAAGGCCCGCACCATGGAGGGGCGATTCCTGGCGTACCGCGCCATGGTCGAGGCGGCGCACGACGAGCGGCGGCTCATCCTCACGCAGGACCGCACGTTCCTGCGCACGCGGTACACCGGCCAGGCCATGATCGTCGGCAACGGCCTGACGAAGCAACAGCAACTGCAGGAGGTCGTGGAGCGGCTGGGGCTGCAGGTGAGCGAGCGGCGGCTGATGAGCCGGTGCTTCAAGTGCAACGGGGAGTTCGACGACACGCCGGTCGGGCCGGAGAACCTCCCGCGCGGACACGGGCTGCCGGCGGAGGTGCTCGCGGAGGTGCGCGCGTGATGCTGTGTGCTGACAGGGGGAGGGGGGGAGTGCTGCTTTGTTGATGCGGGCTGCAGAGCGCGTGCGCGAGGGCTGCGCGGCGACGGCGTCGCTGTCTGGTTGGTTGCGTTCGGAGGCGCGGTCTGCGTGTTTGCGCGCGTAGGGTTCACAGAGACTTCCTGGCTCGATTCATGCGTACGTTGATTGCGCGAACGATAGAAATACACTTTCTCTTTCTCATCCGTCCGGCAGCGAGTCTGTGCGATGTGGGCCTGTCAAGAAGACCCCCCCCCTGACTCATGTGTCCATGAGTTGCAGAAGAGGGAGTTCTGGGTGTGTCGGGGGTGTAAGCAGGTCTACTGGGAGGGCGGCGTGTTCGACAAGGCCCTCGAGGGCCTCGCGGGGCGGTTCGAGGACCTCAGGGTGACGGGCGAGAGGCGCAAGACCCAACAGCGGCCACCCTGCGTCGCGCCCCCGCCAACGGCGGAGAGCGAACGCGAACTGGCCCCCGCGTGAACGTCCCTCGGAATGGACGACGGACTCTGAGCCGGTTCTCAGAAGCGGGAAAACAACGCTCGCGGTAGGACCGAGAAGCCTCACAGCCGTGGGTTGTGGTGGCATGATTATGGAGGTTTTAGGGTGACCTCTCATCGGTAGCAGAGAGCCAAACGCATCGCAGCCGCTGTGAGGTGCACCGGCAAGCGAACGAACGCGCCCACTAGCAGTCGCATCGGCGAGTCAGGCGGAGCACCCTGCACGTGAGGCTTCAAAGTCGCTGCGCAGACGTTGACGGTGCTGCCGCCGTGGTGCCAGGACGCTGGCGGCCCGTGAAGACCCGCACGCAGCTCGGCGCGCTCCGCGCGTTCCCGATCACACCGCGAACCGTCCTCGTCCGCGCCCCGCCTCGCGCTGAGGCGGCACTGCGGTCGCGACGACGCATCATGCGTGCGAAGCAACGAACCGCAGCCGGCGGCTCACTTGGACTCGACGTGCGTCTTGAAGCGGTCCAGGAGGTCCGTGAGCTTGTCGTTCACGTCGCCCCAGATCGGAATCGTGCCGATAAAGCTTTTCAGAAACTTTGGAATCGACCACTTGAGCTTGAGCTCGGCCACCGTGCCCGCGCCGTCCGGCTTGAACTCGACGGACCCGGTGAGCGGCGCGCCCTCCAGCGACGCGAACTCGAAGCCGGCGCGGCCGTCCGGGAGCGGCGCGCGCTTGATTGTCGAGATGAGCTGCAGCGGCGGAGTCTTGGCCCACCTGCGGGTTTCACGGCGAATGGCGGACCGTGGGCGAGGGTTCATGCATTTGTCGAACTTGAAACGCGAAGAAAACGGCGCGAGAGCCGTTGTAGCGGTCTGTGAGCGCCGACAAAGACTTGGCAGTTGTTCCGAACCCGCCCCGTGGGCCTGCAGCGCTAGCTGCGCGGAGGCAGTCGGGCCGGGAGGCGCGAGCTCGCCCATGCGCGGCGTGCCGGCTTGCCTGTAGTAGAAGAGGTAGTCCGTGACGTCCGTGTCGCCCTCGTACGTGTAGTGCTCATCTAGGAACGGCAGGAAAGGGATGAATTCCCGGGCTTCCCAGGCCGCCAGGCACGCGTCCGGGCTCGCGCTGATGTTCACGGAGACCTCGTTGTCCATCTCGTCGCCGAACTCGATGAACTGGAACGGGGTATACCCCGGCAAACTATCCTCAACCTGTCCCCGCGCGACCACAGTCCTCTTACGCGCGTCCACCCGCGTCCTGAGGGCCGCAGCATGCCTAGAAGCGGCCGGCGCTCGCCCGCGCGGGGTGAGTGGGCTCGCGCGGTCCGCGCGCGCTGCTTGCGGCCGCCGGGTCGCAGCTGGCGCGCTCCGCGGCGCCGACACCCCCGACGCGCAGCATTGCGCGCCGCCGGACATCACTATCTGGTGTGCGTCCGTTCCCTTCGCCCGCGCAGGTCACGCGACGCTGCGCGCTCCGCAGCTGCGAAAGTGTGCTCTGGCAACTCTCTCCGCCGCCCCCGCTCTCCTAACGCGTGAAGATGCTCTGGAGTAGGCCGAAAGGAACGACACGGTCACGAACATGCCGTTCACGCGCGCAGAGCGGCCCGTTCAGGTCCACCGGCCGCTCAGAGCTGTCAGACGCACATTTCTACTCCTCTTGCTGTGTTGTTGCCCGCGGCACCGCTACGTGAGCCGGGCGGAGCGCGCCACGCGGCCAGACTCGTCGCCGGGCACACCGTGCTCGGACCGCAGGCCGCGTGACCGCCTGCACCTGCGCGTCATTGGCCACCCATCCATCCAACTTGGCTCTTCCGCCCCGTCGTGCCCGCGACGCAGCTGCTCGCCGGGCGCCGGACCTCCGCGGCCCCTGCTGTGATCACGCCGCAGCGTCTCGACGCGGTTTCGGCCAGCGATGGCACCGGGAGCGTCGATGTTGGCCCCAGCAGGCCCGAGCGCCGCGCCGGCGTTCCTGAAGGGCTCCATCATCAAGGTGGAGCTCCGTGACTTCATGGTGAGATTCCTCACCGTTCCCCGCCGCTCGCTGCAATAAACCGCGCTCGCAACCCGCGGAAATTTCGTCTTTCTGCAACAGCTCTCCTCTGTGCCGAACGGCCGCCCCGCGGCGCGCCGGGCGCCCGCCGCCGCCCACGCGCCACATCCCCGGCACGCTCGTGCTCGCACCGGCCCACACACGCCCCCACGCGGCTCCTTCTGCGCGCGAGCCGGCGCTAAAGCGCCTTGGCGCCAAGCACGCTCACGCTGCCGAAACCGCGCCCGCGCCCTTCGCCCGCACCCGCCGCCCCGGCCGCCGTCTCCGCGCGCAAGCGGCGCTCCCCGCCGTTCCCGGCCCACACCGTGCAGCTCGCGTCCGCGCGCCGCTCGCGCTCCCCCGGCGCGCCCACCCCCGCTCATGCTTTGCACGCTGCCTCCCAGCGTCGCCCCCCCCGACGCACCGGTCCCCGCAACGCGCCCTCCGCGGCCCCCGGAGCACGCCCACTCCCTAACGAGCCCAGCCGCGGCCAGCCACGTCCGCGTTCGCCTCTGGCGCGCCCGGCGCGCCTCCCGCTCTCCCTGCTTTGAACCTCCCCGCCCTCCGCCGGCACCGCAGACGTTCCGCGGCCCCGTCACGTTCCGCTGCAACCCGCGCCTGAACCTCATCGTCGGCCCGAACGGCACCGGGAAGTCGTCGCTCGTCTGTGCGATCTGCGTCGGCCTCGGGGGCTCCCCCAAGCTCCTCAACCGCGCCGACAACGTCTCGGAATTCATCCGCCGCGGCGCGAAAACCGCCATCGTGCGCATCACGCTCCAGGTGCGTCCCCTCCGCGCCGCCGCCGCCTCGCACTTCGCGCGGCGCGCGCCCGTTGGCTCACACACTTGCGCGCACACTCGCCCGCGCTCCGCAGGGCGACCGGGGCAGGACCGTCGAGGTCGAGCGCGAGCTCCTGTCGGGGAACTCCTCGAAGTGGCGCATCGACCGCAAGAACGCCACCATGAAGGCCGTGCACGACCTTTGCGCCGACCACGGCATCCAGCTCGACAACCTGTGCCAGTTCCTGCCCCAGGACAAGGTCGCCGCGTTCAGCAACCTCACGCCGCGGGAGCTCCTGCTCCAGACCGAGCGCGCGCTGGGGGACTCCCACCTGTACGATTTGCACCAGAAGCTCATTACGCTGCGCAAGGAGGAGCAGCAGGTGTCGGGGCAGCTGGTGCTGTACGGGAAGCGGCTGGCGGAGAAGGAGCAGCAGCTCGAGGCGCTCGAGCGCGCGCGGGAGCTCGTGGAGCAGCGCGAGCGGCTGCGCGCCGAGGCTGCGCTGCTGGACAGCCGCGTGCGGTGGGTGCAGTACGAGGCCGCGCACGGGGAGCTGGCGCAGGACGAAGGTGCGGGCGGGCGCGCGCGCGTGCGCGCGTGGCTGCGCGGAGTGCGCGGTTCGGTGACGGACGGCGCTTGCACCGTCATGATGACATGACATGCGCGCGCGTGCGACGCAGTTGCGTGCGCTCGTTGTTGTCTTGGATCTGTTCGTGCGCGCGCGCACGTTCCTTCGCATCCACGCATGCGTGTGCGTCGCGCTGCTCGTGTATATGTATCTACGCCCGCTATGTACATATGTTTTTGTGTATGTCACAATGTGTCCTGTTTTGTTCGCTCGTTGCGCGCGCAGCGGCGTTCGCGGAGGTCAAGGCGAGCCTCGACGCGAAGAAGAAGCAGGTCCGGGACATGCAGAAGGAGAAGGGCGTCGCGGCCGCCGAGAAGGAGAGCAAGGCGGTCGAGGCCCAGATCCGCGCCCTGCGCGAGCCCTCCGCCGCCGGGTCCGCCGCGCGGAAGATCGAGGCGGCCGCGGACAAGATCGGCACCGCCGCGGAGGACTTCCGCAGCGCGCGCATGGAGCTCGCGGCGCTCGAGGACGAGTCTGCGCGCCACCGCGAGAAGCTCGAGCACGCGCAGAGGGAGATCGCCGCGCTGGAGCGCGAGATCGCGGACCTCGAGACGAAGCGCCCCGAGGGCCCGTCCGAGGAGGAGGCGCGCCGCCTCGGGCAGCGGAAGCGCGACCTCACGACGAAGGACCAGTCGGTGCGATGGGACATGAAGGGCGCGACGCGCGCGGAGCACGAGGCGCGCCGGGCCGCGGACCGCGCCGCGAAGGAGCTCGCGGCGTTCGCGGACCCGCGCACGCAGCGCGTGCACCTGCTCGCGAAGCAGATCGGGAACCCGCGCGCGCGGGCGCAGCTGTTCGAGGCTTACGCGTGGGTGCGCGAGGGCGTCGAGGCGGGGCGGTTCAAGGGGCGGGTGTACGGGCCGGTGTTCGCGCACGTGTCGATGCGGCCGGACCGGCACGTGGAGACGTACGCGCACGTCGTGAGCAGCCAGGTGGCGCGCGACACGTGGAACTACTTTGTGGTGGAGTGCGACGAGGACAGGCGGGCGCTGCTGCACGAGATGCCGCGGGAGTGCAACTGGGGGTCGCGCGACAAGGTGAACATCGGGCTCGTGCACCCGAAGGACCAGGAGGTGCGGCCGCTGCTGTCGGAGGAGGAGCAGCGCAGGCTCAAGGTGCCGCGGGTGCTGAGCGACGCGTTCGACGCGCCGCCCGCGGTCAAGGCGCTGCTGTGCAACTTCCACATGCTCCACAAGATCTACGTCTTCCCGGAGGTCGACGACCTGTCGGCGGACCACCGCAACGTAAGTGATTCATTCATCATATTATATTCATGTATATATCCGCGGGTGATTCGCGCTCGTTCGTGCGGCTGTTCGCCTCGGCGTGTGCTCGCGCGCCGCGACGACGCCGGCGACGCGCCGTGCGCACGTCGGCAAGAGGCGTCGTCCTCCCGCGCGGCGCCTGACGCCCTTTCCAGACTTGATTGGCGCGGAACAGCGCAACCACGCGTTCCGAGAGCTGGCGCGCTCCGTTCGGGCGCGCGACCGGTTCGTTCGCGCCCGCCCCCCGTGCGCGCAGGCGGTGTGGCAGGCCGAGAAGCAGCACTCGAACCACGGCGGCATGGGCTTCCTCTACACGCGGTCCCTCAAGTTCAGCGCGACGTCGTCGCGGTACGACGGGGCGGTCACGCAGCAGTCCGGATCGTACGAGAAGCGCGGGCACATGCTGCTGCAGGTCGAGAACGGCGCCGGCGGCGACCGCCGCGAGCTCGAGACGCGCGCCAGGGCAACCGCGGCGGAGCACCAGGCCGCACAGGCGGCGCTGGCGGCGCTCGAGGGCGAGTGCGACGCGATCGCGGAGGAGCTCGGGCAGCTGCGGGAGCAGGAGGGGGAGTCGCGGAACAAGCTGAACGCGTGGACGCTGGCGCGGAAGAAGAAGGTGTCGATGCTGGACACGGCCCGGAAGACGCTGGCGCGGCACCGGGGGACGAAGGACCCGCTGGAGCGGCGCGCGGAGATCGAGAAGAAGATCGAGCGCGCGGAGCGGTACCTCGCGAACACAGGTGCGTGGGTCGCGGGGCTGCATAACCCCCCCGCGTACGTGCACACACGTGCGGGCGATGCGTGCGTCTGCGCGGCCGGGCTCTCGTTCGCCCTGACGGAGGGCGACTTCGTCACGTCGCTCCAGCTCCGCGCCGCGGGACGGATGCGCGCATATGTATATGTATGCATGGGGCTTCGTGTCCTGTGTGCGGTTCTGTACGACGCGCTGCAGCCCACAGCGCACGCCGCGTGTCCCTGGTGCGCAGTCAAGGAGTCGCGCAAGGCCATCGACGGGTGCACGGAGGCCCCGCAGCGCCTCACGCTGCTCCACGTGAAGCGCGTGCTGCTGCGCACGCGCATGCAGCGGCTGACGGAGGAGCGCCGGGCGCTCGAGGCGGAGATCCGGAGCTACGAGGAGACGCTCAGGGGCATCGAGGGCGACCTGAAGCGCAAGCGGGAGAGCGTGGCTGCGGTGAAGGCGTCGGCAGTGCAGAGCTGTGGCGGCGTGGACGTGACGGGTGCGCGCCCGGGCGGCGGTGTCGCTGTCGGCGGCTCGGAGCGCGCGCTGCGACAGACGATCGACGGCATGCGGTGTTTGTTCGCGTGCGCCTCTCGCCGCGCGTGTACGTATTACATATAAACATCACACCCCTGCGCGGAAGCACAAACAAACGATAGATCTCGATATCTCGACATCCGATGTGTTGGTTGGTCGCGAACAGCTCAGATTGGCGCCGCCCGCGAGCACACGGCTGACACGATCCGTGGCCACGGCTCCCAACGCCCCCCCGGCTTTCCTACGTGCCCGCAGCCGACACCCCGGCGGCCCGCGAGCTCCGCGAGAAGCTCGAGGCGCTCGGCTCCGACGAGGACCAGCTCGAGACGCGCGCCGAGGAGCTCCGCGTGCAGGCCGCCCGCATCATCGCCGAGCACGGCGCCGAGGAGCAGCTGCGCCGCGCGGAGGCCGCCGCCGCCTCCCTGCGCCAGGACATCGACGAGAAGACGGCCAAGCGCGACACCCTCCGCGCCGACATCGCCGCCACGCGCGACCAGTGGCTCCCGCCCCTGCGCGAGAAGATTGCCCGCATCAGCGAGAAGATGTCGGAGTCGTTCTCGCGCATCGCCATCGCGGGCGAGGTCGCGCTCATCGAGCGCACGGTCCCGGACAACGCGGACGCGGCGCAGGAGGTCGAGTCCTTCGAGGACTTCGCCGTGGAGATCCGCGTGAGGTTCCGGGAGAACCAGGACCTGCAGGCGCTGCGCACGGGGCGGCAGAGCGGCGGGGAGCACTCGGTGTCGACGATCGCGTACCTCACGTCGCTGCAGGGCGTCACGTTCACGCCGTTCCGCGTCGTGGACGAGATCAACCAGGGCATGGACCCCGTGAACGAGCGCAAGGTGTACCACCAGTTGGTGGAGGCGGCGTCGCGGGAGGGCACGCCGCAGTGCTTCCTGCTCACGCCGAAGCTGCTCCCGGGGCTGCCGTACAACGAGCACGTCGAGGTGCACACGATCCACAACGGCCCGAAGGTGGCGGAGGTGTGGCGGACGTGGGACCTGGGGCGCGCGATGGGGCGGAAGAGGACGGCGGCGGAGGCCGGGCTGGGCGACGAGGACATCGTCGTGGAGTGAAGCGCGCGTGGCGGGAGGGTCCGCGTGGGTGCGGCGGCTGCTGCGGATGTGAAACGGAGGTGTGCGTGTGCGGGTGCCGTGCTGCGTGTCGGTGCGTTTGAGACACGGCCGCCTTGCCTCCCAACGCGTGGCTAGGAACAAGCAGCGAAGCCCGACTCGAGACGCTCATGTCGTACGGCGCTCCGCGCCGCGTCTCGCAATTGTCCAACGCCGTGCGGCGCCGCAACAGAAACAAGCGACCGAAGACCGGAGACACAGCACGGCGGCCTCGCTCCCGCATGTACGCGCAGCGCGGCACGTTCGCGGCGCCCCCTGTCTTACAGATCGGCGCTGTGCAGTCCTGCGGCTTGCAAGCATCATGGCGGAAGCCTGCGGCGCTCGCGCGACGTCCGTGGCGGCCGCGCCGCTGCCGGCCCGGCCGTGGCGGCCGTCGCGACGCCGCCCTCCTATGTGCCCCCGCCGGCGCCGGCGCCAGCGGGGGCGGCGTCTTCATTGTCGTCGCCGTCTGGTGCCGTGGGGTCGCGCAGCAGGTCTTCGAGCGCCACGGCGGGGCCCTCGTCCTCGAACCAGTACTGCGGGTCGTTGTCCTCGACGTGCAACCGCTTCAGGCCGCGCCCCGGCGACTCCAGACCCTGCATTGCAAGAACCAGGAGCGACCACGGCGTCAGCACTCGCGAAAACAAGTCTCCCGCCCGCCAAACACAGATAAATGAATAAAAGAGAACAATACGGATAGGTCGTTCCGCCGATGAATCGCGACGACCGGGTCGTCCTCATCCTCCTTGCAGGGTGTGCGCAGAAGCCACGTACGACGCAAACGCCACTGCACGCTGCAAGCCGGGGAACACGCATCGTTCGGGCGCGCAGCCACGCACCGGCACCGGCGACCACCCCGCTGGCGTCCGCCCGACCCCCTGCGGCCCTCTCCGCAGCGGCGACGCCTCCGGCACTCCCCCCACCCCCTCCGCGGCCCCGCGCGCGCTCGCCGCGTCCGTCGCCGCCCCGGACGGCCCCGCCACGGACGGCGCCGCCCCGGACGGCCCCGCCCCCTCCTCCCCCTCGTCCCCGCGCGCGATCGCGAACACCTCCAGCGGCCCCTTGCCGTTGGAATTCAGCCGCAGCCAGTATCCACTGTGCTGGGCGGCCGACTCCTCCCCGCCGGCCGCCGGGTCCGCGAACTCCGCGGAGGTGCCCTGGGGGAACTTGACCGCGAAGACGAGCTCGTTCCGCAGCCGCTCGACAGATAGGAAGTCCTGGTTCGTGAGCCATATCAAATCCTGGTTCTTGCTGAGGAAGTCCGATGTGCGGTCCTTGACCTCCGCGATGGCCATGTCGAGCGCGCCCTCCGCGCGCTGGAGCGACTCGAGCGTCTGCGTGAGCTCCTCGTCGCCCGCGCCGGCCGCCGCGGTCGCCGGGAGCGGGTGCGCGGGGTTGTATCCCTGCACAGGCAGTCGAGAATCCATATCTCGCGGTGAACACAAACACCCCCGATCCCTCGCGCAGCCCCGCGCACGCAGGGCGCAACGCGAGCGGGCGCGGCGGCGCGCGGCGTCAAATATGCTGCACCGGCGCGGCGACAGACCTTGAACTGTATGTTGTTTTTCGACACCTTCTCTATCAGCCCGATGCCCTCCAGCACGTTGGTGATGTCGTAGATGCGCCGCTTCTGCACCCCGAGCGCCTCCGCGGCCTTGTTCAGCTCCAGCACCCCGTCGTCCGTCGCGTTCACCAGATCTAGGAACTTCTTAGTTAGTTGTCCCAGACTGTTGTCTATGCGCCCGTTCCCGCCCGTCGCCGCGCCGCGGCCCGCCGCGCCGTCGTCGTCGCCGTCGCCCGGGCCCCCGACGGACCGCAGGCCGCGTTTGCGCGTCGTGCGGCCCACGGGCGCCGCTGCGCCGCTGCCTCCTGCTGTGGGCGGTGACGGGCCCGGGTCCTGCGAGGGGCGCGCGTCGCTCGGGCGCCCGGCTGATCGGAGGGATATGTCGCTCTTCGGAACGCTCATTCGCGTCGGCCCGGGGGTCTGGGACGCCTGCGGGGGGCAGGACAACGGTGAGCCGTGCAGTGAGCGGCGCGTGGGGGCGTGCTGCGGGGCCGCGTGGCGGCGTGGGGCGGCGCGGGGGGGAGCGTGGGGGAGGGGGGAGAGTGCGCGGGGGAATGCTGCCGCGCAGGGGCCCCCGGGGGCGCGCGACGCCGGGTGTGGGTGGGTGTGGTGCGTTGAGAGGGGCAGAATGGCACGGGACGGACCTGGGCGGACGGGCCGTCGTGGGAGAAGGCGTAGACGTCGCCCTGGGACGACCCGATCATCTGCGTTGTGCCGAACACCTGCGGGAAAGGGGATGCGGGGGGGCCTACAGGCGTTCGGCACTGGAGGTGACAGCTGCGCAGCGGCTGCGCGCGAAAGGCAGCTCGCGGCGGCTTTGCGATCAGGGAATCATCCGCGGTTGCCTCCCGGCACAGGACCGGGGCGAGAGTCGCCGTCGACGTGTAACGGCCGCCCGAGCACCACGGTCGCGGCCCGGGCAGGCCGCCAGGGCGCCCGCGGCACCGAGCCGCGCCGTTTCCGCACATAAACAACTTCCCTCACGCGATCGGTGGACGCGAGCGCGCGCGAGACCCCTCGCAGCGCGCGGTTCGACGGCCTGCAAACACAGCTACGCACCGTCGGCTGCCCTTTCGCCTCGTCACCGCGCCCGCTCGGGCCAGCCTCCTGCGCCCCGCGCTGCCGCGACATCGTCCCGTGCGCCAGGGGCCACGCTGGCCCCAGGCCGCCCTTCTACCCTCGAACCTGCTCCCCAACACACCGCGAGCACCTCCCTCGAGTCGTACGCGCCTGACAGGGCCGCCGAGCTCACGGAACGGAGCGGACGGACTAGCACGTGCACCGCGCGGGCTTCTGCGCGCGCCCGCGCGGGCCAGGGCCCCACCACGCCGTCGTCAGCGCCGCGCGACGCCCCCCGCGGGGCTGTGCGTGGGACGTGCGGTCCCGGCGCGTGCGCTCCTTGCCGCCGCCGGCGCCGCGGCGCGGGCAGACCGTTGGCGCGGTGGGCGGCTCCTGGACCGCTATATCTCGATTGCGAGGCCGCGAGCGCGCAGGAGGAGCTTGGGGGAGACTAGCACGTCACACGGCGGCTGTGGCGCCGGACGAGAGACTGAGACGCCGCAGCTCGATAGCCTGGAGCTAGAGCTGTGCTAGGACTGCAGCTGCTGCGAGTTTGGGGCACAGCAGTTGCGTGTGCGTCCAGCGGCGAGCTGCATTCTCTCTGCACAGCTGCGTTTAGGCTGCGTGCGGCCGGAGGGAGCTCGCGGACGGCCGGCTTGGCGGCTCGGTGCCTCGCTGGCCATTCATAGCACGCACCATGCAGTCGGACGACGTCATTTGGGGGGTGAGTGCCCCACAGCGCCGCTGCTCCTCCGCTACCGCCAGCGCACCGTCGGGCGGCGCACGCGCGGCCCCTCGAGGCGTGCGCGCGGGCGGTAGCCTCGGCAGATCCGCGCTGCGTCCGCAGCGGCACGAGCGGCTCGTTTGCGCGCTGCTGCCACCGCTGCGGTCGCTGCGTCCCACAACAGGAGTGGGCCCGTCCGAGACCGACGCGCGCGGCGCCGCTGGAGCGCAGGTGATCAACAACGGGCACTGCTCGTTCAAGACGAAGACCAAAACGCAGAACTTCTGTCGCAATGAGTACAACGTGTCGGGGCTATGCAACCGAAGGTGAGCCGCCACTCTAGCGGCGGCACGCGCCCCCGGTGCCGCACCGCGCTCTTCCGCCGCGCTTTCTGCCCGCATTCCACTCCTCATACACGCAAGACCCGGTTCCGGTAAAAAAACCTGCATGATCGCGGGGCAGAGCGACGCATTCGGCCGACCTACACCTGCGCCGTACGCTGCCGCCGCTGCCGCCCGCGGGCCCGCACTCCGGCGCGGACGCGCCGGCGCTGGCGCCGTTGCTGGGCGGTGCCCGAGGCGTCGACGCGGGGCCCGCGCTGCGCGCACCAGTCGAAGCTTAGCGTGTGCAAGCGTTGAACCCCCCCCCCTCCGCGTGCAGCTCGTGCCCGCTGGCCAACAGCCGGTACGCGACGATCCGCGAGGAGGACGGCAAGTGCTATCTGTACATGAAGACGGTGGAGCGCGCGCACACCCCCAACCGGCTCTGGCAGCGCATCAAGCTCTCCCGCAACTACGCGAAGGCCCTCGAACAGATCGACCAACACCTCGAATACTGGCCAAAAGTACGCGCCGCGCCCGTCCCCGCCACCGCGCCGAACCACCGAATTACTCCCCCCCTTCCTCGCTCGCGCACTGCGCGGCGCATCCGACCCGCTCCGCGCCGCGGCGTCCGCGCGTCCGCAGTTCCTGAAGCACAAGAACAAGCAGCGGCTGACGAAGATCGTGCAGTACCTCATCCGCGTCCGCCGCATGGCCACGAACTCGAAGACGCGCACCGTCACCGTCCCGACGCGCAAGAAACGCATCGAGGGCATCCGCGAGAAGAAGGCCGAGGCGGCCGCGAACCTCGAGGCGACGATCGAGCAGGAGCTGCTCGAGCGCCTCAAGTCGGGCACGTACGGCGACATTTACAACTTCCCCCTCCAGCAGTATAACAAGGCCTTGGACGGGGAGCAGGTGAAGGACGAGGACCGCGCGGCGCTGGAGGAGGTGCGTGGGGTCGCGTGGGGCGTGCGTGCGCTGTGCGGCGGCGGGGCGGGGGGCGCTGTGGGCAGAAAGCGCGGGTGTTTGCTGTTTTGGTGTTTGCTGCGTTGCGGGGCGGTGGAGGGGGCTGACGCGTGGTGTGGCGGGTGGCTGTGTGCAGCAAGAGGCGGCGGAGGAGGAGGCGGCGAACTTGGACGTGGACCCGTTCGTGGAGGGGTCTTCGGATGATGAGTCAGGCTCGGAGACAGACAGCGAGTCTGGGTCGGACGAGGAGGAGTACGAGGCGGAGCTCGTCGACGGGATGCAGCTAGGGCTCGACAGCGACATCGAGGACCTCTCGGACGGCGCGGGCGCCGCCAGCAGCGACGAGGAAGGGGGGAGTGAGGGGGGGAGTGAGGAGGAGGCCCCCGCGCGGAAACGGGCAGCGCCGGAGCCGCCAGCGGCGCGGCGGCCGAAGCGCGGACGCCGGCGCGTCGAGGTGGAGTACGAGGTCGAGCACGAGGGCCCTGCGCGGGCACGGAGGTGACGTGCACCACACGGGTGTGACGTAGAGGCGCAGGGGCGGTGGCTGGAGGGGCACGAGAGGACGACGCGCTCTGGGGCTGCGTTGGCGCGCCGTTGCGCGTGGAGGCGCATCCTGACGTGGTCGTGGGCGAAGACGGTTCCGTTCTGGGGGGGGGTTGTCGAGGGGGGGGTGATTCGACGCAGTGTGTGACCCATCTCAGCCGAGCGCGAAAACGACAGTCGCGGCGTCACGCGCCGGGAAAGCGCTGGTCCTCGGCGGGAGCGTTTCCGAGCTGCCCTGTCTGCAAATGCCCAACTTGGAAGAACTACCAACAAGAGGTAGATATGTGTTTTCATTATCTGTGGATTGACGCCGGTAGGACCCGCGGTGCTCTTCGATTCGAGGCGTCTCCGAAACCACTCTCTCCTCACACGTGCGTCTCCTGGCCAGCCAGTCAGGTCAGTTCACACAGTCCGCATTGCGGCTGACAGCCTCCCGCTCCACCAGTCTCCTTCTCCGCGCATCCCTCCATCATCATGTGCCTTTTCTCAGACCTTGCTCTCCAACTTCCATCCTTCTTGAGCACAGTCCGTCACTCCTTGCGCGCGTCGCTCTTCTTCGTCGTCCGCGGCGTCCCCACCGACCTCCCGCTCTGCGCCGCGTTCCCCGCCGCCCCCCCCTCGCCCCCGCCCGCCTCCACCGCCCCCAGCTGCACCCCCCCGCCACCCGGCCGCCCCCCACCGCGCGCCGCACGCAGCGCCCGCCGCGCCCGGTCCAGCATCGCCGCCTTCCACCGCGCCGACGCCGCCAAGTGAAAGTCCTTGTCGAACACGTACTCCTCAATCTTCCTCGTCCCGACCACGTCCCACAACCGAAACACAAGACGGAGAGACATCAACGTCGCCGTGGACTCCTCCGTCATCGGCCGCAGGAGCCGCTTCTGCTCCTCCGCCTCCCCCGCGACCCCCGCAGCCTGGCCCTCGAGCTCCTCCAGCTCGGAGTCGTCGTCCAGGAGCCTGTGAGCTTCGGCGGCGGCGGCGGTTGGGCTGGGAGGGGGGTGTCCTGGGCGGCGGGCGTCGTCGGGGCCGTCGGTGGTGCGCGGCGCGGGTTTGAGCGGGGACGCGGCGGCGGGGAGCGCGTCGGCGTCGCGCAGGATGGACCGGCGGGAGAATAGGACGGAGAAAATCACCGAGAATATGCACATCTCGATTATGATGGCCGTGGAGAGAAGGCGGAGCGCGGTGACCTCGGTGGAGTAGTCGTAGAACGGGTCGCTCGGAACGAACCCGAGCGAGGAGCACAGCGACAGCCCGACCTGCTGCGCCAGCGACGCGGCGACCAGCGCCTTGATGGCCAGGAACTTGCCCTCGCCGTTGAGGCCGCGCAGGTGGCTGTACATCGTCACGTACGTGTCGAAGACTGCGCGCGGGTGGGGCGCGGCGCGGGCGTCAGCGCTTGACGCTTCAGACGATGGGTTGCGAGGGGGTGTTGCGCGCACCTGTGTGCATCGCGGCGAACGTGGAGAGCACCGTGACCGTGCGCACGTGCACCGCGTGGGCGCGCCACGGCGTCAGCTCGAGGACCGCGACGGCGAGCGCCGCCAGCGGTTTGACCACGAGCCACTGCAAGAGCGCGACACGCCAGTATCGGACGTGCGACTTGGCGCTCGCGAAACGCAGGAAGCCGAAGCCGCACCCCACAGGCTTCAGGAGCGGGCAGAGCGACCACCGCGCGCCGTAGCGCCCCGCTGCGACGTCCTGGGCCATGACGGCGGTGACGCGCCGCTGCCCGCCGCACCAGAGGATCATCAGAGCCCAGAAGCAGTAGACTGCGGGCGGGCACGGACGCGGGGGCGCACGACGCGGTGAGCTTCGATGCGACTCACGAACAGATAGGAAACCCTATCTATCTGTTGCGAATATGAGTCGTGGATGGTGCGAGTGGGCCCCGGCGCCGGGCCGGCGTCGCGCACCTGCGTAGGCTTCGTATCCGTCGCGGATGACGTCGAGGAAGCCCGACGCGGGCACGGCGGCCATGCCAACCCACGCTGCGAGCGCGAACACGGGTGCCAGCGCCAGGATGCGCAGACAGCATATTTGCAGCGCGGGGTGGATGGGCGCGCGGAGGTGGTCGCGGAACGTCATCGCCGTGAGCGCGGTCGAGAGCAGCGCGAGGGACAGACAGGCCAGTAGAAATGCCGTGTCCAGTTGGCTGCGAAAACCGATGGGGTGGTCGCCCATGGTGCCGCGCGGGCGTCAGCGCGCCGGAGGCTCGCTGCTCGTGAGCTGGGAGCAAGGCTAGGCGCGCATCGTGGCGCTGGCGCGCCCGGGCGGCGCAGGTGCTGCGGCCAACGGGGCACGCGGTTTCGTCCCCGGGACGCTGGCGTGGTCGCCGCGCGGGGGGGAGAGGTGTAGGTTGGTGCTATGTGGGGCGTGGGGGCGGCGTGGTTGGGCGGCGCGCGGGGCCGTGAGGACGCGACGCGATCGGAAACAAAGATACCCGATTAAAAGCACTGAGGCGCCGTGATAAATCGATTGCTGATGGTGATGGTACGCGGATAGGCTAGCGGGTCGAGCTGAGCGCCGTCTGCGCGCGACACATCCAGGTCTGTGCTTCGCTCGCGAGCAGGGACGCCGAAACCCCTCGAAAGAGTGCGATACGCGGCACCGCGGCCACGAGACTGTGAATGTCTGTGAAGTTCCGGACGTCAAAGCACGTCCCCGTCCGTCTCCGCGGGGCGCGCGACACGTCGCGGCCAAAGGGCGCGCAGGGGCCCTCCCACGTCACCACACTCACCCCTCCGCCACACCTCGCCCCCGGACTCCCTCGACACGGTCCTCCGCGCGGGGCCCCGGCCACTTGACGGCAGACGCAACGACCTTGGCGTGCGAAGGAAGACCCGGCTCGGCGTGCGGCTCCTCGCGCACTTGCTCCCGCGCTCGCTGGGCTTGAGTTGCAACAGAGCGGCCTTTGGGGCTCGAACTGAAGCGGGCTTCCCGTGCGCACGCGCCCCCGACGGGGCCGCTGCGGACGCGCGGGGAGGATTAGGTCTTAGATATGGTGCAGGTATACAAGGAACCGCTATTAAAACGGCACTACGCGAGCCTGATTAGCAATGCGGTGGCTTTCCGGGCGCTGGGGCTCGTCGCGGTGCTCGTGCTCGCGGTCATCGCGTCGTACGCGTCGGGGGGCTTTTGGCAGAGACTCATGATGACGCACAACCAGCCCCGCGTCAAGTTCACTTACGACATGGTGGTTGTGCTGCACGATGGGACGCGGACCAGGTGCGTACAGGCCCTCCCACGCGCCGAACGTCGCCCCGCCGTACGCTCCTCCTCGCCCTCTTCCGCACGGCCGCGCACATCCTCGCCGGCACCACCGCCCCGCGCGCCCACGCGCAATCAACCACCTTCCTCTCACGAGAGCGCGCGGCCCGCCTTGACGCCACTCCCGCCCTGTCCCCGCCCCCTCCGCACCAAACTTGATCAAATTCCTCGATAGCACCTCAGTTCAGGCCATATTCGCGCGGCAACCGACCCCACGGCGCCCCCACCTCTGCCCGCACCCTCGCAGCGCGTGGACGCCGTACGCGACCATGAACGAGGCGCTCGGCTCCGCGTTCGTTCCGGCGTCCGTGGACGCCCTCGAGCGCGACATCAACAACGACGGCAAGCCCGACGTCCTCGACATCGTCTTCCGCTCGCGCGCCGCGCCCGCCGTGCAGGGCGTCACCGCGGCACTGCAGCTCGACTACTTCCTCGACGCCGGCGTCGACATCACCATGAAGTCCCTCGTCTACGTCGAGTACTTCGCGGGCCTCCCCGGCGCCGCCCTCCACGTCGACGGCGACCTAATGTTACACGCAAAGGAGCCCCTGCGCGACCGCACCGTGCGCACGGTGTACGACGAGGACATCCTCGCGGACCCGGGCAGCGGCACCGGGGCGCTGAAGCCCGGCGGCGAGATCAACCTTCCGGACCTGGTGGCGGCGTATCTGGACCGAAATGAGACGACGGCGCTGGGGAATGTGCACACGGTGTGGCAGGCGTCGGGCGGGGCGAGCGCGGCGGGGTTCGAGCTGCGGGTCAAGGTGCGCGTGCCGGAGCAGGTCGTGGTGGCGAAGACGGCGCGCGCGCAGCTGCTGAAGTGGGGGTGGGTGCAGCTGTTCCCGGTGCTGGGGGTGTTTTACGCGGTGTTTTACCTGCTGGAGGCGGAGCTGTTCCTGAAGCGGGTGTTCGCGACGCGGGTCGTGTCGGACGTGGAGCGGAAAAAGCCGTTCTAGCGAGGCGGGGGGGTGTAAAGAGTTTACACCGTGCAATGCCGCCGCCGCCGCCGCGATCGCGTCAGTACATGTCCCTTGAGCACAGAGACCCCTGCGCTTACACCCCCCTTCTGACGACCTCATCGACCAGGGAGCAGCACGGAATCGCGCACCCGTTCCATCCCACCACTGGAACTCGCATGGCAACCTCAATCGTCGGTGTAGCAGCCTCGCTAGCTCCATCAATGCAGACAGACAGCACGCCATCCTACGTCACCGCCGCGCGACGCTCACGACGTCCCCCACGGCCACGGTCCGCGTCCCCCCCGACGCCCGCACGCAGTTCCACCCCCAGAATGTCTTCCCGCTCCACGACGGCCGCCCCTCCCCGAGCGGGAGCAGCTTCCCCGCGCGCGTCCGCCGCAACGTGGGCGCGGGCTCCGTACTGCGCTCGCCCGTGGCCTGGTCCACCTGCGGCACCGTGCAGCGCGAGCACGGCTTCACGACGCGCAGCGTACACTCCCCCGGGGCGCCGCGGTGCACCGCGGGCGGGGTGCACGTGACGGTCGCCCAGTTGTCCTCGTCGTACGGCGGGCAGCCGCTGACGAGGAGGTTCGGGCGGAACCGGGCCGCGTCCATCCGCGGGGCGCCCGCCGGGAGCTGCGAGACACAACGAACGGCGCGGCGTAACAATCGCGAATCGATATTAATTATAGATCTTGAGTTGTTTGCAAGGGCTGAGACGGCGCGGGAACGACATCAGGGTAGTTCCCGCTCAGCCGGCGCACCCAGCCGCGCACACGCGCGCACCTCGCTGTTCAGCTGGGCCAGCGACGCGTCACTGGCGACCAGGACGGGAAACCCGTCGCTGAACGCGGTCACGTGGCCCGGCGCGAACTCCTCCTCGCAGGGGCGCCGCGACGCGTCGTCCAGGTGCCGCACGAGCCGCGCGGGGGCGCCGAGGGCCTGCGAGAAGAACTCCGCGGCGGCGTCACCCATGTCGAGCGCAGGGCCTGAGAACTCCCACACTGTGACGTGGCGGGTGTTGGCTGCGACGGTCGCGGGCTCGGGGAGGTCGAGGGGCACGGCGACGGGGTCCAGGCCTGCACGCGGACGTCGGGACGACCGTGGGGCTCGCAGATATAGAATGCAGTCTTGTTGCTGCATATTAGGTTCATATGTGCTCTTGGCTGGAGGTGGGGGGGGGCGGGGGGGGTGATGGACGGCGGTCGGACGTGTGGTGCGGGTGTGACTCGCGCACCTGGGAACGTGCAGGTCATTTGAGTGCCTGAGAGGGGCTCCCAGTCGGGGTCCCACGACTCCGGAGGCATTTCAACGCCGATGAGGCACATCTGAGGGTGCGTGCGCTGCAGAAGACGGCGCGGGGCGGTCGAGGCTGCGTGTCGGTGCGTCACGCGCAGCTCGGTCGTCAGCGCAAGTGAGGGCCTTGTGAGGCACCTGCGTGAAGAAACGGCCGGATTGCTCCTCCACGACGACGAACTTGCGGTCCCATAGCAGGCCGGTGTCGACTGCACCGCACCATCGGCGCCGAGTCGCGCGGTAAAGCACCGGTTTCGGGCGCAACAGAAAGCAGTGGGTGAGGCTGTGCAGCGCACCCACGGCTGTCCGTTCGACGGCGACGCCCTTGCACGACTTGATGGGATAGACGTAGAGCGCCGACACGCGCAGTTCCGACGACATCGTGCCTCCCGCGAAACGCACGCGGGCTGTTCTTCCACAACTGCCTACTTCCGCCAGCGCGTCGCAGAAGCAATCAAAAGCAGGTTCCGACCTGCTGGCACCTCGCTGCATGCAATGGACCGCCTGAGGCAATGTCTCCGGGCGCAGCGGTCGCAGGATAAGTGCAGGGGAGTGATTCGTTGTACCCGCGCAGCACCCGCGCGCAATGCTGGGCCGCTCCGAGCCGCTCTTGTCCTGCTCGCGCCGCACGCGATCACCAGCGGCATCCGCGACGCAGTCGGGTCGCCCGTGGGTTCGCGACCCCCACGCGCGATGCAGCAGGGCGGGACGCAGATGCTGGTGGTGCTGGTGGGGGTGCCGGCCAGCGGGAAGACGTGGTTCGCGCAGGACATGCTGCGCTACGACAGCGACCACTGGGCGTTGATCAGCCACGACGCGCTCGGCTCGCGGGCAGCGTGTGAGGCCCAGTGCGTGAAAGCGCTGCAGGCACGCACCCCGCCCAGGGGTGCTCCTCGCCCGCTGCCCTCGACGCTCCGTCAGACACCCCGAGACACTCACAGTCGCTTCGGGGTGCCGCCGCCTGTCGTCGCGCGCAACCGGGGACGCGGGCGGCACTTGAGGCTCCTGCTTTAGACTTGGGCGGCGAATGCGGCCGTATCCTCGCATGTTTTTGCGATTTTCGATCCCACACGTATCAATTAAGACGTATTTTGTCTTTTAACCTCCCCCTGGCGCCCTGACGCAGGCCGGGCTGCACGTGATCATCGACCACACGAACCTCGACGAGACAGAGCGCTCGCCGTGGCTGCGCGTGGGGTACAACGTGTGCGGCCACCGGCTGTATCCGCTCGGCGTGGTCTTCAACACGCCGCTCGACAGCTGCCTCGACCGCCTGCGCACGCGGCCGCACAAGACCATTGACGGTGCGTCATGCAACTTGCACTCTTTGTTTGATGACATGATATGATATGGTATGGTACAGGCACTCAAACAATGGCGGCTCTCTGCGCCGCGTCGCTGCCTGTGCCGCGGCGCCTCGCACGCGGAACAGCGCAACGGAGATCGAGGATTCCCATCTTGGAAGCCGCCGGCCGTCTCGATCGCCCCGCAGGCGGCCACCCGCAGGCCGAGGAGCTCCTCCGCGGCTACGCCACCGCGCTGCGCCCGCCGCACCACGCCGAGGGCTTCTACGAGACCTGGGCCGTCGCCGACGACCAGCACCGGTCTGCTATGCTAGGGTATCTCCTTAGGTATAACACGCCGTACGCGCCGGCCGCCCCGCCGGCCCCCGCGGCAGCTCCCGGCGCCGTGGGCCTCCCAGCGACCGCGCCGTGGGGCCAGGCGGAGGTCCCCGCCGGCGACGGCGGCCGCGGCGGGTCGGGCAGGCGGGGGCCCAAGGGCCCCCGGGGGAGTATTCCGTTCCGGAAGCCCGGGCCGGTGGAGCTGGACGAGGCGGACCGGCGCGTGATCGTGCTGTTCGACTTCAACGGGACGATCACGAGCCACACGTCGCAGCGGAATTCGACGGGCAACAACAGGCCGCGGCCAGGGGCGGAGCATCTGCTGCGCATGGTGCGGAGCGTCAAGGACGTGGCGCGGATAGGAGTGTACTCGAGCGCGTCGGACAGGACGGTGGAGACGGCGATCAGGTGCGGCGCGGGCAGCGGGTGGTGGCGTCGCGCGGCAGGAGCGTCGTTGTGCCTGCGTGCCGAGAGACTGCGTGCTGCCGTGGAGCAAAGCGGGCGTTCGCGGCAGCTGTGCGTTTGCGGGTGGCCGGCGGCCGGCGCGGAGTCTCTCAGGAACGGAGGGGACAACAGTCGAGAATTTCGCATGTTGCGTGCGTCGGTGTGCGCAGGATGCTGGAGCGTGCGGCGGGGTGCGAGCGCGGCGAGCTCTTCGACCCCGCGCTCGTCCTCACGCGCCGCTACACGCAGGCCCTGCCGCAGGAGGCCAAAGACGAGATGGGGGGGGACTTTAAGGAATGGGACACGTGGAAGCCCCTGGGGGACTATTTCCCCACGCGCCTCCACCGCGTCGTGCTCGTCGACGACGACATCCACAAGTCGCTCCCCACCGAGCGCGGCAACCTGGTGCTGGTGCCGTCGTGGGACGGCGGCGAGGAGGATGGCATGCTTGCGGTGCTCGTGGGGGCGCTGCAGGAGATGCTGCTGGGGCTGCCGGAGGACGCGGACGTGCGGGAGCGGACGGCGGCGGTGACGGCGCGGCTGCAGGAGGCGGCGGGGCCGGGGCGGGGGACGGAGGGGGGGGGAGTTGAGATGTCGGGTGCGACGCGCGCGGTGGAGGCGAGCAGAGGGGCGGAGAACGGGGCGGCAGCGCGGCCGGTGAACGAGGAGGAGATCGAGCTCAGCTCGTGACCGGCGGCGTCGCTGTGACTGCACGTGTGCGAGCGCCACGGGTCCATCGTGCATGGGTCTGTCTGTCGTGCAACGCGGGGGTGGCAACGCACCTGGTCGCTGCTGCGCGGTCGCAGAACGACGCGCTGCGTCCGCCGAGCCACGCGGGAGTACCCACGGCATACGACGCCGTATCGGGCAGGGTGGTGCGGCCCGGTCGCGCCGCGGTGCCCGCAGGATGTGTGGTTGCGGGATGGGGGGGTTCAGGGGGGAGTCCCCTTCCTGGGCTGTGCGCGCACGCCGCGCCTTCGTGGGGTCCGGCCGCAGCCACCCGGCGCGAGATTTTCCATCGTTGATATCTCACCGCGACATCCGGGTATCTTACGTTCAAGCACCCAGCACACGAACAGAGCGTCTCCTGCAAGCATGGTGAGCTGGCACGCCCGAACTCGGTCCAAAGCTCGTCATGCTGGCTGCCACGCGCCTTGAACGGCAACCACCATGCATGTACATGCATTCTGCGTCAATTTTGGCGGTCAACGGTTCCGCATATGTCGCGTAGCTCGAGCCCTAAATGACGCGCCCCCTCTGGGTATCGTCGCGCTGTGGGCTCGCGAGCGCGTCCGACCGGTCATCGAGTACCGACACGCGCTGTATTTACTTTTTGCGTCGTGAATCATCATCGGCACGACCTTGCGAGCGCGCCAGAGAGCCCCGGTAGCGCGAGGTGTCCCTGCCAGGGTCCACCTCCATCTTTTGCCGATCCCTGACTGCCGGTACTGGTCCGTCGTGGCTTGCAGAGCACAGCACGCGAGGTCGAGAGGCTGCGGGCCGAGAACGACCGCCTGCGGGCGCTCGCGGCGGGTCGCGCGCCTTATGCAGCCTTGGTGCGCGCTCTGGACATGGACACGAGGAAGGAGCTGATTCGAGCCGTGCGCGACGGCACAATTGAGGCGAAGATCCGGGACGAGAAGGTCGTTCCGAAGTGGTTCCGGACCGCCCTCGAGCAGCCTGGGCCTCAGGCTGAGGACCCTCGGGCCGACATCTTCCTTGACAGTTTCACGCTGTTCTTCAAAGCGGCTGTCAATGAGGGTCACGAGAGCGCCCTGAGGGACGGGAAGCTGCACTGGGACCCCGATTTTACGGGTGGCTTCCCGGAGCGGCAGCGCGACCCCCCCGATGCCGGGCCCGACATGAGGTTCACGCCCAATAAGCGCCATGCGAAGATGCTGTACACCGAGGAGAACGACAAGCTGCTGTCCGGGGGCGAGATTGCGAAGTTGCGTCAGCGCGCCGAGGACGCAGAAACACGCGTCAGGGGTTTCGAGGGGCAAATCAGGGACCTGCAGAGGCAGCTGAACGACATGCGGAACGCGCAGGAGGACGGTACCCGCACGTCGGTGCAGAAGCAGCCGCGGCCGGAAGGCTATGTGCCGCCAGGGGGATCTGAGACGCGTGCTCAGAGCGCGGCGGGGGCCAAGCAGAACGGTTCGGGCGGCAGCCGCGCCCCTCTCGCATCGCCGGTCAAGTACTGGAAGAGTTCGACCGAGGACGTGCAGGCAGGGAACGTCGTGCAGGACGTGAAGCAGGGCTCGCAGCGCGGCGGGCCTGCCGTCTCACCATGGGTCCTCCTCGTGTTGGCGCTCGTGCTCGTGGTGCTGACGGCCGCCGCCGTTGCCGTCCGCCTCGAGTACGTCCACGTGCCCCCGGCATGGGTGGATCGCGCCACAGAGCTGCGCGGGGCTGCCGCCCGGGCCCCTGCCGCTCTGCAGGCACATGCCAACAGGTTCTTGCGCCCGCTTCGGGCCCTGGCTTTCGAGCACGTTCGTTCGGGTTGAGCGAACGGTCAGGGGCACGCGCTTTCGACTGGCCCCCTTGTTGTCCGGTGGTGCGCCCGCTACCCCGGAACATGTGAGTTCTGCTTTGCATGAGTTCGGGGCGCCACCAGGTTGTGTTCCCAGTCCCGGTGCTCGCGCGGGACGACGAAATTCGATGATCGCAGTCCTGGCGTGTACCGCGGAGTCCTCTCTTTCTCTGCCTCGGGCACCTTCCCACCTCGGTCACCTGTTTCCGGACTCATATTTGTTTTATGTTTCACAAATCACATATTAATATGTTGCCACGTACCAGGCGTGACAGTGCGGGGCAGACGGCGCCGCCAGCGGGCAGCGCAAGCCTGTCGCTGCAGTGCCCCCGCCACGGCCGTTGACGGGCGCGGGCGGGAACAGGCAAAAGTACCCCGGGAGCGTCATGGAGCTCGCGTCAGACTGTCTGTCCGGGACGCGCGGTTCGTCGCCCGGCTCGAGGCGCCGCGACGGACATGCGCGTGCACTGTGCGCGAGAAAGGCGGGTGCGGTGCACGTGGACAGAGCGGCGCGGGGGCACCGCCAACACTGCGAGGCAGCGACTGAAGCCAAGCACCTCGGGCTCTGCGTGAATGACGCAAGGAGCCATGACGCGAGGGGCAGATACCCTCGAAGCTCAGCTGGAGAGCCTCATACTGGTGCGCGACTGCCGCTCCGGCACGGCGCGGCCATGCACGCTGCGCCGAGCGCGCTGCATCCGGCCCCGCCGCACGCACAGGCCAGGGCCGTCTGCGCGCCGTTTACGTGCCAGACAGACACGTTAAGAACTCAATATTGACCCCGCGCTGCAAGGCAGCGTTGCATGCCCTGGTGTCGCTGGCATCGCCTGTGCCGTTGAGCCGATTGCTGGCTGCCAGGACGGTCTCAAACGTGCACGATCCGCGCTGCGCAGAGCCCGGATGCCGTCGCACAGGAACCGCACCGGAGGTCGGCTGACGTCGAGACGGGATCGAATTCCCCGCGCGGCAGGCGCGAGGCAGGTCACGGGGCGGCGACGCAGCAGGCGAGCGCGCGGGCCCACAACGGGCGCCGCGGCGCCGGCGCCTGCACGGTCCGCGTCAAGCTCATCGTGGGCGACCGCGTGATCCCGGAGCTCGTCGTCGTCGAGGACCCCCGCGGCGCACACAGGCCGGTGGCCGCGCGACACAACGAGCGGGTCGCCTGTCCGCATCGCGGCTGCCCTTTCGTCGGCCGCGGCCGCAACGCAGCCTGGCTGGTCTGCAAGCACGCGAGGGAGGTGCACCGCGTGCCATTTACATGTCGCCGTTGTTTCGCGGTACGTACCCAATACACCCCTCCCCCCGCGCACAGCTTCTGCCGCACCGTGGCGCCGCTCACTAGCGCCCGTGCGAGGCCTGAACGACTGTGCGTCGTACGGCCGCCCGTGCAGGGCTTCCGGACCAAAAGCCAGCTTCTCACGCATGATGAGACCTGCGCCTCGACACATGTGCCAGAAATGGCCCCGCCCGCCACGAACCGGACCGTCGACCGGCGACACAGCCGCCCTGCACACGTACCGCCACCACCGCCGCCCCGCCGCGGCGTCACTGTCGCGGCCGCTGCCCCCGCGACACTTCAGCGCGTCAGCCCGCCTCCGCCGCGGGGCGCCGCGCCGCCGCCTGCGGCCTCCCGCGTCGTTGACCTCTCGGTCCCTGTGCCGCGGGAGCACGCGGACCGCCGCGGCGCGCCGGTCCGCGGGGCTGCGCAGCGTGAGCGGCAATGGGAGAGGCCGGGGCCTCTGGAGCTGGACGAGGCGGACCGGCGCGTGATTGTGCTGTTCGACGTGAACGGCGTGATGACGCACCGGTCGGACAAGGGGGGAAGGAACTACCACCCGCGGCCGGGCGCGGATCGTTTGCTGCGCATGGTGCGGCGGGTGAGGGACGTGGCGCGGGTCGGAGTGTACTCGAGCGCGATGTACAAGAACGTCGCGAAAGCGATCAGGTGAGGCCGCGGTGACACGGGGGAGCCGGCTCCAGAAGAACAAGAAGGAGATAAATGTGTGTGTGTTGCGCGACGTCAATGCACGAGTGGTTGGACGCTGACACGGGTGTTTCCGCAGGAAGCTGGAGGAGGCGGCGGGGTGCGCGCGCGACGAGCTCTTCGACCCCGTGCTCGTCCTGACGCGCTCGCACGCGCAGCTCCTGCCCGAGCGCGTCAGGCGGGAGTGGGGACTCAAAGGCTGGGACACGTGGAAGCCCCTGGGGGACTACTTCCCCACGCGCCTCCACCGCGTCGTGCTCGTCGACGACGACGTCCACAAGTCGCTCCCCACGGAGCGCGGCAACCTCGTGCTGGTGCCGTCGTGGGACGGCGGCGAGGACGACGGCGTGGTGGGCGCGCTGACCGCGGCGCTCGAGGAGACGCTGCTGGGGCTGCCGGAGGACGCGGACGTGCGGGAGCGGACGGCGGCGATGCAGGCGCGCCTGACGGGCGCCGCAGCTGATGCGGCCCGCGTCTCTCTGTGTCTCTGACTAGGCTAGAGACCTGGCTCACAAGACACTCGCTGTGTCGGCTGTGACTCTTCTTCTAGCTGCGCTCGGCCAGCGGCAGCGGCAACTCTTCTTCTAGCAGTAGGCAACTTGCCCAGCTGACTCACTCATTTCCGACTGACACCTAGTGGTGGTCAGCCCGGCGTCACCTCCTCCTCACCCGAATGAGAGGTCAGCATGGCATGGTAGGGCAGGCCGGGAGTGCGGTAGTGACGGAGGGAACTAAGCTTGGTTTGAACTCAAAGAGTCGGAAACAAAGGGTGGCGATGGACGCATGGGACGTTGTCGATTCGACGCAGGCGGCGGGGTTCGTCGTGTACGCCAAGCGTTCTCCGCGCTTGAGGAACCTGCGTGGCCTCGGAGCGCTTCAGTCGGACTCGTGGTCGGTGGAGTAGAACGCGTCGATGACGTCGGGTACCTCGCCAGGCGACGGCGTGGGCGAAGGGTGACGATGCTGTTCTCGGTGAATTCGAGCTCCTGGTGGACGACCTTGACCTCAGGCAGGGAACAGTCTGGATTCGGTCTGACGCCCCCCCTCGACACAGCCGTGGCCATGACTTGCAGAGCAGCTCGCCTCAGGCCGCGTCACGCGGCGTGTGTACGTGGCAATGGCACCGAGCTGGTGCACCGTGCGTGAGATGTACACTTGTGCGGCGGCGTGGTCGCGAAGGTGCACTCCTCGGGCACCTTGTGCACGTCGCCTGTCTCCTTGTGACACTGCTTGGCCTTCCTGGCTCGTGACTGGGGGCCTGCGCCCCCCTCCGCGGGTCTCTTACGGCCGGGCGGAGCGGCACTGGATGGCACCGGCTCGTGCGCGAGGATCAGCGCGTAAACACGCAGATTCAGCGTCCCGAGCGGCTCGTCAAAGCCGAGGTGCGCAGTGAGACGGTCGAAGTCGCGTCCTGTGACGTCGGTGTTGCGGACCCTGAGCAAGGTCCGGATGGCCACAAACATGTCCATGGGGTCCGTCATGTCGAACACCTGAAGTTCGCGCGTCCAAGCGCCGAATTTGGACGGTCTATGGTTGGGGGCTGGCACGTAGTTAGGGATGGCCGGGTTGCGGAAACAACAAACTGCCTCTGCGAGGACGTCGGGGACGATAGGGGGGCTGAAATTGTAGGGCGTCGTCATCGGATGGCACTGCGGCGGCGGCCGCAGCACTCACGAAGCTTGTCGGATGCGGACGCCTTCAGCTCGGCCACAGGACGCCAGTCAAGATCGTCCTTGGGGTCGGATTGTGGCCAGTCGACCCATGCGACAAGGAACTCGTAGGCGGGCGGTCTCCTGTTGCCGACCTTGCGGTGTGCGCTGAGGTAGTTGACAACCCATTGCTTCCCCCGGAGGCATCAACAGCAACCGGTCCCGGGCGCTCGCGTGGAGCGTATTGGCGCGCTGTCACGGGCGCCTCCTTCACGTACCTCACGTTCCAACGGCGGCTCACGTTGCCATATGCAGCTGGTAGATCGAGCTCGACGACGACGGTGGTCCGTGAGTTGCGACGATGGTGAATGGTCCCACGAAGCGGTCGCGTAGCTTGCCTTTCGAGACAGCCCGTGGCACGCGTGGACACTTAGTAGACAGGAGAACTTGCTGGCCGACGCGGAAGTCGCCTGGTCGACGCGTGGCGCTGCTCACGGCCACCTGCTGGAGGGCTGAGCGCGGTGGGTGCGACGTAGCCATGCTGCAGGGGTCGTCTCGTCGACGGATTTGAGGATAGACGCTGCGACAAGGTGTGACGCGTCCGACGGGTGCTGTCCGGAGTTGAGAAAGAAACGGACGTGTAACCTGTAGCTGCACGGTATTGTTATGACAAAACTCGGCAATCGCGAGGCGCGACAGCCAGTCGCCGCCTTCGTAGCTGACGAGCGCACGTCAGCCCGGCATCAGCAGCAGTCGCGGCGTGAAGGCGAGTCGATGCGCACGTGCTGCAACGAACGCGTGCTGTCGCGAGCACACGTTGTCCATCCACGCACGGCACACATCGCGACTGTGTGATTCGCGGCAACGCCGATCATCTCCGGCACGCGTTCCGTTCCGTTCCGTTCGGTAGCCATCCAGCCATCCATCACAACGCGCACAAGTGCAAGGAGGCGGGCGCGGGACGCGCCGTGCTGCGCGGCCCGGGCGGGACGGCCGCGCGTGTATATGCAGAGACGGCCGGACAGCAGCAGTGTCGCCCCCGGGCGCGTCACTCCTGCCAATCACTCCTGCCAATCATTCTTGCCAATCAGGCTTGGGCTTCGTCTTTTGCATGTTGCGCGATATGTACGCGTTCTTCGCGGCGTCCGCCGCGAGCTTCTTGCGGTTCAGGTCCGCGGACGGTTTCGTGGCCTGCAGCCGCTTGAACATCGCCAGGTTCTCCTGCGCTATCTTCTCGGCCTGCTTCCGTCGGTTGATGGCCTGGGACGACTCCTTCGGGCCGCGCGCCGTGGACTTGATCTTCGCGAACTCGCCCGGACGCGTGCTGATCTCGGAGATGCGGTCCACGAGCGCCTGCGGGGCGTCGGGCGGCGCGGCGCCGTCAGTGCCGGCCGCGACAGCGAGGTAGCACGGTGCGGTGGGGTGCGGACGGACCTTGTTGGCCCGGTTGATCTCCTCGAGGTCGTGGGGGAGGAAGGAGTGGTTCTCGCGCGCGTGCCGGTTCGGAAACGGCACGTTCGGGGCCGCGGTGAATGTCCGCTTGGTGCCCTTCGACGTGTGCGAGGCGTCCGTCGCGCGGGAGCGCTCGGCCGCCAAGCTCATGACGACGCCAGGCCTGCAGACGAGGGAGCGCCGCGCGTGGGCGTTCGGCTTGGTGCGGGCGCCTTGAACTCGCACTTGTGGCTTCGGTGCGGGCGCGAGCGCGCCGTGTCGCGCGGCCTCGGCCGTCGCAACGCGCGCTGTGCGGACGTAGCGCGCCCGTCGACGCGCAGGAAGGCGTGCGGCGGCGCGTTCATGCAGCGCGGCAGCTCGGGCAGGGCAACAACTGCGGCCAGGCGCTCGCGTACACGCCGAAACGACGTTTTGCAAAGAATCGTTCGCGCACGGGGCAGAGAGCGCGTGGTCGGAGGCCGCCGCGGCACAAAGCCGGCACGGCGACGCCGCGCGCGCTGCGTGCTCGCCCTTCCTTGGTGCTGCATGCTGTGCAGCCGTTGCGGCAGCTCGCTTCGCGGGGAGCCGACCGCATCGGTGCGTTCGTCGCTCGTCGACTAGCAGGCAGCGCGGCGAGGAACGAGGCGCCGTGCACGGCGCTCTGCTGTCCGCGGGCCGTGCTCCTTGCAGGCTTGATAGGCCGCGGACGCACACCGCCACGCCGCGTGAGCCTCACCTCTTCTAGCCTTCCTATCCGACTCTATTGACCTATGGGGATGCCGGAGACTGGACTCGGCACCGCGGAAGGAGCGCAGTCGGACCTCGCGGCCCACAGCACAGTGACGGAAGCCTGAGCAGCAGGGATACCACGCTCAGGACGCGTACTCGCTATTTCTGTTCGATTCCTTCAGTCCGCTTCTGCCAGAACACGTCGCAGCCGCACCGCACTGTCGCCGCCGCGCGTGCGGACTCAGGCCGACTCCTAAAGGGGGGGGAGTGTCGCTCCTCACACCCCCCCGTCAAGACTGACCTGGTCACGCAGCGGCAGCGATCACGAGTCACACCGCACAGCACTGCCAACAACCGCCGCGCCGCCCTGACAACTGCAGCGATAGCACCTTGAACGCCCCCCATGCACCCTGCTGGCAGCACAGACGAGGCGGCTCTTTTCGAACCCAGTCACATTGCCCGCGCACTCCACGCGCCGTCACCGCGGCGGCGCCGCCGCTGCCCGCCGCTGCGCGTGCCCCGCCCGCGCCGTTGCGTCGCCCGCCACGAGGCCGCCCGTCTCGAGGCTGGACCGCAGCGCGGCCTCCTGCCGCCCGCGCGCCAGCAGCCGCGCCCGCTCGTTCTCTTCGTCCCCGGCAGACACCCCCCCCTCCAAGTCCCGACTCCCCCCCTCCGGCGCCGAGAAGATCTCGCGCAGCTCCTTCAGCGCGAGGCGCGACAGCAGGAGCCCCGCGGCGAGCGCGCTCGAGTACAGCATGATGAACACGTTCTCGAACCCGCCGGGCAGCTCCGAGATGATCCCCGTGGCCATCGGCCCCAGCGCGGCCCCGAGCGAGCCGCACCCATCAATGATGGCCGTCACCGTCGCCAGCGCCTTCTCGGAGCCCTTCAGGGAGTCGTGCGTGCCGAGGTCCGCGGACACCGCCGTCGTGATCAGCGCGTACGGCCCGTTCACGAAGAACCCGGACACCATCATCAGCGCAATGTTGAAGAAGAAGGACATGTGACCATACTTGCTGTAGGCGTACAGGACGGGGATGGACGTGTACACGAAGAGCGACGCCACGATGCTGCTCGCGCCGGTCGAGTCCGAGAGGTGCCCCGCCGCGACGCCGCCGAGGATGCCGCCAATGTCAAACAGCACCGAGAGGTCGCCAGCCTCCTTCGACGTGAGCTTGCGGCCGCCGATCTCCGTCTCGCGGATGTAGTACGGCAGCCAGTAGAGGAACGTGTACGCGATGAGCTTCGAGAAGAACAGGCACATCGCGAACGGCGCGACGCCCGGGATGCGCCAGGCTTGCAGGAGGCCCACGCCGTGCGAGCCGGCGACGTCGCGCTCGCGCTGCTCCGCGTCGGCCATCTGCCGGCGGTGCTGCTCCTCCAGCGTCTTGATGTCCGCGAGGTTGCTCGCCACCGACTGCCCGTGGTACAAGTTGTGGTGCCCGGCGTCGTGCGGCTCCGGGACGAGAAACAGATACACCAGGCCGCCGACGAAGACCATGAGCAGGCCCGGGACGATGAAGGACCAGCCCCAGCCGTGCGCGAGCGCCGCCGCGGCGATGATCGTCCCGGCGATGTTCCCCACGGACGTGTGGGCGTTCCATATTCCCATGATCAGGCCGCGCTTCCCCTTGCCGTACCACGACCCCATGACGGCGACGACCGACGGCCAGCCCGTGCTCTGGAACAGCCCGGCCAGGATCTGCACGCCCACGAAGAAGTAGAAGTTGTGCACGTCCCAGAAATAGGCCATGCCGTAGAGACACGTGAACAGGCCGGAGCCCATCATGCCCATGGTCAGAAACACCCGCAGATCCATCGAGTCCCCGAGGTGGCCCGAAAAGAACATCCCGATCGCGTACGCGGCCAGGAACGCGAGGTCGCTCTGCCCGAGCCGCGTCTTGCCGTCCGGGCCGTTGAAGGGCGCCCACCCGCCCGTGCGACCCCCCCCGCCTGACGCAGGCGTGTCGTCGCCGCTGCCGTCGTGCGGGGAGTGCTTGTCGAGCTCCCCCAGGGCCTGCTGGAGCACGGCGCGCGCGCGGGGCAGGCAGCCGGCGTCGGCGCGCGCGCACGGCTGCGCGGCGGCGAGGCCGTGCGTGGTCCATGTTGGGTCCGACGTGAGGTGCCGGGAGGGGGGGGGGCCTGCGGCCGCGAGGGCCGGGCTGGTGCCGCCGTCGGAGCTGTCGTCGCCGTGGAGGTCGGCTTTCACGATCGACGGGGGCTTGCGTGACGCGTGATAGGCTGCAGCAGCAGAGAGAGGGGGGGAGTGGCGATGAGTGTGGGGCTCGGAAGGCCGCGTCTGCGGGACTGACGGCGTGGTCAGGGTGATGTCATGCGGGAACGGGTGGGGGTCGGGGCGGACGGGCGCTGGTGGGCCCGCAGGGGCGGGCCGCGTGGGGGCAGGGGGGAGGAGCGAGCGCGTGGAGGGCGGGGGGGTGTTTTGCCTGCATAGGTGAGGAACGTGAGGAGGAGGACGCTGTACTTGTAGAAACTCCGCGTGAAGACCCTCCCGTGCCGGTAGGCGTGGATCTGCACCGGAGGGAACATGGTGGGGCTTTTGTGGGGGGCGGGCGGACGTGGGCGTGGCGCGGATCCGGCGTTGGACCCGCGAAGACGCGGATCGGGTCTAGAGGGCCGTTCTCGCATCGTGCGCGGCGTTCTCGGCCCCTGAGCTGCGCGCAGAGAGCGGCGATTGCCTTGGACGTCGGGCGCTCCGGGCGACGCACCAGGCGCAGTCCCGGTGGGTACATCTTGCCGGCGCCTCCCTTGATGACTGGTGGCGGGCGAGGCGCCCCGGACGCCACAGCTAGCGCCGTGGGCACCCTTGTCACGTCTCCAGCCTGCTCCAGGGCACGAACGGCCTCGATGCGAGCGTCAGACGCGCAGGTCGCGGAGACGGGCGCGTGCGGGGAATGCTGGCCTTGCTTGGCGCGATGAGGACGTGTTGCGTCGCAGGGAGACGGCAGCACCCGACAGGATAGGCGGGCTGCTCCTGTGCAACCCTCGCGAGGCTACGCGTTGCGTGTGGCGCGTGATTCGGCGCTCAGGGTGCACAGCGAGGACGAAGTGGCTTCCTGGAAGGGGCGGGGATGCCGCAGAGGCCGCGTGGCGCGCACCTGGAGCGGCGTCGCCGCTTAAAAGAGGCTAGGAAACGCGCCGAGTGCCGCGCCGTTCCCTGGCCCGACGCAGCGATTCCACCGGCGCTGATCCAAGGCACGAGGCAGCTTGCTCCAACCGAGCGGAGCCGATGCGTTGCTCTAGCCCGCCTGAGGCGCAACAGTAGAGGTGCTGCTGGGAACCTGGGGGCGACGCGACGTCTAACGCAGACAGTGCATGGCCCGGGACGCTGCGGTCAAGGATCTCACGGCTCTACAGTGCATCAAAGGCGCTCGATGGCGCCCCAACGAACCCCGCGACGCCGCCAGACGCCCCCTTGGGCTGTCCCCAACGTCCCCAGGAGGACCACCCCCCATAGCCTATGGCTGGCTGAGCCAGGTGCGATCAGCCCCCGGTGCCGACACGGTCCAAGCAGACCCCGTCCGCCAGCGCACCGCCTGCGCAGCACACCCGCGCGACTCTGAAATCACATTTTCTCAACTGCCACCCTCTTGCAACAACCACCATCGTTTGCGTTCGTCGACGGGCGGCACGAACGCCGAGCGCCTCACGCAGCCTTCGCCTTGCCCGAGTCCATCACCATGGCTTTGGCCGCCGTGCCCAGGCGCACCAGCCCTGCGCCCTGTCGGTACACCAGGCCCGCCAGCGCCACGTACGACACCGCGGCGGGGACGGGCGCGGCGGTCAGGCTGCCCATGAGGACGCGCGTGGCCGACATGAGCGGCAGCATCTGCACGATCACGATGCACGCCAGGTCGAGCGCCCCCAGAGCCGCACTCACGTGCCGCCTGCAACGCAGCGGGGGAGCGCGCGGGCGGGCCGGGGTGAGGCGGAGCTCGGGTGCGGAGACACGAGCCGCCTGTGTGGGTCGGTGGTCGCGATGCGACGAGGTCGGGACGCGGTGGAGGGTGCGAATCGAACAGAGAGGGTGCAACGACACAGGGAGTGCAATGCTGGGTGTCTTGCGCCGCGGAGCCGCCGGGCACAGCAGGCCGGGCGCGCGGTGCGTGGACGGTAATGCGGTGCGGGGGCGGGTCGTCTCACCACGTGTGTGGGGTCCCTAGCGCCTGCTTGATGCCCCCGACAAGCGTGGCGCCCTCCGAGACGAGCGTCGCCGCGAGCAGCGTGACGTGCTGCTTGGCCAGGAGCGGCACCATCGTCGTCGCGAGGAGGATCAGCCAGTGCGCCGTGGCGCGCAACGGATGCGGCAGGAACCTCCGGTGCGACACCGTGTGCCACAGCATTGAGACGATGAACCCGGCGCACGTGGCCAGGAGGACGGGCGCCGTGGGGTCCCCGCCGCGGTAGTTGTCGACCATGAGCGCGAGCGGGCTGCGGAGCAGCAGCATCGCGGCGGCCGGCGCCGCCAGAGCCGCGAAGCAGCCGTGCACGGCAACGGCGACGGCGTCGGCCCGCCCCGCCGCGCCGAGGACCGTCATCGGGCCGGGCGCGAGCGCCATCATGACCGCGCGCGACACCGCGGTCAGCGCCGCGAACGCCGCGGCGGCGACGGCCGCCACAGCGAACACCCGCCCGCCGCCGACGATCGACCCGTCGCCGCCCGCCGCGAGCAGCCCGCACCCGAAGAACCACAGCGCCGCGACGGCCTGCGACGGCAGATCGCGGCCGTCCTCCTCGCGCGCCGCGAGCACGCCGTCCTTCCCGAGGCCCTGCGCGGCCGCCGCGCCCGTCCCGTCCACATACGTCGGGCCGCCCGTCGCGTTCGCGTTCGAGATGTTGGCGTCCTTGACGAGCGTCATGTGGTAGTTGTGGATGTACCGCGCGTCGAACGCCGCCTCGCAGTACGCGAAGTAGAACTGGTATTTCCGGTAGAACCGCTCCGAGTACCCCAGCGCCAACACCTCCCCCTTCCTCTTCTCCCACTCCTGACGCCACTCCCGCAGCGTGACGGCGTAGTGCGGGCCGATGTCGTCCGTGCCCGTCAGCGCGAGGCCCGTGCCGCGGCAGGCCTCCACGCACGCGCCCACGCACGGCAGGTGCCCCCCCGGGAAGATATGCTCGCGAATGAAGTCCGAGGAGTTGCAGTACGCGTCGTACCGCTCGTCCGGCTCCGAAATGGCCTGGATCACCGCGCGCCCGCCCGGCCGGAGCATCCTCGCGATTGTGCCGAAGTAGGTAGGGAGGTTCTCGTGTCCCACGGCCTCGATCATCTCGATCGACACCACGCGGTCAAAGGTGCCCGCGCCGGGGCAGTCGCGGTAGTCGCAGTACAGCAGCGTGACGCGCGCGTCGAGCCCGGCGTCCTGCACGCGCCGCGTCGCCTCGCTCAGCTGCTCCTTGCTCAGCGTCAGCCCCGTCACGCGGCACCCCGTCGTCGACGCCGCCCGGATGGCGAAGCTCCCCCAGCCGCACCCGATCTCCAGGACGTGGTCGCTCGCGCCGATCTGCGCCTTCCGGATGATCTCGTCGAGCTTGGCCAGCTGCGCGTCCTTCAGGGACCGCCCCGGCGCATGAATGCCGGAGGAGTAGGTCATCGTGTCGTCAAGGAAAGTCTTGTACATGGCGTTGCCGGCGTCGTAGTGCTCCTCGATGTTCTTGCGGGAGCCCTCGAGGGTGTTGGCGCGCGTGAGGTGCGCGAGGTAGAGCATGCGGTCGCCGATCCAGTTGGCCAACGGGCCCAGGATGCCGCGCCCGCCGCGGCCGTTGTTGAGCTGGTCGGCGTTGGCGGTGAGGACGGCCATGAAGGCCGCGGGGTTCGCGCACGTCCAGTCGCCGTCCATCCAGGCCTCGCCGACGCCCGTGTCGTGCCGGGTGATGCACTGCGGCGCAAACAAACCACGTGCACTCATCTATGTCTATGTCTGCTCGGCGCGCATTGCGGCGGAGGGCCAGCGTGCGCGTGCGGCCGGACGGCGGCCGTATTACGCGCGTTGCTGCGCCCTCGTTGTCCATCCATGGAAACGCTGGATGGAAACATGAAAGAGAAAGAAAGAACAAAGGTGTTGCATTGAACAGCCCCTGGCCGACCAGGCGCGCCACGCCCACGCTGTCATCTGGAGAACCGCACCGGGCGTGACGCGCTGCCGGAACGTCGCAGCGCGCCTGGTGCCGCCCCACGGTGCCGCACAAACAGTCACTGCGCCCCTCAACCAGCAAGTACGCGTGCTCTTCGCAACCCCCCCCCGCGCACCTTCCAGAAGAAGTCCATGTCGAACACCCGCACGGTGCAGTCCAGCGCCGGCTTCCCCCACCACCGCTCCTTCTCCGACTCCTCCGTCGCGTCCGGCAACCCCCCCCCATAACACCTCTCCTCCCCCGTCGGCAGAATCACGCGCAGCCGCCCCACCTTGACGCAGTGCCGCGCCCACATGTCGAAAATGTCCAGCCCGCGCCGCTGCCACCACGTCGTCTTCGGCGACACCGCCCGCGGCGTCCACGGCAGCCGGCACCCCAGCGCGCCCTTCGCCACGGCAATGGCTGCGCGCAGGCCGTCCTCGTGGAACCCGTACCCGGCCCACGCGCCGCACAGGTACACCCCGCCGTCGCCCTGGCACTCCGGGAGCGACGCCTGCGCCTGCTGCGACCCGAACGAGAACACAGGGTGATCCAATTGCGTTCGGAAGAGAATCTTCGACTCGTCCGGCTCCTTGATGGGGTTGAGCGTGACGAGCGTCGTGGGCGCGCCGTCCGGCAGGTTCTGCAGCCGGTTGCACCAGTACGTCACGCACACCGCGCCCGTGCCGCTGTCGGACTCCCCCCGCCCTCCGTGCGGCTCTGAGCGGCCGAGAAAGTTCCACGCCGACCAGCACTCGCGCCGGGCGGGCATCAGGGACTCGTCCGTGTGCAGCACGACGTCGTTCGAGTTGTACGGGATCGCCTCGAGGATCTTCTTCTGCCGCGGTGGCGCGCGCGGCCCCAGCGCACGCAGCGTCGTGTCCGTGTGACACGCCATCACCACCAGGTCGAACGGCTCCTTCCCCGCCGCCGTCTCGACCTCAACCGGCACCTGCACGCGCGCAGCGCACGTGCGGCGCGCGTCGGGGCCGCAGCGAGCGACGACGCGGGCGCACGGGGGTGTGCCGCGCAGGGGGGGGGGTCTCACCTTGCCGGGACTCGACGAGGGGTACACGGCGTGCACGGGCGTGCTGGTGCGGACGTCCGGGAGGTCCGCGAGGATGCGTTTGACGTAGGTCTCCGAGCGGCCTTTCACCACGCGCCAGACGGGGCGTTGCATAATGTCCAGAAGGTGGTGGTTGACCCAGAAGCGGACGAGCATGCGGACGGGGAAGGCGAGGACCTTGTCGTTCGGGACGGACCACACGGCGGCGCACATAGGGAGCAGGTAGTTGTCCACAAAGGCTTTTCCGTAGTTGTTGCGTCGGAGGTACTCGGCGACGGTCATGGTCTCGTAGAGGTGCGCGCGCGCGCCCTCGAGGACCTCCGGCGCGGTGTTCCCGAAGCGGACGACGTCGCGGAGCATCCCGAGGAAGGACGGCGAGAGCATGTTCGAGCGCTGCCCGAAGATGGCGTCGGAGGACCACTCCAGGCGGCCGCCGTCGAGCGAGAGCGAGAACGACATGTCCGACGGCTCGGAGTCGACGCCCAGCTCATCGAAGAGGCCGACGAGGTGCGGGTACGTCGTCAGGTTGAAGACTTGGAAGCCCAGGTCGATTGGGTGCTCGCCGTGGTGGTCGGTCCAGGTGTGCCCGCCGCACCGCGGCTCCTTCTCGAACAGCGTGACCTCGGCGCCGTTCCTGCGAGGTAGGGGGAGGGCCGAGGGGGGCGTGGGCGGCGGCGCGCGCGGGGACGGGCGCGGGCGGGGCCGGGAGAGCGGGTGCCGGAAGCCGCAGTGTGGATAGACCTCTCGTTGCGGAGGCAGGGGGGGTTTCGGACGTAGGGCGGTCAATAACGATGACGATTACGTACAGGGCTACGCTTGCGGAGCAGGAATATAGCGGTTTGGTCTCAATGCAGGCCGTGCGCACGCTGCCTCGTTCTGAGGAGGCATCGGCGCGCGATGGGGCGCCGGGGGGCTGTGGTGCGCGACGTCAGGCGGCGGGGCAACATGGCATTGGACGTGGGAGCGCGCACAGGTCGGATGGAGCGCGGTATTCTCTGCCCCGGGGGCGCTGCGGCGCGCTGGAGGCCCATCGGTGCACGCAGTCGCCGGGGGCACGTCCGCGCGTTCGGGAGGGGGCGCACTTCTGGAGCAGCCAGGCGCAGCTGAGGCCGGTGATCCCCGATCCCACGACCGCCACGCGCTTCCCGCGAACCTGCGCCCCGTTGCTCATCTCGCGCCGCTGTCGTCTGCCTTCGCTCGACGGGCGCTCGCGCAGCGCGACGCGACGGCCTCGCAGTCTCGCGTCCAGCCAGACGGCTGAGACGCTTTATTGAGACCGCCTCGCGCCCCTGGCGCGCCTGGTAGAACAATGCACAGAGCGCGCCGTCGCGCCTTGAAGCTGCCTGTCCTGATGGCTGGCAAGCACGCCCTGAGGCCCAGCACGCGGCGACGCGCGGAGGAGGCAGCGTCAACGGCGGTGCTCGCGGACAGCACGCGCAACAGCAACTGCCTGGACCGCCCAGCGCGCGCAATCCTCGTCCCCGCGGCCACCTGCGGGGGTATAAAGCAGCCCGCTCTCATGCTCTTCTGAGCGGCGCCCCCGGGACGCGCGCGCGCGAAACACGCGGGCGAGCCAGCCACGATCCGACCCCACGCTCTCCTGAACACCCCACTCCCACGAACCGACACGTCACACCGCACTTCCGTCGCGACAGCACCCGAGCACTCTCGCCGCCCACTGCGCCTCCCCCGCGCGCCAACCCCGCCACGCAGTCCGCGCCGGACGGCCCGCGCCCTCGCGCCGCCACCGCCCTCGCCCCCCGGCTCCACGACACGTACAGCGACCCCCCCCGCCACCAGTGTCAACCAGCACCTCACAGCTTGGCACGTGCGCGACTCCCAGCACCGGAGCCCTCCCGCGCAGCCACGCGCCACGCGCTGCGGGCCGCCCGCGACCAGCACCGCTGCCCCGCAGGCTCACCGGTCTTCGTCGCGGCTCCCGAGGAGCTGGTCGCTCATCTCGCGCAGCTTCTCGCCGGCGGGGCTCTTGTACGCGCGCCGCGCGGACGCCTGCACGTTCGCGGCGAGGTGGTCCAGGAGGTGGTACTGCTCCTTGTCCGCGAGCGCCTCCGCGATGACGTGGAGCTGTGCCATGTCGCGCGCGGAGAGGCGGACGACGGAGCACGCCTCGAATGCGATGGGCCAGAAACGCGGGCGCCCGCGGCCCTGGAGCTCGTGCTCGAGGAGGAGCGCGGCGGTCATCGCGCGGATGAGCTCGCCGCCGTTGACGCGGTCGCCGTCCTCCAGGGCGCGCGCCAGCTTCGAGAGCAGCTTCCTGCGCGTCGCGTGGGGGGCAGGGGGGTGGGTAAAGGAGTGACACACGAGGACGGAGGGGCAGTAGGACGGGAACGCAGGGCGCAGGGAAGGAGAGACAGCAGACCGAGAGAAAACAAACAAACAAAATAAATCAATATAAACATAAGTAAACAAATAAATTCATTCGTGAAAACAAAAGGGGCAAAGAGCGGCGCGGTTCGGCGCGCACCGGAAGAGTCCGCGGCGCAGCGGCCGCCGGCGCGACAGCGCGGCGATCGCGCTCGCGCAGTCGGACAGGTCGCGGCAGTTCATGCTGCCCGCGTCCACGCGCAGGTCCACCTCGTCGAGAATGTCGTCCAGGCTGTCCATCTCCGTGGGCGCGTTCAGCCGCCCGAGCGCCCACAGCGCGTTCGAGAGCTCCTTCGCGTCCATCTGCTTCCGCTGCGACGCGAAGCGCTTCACCAGGCGCGTCAGCAGCTGCGGCCCGAGGGCCGGCGCCGCGACGCCCAGCGCGAACAGGCACGTCGCGGTGCCCTCGGGCGTCATGTGCGGGACCTCGGCGCCGAGGAACGAGAGCAGGCCGTCGAGGGTGCGCGGCGCTGCGGCGTGCTTGAGCTTCGCGATCGCGCGCAGGCACGTCGCAGCGCTGCTGTACTCCACACGGCCCATCCGCGCGGCCGCGACGACGACGTCGAGCATCGCCGCGGTCCGCTCGGGCTTCTCCCGGATCCCCAGCGCGGCGGACGCGTACAGCGCGACCGCGACGTCCTGCGGCGGCAGCTCCTTCCGCTCGGCGACCACCGAGTCGAACAGCGCCTCGACGCTGGCCGCCGCGTCGCCCCTGAGCTTCACGCCGGCGCGTGCGAGCAGATCCAGCACGTCCACGGCCTGTTCCGGGTCCATCCCGCTTCGGTTCAACAGGCATGCGTGCGCCAGCCGGTTGAGCGTGGGGCCCTCGAGGCGGTACGCGCGCAGCTGCGCGAGCGCGTCGAGGAGCTGGAGGACCTCCTTCGTGGTGGCGTCCGGCAGCGCGTCGCACGCGGCGTCCACCAGCGCGTCCAGGGTGAGCGGCGGAGGCCCGAACGGCGTCTGCGGGAGGGCGACGATGGCGCGCAGGACGTGCGAGTCCGCGGGCGCGAGGCCGCTGTGGCCGCGCGAGCTGTCGAGGACGCGCACGACGAGCGCCTCGACCAAGCTCCAGTGCGTCTCCTCCCACTGCGTGGACGCCAGTGCCTCCAGCGCGTCGCAGGCGTGCCCGAGCGACGCGCGCTGCGCGTGGTAGGCCATCGCGCGCATGATCTGCGTCCTGTCGTCCGTCGAGAGGCTGCAGCCGGCACGACGGGACCACCACGTCAGCGAATACTAAAAAACTAACACAAATACGAATACCTTGTTTTACTTGTGCAGACGCACAAGCACCAAGCGCAGCGGGTGGGCGTCGCCGCACCTGACGTCGCTGTCGAGCAGCGCCGCGAGCGCGCGGTTCACCTCGGCGAGCGCGGTCGTCCGCGGCGTCGTCAGCGCCGCGCACAGCTCCCGCGCAACCTCCACCTGCACGTCCTCCTCCGCCTCGACCAGCACGGCCGCGTCGAGCAGGTCGATCAGCCCCGACGTCGGCAGCGTGTACGCTGCGCGCACGCAGTGCTTCAGCGCCGCCTCCACCAGCGACGCGTCCTCAAACTCCTCCGCAAGGTCCAAAACAACAATGCGGTTGAGGAGGAGGGACGTGGCGCCCGTCGCGACGGTCTTGTTGGCGGTGAGGTCGCGCACGAGCGCCTCGAGCGTCCCCAGCGCCGCCCGGGGCGGAGGCATGCCGAAGTGCTCGTACGCTTGCAGCGCGTCGGCCGCCGCCCGCGGGGTCGCGTCGGCGAACGTGAGGGTCGCGCCGAGCGCGTCGGCGGCCGCGGTCGCTGCGTCGAACGTCGCGGAGCCGTGCGAGCCGGCGAAGGACGGCAGGACCGCGAAGAGCCGCAGAGCGTCGGCCTGCGGGAGCGCGGCCGCGTGTTCCGTTGCGGCTGTCAGCACGTCCGCGATGCCCGGGCTCGCGCGCGCGCCGTCCGCCACGAGCGACGCGATCCTCGCGAGCGGCCCGGTGCACGCGGCGGCGCCCTCCGCGCCGTCGCTGGCGCACTGCGCGACCATCTTTGCCTCCGCCGCCGACAACAGAGCCGCCTCGGCGGCCGCGGAGAGGCGCGCGCGGGCGGGGGACTTCTCCGTCGGGTGGCGGAAGTCGTCCGCGGCGGTGAGGAGGCGGTGGAGGTGCGGCAGCTCTACCTCGGAGTCGGCCACCGCGTCGAGGACGAGCTGCGAGCAGGTGCTGATGAGGTCGCCCGCGGAGTGGCGGGGCTCGCGGCGGGGGGGGCCGGACTCGTGGCGGAACGTCGCGGTGAGGTGCTCGACGATGATGACGCGATCGTCCAGGGTCACGTCGTCCCTGCAATGGCAATGGTCAATTTCATAGTGAACACATGTTGATTTATGTGATCCATTGTTCACGAGCGACCGTTGCAGTCAATCCGATCCCACATAGGGCGGTGCGTGTGTGAGTCAGCGCGTGGCACGACCGGCAGCCACGCAGGGCCGCCCACTGCTCCTCGTAGCACCGTGCACCAGCGCCGGCGCCAACGCAGCGACACGTGCGCGCATCGGCGGCCCACAGGACGCGACGCCACCACGCCGGCGGCGCACGCGGCCCCCTCGCGCAGCCCCGGCGGCGGGCCACTCACCCGTGCACCTCCAGCACGCGCCTGGCGGTGGCTAGCGAGTCCTCCCACGTGGCGCGGAGCACCTCCCGCACCGCCGCTACCGGGTGCAGGTTCTCCACGTCGTCGCGGCTGAACATGTCCAGCGCGTCCTCGAACCAGTCCCCCCTGTCCTGGTCATCGTTGGGGTTAGGCTCGCCGCCGGCGACGGGGCCCCACGCGCCCGCGCCGAACACCTCGTCCGCGATCGCCTCGTCCCACTCCGGCAGGCCCGCGTCGTCCTGCATAGGGACCGCGTCGTCCTGCATAGGGACCGCGTCGTCCTGCATAGGGACCGCGTCGCCCTCGCCCGCCCACGCGGCGTTGGCGTCGCCCGCGTCGCCGCCGAGCCAGGACCAGTCGTCGGAGCCCGCCGCGGCTTCCTCGGTGCCGGCGCGGATGACGCCGGGCGTCGCGGGGTCGCCCTCGCCCCACGGGTCGTCGTCGTCAGCGAACTGCGTGGGGCTCCAGGCGGAGGCCGACTCGTCCGCACCGTGGCCGGCGTCCTGGTCGGTGTAGTAGCCGGCGGGGTACATGTCGGACGCAAAGTTGGCCATGCTGGGCATGTCGGCGCCGAGGGACTGCGGGCGACGACGGAGAACACAAATGGGTGGTTTGTCGCGAAAAAAACCATAAGAAAGGCTCTTCATCCGGTTTCGAGGCATGGACCGCACGCATCATCGTAGCGTGGCGGAGGAGCGCTGGATCGATGCGGGAATGCGCCAGCCGCGGCCGTGGTCGCGGGAGGCTGTTGCACGCAGCGGCTGCGAGCGCGCTTCTCCGCGGGGCGTCGCACCTCCGAATCCTTGAGGAACGCCGGGAGGTCGTCGTCGGCATCGCGAGCGCCACGTTTGCGCTCCCGCTTCTCCTTCGGCGCCTCGCCCCAGTCCTCCCAGCCGCTCTCACCCGCGCCCGCGTCGCCTTCACGCCCCGCCTGCGCACCAGCCCTCGCCACCCTAGCGACTCGACGGGCGCGCAGCGACGCGGTTCTCCGCGACCTGCACGCGGGAACCGCGGCCCCGTGCGCCCGCGGCGCCCCCCGCACTGCCGCCCTCATCGTGGTGGCTGCACCAACGCCCGGAACGCCCTGGACGTCTCCGGTTTTCACCACACACGCGTGCTTCTTGTCACTTAAACGCCAGCCCGGTGCCGCCAAACCACACGCGCCGCGATCCGAGCGGCACGCCCAGGAGGGCACACAACTTGATGAATGCCGCCCGCACGACTCGACCGTCGACCCAAGCGGCCCCTCTCAGTCGCAGACACTCCGAAACACCGAGTGCCGCGCCGCTCCCCCCGCCCCCGCCCTCCTCACCACCGCCAGCGGCGACACCGGACACCCCCCCCGCACGCATGACATTGCACGCACGTCACGCACCAAACCGGCTCGGACCTCGCCGCGGGCGACGCCGCGCGACACCAAACCGTCGCCGCTGCCTCCTGTCCGTCCGTCTGGTCCCTTCCCTTCACCACGGCTCAGCGCAGTGACACTCACGTGTGCGACGCGCAAGCATCGGACATCGATTCACAGCGTCTGTCAGGCGCGTCCGCCGCACCGCAGCCCGCCAGCGCGCCCCAGTTCCCCGCCGCCCGCGTCCCAGGCGGCACCGTCACTTCTCAGCATCAGACCCCCCTGCTGCACCCCGCGCGCAGCCCTCCCCGGGACCCTCGTCCAGGCCCCGCAGCACCGTCCGCCGCGCCCCGCGCCAGCGTCCCCTCCGCCGCGCACCCCCCGCGCGGCCGGCACACAAAACCCCCCCGATCCAACCACACCGGCCTCAAAACACCCCGCGCGGCGCTTAGAGCACGTCCGCGTTGAGCGAGTCGAGCGTGGCGATCATGGCCGAGTACGCCTTGTCCGCCTTCGCGCCGTCCTTCTTGCGCAGCGCGAAGTCGAGGTCCTCCATCTGCGTGAAGAGCTGCTGCTTCTTGGCCAAGATCTGCTTCTTCGTCGCCTTGGGCTGCGCGGCGGCGAGCGCGTTGTAGTCGAACCGCATGTTGCCGACCTGGCGGCGCATCTCCTGCTGCGCCTCGAGCCAGTAGGCCTGCTTGATCGACGCCGGCACCGACGACTTGATGCGCTTGGTCGACTCCGACACGCGCGCCTTGGCCTGGTCCAGCGACCCACGGACCTGGTCCAGGCCGTCGCGCGTCGAGAACGGCTTGCGCTCGTCGCGCGCCTCGTAGATGATGTCGAAGCCCTTGTCGATCGCCTTGCGGTCGTCGATGATCGAGATGGACGACGACGCGGCGGCCGTGGCGGGGCCGGCGATCAGGAGCGACGCGAGCATGGGCGCGGCGACCTCGCGGACGGAGGCCTTCGCGGTCACGCTGCGGGGGAGGGGAGGGGCGGGCGGGGCGCGTGAGGGGCGCGGAGGCGGTGCGGGGGCCGGGCCAGGCTGGTGTATGGAGAATCGTGGGGGTCGTTGCGATTCGGGGTCGTGGGTTACCTGGAGCGCTTGGCGGGCGCGGCGGCGCGCACGGCCTGAGCACGGAAGGCGACGGAGCTGCGAATAAATCGGGGGCGGGGCGCGTCGACGGTGAGCGGACGGGGAGAAGGGGGGCGGGATTCCCCGAGCTCAATCAGGGGCTCTATCGCGCGGTGCGGGGCGAACGGCGCGGCGATCGTCGTCCAGATGGGACGGCTGGATAGCGAAATGTGAATTAGCATTGCGGCGGGGCGCGGGTTTGGGTGCACGGCGCGCTACGCGGCACACACGTCCGGCTGGATGAACCAACGGCTTGTTGCCCGCACAGACACTATCCTGGCGAACACTGGGCCGGGGGGCACGCGCTGTGAACTTCTCGGATCTACAGAGGGGCGCGCCGGGCCGCGTGGCGCCGCGGATCGCGCCCAAGGCCGACCAGTGCATCGAGGTAGGCGACCCGCGAGCCCGGCGCTGTGGGGGCCGACACGCAAACATGGCCGGCCCCCCTGGGCTCGCAAGATTGTCGTCAACCGTGGAATCGGCTCGCGGGCGCCAGTCGCGCGGCGTGCGCGGGCTGCGAGGAGGGCTGCCGAGGGTGCTGGAAAAGGAGCCCAGCGGGGCGTGTACGGGGCTCGCACCTCTGCATGATGATCGGGGGAGGAGCGAGTCGACGAAGCTGTGCACGATGTGCCGTGCACGCGCGCTCGCGAGGCCCCATAAGCGCCCTCCCGAGAGACTCCCGACTGTGTCGGACGAATCCGCGATTCGGGTCCATTCCTCGCCCCATGGGATCCGAAACGCCCCAAGCTGCGCTAGTTCCACTCGATTTCGTCGTTCCGTCCCGCTCGATCGCGCCCGCATCCCCGCGCGCCTCGGCTCGACCGAGCAGGGATCTACCAGGGGCCACCTCGCACCCGCCGCTGGCCCGCGCGACCCCGCCCGCGCGCCCCACACCCCCGCCCGCCCCTCCCCGCATCCATGCCGACGCCCCCCCCGCACCTCCGCACCTCCATCTTCACACAGCGTCCGCTTGCCCACCGTCGCAGCAACTCAGCGCCCGCGCCGGCCGTAGCCCGCGGCCCGCGCCCACATCCCACGCCGCGCCTACAGCCCAGGGGCCCCGGGGCCGCCCATGCCGCCCATGCCGCCGCCGCCGCCCATGTTGGGCAGCCCGAGCTTCTGCGCCAGCGCCTGCATACGCTCACGCATGCCCGCGACAGACTTCGAGTGCGCCTCCGACATCGCCTCCTGAATCAGCGCCTCGAGCTTCTCCGGACCCTGCGCCGCGTCCCCAGAGCGCGCCCGCGTCGCGCGGTGCGCCCGGCGCGCGCGCGTGTGTGCGGCACGCAGCGCGGTGCATGGCGCTGTGACGGCGGGGCGGCGGGGCGTGGCGGGGCGCGGGCGGTTGGTGCGTGTGTTCGTGGGGGCAGGGGGGGGAGTCACCTGGTCGTAGGCGGCCTGGGTGATGTCAATCCCCTTGGGCTCCTGGTTTCCACTAAACACCACCCGGACCGTCTCGTCCTCGGAGTATCCTGCGGGGGGAGTGTCGCGGACGGAGCGGGCGATCGCGGGCGGTGTGCGGAGCGGGCTGTGCGCGGGAACGCGACGCACGGGGCGCGCAGAGCATGCCGGAAGCAGCCAGCCAGGCGTGAACGCGCGCGCCGTCGCGCCAGCAGCGACGCATTGCCCGAGCTTCCGCCCCCGATGTAAGCAACGCAAAGAGCACGACCCCCAGCAGCGCTCCGCGCGCGCGTCGCGTCGCGTCCCGCGCAGCCAGGCCCGCACTCCACCCACGCGGCGCAACCCGCCCCGCGGGGTCGCGGCAGGCCGCCACCGCGGCCGCAGCGCGGCGCGCACCTTCGAACTCGGTCGCGGCCAGCTCGGCCTGCACCTGCGCGGTCTCCTGCTGCACCAGCTGCTGCGCCTTCTTAACCGAGTCGAGCAGCCCTGCCATGTTTGCCATCGGGTTCCCGCCCTCGCCGCCCTTGCCGCCGCCGAACAGGGCGCGGACCTGCAATGCAACGCGCCGTAGCGGGCGGTTCGCGGGGGCCGGAGCGGCGCGTCGCGGGTGTGGAGGGCGCGGGAGGCGTCTGCTGCTTTGGGTGGCTGCTGGGTGGGTGGGGGGGGCGAGGGCGGCGCGGGGGGGCGTTTGGGGGGAGGAGGCGGGGTGGCGTACTTGGACTCCATTGGACCTAGCGCGTCGGGACGTCCTGGGGCGCGTCGGGAGCGCGGTGCGCACGGACGCGGCGAAGGAGAGCTGCATTGCTACCGGTGGAGACGTTTGGAGGCACGCTGGGGCGTCCGGCACAGATCTGAGGGTGCTGGGGGACGCGAATGAGACGTGTGGTGGGGGACTTGCCGGGCACGGCGGCGTCGCGGGCTCGAGAGGTCGCGGCGCGCCGTGGCGGGGGGGTGGGGCCGTCCACCGGGTGCCCGGGGGGCAGTCCCAGACGCGGGCGGTGGCCGGGGGCCAGTGCTGGGCCGCGCCGCGCGTGGATCTCACCTGCCAGCGTGCAGTCGACGAGGTAGCCGCGAAGTATCGCCGCGCCAGCGACGCACAGCGCCGTTCAACTCCTGCTGAACAACGCCTCGCGCCTCGCTGGCGCACGCACGACCGCCCGTCCCGCTGCGTCCGAGCCGGGAAGGACGCCAGGCGGCTGGCCCAGCTCAGCAGCCCGTAATCACGGCCGGACGGCGGCTGGTCCGGTCAGAGACGGCGCCCTTGTGCAGTCAAGCAAGATGGCCAAGGTGGGGCAGCAGTTCGAGACGGGGCACCAGGACATGGTGCACGACGTGCAGTTCGACTACTACGGCAAGCGCGTGGCGACTTGTTCGAGCGACAGGACGGTCAAGGTCTTCGAGGTCACGGAATCCGGCAATCAGTTCTTGGCAGGCGAGTGCACGCCGCTCCCGTCGGACTGCGTCGCGGCGCCTCGCCCTGCGCCTGCCCCCTGAGCCGCTCGGTCCGCCCCGCCGCTCCGCCCGCGCGCTACGGCCCCACGGCGCCGGCACGGCGGCTCGCTTGCTCCAGGACGCCTGCTCGCGCCGCGGACGCTCCGGGCGGCCGTTGCGCCGCGCGTGCGCGGAGCTGGCGCTCATGAGAACGGGCGTCTGTCTCGCGCCGGCGCGCCGGCCTCACGGGACCCCCCCGGGGTGCTGTCCCCCGCAGACCTTCCGGGGCATGAAGGGCCAGTGTGGCGCGTGAGCTGGGCGCACCCGAAGTTCGGATCCCTGCTCGCTTCGTGCTCGTTCGACCACCGAGTGATCATCTGGAAGGAGACCGACGCCGGGTGGATTCAGGTGCGCCCGGCGGGCACCCCTGGCGTTGCGCGACGCGCGCGGCCTCCCCCGCGGCGCCCCGCGCGGTTTCGCGGGAACGTCGCCGCGCCACCAGACGCAGAACTATCTAGACATCCCGCCGACGCCGCATCGCGCGACGCGCGGCGTACGTCCGCCGCGCACTCACACAGCCCGCCCGCCCCGCCAGCGCGCCCCCGCTCGAGCGACCCGACGCGCCATCGCTGCCGTCCGCTGCGCACCTGCAGGCGTACCGCTCGCCGGACACGGTGCACACTGCGTCGGTGAACGCGGTGGCCTGGGCGCCCAGCGAGCTCGGCCTGCAGCTGGCCTGCGCGTCCTCCGACGGGACGCTCTCCGTGCTGACGCACAGCAGCGAGAACGGGCAGTCGTCGTGGCACGTGTCGAAAGTGACCAACGCTCACCCTATGGGCGCCACCGGCATCAGCTGGGCTCCCGCCACTCCTGCAGGCTCCCTCATCTCCGCAGGTGCGCGCGCACCCGCCGAGACTCCTGCCGCGACACCTCTCTGCCGAAGCGGCGCGTCGCTGAGGCCGCACCGCGACGCAGTGCGCGTGCGCAGCAGTGGCAGCTCTGCAGTGCTCCCCGCCGTGCACGCCAGGTGTACGAGTCTGGTCCGTCTCTCGCGTGATCGAGCGCGCGCCGCGTGCGGCGCCACCTGTGTGCTGCGTGTCCGCGCGCCCCGGCCCAACAACCCCCTCCGCGTGCCTTGTATGAGCACGCGCTGACGCAGGGCGCTGTGTGCGTGTCGCTGCAGCGCCGCCCTCGGCCCCGGTGCGCCGCCTCGTGTCGTGCGGCTGCGACAACCAGGTCAAGGTGTGGACGGCCGGTCCGTCTGGCGCGTGGGAGCAGGACGGCGGCACCCTGTCGGCACACGAGGGGTGGGTGCGTGACGTGGCGTGGGCGCCGAGCCTGGGGCTCCCGTGCAACACCGTCGCGAGCGCGGGGCAGGACGGCAAGGTGTTTGTGTGGTCGGAGGGCGAGCCGCGCGCGTGGACGCGGCACGAGCTGCACGACTTCGGGGCGCCGGTGTGGGCGGTGAGCTGGTCGGTGACGGGGGGGCTGCTCGCGGTGACGGACGGGAACAGCCAGGTGACGCTGTGGAAGCGCGCGCTCGACGGGTCCTGGCAGCAGATTGTCGGGCAAGCGGCGTGACGGGCGCGCTAGGGCGGGTGTGAGAGCACGACGCCAACAGTCGCGTGTGCTTGGCCGGGATCCCCTTCTGCGCGCGCTTGCTGCTCGGGGCTGAGCGCGCGGCGGCCGAGCCGTGCGGGCCGCGCTGCGACGTTCTGGCGGGCGTGGGGGAGTGATTTCCGCTGACTGACTGAAGGGCTGGCCAATGCTGAGCCGCCGGGCAGGCCGAAGGCCGGGCCTGCGCGGTCCCGGGCGGGACATTGCGCCTCGAGCGCACGTGGGCGCTCACTTGACTGCGGCGTCGAGTCGCAGCGCTCACAGCAGCGCGAGAAGCGAACCAAGGTGCAAGCTTGGCGGGAACAGGTGCCTCCCTCCGTGGTTGCATCGTCGCTGGGGCAGGTGCGGAGAGTCTTGCAGCTGCATTGCGATATCTCGATTGTTTGACATGCGCTCGCGCGCCCGACGTAGTCGCGGTCGCACGGTACAGCCCTCACGGGACTGCTGCTTAACGGCTCGTAGGGTCACGCCTAGTGCGGCTGCGGCGTCGTCGCAGAGCGGCGCGCAACCGAGCGGCGCACAACCACTTTTTATTATGTCGACGACCATGCAGATGTCCGACAACGACGACAAACGGCTGACGGCCGAGCTGCCGGCGTCGTCCAGTGCGGGCAAGGGGCACGCCGGCTCTGGGGCGCCTGTGCTGCAGGCGGCGCAGTCGGTGAGCTATGCCCGCGTGCTGGGACACGAAGAGGAGCCCCTGCGCGCGGCACTCGCGCTGTTTGACAAGTGAGTCCGACGGCCTGCGCGAAATGATGCCTGGTGGCGGTTTGCGCGCGGCCGGCCAGGGGGCGTCGAATGCCTGTGTCGCACGTGCGCAACACGAATGCCAGAGATCTGGCGACGCGTCTGCGTGCATGTTCGTCGTGCTGCGGCCTGCGAGGCCCGCCCACCGCGCTGCCATACGTGCCCAGGGACACATGCTGCTTTCGGCGGTGGTTCGAGCAGGAACGGGGACGGGGAGGTGTGTCCGGCGGAGCTGATCGAGGCCCACCGGGCGTACGAGCGCATGAAGGCGGAGAAGGTGCTGTTCCGCAAGCTGCTGATCGCTGCGGTGGTGCTGTGCTTCGTGATGGTTGGCGCCACGGTCGGGCTGACGGCTGCGGTGGTCATCACGACGAAGGAGTCGAAGGTGTCGTCGGGCGGGCTGCTGCGCGCGAACGACGGCTCCGAGACGCCCGTTCGCACCGCCGAGCGGCGCGGGACGGTGACGGTGACGTCCGCCGTCACCGGGGCCAGGCTCGCGAGGCGCTCCCTGATGCAGAGCCCCGCCGTGGGATCGGTGGTGGCGACGACGGAGTGCGCGACGGCGTCGATGTGGTTTGAGGTGCGTTCGGCGCGTCATCTATGCATGCCACGTCATGGATGGCCTTGCAATGCCCTGTTGTGCAAGACCGAGATGTGCGTGGCTCCCCGTGCAGAACATCGCGAACGAGGGGTTCTCCGCCGACATCGTCATCCAGCAGCAGCAGCAGGAGGGCGGCAGCGTGTCGTCGATCTCGTGCCGCGCAACGGACGCTTCGCCGCCGAACACGATCGACGCATACGACCAGGCCCGGCCGTCGGAGAAGTACCGCATCGACTGCACCGGCGTGGACCTGGCCGCCGGTGGCGCGGGGTGCGTTTGCCTGGTCTACCTGACAGGGACCGGCACCGTCGTCGACTCGACGCCGGGCACGCGCCGCAAGCTGGCGGAGCGCGGCGACGGCAGCGGGGTGTCGGCGGGCGAGGTGCTGGCTGCGGCGGCGCGGCACTTGGGCGTGGAGGACGAGCTGACCTTGCTGGGCAGCGTGCTGCGCGAGCGGGGCGTGGCGATGGCACGCAGCGCGATGCTTGCGGAGTCCACGCGGCACCTGGTGCAGCTGCGCACTGCGGGCGGGAGGTCCGTGGCGGCGCGGGCGGTCGTGAGCGGCGGCGTGCGGACGGACGACGGCTGGCACCTGGCGGAGTGGAGCGCGCACGGCTCGCGCGGGGCGCTGGTGTGTCCGCCCGCCGCGGGCGACGCGCACCTGGAGGTGGGGGACTGCCACGTGCTGGCGAGGGGCGCGATGAGGCGCTCGCTGCTGCGGGCGGTGATGGGAGTCGAAGGGCCGCAGCCCGGGGACCTGCGGACCAACGGCCGGAATCTGCAAGACGATTGCCAGAGTTACAAAAACGAAATTGATTGTGGAAATACACCCGACTGCTTATGGCGACGGGACGGCAATAGAGGTGAATGCGAATTTGATTACTCAACTATAATTTGCTTCAGCGGCGACGCCACACTCGCCACCGTCGGCGGCGACGACCTCCGCATCGGAGACACCCGCGTCGGGCAGCGCGTGGCCGTCCTGGCCCCGGACGGCAGCGTGGCGTTCTCGCGGGTGATCGCCGTGTCGCACAACGAGCCGGCCGCCGTGCGGGCGATGGTGACCGTGCACACGGCCTCGGGCAAGGCGCTGAGCGCGACCCCGAGCCACTACATCTTCGTGCGGTGCGACGCGTGCGAGGGCGGGCGCGAGCGCGTGCGCATCGACGCGGTGCGCGCCGGCGAGCACGAGGTGGCGGCGGTGTCTGGCGGGAAGGCGGCGTGGGAGGCCGTGACGGGCGTGGTCGTGGAGGACAAGGTCGGGCTGCACGTGGTGCACACGGCGTCCGGGTGGCCGCTGGTGGTGAGCGGCGTTGGCGCGAGCGAGTACAGCGACAACGGGCTGGAGCCGATGGGCAAGGTGCTGCTGCCGGTGTTTGCGGTGCTGGCGCGCGTGTGGCCGAGCGGCACGCAGGCGCTGTGCGACGTCCTGATGGCGCTGGCGCACGGGGCGAGCGGTGAGACGCCCGGGTGGCGGGGCACAGTGGTAAACAAGATGCTGTGGCGGGTGTTGCGGGCGTCGTCGCGCGCGCTCGGGGGGGCGACCGCCGCGGCGTGAGGAGAGTGTGCGCTGCAGACTTTGTGTAGAGCGAATGCCGCCACCTCGCCTGACGTGGGACGACGCGGAGCCGACGGACGACGCGCAGCCTCACGGATGAGGTGAGGTGAGGTGTTAAATTCCAGCGAATCAAACGAGCGTGCTGAGGGCCGCATGAGATGATCGAGACAGGGCGGCCGGGAGCGACGACAGCGGCGGGGTACCCGCACGCAGGAGGGATATTGCAAGTGCAGGTGTCGATCCTCAGCGCCGCCGGCACTAGGCTGATCCCTCCCCGGAAGAGCCAAGCAGCGACTCCGAGGACCTCCGCTCCTTGCGTGTGACCGAGCCCCAGCACGTGCGTCTCACCGCTGAGTTAGATTACACCGCCCCGCCCGGACCGCCCATGCCGATGTCTGGCGCCTCCCCGCCCCCCACGGGCGTCAGCAGGTCGTACTTCCCGTCCACCTGCGTCTCGACGTCCCGCAGGAACGTCCCGTACGCCACCGCCTCGAGCACCAGGCGCCGCTGCGTGCCCACGTTCATGGTCAGCGACTCCACCTTGCCCTCCGCGATCGCCCCCTCCACGCGCTCCATCAGCTCCTGCATCGACGCCACGTCCCCCACCGCCGCCCGCATCTGCTCCTGCAGCTCCCGCACGTTCCCGAACAGCCCCGTGGTCTGCCGCTCCACCAGCGCAGCGCCCTCCATGCTCACGAGCCGCGCCGTGCTGGCCAGCGTGGGCGCGTCGAACGACTCCACGTACTGCCGCAGCGCCGCCTTCTCCTTCGGCGCCGCGCCCTCGCCCTCCTGGAAGAGCCGCTCGAGCCGCATCACCGCCTCCGCGTTCGTGGGCTGTTCGATTGGGGGCTCCGGGAGGGTGCCGAGGGCGCGGTCGAGCTGGAAGCGCTTGTCGACCTGCCGCACGAAGTACCCGAACATGACGGACGCGGCGTAGACCTGCGCGGCCTGGAGCTTGGACATGCGGACCTGCGCCTGGCTGGGGATGTTCTCGGTGCCGGCCATGACGGAGAGGAGGTGCTCGCGGACGAACTCGAGGGCCTCCTTGGAGTGCACGCCCTCGGTGAGGATGCGCAGGTTGCCCTGGGGGAGGTCGACGATGGGGTTGTTGAGCGGCGGGAGCATGTCCACGCCCACCTGGACGAACTTGTCGACCACGCACATGTACATCACGTCTTCCACCGTCACCTTCACCTCCTTCATGCGCACCTCCTGCAAGCCGGAACGCGGAGCTACGGCGCAGCTGAACGCCGCTGCGACCCACCGCGCGTCTCTGTGCCTACGTCAGGGGCTGCGGGGGTGGTGTGTGTGCTTGCGCGGGAACGGGCCGAGGGACCGGCCGCGCGCGGAGGCGACGGCCGAGCTGCGCGGCTGGCGCGCGACGTGCGTTGCGGCGCGCGCACCTCCATACGCTTGTTGAGCACGAGGCTGGCCTTGTCCGCGCCGTTCTCCTCGGCCTCCTTCGTGAGCCGCTCGCGCTCCTCCTTGGACTCCTGGAGCCTCGCGAGCAGCGTCTCGACGGTCTCCTGCACTTGCAGCGTCGCGGCGGCACCAGTCACGCTCCGTGCAAGGCAGTCAGCTTGCACACTGCTTCTGGGCGGCCCGGCTGCGCGCCTGGCGCGCGGCGTGTAGACGTGGACGCGCCCGCAAGCGCTCAAGCGCAGTCGGAGGCAGCCCGCGGATAGGCCGCGCCGATTCCTCGCGCGAAAACGCTCGCCGTCGCCTGCTGAGCCTCTAGCAGGTACTGGAAGCATACTACGCCCGCGGGGCGACGCACGACCCCAAGAATGCCCTGGGGCGGGTCTCGGCGGGTGTACCGCGAGGACAGCGAGGCGCTGACGCGGCGGCGCGGCCTCGAGCGTCCGGGCTGCGCGTGCGTGCGCGGAGGCTGACTTGGCTGCTGGTCGTCGCAGCGCTGCGACGCGTCACTTGCCTGGAACAGGTGGGGCTGGTCCTTGAGGTAGTACGCGAGCATCTCGCCGGTCGGGCTCTTCAGCTCAGCGGGGGCCTGCGACGAGAGGGGGCGCAGCGCGAGGTTCAGCTCGTGTCTGTTGCGAGCCCAGGCCGCGACGCGACGGCGCGGCGTTGCGGGCGCGCGAGGTCGCCGCGGCGGCCGCCACGTCGCAGTACGCGGGTGCTGCGGCCTCGAGAACGCGCTTCGGGGCCACGAGACGCACGTGGCGCGGCGACGCCCGGGCGTAGTGGTGGCCCAGACGTAGGATCGGCGGCGGTGCCGAATTCCGCGAGAAACAAGCGCGACTTGAGCGCCTCACGGCAGCTTTGATCTACAAGGATGCCGCGGATCGTCATTTCATGCAGGTTGCACGCGCACCCCGTCCGCGGTGCACGTGGCCAGGGACGTGGGCCGCGCACCAGCGCTTGCATCCAGGGGTTCTCGGGCGGCTGGTACTCGGCGCGCACGACCGTCCTGCCCCGCGACATGGCCCTGCGGGCCTCGCGCCGGCCCCGCACGGCGCCCGCGGGCCGCCGCCGCAACGCCGCGGGAGCCGCTGCCTGCGGCACATTGCTAGCGACGCTTCCGATCCTCGATTGGCACACCATGGCGACCAGGAACTCCAGCAAGTAGCGCGAGAGTCTGCGGAGCCGGCCGTGCGCCCCACGGCAACGTCAGCGGCCCCGAACCGCGCACACGTGCCAGACGCACCTCGGGCCGACACTCCCCCGCACAGATCGTGCCGTCCCACTCAGCCCACGCCCCGCGACACCCGATGCCATCCGCACGCGGCCCGACGCGGCCCCGCTGCCAGCGGCGCCGCACTGACCGCCGCGACGACAACAAATCAGCACAAAGCATTAATTGACCAGCGCGCGCAGGCTCGCTGCTCCGCAGGCCGCCGGTCGCAGTGCGTTCGCGTCACATAGCTCGCCCGGGCGTCACCCGAGCGAGTAGCTCGGCTGGTCCAGGTTGATCACCGTGCTCTTCACCTTGGTCATCATATCAATGGAGTTTGGCACTCCCTGGGACCCGATGCCCGAGTCCCGGAACCCCTGGAACGGGAAGTGGTCGGGCCCGCGCGCCGGCGCCGCGTTCACCTGCACCGTGCCGGTCTCCATCTCGTCGGAGATGCGCACCGCCGCGTTCACGTCGCGCGTGAACACGCAGCCCTGCAGCGCGAGGCGGTTGTCGTTGCACAGCGCCACCGCCGCCGCCGCGTCCGACACGCGCACCATCGGCACGACCGGCCCGAACGGCTCCTCCCAGCACAGCCGCATGTCGCGCGTCACGCCGTCCAGGAACAGCGGCCAGATCAGATTGCCCTCGCGGCGCCACTCCGGCGCGCAACCCTCCACGTGGCCCACCACGCGCGCGCCCTTCGCGACCGCGTCCTCGACCAGCCCCTGGATAAAGTCCGCCGACGACTTGCTGATCACCGGCGTCACCGTGCAGTCGTCCTCCGGCCGCCCCACCGTCAGCTTGCCCATGCGCGCCGCCACCTTTGCCGCCAGCGCGTCGCCCACGGCCTCCGTGACCGCCACGACCAGCTTCACCGCCGTGCACCGCTGCCCGGAGTACGAGAAGCCCCCCTTCACGATGTGCTGCGCCGCCAGGTCCAGGTCCGCGTCCGGCAGCACGATACACACGTCCTTTCCGCCCAGCTCCATCTGGAGCGGCACCATGCCGGCGCGGCGCGCGATGCCGATGCCGGTGTCGCCGCCCGTGAACGAGATGCACGACACGCTCGGGTGCTGCGTCAGGTAGTCCCCGATCTCGCTCCCGCGGCCCGTGACCACGGAGAGTACCCCGGGGGGCACTCCGGCGCGCACGAAACAGTCCGCCATGTGGAGGCCGGCGACCGCGCCCTGCGTCGGGGGCTTCATGACCACCGCGTTGCCCGCGATGAGCGCCGGCGCGATCTTCGACACCGCGAGGTTCACCGGGTAGTTGAAGGGCGGGATGGCCAGGACCACGCCGAGCGGCACGCGCTGTGCCAAACACAGCTTGGAGCGCTTCTGGCCGGAGAAGGCGTCGGACGTGACGAGCCTGCCCTCGCTGAGCTTCCGGACGCCCTCCTCCGCGGTGTAGTCGATCAGGTCGGCGCTGCGCACCACCTCGCTGCGGCTGTCCTTGGCGCCCTTGGCGACCTCCGTGACGAGGCACGCGGCGATGGGGCCCGGGTCGCTGCGCATCTCGCTCGCGGCCTTCTTCAGGAGCTCGGCGCGCTTCCAGAGCGGCGTCCTGCGCGCGGGGCGGCGGGGTGTGAGTGGTTGTGGATGGGGTCGGGGGGGGTGTTTGGGGAGGTGTGTGCGTTCGCGCACCTCGCCCACTCCTTCTGGGCCTTCTTGGCCGCCGCGAAGGCCTCATCGACCTCGCGTTGCGTGCATGCTTGCACTTGGAACACTTTCTCGCCAGTCGAGGGATTCTCGATTGCCACCGTCTTCCCGGACTCCGACTCCCTCCACTCGCCCGCGATGAGGCACCTGCGCCACAGAGCCGCGGGGGGGCGCCGTCGCGCGCGCTGCCACACTGCCGCGCTGTTGCGCGCGCCCTGGCACGCAAGTCAACTCCCTGCTTCGCGCGGGCTCTGGGTTGCGCGCGAAACAGGGAAACACGGCCCCTGCCGCGACTTTCACGACGCAATACAAGACGAACTAGCGCGTAAAAAGTACGTGGCACGCGCCGTGGAGGGCGATCAGCCGGATGTGAGAGTGCTCTTCGGGAGGGCGCGCGAGGCCGTGGGGAGCGCGGGCGCGGCCCCGCGTAGCGTGCGGCGTGCTCGTGGTGGTTACGAGACACGTGTCAGGTTGCTCTACGACACAGAATGCCGCGCTCCGGGGCGCGAGGCGCAGCGGTGCAGTGCGAAGGCTCTCCTCGCGCATTGCGCGCCGAAGGCCGGACCAGGGCGGCTGGAACAGCTCGGCCGTCGAGCTCTCTCCGCGAGTATCACTGGAGAGCGCCGATCAGCGTCTGGGCTGCACAGTCCCGCGGAAAACCCGCTGGAGGGCCCCGGGACGGCGCCACGCGCGCTGCCCGCCGCCTCGCGCCTCCGGGATCCGTCCCCGGCGGGCGGCGCCGGCTCTGCGCAGCGGCATGGTCGCGGTGCATGCACTTCGGGGCGGGCGGCGCTCACTTGAACACCCCGGCGGCGGCCTGCACTTGCGCGTAACTAGACATCGTGCGGTGGGGAGAAAGCTTCCGTCGTTTCACGGTCTCCGCCGCGGCCCTGAACATCCTCGCGTATGCGCAGGCGGGCGAGCAGCGCGGGCGCATGGGTTCGCGCCGGACGGGGCGTGGCGACGTGCCCGCCGCAAGCGCGGAGGGGGTCGGCCTGACTCCGCCCCGCGACGCAGCCCCGGGCGCTGATACGCTCCGGGGGGCGCCGCGCGAGGTACACGCTGGGCCAGTTGTGCGAGGGAGACCAGCTGCCGGTTGCGTCCCGCGCACACAGAGCGGCAAGCGGCGACGGAGCGTGCTGAGGTCTGTGGGCTCGCGGGGGGGACGCGGACTGCGTCAGCAGCCTGCTGCTGTCCGGGCCGATCAGCCAGACGTAGCGGCGAGGTTGCGCGTGCGTTTTGGGAGTCGTGGCCCCCGGGCCGAGGCGGGGCGCGATGCCGGCTGCTGCCAAGCGCAGCAGAGCGGCCGTGGAGGAGGACAAGCCGGTGAGATGGGATGTTTGGGATGCGTGACTTGAAAGAGAGCCGCTCGTGCCGTCCAGGCGTCTGGTCTGGGCGACCAGATGGCGGACGGGGGCGCGCTGCGGAGGCGCAACTGCACCCTGGTGAACCGTCGTGCGGCGTGTCCGCTGTCCCGGCTGCAGGAGTACTTCGAGGGGTTCAAGGTCGCGGAGAGCGAGCATGAGGGATACGAGTCCGACGGCGGAATGGCCGAGGCCTTCCGCCCCGGGGCGAAACGCAAGTCCAAGAGAAGCAAGAAGGCCGGGGGGGGCACGTTCGAGAGCATGGGGCTGTGCGAGGAGGTCATGCAGGTGATTCTTGATGACAGGCACCGCGTGCGACGCGCCCGCTGCCTCCGGAGCGCTTCCTCACGCCGCGGCGGGCCTTGTTTTCTCTCCACAGGGAATCAAGCGGAAAGGATACCGCCTCCCGACTCCCATCCAGCGCCGCACGATCCCCTTGATCAGGCTCGGCATCGACGTCGTCGGCATGGCACGTGAGTCGCCCATACCCTCCACGCCCACAATATGAACACCGCCCAACTCCAACCACCAGCTTCCTCTCAACCCCTTCCGGCGTCCACCGCGCGCCCGCTCGCAGGCACCGGTTCCGGCAAGACGGCGGCCTTCGTCATTCCGATGCTCGACAGGCTGCGCGCGCACTCCCCGCGCGCGGGCGCCCGTGCTCTCCTGCTCGCACCAACACGCGAGCTGGTCCTGCAGACGTACAAGGTGGTGAAGGAGCTCGGCAAGTGAGTTCCCGCCCCCCGCATCCCCTTCGCACACGCACGCACCCGCCTGCAACACGCCGTCGGCCGCGCGGGAGCTGCTGACGTGCTTGCGCTGTGCTGTGCAGGGCGACGGATCTGCGCGCCGCGTGCCTCGTCGGCGGCGACTCCCTCGAGGCGCAGTTCGAGCAGCTCGCGACCAACCCCGACGTCCTCGTCGCCACGCCAGGCCGCCTGATGCACCTCCTCGCGGAGGTCGCGGGGTTCACGCTGGTGACGACGAGCTACGTCGTGTTCGACGAGGCGGACCGGCTGTTCGAAATGGGCTTCGCGGAGCAGCTCCGCGAGATCATGTCGAAACTCCCCCCCACGCGTCAGACCCTGCTGTTCTCCGCCACGCTGCCGAAACAGCTCGCGGAGTTCGCGCGCGCGGGGCTGAAGGCGCCCGAGCTCGTGCGGCTCGACGCGGAGACCAAGGTGTCGCCGGACCTCCGCCTCGCGTTCTTCACGGTGCGCGCGGAGGAGAAGGTCGCCGCGCTGTTGCACCTCCTGCGCGAGGTGGTCCCGCCCGACCAGCAGACGGTGGTGTTCGTCGCGACGCGGCACCACGTCGAGTTCCTGCACACGCTGCTCAAGGCGGACGGCATGGAGACCGCGTGCGTGTACGGCGCGATGGACCAGGCCGCGCGGATGATCCACGTGGCAAAGTTCCGCGCGCGGAAAGTGCCCGTGATGCTCGTGACGGACGTCGCGGCGCGCGGGATCGACATCCCGCTGCTCGACAACGTCGTGAACTTCGACTTCCCGCCGAAACCGAAGCTCTTCGTGCACCGTGTGGGGCGCGCCGCGCGCGCAGGGCGCTCGGGCGTGGCCTACTCGCTCGCGACGCGCGACGAGCTGCCGTACGTGATGGACCTGCACCTCTTCCTCGGCATCCGCATGCAGCCCGCGCCGGTCGTCCCGGACCGCGCCATGATCGACTCCGGCGCGGGGCTGGTGTCGGTGCAGGACGACACCCCCTCCCTGGTGGGGTGCTTCCCGCAGGTCGTCCTCGACGCCGTCACGGAGCGCGTGCGCTCGCTGATGGAGGTGTCGCAGGAGGCCGGGCTCCTCGAGGGCATGCAGCGCACGCTCGGCAACGCGTTCAAGCTGTACAAGAAAACACGCCCCGTGGCGTCCGCGGAGAGCGCGGCGCGGTGCAAGGAGCTCGACCGCGAGGGCCCGCACCCGCTGCTCGCGCGGGACATCCCGGGCTCCGGCACGGTCAACCTCGCGGCGGAGATAGAGCTCCAAACGTACGCGGAGAAGCTGAAGGCGTTCCGGCCGGCGGCGACGGTGCTGGAGGCGGAGGTGGCGCCGGCGCGGCAGGGCGCGGGGCACGCGGGCGCGGGGCAGCAGTTTGCGGCGGTGAAGGGCGTGCGGGGCGACAAGGCGGCCCTGGAGATGCTGCGCCGCAAGCGGGCGCAGCACGCGCCGGTGATTGAGGACGCGCGGCGGCGGCGGGAGAACCGGGGCGCGGTGGAGAAGCTCGGGGCGGGGGCTGCGGAGGGCGGGGAGGTGGAGGAGGGCGGGAAGGGGGGCCGGAAGGAGCAGGCGAAGCGGCAGGCGGAGCTGGCGTTGACGGTGGGCGAGGAGCTGGCGACGTCGAGGTACCGCGACGAGGAGTTCTTCATTCCGAACCAGGTGCGGAGGGGTGCGGCGTGCTGCGCTGTGCGTTTGCGTGGCGCAGGAGGAGGTTCCTTTCGCTTGGAAGCTCAGACTGTCTACACCAGGGCCTTGGGCCCAACGCTATCCTTTTGGTACTCGGAAGCAGCAACACAGAGGACCGGGCGCGTAGCAGACACCTTTCACACTCGCGACCTGCTGCGACGCCGCATGTCTCGCCGCATCTGCTCTCACAAACGCAGACATACTGTGTGCGCGTTGCAGCGCACGGACCGCGCGGTCGAGGAGGGCTACAGCCTGCGCGACGCGCGCGCGGACGCGCTGAACGACGCGGTCCTCAGCGTGGCCTACGGCGACCGCGACGCCTCGGGCGCGGACGGCGCCCCGCAGCGCGTTGGCCCAAAGGGCAAGGGCGGCTACACGTGGGACAAGAAGAAGCGAAAGTACGTCCGGCTGCAGTACAACGAGAAGGTCACGGCGTCCGGGAAGCGCGTGATCAAGAACGAGGCCGGCGCGAAGGTCCGCGTGAAGGACGGCGACGCGGGCTCCATGTACAAGCTGTGGGCGAAGAAGACGCACCGCCGCGTGATGGCGACGGGCGAGATCGAGACGGAGACGGCGCAGCAGCGGGCCGAGGAGGTGGGGACGGCCGCGGGCGCGCGGCAGCGGTTCGGGCGCGAGCGTGCGCGGTATGCGCCGCCACGGCCGGACCTGGACGAGGACAAGGGGCAGTACGGGAGGAACCGGGAGCGCGGGGGGGTGAAGAGCGCGGCGGTGATCCGGAAGGAGAAGGCCGCGAAGAAGCGCATGGAGGAGCACGTGGCGAAGAAGAGGACGGCGAAGGGCAAGGTGCGGTCCAAGGCGGCGAAGAAGGGCATGCGCGGGAAGGGCAAGGCGCAGGGCAAGGTGCCGGTGCGGTCGGGCGGCGTGAAGAAGGGAGGGAAGGGCGGGCGGGGAGGCGGGGGCGGCGGGAAGAAGGGCCGCCGGTAGAGCACGCAGTGGTTGTGACGCCAGCCTTCGAGCCTCGATATATATAACATCGCGCTGCGCTGTGCGCTGTTGGCGCTACAGCACGTCGACCTCGCCGTCTTCGACAGCGAGGTGCGTGCCCAGTTTGTTCCCGCTGAGGTCGACGCGCTCCCCCTCGAGGCGCACCGCGGCGAGGCCCTCCGCGACGGCGCCGTACTCGCCGTTGTTCACGACGCTCGCGTCGCAGAGGTCCGCGAGGGACCACTCGAAGCACGCCAGCACCCCGTTCCCGTCGTTGTCCCGCACCTCGACCCCGCCCGACAGGCTGGCAGTCCCCCCCGCGTGCACGTACACCCCGTGCTTCCCGTTCCCGCACACCCGCCCGCCGACCAGCTCCACCACCGAGTGCGCGCCGCTCACCATCACGCCCATGGACCGGTTGTCCTCGATCCGGCACCCCTCCATCCGCAGCGTGCCGCCGTCGCTGCAGTAGCACCCCTTGCCCTCCAGCGCGATCACGCTGCAGTCGCGCATCACGCACTTCGCGCCCGTCACCCACACCGCGTGGTCCGCCCGGCAGCCCCCCAGGTGCACGCGCTCTATCACCAGCCCCTGCGCACCGTGCGCAAACACGCAGTTGCCCGGCTCGTTCATCCCCGTCACCTCCAGGTCCTCGAGCGCGCAGTTCTTGCCCTGCACGCACCACACAAAACCAAGCCGGGCCCGTTCGCGACGGTGGCGGACGATTGCGTGCGTGCGTGCGCGCTAGCGGTCCTAGGTCGATGAAACGAGATCGACGTGTCAGGGGGCGCGCCCCGTCGCACAGGAGCCCCGCGGCTGCACGCCTGCGACGCGCAGCAAGGCCCCCACGCAGCAGGGAGCGCACCGTCACCAGCAGTCCGACCCACTGGTCCTCACTCCCCCCGTTGCTGAACCACACCCGCTGGTGCCCGCCGCGCAGCGTGAGCCGCCCGTTCCGCAGCCGCTGCCCCGGTCGCGACATCCGCAGCGACTTGCCCTGCGGCCCCGCCACCTCCTGCCCGCACAGGTCCACCACCTCGACGCCGGGACAGTCCAACAGGTCCTGCAGCTCCGCGAGCGTGCCGCCGTCCGGGAGCTCCGCGACGCGCACGGCCTCGCGGACCATGACTTCGAGGAGGTCGACGGGGGCCCGGCGCAGCAGCGCTAGGACCGTTGCGCCCTCTGAGGAGTGGTGGTCGCGGCCGTCGTCGCCCGTGGCGCGGTCGTGGAACTCTTCCGAGGCGATGGTGGCCATTGCGGCTTGTAGGAGGAGCGGCGGGGTGATGCGGACGACCATGTCCTTGCGGGAGGACGTCGTGCGGCGGAGGTTGGGGCGCGGGATGGAGATGCTCGCGCCGAGCAGGCGGTGGCGCGAGGCGCCGCGGCTGGGGCTGTGGAGGCTGTGCGAGGGCGAGGCGGTGCCCAGGCTGCTCGGGCTCGAGATGGGATGCGCCTGCGGGCTGGCGGGGCCGTGGCCTGCGCACAGGGTGCAAGGGTGGCGTCTGTGTGTTGGCGTGACCTTTCGGGGTGATCCTCGTCGCGCAGATGAGAAGCACGCAACCGTCTGCGCCGACCGCGCCGCTCGACCGGCGACGGCGAGGCACGGCGAGCAGCAGGTGGGCTGGTGGTGGAGGGCGTGCTCGCCCAGCGCTCGTGGCCTCGCTCCTGAAGCGGAATCTCCGCGCACGGCGCATACAGCAGCCACGAACGCTATTCGGACCGAACACCCGCTAAGCCTTTCCGCGGTCCATGGCCGGAACGCGAGCGCACAGCGGCGTGTAGCTGCAAGGGGGCAGAGCACCGCACCGGAGCTTCCGAGGCGCATCGACGCGACAGCGCCGGCGAGGCTCTCCCCCATCGCTCTATCGACGCCCTGACAGCAGATCTCGGCTCCACGGCGCCGGCACGCCGCTCAGTCGGCGCGGTTCCCTACGTGCGTGGTGTTGCCGCTACCTGCTCTGTCGTGGCACCTGCTCGCATGTACCAACGGCCCGGGCGAGCTCGCCGTTCTCAGGGCAACTGTCGGCGCGGTCGGGGCGGGGACCCCACGTCGTCCACCGCCGGTGGGGTGCCACAAGAGACCCCCAAGTGCCGCGTCAGGGCCTGCAGAGGTCGGACGGGAGCCATGAGGGCCCGGACCTGCCTCCTCGCGACAAACCTGATCCGTGCGAGCAGCGAGATCCCGTGTGTACTGCGTCAGAAGGCCAGGTAGCGCAACCAAGGAGGAGCATCAGGTTGGGTGGCCCGGGCGTTCCTGGGCAGGCCAGGCCGCGGGGGCACCGTCCGAGCAGGGCCACTCAGTCAGACGCATAGGAAGATGGCCAGCGAAGTCACCGCAGGTGAGCGCTCCGCCGCCGCCGGCTGCCCCTCCGTGCGTGCGTGTTTCCGCCCTCGCGCGGACGTTCGCGGCGCACCAGCATCACATGGGTCCCTCGACCCTGCGCCCCAGATGCTCCCAGTCCCACGAAGGCGGTCAGGAACGCCCTGCGCTGCGCGGATCGCGCGCCGCACGAACGCGAGCATTACAGTTGGGGCAGATTGCCCGCCCCGCACGCCTCACACGCCCCACGACGCCCCGCCGCCGCTCCGTCCTCGTGCAGCGGGTCCTTCGGACCTCAGGGAGCCGCTCCTGCCGCCGGAGAACCAGGCGGTGGAGCCGCGCCAGAGCGTGCAACTGATGCGCCCCCCCGCCGGCGAGTTCGACGCGGACCGGGAGCCGGCGTTCAGCAAGGGCGCGCCGAAGCAGTACTTCGCGAACGAGCGGACCTTCCTGCGATGGATAGCGCAGGTGACGCCGCGCCCCCGCCGCGCAACGCCCCGGCGTGCCCGGATCTGCGCACGTACCGCGCCGGTGCTCACCGCGAACGCCGCGCCCCCGCGCCGCAGGCCGTCTACCTCGGCTCGATATCCGCGGGGCTCGTCGGGTACGCGGCGTACAGCCACCACAAGGCGTCGGACATCACCCGCAAGAACGTGTGGGCGCGGGGGGTGTCGCTGGCGACGCTGGGGGTGTCGATCGTCATCATCATGTACGCCGCGCGCATGTTCTTCCTGCGCGACCAGGCCATGGCGCGCAACGTGCGGTCGGAGAAGCTGTTCGCGGACTACAGGGGGCCGGGGGTGTTTGGCGCGACCGTCATCGTCACGCTTATGACTATGTTCCTCGCAGCGGTGGCGCAGATGGCCAAGCAGGTGTGACGCAGCTCGCGCGGCGGCGCTGTGCGGCGGCCTCACAGGTCGCAACGCCGTGGCATTGCATTGTCGTCACTGAAACATATGTATGTATGTATATGTTGTTTGCGATCAACAATCGAACTTCCTCGCAATGGTGCGGAACGCGGGCGCGCGAGCGTACGAAACAATGCGGCGCGAAGTGCGTGCATGTGGGACTGCGCTGTCGGGCGGTGGCGGCCTTGGTGCGCTGCAAGGGCGTCGTCCAACACCCCCAACCCCCGGCCGTGCCATGTTGGAGTCAGCCGGTCGCATCGCTCTTGGACTTGGCCTCGCGGGCCTCGGCTTCCCGGTCCAGCTTCCGAACGTTCGCCAGCGTGTTCTCGAGCGCCCGGACGTCCGACGGCGTCGCCGCCACCGTCAGCTTCTGCTGCGTGCCGTCGGGCAGCGTGCGCTGGAACAAGCGGTGGTCCTTGCACGGCCGCTCCTGCCAGGACGCGTCGCGCAGGTGCTTGTAAAAGGCCCGCCACGTCGTCGGCTTCGGTTGCTGCGCCTGCTGCCGCGGCTCCGCGGCCGTCGCGGCGCTGCGCCGCGGGCGCGTACGCGCACTGCGGGGCGGTGCGCGCAGCTGCGACGACGGCGGGGGCGCGACGTTCCGGACCCAGGCCAGCACGCAGTCGCGGATCTCGTCCATCGCCATGAGGAAGCCCGGCGTGTCGCTGGACGACGACAGCATGAGGCCCGGCACGCCCCGCAGGCCCACCGGCAGCGCCTCGCAGAACACGTTCACGAACAGCACGTCCAGATCGATCCCGGGGGCGCTCAGCGCCCGCAGCATGTCCTTCTCGCCGAGCCGCGAGCAGTTGTCGGTCCCGTCGGTCACGACCGCGAGCAGTACCCTGCTTCGCCCGTTGCTGCCCGGGCCCGCCGCGCGGCGCAAGTAGCCGATCAGGTTGGCGACGCTGTCGTACAGGGCGGTGCTCTCGCCCGTCTCCGTGGCGCGCGACAGGCGCCCCGTCAGTTGCTGCAGCATCTGATTCGAGACCTGGGCTTTGTTGGTGCGCGGCAGCTCCTCCTTCAAGACCTTGCTGAACGTGTGGATGGAGAGCGCGGACCTGCTCGTGCGGTGCAGCGGGGGACGGCGTGCGTGAGGACGCGGGGAGCCGCGAGGGCTGGCTTCGCTTGCAAGGACTGTGTGATTGTGTGTGTGTGGCGCACCTGTGGAGGTCTGCGTGGCAGGCCGCGACGGTCTGCATCACGCGCTGCATGCGCGTCATGCCCTTGATGACGCCGTGCATGGAGTACGACGTGTCGATCAGGAAGGCCACCTGCGGCCAGTGCTTGGTCTTGTTGGCCATTGCGGTGCAACGAGGTAGCGGGCGGGGTCGGACGGCCGGCCGGGGACGACGGAGGACGCGCGGGCGGGTGTGACGGTCCCGAAACGCCTTCCCGAGGGGCTGCAGTTGCACGGAGGGCGGGGTGTCGGTTCTGTTGCCCAGCGCAGGCGTCCAGCATGATACAATCTATCGTGGCGCGGCGCACGACCGCGAGCGGCGACACGGTCCCGCGGCGGATGGGGCTGCCGCGGGCAGGCGCACGTGGTCCCGTTGCCACAACGCGAGTGTCGCGGCGCAGGCGTGGCGGCAGCCGCTCACGGCGTGTGTCTCTACGCAAGGGGAATCGTCGCAGTGCCGCGCTGGCACAAAAGGACGCGAATCTTTCTCAAACTGCCGATTTCGGGCTTGTCAGATGAAGGTCTAGGGGGGGTGGGCTCCCGGCGCCGACAGGAAGCGGCCCGGTGCAGCCCGGCGCGACGGCCGAGGCTGCGTGCGTTGGTTGCAGGCTCGTGACCGCAGATTCGACGTCGCCGCGCACCTGATCGTCGCTTCGTCGACGCCGCGGGCACTGATGCCCTGGATCTCGCAGTTGAGCGCGTTCGGGGTGCGCTGGCAGGCCCGACGGCGCGCTGCGGGGGGAAGAAGGTGCCTAGAAGAATCGATAGGCGGGAGGGAGAATAGGTGCACGAACCCCTCCGACCGTGCACGTTCCGGCGCCTTCTGGTGTTCCGTCGTCGCACGCCGGCGCGGACAGACGTGCGTCCCGCCGCACGGGCCCGGGGGGAGGTGTTCCCTGCCCTGCGCCCCCTCAGGGGGCGGAAACGTCGCGACGCACAGAGAAGCCGCTCCCGCCTCCCGAGGAGCGCCGATCGAGATGGCTGGAACTGTTCTCGAGAAGCAGGCGGGCTTCTGCGGCGAACGAGGCCTGCTATCGCTTCGTCTCCGTCACGTGGGGTGGGGTGCCGCCCTGGCCCTTTGCGTGTCGCGACACAGGTTGCCGCGCGACCACTGGTGACTCATGGCACACCCCCAGCCTCCCCAGCGTCACAGTCGTGGGTCGGCCTGCTCAAGGCTGCGCAGCAACCGCGTGCGAGGCGCGGGAACGACGCGGAGTGTGTAGAGAGTATGTGGGGGCCAGTGTGTTGGGTGAGGGAACGCGGGGCCGCGGGGCGCGCGATGTCACGCCCGGCGCAGCTCGTGCCACGACTCAGGGGGCTCGTGCGTTTCGCGCATCTGCGGATGTCTCGGCAGGCAGCTGCCAGCGTGCGCATGATGCGCTGCACGCGCGTGACGCCCTTGAACGTCGCGCAGTGCGTCGTGCGCGACGAGTCGATCAGGAAGGCCGCTGGCGTCGCTGCCTCTGGCCCGGAGCTGCCGATCGAGCGAACGTAGAGCAACAGCGTCCTTGATGCGAGGCACTTGCGTCGACAGGCGCGAGCGCACCACCTCACTGGAAGAGACGAGTGCGGGTGCAGCGTGGGCACGATGCCGCCCCCTGCAGCCTGCGAGCTACCAGGCAGGCGCAAGTTACAGGGAAGAGACACTGAGTGGTGCAGAGCGCCCGCGGGAGCTAGACAAGCCCCGCCTGGCGCTTGCGCTTGCTCTTCCCCCGTGATCGTCGGTGCTGTCGCGGCCACCGCTCCCCTTGGGGCTCTGCACGCGGCGGGAGGGCGGCACGCGCTGCACATGACATGCGATGAGGGCCGCCGCGCGGGTTCGATTTGTGCGGGATCGGCAGGGCGGGAAGCGCACCGCTGCAAGGCCCAGCCAACACGCACCGGACCTCATCCCGTGCCGGCGGAACCGACGCGGCAGCAGGAGACCCCCCGACACTACCCCGTCACGTCAACCACCCTCGCGCCGGCCGTGCTCATCGGCGCTCGGGGTCCGCGCCGCACACCAGATACAGTCGCCTTGCAGGCGATTGCCACGGCTGTCGGCGGCGCAGCACAGTCGCAACGTCACCATCGTCTGCGATGATGGTGGTCTCCTGGCAGCTGTTGGTTCAGGGGGGGGGCGGGCGACGTAGGAGTGCCGTGAAGGCGCGAACAGTGAGGAGGGTTGTACGGTGTGGGCGGAACGTTGACGGGGGCGGGCCTCTGGGACCGGGAGCGGGGCTCTCTTTCATATAGGTAGTACAGCTGCAGGTAGTGAGCGTCGCTTGCGGTTGTGAGGGCGGCGAGCTGGTATGAGTGAGCGAAGTCGTGCCCTGATAGCACGGAGCCGCGGGCGGGTGGTGGCCCGCGGCGTGGTGATGGCCCGGCGAGCACAGCTGAGGGCGTGGCTCTCAAACGCGGTGCTGTGCGCGATACGGCATCGAACCGTTCGTCGCGAGCGTGGCCGCGGCAGATGCAGCTGCAGTGCACTCGGCGCGTGAACGAATGTGCCATCTCCGCTACGGGGCGACCCGTCCTGGCCGCGCGGGGCAGCGCTTGGGGCAGCGGCAGCCTCTCGGCCCGCTGTGGGCGGCAGGGCGGCGTTGCGCTCGGCATGACGGGTCGCTTAGACGGGGAACGGCGCAGGCGGGTCGACCCGGGGGGGCCTGACGTCGCGTCGAGGCCTGACGGCGTCTGTCCGCGGCGCCCCAGCCTGCTAACTGGGAACCAGTTTTGCAGCCCGGCGCGCGGGGGCTCAAGTACTCACTCTCCGCGGCAGTTTGGCCACTTTCACCGACGACCATCAAGGGCGGCGGGAGCAGCTAGCTGAAGGCAAGGCTTGTCCGCACCACCACTCCCGCGAGCGCCCAACACTGCGAACGAACTGCCACCCGCCACTGGCACAACAGCATGACCACCTCAACATGACGCCAGCTCCTGCTGTTGCGCGTGCAGACGGAAGGGTGACGATGAACTCCCCGGTAGTGAGGCCCGCTGAGCGGGGGAGCGGCGCTCCCCGTCGGAAGCGGGACGGACATGACGCGGGTGGCGCAGGCAGGGGCAAGCGCCACGTCCAGGTGCAGGGCGCACCGGCGCGGCAGCGGCCCGCTGTGGGGGTCGCAGTGCCGCTGGCTGGGCCGCGCGGGGGCCAGGCGCCTGGCGACTCTTCCGAGAGCGACGCTTCGGAGAGCGACGCTTCCGAGAGCGACGCTTGGGAGAGCGACGATGACGACTGCTCGCTGGATGGGAAGCGCAGGGCGAAGTGGACCGACGCCCAGGAACTGCGGCTGCTGCAGCTCATGCGCGTGAACGCTCAGAACGGCAGGATGCGGTGGACGCGCATCTTGCGCAGCGACCGCGACCACCCCGACGGTGCGCTCCTGGCGGGCTACGTTAGGGAGCAGTTGCAGAACAAGGGGCGCAATCTCGAGAGTCAGATGGAGAGCAAGTCGCCTGAGATACGGCGAGCTTGGGAGGAGCTTGCTGACGTGTGGCCGCCCGGAGAACCTTCAGGCCCTCCCGTGTCGGTTGCTGAACCATCGCCGCCGCAACAAGAGCAGGGGCAGGAGCAGCAGCAGCAGGGGCAGGAGCAGCAGGGGCAGGAGCAGCAGCAGGAGCAGCAGCAGCACGCAGGGGCGCCTGCGGGAACGCCACAGGCGGTGTTTCCTCAACCGCAGGCATGGGTCCAGGTGCCGGCATGGGTCTTATTGATGGCACCGCAACAGGCTCTCGGGTTGTCGCCGGTCATGCCGGGGGCGGCAGCTCCTGCGGGTGGGGCCACGCCGTCAGCAATCGGCAATGCCCAAGGCGCGCCCGCTGAGCACCTGAGCGCCATCCGCTTTCTGGCCCCGTTCAGCCCGCCGTACAACATGGGCGGGCTCGTTCCCATGCACATCGGCCCGGTGCAAGCCGCACCGGCGGGGGCGGACAACAGCGCTGCGCAGCCGGGTGGCGCGGGGCCGGGTGGCAACGGCAACGCGTTTGGCGCGAGCCCCGCGTGAGGGCAGGGCCAAGGTGATCGTCAGCTGCTGTGCCGTGAGGAGCAGTAGCTCTACCGGCAAACTGGTGAGGGATGCCCTGAGAGATCACACCACACGCTAGCACTGTTGTTAACAAGCCCCGCCGCGCTACGTAGAGGCCGGCGGCGCTCCGAGCCAGTACCGACAACAAGCCAGGCGGCGGGCGTGTGAGCTCAACAAACACGCGGACCAAGTGCACACACGCGTCGCGTTGCAACTGCTTGTCTGCTGGCTTCCCACATCAACCCACGCTGGGCGCCCGGCGGGCGACCGCATGCTGCACTGAACGGTCGGCGCGCATGATCTCGGGGTCGCTTCCGCTCGTCGAGGCGAGAATTCATGCAAGCTCGAAACCTGTTCCAGCCACTGCTTGTGCTGAATTGAACCAGTACTAGTGACCTTGTACGATCACACAGCTTCCCTGAATCGCATGTCTGATTCGAAGCAGTCACCTCACATCCAGCTCCCATGCCGCCAACAAGTTGTCGGGTTGCAGCAAGGGGGACGTTTCCGAGAGTCCCCGGGGGACTCCCCCGCACATCGTCCGACGATGTCCGAGTCAGACACTGCCGTCGCGCCGGCCGCACTCGTCGGCGCTCAGTGCCCGCGCCGCGCATCAGGCACCGTCACGCCTTGCGGGCGGCTACCGCTGCCCACGGCGGCGCGTGACAGTTCAGCCGCGAGCTTGCTGTGTCAACGACATGCTTCCTGGCTCGTTCCCGGGGTAGGGCGCGGCTAAAAGATACTTTGAAGGCAGGGGCGCACCTTCTGCAAAGTGCACAGCTGTGTGGGCGGAGCGCTGACGGGGCCTCTGGGACCGGGAGCGGGGCTCGCTTTCATGAAGGTAGCACAGCTGCAGGTAGTGAGCGTCGCTGGCGGCACAGCGCTGTGAGCGACGGCAGCACGATGGCATGAGTCAGAGGAGTCTGATCGTCAGGGTACAGGGCGGCGGGCAGTCCCGCGGCTCGGTTGCGGGGCAGGACGTGCTCCCTCTTGAGAGGCGTTCACGGCTGGGTCGCGGGCGCGCTGCTGGGCTCAAGGTCCGGAGACGGCAGCGACAGCTGCAGCAGACACGGGTTCATGCGCCAACGTCGCCCCCACGCTACGGGGCGACCCGTCCTGGCCGCGCGGGGCAGCGCTTGGGGCAACGGCAGCCTCTCGGCCCGCTGTGGGCCGCAGGGCGGCGTTGCGCTCGGCATGACGGGTCGCTTAGACGGGGAACGGCGCAGGCGGGTCGACCCGGGGGGGCCTGACGTCGCGTCGAGGCCTGACGGCGTCTGTCCGCGGCGCCCCAGCCTGCTAACTGGGAACCAGTTTTGCAGCCCCGGCGCGCGGGGGCTCAAGTACTCACTCTCCGCGGCAGTCTGGCCACTTTCACCGACGACCATCAAGGGCGGCGGGAGCAGCTAGCTGAAGGCAAGGCTTGCCCGCACCACCACTCCCGCGAGCGCCCAACACGAGGGAGTGCAGCACAGCTGGCCAGCAGCACCGGCCGCAACCAGCTGGCCTGGCGGCTGGTGCAGAGCGATCCGGGCAGTCGGCGCGTCTTCCGCGCGTTGCGGCACGCCCGGCGAGCCTCGTTGCGTCAGCTGAGCGCGAAAGCCGGCTGCGATGAGTGACGATAGGCGCGGGCACCTCCCGTTGTCACGCGGGGACGAGTTCATGATGGACATTGACGGACGCCTGGTCGGCGACGAGCTGTACGACATGCCATTGACGCTGCACCTCGAAGTCGACAGTTTCAGCGACCTCTGGGCTGTCCAGGACGCACAACACGCCGACCTTGGCATCGATGAACTGATAGCGTGGGACAGCGGAAGTCCTCTGGAGGAACACGGCGACGTGGGCAGCGTGGCTATATACGACCTTGGCGTTGCTCCGCGGCCTCAGTGGCGTCCGGGGAACGCTGCGGGTATGAGCGAGGCGCAGAAGAGGGCTGCGGGGTTCAAGCAGGTACACGCCAAGACCAACGCGGCGTTCATGTTGTGCGGCTGCGACCCCGACAACCAGCCGTGCCCCGTGGCCTCCGTGGGACAGACGGTGCATTTCGACCGCCGGCCCAGCGTGAACTGCCTCGCGATGGAGGACAACATCATCTTTTGGGAGGTGCTGCCTGCCGGGATGCCGCCGGCGTTGCTTGGGGCGGCTGCGAATATTTTCGTGCCCCGCCTGGTCGAGGAGGTCGTGAGGGGCGTGCACTCGGTTCTGTGGGCGGGCCACCGGGTGGGGCCCAACTATGACGTCCCGCTACAGGATGCCATGGAGCGGCTGGCGGGGTGCAGGAGCGCGAGGAACCGGTACGTGTACGTAATGGAGGTCTTTTTCCGGGGGCGCAACCGGGCGTCTACGGCGCACCTCGGGTACGAGCTGAACGAGGGGTTCCGGGACTTCGTGGTGCGGTCGGGGGCGCGGTGGCCGGGGATGGTGCTGTCGCGGGAGGCGATCGGGGAGCTGCTTCAGAGATACGGGCGGAAAGGCGCCAGGATCAGGCATGTGGAGGAACAGGAATAGGGCAACGACACAGGAAGCGTGGAAAGCCACGCTAGGCGAAAGCCGAATCATGTGACAGATTCGATTGACGTGAACAGAGAACACAATTTCGCACACGTCATATAGCACGCTGAATATGCAGGATGTGCGTCTATTGCAACATCGTGTGATACCACCCCGGCGTGTCGTCTCCGTCAACTCCGTAGCCCGGAACTGATCGCATTCGAGGTTACAGCTTTGCGGCTGCCCTTGCGGCAAAGCCGCAGATCACCGTTGCCACTGCGTGTCAGCCACCTACGCAGGTGGCTCAAGACGGTCACGCACTTGCTTCCAGCGACTCGCCGACGCTGGCGTCGCTTTCCGACGAATTCAAGATCTCCAGCGCCTCGTTCAGGCCCAACTCGTTCGCGGCTTCATTCCGTGCGTCCTCGGTCGCCCCACCGTGACCAAGCAGTAAGCCAGCTGCCCCGGCCAGCGCCCATTTGGCGTCGCCCTGTCTCGCAACCTTCCGCAGCGCTTCTACCACCCTTGCCATCACGCCTGCCGCGTGCGCTGCGTCAAGCCTTGCGCCAGAAGTGGGGCCATCACCATGCAAAAAGTTGCATAGCGCACCTGCCAACGCATGCCTGCTGTCGTCGCTCCCCGCCTCCCGCAAAGCTTCTGCCAGTACATCTGCCAGACCTGCCGCGTGCGCCGCATCCCGCCGCGCGTCAAATTTCGCCCCGTTTAATTCCCCGAGCAGGTTGTTTACTGCACCTCCAAGCGCCTCCCGGCTACTGTCACTGGCCGCCTCCCGCAGTGCTGCCGCCAGCGCCGCCTCCATGCCGGCCTCGTGCGCCGCGTCAAGGCGCGCATCCTCAGTCTTCCCACCTCTCTGCAGCAGGTTGCTCACTGCCCCTCCGAGCGCCTCCCTGGTGCTGTCGCTCTCCGCCTCCCGTAGTGCTTCCGCCAGCGCTGCCTCCATACCGGCCTCGTGCGCCGCGTCAAGCCGCGCGTCGTACGTCGCCCCCGAGGGCCGCCCTTGACGCCACGTGAGGAGGTTGCTCACCGCTACTCCGAGAGCCTCAATGCTGTCGTCGCTTGACGCCTCCCGCAGTGCTGCCGCCAGCGCCGCCTCCATGCCGACCTCGTGCGCAGCATCAAGCCGCGCTGCCTCAGTCTCTCCAGCGCACGTCAGGAGGCTGCTCACTGCCCAAGCCAGCACCGAGCGGGTGCTGTCGCTCTTCGCCTCCCGCAGTGCTTCCGCCAGCGCCGCCTCCATGCCAGCCTTGTGCGCCGCGTCGAGGCGCGCGTCGTACTTTGCCCCACCTGCCCCCAGCAGGTTGCTCACTGCACCTCCGAGAGCCTCCATGCTGTCGTCGCTTGACGCCTCCCGCAGTGCGGCCGCCAACGCTGCCTCCATGCCGGCCTCGTGCGCAGCATCCCGCCGCGCGTCATCTGTCTCGCCGCCGCTGAGCAGCAGGTCCCGTACTGCGCCCCCGAGCGCCTCCCTGGTGCTGTCGCTCTTCGCCTCCCGCAGTGCTTCCGCCAGCGCTGCCTCCATGCCCGCCCTGTGCAACGCGTCGTTCACGGCTCCTCGTGAGCATCCGAAGTGCTCAGCAAGAATGATGAGCGTGTCAATCGCCGAGCCAAGGATCTCGATTCGTTCCCCGACTTGCGCGATTTCAAGTGCACAAATCATCAACGCAGCGAGTGCATACTCCTTCGATTCGTAGGCCGGCCCTTCGGCGTCCAGCATGTTCCACACTGACATACACAGTGCGACTGATATTGCCCCGCGCGAAGAGTGATTTTTGGAGACAAGTTGTAGTTCCGTGGCGACCTCTGCCACGGTCTTCTCGCTGACGTCCGCCCTCATGTCATCCGACAAATCGAGCGTCAGGGCCTGCACGAACCCTGCCGCAAGTATTTTGAGGATCGGGCTGGACCTTTGAGGTCTGAGAGTCGACCCTTCGGAGAACACACTGGTTGCATCCGCCGAGAAATTGTCTTCCCGTCGTCCGAGCTGCGGAGCTGGGCGTGGCTTGTAGCTGAAAAGCTCCGCCGATGCCTTCTGCGATATCGCTTGATCCGTTCCCCGGAGATCGCTGTATGTCGACGGTCCTGGCATCTCAGCATCGTTCATGACCCCACCCTCTCTGGCTGCGCCAGCGAGCGCCACCTCCATGCCCGCCGCACGTGCCGCGTCGCCCCGCACGCCTCCTGTCGATCCGCCGCGACCGAACGACGAGTCGATAGCATTGCCTATGGCCCTCACGCTCTCATCGCTGTCCGCCCTCTGCAGCGCGTGATGCAGCGCCGTTGCCAACATATGGCTTTCGCCGATGTCCACTTCACCATCCGCCAGAAGAGTACGGACAGCATCGGCAAGTGCTGCCCTGTCCTTGTCGCATCCGGCCTCCACCAGGGCGCTTGCTAGCACTTGGCACACAGCCCCCAGGTCGGCGAAACGCGCTGCGCTGATGACTGCCCGCTTCGCCCCTGTCGTCTCCGCGCTGTTCACCAGGTGACTGATCGCCAGGCCCAGCGTGGCCGTCGTGGCATCCTGAACCCCAGCGACCTTGAGCGCCTGACCTAGAGCTGCCCCGAGCGCGTGCACCCTTGCATCGCTTTCCGGGCCTTCGACGGGGCCGCCCGCCAGCAGTACTTCAAAGCCCGCACGACACAGCGCTTTGGCAGCCTCGCCCTGCTCATGGCCGCGGGCCCAGGCCCTCCTCACCGCCTCGGCAATTTCCGCCACAGCACCTTCCCAAAGACTGGCTCCACTGCCCACCGACGAATCCTCCCGAACCGCCCTTGCGATGACCGTGACCAGCATGCCGACGACTTCAATGGTGCCCGTCATCCAAGCGTGCTCGACGAGGGCAACACCAGGTGCGACGTCGAGTGCCATCGCCCACACGAGGCGATGCAGCACCGTCCGCGCGTGGCCTCCCCCACGCGCCATGTCCCTCGCCCGCAGCACCGCCTCCCCGACACGCCACGAGATGGGTCGCAGCGTCTTCCTGCGGCGTCGCCCGCCTCCCCCCCCACCCGGCTCTGTCAGCAGCCGTTCCATCGCCACGCCCAGCGCCTTCATCGCCCCCTCTGCCGTCTCCGCTTCCGCCGATCCCTCCACACGCCCCGCCGCCCCCGCAACCACCGCCTCCAGCCCCCGCGCCAGCGCCATCTCCAGCCCAGTATCTCTCGCATCTTCCCGCCGCGCCCCCACGTCGCCCCCCGGCCCCAGCAGCAGACCAATCGCAGCCGCAAGCTCCGTCCGCGCCGCGTCGCTCCGGGCGTCCCGCAGCGCCTCCCCCAGCACAAGCGCCCCATTTGACATCGCTGCCTCGTCGCGCCGCACCCCGACAGCCTCGAGATCCTCCCCGTCAGCCCGCCGCAAGCACTGCACCATCGCCCCGGCAAGCTCCGTCATCTCCTCGTCCGAAGCTGTGCCGGCTTCCAGAGCTTCCAGCAGCCCGACCTGCAGGTTCACCAGCCCAGCCACCTGCAAACGCGCCGTCTCCCTCCCCCCCGGTGCCAGCATCCGCCGCGCCGCATGCGCCAGTGCAGCCTGCGCTCGTGATGTCTCCGCTCTGCGCAGCGCCACCGCCAACGCCCTGAGCATGCCCGCCTCGCTCGCTGCGTCGCGCCTCTCCCCCACTGGTGCAATGCCCGGCACATACACCGGCCGCAACAGGTCCGCAACCAGCGCGCCCAGACCTGCCCGAGCATCGTCGCGCCGTGTTGCCCGCAGCGCTTCCACGGCGGCGTCGAACGCCCCCCGCAACTTGTTGTCGGTGCGCGACACCTCCTCCCACCAACGCCGGTCGCCGCGGACCGCCTGGTGCTGCCGCTCGAAGGCTGCGAGAGCACGACGAGCCGCGTCGTCGTCTCCGGGATCAGCCAGGTCGCGCATGCACTCCCTGAGGGGCGAGCGCTCTAAGCGTGCCTCTCCAGCACTAGAGTTGACAGACATGCTGCCCACCCCGCGTGCTTGATCAGACGCTTCGGCTCAATCGCCAAGTTCTCATTCGCCCACAACGACTGCGTACGCACACACACATGCACGAAGGGTGACGGTTGCGTGGAACATTAATGTTGCCGGACACTTCCACGAGAGACGCTGTACTTCAGGCTTTGAGGGACATGCTTGCTGAAGGCATGGTGATACACGTGATTGTCATCCAGCCATTGAGATGCAAACCACGCCTCGGGAGGCAGCGTCCGTACCTCGAGAGCTTGCTCAGCGCAGGGTGTACACCAGCACTAGTCGTTCCCACCGGGTGGACGTGCGCTTTCGTCCCGCATCGTCCTTGAGAGGACGACTTTGGTGAGAGATTCGATTTGGCAGACCGGAGCTAGCTGGTTCGCTGCATGCGTTATGCTGGGCCAACAGCGCCGATACTGCCGAGGCACCTCTTCGCGCTGCGCCCTCCTGCGCTCGAAACCTTGAGTAAGCGCATGCAACGAGCTCTGCGCTGCATAGTGCAAGCGCCAGTCGTCCCTTGGCCGCCCTGATGCCGCGCGGGGCCAGACCCGAGCCTGAGTCTCACCGGTCTGACCTAATCGTGTGCTCCGTGCGCCAAGGGCTCGAGCTCGCAGGGCATCGCGAACAGCTTGCGAATGATACAGTCCAGCACGCGCATCGCAGAAGCGGTCAGGTGACGCCAGCTTGCACTGAAGTGGCGGTTTCCTCTGTTGCTATGGCGCCCCGATTTGGCGCCCCCCGAAAAACACCGTGATTTTCTGGCGCCTCCCGCTGCGATGCGGGTATGCGCTGACAATCGTATGAGCCGGAATTCTGCGACATCGCAGCAAGCTTGAAGAGGCAGCTGCAGTCCACTTCGGTGCACCATCTCACGCACCGCACCAGCGTTATCCGCGTCGCGCAGCAGCGAAGGCAGCCCCACACGGTAAACATCCAGATGTACACGCATTTGTCGCAGCTCATCATGCTCGCCAACCTGCGAGAAGGACACGAAAGGCATTCAACATCTTCAGCCCGCGTGACACTGTCTCTGCGTCCGGCTCCCACATGCTGCATCAACCCGCTTCTGCAGGCATTCGAAGTGAAACCCGCCCCGCTGGGTGTCCTGAAAATCGATTGGAAATGTCAGAATCCGAGCACTCGCCCCCGTCCGGGTCACCAGCGATGAGCGCACAAGATAGTGTCTTCGGAGGTGACATATTCAGCGAGATTTCCTACGTTGACATGGACCTGGATGGAGCTCTGGATGAGCGAATCGAGGGGGGCGCCGCATCTGACGCAAGCTTTGATGATTCTGGCGGGCACAACACTGCGCCTCAGAACGGGGATGGCGAGCCGGAGCCGCTCGTAGATGCGCTTGCACGTTTCGGGCTCCCCCCTGAACAGGGGTTCGACCGGGAAGAAGATAATTCCGCGGCTGCACAGCTGCTGGAGTTCTTGAGGAAGGGAGAACCACCGCATCGTGATGCCCGCTCCATCTGGGCCGACACTCTAGGTGCGATCGCGAACTATCGATACATTCAGCGATGGCGGTTGCTTGCGGAAGTGCGGCTGGTTAAACAGGAACATTGAGTTTCACGTAACACGTGACACAGTTGTTTGTTGTGTGCTGATGTTGTTTCAAGCGCTCTACGCCCGTATTCTGCTTCCGTGGTCGTGCGTTACGATGGTGCGGAGTCTACAAGCTCTGATCGGCGAGTCATGTCGCTTCCCAATGTGAATGTGTGCAGGGAACCACGACTTTACAAATCTGCGCAAGCTGCTGATGGGCGAACGTCGTGAACGCAAGAAAAAGAAAACGACGTTGACGATCCGGGAGCGAGTACTAGGCGATGAAAGTGGACGCGGAGCGGGGCTCACCGTATGGCTCGACGTGTGGTATGACAACCACGACAACAAACCCCCCGACAGAAAAGCATTGTTGGCAACGTTTCCCCGCGGAACCGACTTCGCCTACCACGTTGTCAAGGAGTGGTCGAGAGCTAACAGCCCAGTACGTTCCCAGGCCGATGACGGCGTGCGTTCGCGGATGCGCAAGTCTCATGATCAAACGAAGTACTGCCGCGAGCTGTCTTCGAATTTAGAATCCGAAACGCGTTTTCCCCCTCCGTCTTTCTGGAGCAGAACACATCACGTGGCGGGACGTTCAAGCTGTGTTCAGGTCAGGCAGTCAGCAAGGAACGTCAGGAGTTCACGCGCAAGGTACCGTCATCTAATTCGGACAGTCGCGTTGACGTTTCGGGGAACCCTGGTGAGGATCAGACGTGGATATACGACTGTTCGATGGTCCATTTTTCGAAAACGGCGGCGAAGGGACACCTGCACAAGATCCTCCTCTCTGTGGTGAGTCGACTGTCCAAGTATGACACATGCACCCTCGCATGCGATACCTGTCCAGATGGCTCCCATACGTCGTTTGCTGGTTTCTGTTCTTACCGCGCGCGGTCTGGCGTTAAGGGGCGCAAGGACGATCGAGCAACATGATAGCGCACTATCGGTCGAACCACGTATCAGCAGCACCCGGTGTTCAGCGCCATTGCGAAGCGCGATGTCGATGAAGCGAGGTCTTTGTCGTGCAGATGTCGGGCGCTAAGGATCGCGCAGAGATCGGCACATATGAAAATCTCAGCAACACCATCGATGAGTGGGCCGAGCAGTTGGCTAGATCAAACGAAGCGGCGGATGCTGCTCGAGTGGTGAGGGCGCCAAAAAGCAAGGTCGAATGCGTTCACTGTCACGCGTGGGAGGACTATGCTCTGAGGATGAAAGAGGACCCGCTACATCACCGTTGCTCGATGCTGTGCGTCGCCGTCGGGCTTTGCTGCCGGCTGCACAGAGCGTGGAAAATGGTCCAAGATCGGCCGGCTCAGAGAGCGGAAAAAATCGGGCGCTGAATGCTGCTCTTAGTCAAGTTTAGGAGTGCACAGCCTCTGCGCCTCGCTCATCGCCGTTGAACAGGGCGTTCGCAGAGATCTGACGCGGCAGCGGCTTGCTGCCACATCGCAGAGCTCTCACTCTTCGAGGCTGGTACGAGAGCCATAGTGAGTGACGCGCAAGCGCCTCCTGTGATTATATTTCACAGACATGCGGTCGCCTTCGCCAGGGTTATCAACGGACTCGCACAGGCAACAGCTTGAATCATCGCATCCGAAACGGACATCCCGAACACTCGCTCAGCGCGACGTCAGGTCGAACCACTGCCGCAGCAGGTCGGCGAGCGTCGCAGCGCGGCGATGTCCCGCAGCACCACGTACAGCGAGAACGGGAAGCTGTCGAGGTACCGCGTGAACTCCGGCTTCCCTCCCCGGAACGCCACCGTCTGCAGGTCGAGCAGCGAGGACTCGGAGCTGTCGAGGATGATGAACGCGTACACCACGCCGGGACGCTCGGCGGCCTCGCGCACGATGCGACGCAGGGCCTCCTTCTCGTGCAGCCGCCCGTCCGCGAGGATCAGCACGAGCTGCTGCAGCGTCTCCGCTCCACCTGCGCACCAAGGAAAACACCAAACAACGCAAGTGGTCGAACGAGCTGGAAACGCGAGCATGATCCTCCTCAGGCGCTCAATCAAGATCAGCCCACGCGCTCACCTGTCGCCACGCGCTCCCGGGCCGCGTCGACAGCATGGACATGCACTTCGGCCGGCAGCTACGCGGCGCAGAGCCGAGCGCGCCCCGTAGGCGCCGCACGTGCAGCTTCATTTCGTGGATGCGACTCCGGGCCCGGGAGGGCGCACGGAGGAAGACTTGAGTCGGCGGCCCGGGGCGCAGCGTGAGCCGCGGCGCGACATGATGCCGGGCTCCGCTTGGGAGCGCGCCGGCGCTCGCAGCTCAGTGATCTCCATGTCTTCGTGGCGCTCGCGAGCGCGCCTGCGGCCATCTCCGACTTGAGGGCGTTCGCGAGCACGCTGGGTCGCATCCGGTGGTCCGCGGGTCGAGGTCGAGCGCTCGTCCGAGCCGCGCGCCACACAGGAGACCGAGGTGCGAGTGTTGACGATAGCGTACTCCGCGAGAAGTCCGTCCACCGTTGCCCTCCAGGCAGACGACGACGCGAGCGTCGAGAGTGTCAGCCAGGCCCAGGCGGGGATGCGCGGCCCCTCGGTCCGCCTGAGCCGGCTGACACTGTCAGACAGTGAGCCGGGGGGTCACAAAGTGTCTCCCGGGGGTGTCTTGCGTCGTCCACGCCAGCCGGCTGCACCTGGGTCCACGCGCGGTGGCAGGGGCCAGTCTGCTGCACGACGCGCGGCGGGACGCTCGTGCCGGCGCGCGTGGCACAGGTCTCTCCCGCGCACGGCGACCAGTCGAACCGCAGCCGCGACCTGACGTCCACGCCCGCCGCGTCCGTGAACGGCCGGTCCAGTAGCGGCTCTTCTGGCCCCAGTCGGCGGGGCTCAGTGCGGAGCCGCGCAGAGAAGCCCGTCATCTCGTACGGCGCAGCGGTGTGCTGGGCCCGGCTGGGAGTGCGCGAGGTGCTGGGAGATTGGCTGGTGGTGGGGAGCGAGCGGAGGCTGGGCGCTGGTGGTGCATGCGAGGCGCGGGGAGTGGCACGCGTGCAGGGGGGCGCAGGAGGCCGGTTGGCCCAACCTCGGCCCGGGGCCGAGGGACGGGGCGCTCCTGCAGGTGGGATGGGGCGTGGCAGGCGGCGCGGCGCGGTGTGAGCGGCGAGCGTGGCGCGGAGCGTGCGAGAGGTGTCACGAGGTGCGCGGAGGCGCGGGCGGGTCGCGGTCGCTCGACTCCACGAGCTCGGTTGGGCGCTGGGAGGGGCTGTTTGGCCCCATGTTGGCGGTAGCAGGGGCCATTTGCCGGTAGACGGTGGCCGCGGGCTTTCCGGGCGGCCGTGCGGAGCCAGATCGCGGGGCTCGGCCGGCGCCGGGTCGCCCTCGGGTCGCCGCTGCGTCGGTGGTTGCGCAGGCGGGCCCGACGGGGCGCGAATGGGGCAGTTCGAGGCGGCGTGGCGCGGTTCCGGTCGGTACAGGGCGTCAAGGCGGCGTGGTCGAGCGGCAGGTGCGTCTGCGGGGGACCCAAGGCGCGTGTCGAGGCTCAGCGACGTCGCAACGGAGTGCTAGGCACTAGTCCGCGCAAACTAGTGCCTAACGCGCGAGCACGCCGCCGCGGGTCTTCATTGCCTCCGCGGGCCGCACTCCGCGGTCACTGCCAACACCGGCATTCGACGGCAAGCAACAAATCCCCAACCCACGGTGAGCAGCCCCTGTGCGCCTTGACTCCAGCCGAGCTCGATCCCAGCTGGCCCACGCCGGACCACAGCCGAGCTGGCCTGTTTGCACGTGTCGACTCTTGCAGGAAATTCGGCACGCTCGAGGCGGTGCGCTGCGCAGGCTCCAGCCTGACGATCCTCGGAGCGCCAGGTGACCGGAAGTCGGCCGCGATGAGTGACGACGGGCTGCTGATGGACCTGCCCGGTGGTGAGCACCAGTTTGAGATCCTGGTGGACATCGACGGAGTCCTGGTCAACGACCAACTGCCATTGGCATTGCGTTCCAGGCCCAGCGACAGCGCCAGCGGCCCCTGGGCCTTCGATGACGGAAGTGCACGGCACCTGGATGTCTGCGAGCAGATGGCGTGGGACAGAGGGAGTCCACTCGACGTGGGCAGCGACGTGAACAGCGTGGGTACGCCCGCTGTTGGCATGGTCGCTCCAGAGCGGCCTGCGCTGCGTCCGGGGGCTGTTGCGGGTATGAGCGAGGCGCAGAAGAGGGCTGCGGGGCACTTGCAAGTCCATGCGAAGACCAACGCGGCGTTCATGTTGTGCGGCTGCGACCCCGACGACCAGCCGTGCCCCGTGGTCTCGGCGGGGCAGACGGTGCATTTCGATCGCAGGCCTAGCGTGAACTGCCTCGCGAAGGAGGACAACATCATCTTTTGGGAGGTGCTGCCTGCCGGGATGCCGCCGGCGTTGCTGGGGGCGGCGCCCAGCATTTTCGTGCCCCGCCTGGTCGAGGAGGTCGTGAGGGGCGTGCACTCGGTTCTGTGGGCGGGCCACCGGGTGGGGCCCAACTATGACGTCCCGCTACAGGATGCCATGGAGCGGCTGGCGGAGGGCGGGAGCGTCGAGGAGCGATTCGAGTACGTAATGGAGGTCTTTTTCCGGGGGCGGAACCGGGCGTCTACGGCGCACCTCGGGTACGAGCTGAACGAGGGGTTCCGCGACTTCGTGGTGCGGTCGGGGGCGCGGTGGCCGGGGATGGTGCTGTCGCGGGAGGCGATCGGGATGCTCCTGGTGAAGTATAACAGGGACGGCTCGAGGCGTGTGGAGGGTCGCCCGTGAGCCGTTGATGTGGATGGCTCCACGATAACATAGCAGGTCGGGTTGAGGACGTGCCGACCCCGCTCCCTCGCACCGCGCCGCCCCGTTCGCGCGACTCTCGCTTTGGCGCCCGTGCGCCCTCGAGTCCCCGGTCGCGTGCTTGGAGACCTGGGCGCTACCTCGCGCTTTCATCCCCACGTGGACATCGGGCGTTTGATGATAACCCCCCCAGTCACCCTGCCGCCGGTCGGGACCGGTGCGCACCAGTGTGGTGGTGTGACCCATTTCCCAGCCCCTTTCAACTGCCTTTGATGTTCACAGTGGGGGTTGTGCTACCCGTGACGCGCTGCCTGCAACATCACAGCTCAAACGCCGACAAAAGCGCGACGTTGTCGCCTCACGACCGAACACTGTAAATCCGTCGCCGTAGAGCGTAGCATGTACTTCGAGTACGAGACAGAGCGCAAAACCTGTAGGCGAAATGGTTTGCACTCCTGAACGAAATGTCCCAAAGCCACTCCCCGGCGGTGCCATCGCTCGCCGCCGCCCGCAGCGCGCCTGCCAGCGCTGCCTCCATACCCGCCTCGTGCGCCGCGTCCCGCCGCGCGTCCGCCGCCGGCCCGTGGCCTACGAGCAGGTTGCTCACTGCCCGTCTCAATGCCTCCCTGCTGTCGTCGATATCTGCCGCCCGCAGCGCGCCCACCAGCGCTGCATCAATGCTTGTCTCGTGCACCGCGTCCCGCCGCGCGCCCGCCGTCGCCCCGCGGCAAACGAACAGGCTCCTCACTGTCAGGACCAGCGCCCTCCTGCTGTTGTCGCTCCCCGCCGTCCGCGAGCGCTGCCTTTATGCCCGTGTCGTGCGCCGCGGCCACCCAATCGTCCGCAAACGCTGCCTCCTTGCCCGCCTCGTGCGCCGCGGCCCCCCACTCGTCCGCCGCAGCCCCGCCTGACCTGAGCAGGTTGCTCCTCGCCGCTCTCAGCGCCCGCCTGCTGTCGTCGCTCGCCGCCGCCCGCAGCGCGCCCGCCAGCGCTGCCTCCATGCCCGCCCCGTGCGTCGCGGCCCGCCGCGCGTCTTCCGTCGCCCCGCCGGCAGCGCTGGGGGGCGCGATGCGGGCGGCAGCGAGCGATGACAGCAAGCGGGCGCTGGGCCGGGCAGTGAGCAACCTGCTCGCTGCCTCCATGCCCGCCTCGCGCGCCGCGTCCCGCCGCGCGTGTTCCGTCGCCCCGCCGCTTCTGAGCAGGTTGCCCACTGCCGTGCCAAGTGCCCGCCTGCTGTCGTCGCTCGCCGCCGCCCGCAGCGCGCCCGCCAGCGCTGCCTCCATGCCCGCCTCGTGCGCCGCGTCCCGCCGCGCACTCGCCGTCGCCCCGTCGCCAGATAACCAGCTGCTCACTGCCCAGCCAACAACAAGCCTGCTGTCGTCGCTCGCCGCCGCCCGCAGCGCTGCCTCCATGCCCGCCTCGTGCGCCGCGTCCCGCCGCGCACCCGTCGTCGCCCCGCCGCCGAACAACAAGCATCTCCCTGCCTCTCCCAGCGCCCGCCTGCTGTCGTCGCTCGCCGCCGCCCGCAGCGCGCCCGCCAGCGCTGCCTCCATGCCCGCCTCGCGCGCCGCGTCCCGCCGCGCGTGTTCCGTCGCCCCGCCGCTTCTGAGCAGGTTGCCCACTGCCTCTCCCAGCGCCCGCCTGCTGTCGTCGCTCGCCGCCGCCCGCAGCGCGCCCGCCAGCGCTGCCGCCATGCCCGCCTCGTGCGCCGCGTCCCGCCGCGCACCCGTCGTCGCCCCGCCGGCAGCGAGCAGACCGGCCACTGCCTCTCCCAGCGCCCGCCTGCTGCCGTCGCTCGCCGCCGCCCGCAGCGCTGCCTCCATGCCCGCCTCGTGCGCAGCGTCCCGCCGCGCACCCGCCGTCGCCCCGCCGCCGAACAACAAGCATCTCCCTGCCTCTCCCAGCGCCCGCCTGCTGTCGTCGCTCGCCGCCGCCCGCAGCGCGCCCGCCAGCGCTGCCTCCATGCCCGCCTCGTGCGCCGCGTCCCGCCGCGCGTCTTCCATCGACGCCCCGCCGCTTCTGAGCAGGTTGCCCACTGCCGTGCCAAGTGCCCGCCTGCTGTCGTCGCTCGCCGCCGCCCGCAGCGCGCCCGCCAGCGCTGCCGCCATGTCCGTGTCGTGCGCCGCGTCCCGCCGCGCGTCGTCTGTCGCCGCCCCGCCGCTTCTACGAAGGTTGCCCACTGCCTTTGCCAGCGCCCGCCTGCTGTGGCCGCTCGCCGCCGCCCGCCGCGCACACGCCCAGCGGCGTACAGGGAACAGGTTGCTCACTGCCTCTCCCAGCACCAGCCTCGTGCCGTCGCTCGCCGCCGCCCGCAGCGCGCCCGCCAGCGCTGCCGCCATGCCCGCGTCGTGCGCCGCGTCCCGCCGCGCACCCGTCGTCGCCCCGCCGGCAGCGAGCAGACCGGCCACTGCCTCTCCAGCGCCGCCTGCTGTCGTCGCTGCCGCCCCACGCGCCCGCCAGCGCTGCCTCCATGCCCGCCTCGTGCGCCGCGTCCCGCCGCAGCACCGCCCACGCCCCGCCGCCGCCGAGCAGGTTCCTCACTGCCGTGCCAAGTGCCCGCCTGCTGTCGTCGCTCGCCGCCGCCCGCAGCGCGCCCGCCAGCGCTGCCGCCATGCCCGCCTCGTGCGCCGCGTCCCGCCGCGCACCCGTCGTCGCCCCGCCGGCAGCGAGCAGACCGGCCACTGCCTCTCCCAGCGCCCGCCTGCTGTCGTCGCTCGCCGCCGCCCGCAGCGCGCCCGCCAGCGCTGCCTCCATGCCCGCCTCGTGCGCCGCGTCCCGCCGCGTGTTCCGTCTCCCCCGCCTGAGCAGGTTGTCACTGCCGCGCCAAGTGCCGCCCTGCTGTCGTCGCTCGCCGCCGCCCGCAGCGGCCGCCAGCGCTGCCGCCATGTCCGTGTCGTGCGCCGCGTCCCGCCGCACGTCTTCCGTCGCCCCGCCGCCGCCGAGCAGGTTGCCCACTGCCTCTCCCAGCGCCCGCCTGCTGTCGTCGCTCGCCGCCGCCCGCAGCGCGCCCGCCAGCGCTGCCTCCATGCCCGCCTCGTGCGCCGCGTCCCGCCGCGCGTCTTCCGTTGCCGGCCCGCCGAGCAGGTTCCTCACTGCAAGCCCAAGCGCTGCCCTGCTGTCGTCGCTCCGAGCCTCTCGCAGTGCCCCTGCCAGCGCTACCTCCATACCCGCCTTGTGCGCTGCGGCCAGCCGCTCGCTCGCCAACACTCCGTCGTCCGTGAGCACAGCACACACAGCTCCGGCAAGCACTGCTCTGCTCTCATCGTTCCGCGCCCGCTTGAGTGCTCCCGCGAGCAAGGTCTCCACACCCGCGTCACGCGCTGCGCCGATGACTGTCCGCTTCGCCCCTGTCGTCTCCGCGCTGGTGATCAGGTGACTGATCGCGAGGCCCAGAACGATCGTGGTGGAATCCTGAATTGAAGCGACCTGGAGGGCTTTGGCGATCGCCGCCGCAAGCGCGCGCACCCTTGCATCGCTTCCTCGGCCTTCGACAGGACCTTCCGCCAGCAGCACTTCGAATCCTGCAAGGCAAAGTGCTTTAGCAGCGGCGCCCTGATAACCTTGAGCCCAGGCTCTCCACACTGCCCCTGCTATCCCTGTCACCGTGCTGCATCCGAGGCTGACCTCCGTGTCCGCAGGCGTATCTTCTACAAGCGCCGCGACGAGAGCCGCAAACAACATGCGAAGAACTTCAGTGGTGCCCGTCCTTGCAGCATGCTCGACGAGCGACACTCCAGGTGTGATGTTAGATGCCATCGCCCACATGATGCGCTCCAGCACATCCCTCGCCTGCCCCCTTGCGCTCGCCGCGTCCCTCGCCCGCCGCACCGCCTCCCCGATCCGCCGAGAGCACGGCCGCCTCAGCTGTCTGCGTTGTTCCCCACCTTCGTCCTCGTCCGGTTCCTTCGCCAGCAGCAGCTCCGTCGCAAGCGCAAGAGTGTGCATCGCATCCTCGGCTGATTCCGCTTCCCCCGACCCCCCCACCGCTGCCTCGGCGCTCCCAGCTGCCGCCTCCAGCGCCCGCGCCAGCGCCACCTCCATCCCCGTCCGCCCCGCCTGCTCCCTCCGCCACCGATAATCGCCCCCCTCGCCAAGCAGCAGCCAAGCCGCTGCACCCAGCTCCGCTCGCGCCTTGTTCCCCCGCACGTCCCGCAGCGCCTCCGCGACCACGAACGCCGCCCCCGACATCGTCGCCTCGTCGCGCCGCTCCCCCACAGCCGCCCAGTCCTCGTCCTGCGCACGCCGCAAGCACATCACCAGCGCTGCGCCGAGCTCCTCCACAGCCACCTCCGACGCACGGCCGCTGCCCAGCGCTTTCAAAAGCGCCGCCTCGAGGCTAATCACCCCCGCCCTCTGCAGCCGCGCGGCTTCTTCGCCTCCCGGGCCGAGCAACCGCCGCACCGCACGCGCCAGCGCCGCCCACGCCTCCGACTCCGCAGCGCTCCGCAGCGCCACCGTCAGCCCCCGCATGACGCCCGCCGCGCACGCCGCATCGCGCCGCTCGCCATCGTCCGCCACCTCCGCCACATCCACTTGCAGCAGCAGCTCCGCCACCAGCTCGCCGAGCCCGGCCCGAGTGGCGTCGCGCCGCGCCGCTTGCAACGCTTCCGCGGTCTCCTTGTACAAGCCCAGCAAGTGCTTGTCGCAGCCGCCTGCCGCCACCGCGGTCCACCAACGCTCCTGGGTGCGGGCCGCTTGCAGCTGCTGGGCAAGGGCCTGGCTCGCTGCACGGGCGCTGTCGTCGTCGCCCGCGGCGGCCAGCGCACGGATGCAGCCCACAAGTGATGATAGCTCTGTAGGAAGGCTATCCAGAAGTGTTACCAGCTGACCTTGTGCGCGGCGGAGAGCTGCCTCAGAATCGAGCGCCCTTGCGAGCTCATGGTTTCGCTCGTCATCCTGCCCGGTCTGTGATACGGGGCTAAACCCTCCGACGCCTGTCAGGCCTTGTGCCAGCCGTTCCAGCACATCCCTCGCCTGCCCCCTTGCGCTCGCCGCGTCCCTCGCCCGCCGCACCGCCTCCCCGATCCGCCGAGAGCACGGCCGCCTCAGCTGTCTGCGTTGTTCCCCACCTTCGTCCTCGTCCGGTTCCTTCGCCAGCAGCAGCTCCGTCGCAAGCGCAAGAGTGTGCATCGCATCCTCGGCTGATTCCGCTTCCCCCGACCCCCCCACCGCTGCCTCGGCGCTCCCAGCTGCCGCCTCCAGCGCCCGCGCCAGCGCCACCTCCATCCCCGTCCGCCCCGCCTGCTCCCTCCGCCACCGATAATCGCCCCCCTCGCCAAGCAGCAGCCAAGCCGCTGCACCCAGCTCCGCTCGCGCCTTGTTCCCCCGCACGTCCCGCAGCGCCTCCGCGACCACGAACGCCGCCCCCGACATCGTCGCCTCGTCGCGCCGCTCCCCCACAGCCGCCCAGTCCTCGTCCTGCGCACGCCGCAAGCACATCACCAGCGCTGCGCCGAGCTCCTCCGCAGCCACCTCCGACGCACGCCCGCTGCCAAGCGCTTTCAAAAGCGCCGCCTCGAGGCTAATCACCCCCGCCTTCTGCAGCCGCGCGGCTTCTTCGCCTCCCGGGCCTAGCAACCGCCGCACCGCACGCGCCAGCGCCGCCCACGCCTCCGACTCCGCAGCGCTCCGCAGCGCCACCGTCAGCCCCCGCATGACGCCCGCCGCGCACGCCGCATCGCGCCGCTCGCCATCGTCCGCCACCTCCGCCACATCCACTTGCAGCAGCAGCTCCGCCACCAGCTCGCCGAGCCCGGCCCGAGTGTCGTCGCGCCGCGCCGCTTGCAGCGCTACCGCAGTCGCCTTGTACAAGCCCCGCAAGTGCTTGTCGCTGCCGCCTGCCGCCGCGGCCCACCAACGCTCCTGGGTGCGGGCCGCATGCAGCTGCTGGGCAAGGGCCTGGCTCGCTGCACGGGCGCTGTCGTCGTCGCCCGCGGCGGCCAGCGCATAAATATAGTCTGCCGATCGTGAGCCCACGGGCTCTTTTGTGGCCCCGTCGACCTGCGCCATCGACGTTTGCCTGCCGCCCTACTCAATCTTGAAAACAGAGACCCTGCGAATCAACGGGGTCGTCGATTCCTGACGATACGGCTCTGCTGTTGGTGGAGGCTGACAAGGCATGTCATACAGTCGAGCGACCACGTCCCCAAGTCCTGGCTGTCGTGATGCATGTTCTCGTCCTCACCTGGGGTGATCTCAGCGCGAGCAGTGCCCGTCGATGAGAAGGTTCAACATCGCAAGCAGGACGAGATCCGGTCAAAACCTCTGACGGGCTAACACGCCGCTCCCGCCTTATCTGCATCGTTCACGGCAGGGGCTGGCGTAGCTCAGCACTCAGTTCCCCGGCATTAGGTGTGAACGCGTCCAAGGCACTCAAATCGAACATCACAGGAAATCGATAGAATATGCGTGAGTACAGGACTAAAACAGCTCCTTCAGCATGCTTGCATCCTGCAAAAGGCGCTAATTTATGCACCTTCCTCAATGCAGGGCCCTGAAATCTCCCCTCGTCGGCGGTCGTGAGACCCACCGGTGCGGATCGAAGGGAGATAGTTCATCGCATCGCCCCAGGAGCTCAGCAACCTCGGTCAGGCCACAACGCTTGTCTACCAGCCTCTTCTCTTGCAGCTGCCAAGTTGGACCCGAGTGCACCTCGCTGCTGTCTGCAAGCGAGGCCCTAAGTGAATGCAGATACGTCGACCGGGCACGAAATGCCGTAGGCGTCCCAAGCAGCGCGGCACCGTGCCGGACTGCGCTGCAGACAGACTGTCCTTGACCATGGTCACACACTCGCGTCAGCGGCCGCGCTGCGCCTCAGAGCCGGCGGCCTTGTAAGGCGGCCTTGTTCCGGCGACGAGGAACAGGACTGACAGATGCGCACATGGAGCTGTCGATTCAGGGGACGCAGTAAGAATATTGGCGCCATTTCGCTCCAGCCACTGATCGACTGCTGGCGGTTGTCCACCTCGCCAGTGAGCTGGCGCGGCAGAGACGAGCCTAGCATGTGCGACCCGCATCACTCGTATGTTTTGTCCGTCATCGAAAGACGAGCGACTCCGGACGCGTGTGCTTGTCAGCGTGCCCTCAGTGCTCTGACCCTTCCACCTCCTCGTGGGCGCGTGGACGGAACATCTTGTCGCGTCCACATGCAGCTCACTACCGGTCATTTCAATCTGCGCAGGCGCGTTTGAAGTGACTCGCTTCGCACGACATGAGCGGCGACGAGTTTGGCAGTGGGTTGCGCGCTCGCGATGTCCGCGTGTCGCTGGATACTCTGCTCGCTCACAACGCACCGCGCAGCCCCGAGGAGACTGGGGGCAATAGTGTCCCGAACGCTTCAAGCGGACAAGCTCAGCCCCTGGAAGGCGAACCCTGCGCTCCGCATCCGAGTCTCCTGGCTTGGCTACCATCGGACCACGATGGCTTCAAGCCATGCGAAAGAGAAGCTGTGGCGGAACTGAAGAAGCTTTTGGGAACAGATGACCCCGATCTGATCGCCCGCGAGGCGGGACATCCTGGCGCGACATCGCCACCTCGATATTGCGCAGCTCAAGTCTGGAGCAACGTGATACGTGCGTGGCCCCGACCTGAATCGCATGACGGCTGCAGAAGACACCGCTGCGTCCCCGCCCACGTGCCATGCTTGATTTGTGCAACAACTTGACAAGGAACAGACTTTCCAGCATGCACTAGATGACCAGCTGCCCCATACGAAGACCGCTACGCCTGACTTGATCATCGACGATCTGGAGCTCAGCAGCTGCCCATGTCCCGTCGACACGTTCCTGTCTGCGATTCCAGGGCACGATTTCACGCCGCTGCGCGAGCTGCTGGTTCACGGAAAGGACGAACAGCCCTTCGCCCCCGACGACAGGAACAGCGTCATCAAGGTGTGCAAAAAGCTGGTCTATGTCTTGGGGGATAGCAAACAACGATGTGGTCCAAGCGGGCCCGGCGGGTGGATCAGGGCAAGAAAGGCGTCATTTCCTGCTATGCCTTCGAGGGAAGACGTGCTCAATTTATTCCCCCAGGGCACCCTTTACGCCTATCGGGTCATCCACGCCTGGTTCAACAAGGTTGGTTCCCGCGAGGCAACACACATGCTGGCAAGAAGTCACTTTGCGCCCACAGAACGCTTGCACCGTGAGCCGCAGCAGCTGTCAGCTGCCGGTGCGACTCAGATCAGTCGGGAAACATAAGCATGTTGCTCAGCGCGAAGCAGAGGGTACGGTTGGGGCTTGCGCAGTGCTGTATGTAGGCGCCGATCGCGATGCAACATCGCATCCCGAATCGAGGCTTGGGACGAAGTCCGCCCGATAGTTGCTCACCGCGGGATGTGCTGCAGGCGAAGCTGAAAACGAGCCAAAAGGAGACGGGTGGCACGACGCCTGGGGCTCATAAAAGGCAGAAGACGAGTACTCCAGCAGCCGAGATGAACGCTGAAACGAGCAACGAAGCGAAATCAGGAGATACTGTCAAGTGGTTTAAGGTCTGCGGCTCGGAACACTCTTCGGAGTCTTGCCATCTCCACGAGCACACACGGATGCCCCATGTTAAAGTGATCTTGGCTGGAGAGAAGGAGGAGAAGAAGCTGCAGGGATGCGCAGCGACTGGGAAGCCTTGGATCCTCGACTGTTCCATGATTGATTTCCAGGTCAATGCGGCAACCGAGCACGCCTTGACCATTCTCCTTGCTGCGGTACGTCATTTTCACTCCTTCGTGCACGGGCTGGCCGCACGGCCGCTTCTTCTGGCTTGCGGATATCAAATGATTTTCTTCTCCATAGAGCACAGATGCGGCCAGGTTTCTGCCTGCGCTCTAGATTCCATAAAAAAATCATGTCTTGTTATTGCAGATGTCGGATGCACCGGAACGCCGAAAAATGCACTCTTACGACGTGCTGCATGCGACAAAATTGAGGTGGGGCAAGGCTTACCGCGAAGACGACGCGGCGTGCATCTTCAATCCCAACCTCCAGGATGAGCGGGCAGTGTCCGAATACCTAGAAGAATCACGCGTGAACAAGAGGCTGAGCAAGTACAAGGGCGAAGTGAAGTGCGTGCATTGCTTTGCGTGGCAGCGCGCGCCACACGTGATGTCCGCGCGACATGGCTTGAACTATGAGTGTTCGATGCTGTGCATTGCTGTTGGGACTTGTGCACGGCTCTTCAAAGCGTGGGGCATGTTCGAAGCAGAGTATTCCTCATGAACTGAATGTATCATCGGAGGGACATGACCGGATCGGGCAGCCGCATGCCCTGCTGGAACTGTCACAGTTCAAGGGACAGGTCCTTGTGACGAATTCTTTGTAAAATCATCGAAATAAATCGCTGGCATGATCGCTCAGCGCGACGTCAGGTCGAACCACTGCCGCAGCAGGTCGGCGAGCGTCGCGGGCAGCGCGGCGATGTCCCGCAGCACCACGTACAGCGAGAACGGGAAGCTGTCGAGGTACCGCGTGAACTCCGGCTTCCCTCCCCGGAACGCCACCGTCTGCAGGTCGAGCAGCGAGGACTCGGAGCTGTCGAGGATGATGAACGCGTACACCACGCCGGGACGCTCGGCGGCCTCGCGCACGACGCGACGCAGGGCCTCCTTCTCGTGCAGCCGCCCGTCCGCGAGGATCAGCACGAGCTGCTGCAGCGTCTCCGCTCCACCTGCGCGCCAAGTAAAACACCAAACAAAGCTCGCTGGTGATCTCCAACCGTTCAGCCTTGTCAAACATACAGCACGTGGTCAAACGAGCTAGAAACGCGAGTATCATGCTCCTCAGGCGCTCGATCAATGCTCATCTAACGCGCTCACCTGTCGCCACGCGCTCCCGGGCCGCGTCGAGCATGTCCATCAGGCACGTCATCAGCGACACCATGGGCTTGTCGTCGATGGTGTTGTCCTGGTCGAACCGCAGCCGCGACATGACGTCCACGCCCGCCGCGTCCGTGAACGGCCGGTCCAGCGGGTGCAGCGGCTCCACCGCCCCGGACCCCCCGAACGACACCACCCCGAACTCCCCCACCTCGAGCCGCATCAGCGCGCGCGAGATCAGCGCCAGCGCCTCCATCGCGAACCCGCCGCACCCGTGCTCCGCCATCGAGCGCGAGTCGTCCACCGCCAGCACCACCTGGTACCGCCGCTTGTCCGGCCGCGTACGCCGCATCCAGATCTTGTCCTTGCGGAACCGCGACGCAATGTACGCGATGACGCGCCGCATGTTGAGCCGCTTGCCCGTGCGGTAGTCCCCCGCGAGCTTCGTCGCCTGCGTCGGCTCCAGGATCAGCCGCAGCTGCTCCGCGAGCTCGCCCGACAGCGCGGACGTCAGCGCCTCGCACCGCGCCCACATCTCGCGCGCCGCTCCCAGGTCGCCCGCGGCCGCGGCGCCCGCGGCCGCGTCTTGGAGCTTGCGCTCCAGGCCAGCCCGCAGCGCCTCGGCCTCCTCGGGCGTCAGCGCGCCGCGCACCGCCTCGGACACCGCGCGCTCCTCGTCGCGACCGTCCGCAGCGCCGCCCGCCAGCTCGCCCGCGCGCACCTCCACCAGGGACTCGAGCCTCTCCTCATCCCCAGCGCCGTCCTCGCCGGCCAGCTCCTCGTCCCCCTGTTCGTCGTCGCCGTCCATCGCCACGTCCCCGTCCCTGTCCTTCTTCTCGTCACCGTCCGCGCCGCGCGGCTCCACGCCCGTCTTCTGTCCCGCCAGACGGCTCGGTGCGTGCCCGGTCCTGACCTCCCCAGGGTCGTCCTCGTCCATCGGCTCCTCCTCCGCGCCCGGCGCAGCGACGGCGTCCTCGTCGCCGCCGCCCTCCTCCTCGCCAGCGTCGTCGCCCTCGTCGCGGTTCAGCGCCTCCATCTGCCCCGCCTGCTCCTCCGTCGCCGGAGCGAGCGCCTGCGCGTCCCCGCGCTCCCCCTGGTCCGCGAACTCGTACTCCCCCGCCACCACGTCCTTCACTCCCCCTCCCCTCTCCTCCAGCTCCTCCTCGCCGCCCGCCCCCTTCTCCTCCGCGTCGCCCGTGATGTTCAGGTCCGCCCGCCAGCGCTCCATCGCGTCGCCGAGCGACCGGAACGGGTTCGCCTCGCCCATGCCCTGCGACGGCTCCTGCCGCTGCCGCTGCTGCTCCCCGCCGCCCGCCGCCCGCGCCTTCGCGCCGCGCGCCCCGGACTCCGCCGCCCCCTGCGCCGACTGCTGCGCCATCTCCGCCGCCTCCATCGCCGCGCTCTGCTGCGCCACCGCCCCCGCGTCCACCCCGGCCTCGGTGCCGTTGGCGTCCTCCGCCTGCTCCCCCTTGCCGCCGTCCGCCGCCCCCGCCGGCCGCGCCGACGCCTGCGCCGCCGCCGACGCCTGCCCCGCCGGCCCCGCCTGCACCGCGTCCTCCTCGCCCGGCTCCTCCCCCGCCGCCGCCTGCGCCGCGGCATCCGCCCCCTCGTCCTCACCCACGTCCGGCTCCTCCTCCTCCTCCGCCCCGTCCACCTCCATCCCCTGAGGCCCCTGCCCACCTCCATCCTCCCCATCCCTCTCTTCCTCCTCCTGTCCCTCACCCCCCTCCTGCGCCACCTCCAACCCCCCCCCTCCTCCTCCTCCTCCTCCTCCCCCTCTGGGAACCCACCCCCCTCATCCTTGACCCCCCCGTCGCCCTCCTCCTCGCCACCGTCGCCCCCCTCGTCCACCGCCGCCTCCCCCGCCTCGTCCGCGTCCAGCTCCATGTCGTCCGGCAGCTCCATCTCCTGCTCCGGCTCCTCCGGCCTCACGCGGTTCCCCTCGTCCTCCTCGCCCCCCGCCACCTCCTCGTTCACCACCCCCTCCCCCTCCTCCCCCTCCTCGCCCTCCTCGTCCCCGCCCACCTCCTCAGCCCCCCCGCCTTGCTCCTCGTCCTTGCCGTCGCCCTCCGGACCCTCCTCCTCCGGCCCGCCGCCCTCGTTCCCGCCGTCGTCCTCCCCCGCGACCATCTCCGTGTCCGCGCCCTCCCGCTTCCCCACCGCGTTGTCCCGGTCGTACCCCGCGTCCTTCCGCGGCCCGTCCTCCTCGTCCTCCTCGTTGCCGTCCCACAGCTTCTCGTCCACGTCCTCGGCGTCGTCGCCCGCGTCGCCCATCTCCTGGTCCAGGCGCTGCTCGTCATCGCCCTCGTCCTTCTCCCCTCCGTCGTCCTCCTCCTCGTCGCTGCTGACGTCATGCAGCTCCCCCTCGAAGTCCTGCTCCATCTCCACACCCTTCGACTCCTCCTCCAACGGCTTCTTCTCCCCCTGCTCCTCCTTCTTCTCCTGGTCCTTCTGCTGCGCCCCCATGATCTGGTCCTCGTCCTGTATCTGCTCCGACACGTCCTTGCGCCCTTCGCCGTCACCCAGACCCGTGCCCTCCGCCTCAACGAACCGCCCGTCGCCCTCGCCGTCGCCCTCGCCGTCGCCCTCCTGCTCCTCCGCGGCCACGCAGAACCCGTCCTTGACCAGCGAAGTCAGAATACCGATCACCACGTGCGCAAGCTTGCCGTGCGCCCTGTGCAGCCGCAGCACCGAAGCGAAGCTGCGCTCCGCGACGGCGAGCAGCCCGCGCGCCATGCTGAGCATGCACGCCACCTGCTCCTTCAGGCCGCTGCTCTCATCGGGCCCGCGGGCGTGCACGGTGTGAGCGACCTGGCCCAGCGCCGCCCCGACCTTCGCGAGCCCGTCCTCGCCGGTCGCGATGTGCTGGAGGGCGGCGACGGCGTCAGAGACGCTCAGCATGGCGCCGAGCGCGTCGCGAGCGGGAACGGCTGCCTCCGACTTCCCCGAGCCGTCCTCGCCGGCCTCGCCCTCACCCACGCCGTCGCCATCGGCGTGCGGCGATCCCTCGGGCTCCGGCTCGTCCGCCTTCTGCGCCTCCTCGTACTTACGGTCGAGGTCGTCGCACGTGCGCTTGAGCTTCTGCGCCCAGACGAGGATCGCGCCCACCGCACCCTCGACCGCCGCGCCTGCGTCCTTGCACACCGCATCGCTTCCCTGCCTGGATGCGCATAGACTCTCGACCGCCTGCTCGAGCACACCGCTGGCTCGAGCCAGGCACTTCTGTGCGTCCGCGAGCGTCGGCACGCTGGCCAGCACGTCAGGCACCTCGTCCGGCAGGTTCGCAAGGGCACTGTGTTCGAACGCGCCCGCCTCCTCGCACGCGGCACGAACGGCACGCGCGCTGTCCCGCAGCGCTCTGACATCCGTCTCGGAAGCGAGCACAGCGGTCGATCCCGGAGCCTTGGACGATGCGACCCGACAAACGGCCTTGCGTGCATCGCGAACGCAGTCCACGTGGCGCCGGAGCATGTCCGCGCCCGCCGAGAGCGACTTGCGCAGCCGCGTGTCGTCCTCGGCCTCGGCAGCGAGCGCGAGCAGCCGCACGCAGTCCGGGAGCGCCAGACTAGCCGCATCGAGCTCGCACATTGCAGCTTCCAGACAGTGCGCGCCCTCTTCCGACGCGCGCAGCGCACCGCCGGCGTTCGCCCGCTCGAGCAGCTGGATGTGCCGCCGGAGCGCGTCGTACTGCGCGCACACGTCCGCGAGCCCGGCGCGCTGCTCACGCATCATCCGCAGCATGTGTGCCGACATCCTTCCCGCGATTTCCACCTCCCGGCCGCTCAGGTCCCTGCTCGGGGTCTTGCTGGCCTCCCACAGCCGCTGGATGCGCGCGATGCACGTGTAGTGGTACGCGTCGGCGCGCTGCCAGTCCGCACGCGTCCCCGGCGCCGCCTCCTGCACCATAAGTGTGCTGCCCAGCTGCGGGCCCGGGCGGAGGAACCACGCCGAGGGCGTGCGGTCGTCCGCGGGCACGGACGCGCGGTGGTGCGACACGCCGACGGCCGCGAGCGTTCGGAACAAGTCGGTCAGCGCCTTCTTCTTGCGCATCCTCGCAGACTTGTCTGACAGATCCTTGAGCTCCAGAGCCTGCTCGATTGCCGCCGCGGACAGGTCCTCGAGCTCCGCGGGGACCGCGTCGTGCACGGCCGCCGCGCCGTCGCCGGCGCACGCCGCCGTCGCGATCGACGCGAACCGTCGCGCGAGCGCCGGCAGCCGTTCGCGCAGGCTGGTGCCCGCCTGCGGCTGAGGAGCGCCGCTGGCCGGCCCCGCAGCGCGCCGACACGCCTCGAGCGCGGCCTGCACGCGCGTGAGCGAGGGTACCACCTGCGAGGCCACGTCCTGCTTGCTGGCCTTCGCCTTCGTCTTCGACTTCTTGGCGCCAGGCTTCTCGCCCGCCGTCGTTCCGATGCCGTCGGCACCGAACGGCGCCTCGGCCGCGTCCGCGGCGCGCAGGTCGGCGACGCCGACGGCGAGCGAGCAGCGCGCGATCGAGGCCGCGACGGGCTCCTTGAGCACCGCCTCGGCCCGCGCGCACATCTTGTGCAGGTGGCGCTGGCTCTTCTCCACCGACGACTTCAGCGCGTAGTACCCGCGGTCCTCCCACTTCGCGAGCTTGACGAAGTCGACCAGCGCCTTCTCGATCGGCCGCAGCCCGTCGTCGATCTCCTTCTCGATCGCAGGCAAGAACTGCCCGTAGTGCCGACACAGGTTGTAGATCGAGTGTGACAGCGAGTCCGCGCCCTCGGCCTCGCCCGCCGCAGCCACGCCGATCCGGACTTGCCCGTAGAACGCCCAGAGCAGCTCCAGGCGCCGGCGGAACTCACCGACAGTCGAGGTTTGCAGATAGTGCTCCAGCGTCTCAATGGTCGCGGTCGGGGACGCGTCGCTGCCGTCGGCGTGCCCGGACACGAGCCGCAGGAGGAAGAACCACGTCCGGTGCGCCCCCGCGGCGTGCACGTCGCGCGTGCGCGCCAGCAGGAACCGCCACGACTCGAGCTCGATCCTCCGCCAGCGCGTGGCCAGCTGCTGCACCTTGGACAGCTCCGCCTGCATCGACACGTGCTTCGCCGCCGTGTCCTCCCACAGCTGCGCGCGCGCGAGGAGCAGCTCCACGCCCGTCATGCCCTGCTTCAGCGGCACCGTCACCGCCATCGCCAGCAAGCGGTCGCAGATGGCGTCCAGCTGCATGAGGATCGGATTCTCCGGCCACTCCGCGAGCAGCGCGCCGATGCGCGCCTTCACGCCCGCGACGGGGTCCTGCAGCAGCGTCATCTCCTCGAGCACCGGGCCCTGCACGTCGACCTCGTCGCCCGCCCGCCGCTGCGTCGCTTTCACGACGTTGCGGCCCCCCAGCCGCGTCAGCTCGTTCAGACCGCCGTCCGCGGCCAGCACGGCGGAGCGCCGCGTCGCGATGCGCCGCCACTGCTGCAGGACGCGCGCGAGGTGCCCGCCCGCCGTCGCCTCGTCCGTCCACGTGGGCATGACGCAGTCCAGCGTGCGCATCAAAGACACCCCCAAGTTGTACCTGTGGTGGAACGCCTCCTCGGGCTCGAGCGCAGGCGCGTCCCTGTGCGCGCCGTCGAACACCGCGCGGTGGATCGCCACGGCGTCCTCGAGGATGCGGCCGCCCAGGAGGTGCGCCGCCGCTGCCGTTGCCGCCTCGGTTGCCGACGCCTCCTTGTCGTCGGTGGCGGGCGCGTCGGGGGCCGCGGCGTCCTCGGGGAGCTGCTCCGGCGTGAGGGTCTCGAGGTCCGCGAACATGGCGCTGAAGTTGCCGAACATCCTGTTGTAGGCTTCTTCCGCCTCCTCTTCTTCCGACTTGACCTTGGTTTCCGTGGTCTTCTGCTTCATCTTGAACACCTGGGCCTCCTCCTCGGCCTTGCGCGCCTGCAGCGCCTTGAGCTCCTCCCACGTCGACAGCAGCGCCAGGAACGACCGCTTCAGCCTCCGGAGAGCCCCCGACCCGTGTTGCTGCACCGCCCCCGCCAGACCGTGCAGCGCGAAAGACGCCTCGTGTCCAGCCGCGGTCAGCGCGACGTGCAGCGCGCCCGCGCGTGCATTGTATGCAAGCGCGTCTGCGTGCGCCTCCCGGTCAGCGACCGCCGCAGGGCGGACGGCGCTGCCTGGCGTGGTCGACGCCAGTGCTGCGTGCTTGACCTGCGCGCGCACAGCCTCGAGAACCTCGCTACGCGACAGCTCCGACACCGCGAGGGGTCCAACAGCGTCGTGTTGCACGAACGCGCCCGCCGGCACCGCCATCAGCCCCGCCGCGGCCCGGGACACCACGCACCGCACCGCAGCCTCGGCGTCCATCGCGAACGCCCCGCGGCTCACCTCGGGGCGCCGCCGCATCGTCGTCAGCGCCCCGAGGCCGTAGCTGATCTCCCGCATGGCCTGGACCACCGGAGAAACAATGTCGACGTACGCGGGGTAGCGTCGCTCCAACCCCTCCGCAGCAGCGATGAGGGTCGACGTCAGACCCTCTGCGGCCTCCACCGCGTCGCTGCTCGCGCTCGGGCCCGTCAGGTCGTCCACGAGCTGCACGATGCGCTCGGGCTTCGCGGGCCCGGACTCGATGCGGCCGATCTCCGCGCGCAGTTGCGGGAAGGCGGACGGCACCGGGCGGGGCACTCCCTTGCCCTCGAGCGCGTCTGCGCGGGCCTTGAGCGCGTCGCCGCGCGTCTGGAGGGCACCGAGGTAGAAGTCCTGCGCGGGCCCGAACGGCAGGCGCGCGTACTCCCGCCGCACGTGCTGTTCGGGGTGCACGCGGCCGTGCAGGTCCGACAGACAGACGGAGCGCTTCAGGGAGGACTTGCACGCGGGGTCGATGCCCAGCGGCGGCGCGGCGAGGTGCAGACGGAGCGTCCCGAGCAGGGCCCACGCCGCCGCACTGCGCGGACACGGCGCGCGCGCCGAGCGTGACGCTGCAGCCACGGCGTCTAGCGCTCTGCGGAGAAGGCCGCTGTCGTTGACCTCGCGTAGCTTGGTGTGGCTGCTGCGGCTGGCGATGTCGCACACCGCCGCGGCCGGTCCCGCGTCGCCCTGCAGGAGACCGCGCGCTGCTGCGACGAGCGCTGCGCGGTCGCTGTCCGAGGACGCCGCGGGCGCGTGAGCCGCGAGAATCACCGCCAGCAGCGACGACAGCACCTGTGCGTCGCGCGGGGCATCGCTGCGGCACGCAGCTCGGATCATCCGCGCGGCGGTGCGCAGCTCGGCAGCGCGCACGGCCTGCACGTCCACCGCGGGGGCAGCCGCGAGCGCGATGGCGGAGGCGTGCACGGAGAGGTGCCCTGTTGCCGGCAACAGCTGACTGCTGTCGCCCGCGCGAATGGACAGCATGTGCAGCCCTGACTCGCCGCTACGGGGCGTCACGTGCAGCTTTGGCACCTGCGCGGTGTGTTGGAGAATACTGGACGCCCAGTGGAAGCACACGACGTGCAGGACGGTCGCAACGGCCTCGGAGCTCGCCGCTCCGTCCGCCGAGAGCATCCACTGCAGCTGCTTCAGCCCGACGAGCGACGTCACGGGCAGCCCCGTCGCAAACAGCCCTGCTTCCACTGCCCCGACAGACTTCCGCAGCAACGCCCGCTTGTCCGCCTCGCCCACGTCGACGTCGCCCGTCTTGTGCCTCGCCGCAACGACAGCCAGCTCGGCAGCCACGCCGGCCTGCAGGCGCGCACACAGCGCGCCCTGCAGCACCTGCAGCCCCACCTGGGCGTCCCGGCCAAACTGCGACGACATGAACCGCGGCGGGAGCGCGAGCGCTGCGCCGCCGGCGTCCTGCGTGCCCGGCGACTGCCAGATGTCCGCGGAGGCCGGCGCGGACCGCAGTTCGTCCACGCGGAGCTGCAGCGCGGCGGCGGCCTCGGCGGCGATGCGGGAGAAGCGCTCCACCTCCGACGTGGACGTCGTGCCGAGGGCGGCCTGCATCGCCGCCGCGCCGAACATCGACAGCGCGTTCAGGCAAGCGCGCCGCAGGGCTGGGTCGCACCCGACCGCGAACCGGCGCGCTTCTGCCTCGGCGATGCGCTGCTCGCGCTCAGCCAGCAAGAGCTGCATGTCGATGCCTTCCTTGCCGGAACGCATCTGCAGCTCCGCGAGGTCCTCCGCGGCGCGGTGGACCGAGTCCGCGCCTGCTTGGCCGGAGACGTGCGCGGCGGCGCTGACGTTGAGCAGCGCGTGGAGCGCTGCTGCTGCCTGCTCGGAGGGCGGCGCGGGAACGTGCCCGCCGTGCCGCCAGAGCAGCGGCTTCGAAGGCGCCTCGGGTCCGAGCCCGAGCGCCGCGGCGGTCTCCGCGACGACGTGGGTGGCGCGCTGCGCGGCCGCCCCCTGGCACACGTCGCTGGACAGACCCGTGCAGCCCTCCAGGACGGCGCGGAAGCGCTTCCGGAGCCTCAGGAACAGCAGGCTGAGCATCTGCACGTCCAGGTCGCACGTCGCGATGCTGTGCCGCACCAGCGCGTCGCGTTCGGCGCCGAGCCTCTCGAGCGCTTCTACCCAGGACCCCTCGGGGACAAGTCCCCCCCCTACCACCGCCGCCTCGAACTCGACGATGGCGAGCAGCAGCGGGTGGATCCAGGGGATCACGGCGTGCTTCTGCGCGGCGCGCGCGTGCGCCGTGGGGTCGCTCGCCGCGGCGAACGACGACAACAACAGGGGGTGTCTTCCTGGCTGGCTCAGGGCCGCACAGCAGTCCTCGATCCCCTCCTTCAGACACGCCCACGCCCACAGAACCCCGAGCGCCGACGCCCACGCGCGCTGCGTTCGGTCGCTGCCCCGTCGACGCCCAGCCAGGCGCCGCTCGTCCGCACCCAGGCACGTATCGTCGTGGTTGCGGTCCTGCAACGCCGCCCGAGTCGCCTCGAGGTCCCCGACCCGCTGCGCGAAGGACGCGGCGAGGCGCAGGACGCCAGACTTGCCACCGAGCCGGCTGGCCAGCAGAGAGAGGTCCTCCGCCACCGCGCGGCAACGCACCTCCAGCTCGGACCGCGACGGAGCCGCACCCTCGACAGCCAGCCGGAGCGCGGTCTCGAGGCCGGTCCACTCCGCCAGCCCGGCGCCGCGTGTCGTCGTAGATGCTTGCCCGGCGTCCGGGGTCGCCTGGGGCACCGCGAGAGCCGCACGGAGGTTTGCGCTGCTGTCAAGCAGTGCTGCAAAGATGCCCCCCCCAGAGACGTGCGCGTCGCGGGCCACGACGGCCAGTGCCGCGTGCGCCACGACCGCGACGTCGCGCATCGTGCCGGCGTCGCGGGACCGCGTCATCAGCATGTTCGCGTCCACCGTCCGTGGCCAGAACCCAGGCAGCGTCAGCGCGCTCTCAGGCCGCCCCGTCCCATCCTCGAGCGCCCCCGCGGCGTCGACGTCGCGACACAAGGCGTCGAATACCTCTCGCAGCCTGATCTCCAGCCCGCGGTCGCCATCCGCGTGCGTGTACGCCTGGTCCCACGCCCTCCGCAGCGCAACACCGATTGGGAACCCACGCTGCACGAGCGCTCGCGTCGTCGTGCCCCACAGCCGCAGGGCACGCAGCGCGGGGGCGCGCCGGTGGTGCGCGGCCGCGGCCTCGACCGCGGCGCAGTGCGCGGCGCACATCGCGCTCTGCAGCCTTGCGCCAGGCACGCCCTCCAGCGACAGCGCGCCGGACAGGCCGGGGTGCGCCGCGCGCGGGGGTGGCGCCGCGATGAAGATCTCGATGCCGCGGTTGCGCATGGCGCGGGACACCTCGCCGTGCCGCGGGTCCGCGGTGAGGATCAGGCGGAAGGCGCGGTGCGGCGTGATGAGGCGCGGCCGGCCGTCGACCGAGCCGCACTCGTTCAGGTAGAGCTGCCCGCCGGGCTCGAGCAGCGGGTTCAGACGGTCCAGCACCGTCGGACTGACCATGTTGGCGTTGTCCAGGAGCACCCACCCGCCCGACTCGATGGCGCGCAGCAGGGCGCCGTCCACCCACTCGAACCGCCCCGCGGCGCCCTTGCCGGCGCCCACGAGGGACTCACGCAGCGCGTCGATGTCGCGAACGAGCTGCGCAGCCTCCCTGGCCGCCCAGGGGACGCGGCCTTGGTGCTGCGACATGTGGAGACTGAATTGCGACACCCGGTGATGCAGACTGGCCAGGTCCTCGACCGGCGCGCCCGTGCCAGCGGCATCGCGCTGCTCGAAAGACTCCACGCCCTCGCACAGCGCCTCGACGGCGCTCAGGTCGTCCTGTGCGTGGCACAGCAGCGCTGCCGCGTACGACCGCACGAGGCGGCGGGCCCGGCTGCGCAGCTGCTGCACGCACCGGTCCGGCTCGAGCAGCTCGAAGCCTCCCAGAAGGTCCGACGTGTCCGACCCGGACGTCAGACTCACCTCCAGGAGATGCTGCCCCGCTAGCTGCGCAAGCATCCGCGCCGCCGCCGTCTTGCCCGTCCCCGCGGGCCCGACGAGCAGGCACATCCACCCCATGCCGAGCGTGTGCAGCGCCGACTCCAGCACCGGCATTTGTTCCGGCGCCGGGCTCAGCGCCGCGCGGCCGTTCCCGCCCCGACCCTCCCGCGGCGCGACCCATCCGCCCTCCGTGCCAGCTCCCAGCTCCGGCGCCGACCGCGCCAGCCGCGCCCGCCCGATGCGCAGCACCTCCGGCGTGCACAGGACCGTCGGGACCCGCCCCGCGTCGCCCTCGTCCCCCGCCCCCCACACGCTCTCAAACAGACGCAGCGCCTCCGCGCGGTCGGCGTCCGTCCGCAGCCGCTGCACGTACAGCATGCGCACGAAGTGCCGCGCGGCGTGTTCGTACATCTCGAGGTCGCCGTCCCCCGCCGCGCCCTCCACCAGCGAGCACCACCGCAGAATGTCGCGCAGGTTGAACTCCCAGGGGCCGCCCGCGCCGCCGAAGCGCCGCTCGTCGTTCACCGCCGCGTGCAGCGCGCATGTGAAGTCCACCATGCGCTCCGCGACGCCCGCCGGCACGCGCGGGTGCAGCGCGCCCACGATCAGCCTCAGGTCGCCCGCGTGCAGCAGCTCCACGTGCACGCGCGAGAACCGGTTCAAAAACGACTTCGGGAGCCCCTTGCGACCGCCGCCCTCCTGCAGGGGGTTCTGCGCCGCGAACAGCCGGAACGTCCCCGGGCAGTGGAAGGTGCGCCCCAGCTCGGGGATGAACACCTGCTGGCGGTGGTCGAGGACGGCGTTCAGGCCCTCGAGGACGGGCTGCCCCGCGAGGTTGAGCTCGTCGAGGAGCACCCACGCGCCCTGGCGGATGGCGCGCAGCAGCGGGCCGTCGCTCCACGCGAACTCCCCCGGCGCGCCGCCCTGACGTGGCAGGTCGGCGCCCAGGAGGTCCATCATGTCGGTCTGCTCCGACAGGTTGATGCGCACGAGCTCGTTCCCGCTCGCGCGCGCCATCGCCGCGATCAGCGTGGTCTTCCCGACGCCGGGCGAGCCCTCCAGCAGCACGGGCTTGCGCACTTGCAGCGCACGCAGCACGCGGTAGGCGTTGCGCGCGGTCGTCGGCGCGCCGAGGCTGAACCGCCCCCCCGCGGCCTCCGGCGCCCCCGCGTGCGGTCCCGCTGGAGTGAAGAAGGGCGCGATCCCCCACGTCTCGCCCGGAGCGCCCGCCCCGTCGGGCGCGTCCAGGCTCACGCTCCCAGCACCCGCAGCCGCTTCCGCCGCGTCCTGCGCGTCGTCCGGCAGCTGCCGCGCCAGAAAGTCGCGGCAGTGCCGCCGCAGCGCCGCCGCAGCGGCCGGCGCCATCCCGACCCCGAGCCCGATCCCGTCCAGCAGCACCAGGTGCGCGCCGTGCGCGTACGCAGCCAACGTGCCGAGCGCGGGCTCCGTGGCGTTGATGAAGCCCACCCACGCGAGCAGGTCCCGCGTCGACAGGCCCGTGCGGCACAGCGCGGGGTGTTCCCGGTAGAACCGCCAGAACGCGACGATGCGCGGCGCCGCCTCTGCGCGCGCCGTCTCGGACGCCAGGCGCGCGCGCAGGACCTGCAGGAGCTCCTCGTCGCTGCTCGCGCCGCCCACCCAGACGCTCGTGAACCGGTTTGACAGCGCGGGCGACAGCTCCTTCTTCCCGTAGTCGCCGCCCGGGTTCATGGTTGCGAGAATGCGAAAGGTCTCCGCAGCAACGACCACCTCCGCGCCGCCGCCGCCCTTCTCGGCGAGCGTGACCGTGCGCGACGGCTCCAGCACCGAATTGAGCCGCTCCAGCACCGCGTCGTCGGCCAGGTTGAGTTCGTCGATCAGCACCATGTCTCCGTTGCGCATGGCTGTGACCAGCGGACCGTCCTCCCACACGAACGGCGCGCGCGCCCGCTTGGCGGCGTCCTTCAGACCGTCGAGCTGCTCCTGCAGCGCCCGGCTCGCGTCGCCGTCCGGGTCCGCGCGCACCGCGCCCGCAACCAGCTTCGACAGCGCCGCCAGCGCTGCCGCGAGTTCGGGGCCCAGCATCGACGTGATCGTCTCGGGCACGCCCGCGAGCGCCGCCTTGTCCGCGTCCACGGTCAGCGGGTGCGCGAGGATCGCGGCGGCGTGTCCCGCGAGCCGCTCCAGCGCCACCTCCCGGTCCCTGCTCGGACGATACCCACCCAGGAAGTCCGACGCCTCCGTGAACTGGTTGCAGTTGACGATGTGGAGCCGCTGCCCGCGCATCGCCGCGAGGAGCTGGCACACCGTCGTCTTGCCCGTCCCGGTCTCCCCGCACAGCAGCACGGGCTCGCTGTGCTGCAGGCACCGGTCGACGAGCGTGTACATCCGCCGCAGCGTGGGCGTCCACACGATGCCGCGGAGGAGCGCCGCGAGCTGCTGCGCGGTAGCGTCGTCGTGGTCGGAGTCCGCGCCGGCGAGCGACTGCTCCAGCCGCGCGAGCGGGGCGTCGCCGTCACGCCGGTAAATGTGCGAGGGGTCAATCGACTGTTTCATGGTCTTCTTGAGGACCTCCAGGATGACCGCGCGCTCGCCGGGCGTGCGGAGGCGCTCGCCCAGCACGCAGAAGCCGTCCTCGGCCAGCTGCTCGTACCCCTGCGCGCGCCGCTCGGCCCACCGGAAGAGGTCGCGCGGCGTGATGAACCCGTGCTTGCCCGCGAGCGCGTTCCCGCTGCTGCGCCGCCGGTACAGCTCCTTCATCGTCTCGACCATCTTCGCGGCGTACGACGGCGGGATCCCGCACCGCTTGTCGAGAATCACCGCCAGCTCCGCGTCCGGCAGGTCCCCGATGTGCAGCTCCATGAACCGCGACCGGAACGCGCGCGACAGCACCTTGCGGCCCGCGTACTGCCCGGGCGGGTTCTGCGTCGCAAACAGCATGAAGTGCGCGTGCGGCTTGACCACCTCCTGCAGCTCCGGCACAAACAGCTCCCTGTTGTCGTCCAGCAGCCGGTTCAGCGCCTCCAGCACCTCCGTCGGGGCCAGGTTGAGCTCGTCGAGCACGATCCAGTGGCCCTCGCGCAGGGCGGTGACGAGCGGGCCCTCGCGGAAGGCCAGCTTGCCCGTCTCGTCCGCCACGTAGCTCCCGAGATACTCTTGCAGGTCGATTTGATCGTGGTTGTTGATACGGACGAACTTGTGCCCTGTCTGCGCGGCCAGGTACGCCACGAGGGACGTCTTCCCGCTCGAGGTCGGGCCCTGGAGGAGGATCGGGTTGCGGCGCAGGAGCGCCGCGCGGGCGATGTTGCGCAGGTGCTGCGCCACCGACGGCGTGCGCACGAACCGCCGGCCCTGGCCGTCGTCCTCCTCGCCGCCCGCGAACTGCCCGAGCGGCCCGCGCTCGATCCAGAAGCTATCGAACAGCACGTGCGGGGAGTGCTTCGGCTCCGGCGGCGCCCGCATCAGCCCCTTGGGCACGCTGTTGCCGCCCAGGAGGTGCCGGCAGATGAGGCGCTCGAGCCGCGGCGCGCTCTCGCCGGAGAGCAGCGTGAGGAAGCTCATCGCGAACCCGTCGTACAGCGCGCGCTGCAGCCCGTACACCGGCACCGCGCACCGCACGTACTCGAGGGCGCGGCAGAGGGTGCGCAGCGAGTACGAGGGGCGGTGCCCGGCGCCGTCCGTCAGCGCCGACGCGGCCTCCTCCTTCGCGGCGACGTAGAACTCGACCACCTCCGCCAGCGGCGGCTGCGCGGCCGTCCCCTGCAGGTACGACGCCGCCACCAATTGCAGATCCCCCTTCTGCGACGGCTCCGGCACCCATATCTCGGTCATGCGGCTCTTGAGCGCCGCGGGCAGGTCGCGCTTGCCCGCGTCCGTCGCGGGGTTCATCGCGGCGAGCAAGCGGAACCCCGGGTGCCGCGCGACCGCCGACGCGTCGCCCCGCTCGGCCACCGTCAAGCTGCCCGCCCCGTCGCCCTCCAGCAGGCCCGCGATGCGCTCGAGCGCCTCGGCGGGCGCGAGGTTGATCTCGTCGAGCAGTAGCCAGTGCCCCTCGCGCACCGCCTGCACCAGCGCGCCCTCCACGAACGAGAACGCCACGCCCCCCTCGGCCGCCGCCACCAGACGCTCCGCCGCCTCCACGTCCTCCGCGAACCGCCGCCACTCCCCCGCCAGCGCCGTCGCCTCCGTCTTCGCGCGCTTCTGCGGCGGCGCGTCCCCGCGCGCGCTCCCGCCGGCCTTCCTCACCGCCGCGCGGAAGGCCTTGACCAGCGCCGCCCACTTGGTCTGCGTTGCCAGCTTGGTCACCTTCGACAGGTACGCGCTGTTGTCGCCGCGGGGCCACGTCGCGGGCACGAGCTCGCAGAACCGCTGCAGCAGGGGCGCGAGGGCCTGCCGGGGCTCCAGGGGCTTGAACCCCCCCAGGAGGTCACTGGAGTCCGTCTGTTGACTCAGGTTCAGCACGACGAGGCGCGCGCCCGCGGCGTCCGCGATGCGCTGCGCGAGGGTCGTCTTCCCCGTGCCCGTCTCGCCCACGAGGAGCGTCGGCTCGTTCATGGCGACGCCCGCCGCGACGCGCTCGAGCATGCGCATGGCGTGCGCGGTCTCGGCGAAGGGGGCCTGCCGGGGCGCGGAGCGGCCGACCGCGGGCAGCGCGACGCGGCCGACGTTCACGTGGTCCGGACCGATGCGCAGCTGCGGCTTGTGCAGCGCCTGGTAGTGGTCGGCGGCGGCGGACGGGTCGAGCCCCCACGCGGCGGCGAGACAGCGCAGGAGCGCCTGCCGCGCGGCGTCGGACGGGACGGGGGCCGCGAAGATGTCCGCGAACTCCGTGAACGCGGCCTCGCGGACAGCAAGCGGCACGTCGTCCACCGTCACGTCGCCCTCCGACGCGCGCGCGCGCATCGCTGCGGCGTTGCGCTGCAGCACGGCCGCGTGGATCCGCTGCATGCGGCGGCACCACTTGCTGACGTCGCGCACAGAGAAGTGCCGGCCGAGGTGTAGTCCGCGGTCCCCGGGCCGCAGCCCCGCCGCCTCGAGCAGTGCGAGCACCACCGCGCGGTCAGCGTCGCCCTCGCCGCCCGCGTCCTGGCCCGCTCCGCCCGCGGGGCTCTCCGCGGCCGCGCGCATGATCATGAGCGACCGCAGCGCGAGCCGCAGCAGCGGCCGCAGCGGCTCGTGCGCCGTAGCGAGCACCTCGAGCGCGTCAGACATGGAGGGCTCCGGCACCCGCACAACCTGAATCAGGCTCCCCAGGAGGTCGCGGAGCGCCTGCGCTGACCCGTACGCGCCGGCGCCGGACCCGCTCGGGCTCGACGTGACGGTTCCGAGCAGCTGGAACCCCGGCGCTGCGGTGACGGTCTGTGCGCGCTGCGCGAGTTGCAGTTCGCGCGTCTCCAGGAGCGGGACGAGGGCCGCGAGCACCTCGGGCGGTGCGAGGTTGACGTCCTCGATGAGGAGCCAGCGGCCCTGCTCGACGGCCTGTGTCACGGGCCCGGCGCGCCACACGAACTCCCCCGGGGTACTCCCCGCCACGTAGGTGCCGAGGAGGGACTTGGAGTCCATCTGGTCGTCGACGTGGATGCGCACCATGCTCGCCGCGTTCCCCGTCACGCGCGCCAGGTGCTCGATCACGCACGACTTGCCGCAGCCGGGCGGCCCCTCCAGCACCAGCGGTGCCCGCTGCATCAGTGCGACCACGGCGGCCTCCAGCGCGGCCGCGCTCCCGGCGGTGGGCACGAACCGCGCGCTCGAGTCGCTGAGTGCGGCGGCGCGATCCTCGGGCGGCGACGGCCGCACGGGCAGGTCGAGCCCGCACACGCGCACGTGGCCTGGGGGGGGTGTGGCGGCCAGAGGCCCCGCGCCGCTCGCGTCCTCGCGGGACACGTTTGCGGCGCTGCTGGGCTGCATCCACATCGCCGCGCCGGTCACGACCAGCTCGTTGCGGAACCACTCGTACCGCAGGGCGCACTGTGTTGGCGTGTCGCTCGGGAGGTGCTGCGCCAGGAAACGCTCCGTGCCTGCGCACACAGATCGGGCACCGCAGCGACGTGAGTGTGCGGCAGCTGGCAGAGACACGTATTGTTTCGGCAATGCGCGCGTGTTTCGAGGCGCGGTTGCTGCTTCAAAGGGGGGGGGTGTCTTGTTTTGTTTGTGTGCGTCGCACCTGCGTCGGACATCTCCATCGCCCGCGCCACCGCCATGGCGGCGGCCCACTTCACGTCGTCGTCTCCGTGGCGCAGGAGCGCCAGCGCGGGCCGCACCGACCATGTTTGCGCCAGCTCTGCGCCCGGCCCTGTGTCGCGGATCAGGAGCGCGCACCGACACACCAGGACGGCGCGCTCGCGGTCCACGGAGGGCCCGGCCGCGCAGCGCCACGGGTTGAGCGCCGGGTGCGCGTGGAAGAATTGGCGCACGTCCGGCGTGACGTGCGGCGCGTAGAAGGATGCTACGAGGAGGGCGCAGGCGACCTGTGCGGGGTCGATGGCGGTTCCCGGGTGCCGGTGGTCCTCGAAGACGCCGTGGATGATCGTCGGGAGCGACGCGCGGAAGAGCGTGGCCGCGAGGGGCGCTGCGCGGGCGTCGTACAGAGCTGTGCGCACACACTGGAGAGCGGCCTGCGCCGATGGCGCCTGCGGGGGGCACAACAAGAGGGCCGAGGGCACGTGGCTGGTGAGGCGATGAATGTGGGGAGGCGGGGGCGCCTCGCGGGTCCCGGGCGGCCGCCGCTGGAAGCCGCATTTCACGCCGGCTGACAGAGGCTGGCCGGCGGCTGTGTGGTGTCGGCGCACACGCCCGCTGGGGGAGCACTTTCGATGGCCGGTGGTCCAGGCGGCGAGCTTGCAGCTGTCGCTCAACGCTGGGCTGGGCCACGTCGCGACGTGCCCGCGCTGGGCCCGGCGCTCGGGTGTGGACAGTGAGCAGGAGCACGTCGTGGGGGAACACGTCCTGTTGACGGCTCAGATGGGTATACCCACCTTTCCTGCCGCGACGTCCCTCAGCTGATGCAGGTGCGGGTGCTTGTCAAGCAGCGCTGTCGCTGCGGCGGACAGGGACGTCATGAGCGCCCCATCCGTGTCGGCGCTCGCGTGGGCAGCCGGCATGGCGCCCTGCTCTGCGGGCGGATCCGCTGCGGTTGATACGTCTCAAATCTGTGGCATCAAGAAGCAAGGGCCAGCCCTGGCCGTGGAGCGGCACGGAAAAGATCCTGGTCCGCACGGCGCGCGCGATGAGAGTCACTGCTGTGCGCGTATGAGGGCCGGCTGCCTTTGAGAACGAACACCTGCCGCACAACGAACTTCAGACTTGCTGAAAGTACCGCAGACGTCCACCTGGCGCCCCCCTCTTCCCACCCCGCCCCACCACCTCGTCGCCGCGCCACATCCCCCGCCAGCACCAGCACCAGCCCACGCGCCCTCCCCGACCGACACAGAGCCCGCGGCGCGCCGTGCGTCCGCGCCCCCGCCCGCCCCCGCCAGTTCGCACGTGCCCGCGGCCGACCCCCCGCCCCGTCCGGCCGCATCACACACACGTCGTAGCGCACCCTCGTCCGCTGGCCGCGGCGTCGCTGTTTCGCTGACACGCGGGACACCTCGCGCGACCGCGCCCGATGTCGGCCACGGACGACAAGATGCAGGCCACGGCTGGAACCATCCCCGCCGTGACCCCACCGCCCGTGAAGGGAGCTTCGCCCAAGAAGGCCTCGCCCAAGGTGCGCCGATGGACCCGCGCGGGCCGGTTCGCGCCCCGCGACGCCCCCGACCACTTGCTCGGAGGCAGTATCCGGCCTGCGATGAGACATTCGTCGGCGGCGACGCCCCGCGCGCACGGCCTGCAAGGGCCAGGTTTTTCGCGGCACCGCGCGCACCAGGGCCCGCACCGATCGGACGCGCGGCCTCGCGTTTCCTTCCCAGCGACGCCGCCGTGAAAGCGCCCGCGGATGCGCAGCTGGCGCGGTGACCGACGCCCGGGGCCCCGCCCAGTTCTCAAGGGCCCGCTGGCGCGCGATGCGAGCGCGACGCCGCCGGCCCGCACAGCCCCGCGACAACGCGCCCTTCGCGGCGTCCGCATCTGCCGCGGCCCGCCGCGCGATCGCGCGCGGCTCCTCGCTGCGGTCCGAGACCGCGCGCGCCCGCCACGCTTGTGTGCTCCTGCCTAGGCAACATTCGCGCGTGCACGCGGGACGCGCACGTCCAGCGCACGAGGCGCGCAGCCCGACCTCAGTTCCAGTCATCGCGGCCGTGGCGATTGAATAGCGCGCCGGGGAGCCACCGCGTGGACCGTCGCGGTGCCTCAGCACAGCGTTGGCTTCGTTCGTTGCCCCGATGCCGCTCTGGCCACCTCGCGGCCCCGTTGACCGCCTCTCCCATCGTTCCGAGCAGACCCACTTCTGGGCGGCCACCAGACACGTCCGCGCGCCGCATCTCGGCCCGCACGTTCCGCGCGCCGCCGTCGCGGTCCTCCCCAGCGTAGGCAGCATACGCGCCCCGTCCGCCTTGTGCACGTCGAGCCACGGCCTGAACGCGCCCCGACGGGATCCCCGCGTGCTCGCAGGTCATGGGCGTGAAGCAGTCGACGTTCGAGGCGTTCGCGGTGCCGCTCGCGTTCGGCACTGGCGTGGCCATCGCCCGCCTGGTCACCGGCCGGGGCAAGCGCCGCGCCGTCAAGGCCAAGGCGTCCCGCGACGAGAGGTGCGGCACACCGCCCAGTCGCCCTCTGCGCGCCCCCCGGACCAGCCACCTCCCTCCCCCATGACCGTCCTACAACGACGGTTCAACATGCACACAGCACGCGCGCCGTTCGCAGCACCGCGACGACGCACACCCGCCCGAGCCCCCCGCGCGCGTGTCACACCTCGCGCGTCCCGCTCCGTCCCGCACCCGCCCACTGCGTCGCGTGCGCCCCCACCACGTGCAGGCGTGTGGCGCTGGGCAAGGACTCCCGCGCGGCGAAGCTGTTCGACCACCTCGCCAAGTACCACCAGGAGCACCTCCTCGACTGCTGGGCGGACCTCGACAAGGCCCAGCGCGACCAGCTCGACAAGCAGCTCCGTTCGTTCGACCTCGAGTTTGTGCAGCGCGCCTTCCCGTCGTCCATGGCCGTCGACGCCGTCGTGTCCGGCATGTCGCCCGGTGAGCAACGATACCGCGCCCGCATTGCACGTGTGCGTGTGCGCGTGCGCGTGCGTCCCCCCGGCCCACGAACGGTTGGTTGTCTGCGTGTTTGTGTGCAGAGCCGGTGGACGTGGCGGACGTGGCGCCGATCGCGGGGCGCGACCCGCAGGAGGCGGAGCAGTGGCGCCTGGAGGGTCTCCGGCTCATCTCGACGGGCAAGGTCGCGGTGATCCTCCTCGCGGGCGGGCAGGGCACGCGCCTGGGCAGCGCAGCGCCCAAGGGGTGCTTCGACATCGGGCTGCCGTCGGGCAAGCCGCTCTTCCAGCTGCACGCCGAGCGCATCGCGAAGCTGCAGCGCCTGGCCGCGGACGAGGTCGGCCCGAACGGTCCGGGCGGCCTCCCCGACAAGCTGGTGCACTGGTACATCATGACGTCGCCGGCGACGGACCGGGCGACGCGGGAGCACTTCAAGGGCGCGGCGTACTACGGGCTGAGCGCGTCGCAGGTGCACTTCTTCCAGCAGGCGACGATGCCGTGCCTGACGCCGGAGGGGGACATGATCCTCGAGACCCCTGGGAGGGTGGCGACGGCGCCCGACGGGAACGGGGGGCTGTACCAGGCGCTCGCGGCGTCCGGCGCGCTCGCGGACATGCGGTCGCGCGGCGTGGAGTGCGTGGACGCGTTCTGCGTCGACAACGCGCTCGCGCAGGTGGCGAGCCCGGAGTGGCTGGGGTACTGCCGGGCGCGCGAGGCCGACGTGGGCGCGCGCGTGGTGGCGAAGAGCGGGCCCGGCGAGAAGGTCGGCGTGTTCGTGAAGAGCGGCGCGTCGGGCATCGCGGTGAAGGAGTACTCGGAGCTCGGGCAGGACCTCGCCGGCCTCAAGGGCCCCGGGGGTCAATTGGTCTACCGCTGGGGCAACATCTGCATGCACTACTTCTCGCTCAAGTTCCTCGAGTCCACCGCCAAGGCGATGCGCGCGACGCCGACGTACCACGTGGCGCGCAAGAAGATCCCGTGCGTGGGCGGCGACAAGGTGGACGGCATCAAGCTGGAGCAGTTCATCTTCGACCCGTTCCCGTCCGCGGGGAAGTGCGTGCTGTTCGAGGTGCGCCGCGAGGCCGAGTTCGCGCCCGTGAAGAACGCGCCGGGCGAGGCGGTGGACTCGCCCGACACGGCGCGCGCGGCGGTGCTGGCGCTGCACAAGAAGTGGGTCGAGGCCGCGGGCGGGCAGGTCGTGAGCAACGCCGCGGCGCTCTCCAAGGTGCTCCCCGAGGCGTTCTACGGCGCGCTCTCGGAGCTCCCGGGCGTGGAGGTCGCGCCGACGCTGTCGTACGCCGGGGAGGGGCTGGAGCGCCTGTGCAAGGGGAAGCAGTTCAAGCTGGGGACGCACATCGACAGCATGCGGCTCGTGCGGCAGGGCTCGAGCGTCGGCAAGTCGAAGAACATGGACGTGCTCGACGCGCCGCGGAGCCGCGGCCCGAGCGCGCGCACCAGCAAGGTGGGCTCGCGGCGCGACAGCGGGGCCGGGCTCAAGGAGCTCGTCAACCTGCCCAAGGACCAGCTGCCGACGCACCAGGAGAAGTGACGCGGGGGCTGCGGGTTGGCGGGGGCGATGTGAGCATGGGCCCTGTGTTGTTGCTGTGTCAGGTGCGCGGGTGGTCAATTACTACTCTATGTGGCACGCGCGCGGTGCTGGGCGGCTTCGTTGCCGCCAGCAGGCGCGGGAGGCGCGCAGACGTGTGTCGCGCCGGATAGGCTCACTAGGGTGCGAATCTGTGTGGTGGCAAATAGAGCACACAGCGCCTGAGCTCTACTGGCTGCTCGAGGGCGCACGCACAGCGGCCCAACGGCGCCGAGCGCGGCGCAAGCGGAGGGCTCGGACGTCATGAGCGGGCCGACGGAGGCGGCGCCCGCGGCGAGCCCCGCCCTGCCGTCCGTGCCGCTCCCGGCGGTCCCGGCGGACGCAGTGACGGCCGCCCACGCCGCGGAGCTCGACTCGGGGGCGGACGGCGCGAGTGACAGCGACGAGAGCTGGGACGAGGACGAGATGGCCCTGGCGCTGGAGTGGGCGGACATGCGCGAGGACCACGTGAGCGCCGCACGCCGAAATTCCTGTGCTGAGAAGCGAGGGCATCCTGCGCCGGCCGCAAGCCCAGGGCGGCGGCAGGCCGGGCGTGCAGGCTTGTTGGCGTCTCGAGCGAGAGGGCTGCCTGCGTGCACGGCGTCCTGCGCTGCGGTTGGACTGTGCAGGCGGCGTGTGTCTTGCTTGCGGGCAACTGCGAATCTGAGTCGCAATTCGAGTTGTTTCGCGCGTCTCGCAGGCGTCCGCTGCGTTAAACCACAATGTGCACCGTCCAAACGCGCACGGAGGGGCGTTCAACCAGGGACGTGCGCGGGGCGCGCAGTTGAAGGGCGTGGGGGGAGGGAAGGGCGCAGGGAAGCACGTCGTCGACTTGCTGGATCCCGGCATGGCGGTCAGCGGGAAGGTACAGAACGTCATCAAAGGCGCAGCCAAGAAGGAGCTCTCACAAGCCATCAGGCAAGTGCCGGCGAGGAGCAAGGACTGCGATGGCTCCTTCGGACCCTGTGAGCGGCCAGGACGGCCGCCGCTCGACGAATGATCCTTCAGCTACAAGCAACGCGGACTGCCCGGTGCTTCGCGTGCGCTCACTGCGGCGTCGCTGCGTCGGTGCCTCGCAGGATCACGGACAAGTCCCAGCGCGCAACGGTGGAGCAAGCGCTCGACCCACGGACGCGCATGATCCTGTTCCGCTGGCTGAACAAGGGCGTCTTCGACTCCATCCACGGGTGCATCAGCACGGGCAAGGAGGCCAACGTGTACCAGGCCACGCGGGCCGGCGACAGCGACCTTGCCGTCAAGATCTACAAGACCTCCATCCTGGTCTTCAAGGACCGCGACAGGTGCTGCCCAACCGCACAGCACCCCAGCCACGCAGCGCCCCGCCCAGCGCGCCCATTCGCCCACGACGTTGCGCGTCTGACGGCGTTGCTGCTTTGTGTGCAGGTACGTGTCGGGGGACCACCGGTTCAAGCAGGGGTACTGCAAGAGCAACCCGCGCAAGATGGTGTCGGTGTGGGCGGAGAAGGAGTTCCGCAACCTGTCCCGCCTCCAGAAGGCCGGCATCCGCACGGCGCGCCCGGTGGCCCTGAAGCGCAACGTGCTGCTGATGGAGCTGATCGGCGAGGAGGGGCGCGCGGCGCCGCGGCTGAAGGACGCGCGGCTCCCGGAGAGCAAGCTGCGCGACCTGTACACGGAGGCGGTGCTGTACATGCGCACGATGTACCAGGACTGCAAGCTGGTGCACGGGGACCTGAGCGAGTACAACATATTGGTCTTCCGCGGACACCTGTACGTGATCGACGTGTCGCAGGCGGTCGACCTCGACCACCCGCACGCGCTGACCTTCCTCCGCGAGGACTGCCAGCACGTGAACGACTTCTTCCGGAAGTCCTCCGGGGGGGGTGTTGCGGTGCTGACCAACCGCGAGCTGTTCAACTTCTGCGTGGACCCGAGCATCACGCCGGAGAACCTCGACGCGAACCTCGACGCGCTGATGCGGCTCGCGGCCGCGCGCCCCGCCGCGCGCACCGCCGAGGACGAGATTGAGGACGCGGTGTTCCAGCAGGCCTTCATCCCGAAGCGGCTGGACGAGGTGGCGCGGTACGAGCGGGACCACGAGGCGGCGGCGCGCGGGGAGAAGGTCGAGGGGGTGTTCTACCAGGTGATCACGGGGATGCGCGACGACCTGACGGGGCCGCAGGAGGAGCCGCGGCTGCTGGCGGAGGCCAGGGAGCGGGAGCGGGACGCGGTGCGGCGGGCGAGGGAGGAGATCGCGCGCGGGGAGGGAGAGGGGGCGGCGGGCGAGGAGGAGGGGGGGGAGGGGGCGCGGGGCGGCGAGGCGCGGGAGGAGGCGATGCCGGTGCCGCAGGGGCGCGCCGAGAGCCGCGCGGTGCAGGCTGGGGGCGCCATCCCGCACCTGGCTGGCAGGGACGACGTGACGGCGCACATGGTGCGCATGACGATGGCGGCGGGCGCGCGGACGGTGGAGCAGGGCAGGAAGCAGCATGACGGTGCGCAGGACCCCTTCGCGCACCTGCCGCCGCCAAAGGTCGGGGGCGCGGCCGCGGCGGCTGCTGCGGCTAAGGCACTGGCGTGGGGCGGCGCGGACGACGACTCCGACTACGAGGACGAGAGCGCGGACGAGGGCGAGGCTGGCGCGCTCTCAGCAGCGGCGGTCGCGGCGCAGGCGCGGGCGGCGCCCGCGGAGGGGTCGGGCGCGTCTGGGGACAGCGGAGACGAGAGCGGGGAGGAGAGCGGGGAGGAGTCGGGGGACGACGAGATGGCGCGCGAGTGGGAGGCGCGGGAGGGTCGCAAGCTGACAAAGGAGGAGGTGCGGGAGCTGCGGAAGGAGCACAAGCGGGCGGTGAAGGCGGAGCGCGCGGAGAAGCGCAAGGAGAAGATGCCGAAGAAGGTGAAGAAGCAGAAGGAGAAGAAGAGCAAGAAGAAGCGGTGAGGGCGAGGACTCATGTCACACGCCGCGCCCTGGTGCGACCCTCTGCGACCGCGCGGCTGGTACTGCTGGCACGGCGGCACGTGTGACGCGTCCGCGATCGCTGCCCGCTGTGGGAGCCGGTCACCACTTCTCGAACGGCGCGCCCGTCGACTGGATGCCACGCGCCGCGTCCTCCATCGTGAGGATCTCCCCCTCGGTGAGCCGCCAGCCAAAGGCACCCGCCGCCTCGCGCACCTGCTTCGCGTTCTTCACGCCGGGGATCGGCAGCGCCCCCTGCACAACAAGACACAGCTTGGCGTTCCTTGAGGTCTGCACGTTCGCTGGCAGTCAGTCCCGCGGCGCCGTCGCCCCCGTGCTGCGGGGCTCGGGCGCACCTTGCAGATCACCCAGTTGATGGCCACCTGCGTTTACGAGGACAACAGAACACGCCGATGGTAAACGAGATGTTGGAGCAGAGAATCCAGCTTCACTCGTGCATGTTCCCAGACAAAAAAAAGGCGTCACCTGCGCGGGCGTCTTCCCGCCGTGCTCCTCGCCGACCTCCCGGAGGATCTTCACGAGCGCCTCGCACCGCCGCGTGCGGTCCTCCGTGAAGTTGATCGACCGCTGGCCGCGGGGCCGGTCCTGCACCGAGTACTTGCCGGTCAGCAGGCCCTGCGCCAGCGGACTGTACGCCACCAGCGTGACGCCGTTCTCGCGGCACGCCTCGAACACCCCGTTCTCGTCCGGCGCCCGGTAGATCAGGCTGTACTGCACCTGGTTGCTCGCCAGCGGCACGCCCTCCTTGTCCAGGAACTTGCGCGCGTTGCGGATGCGCTCGGCGTTGAAGTTCGACACGCCGACCGCCTTGCACAGGCCCTGCTGCTGGCACTCGGCGAGCCCCTTGAGGTAGTTGTCGTTCGCGAACGCGTTGAGGAAGAACCCGGGCCAGTGCTGCATGTACAGCCCGACCTGGTCCGTCTGCAGGCGCGCCAGGGAGGCCTTGCACGCGTCCACGAGCGACCCCGAGGTCTGCCGCCACGGCAGCGGCGCGAACTTGGTGGCGATGATCGGGGACTGCGCGCTCGCGGGGTCGGTGTCAAACTCCCCGATGTACTTCTCCGACAGGTTGAACCCGTACACCTGGGGAGGGGGGGTGTTGGAGGGTGCGGAGTGAGGCGGGCCGCGGTCTCCGGCGCGTGGGTACGTGCGTGTGTGCGCGCATGTGTGCATGTGTGCTTGCCTCTGCGGTGTCCAAGAAGTTGATGCCGCACTCCTGCATGGCGTCCCACGCCTCGCGCGCGCCCGCCTTGCCGTACGTCTTGTCCTTGCTGCCGTCCTGCCAGTAGCCGCTGCGTTGCAGCGCGCGCGTAGAGGCGGTGAGCCGGTCACGAGGGTCCGTGTCGTGGGTGATGCACGCGAACAGCACACGTGCCGTTTGTGTCGGGCAACGAATCGACGCAGATGGGCGGTGTAGGCCCTCATCTCAGCCGCAGGCGGAAGTCTCACCTGGAGTCGCCCCAGCTCCACCCGCCGACGCCGATCAGCGACACCTCGAGGTCGCTCCGGCCCAGCTTCATGGTCTCGGCTGCGCGTCTCGGGGAAGCAGCGCCGAGATTGATGATGTGCGCTGAAAGGTTGCGATGTGAGAATCTACTGCCGGGTGCGAGACGTGATCGTCGTCGCTCGATTGCGCCGCGGTGCGCGTGGGAGCACTTGCGGTGCAGGCACCCACTCACCGGCCGGGATCACGGGCTTGGTGCTCTGCGCCGTGGCATTCGTCGCGACCTGGCGCTTCAGAGAGGTCTTCGGCACGGCGCCGGAGGGCCGGACGGACCCCGCGAGCTGCATGGTCGAAACCTAGACTGTTCGTGGCCGGGACTGCAGCTGCACACGGGCGACGAGGACGCAGCGGACGATCGAGGATGCGGCTGCAGCGGAGATGGAGCTCGCGCTTGTTAGTGTCTGCTGACTTTGCGCTCGCGTAGGTGACTCTCGACGAGCCCTCGAGCGCAGGCAAGGGAAAACCTCCGCCGAACAGGACGTGAACAGCTCCCCGAACGAATTGACTGGACGCGATGTCACTGTCTTCTAACAAAGAGACCGGGCCCGTGATCTGGGGCAGTGGCGATGCTGCGTCATGCAGCTGCTGGTCGGACACCTCCCACACCTCCGCCACCACGCACACGGTGCCCGGCCGTCCGCACTGCGATCTGCACCCACGGCACGCGCACGCCCCCGTCTCCCTCGCACCCCAGCGACGCACTTGCCGCGTCCTCCTCGCCGCACACCCGCGTTGGCATGACGCGATCACAGCTTCAGCGCGTCCATGGCGCGCCAGTGCGCCCCGAGGCTGCCCAGCGTGTTGGCCACCCACATCCCGCTGGCCGCCGCCGCGGGCGTCCCGATGCCCGGGAACGTCGAGTCCCCGCACACGAACAGCCCGGGCACGGGGCACACCGCCTCGGGCATGGACTGGATCGACTGCAGGTTGCGCGGGCCGTACGTGCCGCGGTGGCGCCGCAGGAACCGCTCGTGCGTCAGCGGCGTGCCCTCCCACGCGCCCACGACCCGCTCGCGCATCCCCGGCACGGCCTGCTCCGCGAGGTCCCACGTGACTGCACAGCGCTCGCGCTTGAGGGCGCTGTAGGCCTCCGAGCGGGGGTCGAGGCCCTCCCACGGCTCGTAGGGCTCGCTGAGGTAGCTGTGCATCGTGTGCATGCCCGGCGGGGCGGCGGTGGGGTCCACGGCGCTGGGCACGCAGACCGTGGGCCACCCGCTGGCGCCCCCGGCGAGGAAGGCGGGGTCGAAGAAGAAGGTGTGGAGCGCCGGCGGGGGCTGTGCGTCGTCCGCGTGGAACACCGCGTGCAGGTGCGCGTAGCTCTCGTGCGGGGAGACGTCTGCGGAGCGGCGGGGGAGCGGCAACGTCACTGACATGCCAACCTGAAACACGTTCGATTCGATCACGTCGTGGGGAGGTGCGGGCGGGATGGAGTCTGTGCGCACCTTCGAGCGTGCTGACGAAGTCGTCGTCGAGGTGCTCGTCTCCGTGGTCCGACAGGAGCTTGCGCGTGTCCCAGACGGTCGCGTTCGACACCACCGCCTTGCGCGCGCGCACCACGCGGCCGTCGCGCAGCCGCACGCCCACCGCCCTGCCGCCCTCCACGACCACGTTATCCACGGTGCACCGCAGCGACAGCCGCCCCCCGGCCCTCCGCAGGCCCCGCACGAGCGCCGACACAATCGCCTGACCGCCCCCGATGGGGTACTCCAGCGACACCCCCTCCTGATACAGCTGGTTGAACGCGCGCACCATGTACGTCGCGTTGACCTCGTCCATCCCGATCCCCGACGTCGCGCGGCACAGCACGTCGATGAACTCCACGATCCGCGGGTCCGACGCCAGCGGCCGCACAATGTCCCCGAACCGCCGCGAACCCACCTCGCGCTCGTGCAGCAGCGACGACGCCAGCTTCAACGGCGACCGCAGCGCCGCCGTCGCCGCGATGCCGTTGTCGTACCGCACCGCCATCGGGTGGATGCTCACCGCGCCCGCCTGCAGCCTCGCGCACTCCCCCTGCACCGCCTCCAGCTCCAGCCGCGCGCGCCGGCCCCACATGCCCTCCACGTGCTCCGCGAACGCCCGGCTCCCGATGTTCGTCCGCACCGACCCCTCCGGGAACACCAGCTGCGTCTGCTCCTCCCCGTACTCCACCACCTCCAAGTCCTCTCCCAACAGATCCAGCACCGCCGCGATCGGGTTGTCCGACGCCACGCCGCCCTCGCTCGGGCGGTCCTGCGGGGCACCAGGCGGCCGGGGCGGTGCTGACGGGTCCGCGTTGGCGTGGGGTGCCGTGAGAGAGTTCATGTGTGCAGGCGTGTGCGTACCTTGAGGCCGAAGAAGAGCGACGTGCCGCAGTCAAAGTGGACCTCGTGCTCACCCGCGCGGCGCATGAACGAGTGCGCGCAGCCTCCTGCGAGCGGGCGTTGCACGAACGCGGTCGAGGTGTGCGCAGCAACGTGTCTGCGGTGCGCGCGTTGCCCCGCTGTGGAGTTCACGGCGGGGAACAGGTTGACCTCGGCGACGCCAAGCTTCAACTATGTACCTGGTTTGGTGTGCGCCTCGAGCACCTGCACGTCCATCCCGTACACCGCCGCTACGGCGGCAGCAGTGAGCCCACCGATGCCCGCACCGATCACCACGACGTCTGCGTCCGTTACTGCGTCGGACGCTGCATCTCCATTCGAGGTGCGGGCGCGGCAGCGGACCTCGGCGCCGCTCCTGCCCCTCGAGCGCGTCCGGCCGCATCCCCTCTCCGGCACCACACAAAGAGCCCGCGGTGGACGGTGGCGCTCGAGCTGGTGCGCGACGGTGGCCGAGTGCACGGCCCTGGAGGCCAGCGCCCGAGGGCTGTGGATGCACGGCATCGCCGCAGCGCCGCCACACAGCCGAAGAGAGACAGCTGCACTTCAGGTGCTTGGACTCCTCTCCCCTCGCACGCTGCAGATCCCGCAAGCGTGGTGGCGCTAATGGGACGGAAGGTACGCAATTCCCGCTCGTGCACGCGCCGCCGCAACGCAAGGAGCTGCGTCGATCGGACCCCAGTGCGACATCCCTGGTGAGAGGCCTCCCACGACCCCCGACTGCGCCTGCCCGACCGTCCTGTACGTGGTGTGACAGTTGGGCACCGGAGGCGAGAGACGTACCACTTGCATGCTGCGGTCCTCCCGGCGTCCTGTCGTGCACAGCGGCCGTCGAAGCGAACTCGGACCGTGTGCGCGTCCATGCTCCGCGCTGCACGCCTCAGCGCGTCGACGCTGTTCCGTCGAGACCCCGGACTCCTGCCACGGCTCCTGACGGGGCGCGTGAGCGCCGCACCGTGTCTCCAGCGCGCACCGCTGAGGCGGTCCGCCGGCAACCGCACGCAGCTTCTGGCCTCTGCTCACTCGCGCGAGGTGTCGTCCACGATGGCGGAGGCGGCTGCGTCGCGCATCGTCAACGGCGTGACGTATCTGTGCGCCAAGGTGCGCGATGAATCCCCGTGTGGCAATGCACATCGGCGACGTACGCCGCGTCTATATGTCTCACAGGAACAGGCGCGAAACATGTGTTGCAGGACGCGGCTGAGGTGGACGTGGAGCTCATGGGAGCGCTTGGGTTCTCGGTGGACCAGCTGATGGAGCTCGCGGGCCTCAGCGTGTCGTGCAGCGTCGCGGAGGTCTTCCCGGTGGACGGCCACCGGCGCGTGCTGGTGATCTGCGGGCCCGGGAACAACGGCGGCGACGGGCTGGTCGCGGCGCGCCACCTCACGCACTTCGGGTACTCCGTGAGCGTGTGCTACCCGAAGCCCACCGACAAGCCCCTGTACAACGGCCTCGTCACCCAGTGCCAGTCCCTGGGGCTCAACTTCGTGCCCGCGGCCGACGTCGCCGACGCCCAGGACCTCAAAAGGCGCGCGACCACCCCCGCCCCTCCGCGCCCCACGCACGCCCACAGCCACGCGCCACGACCCACCTTGGTGCATCCCACCTCGGAATGTTGCAGCTCGTATGACGTGGTGCATCCCACCTCGAAATGTTGCAGCTCGTATGACGTGGTGCATCCCACCTCGAAATGTTGCAGCTCGTATGACGTGGTCGTCGACGCGATGTTCGGCTTCTCGTTCAAGGGCGCCCCGCGGCCGCCCTTCGACGGCATCCTCGCCGCGCTCGCCCCGGGCCGCAGCCCGCCCCCCGTCGCGTCCGTCGACATCCCCTCTGGGTGGCAGGTCGACGTCGCGGACGCACAGCCGGGCCTCCGCCCCGACCTGCTCGTGTCGCTCACCGCCCCGAAGCTCTGCTCCCTCGCCTTCGCGGGCCACCACCACTTCCTCGGCGGCCGCTTCGTCCCCCCGGCCATCCGCGAGCGCTTCAACCTGCAGCTGCCCGCCTTCCCCGCCACGCACCAGTGCGTGCGCATCGGCGGGCACGCGGAGCTCAACATCGCGGACATGCGCGTCGACTACCGCGGCGGCGCCCTCGACGAGTCCGACGCCGCGGGCGACCCGTACGCGCAGTTCAACCAGTGGATGCAGGACGCCGTCGACGCCGGGGTGCCCGAGGCCAACGCGGTGGCGCTCGGGACCGCGGACGGCGAGGGGCGGCCGTCCGTGCGGATGGTGCTGCTCAAGGGCGTCGAGGCGGACCGCGGGTTCGTGTTTTACACCAACTACGACTCGCGCAAGGGCGGCGAGCTGGCCGCCAACCCCCGCGCGGCGCTGTGCTTCTTCTGGGAGCCGCTGCAGCGCTCGGTGCGCATCGAGGGCGACGTCGAGCAGCTCCCGCCCGCGGAGTCGGACGCGTACTTCCATTCGCGGCCAGTGGGGAGTCAAATTGGCGCGTGGGTGTCGCGGCAGAGCACGGTGCTGCAGGGGCGCGGGGAACTGGAGGCGCGGGAGCGGGAGCTGAAGGAGAAGTACGGCGACGGGCCCGTGGACCGCCCGCCGCACTGGGGCGGGTACCTCGTGCGTCCGCGCGCTGTCGAGTTCTGGGCGGGGCGGCAGTCGCGGCTGCACGACCGGCTGCGGTACAAGGCGCAGGACGGCAAGTGGACCATCGAGCGCCTCTCGCCGTGAGTCCGTGTGACGTCGGAACGGCGCGGTGTAGCCTTTTGACGCGTCACAGCCAGTCCATGACGACCTCGAGGACGTCCAGCTGGAGGATCTCCGCCCTCGCGTTGAGGAGCGACCCTACGTTGGGCGTCGTGCGCGCCTCGCCGTCCTCCTCGTCGCCGTGCACGAACTCCTTGATGTAGGTCCCCGCCGACGTGCGCAGCAACAGCCAAAACATGCGCGGCTTGTCCGCCTCCGCGACGCCTGCGAGGCACAGACGCGCGCAGGGCTCGCGGCTGAGCGCACGGGGTGGCCGGTGCGATGCGCATGGTGAGAGACCGCGGTGCATCTGGTGGCAACCAGAAACAGTGCACCGCACCTTCTGGGAGGCTCGTGCCGGCGAGCGCGGGGGACGCAGAGTCGATCGCCTCGCAGGACATCTCGTACACCATCTTCTCGCGCACGAGGTCCGCCCGCCGGTGGCTCACCCTCACGGGCGTGCGCTGCGCCAGCGTCAGGTCCTTCATGTCCGACAGCGCCGCCATGTCCTGCGCCGTCACCTCCCTGTCCAGCCGCACCAGCGCCAGGTACCGCTTCTGCTTCTCCGACTCCCCCGCCTTGAGCTCCTTGAGCAGCTCCTTCCCGATCACCTGCAGACCGCTCGCCTCCACCCCCACACCGCTCGACACCAGCTGCTCCTCCACGCCGCGGAAGAAATCCGCACCAGGCATCTTCGAGCGCGCGTTCTGCAGACGCAGAGAAGAGAGACCTTGGACCATCATCGCGTCGGCACGCGGCGGCTGCGGGCACTGCAGCCCAACCGACAGCGAGCACACCTCAGCGTCGTCCACGGCGGGCAACGCGCGCGCACCTGGTACTCGAGGACGAACGGCCGGCCCTTTCCGAGCATGAGCACGTCGATGTCTTCCCGGCCCGCGGAGATCATGTTGTAGCTGTCGGCCCTCAGCGCCGGCGCGATGAGGTCGCCGATGGCCTCCTGGACCGACGTCTCGCCCTTGCGCGAGCCGTCGATCGTCCACGGGGAGTTGCTGATGTTGCGCCGCAGCTTGCGGTAGTACCCGCCCACGTGCACCGGGCGCCGGAAGCTCCTCAGCAGCACCTGGACTGGGAACTCTGGGACGAACAGCTCGCCGCCCTTGACGCCCGCGAGCTCCAGGTCCCTCGACGAGAGGGCAAAGATGGCCTGCGCGCAAGTGAGCATACGGCTGATGTCGCGGCGATTCGTCGGAGCGCTGCGTCGTCCGCACAATGTTGCGTGTGCGTGGGCGACGCACGTCAAAGGCGTTCTTCGACAGGGATCGCGTGATCTCCTCCGGACTCAGCGGGATGTCCTTCGGCTTCCCGCGACGGCGCTTCCTGCTGCGGTTCAGCTTCAAAATCGACGTCTCCCTGCAACGAGGACAGCCCTCAACACACACGCCGTTTCTCGCCGCGGCACCGCAGCGCGTGCCCTGGCCCGCATCCGCGCGTTGGGCGTGCCCGCACCTGCTCGTCCCGCGGTGCACGAAGTAGATCCCGCACCGCATGTCGGACTCGAGGTCCAGCGCGGCGCCATGCACTGCCTCCTGCAACGCGGGCATCATCGCCGCGCGCCACGTGTCGCGGAGGCTGAAGATGCTCTCCGCCACCTGGCGGTGCGGCTTCGAGAGCAGCTGCTCCTCCGGGAAGGCCCTGCGCATGTGCGAGAGCACCGCCGCCTCCCGCACCCCGCACTGGGCCGGAATGTGGATGTCCAGCGCGAAGCTGTCGAACTCGTGCCCCTCTGCACACACCGGCACCTCCCATCGCCGAGTCAGAGGCCCTCAACTGCCACGTCACGGCGCGCGGCGCCCTGCACACTCCACGCGCGTCGGGCCGCACCTGACTTCAGGGCCGCGTCGAGGTCCGTTGCGGCGCCCCCGGCAGCCAGCTTCCAGTCGGACCCGTCCTTCTCCCCCAGCGCCATCACGGCCCCCACCTCGTCGATGCCCTTCCCGTTGTACAGCAGCCGCTCCCCATTGCCAGGGTCGCCCAGCTGCATCACGCCCAAACACACCACGCACGTGCTCTCTGCAGCGCGACCCGGCCCCGCCCCGTCGCCCGCGGCCCCATCTGCAGGCGGTTCAACGGCGTGTCGGCTGCGGTCGTCGCACCATCCGAGTGCGTGTCTGGGCAGCATCCGTCGCTGTGGGAGCGGCCGGACAGGAGCGGCCCGCGCGAGACAGAACGCAACCGCGCAGCCGGCGGAGGTGACGTGCGCCCGCGTCGTGGTGCGCGGGTTCCTGGGCTCGCAGGCACACGCAACAGCGCTTGCCTGCGGTGTCGGTGGGTGCAGCTGCGGCCGCGTCCCCCGCGGCCGCGTCCGTCGCGTCCGATGTCAGCGACTTCAGGAGGGGGATCCGGCCGGGCGCCCTCGCCGCGAACGCCGCGCCGTCCGTGCAGCCGCAGAAGCGCAGGGTGCAGCGTGGGCACGTGCCGATCCTGAGCAGCTCCGCGGCCGCGCGGACGCCCGACGGGGACGCGTGCAGGGCCGCCACATATCGGTCTACGGCCGCAGATTCCGCGCCGGTGTCGCTCATGGCCGCGCCGACCGCGTCCGCGCTGCACCGGACGACTGGCCTTGCTGCAGCCACCGCGGGCTGGCAGGGGCGCGCGAACTCGCCCTGGCTGGCAGTCGGGCAGTGCAGGGATGCCAGGTTCCGGCTCCTATCATTCCACAGAGGGCAATGTGGTATCCGGAAGTTCTGCAGCGAGGCGTATACAGGCCGTGCAGGTCCCCGACCCAGCATTGCAGGATCAAACGAGCCCCGCGCAGCGCCAACCGTCCATGGCAGGTCGTGGAAAACGTCGCAGGTTGATGCTGGCCCTGATGGCCTGCACGCGGGGCCCAAGGGATCGCTGCCGCCCGCACGGCGCGGTACAAGCGGGGTCGAAACCTCGCCAGCTCAGGGTGGACATCCGCCCTGCGTCAGGCGCGGATGCCCGCGGCCGAGCTGCGGCGGCGGCCTTGGCGTGATGGTCCGCCCGAGCACCGCGCATTGGCTGGGCACCAGGTGTGGCAGAGGAGAGTCGCAGCGGCGACAGCGCTCGTGTTCAGCACCACAGGACGCGCCATGGGCAAAGCGAAGCTGTTCATTCCCGACACGGGCGTCGGGAAATCATGCCTGGTGCTCGCGGAGTACTGCGGCGCCCTCCCGAAGATTGAGATCGCCGAGATGATGGTGCGCGGAGGCTCCCAGCGCACCCTGCCCGGGCCGCCTGCGCGCACCGCACCGCCCCCGCCGCAACCTTGCGCACCCCCGCGGCAGGAGGGACGTCTCACGTATGACCACGATGTGGCGATGCTGCGGCGCTCGTATTAGCGCTCAGCCACGAATCCCTCCCGCAGGAGTCGTGCACAGCCCCGCCCGCCGTCCCCGCGGCCGCACACCCCCGCCACCTCCCGCCCCCCGCAGTCCAAGGATCCTGTCCCGAAGCTCCAGGTCGACGGGGCCGAGGTCGTGGGGGCGTCGTCTGTCCTGAGCGCGATCGCTCGGATGGCCCCCGGCGCTCACGGCCTCCTGGGCACCACGCCGACCGAGGAGGCCGAGGTGCAGCAGTGGCTGAGCTTCCGGAACCGCGAGCTCGAGCCGCTCCTGGACGACAAGCTCGCCCCCGTCAACACCGTCCTGCTGACCAGGTGGGCGAGGGCCTCACGCGTCGCTTGCACGCGCGCAGTGACAGCGCGGCACCGGCGACGAACCCGCGCGACCTGCCCCCCGCCGCAGGACGTTCGTGTGCGGGTCGCGGCCCACGGTGGCGGACTTCGCCCTGTACGGGACCGTCGCCACGGCGGTGTCGAAGATGACGGCACCGCAGCGGGTCAACGTCAGCAACCTCATGCGCTGGTACGACTACTGCCAGCACGTGTTCGACCGCGCCGAGGTGAGGCCGCCCGCCCGACGACGGTCCTGCAACACGCCCCGCCGATTGCCGACGCGTGTTGTTGTTGCCGTCGATGTTGTTGCAAACTCGTCGCCGCTCTGTCCTCCGCGCAGGTGTTCCCTCGCGTGCCCGTCGCGCGGCCAGCGTTCAAGCCGCCCAGCGCTGCGGAGCTCGCGGCCGCAGCGGCCCCGGCTGCCGCGAAGGGCAAGGGCAAGGGCAAGGGCGACGACAAGGCCGCCGCCGCCCCCGCGGACAAGAAGGCGGCGGGCGACGCGGGGGGCAAGAAGGCGGAGAAGCAGGGCGAGGGCAAGGCCGCCGCGGCGCCCCCTGCGGCCGCGGAGGGCGAGGGCAAGAAGAAGGAGGGCAAGAAGGACGCGAAGAAGGAGAAGAAGGAGAAGAAGGAGAAGCCTGAGAAGGTGGCGGCGAGCGCGACGGCGGACGTGTCGGCGCTGGACATCCGCGTGGGCACGATCCGGGCGGTGAAGCAGCACCCGAACGCGGACGCGCTGTACGTGGAGGAGATCGACCTCGGGGAGGACAAGCCGCGGCAGGTCATCAGCGGGCTGGTGAAGTTCGTGCCGCTGGACAAGATGCAGGGCCGCCGCGTGTGCGTGGTGTGCAACCTCAAGCCCGCGAAGATGCGCGACGTGATGAGCTACGGGCTCGTGCTGTGCGCGTCCAACAAGGAGCACACGCAGGTCGACCCCATCGCGCCGCCGGAGGGGGCCGCCAACGGCGAGCGCGTCACCGTCGAGGGGTTCGACGGCGAGCCCATGCCCGAGGTGCGACGGCCCTGCCGACGCGTGCCTGCGTTGCACACCCCACCTGGGCGCGTGCAACCCGTGAGCGTGGTGGTTGGTTGTTTGGTTGGTTGCCGCAGATCAACGAGCCGAAGAAGAAGATCTTCGCGACGGTCAGCGACGAGTTCATCACGACCAAGGACGGCGTTCCGACGTACCGCGGCAAGCCCTTCAGGACAGCGGCGGGGACGTGTGCGTCCTCGATACCCGATGCACTGGTCAAGTGACCCGCCGCACCTGTGACGCCCTCGCTGCTGCCCGCGCCAGATGCGCCGCGTGCGGCCGGCCCCGTGACGAACGATGGGACCCGCGTTCGTCCGTGCTGCACTCGGCAGCGGCATCCCGGCGAGGATGTCTGTCGACGTCAACCTTGGACCCCCTCGACGCGTGGCCAACCACTTGGCCTGGTCCGGCGAGCTCGCTGAGTCACTGGAGCACCTGGGGCCCGCAGACGGATCAGTTCCGTCGCAGCCTGCTCGAGGTTGTGTGCCATTCGCGCGGGCACGAGTCATCGGCCACCCAATGGCGTCGTTGAACGGCCCGCCGTGCTGCGCGAACGCGGCGGTCCGAGGATGCGCGCGCGTGGCACACATTCATTCATGTGCTTGGCGAAGTGGGGGCATTCTCTCGCGCGGCGCGCCTGAACGCGGAGCTCTTCTGGTGAGGGATTGCACCCGGCTGCACCCACACCGTGGCGCGGCGCATGAGCTCGAAAAGTCAGGCGTGAGCGCGTACGATCGATGATGCCTCGCAGATTGCATCGGCCGGGTTCGGAAAGACGGCGGGAGGGAGCAGCGCGAAGAAGAAGTCTCCGTCTGCGCCCGCACGGGGCATCGGCGGACGTGAAAAAAGGGCGCAGCGGGAGGCCTCGAAGCCCTGTCCATGTGGAGGCGGACAATACGGCAAATGCTGCCAGCCGTTCCACGACGGCCAGAAGCCCGCTACGCCGGAGGTGGGTGCTGCTGCTGGATGTGCGCTGCCCGCTCAGCTGGGCCGTCCGCAGGCTCCAACATGCTGAATCGTACGAAGGAGTCTCTTCGTGCTTCTCGTTCGCCCCCCTCCTGAGCCCCCGGACGTCCTGGTCGGCACACCTCACGGGCTGCTCGTTGCATCCATCCGACAACACAGGAGCTGTTGCGCGCGCGGTTCAGCGCGTACGGCCTGGGCAAGGTGAAGTTCCTCCTCGACACGCACCACCCGGACGAGCGCGCGGAGGACCTGGAGGCGCGCGTGGTGACCACGATGAGCAAGTTCGACTACAAGACGTTGGAGGTGGTGGCCAGCGAGGTGGACGACGGCGGGGCGACGATCGCGTTCAAGACGACGTACACGAAGAAGGGGGGCAGCATGCGCGGGTACAGCGACGGGCGCGGGCAGCGGCAGAAGGGCACGGAGGTGTTCACTGGCGAGGCGCGCTCGCGGTTCGTCCAGCACGAGGGGGCGTGGATGTACCACAGCGAGGTGGACGTGTGAGCGACGCATGCACGTGGGCCGGTGCCGCGGCCAGTGAGGGGCGAGTCAGGATCGCGGACGTAGGATAGGACCCCCTGGCGCCGAACCAGTTTGGTGGTGACCATGCTTCTCTCGGTTGGCTCGCAATGCGATGGTTTGGTTACAAGGTGCCGGGGCTGGCGGTCGGCGGGTGCGCGCAACTCGCTACTCCGGCGCGCGCGCCAGCCCGGGCGTCAGAGGGACGCGGAGACAAAGTCTGCGAGCGGTGGTGGGGCAACGCGCCCTTACTGCTGCTCCTCGGCGTTCACGTCGATGAACGCGCTGGCGACGGCGCCGGTCTCCTCGAAGATGGTCTTGGGGATGTTGACCTCCGGGATGGTGGCGTACTCCGAGAGCAGCGAGCGGAACTCGTCGCCCGTGAGCGTCTCCTTCTCCACGAGCACCTCCACGATGCGGTCCATCGCCTCGCGGTTGTCCTCGACGACCTTGAGCGCGTCCTCGTAGGCCTTCTCGGCCAGCTCCTTGACCGCGGCGTCGATCTTCGCCAGCAGGTTCTCGCTCATCGAGTTGCGCGCCATCATGCGCATGATCATGTCGCCCTGCTGCGAGTCCTGCAGGCTCCACGGGCCGCAGTCCGACATGCCGTACGCCGTCACCATCGCGCGCGCCAGCTGCGTCACCTGCTGCAGGTCGCCCGACGCGCCCGTCGTCACCTCGGCGTCACCAAAGATCACCTCCTCCGCCGCGCGGCCGCCCAGCGCGCCCACGAGCCGCGCGAACAGCTGCTGCTTCGACACCAGCGAGGGGTCCTCGTTCGGCGAGAACCACGTCAGCCCGCGCGCCTGCCCGCGCGGCACCAGCGTCACCTTCTGCACGGGGTCGTGGCCCGGCGTCAGCGTGGCGCAGATCGCGTGCCCGACCTCGTGGTACGCCACCAGCGACTTGACCTTGCCGTCCTGCATCAGGCGGCCCTCCAGGCCCGCCACGATGCGGTCCACGGCGTCGTCGATCTCCTTGAGCCCGATCGCCGTCAGCCCGCGGCGGCCGGCGAGGATGGCGGCCTCGTTCAGCAGGTTGGCCAGGTCCGCGCCGGCGAACCCGGGCGTGCGGAGCGCGATGTTCTCCAGCGACACGTCCTCGTCGAGCTTCTTGTTGCGCGCGTGCACGCCGAGGATGTCCATGCGGCCCTTCACGTCGGGCGCGTCCACCGACACCTGGCGGTCGAAGCGGCCCGGACGCAGCAGCGCGGGGTCGAGGATGTCGGCGCGGTTGGTGGCGGCGACCACGATGACGCCCGTGTTGCCCTCGAACCCGTCCATCTCCGTCAGCAGCTGGTTGAGCGTCTGCTCGCGCTCGTCGTTGCCGCCGCCGATGCCGGTGCCGCGCGAGCGCCCGACGGCGTCGATCTCGTCGATGAAGATGATGCACGGCGCGTTCTCCTTGGCCTTCTTGAACAGGTCGCGCACGCGCGACGCACCCACACCAACGAACATCTCCACGAACTCCGACCCGGAGATGGAGAAGAACGGCACGCCCGCCTCGCCCGCGATGGCCTTGGCGAGCAGCGTCTTACCCGTCCCGGGCGGGCCCACCAGGAGGCAGCCCTTGGGGATCTTGGCCCCCACGGCGGTGAACTTCTCGGGCTTCTTCAGGAACTCGACGATCTCCATGAAGTCGCGCTTCGCCTCCTCCACGCCCGCGACGTCGTTGAAGTTCACGCCTGCGCGGGGGGCGGTGCCGGGGAGGGTGAGGCGGGGCGCCCGGGGTGGCATCATGGTGTGTGGGTGAGGGCAGGGGGCGTGGGGGCGCACCGGTGTTGGGCTCCATCTGGAACTTGGCCTTGGACTTGCCGAACTGCATGGGGTTGCCGCCCGGGCCGCCCATGGGCCCGCCCTGGCCGCCCTGGGAGCGGCGCGAGAGCAGGAAGAGGCCGCCCACGAGGAGCAGCGGGAAGGCCAGGTTGCCGAGGAGGTTGAGGAACACGGCCGAGCCGTCCTCCGTGCTCGAGTGCGCCGCGAAGTCGATGTTCTTCTCGCGGAACTTGCTCAGCAGCTCGGCCGACGTGCCGGGCAGCTGCACGCGCACGCGCTGCACGCGGTTGCCCAGCTCGGGCGACACCGCCTCCACGATGGCGATCGTGCCGTTCTCGTAGAGGTCGACCTGCGCGAAACAGGCCGCGGGGGGCGCGGTGGGCGCGGAGGGGCGGCGATCGCGCGCTGATCGCTCGTTGGAGCTTCCAGCAATGAGAGCAAACGACCGGTAGGGCCGTCGAGGGGGGGCGGGGCGCGGCCCGCGCGGGCGGCAGGCGGGCAGCGGGCGGATTGGCGGGCGCCTGGAGGCGTGCTGGCGCGTTGGTGGCCGGGGCGAGGCGGGGCAGCGGTGGGGAGCAGGTGGGCCTAGCCTGGCGAGCGCCGGCTGCGTGGGTGCGGGGGGGACGCGGGATGGAGCGACGGGGCGGGCGATGGCTCCGCACCTTCTTGACACGGCCCATCTCCAGGTACTCGAGGAACCGGGAGTACGACATGCGCGACGAGGCGACGTTGGGGGCGCCCTCATCAGCGTTAGCAGCACCCGTCATCATCGCGGCGCCGACCAGGCCAGCGGCGCGGATGAGCTCCTTGCGCGACAGCAGCGAGTCCTCGCCCTGCGGGGGAGCGGCGGGGGGACGCGGGGCGGTCGGAGGGTGTTCGTGGCCACCTGGGAGCTCGTCCGCGGAAGCGGGCGCATACACCGCGGCAACGGCGACGTCGCTCGCGTCCACTGCGAGAGGAAAGCGAGTCTCACCTTGGGGGCCTGGGCAGCCACGCGCACGGTCCTCGCGCGGGGCGCGGGGGCAGCACCTGCAGACGACCACCGGGCGAGCCACGGAGGGGCGGTTCAGCGCGCTGTACGGGGGAGGTCTCGATGCGCATGAATCATTCGCATTTGCTCTAGCCGGTTTGCGTCCGCGGCTCGCGCGCTGTCGCCCCGTGCGGGGCTCCGCGGGCACCCGAGCAGCAGTGGCCACGAGAAGCTGGGGTCGCGCGCCCGCCGGTGCAGGCGGCTCTTCTGCCGAGACACCGCGCGCCACCGCGCTCTCCCGGGCACAGAGCTGCGATTCCGGCGGCGCAAGCGATGCGGGGGGCGCTCACCGGCCGCGGACCGCGCCCTCAGGGGCTTGCCCGCGAGGGCTGGCGTCTTCATGCTCGATGTAGCGAACGAAGTCATGTTGAACGATGTTGAGAAGTCGAACTACCTCCGGGCGGCAGCGCGGCGCGGCCTCGTCGCCCGCGGGCCCGCGCGCGCCCCTGGCGCGGGTGTGCGGGCCCCCACCTGAGGTGGTGCGCCAGGAGCCAATGACCAGCTTCATCGCCCCCGCGGCCGCCCTGCGCCACACAAAACGAGGCCCCGCGCCCCGAACTTGCGGCTGGTACCGTCGAGCGTCTCGTGACGTCGCGAGGGTTCTCCGTTCTGGGTGAGCAATTCGCGCGGGGGCGGGGCAACGACCTGGGCTGGGCGCGGCAACACACCAGCGGGGGGTGATCGAGGGCGGTGGGCATGGGCGAAGCGGGGTTCTCGTTCCCGTCTTTGGAGGAGAAGGCTCCGTCGGGGAGCCTGGGGCCGCCGCTGACGCTGCAGAGCACGGTCAAGTGTGCGGGGCAGGGAGGGGAGAAGCCCGTCGACATTCAGAGGTGACGCGCGACGAGCCTGCTCGCGCCGCGTGGACTGCATATGAGCGCAGCCTGCGCAGCGCTGCTGACCGGCAAAGACGGCTGTTCGGCTCCGTGCAGGCCGCCAGCCTCTGGGCCACCAGAGGGGCCACGGGCCGCGATGGGCCGGAGCAAGGTGCCGTTCGAGAAAGGCTTCAGCCAGATGGACTGGATGCGGCTGACCAAGACGGACCCAAATCTGAACGGTGCGGGGCCCATTGTGGCGTCGAAACACCACATCTCGCACCTAGCCAAACGTGCCTGTGCGGGCGCGCTGGCCGTCGCTCGAACGGCACCTCGCGGGCGCCGCAGGACGTGGGTACTGCGTGGTCTAGTTGGCGACGTCCGGCTGGCAGATTGACGGTGCGGCGCGTGCGTTCCCCCCGCAGGTCTCAACGGGGCGCGGCCGTCGAAGAAGATCACCCTCGAGGAGCTCGGGCAGCACAGCACGCCGGAGGACGCCTGGATGGCCGTGCGAGGAAAGGTGCGCCGCCCGCGCAGCAGCTGGCTGAAGTGCCCGACGTGCGGACTGCTGTGCTTGGCGCGCGGCAGCGGCGGAGCCACGCTGCCGGCGACCGAGCTGAGAAGCGATGTGGCCACGAGGAAGGCGCATTCGCCGGGTGTTGTCCGTACTTCATGTGGAACTGGCGGCGTGCACGGTGTTGTTGTAACCAAACTCCGCCACAGCTAAGGTGTGGCAATGAGCGAGCGGTGGATGCCACACCTTGCTGTCGCAGGGTTTTGCTACGATAACACCGTGCACGCCGCCACTGGCAGCACGCCATTCCACATGAAGTTCGACGCAGCACCCGACGAACGCGTCTCCCTCCGCAGCTACATCGATTCGCCACTCAGTCGAGGACTCGTCGCTGGCACCGTGGCCCCGTCGCATCCACCGAGCACAGCAGTTCGCGCGTCGCGCACCGCATGCGCCGCGGCCACGCGGCCGAGTCCGAAGCGGCGCGCGTGCACTGCATGCTGCATCGCACCGTGCCCGCGACGCACGCGGCCCCCAAGGCCGGTGCCGCGAGCAGCTCCCGCCCGCACGGATGCGCTGGCCGCCCGCCACCGCCGCGCCCCTCCCCTCCTGCGCGCAGGTGTACAGCGTCACGAAGTACGCCAACTACCACCCCGGGGGCGCCAAGATCCTCCTGGCTGCGGCGGGGAAGGACGCGACGAAGCTGTTCGATCGGTATCACCCCTGGGTCAACGTGGAGATGATGCTAGCCAAGGCGTACGTCGGCAGGCTCGAGCCCCCGCCTGCCGCACCACAGGAAGCACAGCCAGGGAGCTGACGCAGGATGTGATGACGCGATGGGGCCCCTCGCCGCGGACTGCCTTGAATCACTGCTTTGCAACTCGTGAAAGCCCGCCTATTCGGCACCTGCGTCAGGACGATGCCACGGCCCACTCTCTGCTACAACCCCACCGTGAGCGGTGCCAGCGGAGCCCCCCCGCGTCCACCTGGCGCCCGTCCGCACCGTCTTCCACACGCCGCCATCACTTTTCCGAGTCCACTCGAAACGACTGCGGCCGCACGACACCAACAAGCCACTGAGCATCAACAACAACAACACAGCACCGCCCCTGCGCACCGGCCGCGTCACGGCCGTCCCGCACACCAGGCGCAGCGCCGTGTGTGCGTCGCGCCCCCCCGCACCTCGAGCAGCTGCCCCTCGATCTGCGTGATCTCCTCGCGGTCGGCGCCGCACGTCTCCTCCATCACCGCCACCCACTTGCTGTCCCGCTGCAGCCCGTTCTTGATCGCGAACCGCGCGGCCACGTCCACGCACGCGAACGCGATCTTCGCCGGCGGGAACTGCAGGCACAGCGGCGTGCACATCGACTCGGTGGCAAAGTTCCACGCCAGCTGCGCCAGGTAGTTCCGCCGGTGCACCTCCCCCTCGTTCTCCTCCCGCTCCTTCGCCGACATGCTCTCGCTCACCGCCAGCCGCTTGTCCGCCGGGTCCTTCCCGAACTTGGCCAGGATGGGCATCAGACGGTGGTGCGGGTGCTGCAAGCGGGGCGGGGGGGGGAGCAACGGGCGTTGCGGGGGCGTCGGTGCTCGTCCAGGGGGGAGGGGGGGACGGTAGCTCGCGCGTCGCGGCACGTGCGGACGGCGCCGCGGCGCAGGCGGCGTGCAGGGGTGTGTTGCGGCGCACCTCGATGTTGAAGTCGAACCCGATGATGTAGAGGAGGGCGCGCTCGGCGAAGAGCACGTTCTCGCGCAGGAGGTCGCACTGCGGGCGGTCCTTGGTCAGGCGGTCCTGCTCGGCCTTGTCCTTGAAGCGCACCTGCGCCGCCTTGGCGATGCACTCCCGCAGGCTCTTGGCGCTCTCCTCGGCCTTCGCGCTGAGGAAGATCGCCGCGATGGCCACCACGAAGCGGTCGTTGCGCGCGAGCGACCGCACCGCGTAGAACCGGTGGATGTAGTACTGCGCGGTGGCCACCGTCCACTGGAGCCTGCACACAGCGGACGTGCGCGACGTCGTGAGCGGGGCCGGCGAGCGGCGCCGACCGCACGCGACCGACGGGGGCCCACGCGTCGGCGCTGCGTGTGTGCTGGCCGGGCGTTGGGCGCCGCGTGTCGGTGGGGCAGCTTGGGGCACTTACAGGTCCAGTTCTTGACCCACGTCGCTCACGAATCTGCACAACGCCCGCTTGATCGACTGTTCCTGCTCCCAGGTGATCTCGTCCCCCCTGCTCTTCGACCTCTCGCGCAGCGTCTCCAGGCTCTGATACTGGGCATTGCTCCACAGCTCCTGCATCGCGCCCCCGCCACCAGCCGCCTCCTGCACCTCACACTCCCGCCCCTCCGACGCCTCTACGCTGCCGCCGGCCGACCAGGGGCCACTATGTCGTTCGCCTGCCGGCCCGCGCGGGAGCTAAGCGCTGTTTTCGCTGCCGGGCCGTGCGTTATCCCGCGACGTGTCGCACAACGGCCGCCTCGCCCCGGACAAAGGAAGCCTCCGCTATGCAGCTTCGATTCTGCCGCAGCCGCGGGAGGGAAGAGGACGGGGCCTGCGCGGTCACTGCGGAGGACCCTGGCTGTGGTGCACTGCACTAAGACGCCGGCAAATGAGCACGCGCAGGTGATTCTGTACGGCAGCGGGGATCCGAGCAAGTGTGCGAGCAGCACGCCCGGCCGCAAGTCACATCGTCTCACGCGGCGTGCGGGGGGCATCGCTGGCTGACACGACCCCGCCAGACCGTTCGAGGGCCCCCCTGCCCCCACCGTGCGATTGGGCGACGGCGGAGCGACGGAGCGCCATGTTCACTTCCAGACCAGCCGATCCCAGTGCATCCAGGCAGCGATCGCGTGCGGTGCACGACCACTGAGCGCGCTGCACTGGTTGGGGCACCCCAGTCGTGGGTGCTGCGCGGCACAGCCATGCTCGGCGCGTCTGCACGCTGCCCCGATGCACGCTGCTGCCTCCAAGTGCCGAGGCAACGCGCGCTTCTAGGGCGGCCAGGGGGGCAGGCGGCCGCGTTGCCCAGCTCAGGGTGGCGAACAGGGTGCGCTCGGCCGGCGCGCACACAGCCGACCACCTGCCCCGGGGTCCGCGGCAGGACGACGAGGACCATCGTCCCCAATGCTGCGACTGCTGCGAACGGCGGCGCTGCGTCCTCGGACGCGGGCGAGGCGGACGTGGGCGTGGTTGGCGTGGGGTTGCAAGTTGCGCGCGTGTCGCTCATCTGCTTCCTGCTGACGGTCCTGCCCTGTCAGCTGGTGGACGGGCAGGTCGGCGTCGGGGCGCTGTCGAGCTTCGTTTTGTATTTCAACCACTTCGCGCGCGGGTGTGTCAGGAGGACGGTGTCGCCCGCGAACCGACGCGGGGTCCTGTCCAACCTGGGCCTCACGATAGTAGTGCTCATAGGTGAGACCGCCCGCACGACCGCCCGCCGGAGGGCCGCTTCGGCGGCGCACCGAACGGCCACGTGCCGTCCTGGCCGCTCAGGTGTGTTGCAAAGACACGTGGTGCTCACGCGGCACCGTGCGCGCCCGTTCGCGTGCAGCTGCGGCCGCGCACCTGGCTGCTTGTTTCGAGGGGTACCCGCAGCCGTACTCGGTGGAGCGCGCGGGCGTGGTGGTGCAGGCGGGCAAGTGGGTGTTGACGGTGATGGGCTTCACGCTCATGGCCGCGGGGTGCATCGTGCAGTGGGCGAGCGTCGAGCTGCTCGGACGCGCGTTCTACGGCGACGCACCGCCGACGGCGCTCGTGACGGACGGGCCGTACCTGCTGGTGCGGCACCCGGCGGCGCTGGCCACCGTCACGCTGCTGGTGGGCTTCTGCCTGTCCCGGGGAGGGTACGTGACGGCGGGCGCGCTCGGGCTCGTCACGCTCCTGTACTACCGCTTCTTCGCGGGGCGGGAGGAGCGGGCCCTCGCGGAGGCCTTCCCCGGGAAGTACGACGCATACAAGAAGGACACTCCGCGGGGGTTGTGACGCGCTCGACGAACCTCAAGGCGAGCGCGGCGCGTCGCGCGAAAAGAAACTCATGGCTCACTCATGTCGGGCGCGAGGGACGCCCCGGCAACGTCGCATCCACCGGCCAACCACACCGCCACCACCGCCACCTAGCCGGTCTACCAGCTCGAGACGATTGTGAGGATCAGCGCCGTGACGCACGCGAAGATCAGCAGCAGCGTGAGGACCACCGGCCCGAGCTTGTCGTCGAAGCGCTGGCGGTTGTCCTCCCGCCGCAGGATGCGCCGCGTCCGCAGCTTGTACATCACCAGCGCGTACACCATGAACGAGATCGACACGGGGCCGATGATCAGCGCGGACACCTGCAGCGTTCACGGGAGAGGCAGGCCGTCCGTGGCCACCGCCAGACGCTGGGCACCAACGCGCAGCGCACGGGGGGTTGTCCTGTGTGTGTGTGTGTCATCGTCGGGGTGCGCACCTTGGATGTGACGCACGCCGGATTCGTTGAGCCGTAGTGACAGATGGTGCCACCACCTCCGCTGCCGTTGGAAGGAATGTCAGGGCCGAGAGTGTTCGAGGGGAGCTGGCTTTGCATGCCCGCCAGAGAGATGGCAATGAGCATGATCAGGACTGCAAAGCGAAGACGCCGACGCCGCTTGTCAGGGCGCGCCCAGGGCGGATCTAGCGGGGAGGCAGCGTCGGGCAGGTTGGCGCGCCTGACACGCTGAGCCAGCTCAGGAACGTCCTCTCGTTCGCGAACAGCGTCTTGGGCTCGATACGCCTGCAGAGGACGCGGCACCCGCCGGACGCGCAAGCTCAAATCGTGGCCCAGGCTGAGCGGAAGACGGGGATGCGCGCCGCGGACCTCAGTACCGCTCAGGTTCTTGAACACCGACCGCGTGTTCAAGTGCCTGAGCAGTACTGAGCTACGCGGCGTGCATCCCCGTCACCCGTTCCCCGGGTACGCAGTCCCATTTTCCTCGTCCCCAGCGCGCGGGCGCTGCGAGGGCCGCGAATGGCCCACGCAACGGCCGCGCGCTGGGGACGAGGAAGATGGGACTGCGTACCCGGGGAAGTCGCTGCGCACGGTGCGGCAGGCAGAAAAGTACAGGAGGGTGTGCAACTCACGTACGCAGGATGGGCTTCGCGGGTTTCTTGTTCCCCACGGGCTGCATGAGAGCCGGAGCGCTGAGCATGCTGAGAGGACAGCGTCGTGTGTTGTCGTCACCAGCGCGCAGCTCCAGCACTGCCCCGGCTCAGCAGGCTGAGCCGTGCGCCATGCCGCGTGGAGGGAACGGACCTTCGGCACGACGCTTCGGGTGTTCCGTCGCTTCTCTTGGAAGAACCTGCGCAACATGGAGCGCACCCTCGCGGACTTCGACGCACCCGCAACGGCCCCGTGCGTGATCGATCCCGACGGGCGCATCTCGACCAGCGTGCCGAGCTCAGGGTCGTGCGACTCCGCGCCGGCTGGTTGGTGTCCATTGCACGGGTCAGCCTGGCTGGTCCCGAAGGACCCCGTCTCGGGCGTCCGAGACGCCTCGCCGTGCGGAACTTCAAGCGTCTCGCGACTGGCGCCGTTCGTGCCGCCCAGCCTGGCAGAGGCGGACTTTTTGCGAAGCAGCGCGTCTGCCAGTTCGGAGAGTGTGAACTGCGCCTGGGCCTCGCCCTGCTCCGGGCGGCCGTCCTCGGAGACAACGTCGGGGCTGCGTGCGAGGGCGTACAGGGCCATGTCGGCGTCCCCGATCACCAGCTTCCACTCGTCGAACGTCGCGGGCCTGTAGTGCCCGCCCTCGCCCTCCAGGTACCACGGCGGGAGGCACGCCACCTGCAAGACGCATCGCGACCAAGCCGATGAGACGACCCAGCACAGGCCGCACGAACCTGACGGAGAAACAGTGCCCTAGACCGAGCGTACCTGGTCCTGGAACAGCAGCGACGTGGCGTGCAGGAACTTGGAGAACTTCGGGCCATAAGTGAGGCCGGGGGTGTTGCTGACGAGGTCTCCGACCCACTCAGGGCAGTGTTCCTGCAGCTTGATCTCCAGCACCGAAAACGGCAGCACGGCCTGGGCTGTCGGCGCCGCGCAGCCGTCGCGGGACAAAGACCGAAACATTTGGATGTGCGAGTCGATGCTCAGACGAACGCTGTTCTCCGTTGACAGCTGATAGGCGGTGCGCTTGTAGGTCGTCGACACGGTGGGCTCCTGCACATCGAGGCGCGTCGCTCGCTTGTTTGCATTGCCGTCTCCGAGATACCGACACGCGTGAGCGTGCCGCATCGTGAGCGCGAAACACCGTTCGCGCGATCGCGGCGCGCCCTGGCGGTGGACGCCGTGCGTGGGCGTGGACACCCAGGGTGCGGGAGGCGTGCCTGAGCTGTCTTGTTCAGTTGTCCGACGATCTCGTCCAGCAGCCCACAGCGACCAGCGCTCGCGACGCCCAAGAACTGACTTAGCTGTCCCTGCCGCGCGAGCTGGAACAGCTCCTCCGCGGCGCCCGCCGTGAGCTTCGTCCGTTCCTTCACGCTCGGCTCGCCCGTCCAGCTGTCCATGTGGACTTTGCGCTCCAGGAACACCTCCGCATCCTGCCAGGGCCAACAACAAGGGAGTGTGCCATGAAGCGCAGACTATGCGGGGGAGTTGGGGGTCAACGGGTCGGTTGGCTGCAAGTTGGCAATACGCTGCAGCAAGATGAGTTGTTTCGCGGCGAGGAGGTACTGAACGTTCAGCCGCACCTCGACGGGGAACGTCGCTGTCCCGTACCACCGCACGCGCACCAGCGACGCCTCGTTGAACCGTTTCAGGCGCGCGTCGTACACCTCGAACTTGCGGTTGTCGAAGTACCGCGAACTGACGCGCCCCGACACGCTCTCGACGCGGGGAATGCGCCCTACGTCGTCCCCAGACATCGCCAGGAGCTCCACGACGGGCGGCAGGACCGCCTGGCCCTGCACCTGCCCGAACGAGAGCACCGGCATGTGTTGTGCAACCTTGACCTTGACCGCTGTCTCGCTATCCAGCGTCAGCCAGAATTTGGTCGTGCGCCGCCTGCAGGTGCGCGAAACATGTGTGGCAGGTCGGTCACGCGCGGCGTCGTCGCCCGGCCGCTGGCAGCGTCGAATACTTGCGCTGGTACACATCAGGGATCAACACCCGCACCTGAACACGCTGGGCGGCTTCCAGCACGCGACGCCCCCGCCCGGCGCACCGACCTTCAACAGCGCGAAGAGCTCGGAGAGCGCGCAGATGAGCTCGTCGAGGCACATGTAGCGCCTGAACACCCCGGTGAGGAACAGGACGTACGTCGCGGCGTCGGCCGAGTGTCGCGCCCACGCACACGTCCACGCGGCCTTGGACGCGTCGCGGACCTCGGGCGCGGTCGCGTGGTCGTACATGTACGCGACCAGCGCCAGGCACTCCGCCGCCCGTATCGCCTGTTTGTCCAAGGCGACCACTTGCTCCCCTGCACCGGAGAAAGATAGGAGGCGTGCGCTTCGGGGTGCCGCGATGTCGAGGTCGCAACGCGGTTCTCGTGCAGTTGGGCCGCACCGAGGTCGTCCGCGCCGGCCGCGGCCCCGTTCGCCTGGAGCTTGCAGTGGAGCATTGCTTGGTGCACGAGCTGGGACCATATCCGGTTCGCGTGCGTGAGGAGCGCCTCTGCCAAGCCTTCGATGACGTTTCCGAGGCTATCGAGGACAGCGTGCGACGCGGCGCCTGAGTGAGCGGTCTCCGAGCAGTGCGGCCAAGTGTGCGAGGCAAACTGCAGCACAAGGGCGTTTTTGGACGAAAGAAGGCCGAACGCGCGCCCGTGTCCCGCCGGCCCGGCACGTTGTACCAGGATCGCCGTCACGAGGTCCTCAAAGATGCCTTGGAGGCTGCGAGCGAGCCGGGGAGGCGCCATGTGTGCGACCAAAAAATCAACGTTCGACGGACTGGGCGGTCGCCCAGGGACCCCGATCGCAGCTTCGACGCCCAGAGGTATCGCGAATTTTTTTCGTGATGCCGTACCTCATCTCGCCGAACGGCTGCCCCGACGGAGCGCTCACCGTTGGGGTGACCTGTCGTGCCTTGTTTGCTCCCCCGCGTTCGCCGTGCGCCCCGGCGACACACCGCCCATCGCCCTCGACCTGAGGGCCGTAGACATCTGGCCCTTGGTCGTGAGCGGGCATGGCGGCCAGCCTCACCTCGCCGAGAAATCGAGGGCTGCAGTGCGATGTGCCAACTGTTCCGACCGACGTGTCAGCGGCGCGCAAGAGCTGCCCGCGCGCACCGGAAGTGGCCTCGATCGTCGCGGTCGCTGCGCATCGCGCCGCGCCAGACTTCGTTCAGCTCGAGGGACTGGTTCCGTCTGACTGGGCAAGCACAGTACTTATACCCCTCTCAACCGATTCCAGCGCCAGGCGGCGCCCGTCTGATCGCTTGCCAGCGGCCCTAGATGCACGAAGCACGGCGTCACGAACGCACATCGACGCGCGCGAGGTGGACACAGGAGCATGGCTGCGTTGCGTGGCACATCCCTTGTGACGGTGCGGAAGCCATCATGAGCCTTGCGAACACCCCTCACGAGCCCATTCAGCGTGTCACTCGGTGTTGCAGCGGCTAGAAGATATGCACCGCGTTGTGCAGCAGCGTCCAGATGAGAATAAAATCAAGCAGCGGCCCAAACATCCCCTTGTACGTCACCACGCCCCTGCACGCGCCGCGACAGCAGTGGCCCGCCGTGAGGCCGCAGTCGACAGGTCCGTCAGGGCCGCAGGTTGCCGGCGGCACCCCAGCCAGCATCAGGAGAGGCTTTCGAGGGAAGCAACGTGCAGCCAGGGGGCGGGCCACGCACGCGTCTCTCCAGTAGTCGGTCACCTTGCCTCCTGTTCGCGAAACGGCCCACACTGACACGAGGAGCTGCGAAGCGGCGTAGCCGAGCAGCCCCACGTAGCCCGTCACACCGCACAGGCCCACCGCGGCCCCGACAGCGAGCGCGAAGACTGTGCGCGCCTGCGTGACGACCTGCAGGAATGTCGACATCGTTCTCGTCGGCCTCAACCGTGCTCGTCGCCGAGGAGGAAGGCGGCGACGACGGTTTCGCACGAGTTGCAAGTTGATGGCCTCGTGCTCCGGTCTGCGGGGCGACGCGGCGCCGCAAGCTCCTACCTGCACGTTATGCCGCTCGTGCTCAACGATGACGCAATCTAGCTCCTCCGCCTTCGCCCCATGCGTTCCAGGCTGGGCCACAAACTTCCCCTGCAGCATTCTGCCTCGGGGTCGCGCCGGAGCGCCCGGTTCGCCCTTCGAGCAGCGCGGCGTTCGAGGAGGCACGAAGTCGGCACAGCTTCGCGACAGCACTTCTCGTCTAGGCCACACGACAGGACACCAACACGGGCGCTGCACAGCCTGCGGTGCGTGTGCGCCAGCCCGAGAGGATCGACTCAGTCAGGACGACGCGGGATGGCAAGACGCCGTTGTACTTCTGCGGCTCGACCCCCTCCCGACCGATCTTTGTCGCCCCGAGGCCCAGAACGCCCCCCCCCTCCCAGTCTCACACAGCGCAAGCCACGTCTGGCCGCGTGCGTCGGGGGACGAGCCGGGCGCGATGCGGCGACAAGGTCCAGGCGGAGTTCACGGTCGTGTCATATCGCTGCGATCGAGATTGCGGTGTTTGGTGTTGTTTGCGGGCACGCACGAGTCGCAGGTAGCCCACGGCGTTGCAGCTCGCGGGCCTCGCGGGGCGCAGTGACGGAAAGATGGAGGGGATGATGCAGCAGATGATGGAGGGGGCCGTGCTGCAGGCAGCACAGGCTATGGAGGAGCAGCTAGACCAGCAGATCGCGAAGCTCGACAACATGGGCGAGGACGACATCGAAGCGGTCCGGTGCGCGCCCCACGCGCCGCTCGCCGTCGAGGCCTGCTCGCGCGCACACGAGCAGGCCGAGCCAACTGGAGGGCGCGGCGCCGCGTCCTGCTCGGTTCCCACGCGTTCCGGGCGGGCGCGACGCTGCGGCACATTTTCAGTGCACGCGCCCTCATGCGACGCCTGAACCGCGCCGCGACCGGCGTCTCAGCCTCGCGCAAACACGAATTCGGGATCGTGTGCGCACGAGGGCCCACGTGCGCCGCGGCACCGTCGCGTTCCCGCCCGTTGCGCCCCCGCGGCACCCAGCGCGCTGCACCGTCTCATGCGCCCCGCCCCGCCGGCGCGCGCGCCCGCCAGGGCCGCCCGGACGGCGCCGAGCGCGCACGAGGCGCACGCCCCCCACCGCCCCCGCGTTCGCCAGCGGCGGTGTCGCGTTCTCACGCGCGGCTCCGGGGTCCCTTGCAGGCGGCGCCGGATCGCCGAGATGAAGAAGATGGAGGAGAAGAAGGCGCTCTGGCGGCAGGTGCGCGCCTCTGACCTCGAACCAATGCGAAAGAGCCGGGAAACCGCCGTGGTCCCAGGAACGGGAGCCCCCGCGCTTCGGGCCGTCCCGGCCCCCTGTGTGCTTGGAGCGACCCGCCGGCGAGTTCGCTCACCACGACCGCCCCCGCCGCGTCGCAGCGAGGTCACGGTTCGTACGGCGAGGTGGCTGTGGAGAAGGACTTCTTCTCGGAGGTGAAGGGCGAGGACCGGGCGGTGGTGCACTTCTACAGGTGCGCGCCCGGGGCCGCGACCGCGCGCCGGGGCACCGCGACGCGCCACGCCGCCCCCTGCGCACGGGGCCGCCCACCGCCGTCCCCCGCGTCCCCGTCCCCCGCGCAGGCCGAACAACTTCGCGTGTGCCGCGCTGGACCGGCACCTCGACGCGCTGGCGAAGCAACACATCGAGACGAAGTTCTTCAAAGTCAACGCGGAGAAGTCCCCGTACCTGTCCGAGAAGCTCTCCATCCAGGCAAGCGCCGCGCCCCCCCTTCCCCCCTCCGACCCGCTGGCCGGCTGTGCGTGTGCCAGTGACGTTTGTTGTCGTGGCCGGCGTTCGCGGCTCTCACGGGGGCCGTGCGCGGGCAGCGGTGCGGTGCAGATTCTTCCGTCGATTGCGTTGGTGAAGAAGGAGAAGGTGACGGGGTGGATCGTGGGGTTGGACGAGTTTGGGGGCACGTACGACTTCCCGACCAAGGTGCTGGCGGCGCGGTTGGCGCAGGACGGGCTGATCGACTGGAAGGACGACGACTACGACAGCCGGCCGGTGGAGCACCGGAACCGGAACATCAGGAAGGGCGGCGGCGACAACGGCATCGCGCCGGCCTCGGACGACGAAGACAGCGACTTCGAGTGAGGCGGCCGGACCACCCGCGATGTGATGCGACCCGCCCGCCCCGCGAACAAGGCACAGACGCGCGCAGGGGCGCCCGGTCGCAGTGCGGCGCTGGACGTGCTTGCTTGCCGACGCATGGTGCTGACGCGAGCCTGCCGCGGACGACGGCGCCCGACCACCGCGCCGCGACAGTCGCCCGTGCAGCTGTCGCAGAGCGCCGCGGACACGTCCTCGTGCCTCGGTCGCGCGCCGTGGATGTGTGATCGTTGCCCTGACGCTGTTAGCCTCGCTGCGCCGGGAGGGGGCGCACCCCGCACCGCAGACCGGAGGGCGCGCAACGCAGCCGACGCAGCCCCGATCGGGCCGCGCACGGTGCGCCCCGCGCTTCCCTCGCGCCGGCGGTCTGCGGGCGCGGACTGATGGTCGTGGGTCCGTGCGGGGCGTTTTGGCCCAGACCGTCCACGAGGGCCCCAGCGCTCCCACCCTACGATGGGCCGCCCCCGATGCGGCCCGGGCATACTTCCCGACCCACCGCGTCGTCGATCATCCCCCGTCGGCGCCCCCCCTCACATCCCGATGGCCTCGTGGGCAATCTAGGAGCAAGTGCAGCACAGCATGTCCGAGCGGCCCTCGGGGCCGTTCTGGCAGTCCTCGGGCGGCCGGGGCGGCAGGTACCACACGTTCATCGCCCACGGTCCGTCCGGATCGGGCGCGATGGGCTCCGGGAGCGTCAGCGGGCGCCCGTCCTCGCCCTACATCTCAGCCAGCCGCCCTGGCAGCGACGGGATCCGGCCCCGCGCCCCCCAGACGAAGCCCCCGCCGGACTGGGACTCCTCCGTGTCCACGGCGAGGACGATGCGCGCCGGGCGGAAGTTCGTGGAGGCGGGCACGGGCGTGTCGAGCTTCTCGTGGGGCGACCAGCAGCGCCCCCCGCCCTCGCGCGTGTACCTAGGTGGGTCCAGCATGCGGGGGAGCAGCGCGGGTATGAGAGGGATAGGGAGCGGGCGGCCCTCGAGCCGCGACGGGCGCGCCGGGAGCACAGGAAGGGCCGCGAACGTCGCTGGCATGGGTGGAGGGCACGTGCCCGCGCAGCCCTCGCAATCCAACAGGGCCAACACCGCCCCGTCAGGAACCTCTCGGTCGTTCAGGATCCCGCAGCAGTCGCACGCGCCGCCGGGCAGGCCCGCGAGCCAGCAGCTCATCCGTGTCTCCAGGTGTGCCCCCTTCTGTCCGTGCCCCGCCTGGGCCGCGCGCGCCGTTTGCACCCGCCCCCGGGCATGGGCATGAAGTGCCCAGGCCCACATTGCGCGCGTGCGGGCGCAGCCGGCCCTGCGCAGCGCGCTTCCCGCGAGGGCAAGCAGCTCTGCCAGGACCTCGCGACACCGCGCGCCGCGCGCGCCTCGCCGCACGCCGCTCGGTTTCCGGGGCCTCCCCCTCGCCGTCGGTCCAGATTGCGGCGACTGGGCGCGCGCGGCACCCGCACGCGCCCGCATTCTCACGCGCGAGCCTCGCCCCGTCGTGGTGCAGGGCCCCGCCCCGCAACAACACGCCGGTGCGCGGCGGGACGGCCCCCGGGGCGGCCCAGCTGTCGCTGTTCCAGCGGCTCTCCAACCTGGGCACCGCGCGGAAGCCGGAGCACGGCACGATGCTCTCGCCGGGGGCGAACTCGTTTGCAGTCAGCAACGGTTCGAGCCCGGTGCGCCCGGTCCGCACGGGCTCCCTCACCGCGGCGTGGGGGTCAGAGACACAGAACGAGGGCAAAGAGGATTCCGGCGAGCAGGCGCAGGCCACGCCGGCCGCGGCGCCCCAGGGCGGTGCCCACAGCAGCAGTGCAGCCCGCTCCGCCGCCCCCGGGTACCCCTCCCTGGGCTCCGCGAGCGCGGGCCGGCAGCAGCGGCTCGCGCTCCGCACGTCGATGGGCGCGCGACCGCCGAGCTCGCGGCAGGTGGCCCCGGCGGCCAGTAGCAGCTCGCACAAGGCTGAGAAGGATGTTGGGGGCGCCCAGCCGGCCAAGGCGGCGAGCGCGCACGGCCCGGGCCGCCGGGAGGACTCATCGGACATAGCCTCGAACGGGCACGGGCAGTCCTCGGGGGTGGTCCGCGGGAGCAGCGCGCAGGACCACGCGGGCAACATTGGGCAGCCGCTCAGCACGCTCCGCCCCGGACACGACGGGGCGCAGGCGAGCAGCCGCGTGCGGCCGACGAGCAGCACGGGGATGCGCAGTTCCGCCGGGGGCGACGCGGCGCCGCGGCGGTCGGCGGGGTCGGCGGGCGCGGACGCCCGGCCGGGGCCGACGGTTAGCAACGGGGGGTCGAGCGGGCCGGACGCGGCGCACGCGACGGGGCGGTCCACGCTCACGCCCGCGGGGCCGCCGTCCTCGCAGCACCTGCCCGCGAGCACGCGCCCGGCGAGCGCGGCCCCCGGGCGCACGTCGTCGGGGCTGTCCCCGGCCACGGGGCTGGCCGAGTACAAGATCGGCAAGGTGATCGGCGAGGGGGGGTTCTGCCAGGTGCGCGAGGGGTGGCACAACCTCTCGGGGCGGAAGGTCGCCATCAAGGTCATCGACAAGGCGCGCCTGTCGGACATCAACGACCGGAAGCGCATCGCGCGCGAGATCAAGGTGAGCGCCCGCCCGCGCCGCAGGGGTCGCAGCGCGCGACGGCCGCGCTCGCAGGCGCCGCGAGGTGCGTGCGGCCTCACTCGCGCCGCCCCCGTCCCGCGTTGTGTGCGCGCAGGTGTTGAAGAAGCTGCACCACTCGTGCATCATCCGGTGCTTCGACGTGATCGACACGAGCAGCAAGATCTACATCGTGATGGAGAACGCGCAGGGGGGCTCGTTGCTCGACCACGTCCGGCAGCGCAAGCGCCTCCCCGAGCGCGAGGCGGCGATGTTCTTGCAGCAGATTGTGCACGGGCTGATGTACTGCCACAGCAAGGGCGTGGTGCACCGCGACATCAAGCTGGAGAACATCCTGCTCGACCGCGACGACAGCGTCCGCGTGATCGACTTCGGCCTCTCGGCGATCACCGCCCCGGGCAAGAAGCTCAAGGTGTACTGCGGGTCGCCCTCGTACGCCGCGCCGGAGATCGTCGCGCGCCGCCACTACGACGGACCGCCCGTCGACGTGTGGTCCCTCGGCGTCGTGCTCTTCGCCATGGTGTGCGGGTTCCTGCCCTTCCACGCAGGCGGCGACCGACAGGTGCGCAACAACACCACGCCGCGCTACCCACGCAACCTCGCCGACGTGTATCTTGTCGCCTGTCGCCCGCCGCCCTGCTGGCCAGTCGCCACGCCGTCCCCCGCCCAACGCTCCCCCCACCCGCTCCCCTCCCCTCCCTCTTCCGCAGGCTCTGTGCAAGAAGATCATGAAGGGCCACTTCACGCTCCCGGACTTCGTCAGCGAGGACGTGTCGGACCTCCTCCGGCACATGCTCACCGTGGACCCCAGCCAGCGCATCTCCCTGCGCTCCATCCTGCAGCACCGCTGGGTCACGCAGGGCATGCGCTGGACGCCCCCGGCCACCGACCGCTACCACGTCCCCACGGGGCCCAACGGCGGCGTGCTCCTCAACACCGAGGTCGTGCGCGTCCTCGAGCGCCACGGCTTCGCGGCCCCGGACATCCAGGACGCCATCAACAACCGCGAGTGCTGCGGGGCCACCGCGGCCTACTTCCTCGTCGCCGAGAAGCTCGCGCCGGCCGCCGGGAGCCGCGCGACGTCCGCGACCGTGCGCGAGCCGGTCGTCGGCGGCAGCGCGCACGACGGCCCGCTGCGCGCGGGCACTGCGCCGGCCGTGCCGGGCCCCAAGCGCAACGGCATCGGGTCCGACGGCGGGAGCAGCAGGGCGCAGAGCCTGGGCAACTCCGACGGCGAGGCGGAGGGCTCGAACGGCCGCAAGCCGGAGTCGCAGTCCACGCGCGAGACGGTGCTGTACTCGAACCCGCACAAGGCTCACGTGCGGTTAGTCGCCACGCAGCAAGCCGCGGCCGCGGCCAGCGCTGCACGCCCGCCAGTGGGCGTCGCATGGTGATACGCGCGACGGCGACGCGCCCCCAAGATGCATGCTCCGCGGTTGTATGGCCGAGTTGACTGAACGTCATCAACCCGCAGCACTGGGCCGAAACCACCTCGGTGAAAGATGGGCCGTAGTAACTCAGAACGCGGCGCCCGGCCGCCCCCGGTGTAAGCCAGCAACATCCTGCGCAGGCGTCACGGTGGTTGCATTTCGTTTCTTGCGCGGGTGGTCAATTCCTCTACGGTGCTCAGCAGTCGGCGTCTCTGGACTGGGTGGTTGCTGGTGTTCAGGACCAACGACGTCGTATCCGCAGCAGTCCAAGTCACCACACTACCGCCCTGGTTGCATCGCGCCGCGCGGGTCGCGGCGGCCCTCTGAGGAGCGGCTCGTCCCTTCAAACCGTCGTGATGAGACAAGGCCCACGAAAATCATGGGGGGGCTCAGGGCAACGGACAGCCACTGCCCGCCAGACGACGCCAGGGTCTGGCGTTGCGCCCCCCGGGGCGCATCGGCCTCTTGGTACGCGACGGGGGAGTCCGGGAACCCCCAACACGCCACCCAACTGATTCGACGGTGCTAGCTCAGCGCCTGATGGGGCGACGCCGCGGTCGCTTGCGCGTAGAAAAGAAGAATCTACGCCGAACGTACCTCACTTGTTGCTTGACTGACTGAAGTCGCGACCAGCTGAGGGCACGCTGGCCTGGGGCTGCATTGACTGCAGCGGGGGTGCGCCGGAGCAGTCGCAGACAGGGCTGGTGATCCGAGCAAGGTTCCCAGCGATACGTGCTGTACGTCCACGAGTCGAGCCTGCAATAGGGCGGCGGGATTATCCCTGAGGGCGCTTGCACACAGTTGGTGGTTTCTTCGTCTGCCCGGCATGCGTCGTGCGTGCGCCCTGCTGCTGGGCAGGCTCCGCATTGCGGGAGAAACCGCAACACAAAGCCGGAGCGCGCTGCGAGACGCGTCTGCGTGGGTCTGTCCGGGAGGAACGCGGCACCTGTTTTCTGGCCTCCACCCACCGACCCGCCGCTTGCTCCCGGCGGAGGCTGACGAGCAGCTGCGGAGGGCACGAGCGACAGGATGGAGTGGTGAGGGTCGGGGCGAACGTGCGCGCTGTATGTCGACCGCGGCGAGCGAAGAGGAGGCACCATTGAGCATGACCCCAAGTGCAGTCGAGAGGCTCATGGAACTCACGCGGGGCGCGACTGACGATCTGGTGCGCAGGGCCACACTCGTGTTCTGCCGAAGCGCGTTTCCATGGCTGGAACCCATCGCGACGGCGGCCCGAATTCCCGTGACACTGCTGTCCCCGGTGCACGCAGACGCTCCTCCGGCTTTCCGTGGAGTCCGGCGGTTGCTCAGGTTTCCAGTACAACTTCGAGCTCGAGAGCGAGGCAAACATATCTGACGAGGACATCGTCGTCACGATACAGGTGCGCACGGCGTGTCACAGGGAGTTGGCACAGGCATGAACGCTGCATCGGCGCGGGAGGGTCGCGACATCCGCACGGCGCTCCACTGGCTGCAGGGGGTGAAGATGGTGACTGACATCGTGTCGTTGGAGCTCGTCCGCGGCGCCACCATCGACTTCGAGGACTCGCTGATTAGATCTGCCTTTGTCGTGGCGTCCAACCCCCACGCCGAGTCCGCGTGCGGCTGCGGCGCGTCCTTCGTTGCCAAGTGACGCAGAGGCGTATGTGACAACGCTTCGCTAACCCCCCCCGGACGCCCCAACCGACACGAGGTGCTCATTAACTTACAGCGTCCGCCGAGACCACGTGACAGCGGCGGCGCGCCGCCTATGGCGCGTGCGGCAGCTGCTGGCGGCCCCGTCGCGCTCACTGCGCGCCCCCGTCGCCCGCGCCCTTGCCCGCCTGTGCCTTCTCCTCCTCGAGCTGCTTGTTCAGCGCCGCGTAGTCCACGGGACCGCGACGGCGCTTGCGAGACGGCTCGCTCGCCCCGCCCTCGGGCGTGCCACGCTGCTCGGCAGCTGCCGCAGGCGCAGGGGTGGCCGCGTCGGGGGCGGGGTCGACCGGCGTCTGTCCGCCGTTCTCAGGGCCCTGCGCGCCCTTCGCCTCGTGGGGGACTTCGCCCGCGACAGGTGCGCGCTCCGGCGTGCGCACCTCGCCCAGGACGTGGCCTGCAAGCACACGCACGTCGGCAGATACGTCTCAGAAACGCCCGTCGAGGCAGCTGCATGCGAAGGGAGAAAAAAACGCCGCGCGTTCCGCGAACGCGAGCGCCTGCCGCGCGGGTGTCGCACCGTCGTGGGCCTCCGGTTTCCTCTCCGCGAGGGCGGGCGCGCCCCTCTCCATGGGCTCCACGGGCAGCCCCGGGGGCGCGATGGGCGTGAGGGGGAGCCCGTGCGGCTGGTGGTGCGACGGCGTGAGCGGGTCGAGGCCCGGCGTGGTGAGGAGGTTGGTGGACGCGTGGCGCTGCAGCGACTCGCGCTCCTTCTCGCGCTCCCACTTGGCCTCCGCGGGATCCCACTCCTGCGAGTGGTGCTCCTTCATCGCGCGGACGTGCGCCGCGACGGACCGCGCGAACGCCGACACGATCTCCCCCTGGATGCGGTACCCGCCCTCGAGTACGGAGACCAGCCGGCCCTGGCAGCACCGGTTGGCCACCTGCACCAGCTGCTCCGTGATCCACTCGAAGTCGCGCTCCAGCACGCCGAGGTACCTGCGACGTGCCGACGGGCGCGGGACGTGGGCAACGGCGAGCGCGGGCTGGTCGCGGCGGTGCGCGGGAGCTGCCGGAGGGGTTGCGCACCCAAAGTTGATCTCGTCCTTGCGGTGGGCGTCGAAGCCGGCGCTGATGAAGATCATGTCCGGGCCGAACTTGACGAGCGCGGGCAGGATCTTGTCGCGCCACGCGCGCTTCCACAGCAGCGGCTCGGGGCCGGGGTGGTCGATGCCCACGTTGATCACGCGCGGGCCCGCAGTGGGCGGCATCTCCCCGCCGCGGTACGCGAACTCGTTCTCAGGGTCCTCCTCGATGGTCTCGCCGCGGCTGTCGGTCGTCTGGGCGAACCGGGCGGACGGCCGGGTGTCGCATGTCGCGCCAGATCCAGGGTACACAAAGGCGTCCAGGCCCGGGGCCTTGGGACCGTAACCCTGCAAGATGACCAGAGCGAGAACAGACGTGTGTTGGTGCCGTCATTCCGATACCCGCACGCTGCCCGTGCGCTGGCGCGGCCGGCGCTCTGTGTTGAGTGCGTTCTGGAGACCCTGCGGTCCCCTCGTTCGCTGCGAGGCCGGCTTGCCTGGACGGAGGCGAAGAAGATCCTGTCCGGATCCTGGTCGTCGAGCCAGGGGCGCCACACCGGGAACGTCTGCACGCCCTCGCTGAAGGGCGTCTTGAAGCGCGCCTTGAGGGTGGCCGGGATGACCGAGGTCACGCACGCCTCCGTGCCGTTGCCGTGGTGCACGTCGAAGTCGAGGACCGCCACACGCTTGATGCCCTGGTGCCTGCGGTGGAACGTGCGTCGGTCGGCGGATGAAGCACGGACAAGCGTAGCAGGCACCCGTGGGAGCAGATAGGCGACCAACGTGTCCCTCAAGGTAGCCGGGGCGCGAACCTGTACACGTGGAGGGCGTACGCCGCGCCGATCGCGACGTTGTTGAGCAGGCAGAATCCGTGGGACCCAGTCGGGTCCTTGGCCCCCGTCACCACGCCAGTGGGCCCAGCATGGTGCCCGGGCGGACGCACGGCGCAAAACGCGTTCTTGACCTCGCCGTTCATCACCCTGCGCCAACCAGGGTAGCAGCGAGTCTGTCGGCTCGCAGCGGCGACGCGACAGTCGTCGAGCGCGGCTGCAGAGGGGTCCCGTGGGCGCACTTGTCGACGGCGTGCGTCACCGCCCCCGCGGCGTGAAGCGCGGCCTGGAACGTCTTGTGCGACACCGCGGTGTCTCCGTCCAGGTGTCCGACGGCGGCGGGGTGGTCGGTGATCCGCGCGCACACCTCCTGGATGTGCTTGATGTACGACCACTCATGCACGCGCGTCACGTCCGCCAGCGCCACCGGACCCGAGTTCTCCTCCCAGACGACGCCCTGCGCAGACAGCGGGGCGCCGGCCGCGTCGGCGGACGGCCTCCGTGCGCACGCGGAGCTGCGTCTGCGTTCGCCGTCGCTCTCACCTTCGAGAACTCGCTCGTGCGGAGAGCGCCCTTCCCGGGATCGAGAAGCACGCGGAGGCGGTTGGCGTTCTCCGGGGGCACGTCGGACCCGCGCCTGATGGGCTCGGCGACGGTGTGGTGGTCGAGGCAGGTCTTCGGGGCCACGATCAGCGTGGGCTTGGACGCGCGGGGCAGCTCCTGCACGTCACGGCGGCAGGGGCACGGCGTCGAGCCCGGGAGGAGGGCGCAACACGGTGCCAGCGGCGCGGCGGTCCGGCGTCGCGCTCACCTTGGCCACCGGCTTGCTGCTCCCGAGCTTGGCTGCCAGCTCGGTGTAGCCCCGCCTTGCGGCGTAATCAGCGGCCGTGCGACCCTTCTTGCACTTGACCCCCTTCAGCAACGGCCGCGCGGCGACCAGCTTCTCCACGCACGTCAGGCAGCCGCTCTGCGCAGCCCTGTGCAGCGCCGTCAACCCTGCAACACGCCCGCCGCACAAGCGCTGGCTGTGAGCTGCGGGCCCAGGCGGGCGGAGAACGTCCCGCGCTCGGCTCACGCTGGGTGCCCACCTGCTCGGGACTTCTTCTCCGCCGCGGCGGGCCCCCACTGCGCCGCGTGCTCCCCCGCCTTGGACGACAGCCCGAGCAGCACGCCCAGGACGTCGCAGTGGGCCACGCGCGCGGCGTAGTGGATCGCCGTGAAGCCCTGCTTGTCCGTCATGTTGACCAGCGGCGGCGGCACGCGCACGTCGTCCTCGTCCTCCTGCATGGCCGCGGCCGCCTCCGCACCACCCTCCTCTGCAGCGACAGCCGGGGGCGCACCGTCAGCACCCGCGCAGAACGGACCCCCCCCGCTGCGCTGCGTGTCCGCCGCGGCGCCCGCGCGCCCCTCGGGCGCACCTTGCGTGTTCTGCGCGGCGGCCGCCTCGCGCTCCTCGCGGCGCTTCTTCTGCTCCTCGAAGGCCACCTCCTGCTCGTGCTTCTCCTTCTCAGCCGCCTGCATGAGCAGGCACGCGAGCTGCTCGCAGCCGCTCTGCGCCGCCCAGTGCAGCGGCGTGCGCGCGAAGTCGTCGCGGTCGTAGGCAGACGCGCCGTGCTTGAGGAGCAGCTTGGTGCAGTCGACGGCGAAGTGCCTCAGGTGCGGCATCGCGGCCACCTGCGCACGGAGGGAGTGGGTGGCGCGCGCGTCGGCCGCGCTGCAGTGCGAGGGGTGGGCACGGGGAGGCAACACACACGAGCTGCGCACAGTGCCGCGGCGGCTGGGCGCTTGCCTGTGCGGTGATGTGGATGGGCCGCGAGCCCTCGCACGAAGACTGCTTGGCGCCGTGCTCGAGGAGCACTTCGACGCACTCCAGGTGGCCGTACAGGATGGCAATGTGCAGGGGAGCACAGTTGTTCTCGTCCTTCTCGTTGATGTCGAAGTCCGGGAAAGGCCTGTGCATCATGAACCCAGCAGATCTGCAGACAGCGACCACGGGAGATGCACCAAGTTATATTTCGGCCGACGACGATGCGGTGGGCCGCGAGACGAGCAGAAGATGTCGAGGGCGGCCATATGGAGCCCCGTATGCGCGGAGCGCTCTATCTGGGCGCGGGATATGAATCAACAGCGAGAGTTGAAGGCCACCGGCGCGTTCGCGCAGCGTCAGGACGTGGTCGGTCGCGTGAGCAGCGGCGAGGCGAGTGCCGGGCCAGCACGCGCCGTTGGCGGCGCTGGCTCGAAGGGCCCCCCACGCGACTGCTGTTGGCCGCTGGTCCCTTCGTCCTTCAGCGGGGTCGTGCGCGGCGGCCTACGTCCGGCGCGGGAGGCCAGGGGCGTCGGGGCGTGCCGCGCATCATGGTGTGTGCCCATGGGCGCTCACCCGAACGGCAGCTCGGGCTCCACGGGCTGCTGCGTCAGCACGCGGCGCACTTCCTCCGCGTTCCCCTCCTCGCACGCGTTGTGCAGGATGTATGACCCGGGCGCATCGCTGTCCGAATCGTCGAAGGATGAGTCCATCGTGCCAACGCCGGCCAGGGCGCGAACTTCGGGGGGGGTGCCCGCCATTCCACTGTGCGGCGGGGGCGCTCAGGGGCCGAGCATGACGCCGCCCGCGCGAATGGCCGCCACGTCGTCTAAGGGTGCGTCAGGGCCGGTGTCCTCTTCGGCGCCAAGTCAGTTGCTTCGCGCGCGAGGTGGTCTGACTGGGTGCTTCTCGGGCGTTTTCAAGGTCGCCGCGCAGGGCGCACCGACCAGTGCCGTGTGCGCGTCCGGCGACTGTCTAGACTAGGCTTGCCAGGCAGCGAGCTTTCGTGCATGACTGAGAGAGCAGGTGTGTCATCTCAGTAGCGGCCCCGCGGCGCACGGCCCCGCGCACAGCGCAGGAGCGAGCATGGCGATCACCAGGCTCATATGGAAACTCATCGCGGCGTTGATAAGTAAACTCAGAAACTTAGGTGCGCTCTCCTGGCGCTCTCAAGGCTCCTGCGCTCGTGCGGCGCCGCCGAATTCATAGGCCACGGCGAAATCGAGCGAGATACTCCCTTGCCTGGCGTGACAATATGAGATGCTTGTTTCGCCGCGTCACGAGCAACACTCCAGGCACAGCCGCTCCACGCGCACATGAGGATTTCACTTGCACCAAGTTGCCCGCCCTGTGCCTCACCCGTCGCTCGCGAGCCCATCCGCGTCCCGCGTGCAGTTGAGTTCGCTCTCGAAGAGTTCACTCCTTGGTTGCGGTGGCTGGTGTTCGACAGCCTGCTTCGGCTCGCAGGTAGGGACCCACAGCAGTCTCCCCTTCCCTGCGCCGTGGGGCCGTTCTCGTGCGCGCAGGGCCCGCCCCTCTAGCTCGTCAACGACTTGTCGGGAGGCCTGATGCTCCCCTGAGACAGTGCCCTCCCTCCCCACGACGCGCGAGAGTTGCAGTGTCATACATAGCGCGGCACAACCCGAAGCTCCAGGGCATCTTCGAGACGATCGGGCTCATTGACTCCGCGCCAGAACCAGGCCAGGCTGAGGGCTCGGCGGTTTGAGGCGCCGGCGCGGGCATCCGGCCGCCGCGGCTGCGGAACGTGTGTCAGGCCGGCCTGCATGGCCGCTTGGATCGCGGGCGGCTGACGAGGCACGCCGATGGTCGTCATCGACGCGCGGGGCTTCGTCCAGGCCGCGCGCGAGCTGGGCTGTCTGCAGGCGGAGGGTCGGTTCCAGCTCGAGGACGCGTTCTGCAGCGACGCGGTCCCCATCGAGGTGCTCGAACGCCGAGCGGGGACGGACGGGACGGAACGCGTGCGCGAGTGCGACCGCATCTGTCTCCGGTGGCGGAGGAGCGTCGCGGGCGGCGCGCCCGGGGCGGGTTGCGGCGCGGGACAGCCTGACGTGGGCGGCGAGAGAGAGGGCGCGCTGGCATCCCTCGCGCACGCTGGCGATGAGCGCAGCGTCGAGGCGGTTGTGTGCACTGCCGGGCGAGCTGCTGGGCCGTCGCCCCCCGCGAGCCTACACGTCACCGTTGTGTACAGCGAGGTGTACCAGGCCCCCGTGATGCACGTGCGCGGACACCACGCGGACGGAGCAGCTGCCACGCGCGACGACATCATATCGTGGATCCCTGAACCGTACGCACACCTGGCGAGGGAGGACAAGGTAGGGTTGAGTGCAGCTACGATTGGGTGCTCTCAAGGCAGCGCCGTCACGCTGGGCGCTCCTGGCCTCATGCGTTACCCGGCGAGCTGACGATGCTCTGCAGGGTGGCACGACGTTCTTGGCGCCGTCGACGGACCCGCACGCGGGAGTGCAGGCGTTCATGGTACATCCGTGTCAGACCAACGACATCATGTCGGCCATGAGATGTGCGGACGGCGGAGATGGCACAGCCGCGCCGCTACGGGACGGGCACCGCGGTCGGGAACAGCAAGGGAGCGGCGGCGGCGGCGCGGCGAGCGACCCGCTGTCTTACATGCTGGGCTGGATGTCGGTGTTTGCGCCGGTGAGTGGGGTGCGGTGCACGAGGCGACGTTGAGGCAGCCCGCGCGGAAGGACGCGGATCGAACGCCTTGCGGTCGCTGAGTCACGGCGTAGGACGAGTGGGCGGCCACTTTTACTGGAAGTGCAAAGCAGATACGAGTTCGCCGCTGGCGCAGCGTCCCGCTCGGCCGGCGCCCGAACGTGCTTGACGGCAGAATATTGGCGAGGGTCGGGGCTGCTGCGCGCCATAACTTGACGCAGGCGCCCCACGCGCGCGCCTTGTGATGTGTGCTGCCGCCTTGATCAGGACGATAGCACACCCGCATTTCGTTTCGTGCGCGGGTGGTCAATTACTACTCTATGTGTGCGATTTACGAGGTCAACCGGTCGCACACCGCAACGCACGCACGGTCTACCGTCAGTATCCACGCGATCCCACCTACCACGCCCATGCCCTCGAGGGGCGTCCGGGTCATCGCCGACAACATGCGCGACATGGGCCACATCAGGTCGTTCGACATGAACAGCACCGGCGACCTCCCGGACCTGCGACGCAAGAACCAAGAGACAACAGTCACGCCGAGCCGCAGACCCCCGATGCATAGCGCCGCGCGATGCATGGCGGCAGAAGCAGGGCGGGCACCTGAAGAGGGCCACGAGCATCAACATCAACTTGACGTGCCCCGGGGCCTTCTTCGCCACGGCACGGACGGCGCTCGGCGTGCCCTGACGGCTGGCCTCAAGCTCCTCGAGCTCCTTCTCCTTCTTGATTGCTTGCCTTTGCAGCTTTGCAGACTGAGCGAAAGTGCTGGGAGTGCTGAGTTTGGTAGCCTCGCTCCTGCACGTACGCGACGGCCCCGGGCATATCAGTCCCTGTCGAGGACACCTTGCACAGAAGAAGTCCACAGCAGCGCTCGTCGGTACTTCCTCGAGATCTGGGGGCGACGGAGGGGGCGCAGCAACCTCCGCCTGGCCCTCCGGAGCGTGCTGGCGCCCAGCGCACGGCGCGTCGGCCAGAAACAATGCATGGTCGAATTCCAGTCAAGTAAGCGAGATCGCGGGGCTGCATCGGCAGCTTTTGAACGCACCGCAGGGCGCGGATCTCCTCTCTCAAGACTGCTTCCTTTCTCGCATGCTTCGCGCTGGCTGACTTGAGAATCAGGGCCTCGAAGATCCGGGCGAGAGCTATAGCTGCAAGGACGATGTACGGCCCATAAGCGTCCAACATCGTGACCACAAGCCCGGCAAACGCGCTGTCCTCAACGTAGACAGCCTCCAATGACGCGAGGACTCACGGCGAAGTCAGGCCTTGACAGATCGTGGTTCTAATTCAAGCGCGCCTAGTGGCCCGAATCGTTGCGGTGAGCGCGCTAGAACGCTGCGACTGTCCGGCCAAGGCGCCAAAGCAGGGTGCAGCCCACACGATTGTTGCGTCTCGAGAGCACGATCGTTCCACACCTCGGCGCAAGTGGGCGCGGCATGCAACTGCGAGGGCGACGGTCTCCGACCGGCACATCTCTTGGTGCCTGAGGTTCAGCGCCCAGTGTCACTGCGTCAGCCTGGGTCCGACAGACTGAGCGCTTCGTGAGTGCGGTGCGGCGGCGCTTTTCTCGGCCCTGCATGGCCACATATCGAGCACACTGCGCCCGTCCCCATGGCCCGCGTGAGGTCGTCCAGGATGACACCTGGTCCTGTTTAAAGCAAGCATGGTCCTGGATTGCACAAGCCGTGGCTACGCCGCGGACACTGGCGATCGGACGAGGACCTGTGGGCCCCTAGGTGGCAACGAGACCGAGTAGTTTCAGGCTTACACTGGTGTTGACAACAGGATGTGCCTTGCACTGTTTATGACTCCCACTCGGTCGGGTTGCTGGCCGCGTCGAAGGCCGCCGCGAGGGCCGTGAACCCGGCGGCGATTCCGCTCAGGTTCTGCGCCATCAGCTTCATCGGGTCCGGCCCCTGCGGCTCCTGGGGGGCGGTGGCGTCGTCGGGCGCCCCGCGACGCTGCGGGCCCGCATCGCCACGGACCCCGAACGGACAGAACGTGCAGGGCGACGCGCCCCCGCCCATGTTTCCACTCCTGGGCGCGGCCGTGCTGGTCCACGCGCCGCCCCCGGGCGCCTGGGGCTCCTCCCACATCGCCCGCTGCTGCGCGACCCCCTCGGCAAAGGTCCGCGGCACCATGTTTTGCACGTCGGCGGAGAAGGCGAGCTTGATGAGACGCGCGGTGCCCCGGCTGGCGAGCCCCGTGCTGACGTCGTTGAAGAACTCCACCGCGCCCGGCTGCGACATCACCTTGCCCACGCGCGGCGCGACCTTGGGGACCTCCGTCTGGAAGCGCCCGACGAAGGCCGCGATGTCCTGCGGCGTGGGCATCCCCATGGGCCCCGACCCGTGCATGCTGGCGCCGACGCCGTACTCGGAGAGCGCCTCGGAGAGGAGCCGCGCGCGCTTGAGGTGCTCCTTCTCGGAGACCTGGTACGGGAGGAGCTTCTCCGCGGTGCTGCTGCCGTACGCGGAGGAGGCCTGCTGCCGCCACGCGTCGGCGATGGCCGCGTCGGTGATCTGCACGATCTCCTTGGACAGCGGCTTGCGCAGTTTGCTCTCCTTGCTGTTGAACACCCACTCCGCCAGCTGCCACAGCCCGTCGACGTCGAAGTCGTAGCTCTTCGACCCCTCCTTCAGCAGGCCCTCGAGGCGCGACCAGCGGAACTCCCCGTCCTTGAGCAGCAGCTCCTCGAGGCTCGAGCGCAGCTGCGGGGCCGGGTCGGTCAGCAGGCGGCGCGCCATGTACGGGTACGCGCGGGCGAGGAGCTTGTAGTCCTCGTCCGCCTGCAGCGCGAGGCCCTCGAGGACCGTCAGCGAGCGCAGGATGAGCGCGTAGTACGCCGGGACCTTGAACGGGAAGGCGAAGAGCACCTCGCCGAGCCCGTCGACGATGGAGCGGAAGTTGAGCGTGGAGACCGAGTCGGTGAGGACGTCGTCGAAGAACTCGGCGAGCGCGGGCGCGATGGGCCGCGTGTCGACCGACTCGTCGATGAAGTCGAGCGCGTAGTAGTCCTGCGTCATCTCGTAGTACTGCTTGTTCACCAGGTGCACCACGTGCGCGATCAGCGCGTACCGGGCCGACTGGGGCGCCTCCGACATCATGCCGAAGTCCAGGTACACGAGCGTCCCGCGCTCCGTCGCCAGCAGGTTGCCCGGGTGCGGGTCCGCGTGGAAGAAGCCGTGCTCGAGCAGCTGCCGCAGCGTGCACTCGATGCCGATGTCCACGAAGTCGATGATGTCCAGCCCCGCGCGGTCCATCGCCGCCTTGTCCGTCAGCTTCACGCCGTCGATCCACTCCATCGTCAGCACCCGCCGCGCCGTCTGCTCCCAGTAGATCTTGGGCACCGCCACCTTGGCCTTCGCGTCGCCGCAGTACAGCCGCTCGAACGCCTCGCAGTTCCGCCCCTCCATGTTGTAGTCCATCTCCGCGAACAACCGACCCGCGAACTCGTCGATCAGGGGCACCAGCTGACCCCCGGCCTGCGACCACGGAGCACCGACGCCAGGGTGAGCGAGGGACGCAGCAACGCGGCGGGCTGGGGCGAGGGCAGAGCGCGCCGTGGCCGCACCTGGGGGACCGTGCGGTCGACGAACTGGAGGAGCCGGCGCAGCAGGATCATGTCTGCGGACCAGGAGGGACGGACGGGGGCGTGGTTGGCAACACACAGCTCGACGGGAGCCCGAACGACGCGCACACTGCCGCACGCGCAGCGCTCACCGATGGCGATGGACTCCCCGATGCCCGGCCGCTGCACCTTGATGGCCACCTCGCTGCCGTCGAACAGCCGGCCCTTGTAGACCTGCCCCAGCGACGCCGCCGCAACGGGGGTCGGAGAGAACTCCGCGAACAGCTCCTGCACAGGCGCAGCGCGGCGGTCGCGCGTCAGCCACTGCGGTCGCCGGCGCCGGCACTGCGCGCGGGTCCTGTCCCTTCCGGCGTCTCACCTCGGCGTCGGCGCCCAGCTCCTCACGGATGACCTGCCGCGCGATGACGGTGGGGAAGGGCGGCAGCTGGTCCTGCAGCGCGGACAGCTCCTCGAGGTACACCTTGGGCAGGAGGTCCGGCCGCGCGCTGAGCGCCTGCCCGATCTTGATGAAGGACGGCCCCAGCGCCGCCAGCGTGCTCACCAGCTGGCGCGCCCGCTTGCGCATGTGCTCCTCGACCTTGCCGGTGGCGACGTCCGACAGCACCGACGTGCCCCAGCGCCCGAGCATCCCGGCGACGCGCACCGCGCGCGCGTTCACCTCGAGCGGGCGCCTCTGGAAGGCCTCGCGCAGGCGCTCCGGGGAATACTCCACGCCCATCTCCGCGAGAATCTGCGCCGACGAACCAGCGCCGCGAACGTTGCACGCCACTATCGCCGGCGGGCGGGATGGCCTGGAGACTCGATCGGGCGCGGCGCGGGGCCCGTTGCAGAGGTGGGTGGATCTGTGTGGATGGGGGCATCGTGACGCGCGACGCGGAGCCACCAGCACGGCGCACCTCGGGCAGGTCGTCGGTCATGTCGTCGAGCTCGAGGGCCTGAACGAACCCCTTGACGCCGCTCTCTGTGAAGAACCAGGACGCCTCGACCCCACCCACGTCGCTCCGTGGCTTCTCCGAGCCCGCCTTCTCCTTCGTCGCGCGCGTGCGATGCGAGGATCGCGGAGATGTGCGATGGCACTTGAGCTCCGGCGTGAGGCGCGCGACGCGTTCGCCCACGGACGCCGCGTGCGCCAGCAAGGGGCGCCTAGCACCCGACCCAGCCGCGCGCGGCGACCATCGGTTGCGAACCCGCAGGCCAGCGCCCCTCACGGCCCCGTCGCTCGACCAGACCTGTACTGCCGCGTGGCAGCCGCCCTGGGGCATCGTGTGCCTTGACAGGGAGGGTGGGCGGCAGTGAGTGGAAGCCGTGGACTACGGTCGAGCCTGCACACTCGCGGCAGAGGGGCCGCGCGGCGCACAGAGGTGGCACCGCGCTCGACGATACTCTGCAGGGGCCAGGTCGCAGAGCGCTTCGCTCGCGGCGCGGGGGGCAACAGGCGCCTGCGACCCGCAGCTACACTGAAAATCCCAGGATGCGTGCCCCTCGGGTGTGGAGAGAGCAATGCCCGCACTCAGGCGAAAAGCCGCACGCATAGTGCCGCGCGGCGTCCAGGCCGCGCCCCGGAAAGCCGCGACGCGGGGCGCGCAGCTGCGTCCGTGATTGTGCACAGCGTAATACCTGATTCATCCGTCGTCGGCAGGCGCGTTGATGCCGCGCCAGAGGGGCGCCGATGCGAAGTTCACCGCCTTCGCGACGCTCCAGCAGCCCGACGCTGCGTCGTCACCGCGTTTCGGCCGCGCAGTGTGCCATCGTCCTCAGCGGCAGTGAGGCTTGTCCTCGCCGCGCCTGTAGGGTCGCGACGTCACAGTCCCAATAGCAGCCGCCCATGGGCTGCAGCTGCCTGCTGCAGCGCGGGGGCCTGTGCGCGGGGGCGCAGGCTGCCGTTGCGTCCCGGGCGAGCTGTAGGGCGCAGTGGCCACGCGTGACTGCGTCGCCGCGGACGGGAGGGGGGCTCGACGGACGTCGGCAGCACGGCCTGTTGCCCCGTCAGCGCGCGTCGCGCATCGTGTCCCGGGCAGCAAACTTCGAGAATCCTCCGTGGACAAGCGACCAGATTGCTGGCCTCATCTTTGCCGGGCTGCTCGCGGTGGCCTACTTCAACGCCTGGCGCATCGACAAGTTCATCGCAGGTACAGCGCACACGCTTCCAGGCGCTCGACGCTGTAGCAGCCTGCCGGTTCCGCGTGTCTTGGCGACGCCCAGCAGGAGCACTGCTCATGGTCCCTCGTGGGCCGCCCGCTCGTTCGTCGCAGGCCAGCAGCGTGACGACCTAGGGCTGTGCAAGGAGTGCGGCGGGGTCTACGAGCCTGGGTCGTGCAAGGTGGCGTCGTGCCCGAAGCGAACATAAACAAGCCCTCCGCTCCAGACACGAACGATCGGCAACCGCGGCCAGCCCGCAACACCCGGGGCAACCGTCGCCGCGGACCGTGCTCGCCGCTGCCCCCGAGCCACCGGCGCGCACAGGTGTCTGCTGGAGAGCGGGACGTGGGGTTAGCAGCTCTTCAGTGCGGCGGCCGGCATTAATTGTGGCACCAGCAGTGCTTTGTGAGATCGCCGAGAGCGGTTCGGGTCACAGGGCTCCTCTGGTCGTCACGGACCGAGGGCAGGAATGACGTGCGCAGGGACTATGGATTGTTGCCGAGTCAAAGCGGGGGAAAACTACGTTGCGTTGCGCCGGCAATTACTAAGCGGGAGGGCAGGAGCCTTGGTTCTAGGAAGGGCGGGGGCTATGCGATCAGTTGTCGTCGGGACCGCCGCCCCACGACCCGCCGGACCCGCTGTCGGGCTCGATCGTCGAGATCAGCCCGTTGCCACGCAGCCCCTCGCAGTACTCCTCCGCCGTCTCCTGAGCGCAAGCCGTCACCAGAGCAACCCCCGACAGGTGCGCCTCCTGCAGCACGTCGGACGTCGCCCGCGTTGGGTGCCTCCAGCCGCCAGGGACCGCTCGTCGAGACAGGACCTCAGGTGGTTTGGGGGGCCGGGTCACGCGGCGGGGGCACTCACCTCCATGACCATCACCGCGTCGTCCATGGTGAGCTCGTGAACGACCTTCATCAGGACCTTGACCACGTAGTCGCGCCGGTTGACGTCGTCGTTGTGCAGGAGCACCTGCGACAGCATCAGGGGTGCGGCGCGGTTGGCGGGGCAACGCCCGCGCGGGAAGGGCACAGCGCTCCACGCCCGTACGAACACGCACAAGGGCTCCGCACGGACGGGCGACGGAGGGCGCGTGCCTTGTAAATCGGGCTGTGGCGCTTGGATGTGCGCGAGTCCTTCTCCTTGACCGTGTCCGAGTCCACCTTGTCGATGACCCCAGCCCCGCCATCAATGACGGCACGAAGCAGAGTTGCCGGCCTCGGAGCTGCAGGCAGCGGGCGAAGGGGCGCGTGCATCCGGTCTCGCCCACATTCTGCCATCGTCCCTCGAGGGCCCGATGCGCGGCACACGCGACACCCTTTCCACGCCGACGTCACGCTTGCACGTGGACTTCCATTCGACTGTGGTCCGGAACGAGCAATGCGGCGCGCGAGGGCCGAGCAAGTGGCGCGTCCAGCATGGCTAGGCATCGTCTTGGACGGCCAGGTCGATTCCGCCAATGAGATCGCGATCCCGTCGAAAATCTCGGGCGCTCTACATCTGGGAAGTGCGGCGAGGCGCACAGGTGGCGAGGACCGCCGCGCAGCGGGGCCCGCACCTGGGAAAACCTTGCCGCTGTAGGAGAGTGCAGCGGCGCGCGATGCCAGCGGCCGCCGCAGACCAGCCACGGCCTGCAGGCAAGGGGGAATTCTAATATGTCTCGAATTTCGCGGCCTCGTACATCGTCGCGGCGTCGGCGCGGCACCGCAGCGCCACCCTTGGTCTGTTTCTTGTGAGGAAAGCTACCTTCGGCGCGAGCGTGTTGGCGACGATGTGGGGCATTTTCCTGGGACTTCGGCACGACCTGAATCTGTTCGTGGAGTGGGCGAGGTCGGCGTCGGTCGGGCCCCTCGGAGCCGTCGTCGCCGCGCGCATGCCTAGTCAGGGGACCGGGACCTTGTGTCCGGCAACGCTGCGCGGCGCAGACGCCCTCTTGCCGGCATCGGCCCGTCGTGCGGCTCTTGCAGAGTCAGGGAGCGTTCGAGTGGACACGAGTGGACACTTCACCGACAGGCGACGGTTCTCCGACACACTGTTGAGTGCACAAACATGCAGTCGGGACACGGCGCGGAAGCCGAGGGGAACGATCCCGGAGATGCCGCCCGGGGCCCCCACGCACCCACAATTGGCATCTGAAGTTCTCGTCAGGCTGCACGGCGTAGTTTGCGCGCACGTGGGCCGGAATGGCTTCGCTGGGTGCTGCAATTTCACCACATGGCTGGAAGGGGGCGCTGTGGGCGCTGTGAGCATGCAGGCCGGGCGCAGGCTGTGGGATGCCGCCGCACTTGAGGTGCAGCGCATCTTTTCCCTGTCGGCTGCGTCATGTCGCATCTCGCAGCCACCTGCATGACATGAAGACCGGCATCGAGTGCGGGCCCCGCATGCACGGGCGTCGCCGCCGCGGAAGGGATCGGCATCGGACGTGCGCAATGGTGTCGCCGCCGTGCCCGCAGAGAGTTGGGCGGCTGACAAGGCGCGTGTCAGTTGGCCCGCCACACAGGTCGGGCGACGCAGCGCAGCGAGCCGTGAGGTTGCATCGCAAGACAGCGCAGACACGACGGCTTGTCGGCTGCTGGAGCGAGCAGCTGGTCCGCGACCCCGGACTGCACGTGGCGAGCTCGTTCGAGCACAGGACATGGAGCTGGTCGACGACCCCTGCGTGTTCCCACACTTCGCTGCTCACAAGCGCGCACTCACGTACGGGCGGCACTCTCCTTCCTCTCACTTCTCTGCCTCCAGCACGGGCCTGCAGCGGGCACGGAATGCAACGTTGGTCAACAGCGCACAACGAGTGTTGGGCCGGCTGGAGCACAGAGGACCCGTCCGCAGTTGGGCGGAAGCACGATCCCTCAACGACGATCGGCAGCGGGGGCTCCTGCCTGACGAGTGGGTACATATGCGCCCAGTAGATCACCGACCACATCAACCAGCAGCAAAACACCGTCGTGCTGGCCATGACATATCCAAACCTGCAAGCAAAGCAAAGAACATCGAGTTTTTGATGAACTGGTCGGGTGGGAACGTGCACGGGGCCAAGCACGCCTGTTGCGCTGCCTCTTGCACTAGCTGCCTGCATGAGCGCTGGCGGGGGCGCTCACAGTTTACTATTTTTGCCCGTGAAGCACGACGAAAGCATCAAAGCTGCCACTTGGACACCGCCGAAGGCGAGCGTGGCGGTCCAGTAGTACCCCTCTGGCGTCATCGCGACCCTGCTGTGCTGCGCGCTCTCTCGGACCTTCCCAGGGCTTATTTCTGCTGCGATCCAAGCCTGTGTCGAAGCGCCTGGAGGATTGCACAGCGCAGGTTCCCCACTGGTGCGCGCCGCGGTCGCCAGCAATCGCGGCTACGAGGACGTGGACCCCACTCCGACTGTAGCAACCTCCTCCGCCATGCAACCTTTCAATGCAAGCAGTAGTGCGCTGGCGGAGAACGGCAGTCTGTGTTGGGACGTGGCGAGCGCGGCCCCACGTGGCCCGTGGGCGTCCACGCGGGTGCTGGGACGCGGCTCTTATACCTGGCCTGCATACAGAGCTGCTCGGCGGTTCTGAGCAGGGCGCACAGGCATCACACGTGCAGTTTCACAGCATCGCAACCAACACGCATATCATACGAACGGAGCAGTTGAGCGGGCGCGGCCTTGAGAAAGCGCACCGAACAGGCAGCAAGACGCAACCAGCGCCCGTGAGCTCGCCGGAGCGCATTCACGGCTCCGCAAGGCCATAGCAAGGGCCTGACTCCCGTCGCTCGGACCCCAGCGGGTGCTGCAAGGCCGTGGATTGTTGGGACAGCCTGGTCTGACGATCGGGAGAAGCCGGCCGCGGGCACAGCGAAGTTCTGGTACCCGGAGCGCGGGAACGCCGGGGCAAGCAGCTGCACCGCTGCAAGTCGCCCCACCAACTGGAATCATCGCTTCTCGTCTGGCAACCTGCGCCCAGGGGGTCCGGGTGCTTGACGTCGCGCCGGCAGGGGGCTGCAGCAACAGTGCAACACAGCAAGCACCATGTCGGGAGGCAGCGAGCTCGGCCAGCTTGAGCAAGCGCTGCAGCTCGTTCGCGATGCGTTCGTGCAGCTGGAGCACCGGAGTGAGGCGGAATGCGTGGCACTGCGAAGGTGTGTCGCACGCAGACGCGCAGTACACGGCGAGCGTGCGTTGTTGTCAAGCGCGCCGTTTTCGTCGATCGCGACGGAGAGTCAGCTTATGTGGCGCTTCGGAAAACATCCGCAGGGAGCTTGCGGCTAGGAAGGCCGACGTCGATGCCGTGGAGGCCAAGCTGGCGCAGGCACAACACCGCTGTACTGTGTTGGACGAGGAAGTCACTCGCCTCACTTCGGAAAACGAGAAGCTTCGGACAGAAAAGGTGCGCACCTGCCCACTGCCATCAGCGTACGGGCTGTGCAGTCATGGAGAGCTCTTCCCGCGGTCGGCGCATGCGGAGCATCAGCGCAGCTCGCATGTGTATCAACACATGCGATCTTGGGTCTCGGTTGCGGTCGGTCGCGCCTGTTGAAAAAAATCTGCAGCTGCTTTGCGATCCCCAGCTCGGCGATCGCCATTTACCAAGCCGTCCGCAGTGCCAGTGCACAGGACTGCACCAGTCATGACTTCCCCCAACCAGATGCGAATCATTTGACAACGCGGAATGGCGTGTCGCACACATGTGAAGGAGCACGCCACAGCCCCGGCGCTCTCTCTGCAGGTATCGATGACGGAAACCATCCGGAAGCTCGTCAAAGAGACGGCGAAGTACGAACAGCTCAAACGACAGATCATCAGCGCAGTCGAGGACGGAGATGGCACGGCCCTGTTGCGAAGTGGTCTCGGCGACATGCGAGCTGTCTCATCGCCTCTATCGACTCCCCACGCTCCTGCGTCGACCGAAGTCGCCGCCCCGAAGACGACGCCGCGCTCGCCGTTCACACAACTTTCGCGCGCTTCAGACCCTAGCCACGCCGGGCTTGGAGAGGGTGCGGGCAAAAGTGACTCGCCACAAGTGCGCGGTCGCGCATTCTTCTCGGAAGCACGTTCCCGCCTCGACGAGGCATCTTTCAGCAGTTTCCTCGAAGCGATCAAGGATCTGAACACAGGACGTGCGTCCAGGGATGATGCCCTCGCTCGGGCGCGAGCGATCTTCGGCCATGAAAACTCTGACTTGTTCGAAGGCTTCGAGCGGCTGATCCGTAGTGTCTCGCGGTAATGTGAATCGGGCCGTTTAACGTGATGGCGTGCCAAGCTGGGATCTCAACTTGACTCCCCATCTGTCGTGTGCGGTGGTAGTGATCGATTCGTCCGCTGGAAACGCGTGTACAGGCGAGCCAAATTTTGATTTCCCCCGACCGTAAACGACGCGTAAAAAGAACAGGATTTTTTTTCATGCATGCATTACATGTCCGAAGCAAGCTCATGCGTGCTATTGACCCGGGTCAGAGCGCCGACTTGCGCCTAACCCCTACCCAAGATCGAGTTTCCAAACCCGATCATGCCCCCGTCTTGCTCTTGAACGTCCGGTAGCCGGATTCCCGTGAGATCCTTCGGGTCATGCTCCCTGGTATCGTGGACCACGAGCACCTCGTCGGGATAAACCTCAAGTTCCCCCAATGTCTTTTCCTCCTCCTGCAGCGCACGTGCACTAGAAGAGTTCGCCAAAAGCAAGTGCGTCCCGCTCAACTAGGCGTCCACTGTGCACAACTCGGCCGCACCTCGAGCAGCCTGCCGCGGCTGTAAATGTGCGCGCTATCGGGGTGCACGTCGAGCACTTCAAAAATCTTCAACCTGACCAGCTTGAGCGGAGTTGTACTGCACACCCCTGTAATTTCCCGCCGCTGCCTGCGCGACCTCTTGCCCTGGCCGGGAGGTGGTTCGCGCAGGTGTCCAGTCTCCCCCTGCGACGAGAAACAAGCTCAGGCTTGCTTGGGTTGCCCTGCAAGCTGTGCACGAGTTCAGCAAGACCCACTGAAGCTCGCAGTGACATGTACAACACGCTGGGCGTACCAAGGCTGCTTTTGCAGAAAAGAATACTGGATCATCCTCGTCTGGCTTCTCCAAGCGCAGGATCACCTCGATGTCAGCCTCGTTCTCGCCGTACGTTAGCAGAGAGCGTTTTTGCTCTACCTTGCGATCCGTTATGCACTGAAGGCACACACCGGGCTCGGAATACAGTGCGATACCCTGCGCGTTCAGGTGAACGATGAAAACCCGATTGTATCACCAACACAAAGATATGCCAGTCATCGCATAGCGCTGCTCACGCCAGACGTGGTCAGGCGCCGTACCGGTGCACGCGTGTCCCTCGACGAGAGCAACACATCTTCTTCTGTCATGCTGCCAGGATCTGCAGTGTCATCAGGTCCGGCGACCGCTGCTTCTTCTTGTGCAGTTACGGCCTTGGCCTCAGCGACAATCCTCGGGCATCCGTCTCCTGCTGGGGCATTCGCGACAAAAAGGCAAAGTCACGACGTGCACCGTGTGCTTCGAGAGCAGTGTCGCGAAGTGTCGCGTGCTTCTGCAGCGCACCTCCATAGAAGTTGGTGATTTGTTGCCAGTCATCCTCAGCTACCAGGGCCAGCTCGTCGCTCTCGCCGCGGCCTGTGTCTACGTGCGCCTTACCACGATCGCTGCGGATCGAAGGCAATACGCACGCGAGCCGCTGATGCGTGCAAAGCAGCGGCTTCAATGCAGCACCGACGTCGCCAGGTCGTGCGGGCACGTCTTTGCCGCGCGAAGGTTTGAGATAATTGCGCAATTCATTGAGCCACCAGGATGGTATCAAGCGATATACCGTGCCCGCTTCTATCTCTGTGAGAGTGTCCTCCTGCGGGAACGACGAACAAACATCCACAATGGAAGCGTGCCATTCCGCCTTTCTTGGCACACAAAGCGACGGGAGCGCCCCAGCACAATGCGATATGTGGTACCGGTGTTGCGCACCTGCAGCAGCGTCCGGAGAGCAGTGCGTTGTTGCCGTAAGATGGCCTTCTCATCCTTCGTCTCAGCGTACGTCGCAGCCTTTTCCTCGCAACAAACTACGCAGGTCTCGACCCCGGGGTACTTCACTTCAACGAGCGTGCGCTCGACAAGGTCTTGGTCGACGGGTTGCCCTGCACGACAACGAGCGCGGGCCAAAATCATGTTGGTGCCTTTGAGACTACAGAATCAACTCAGCAGTGAACCACCGGCATTGGAAGTGCCTCTCGTGCATCACCATGCTTTCACTCACCGTACACAACACAGATGCCGCCCTCGTTCTCCCAGCACTTCTTGAGGTACCCAAACTCATCCGCTGATAGCACGAACACCGTATTCGTTAGCTCGCCAGCCGATGTCGATACCGAGGGTTTCAGTTGCGAGTGCTCGCAGAGAATCGAAGATGTTGGAGTCATAGAGCCCTGCAGACAGAGGGATTCGCGCAAGACGCACGCTCTTTCAGTCCAAGTGCTGCTTCTTCCCGCACTGCTGGTCAGGGCACCAGGACACGCGTGACCCACCTGTATCGCTGTTGCGGTCTGGCGCCGACACCAATTCTGCACCCAGCGCCTGTGTGCCAAATAGCCATTGGACATCGCAGGTGTCTTGCCCTCGAGCCGATCGAGAATCACGCCTTTCAGAGCGGAATGTTCTCCGGATAGCGTGCCCTGATCGACAATGCGCCTGAGGGCAGAGAGGACGCACTCGGCGCACATTGTTGCTCCTGCACAGCGGTTGCATGAACATGGCGACACGAATGAGAACTTGCGCGCCTGACAGCTGCCGAATTCATGGGCGACGACGCAAGCAGTGTGTCCGTACCATCGACGTCTCTCGGAGACTCTTCGTGGAGCTCCACTTTGTTTGGACCTGATGACTGTGTGATGCAGCTGTATGCAACCTCCGTGATCCGCACTGCACCATTGACCGCATCGAGCGCTAGTTTCTTGTGCGCGCACAAAAGTGGACGGAGATCAAGTTTCGGAGTGCCAACGTCAACCAGACTGTCCTCTTGCTCCCCTTTGCTCTGCATCGCCTCTCCAGGAGCGGCGCTCCCTGTCGCCTCCGGGGCTGCATCCGCCTCATCCGAACTCCTGGGGATGCGACGGGGCCCTCCGAATAGAGCGTCGCACCACTGACGCAGCCAGTCTGAAGGCACCCATCGCGTATTCTCCACCTTCCGCGGCGCAGTTTGCGCACATCCCATGGTCATGCGCACGAGCTCGCGCCGCTGCTTGAGATCCTCTTCTGATTGCTTTTTCTTTTCGTCATATCTCTCAATCCGCCTGTCGAGTTTCCGGCTCTCTTCCTGCGGTTGAAAGCCGCATGAAAATGAGCGCCGTGAGGCGCTGCAAATTGGCGTCAGCAAATGCCCGGAAATGAGTGGGCGTGGCCCTAGTGAACGCACACGAAATGCTGCCTGCATCCCGTGTCAGCGACGTGTGCGCGTGCCATCAAAGCCCAGACGCGGCCATTTACCTGGACTGCTTCCTGCAGATCGTCCGGCAGGTCTGCCGCGAGCGTTGCAGGCATTTTTGGGCCCCTCTTGTAAATAAGGAGGTAGACGTCCTTGCTGCTTGCCTTGTCCTTCGCTGTCGCGCCACCGGCCACAGTCCCGTCATGCGCCGCAGCAAGCTCTGCACGCTCCAAAAATGCAGCTCTCGACGTTGGAGAGCTGCGAGTGGACCAAAAAGTTATCATCGACACCCTTGCTCATGCCTTGCACAAACAACGCAGACTTAATCGTCAGTCAACTCACCTGCAGTGCCGGTCGGGCCACACTGCATTTCCTGGTCGCCGCCGCCATCTGCGTCTCTTGTTGCGCGTCGAGTACCTCGCTGCTTGACATCTGTGGCCGATGCAGACGTCTTGGCACTCTTTGCGGCCGCAGGATCCGCCACCCTATCACTGTCCGGCACCTCTGAAGGATCCAGAGGTCGCTTGCGTGGGCGTCCACGACGCTTCACCCCGGGCGGCAACTCCTCTCTGATCGGTTTGCCCATAGGGTCGTCGCCCAAGCACTCCACCAGTTCGTCGTCGAACTTCCACCACGACTCCGCGAGCTCGTCTGCGCAGCGAGGAAAGGCGCTTGCGATGCACGTGAGGCGCGGTAGTGCGCGGCGAGTCGCCCGATAGTTCAACACACGGAGGGTGTTGGGGGAAGTGTCATGCAGCCGGCACGCAGACATCAGCGCACTCGGTGACGCGGCCCGGATAGTGCCGGGGAGAAGGGAAGTGCCCGCTTGCCTGCACCCTCTTGCTCCGCGGCGTTGGCCTGTTTCCCCGGAGCCGGCCTCGGCAGGCGCACGTGCGCAACATAATGCCCCGCCTGGGCCTGGGTCCCGCGATGCAGTACGAGCGACTGGAGCTGGTAGACATCCCCTTCGGAGCCTGCAAGTATCCCACGGTGGAACACGGTCTTGGAAACAGGAACGGCTGCATGGGCATGTGGCGTGGTGGAGAGATGCAACTGCGGTGGTGCCAGGCCCGGGGGATCAACCTGGCTGGTACGGGCAGTGTTTCTGCAGCTCTTCGCCAAAGTCAGTTGCATAGATGCTTGTCTCCAGAATCCGCCCCATGTCCAGGGACGTAGGAAACTGCATCTGAGAGTTTATCTTTTTCCGCTCCCCGGAACGTAGATCCCACTTGTACCTCTTGACGGACAAAACGAGATACTCTGGCAGCTCTCGGACCGCATGAAACCTCGTGAAGGTCCGTCTGGCTTTGCAGTGCTCGCAGTTGACCCCTTCGACCTCCTCGCTGCATCAAACGCAACAGAGGACGCTTGAGCTCAGACTCGATTCACGCGCGGTCATCGCTCTCTGCAGTCTGGCAGCAGGCTCGCCCTCGACGCTACTGCGATTCGGCGCGCCCAGCGACCACGGGCGTTGCGGGCGGACCTGGCGAATGCGCGCTCCAGGCATACTGGGAGCCCTCGTGAGTGCTCGGGCTCGACCTGGACTTCGTAGAAGCGCTGAACCTCAGTCGACTTTGAAGAGAACTGCAACGACGACCGCCGGGTGTCGCGTGAGCCGCGATGCTTCCCCGAGATCGGGCTCGGGCGCGGCAGGTGTTGCGTGAGACGTCACCCCGATCTGAGCTCACCTTCTTGCACTTCTCGCAACGCATGGCCCATGACTCGCGCCCGCGGAAAGCCTTCATCACGTCGTCGTACTGAGTGGCGGCCTCAGCGAACCGCTCTTCGAGGTACCCGAACAGAAACGTCTTGAATTCCTGGAGGTCCTGTTGCACGTCCTCGGGGAGCTGCGAAAACGAGTACGGGCGCGTCGCCAGGGCGCACGTGCTGGGTCAAGGCTGCAACGCGACCGCGCGCGTTCCACTCCATCTTCTCGACGTCGCCGCAGGACGCTTTGGCAAGGGCTTACCCGCAGTGTTGAGACAAGCGGCTTGGAGTCCACTTTCGAGAATGGCCCGGCTTGCATCATGGCGAAGATCCGTCGCAGCTGGCTGATGGCGGGATCGGCGCGGAGGACGTCATTGGCATGAAGGATCCCTTTGCGCAGCGGCGGAACGTAGAACAGTGCCTGCGGGGACGGCGGGCAGCGTGACCCGTGGGCGGCCAGGACGCGCGATGACGGGTGGCTCGCGCTGCCGTTCGATGCACGGCGCTGGGCAAGATTGCTGACGCAGGACGAAATGAGTATCCGCCGCTGATCTCGTGCTGCTTGCTCAGGTGGCCGCCACTGGAGGTCCCACCTGAACGAGTGCGTTCACGTAGCACGTCGCCCCGAGGTTCGTGAGGCCCGTGGGCTGCGAGGGCGCGCTCCGCCTCAGCTGCTTGGGGTCGTCGCCTGGCTTGCACAGCGAGGGATGGTCTTTCGACCAGATCCCCTTGACGCGCGTTCCTTCCGGAGACGGCACCATGCCTGCAACAGTCGCGGACGACAGGTCCATCACCAGAGGCCCTACGCGGGACGCCAAACGTCAGCACGGGATGGTCACCTGGCACACACCTGCCAAACAGTTGGGGTTGCCCTTGCGCTGTGTCGACGGGCGGGCGTGCAGCTCGCCGGGATCCTGGTCGACACCGTAGTACTCCACGAGGTCGTTTTGGGAAACCTGTTCGAGGCCCTCGAGGTGCTCGAGTCTGGCTTTCGCTTCTTCATAGCTGAGCGTGAGCACGCCGACCGTTTCCCCCTGCACAAAGCATCAACGAGGAGCACGCGATTCTGTGGGGCGGCCTGAGAGCGAGGCCCGTGCGCGGGGGCCGCAGCAGCAGGACCGCCCTGCCACGCGGTGAAAAGACAGCTCAACACCGCCGAAGTGCTGCTCTGAGGGCGCGCTCGGATGGTGCTTCGTGCAGAAACGGAAGATAGTACTCAGAGGAAGAGATACAAAGCGCCTCGGGCACGACCTGCCGCTTGTTACGGGCGCTATCGCGGAAACGAACCCAGCGGAGCAAGCACAGTGGTGCGTCGGGATTGACGGGCCGCTGTGCGCAGAACGCGCGCGCAAGGTGCTGCGGACTGGCGGTATATCCAGTTATGGATGCTAGTTCCTGCGTCGCACGGACGCAAGCCGCAGACACGGCGGAGGCACTTGCCTTGGATGCTTGCCCAGCCTTCTTCGACGCGCCTTTTTTCTTCGACACCATGATGATCAGATGCTGTGCAGGCGACACTCTAGACCTTCTGTTCCTGACGACATCCGTGCGTCATCGCCCTCCGTGATCACCCACGGCGGTCACTCTGTGCGGTCCAAGCACCTGGGCAACCTCCCGAACGCGAGGAAAACACCGCGGCGAGACGCCAGCCTGCCTCGTGCTGGCTTCTCGCTCGTGGTCGCGGATGAGCCCCACTTGCGGCGGGTCGAGCGGCGCGAAGCCCATCAACGCGGCTTCGGCCGGTCGTGCCACGGCGGTGCGGACCGACCAGACAGCAGGGGCGGTAGCACGCCCGGTGCACGCGCAGGGCGCGGAAGGGGGGCCCGCAACGCGTGCCGCTGCTCACTCGGAAGCTGTTGACTGAGAATTGGACACATGCGGACACCTGGACGTGGTGGTGGCAGGGGCTTTGGAGGACGAGGAAGGGATGGAGGTGGCCGCGGCAGGGGACGCTTCAACCGTGAGCCAGAAGGTATGTTCGGGTATTCGTAGTTTTCAACCACGGGCGGCGTTGTCGACGGTGCCAGCGGTCGTCGCCAGAGGCCGCGACGCACTGCCTCTGCACGAGCTTTACGGCGCTGCCGCTCGCGCCCGCCCCCGTGCCTCAGCGGCGTCGCTCCCAACACCCGCCACATGCTGCCGACGAGGTTGAAAGCCCGCCGGGATTTGCGGCCACGCTGAGAGCCTCGCTCGCAGCACTCCCGGCTGCAACCTGCGGTGGACTGCAACAGACGGCCCACGCGCCGCGTCGCGCGACGTAGCAAGAGGCGGCTGCCAGCGTGCGCCGGCATGATCTGTGCGCATCGTGATTCGCGAGTCGCCGCGGGCCTCGATGACACCGCGGCGCGTCGCTGGGCGCTGTCTGCAGGCCCACCTGCCGAGGTGTCATCGTTCGGCACGTTCCTGCACGCATGTGAGGGCGAGGCCGTCTGCAGCCTGACGCTCGACCAGCGGGTGCCGTACTTCAACGCGCCGGTGTTTCTGGAGAACAAGACGCAGATCGGCAAGGTCGACGAGATCTTCGGGCCCATCAACAAGGTGCGGCGCAGGGGGCAGCCGCGCGCCGGTCGGACGGACCCGCGGCCGTGCAGGACGGCGCGTCGGGCGTCTGGGGCGCTCAGGCGCACGGCGGCCTGCTCGCTGTCAACGACGAGTGTGTGCGAGGCTGTGCGTCGTGGTCGTGACGCGTGGCCAACCCACGCTGTGCGACTCCGCCCCGACCGCAGGGCATGTTCACGGTCAAGATGGCGGAGGGGGTGCAGGCCACGTCGTACAAGCCCGGCGACGTGTTTTACGTGGACCCCAACAAGACGCTCCCACTCGACCGGTTCCTGCCCAAACCCAAGGGCGCCGGCGGGCGGGGCGCGGGGGGCAGGTGCGCTCCCGCACAGCAGGGCTGCGGGTGCTCCGCTGCCGCCGCATCACGTCGGCCCTGGCCGTGTCCCGCGCTGACTGATCCCCGTTGGTGGGCAAGGTCTCATGAACCTCTCGACGGGGCTTCCTGACGCTGCGTTGCAGGGGCGGCGGCGGCCGAGGATTCGGAGGTGGCCGTGGCGGGCGTGGAGGCGGGCGCTTTGGTGGCGGGGGCCGAGGGTTCGGGGGAGGTCGTGGCGGAGGGCGCGGGGGCTTCGGGGGCGGGCGCTTTGGTGGCGGCGGGCGCGGGGGCTTTGGGGGCCGCGGGCGGGGCCGAGGGCGCAGCTAGGCAGGCGATGCGCACTGTGTTACAGCGAGCGAGTATGCGTGAACAACAGGAAGCAAAGCAAACATGGCTGCATGAGCCAGTCGCGGAGCCTGTGGGTGGATCGGAACAGCAGGGCTTTGGACCCACGCAGCTGTTGGCCCCAGGCGCAACGCCTGCGCCGTGCGAACCCGCGCGTCGTCTTCGAGCTTGCGTGCTCGTGCGCCCTCTGGGTGTGCGCTACTGACAAGCACCACCCGTGGCCAGCACACACGGCGGCGACTTCCAGCGCAGGAGGTGCACTGCAGGTGGGCCGACTGCTCGATCACACGGGGGGTCGCGATTCGGGTCGGCGGGCAGCTTCCAGTCTGGCGCCATCGATGTCCCGCCCCTTGGTGCCCTCCACATCGAGCATGAGCTCCGGCGACACCGACACCGCGCCGACGGCCGCCTCCTCCCTCTTTCCTCCCTCCACGCTCCCGTCCACCGCCTGCTGCTCCATGGAACCAAACCGCTGCAACCATCCGCGAGGATTCCACAACTTGGCCTTTTCCTCCTCGGTTACTATTCTGCGAGGGAGGGGGGGGACGGGAACGCGGATCGATACGAGCGACTTCGATCGGGGCACGCCACGCCGCAGCTGGCTGTGCAGGAAGGCGGGAGCGTCTCGCGGGGACTCTCGGAACACGCATGCATGCATGCTCGCGCGTGGGGGCGCACCTCCTGGTCAGCAGCGTGCTGATCTGGCCCAGGAGAGCGGTGTCGCTCGTCGGAACCTCTTCGATCAATGTTTTCGCCCGTATGAGCGCCTCCCTCGCCCGTTTCCCGTCCCCCGACATCATGTAACACAACCCCTGCACAACAAACGAGATACGAGGAACCCGCGGATCAGCGCCGCCGCTCGCGCGCAACGGGCGCCGCGAGAGTCGCTCTGCGCGGTTCGTTCCGGGGCGCGTGTGTGCGTCTGCGCGCACCTGCAAGTACCACGCCTCCGTGTCGCGGTCGTCCTCCGCGGTCAACTCCACCAGCAACTCCAACGCGTCCTTGTATTCCGATAGCTCAACTAGCAGCCGCGCGGTGACCATCCTGAAGTCGTATGTGGGAGCGAGCCCCTCAGGGAGCCCCCGGATGATCTCCACCGCCCGCCGCGCCAACAACAGCGCCTCGCCCTCCCGACCCTGCAGCGAGCACAGCGGGACAGTGAGTGATGCCCGCGCCGAACACGTGCGACGCGAGATCCCACGACGCCCCGGGCCCCTCCCGAAGCAACATGTCACCCCCCCTCTGTCGGGGCGCCCTCACCTGACTCAGCCGGACGTCGGCCAGCGCCTGGCACGCCTCGGGGTTCCCGGAGTCGAGCCGCAGCGCCTTGTCGAGGACGTCTTCGCAGCACCTCATGGCCCCCGGCTCCTCGAAGCAGTCGGTGAGCCACACCTTGGCCTGCGCGGCCAGCACCGCCGACGCCGCCTTCTTCATGTCCCTCAGCCGACGCGCCGCCTCCGCCGCCTCCGCCCCGCCCTCCTGTGCGGCCGCCTCCATCATGCCCATCTGCGCGGCGTGCGGGCGGCGGGCGGCGCTCGCACGCGTCCTGCCCACGCCACATGTGCGCCACCCCACATGTGCGCGCGGGGGCGGGGCCGCACCTGTTCGTTGAGCAGCTCGAGGCCCTTGGAGAACGCGTCGAGCGCGCGGTTCCCGTACTCGAGGTGTCCGAGCAGGACGTACTTCTGGTGCCCCAGGTCGGGCCGCAGCTCTATGGAGCGCAGCACCAGCTCCTTGGCACCCTCGCCGTCGCCCATCTCCGCGAGGATCTCCGCCGCCGCGTCCATCGCCGCGGTGTGCTCCGGGTGGTGCTCGATCACGCGGATGTACAGCTGCAGCGCCCGGTCCAGGTCCCCGCGGTTGACCATGTCCTCCGCCCGGCTGCACACTTGCGCCGGGTCGAAGAAACGCACGCCGATGCCGTCCAGCAGCTGCGTCGTCGAAATACGCGCCTCGGGCTCCTGCCCCAGCAGCTCTATCAGCGACTCCAGCCAGAAAATGATGGCCTGGATCGCTCGCGCGACCCACCCTGCCAGCTGCCGGAGCATGCCGGGCCGGGAGGCCGCCGCCTGCCCCTGCGCGCGACGCAAGGGCGGTGGGAGCGGAGACGTTCGGGTCTGCAGCGAGCTTCCGGCGACGGAGGCGCCCGAGCGCGTTGGACGCGCCGCGGCATGCCGAGAGGGTGCCAGGGTTTGACCATGGCAGCAGGCACCTGCGACCCGGCACAACTGCTCGGACGCGCGTCGCAGTGGGCCGCGCGGGGCGCGAGCGGCAAGGGCGATACGCTGCCTTGGGGGGCACGCGTCCGTCGCGGGCGTCAGTGCGCCCCCGCGGTGAGAGCGGCGTGCGTCCCCAAGAGCCTAGAACTTGAACTCCGACGCGCCGTTAGCAAGGTCGCGGGGGCACCCAGCGCACACACGGCCACCAGCGAAGGCTCGCAGTGAAAAGACTCCCGTGCGGGGGGAGTGGGGTGGCGGGACCCCCAGCGCGCCGCGATTGCGCCGATCGAGCAGCTGCATGGCCGCACGCCTTGCCCCTTCGGACAGCGCAGCCACGAGGCGGGGCCAGCACCAACCGCCCATGGAAGGCGCACGCCCATGTGGTTGACCGCGGGCCGCCGCGTCCTCGGGGCGATGACGGGCCCCGTGCTGTCGCCCCGGCGCTGGCTACGCAAAAGCAGACCCTGGGACGCGCACCGCGGCGCAGGGGGGTCGCGGGCGGTCCGTACGGGAACTTCGGGCAAATACCTGGCTTCGCTGGCCCGGCATCCCTTCCGCTTCACCTCAGCTGTACGCACGGCTGCTCATTGCCGGTCGCTTCTCTCGCCTTGTTGCGCCTACCCGCGCTACCTGTCCCAGCGCTGCGCTGCCATGCCTGTTACTACTCCTATCGCGATCTCCGGCACCTGGCCAGCACTGTGCGCCGCCCCGCGGAGGCCCGCCCGATGTGCACCCGACGCGCACAGTGCGCCTGGCGCCGCCAATATAGCTCTTACCTGGGTCGGGCCGACGCACGGGGCATCCCCAGGGGCCCGGCGGCGCCCGGGCCTTCAGTGGCATGCCGTGCGGGTCGGGGGGGCACAACGCGGGCGCCGCTCCCTGTGGCCGCGAACTGGGTGGCGGGGCCGCAGTGAGCAAGCTGGCTTGCGTCTCCAGTGCGCTGCACCGCGGCGAATCCACACCTCCCCCGCACGCCGAGCGTCTCGTTGACATCCTGAACAGCACCTCCGGGGAGTGCGCAAGGCGGTCGACAGCATGCTGGAGGTACGGTCCGACGACCAAGGCTCTAGCACACTCACTTCGTGGTTACCGCCCCGCCGGCCGCGCTGGAGATCACTCCGCAGCCCAAGCGGCATGATCTCCATTAAAGGCGCGAGTTGAGCGCGCGATAATGGGGCGTGGGCGCGTTACGGTTGCGCACGGAGAAAGCTAGTTGGACCCCGAACGCCCTCGTGCCCGGGGCACGCGGCTGTCCGCATTGTCGTCGATACGCATCGAATGTCGACTTTTTTAGTGCGCCTCTCGCGAACGCTCGAGCTGGCGCCGCGAGGGAGTGCCGGGACCAACGTGCTGCTTGCCCCCGTGCTGTGCAGACCGTGCTCCTCGCCCTCGTGGGCCTCGAGCTCTTCTTCAGGGGCAGCATCGGCGCGTCCACGTTCATCGCTGCCCTGCTGGTGGGCATCCGGGCCCTGATGCAGATCATGGAGGGTCTGCTGGAGTCTCGCCACCGGGACAAGCGGAGCATCATTCGCGAGCGGCTCTCGCAGCTCGACTCGCTCCCGGCCACCGTGCCCGAGCCAGGTGCGCGGACGTGCTGGCCGCGGGTCGACTGGGCGCGTCGCGGGGCCCCGTCGCGGCACACGGCGCGCGAGGTGGTTTGCACACACACACACGCACACACCTGCCCTCCGCCGCGCAGGTGACTGGCTGAACAAGTTCCTGGTGGAGCACTGGGAGCACTTCATCCACCCGGCGATCCTCGGCGCCGTCCTGAACATCCTGCAGAACAAGCTGGACAACGCCGGGCCCGACACGCTCGAGCTCTGGGTGGAGGCCTTCCACCTCGGCCTCGCGCCGCCCATGCTGTCCAACTTCCGCGCCCTCGGCCACAAGGACGGCCGGCCGGGGCTCGCGGCGCTGGAGCTGTCGCTGCAGCTGGTCACGGATCAGGCAAGTGGCGCTGCGCAACACGTCCGCGCGTGTGCTGCGGGGCCGCCTCCGCTGGCGCCGGGCCGCTCACCCGCGCGCTGCCCGCCCCCCTGTGTGCAGGCGAAGATCGAGATCCGCGGCGCCGGCACGGTGAAGGGCATTGCGCTGAACGTGGCGGTGACCATCCAGTCGCTGCAGATCGAGGGGTCCCTGCGGTTCATCCCCGTGCCCTCCGAGCGCCTGATGCTCTTCGGGTTCAAGGAGCCCCCGCTGGCCGACGTCAACGTCAAGCTGCGCGTCGGCCGCAAGGCGCACCAGGTCCGCAGCAGCAAGCCCTTGCTTCGGCCGACGCGCCCCCGACGACGCCCGCGGGCTGCCTCATCCCCGCCCGCTCCCACGTCGCGTTCGCAGGAGGGCAAGGCGGAGAAGGACAAGGGCGGCCTCAACATCTCGTCGCTGCTGCCCATCAAGAAGATCCTCGCCGAGGCGCTCGCCAACGTGGTCACGGAGCCCCGGCGCAAGTGCATCGCGTTCGAGCTGAACTCGCTCGACCGGCGCGCGGTGCAGGGGACCGCGGGCGTGCGCGTCATCCGCGGCATCAACCTCCCGCGCCGGCCGCTCGTCGTGGCCTTCATGGCCGAGAAGATGACGCGGTACACCAAGCAGGCCGTGTCCGGGCCGAACCCGGAGATCAACGAGACCTTCATGATGACGGTCAACGACGACACGTGGTTCTACGAGCTCGAAGTGCGCGAGACCTCCCAGAAGGGACCCATGTACGGCCGCTGCCGCGTCAACCTCAAGTGAGTCCCGCCGCGCCCCACGAGCTCGCGCGCAGCCCCGTGCCGGCCACACCCCGCCCCCCCCCTCGCGCGCGCTCCCCTCACCGGCGCGGACGCCCTCGTGTGCCACAGGTACCTGGGCGACGGGTCGACGGCGTTCTGGGGCAACGCCGAGAACTTCACGCCGATCTGCAAGCGCTGCTCGCCCTTCGAGTCGTGGCGCGTGAAGCTGCCGCTGGAGTGCATGGACGGCTCCTACCTGGAGGTGAGACACCCCCCCTTCCGAGCAACACACGGATCCCACAGACGTGTCTGGGCTGCCGGGCGGCGGTGCGACCTCGTGCCTGACCTTGCGTCGACGCATGTTCGCAGGTGGAGATGTTCCAGCGCGAGTGGCTGTTTGCCCAGCCCAAGCGCCCGCCGGTGGTCACCTACCAGAGCGTGGGCCCGCGCACCGTCGTGCTCAACGTCGTCGAGGCGCGCAACCTCGGCAACCCCAAGGACTCCACCACGCTCGACCCCTACGTCAAGATCAGCTACGGTGCGCCCCGCAGTTCCCGCCCGTGCCGGTGCTGCTCCAGTCCGTTGCAGGCCCCGCCGAGCCCCCCCTGCCGACCGCCGCGGCGCAGGTTCCGAGTCGTGGCTGACGAACGTGGTGGAGAACACGTCCCTCCCGGTGTGGAACCAGACGTTCGAGATCCCCGAGTCCACCAACGGCGCCCTGCGCACCATCCGGCTGACTCTCAGGCAGGGACACACAGCACACGCACGCACGCACGCACGCACGCACGCACGCACGCACGCACGCACGCACACAGAGCGCCCGCCGCGAGCCTCGCGGTCGCGCTCACCCCGTGCACCGGCGCGTGTCTCGCAGGGACCGCGAGTTCGGTCTGTCGACGGACGACGCGCTGGGCACGGCTCAGATCAACCTGGACGCGCTGGTGGAGGGCGAGATCAACGACATGTGGCTCGAACTGGAGGGGTGCGACCAGGGCGCCGTCCACATCGTCGCGGAGATCCGCCCCGGCGTGCCGCAGCACATCAAGGTGAGTGGCCGTCGCCAAGTGCCTGTAGTGCGAACGGGCGCGTAAGCCCCGCGGTCCGCCCCGCGTGACGAAGCGGGCGTGATCGATGTCGCGTGCCTCTCGCGCGTGCAGAGTCGCGGCCTGGGCGACGGCCTGCTGTCCCGGAGCGAGCTGGAGGTTCTCGAGGTGACGGTCATCGAGGGGCGCAACCTGGACGCCTCCGACGCGAACGGCCTGTCCGACCCGTACCTCGTCGCGGTGTACGCCGGCCAGCGCCAGAAGAGCGCGTACCAGCCCGCCACGCTCAACCCCAAGTGGGGCCACACCTTCTCCTTCCCCTACGTGGAGGGCAAGCTGCTGCAGGTGCGACGCGCACGCCCGCGCACGCCCGCGCACGCCCGCCGCCCGTGTCTTCGCGCGAGCCGACCTCGATGTCCCCCCCTTGCGTGCAGATCGACGTGTGGGACTGGGACAAGTTGTCGCAGCACGACTTCCTGGGCAACATCGTGATCAACCCGGGACAGCTGCCCGCGGGACGCACGTTCGAACAGTGGCTCGCGCTCGACGGCACCCCCACCGGCGAAGTGCGCGTCAGGATCCGCCGCCACAACCCCTCCCCGCTGGTGCGCCCCCCCCCCCGCTTTGCAACTGCATCGTCGTCGCACGCGCCTGCCCGCGGTCCCGTACCGACGTGGGCCGCGGCACCTGCCCCGCCCGTGCTGCAGGTCAACCGCTACCAGGGCTACACCAGCACGCGGCGCCTGGACGCGTTCGGGAAGGAGCTGGACCCCAACTCGCACCTCAAGACGGAGGGCAAGGAGGGCGACGAGTACGTCATCCCGCTGCCGCGCCCCCTGGACAAGCGCCCGAAGAAGCTCCAGGTGAGAGCGCGCCCATGTGCGAGGTCTGCCCCGCGTCGCCGCCCCGGTGGCGAGCAGCTCGGTCACCCGCGCTGCGCCACTGCACTCGCGAGCGCAGGACAAGGTCTGGCACGAGTCGGAGGCCGCGGAGGCAGAGCCGAAGGCGTCGCCGGCAGTGGCGAGTGCCAACGGCGGCGCGCCCGCTGGGTCGTCCAAGGGCCCCGAGGTGAGCACTCACAGCAACCCTGCACCTGGCGCGGCCGACTCAGGCTGCTGCGCGCGCCTCCACCCCGCTCACGTCGATACCGCTCACTGTCTCGCCGCAGCCCACGAAGCTGAAGGAGACCATCCAGGAGCAGAGGGACGAGCTGGCCACGATCACCGCCGAGCGCGACATGCTGCTGCAGAAGCTGCAGCAGCTCGGACACGCGGTGGAGAACTCGCTGGGCATCGTCGCCTCGCCGTAGAGCTCCTGGACCCCGTCAGCAACAACCGTCCGTCTTGTGATTGCTTGTCCATGTTTGGGTCAGGAAGGCTCTTTTCGTTTCGTGTGCCAAGAATCAGTATGCGACAAACGCGTCTACTGGAGGTCACCGTGACCAAGACAGGGGCGGCCGAGCGCAACAACAGCGGTGGAGTACCCGCACGCACGATGAGAGACGGTGGTCGGGGTCCCAGCACACCTGCGCGAGCAGCTGGAGGGAGACCTCGACTGGCGACGGGTCTCCCTGGCGTGCGGATACTCGTCGGAAAGCCCCGCCACGCGCCTTGATGCCGTCAGCCGGCGACCCGGCCCGGTGAGACAAACGAATGATGCACAAGCGCCAGGTTGTGACTGCGGTGACGTCCCCCTCACGCCACCCGCCACTCGGGCCGCTTCTGGAAGCACACGTCGAGCAGCAGGTCTGTATGGTGGTTGGAAGCGTGTCGTGCAACGCCTGGAAACTCGTGCGCACGTGTGGGCTGTGCCTTTCAGTGATGTTCGCGGCTCCGTAGGAGGCGCCAAATGTGTCGACCGCGTCACGTTGGGCCGTATCATCGATCGCATGGGCTGAGTGCGGGAGAACCGGCCTCCCGCGTGTCCCCACCCGTCCAGGTGCGCTGTGGGCAGCCCCTAGACACAAAGTCCTCTGTGTTCAGCAACGCGCGCATGCCGACATCCCCCCGCGACTGTTTGGCAGTGACTCTGGCCGGCGCTGCATGTCACACGCGCGCACGTGCGCGGAGCTCACCCAAAAATGCGGAGCTTGTGGTCTGAACCCCCAACCGCCACCCACTGGGCGAGGGGCCCGAACGCAAGGCAGGTCGGGCCCTTGTCGGCGTGCTCGGTGATCTCGTGCTGCATCTCGAAGGCCTGCAGCGCACGGAGCAAGCATCATGGCGTTGTGCGTCGAGCTGTGCTTGCCAGGACCACGACCCCCACGGCAGCCCCGCACTTCGTTGACACGCCGGTCGGCGCATTGCTCCAAACGATGCCCGCGAACACTGCGGCCGGATATGCGCGCGGCGATGCGTGCGGGTCCGTCGCACCTGCTTCACTCCGTGGATCTGCACGGCCGTCGGCGTCACCACGCCGAGGTACGCCGCGGCCCCGTCGAACGCGACGCTGCGCACGCCCGGCACGTCGAGGGAGTGCGTGCTCTTGAGCTTCCTCAGGTCCCAGATCTTCACTGCGTCGCCCGCTGCCGTCGCCAGCTGGTACCCGTTCTCCGAGAACGCCAGCGTGTGCACCGGGCCCGCGTGCTCGAACTTCGCCACTACCTTCTGCGTGTTCACGTCCCAGATCTGCACCAGGCCCGACTGCGACCCCGTCCCCAACAACGCACCGTCCGGGTGGAACTGCACGCTCGCCAGCTCCGGCGACTCCTCCGACGGGTTCGCGACCTGCGGACACGAGCGCGCGCGTGATGTTGGTGGCGTACAGGGGCGCTCGCGGGCCTCCTTCGCGCGGCGCGGGTCGGTCCGCCGCGCACCTCGGTGAGCGTGATGCCCGCTGTCAGGTCGTGGAAGGCCCACTTGGCGTCCTTGGCCGCCGTCACGCAGTACTTGTTCCCGGGGTGCACCGCCACGCCCGTCACCTCCGCGCCGTGCCCCGTGAACGTCTCCACGCACGACCACGCCTTGCCCTTCCGCCACACCTTTGCCGTCTTGTCCGCCGAGCAGCTCACCGCCACGTCGCTCCCCGCGAACGCCGCCTGGTTCACCCGCTTCGTGTGCCCCTTGAGCGCGTGCACCTTCCCGGCCGCGCGGTCGAACACCTGCGCCGTGCTGTCCGCGCCGCTGGTTATCACCGCGTCTGGCGCCGCTGCACAGATCGCCACCGAGTTGATGCCGCCCTTCGCCGCCTTGTGCACCGGGTGGCTGTCCTGCGCGCAGAGAACAACCAACGCACGACGCCACTGAGCACGCTCTCTCGACCGCGACCAGCGCAACACCCGCCACGCACATCGACAGCGGGGGCTCGCACCTGCAGCGACAGCTTCGCGAGGTCCGCCGCCGCCCGCAGCCCCTCCGGCAGCCCCTTGCCCCGCTTCTTCCGCTCCGACGACAGCTGCGCGCACGTGGCCTGCACGTCGTCCAGCGCCGACTGTGGGATGCCCGCCTTGGCGCGCTTCGCCGGCCGCGCCTCCCCGTCGTCCGCCCGCGCCGACGTCAGCATCTCCCGCGCCTCGTCCCGCTCGCGCATCAGCCGCGCGATCACCCGGCACGCCGCGTCGTGCTGGTACAGCGCGTGCGACAGCTCCTGCCGCACCGTGTGGAGCTGCTGCCGCAGCTGGTGCGCGTCCAGCATCACCGCGTCCCACTCGCTCTGAAACAGCGCCAGCAGCCCCGGGATCGACGTCGCGTTCGTCGTGCGCGGCTTCAGCGCCTTGTTGGACCTCACCGGCAGCAGGTCGTCCTCCGACAGCTCCTCGTTCGTCACGGGACACCGCCCTGCGGGGCGCGCGCGGGGGGCGGTCGGAGCGGTGCGGGCGGGCGCAGGGCGAGGGGGCGCGCGGGGCCCGGGTGCCGGGCGGACGCACCTGTGTCGGCAATGTGCTTCACCACGAGCCGCCGCTCGAACAGGTGCCCGGTCTTTTTGCTGACCACCGGGTCCTCCGGCACGCTGCCGCTCACTGCAAGGCGCGGGACCGAGGGGCGGCGCTGCTGTTGGGGCTCGGGACTGCGGCGGACGTGGCGCGTGCTCGGGTGCAAGCAACGCCCGGGGGCCGCAGGGCCGGACACCGGCGACGCGCGCGGGTGCGGACATCCGTGGAAGGAAACTCGTGCCGTTGCAGCACGCAACGGCCGAGACGCGCGCCGCGCACCCCGTGACAGCGCTGTTGCGGGTGCCCGGAAACGGGGGGAACGGCCGGCGAGGAGCACGTGGACCGCGCAGGCGAAAAACGGCGCAGGTGATGGAACCTGGCAACTGGAATGGGCTGTGGGGCAAGTCTGCCCACGGGATCATGACCAGGGCGCGGAGGACATGCGCCACTGCGTGCCTCTGCACAACGGCCCGCGAGTCGCCGCACTCAAAGCGAAGCTGGAGCGTTCCGGCGCGGAGGTGGCGTGATGAGCGCTTGTTCTACAGGGGTCCGGCACGGCTCGCGGTCCCAGGCCCGTAAATTCGTGCGGACAACGAAGGGAGCCTCATGGAGGGAAGGAGGGGGCAGCAAGAGGGTGCCGCAGGGGATCGCCGACCAAGCGTCGATGGCCGTGCGCTGTCCCGCCGTGTGGCTCGCCGTACGGAGCTGACCGGCAGGAGGAAACAAGCTGCGCGCTCGCGTGGGACTGCCGGACCACCATCAGAGGGCGGGCGGCGGGTCGCACGTCGCCCGTGCAGCCATACTCACCGGCGCAAAACATCTTGCCGCGATGCTCTGATTTTTATCTCGCGGCGGGCCGCGCGGCCGGGCCATCAGCGCGCCTCGCGGTGCGCCCGGGACGTGTCAGCCTGGGTGGGTGTTGCTGGAGCGTCCGCCGCGGCAGAGCTGGCGGCCTATTGCCGCTCCCGCCGGCACGCCTCGGTCCTTTCCCGGCCCGTGCCCACAGTGCTAGATCCGTAACCATGCCGGCCAAGCAGGCTGCCGTGCCGGAGACGCTGCTCAAGAAGCGGCAGAGGGACGAGCAGTGGGCTGCGAAGCGCGCGGCTGCTGCCCAGGCGAAGAAGAAGGACGCCGCTGCCAAGCAGCAGGAGGCCCTCAAGCGCGCGGAGCAGTATGTCAAGGAGTACCGGCAGCAGGCAAGCCTCCTCCTCGATCTTTGTGCTCTTCCGCGGCGCTGCCGACGCCCCTGCGCGTGATGGACGCGCGCGCCGGTGTCCTCCGGACCTGTGAGCGGCCGGCGCGGCAGCTTTCGCACCCTCAAAGCGATGCCCGCGGCGCGTGTTGCGGCTGTTTGTGCCCAGCACTGCCTCGCGGCCGTCATGCGCCCGCTGCCGGGCCGCCACGCCGCGGCGCCGGCGCTCGAACGAGTGCCCCAATTATCATGGCCCCGGACCTGAGCTTCTCGGCGACGTGGGGGCACATTCCGGCGCGCGGAACCGGTTTGCACTCGGCGACCCGTCCTCGCGGCCTCGGCCGCCTCCTCCGGCCGCCCGCGCCGGTCCTAGCGCCGCCTGCCGACTTTTTCCGCGCGACCCGCGACAGCATTGCCTCTGGTTCGGCGGCGCCGGAGCACCCCACGCCGTCCGCCTGCCACCGCCTCCGCTTCCCGGGGCCGCTGCTGCGCAGGAGGCCGACCTCGTCCGCATGAAGCGGGAGGCCAAGAAGAAGAACGGGTTCTACACGGAGGCTGAGCCCCGGCTCGCCTTTGTCGTGCGCATCCGAGGCATCAACGCCATGCACCCCAAGGTACGCTGCGCCTGCGTCTGCGCGCGCACCAGCGTCGCCCAGTCGACGTCTACCTCGGTACTTCGACGGCTCCATGCGCCCCAACCAGCCCGCGGCGAGCATGCGGGACGTCCGAGCGTGTTGGCACTCTGCAAGAGCCGTCGCAATGGCTCCGCACGCCCTGCCGCGGCCTCGAGGCGGACCGACCCGAGCACGGCCTCGTAGAGCGCCAGCACCGCCGGTAGCCGCGGCTGCGAGCCCTCGGCGCCCCTCGAGCAGCCTCCCTGGCCTCTGTGTTGTCTCCGGCCAGCGCCGCTGCGCACGCCGGGCGCCGCTGCCGCCGCAGCCGCCCCGCGAGGCCCACCCCCGCCCACCCCCGCCCCTTCCGGTCGCCCCCGCGCCGCCGCGTGCCTCCGCGGCCTCTGACCGCCGCGCCCCGCCTGTGGTGCAGACGAAGAAGATCCTGCAGCTGCTGCGGCTGCGCCAGATCAACAACGGCGTGTTCCTGAAGATCAACAAGGCCACGCTGAACATGCTCCGGCGCGTGGAGCCGTACGTCGCGTGGGGGTACCCCAACCTGAAGACGGTCAAGGAGCTCATCTACAAGCGCGGGTTCGGCAAGGTCAACGGCCAGCGGACCGCGCTCACCGACAACGCCATCATCGAGCAGGTGACCACCGCGGCGCCGCGGACCCCGCGCCCAGCACGCCCCCGGCTGCGCTGTTGTGGTGGTTGCACTCAGCACCGCACCGACCCCCGCGCTTGGCTCGCGTTGCGTGCAGGCCCTCGGGAAGCACAACATCATCTGCGTGGAGGACCTGGTGCACGAGATCGTGACGGTGGGCCCTGCGTTCAAGGAGGCGAACAACTTCCTGTGGCCCTTCCAGCTGTCGTGCCCGCTCGGGGGGTTCACCAAGAAGCGCACCCACTACGTCGAGGGCGGCGAGGCCGGGAACCGCGAGGAGATGATCAACCGCCTCGTGCGCGCGATGAACTGAGTGCCGCCCGCTAGTGTGAGCCGCATGTACGTGCTGCCACCTCCGCGCCCCGCCGTGTCACGCCCGCGGAAGGGGGGGAGCGCCTGGCGGCACATGCGGACGACCGCCTCGGCGGGAACCGCTCGCGCGGCACGCCACGAGGCCCCACACTCCCCCGTGGGCCCGTGTGTGCAACATCCCCACGGGCGACGGGAGCGCTGCAACTGAGAACCGCTCCGGACGCGCGCATCAGTCTGTGAATCGGTCGTCGTCGGGGCAGCTGCACGGCGGTTCGCGCGCGCGTCGTTGAGAGCGCCAGCGCCCGCTCAGCTCCCAGTCGCTGGTGGTGGGCTCGGGTGCGATGCAGGCGAGCTTCGCCTGCCACCGCCCCTCGATGGCGGCCGTGCTGCGTTCGATCGCTCGAAATGTGGGTGCGAGGGCCGCGCGCGCGCCAGTGATCACGCGGAGGGCGCCGTCGGGGGCACCCGGGCAGGGTGCTTGCCGCCGGGGTGGGGCGGTGCGCGCCGCGGCCGACCTGGTGGGGGCCGACGTCGCCATCGGCCGCGACGCGTTCAAGACGCTCGACATCGTCTTCTACAACACATTGTCGCGGAAGAAGGAGAAGTTCGAGACCATGACGGTGCGCACTCGGCGCTTGTGGATGATCCGCCCGCACCGCGCCTGCGCGACCGCAAGCGCGACGCGCGGCACCGCGGGCCCTCGAGCGGCCTGTACCGATGCCACCGCGTCGCCTGCGCCGCGCCCGCGCCCGCACCCGGCCGCTCCGAGCAGCACGGCCCATGAGGTCTGGTTCGTGCAGGAGGGGAAAGTGGCCATGTATGTGTGCGGGGTGACGGTGTACGACCTGAGCCACATCGGCCACGCCCGCGCGTACGTCGCGTTCGACGTGCTGTACCGATTCCTGCAGTTCGTCGGGTACGAGGTGGACTACTGCCGCAACTTCACAGGTGGGTCCCCGCCGCCGACACGCGCGGAGCTGCGGCGCACCGCTGTGCATCCACGGCGCCGACGGCCTCCTCGCCCTTCGCGTGCGCGCAGACATCGACGACAAGATCATCGCCCGGGCGAACGAGCGCGGGGAGGACCCTGGGGACCTCACGGAGCGCATGATCCAGGTGGGCGGACGCACGGCGCGGGGGGCGACGGGGAGCGCGTGCCTGCGTCGCGGAGCGTCGTCCTCGCGTCGCTCACGGCCCCTCCCCCCTCCCCGTTGTTTGCAGGAGTATTTGAAGGACATGGAGATGCTGTTCTGCCTGCCGCCGACACGGGAACCGAGGGCGACGGAACACATCGATGGGATGATCAAGACGATCCAGAGCATCATCGACAACGGCCACGCGTACCAGGCCGGGGGCGACGTGTACTTTGAGGTGGGCACGCTGCCCGGGTACGGCAGGCTCTCTGGGAGGAAGCAGGCGAGTGGCCCCGGACGAACAGACGCACGGCGACGTCGCAGACGCAACACCATGTGCAGTGCACGTTGTGCGCCCGCGTCGCGCAGCCGAGCGGGCCCCGCGGCGGCTGTGTGTGTGTGTGTGTGCAGGAGGACAATCAAGCGGGTGCTTCGGGGCGCCTACAGACCGAGGCGTCCGTGAAGCGAGGGTCCGGAGACTTCGTGCTGTGGAAGGCGGCCAAGCCGGGCGAGCCCACGTGGGACTCCCCCTGGGGTCCGGGGCGTCCCGGGTGGCACATTGAGTGCTCCACGATGATCAAGACTCTCATGGTGAGGGCCCGGTGCCGGGAGACGCGCGCGGGCTCGTGACTGCCGACGCGTGCTGACGCGCGCTGCGCGGGGCCGCGTGCTCCGCAGGGGTCGGCGATCGACATCCACGGGGGCGGGCAGGACCTGGTGTTCCCGCACCACGAGAACGAGATCGCGCAGAGCCAGGCCGCCGCGTGCTGCTGCGACAAGGAGCACATGCACAACGGCGGGGTGGACTTCGTGCGGTACTGGTGCGGCGCGCCCCGCCCCCCGTGTGTGCCCCCCCTCGGACCATCGCACGCTGGCGCGCAACGGCGCGGTCGAGACGGCACGAGCGCGCCTTGCACCCCCGCGCGTCGCAGGCTGCACAACGGGTTCGTGAACGTGGACAACGAGAAGATGTCAAAGTCGCTTGGCAACTTCTTCACCATCCGGGACATCGTCCACCAGTACGACCCCGTCGCGCTGCGGTTCTTCCTCGTCTCCACGCACTACCGCCAGCCGCTCAACTACTCGGACGTAAGGCGCCCGCGCACCCCTCCCGCGACCTCGCGCGGAAGACAACAGACTCGCAAACAAACAAACAACCGCCAGCTCGTCGGGTCGCGGCGCAGGTCGGCCTTGAGATGGCGTCGGCGCGCGCGTACTACATCTACCAGACGCTGGACGAGTGCCGCAAGGCGCTCGAGGACGCGGGCGAGGAGGGGGTGCAGGCTACGGAGGCGGCAGCGGCGGCCACGGAGGGCCCGGGCGTTGACCTGTTGCAACAGGCTGTCAAGGCCCTCGCGGATGACGTCAGCACTCCGAACGTGGTCGCTCTGTTCGGCGAGCCTCTGAAGGTGCGCTGCACACACATGGCGCCCCTCCCGGACATCGCTGTGCGCCGCGCAGCCGCGCCCGTGACGGCGTGCGAGGTCTCCTGGTCGTGCGCTGCAGGTCATCAACGACCTGAGTCCGGCGACGAAGAAGAACAAGAAGAAGGCGGACCGTTTGCCGACCCTTGCCTCCTTGCAACACGGGCTGCGACAGGTGCTGGCCCTCCTGGGGCTGCCCACGGAGGCCGACTCGGCGGGCGACATCATCGCGCGGCTGCGGCAGTCGTTCTTGCAGCGGGCGAAGCTGACGGAGGAGGACATTGCGTGCCTTATTGAGCAGCGCGCGGAAGCCAGGAAGAACAAGGACTTCGAGCGAGGGGACCAGGTGCGAACGCGTGCGACGGCCCCTGAACGTGGGCAGCGCGCGGCCCGGGACACTCGACCGCGCGCAAGAGGCCCCCTGCGACGTGGTGGGTCGCCTCGACCTCTGTCCTCGCCACATGCGCTTGCAGATCCGCGATGAGCTGGCGGCCAAGGGCGTCCTCCTGAAGGACGCGCCGGAGGGCACGACCTGGCAGCCAGGCACCCCTGCGGGGAAGGCCTGAGGCCAACGCGTATGGGCGTCCCTGAAGGGAGCTGTCGGCGTATTGTCGGCGCCAGCCAATGGGCTTCCGGTCGCGAATAGGCCATACGATCGACGGCCGTGCGACCTCCTGTGACCTGGAAACAGAGAGGTGTGCTCACACGGCGGGTCTTGCGCCGGCCGGCGCCTACTTCGATTTCAACTTGAAGGACGACACGATGCCCGCCAGCTCCTCCTGGGCCGCCGTAGACGCGGACTCGCGCCGCTGCGCGGTCAGCGTGAAGAGTCGGTTGTACACTCCGTCGTTTCCAGCCGCGATGGCCTCCGTGACGACCTTCAGCTCCTCCTGGGGCTTCTTGATCGAGTACTCGACGGTGTACATGCCCCGGGTCTGCTTGGCGTCTATCAGCTTGCACACCTGCACCTGGTCGATCTTCGGCGCGGGCCGCGACAGCGTCCCGCGCGCCCTGGCGAGGTAGGCCTGGTCCATCTGGTTGACCAGGCCCTGGCCGAAGTCGGTGGCGCTCCCGAAGCTGCCCAGCCCGGTGAAGTCCGCGCTGAGCCCCGTCGTGACGAGCGACACGGACAGGTCGTTCGGGTCGGCATCCTTGGGGAACCACACCACGGTGCGCCGCCCGCCGGAACTGATCTGCGCCGTGCTCTGGATCCACCCCTCGGGGATCGTCAGCGACACCAAGCCTTCCTCGTACACTTCAGCACCAGCGCGCTGCGTCGCCCCCAGAGCCACCGCGGCGGACAGGAGAGACAGGAGCACTTGGCGCCGAGCAGAATCTGCGTCAGGGGCAGCACAACGGATCCCAGAAGATCAGCGCGACGGTGGAGTACCATGGCAGACGCTCAGTGGCCATTGCAAGGTTTTTGACTCTTTTGAAAGGTGTACCTCGGGCAAGCGGAGGGCGATTGGGGGCAACAGACTAGGGCTGAAGCGCACCGTGCGATGTCGGGACTTGATGGCGCTCTCGAGCAGCGCTCCCGTGTGCACGCAAAGTCGTGAGCGATCTTCGCGGGGCGCACGGCACGCTGCATGCCTGGCGCGAGGCGCACGGCTGCGCCTTTGCCTGCATACTATCCTCGCCCTACGCGCCCAACGTTCGCTGCTTCGTTTCTATGATGTGCGCGCGAGGGTCCGTGCCGCTCTCCGACGGAGTGTTCTGCTGTCGTCTGCCCACGCACATGCGCTGATGAGCCGGATTGGGCGCTCCAAATTTCTGTCAGACTTTTCTTCCGCGCACCCCCTGTCGCCGCCATGCGCGGCTCATCGGCCTCGCGCCCGGACTGCAGGCAACGTACTTTGCTCAGTTGCCCGCTCAGTCCACCCGTCGAAGATGCTGTCCGCCATGAACGCTTCGCTCGCCGGCTCCAAGGTGGTGGTCAAGACCTCCGCCCGCCGTGCGGCCCGCACCCAGGTCAAGGTGAGTCACGCGCCAGAGCGTTACTGCGAGTCGTCTCGAACGAGTGAAGCACGAGTTGTCCCGCGACGCCCCCCCCACGCGACCGTCTGAGAGTGCTAGCCAGCCTAATCAGCTGCGGCGAAACGCCCATCGTCCTGCCGTGCCATGGCGTCAAACAGACCGACAGCCTAGTCAGGACACATACGATCCGAAAATCTGTCAATCGTGGCTGCTGCGCGCCCTGCGCCCCGCGAACGCGCTGTCCTGTCTCTGCTGAGCTCACCCCGCTTGGACCGTGGCCCGGAACGGACTCGTGCGCTGCAGGCCGTCGCGAACGCGCGCGTGGACGCCTGCGACAAGAACTCGGTGATCGTGTCGCCCTCGATCCTGTCCGCGGACTTCGCCAAGCTCGGCGATGAGGTGCGGGCCACCGCTAGCAGCCTGAGCCTCCCGGCGGCGATCAGCGACCCCGACGCATAGCCGCGCCAATCTCGTCGCACGCGGCCCCAAACTCGAGGTGCGGCTCCGAATCGCGCGACGCGTCCCCCGGCCGGCCGCAGGTGCGCGCCATCGACCAGGCGGGTGCTGAGTGGGTGCACATCGACGTGATGGACGGCCGCTTCGTGCCCAACATCACCATCGGGCCCCTCGTGGTCGACGCCCTGCGCCCCGTGACGGACAAGGTGCGCCGCGGCGCCGCCCCCGCGCCCGCCCCGCCCCCGCGCGCCGCCCAACAGCCCGCCGGCCCGCCTCCCGCGCGCCTCGACGCTCACCAGCGACGCGCACCGCCCGCGCGGGCCCGCAGGTGCTCGACTGCCACCTCATGATCGTCGAGCCCGAGCAGCGCGTGGCCGACTTCGCCAAGGCCGGCGCTGACATCATCTCGGTGCACTGCGAGGACGCCGCGACCATCCACCTCCACCGCACCCTCAACCAGGTGCGCCGCCCGCCCCGCACCGCCCCCGCCACGCGCGCACGCACGCGGCCGCGGGCCGGCGCCCCTGACCGTGCGCGCGTCGCGGCGTGCGTGCGAGGTTGTGTGCAGATCAAGGACCTGGGCTGCAAGAGCGGCGTGGTGCTCAACCCCGGCACGCCGCTGAGCAAGATCGAGGAGGTGCTGGAGGTGACGGACCTGGTCCTGATCATGTCGGTGAACCCCGGGTTCGGCGGGCAGAGCTTCATCGAGTCGCAGGTGGACAAGATCCGCCGGCTCAAGGCCATGTGCGACGCCAAGGGCGTCAACCCGTGGATCGAGGTCGACGGCGGCGTCGGGCCAGCGAACGCGTACAAGGTCATCGAGGCCGGCGCCAACGCCATCGTCGCGGGCTCGGCCGTGTTCGGCGCCCCGGACTACAAGGCGGCCATCGACGGCATCAAGGCCTCGAAGAGCACCGTCGCCGCGTGAGTGGCCGGGTGGCGGACCGCAGCGGAGGAGCAGGACGGCAGCACGCGCGGCGGGCGGCCCAGGGTCGGGCGCTCGTCCACCGAGGAGGTGCTCCGACCCCCGTCGGTTGTGACACTGTTCGACGACCGGGCCCGCCGCGTGACGCATGACGCGTGCACGTGCTGCGCGACTGATCTGAATAACATATCGTGTCGTTTGCGTCGCCGGCAACGGCGTTGCTGCGCGCGGCTGTCATGCACGCCACTTGGAGAGCGCGAGGCGGCTGCTCACGTAGTGGCGGACGTCGCTCTTGACCCCGAACGTGAAGTCCAGGTGCGCGTAGTCGAACTCCCGGAAGGTCACCTGTTTGTCGTGCTTGCGCATCGCGTAGTAGTGCTGCTTGACGTTCTCCGGTTTGATCACGCCGTCGCGCGACCCGCCAATCAGGTCCACCGGCACGTCGATCAGGTGGTAGCTGTCCGGCACCTCGGGCGGCGCCTCCTGCCCGTACGCCGCCAAGTTCCCCGCGCGCCCGTAGTCGAACAGCTGGAACCGGCGCGACCCGGCCAGCTGCCCGAGGTGCTGCAGCGTCGACACCGACACCGCGGGCATCGACGCCGCGCTGTAGTGCGGCAGCAGCAGCGACTTGTCCCAGTCCGAGTCGTCCCCGAGGATGCCCCCGCCCATCGCCACCCGCGCCAGCTCCCCGAGAGCAGGAATCCGCTGCAGCGACAGCAACACGCACAGCGCGCACGCAGGTCAGGGGCGGCTCGCGCGCCGCACGTCGGAGCAGACAACCGCAGCGCGTTAGCACTCGCGGCGCACCTGCAGGTCGGCTGCGAGCTTGAAGGCGAACAAGCGGGGCCAGAAGCCCGGGATGTGCAGCCCCGCCGACAGAGGCGCGCCGGCGAAGCGCGCGTACAGGTTCCCGATGACGCGCACGGGCTTGCTGAGCACGCGCAGCGATATGGGGAGGTAGCTGTGGAAGCCCGCGGGGCTGAGGAGCACCAGGCGCGACAGGCGGTGCGGGGCGCCCTGCCGCAGCCGCGTGCACAGGTACAGCAGCGCCACGCCGCCGCCGAGACTGTGCGCGACCGCTTGAAGCGTGTAGGGCGGCCGCCCCCCGCGCGGCCCCGGCGAGTCCTCCCCGGGGCCGTCCTCCTCGCGGGAGGGGGCTGGCGACGCTGCCAGCTCCTGCGAGCTGTGCGGATGGCGCCGGAGCACGTGCGGCTCCGCGGGCGGGAACTCGCCGAGCCGGGGCCGCGCGGGTGGCTGCACGCCGGGCGACGGCAGGGACGCGCGCCGGGCGTGCATCCGCGCCGAGCGCTCCCGCTTCAGCGTCGCGGCGTCGCGGCTCTCCGCCCGCACGGGGCCGCCGCCGTAGCTCACGCGCTCGCCGAGCTGCGACGCGGGCGTCTGCTGCGCGTACCGCAGCGGCGTGCGCAGCCAGGCCCACGGCGTGGCAGCGGGCGTGCCCTGGCTGGTGAGCTCCCCCTCGCTCGCCCTCGGCGTCTCGGGCTCGGTCCGCCACGCGGCGAGCTCGGAGTATCCCTGGAGCGTCGCGGCGCGCGCGGTCGCGTCGACGTTCATGCTCAGGCGCTGCGAGTACCTGCGCACGTCGTCCACGTCCAGCACGCCCAGCTCCGCACACTTCACCGCGTGGATGCGGTCGATGTGCGCGGCCGCGTCCAGCGCACCGAGCTCGTTCAGCGAGTACGCCCAGTACTCCCGGCCCTGCTTCCACGGCAGGCAGTTGCGCCACGGCGGATTGCTGCGCGAGTTGATGAGCCACACGTCGAACCCCTGATCGAACGCATTGAACGCCTGCAGGGGAGAGAGGGGGCGCGTGCGAGGTGCTGGCTGTGCGGGCCGGGTGCGGGCGGCGTCGCGGCGGTCGGTGCGACGGCGCACCTGCGAGGAGAGCGCGCCGCTGGCCACCCAGCCGATAGCGGTGTCCAGGATGCCGTGCAGGAACACGACGGCCGACCGCGACGTGGGCCGCGGGATGCGCTCCAGCCGCAGGATGTATCCGTCCTCGGTGACCACCTCGCGGCACTCGTACGGGTACCCCGCCTGCAGGATGAACTGCCGCGCCGAACTGTGCATGTCCGCCTGGTCCACACCTGCGACACCGGCAGAACGACGGAAACGCGCTCGGAGCCACACGTTGCCCGCCCGCACCGCACGACCACAGCCCCGAGCGCGGCGCCACAGAAACAGCACGATAAGAGGGGGTTGGGAGTTAGGTTGCGCACCCGACATTTCCTGGATGTCCTGCACCTTGCTGAAGCTGTTGGTGCGGCGCAGGCCCGTGTCGAAGCTCGTCCGCCGCCCGAAACCCGCCTGCAGGTCCCCGCCCGGCTCGTGCAGCAGCCGCCGCCCCTGCAGCCGGTGCTGCACTGCAGGGGTCGTCAGCTCCAGACTCTCGAGCTGGCCGCCCCCGCCGTGCCCGCTCCCGGCCGCCGAGTGCGGCTCCGCGCCCCCCGCGCCCCCCCTGCCCGCGATGCGCGCGTCCGAGCTGTCCTCGGCCGCGATGGGCCGCGAGAAGGTGACGACGCGCACCAACCACCGGAGCGCCGCGAAGACGTGCGTCACGACGTACTCGCACGCCAGGCGCGCCTCGTCGACCATCCCGAGCCGCTGCACGCCCAGCTCCATCCCGGCGAGCCCCGGGGTGCGGTCGAACATCTCACTCCCCACCCGCGTCAGCTTCTGCGGGGGGGGGTCGTCCTCGCCGTCCGAGGGGGCGCCCGCGGCGAGGTCCGGGGACGACTGGTGCGCGGGGCCGCGCCGGACGAGGCTCGTCAGCCACGTGACGGACCTGTGCACGCCGCGGGAGAGGCGCCCGCTGTGACGCCCGGAGGCGCTGTGGGCGGTGCCGTTGGCGTCCGCGTGGCCCTCGAAGCCCGCGACCGTCGGGTCGCTGCCGCGCGGGCGCTCCGCGCTGCGCCGCGTGGTTTGCGAGGGCGGCGCGCGGTCGCGGCGCAGCACGGCGTTGAGAGTGCTTTGCTGCGCCTCGCTCCACCAGGGGTTGCGGGGCGTCTCCGTGATCTTCGACACTTTCGGCCTGCGAAGGAGCGGGGCGGGGCCCGTGAGCGGCACGCCGCGGTGGCCCTCCCAGCCGGGCAGACCAAGACGGGGGCCGGGCCGTACCTTCGCCGGTAATACTGCCGGGACGCAATCGACAGGAGCGCCGAAGAGACGGAATTTGCGAAGCGCACGAACATGCCAGCAGACTCCCGGATGCACGACTTCAGCCATTCCTCGCAACCGCCGAGAACTGCGTCGGAAACCCACTGCACCAGAAGAGACCAGCCTTGCAGCGCCTGCGGGGCACAACGGAGTGGGACCACCAGCACGGAGTCGTGTGACAGAAGTGACACCACCGCACGACGCCAAGCTCGTGGGAACCTCCCGGGGTGCGTCGCGAGGGCCGGCCGCGGGGCGAGGCGCATCCCCTGCCCGTGCGTGAGCGGCGTACCATGAAGAAGATGACGACTATCAGCGCCGAATCGTTGCTCATGGCCCTCCGGCTCTCTTGCGCGCCCCGTGCTTCCCTGGGCGCCGCGCGCGGGGTGGGCACGGGCACGTTTGCCCTCGGCGTGCTTCTCCCTCGCCTCCTGGGCGTGCGCAGGGACATTTCGGGCGACATGCCCGCTCTCGGCGCGTCAACAGTCTGGAGCGTCGAATCACGTCAACCGCCGGTCTCTCGGGTCGCTCCGTGCCCGTGACCGCACATGAGCGCTGCGAGCAGGCCCGAGCGGCAACGAGGTGGTGGAGCGCAGGACCGCGACGAGCCAACGAATCTCCTCTGTGCCAACCGATGGAGCGCCCCGTGAGTTGCGGAGAGGCTCCGAGCGCGTCAGTGGCCTGCGCGACGGTCGTACACAGGGGAAGTCCTCTCCCCCCCTGCCTGCTCCCCAACCTCACGGGGAGCGCCTGCTCGTGACGGAGACAAACAACCTGGGGGGTACGGCGACTTGACGAAGAAGCGTCGAGCACTCGCCGCTACCTTCCAGTGCCCCGTCCCTGCTTCGTTTGCAAGTGCAACCTTCGCGCCAGCTGAGCCATAGTCGGCGCGCGAGGCGGCGGCGTCGCGACCGCGAACCGTTGATAGTCGTCGCTGCAGCGCCATGCCTGCGATTTCACGGCACGCCCTCTGCGCTGCGCCCGGGCTGGGTCCCTGATCACAGATGGGGCGCACCCTCCGGGCCTTCCGCCTAGCAGGCGGGCTGATACGTTACGATAGGGCCCTGGCCATCCAAGACGCGCTTGTAGCGGCGCGCAAGGCCGGAGGAGGGCAGGACTGCGCGCTCCTGCTGCAGCACAGCCCCGTGTACACCATTGGCAAGCGAGGCCACGACGGACACCTCCGACACGGCCGAGAGCACCTCGAGGACCTCGGCGCACAGGTCCGCACGCGCACCGCGACGCCACGCGCCGGCGCGCACCTCCCGGACCCCCCCCCGCCCACGCGGTTGTTCCCACTCCTGCGCAGGTGTACGAAGTGCCGCGGGGGGGCGAGGTGACCTTCCACGGGCCGGGGCAGGTCATCATGTACCCGGTGCTGCAGCTGCGCGAGCAGCCGCGTCGCTGTGGCGCGCGCGTGTACGTCGAGACGCTGGAGGACGCCGCCTGCGACATGCTCGCCGCGTACGGCATCCAGGTGCGCCGCCGACGTGCCGGACCGCGTGTCGCGGCGTGTGTGGCGGTCGGGGTGGCTCACGCAGTGTCCGCGGCGGCGTTTGTGCAGGCGCGCGGGCAGGTACCGGGGCGGACGGGGGTGTGGGTGGACGACCGCAAGATAGGCGCGCTGGGGGTGCAGATTTCGGGGGGGGTCACCAAGCACGGGATCGCGGTGAACGTGGACGTGGACCTGTCGTGGTTCGAGCCGATCGTGCCGTGCGGGATCGACGACTGCGACGTGACGTCGATCCGCAGGGAGGTGGAGCAGTACGGGGGGGGGAGTGGCTGGGGCGCGGAGGGGAGTCGCTGGAAGGACGTGTCGGAGGCTCTGGTGAGTGCGTTTGCGCGCAGGCTCGGGTACGACGGGGTCGCGCTGCACGACACGGACGACCTGGAGCACACAGCGCTGCGTGCGCCGTCAGGGTAGGGGGGGGCGTTGTTGGACGGCGCGGTTCGGGGAAGGGGGGACGGAACGCGTCCGCGTAGTCACAGCTGTGTGCGCGAGAGTCCCTGTTGGCGGGCGCGTGTCCTCTGTCTGTCTGTGATGGGATATTGTAGCGTGCCCTCAGTCCGACTCAGACGAGTCGCCGCCCATGTCCACGTCGGTGTCCTCGTCGTCCGACCACTTCGACCGCCGCCCCGCGCCCCGCCGCCCCGCGCCCCGCCTCCCACGCCCCCTCCCGCGCCCACGCGTCGGTGCACGCCTCTTGCGTGGCGCCTCCGCCTGCCCAACCCCGTTCGCGTCCTCGCCCGCGTCGCCCTCCGCGCCCGCCTCCTGCTCCTTCACGACCCTGCGCCTCCGCTTCTTCCCGCGCGTCGACAGCGCGGCCTGGCAGTCCACGTCCTCGACCTCGGCCAGCAGTGCCGTCAGGTGCTGCAGGAGCTGCCCCGCGCGCGCCCTGTCGAGCGGCGCGGCCAGGTCCAGGTCCGTGAGCGCGAAGTCCGTCGTGCCGTGCGCGGCCACCGTCGCGCGCTCCTCCTGCTTGCGGTGCTCGTCGTTGGTGTTGAACAGCGCCACGCGCTCGTTCGTGATGCCATACACGCCCTTCAGATGCCGCCGCAGCTGCAGAAGGATGCACAGCACCGTTGCAATGGCCGCCTCGCTGCGCACGCCCGCCGGCAGCTCCCCGCCTGCTGCGTCGTCGCCCGCGGCGAGCCCCTCGGCCAGCGCGGCCTGCACCAGCTCGCCGCGCCGCGCGACGGTGCTGTCGATGGCCGCGATCATCGTGAGCGCCTCGTCGGCCTTACGCACGGGCAGCGACGCGCACAGGCCCGCCGCGAACGCTAGCGCCTGCAGCTGCGCGGGGCCCTCTGGCGCGTGCCCCTGCGAGCACGCCTGCTCCAGCCGGCGCAGGGCGGCGGTCAGGAACTTCGCGCGCAGGCCGCGCACCTCCTTGATCGCCTCGTACACCGCCGCTAGCCCCTCCGTCGCGGCGCGCGGCACCGCGAGGCCCCCGCCCTCGGCATGCAGCCCCCCCGCCAGCCGGTCATGGAAGTCGTGCACCGCGACCATCCCGTCGCCGATGCGCGCGTCGATGAACTGCGGGTGCTTCGCCACGAGCGTGCGGAAGATCCTGAGCGCCTCCGCGCGGATGTGCGGCGCGGGGTCGGTTGCCAGCGCCACGATGTGCGCCACGCCCGTCCACGGTGCGACCAGCCCTCCGCGGTACACCACGCTCACCAGCTCGAGGACGCGCAGCCGCACGAGCGACGACGGCGACGTCTCCGCCGCGCGCACCCCAAACGACGCCCCGGCGTCCGCGCGCAGCGCACACGACAGCACATCGTCCCAGAAGCGCTGGATGACCGACCCGGCCAGCGACGTGCTGTCCGACGCGCCGTTGACCGTCGCAAGCGCCGCGGGCTTCGCGTCCGGCACCGCGGTGCCCTCGTTCCGCGCCTGTGCGTCGGCGAGCGCCGCTGCCTGCTGCTCCTGCAGCTGCCGCTCGTGCGTCTCGAGGAGGTCGCGCAGGCACACGAGGGCGCGCGCGGTGACGCCGGCGGGCGCCGCGGCGGACAGCGCGCGCTGCAGGATCGCGTTGCAGTCGTCGCGGACCAGCACGGCCGGCTCCTCCGCCGCGATGTGCCCAATGGCCCCCACCGCTGCCTCCTGCAGGCGGCTGTCCTGCCCGCCGAGGAGCTCGAACTGTACGAAGACGGCGAGGCAGTCGTCCGGGACGCACGCGCCGTCGATCTCGGCGCCCCACTCGAGGAGGTGCGCGCGGCCCCAGCGGCACAGGTTGCCCAGACAAAACATGCCGCGCGCCGCCAGACCCACCGTCTCGTCGCGCCAGCTCGCCGGCGCGGACTGCCGCAGCTCCGCCTCGACCGCGGACAGCCGCGCGAGGATCTGCCCCGCCAGCCGCGCGGTGTAGGCCGCGGCGCGCGTGTGGATGTGTCCCAGCGCCGACAGACACTGGCACGCGGCGGTGACCGCCTGGATGTAGCCGTGCCCGGAAATGAGGCGGTGCAGGTCGCGCGCCAGCTCGTTGCCCTCGCCGTCGGGGATGTGCTCCGCCACGCGCAGCGCGCTCGTCACCACGTGCAGCACGCACACCAGCGCGTCCGCCTGCGCGCGCGCCGCGGGGCCGCTCGTGTCGACCTTCAGGTGCGGCGTCAGCAGCCGCACAAGCATCAGCGGCTCCGACGGCGGCACGACCAGCGCCGCGTCCGCCGTTGCCAGCGCGTGCAGCGCCACGAGGTGCCCGCAGCCTGGGTCCGTGTCCGGCGTGGCGCGCGCGGCGTCCGCGTCGCGCACTTCGAGCAGGCCGTTCGCCAGCGCGAGGCAGACCGCGCGCCCGAAGCTCAGCTTGGCTTTCCCCGCGGCCTTGGTCGCCTCGCCGTCGCCGGCCCCGAACGCGTCGGCCAGGATGGCCACCAGCGGCTCGTCGTGCGACAGCGGGAGGGCGAGACCCCCCCCCGCCGCCTCGTACAGCTTGGACGCGATGCCGGCGAGCTGGCCCGCGACGCGCGCCACGTGCTCCTCCTTCGGCCCGCCGCCGTGCGCCCAGCGCTCGCGGAACAGGCTGCGTGCCAGGTGTTGCACCGACGGCTCGGGGTCGTTGGCCCGCTGCATCACGCACAGCACGGCCTCGCTCTCGCGCACGCAGTCGCCGGTCTCGACGCACGCGTCCCACAGCACCCGGAGCGCGCGCTTCCGGACGCTCAGCCCCACGTCGCTGGCCGCGGCGCACACCGTGTCGAAGAACAACATCGCGATCTCGCCGTCGGTGGCCATGTGCTTCCCGATGAGGTCCACCGCGGCCTCGCGCGTCATGATCGCGTCGTCCGCGAGCGCCTTGTCCACCGCCTCCTTGACGTCTCGCAGGCGCAGCACACGCGGGTCCACCTCCGCCAGCGCACCAAGCGCCTTGATGGCCTTCGCGCGCGTGTTCGCGACCTGCCGCGAGGAACACGCGTCGAGCAGCGCCAGCAGAAGGGAGTTGCGCAGCCGCGACAGCACGCCGCTGTGCGTGACCACGCGACACAGGCGGTCGACCTCAGCGTCAGACATGGGCAGCGCGCCCGCGGCAAGGCCGTTCGGCGCGGCGTCACCCCAGTACCGAGCGCACTCGTCGAGCCACGAGGGGTCCGCGCCGGCGGCGCCCTCGCCGTTGTTGAGCTGCTGCGTCTCAGCGCTGATGCGGCAGCACCAAAACTGGGCCACGAGCGGGTCGCGCGCAACCGCGGGGAGGATCATGCGCGCGGCGCTCGCCGTCGCGGGGTACGCGTCGCCCGCACCGGCGAACAGCCCGTCCGCGAAGTCGCTCCCTGTGACGTTCGACGCCCACACCGCATCAGTCTGCAACGACACGCACAGAGACGCGACGGAGTGGGGAAACGGCCAGTCTCGCGCGAATCGACGCTGGAAGCGTAGCAGCGTGTCTGTATCTCGCGCGCGGGCGGTACCGGGCGGTCGCACCTCAGCCAGTACATACTCGCGCCACAGGCCCAGAATGAGCGTCCGCAGCAGGTCGACGCTCTGCTGCCGGACGTGCGCGTCGCGGTGCGCGCCCGCCTTCCCGGACAGGAGCACGCCCATCCTGAGGAGCACGAGGTACGCGGACGGGTGCTTGGCCGCGGACACCACTGCCATGCAGTCCGCCAGCACCGCCTGCACGCACGCCTTGACGTCGACGTCGCCCTGGAGCTTGGACGAGCGCGCGTCGTGCAGGGGCTGCAGCAGCTTCGAGCACACGAAGTCGGCCCAGTACAGCGCGGTCGACAGGCCGGCGTCCACCGGCTCAGCGCCGGTCGTGCCCAGGCGCGGCTGCTGGCAGACGGCGAGCAGCATGCGGGTCAGCGCCGCCGTGCACGGCCGCACGTCGCCGTCGTCGCTCGTGGTCGCGCTGCGTTCGACGAGGAGGACCTTGGCGACGAACTCCTCCATGATGGTGGCCTGCATGTCGGAGCGGTGGCCGAACAGCGCGACGAGGAGCGCGGCGGCGCTCTGCTGGAGGAGGAGGCACTCGCGGGTGTCGATCGCGAGGGTCTGGATGGCGAGCCGCATGAGGACCATCGTGGCCTCGTTGGAGACGGCCACGCTCGCCGTCAGGTGCGCCAGCTGCTGCAGACACAGCTCGAGCTTGCTGGCCAGCGGGGCGAACGCCGCGGGAACGAGGGTCTTCCTGCGGCACGAGGGGCCCAGGTGGTGGCCGGTCGGCGTGCGGGCTGAGCGTGTCCGTGCCAGTCATGTGGGCTTGGGGGGGAACGTCCGCCAGGGACACTCGCTCACCTGCTCGCCTTCTTCGCTGGCGTCTTCCGTGCGCTCGCCTTCTTCTTCTTCGTCGACGACGGCTCCCCGTTCTCCGCACCTGCGCAGCACATCCACCTCTCGCAGTGCGACATCGCGTGAGATCCTTTTAAAACACCACCCGTGCGATAGCGAAAAGAGCAAGCATATACTCTGGGCGTCTACGCACCGTCGTCGCCGCGCCCGCGGTACGTGACGCCGATTTTCGGGTCGACGAAACCCAGGACGTTGGCGCGCAGGTGCTTGGCCGTGACCTCCACGACGGCGTCGATCAGGTCCTCCTGGATCAGGCTAGACGCGACCTTGGGGCGCGCCATGACGTTGAGGCACGTAGCTGCGGTCTGCAGGGCCGCGCACGCCTCCCGGCACTCCTCCGCAGCACCGTCAGCTGCGTCGTCAATCGCAGCCGCCTCGTGCCTCAGGACCGCGCCCCCCGCCGCCGCCATGAAGCAGCTGAGCAGGTCTGTGTCAGGCAAGTCCGTGCTGGCGTGCAGCTTCGCGCCCAGCTCCTCCAGGACCTCCAGCGGCGGCAGCTCCTGCGTGCCCTCTACATGCGCCAGGAAGCGCCGTAGCGACGAGGCCAGCGCAGCCTGCTTGTCCGACGCGCCGTACTGCACGACCTCGGCCTGCGCCGCCGGGGACCCGTCGGTGCGCGCGCCGGCGGCGTTCGCGTCCGCAGCTGCGTGTTCTGCCAGCACCGATGGCTCCTCCTGCGAACGAGGTCCTCCGGTGCGATCTGCTGAGGGCGCAGCGCGGGCGCGGAGCGACGCTGCTGGAAGGCGGACGGCGGCGGGCGCAGGCGCGCCAGGCGGACGTGGCGCGTGGAGGTGTCGGGTTTGCTTCCAGAGGTTTGCCAACATTGGCTGTTGTGCAGTTGACAGTGGTCACGGGGTTCCGCACCTCGTTGACCTCGCTGGTGAGACACGCGCTCTGACGTCGAGCCGTTCCAGCCTTCGGTGTGCCCGCGCCGCCCTTCCGGTCGGCCCGTGGCGCTGCAGAGGGGGGCAGCGCTTGAACGCGTTACTGGCAGTGGCCGCGAACGCGCCGGGCGGCCGCAGCGACGCCGGTCCTCGCGGCAGGTCAGGGCGTGGCGCCCGCTGCGGGGCGCGCGCACCTGTCTCGGTGTTTCGGAACCAGTCGCGCTGCAGCATATGCACAACTGCCTCTGGCAAGGCGCTGCCGTCCTGTCGCTTGGGCTGAGGAAGGCCGAAAGGGACACTGCGAGCGCACGGAGATGAATGGCTGGGACGTGTGTGGGGCGCGGGACGGCGTGCAGCGTCTCGTCCGGGGCGTCATTCGCAGCGGAAGCCACTGTGCGCACAGCAGGCGCGCGACCGGGGCGCACATGTATTTGAGCTCAGCTCGGTGCAGTAAATCCTCTACACCGCTTTGGAGCTTCTCGAGGTCCCTCTCGCTGTCCAGCACAGCCGGTTCGGGGGGCTGACGCGAGCATGGGCGCGGCAGAGACAGCAGGGGCTCCGTTCGCTGCTGGTTGAGGGGCTGCTGGATCGGCGTGTCACCCGTCATTGTCATGGGTGCGCGTCGATCTTGCATCTATGCACGTCCTCCGTCCCGCATGCTCCCTGCCTGCGTTTCAGGGCCACGGTAGCTGCGATGCGGGGTTTTGGCGCACTGCACCAAGAGGAGCGCTCTCACGCCGTGCGCGAGCTGATTTTGGGCGCTGCTCAGGCCCTGAAAGTTGCGGGTGCGTGGACAAGCAGGCCGCCATGACCTGCGACGCGGTTCTGCCAGGCACCGCCACGAGGGGGACGTGATGCTGTCAGGTTCATACTTTCGCCCCGCTGGCCGCTCGCCGGGCGATGAATTCAGCGCGCCTGTGCCCGACGCGAGTTCCTCACATACCTGGCTAGCGGCCGATCATTACGCTGAGTGCTTCTATCACCTGAGTGTCTCTCATGGCACTCAGCTAGCTGCGCTGTAACCGTCTGGCGATGCCGCGGAGCCCTTCGCCGGAAGACGGGCATCGCAGGTCTGAGCGGTCGACGAGGTATGCCGACCGCAGGGATGACCGGGTGCGTCGCGACGTAGACCGGCACGAGCGCCGGAGGAGACGCTCTGGCAGCCGCGAGCCGAGGGACGGGAGGCGGGACAGCCCGAGGCGGGACGATCGGCGCCACGACCGCCGCCGCGAGGATTCACGGCGGTATGACGATCGCAGGGACCGGCGGGGCGACGGCCGGCGTTCAAGGGACCGGAGCAGGAGCCGGAGTCCTCCTCGGCGGCACGACTCGTACGCAGACCGACACCAGGACCGCGGCCGCGGGCCGCCGGGATCACTGGGGGACATACCAGAGCTGCACAGGTGAGGCGGGCGCGGGGGGCTCGTCAGCCGGCCAGGGCACGCAGACGCAGTGCACATCTTGTCACGTGCTTGAACAACTGTCCGGTTCCGTGGCTCGCCGCAGCATACACCGGGCGACGGTGGCGGTGGCGAAGACGTTCGGGCTGTTCGTGAAGCTGGACGGGTTCCGGAAGCAGGGGCTGGTGCACCACACGCAGGTGGACGAGATGTGCCAGCTGGCGCGCAACGACAGCGACGAGGACCGCATCTCCGTGCTGCAGCACTTCGCGCCGCCGGGACAGCGCGTGTGGGTCAAAGTGACCGAAATCCAGGCCGGGCCGCAGGGCGAGCGCGTCGCGTGCTCCATGAAGGCACGTAACACTCACTGGTGACACGGCGGCAGTACCTGCGTGCGCGGGGCCGGTGGTCCTCATGCGGCGCGCTGTGTTCCGGCGTGCGCGGCTGCAGGCGGTGAACCAGGACGACGGCACGGACATGGACCCGCACGGGCTGATCGGGGCCACGCACGCGGACACGGAAGCGTTCAAGGAGCGGCGGCGCATGGAGGCGCAGGAGAAGCGCGCCGAGGAGGACGTGCCCCCGGAGCTCAACACCATCGTGCAGGTAACAGCCCCACTCACTCAACAGGACGGGCGGGGCCTGACGTGGCGGCCGGGCGCCTGGCCGAAGCGGCGCCGCGCCCCACTGGCGGCTGCGCGTGTGCAGGGGGAGATTGCGTCGATCCGGCCGTTCGGGGTGTTTGTCAAAGTGGCGGGGCTCCGGCGGTACATGTTGGTGCACGTCAACGCGATCAGCACCGCGATCAGGGTGACGAAGGAGGACGACGACGAGGAGCGCCTCGCGCAGATACAGGGGCTGCTGTCGGTGGGTGACTCCGTGTGGGCCAAGGTGCGCAACGCCGCCGGCCAGGGCGGACGAGGGCGGGGCCTGTCCCGGCGATGGCCACACGCTCGGACTGACTGGCAGCTCGTCGCACTGTTCGCAGGTTGTGGAGGCGGAGCCAGACACGGGTCCGCGGGGCGGGTGGAAGATCGGCGCGAGCATGTTGGCGGTGAACCAGCAGACGGGCGAGGATTTGGACCCCACGGGGCTGCACCACCGGCCGCGCAGGAGGGGTGAGGAGGAGCTGCCGGTCGGACACGTGGCGGGGCAGTTGAACGCGCAGCCGGGCGGGCCGCAGGTGGTGGAGTGGGCGCACCTCGGGGCGGACGTCGTGCAGTACGGCGGGCAGCAGTACGACCTCGTGGCGGGGTGGGAGGGGGAGGCGTTCCCGGAGCCGCCGCCGCTCCCGGGGGGCTCGCGGGTCGCGACGGTCGGGGACGCGCTCGCGGTGCTGGACAGGGTGCGCGGGGAGCGGGAGAAGAAGGCGCGCAAGGAGAAGAAGGAGAAGAAGGAGAAGAAGGAAAAGAAAGAGAAGAAGGACAAGAAAGACAAGGACAAGAAGGACAGGAGGGACAAGGACAGGCGGTGAGCGGGGTCTCGAGCACTTCGCGGGCGGGTCACAGGAAGAAGCGTTTCTTGCTCGCCTCCACGCCCGCTCCGTACCACTCGAACTCCCCGTGCCGGCTGTTGAACGTCCCCTTCTGTAACGAGTCCAGCTTCAACGTCAGCCGCGGCCCCAGCTCCTGCACGGACCGGCGACCACCCGCGGCGACGCGATCAGCGCGGGCTGCACCGCCGCGCACTTCGCGCTAGTGTCGCTCGGCGCCACGCGAAGGGGGGGGTGTTCGTTGGGTCTGACGCACCTGCATCCTGGCCCGCACGACCTGCTCCCTCTCCTTCTCGCCCTTGACCCGCTGCTTACGCTCCTCGAATACATACCGGTGATGCCGCACGAAGATGAAGTCCCGCTGGTTGTGGAACGTCACCGCGCGCCGTCCCTTGAACTCGGGGTCCTGCGGGAACACCCCCGGAGGACACGCGCGGCGTGAGCGACGCACGCGCGCACAGGGCTCGCGCGCGGCCAGGGCCGGGTGTGCGCGCCGACCTGGTGGAAGAGCGACGCGAACATGCGTCCCACGCGGTGTCCGAGGCGCGTGTTGAAGCCATTCAGGATGAGCTCCGGGCGGTGGTCCGTCGCGCGCCCGCAGTTCTTGATGTCCTTGCTCAGCGCGTAGTTCGTGATCCTGCACGCTCGCGGATCGCACGCCGCGGTCGTCGGTCGTCCGGGGCGGGGCGCAGCACCCATGCGGGGCCCCGCAGCACGGTGTGGCGCGCACACGCACCTGAAGCGCGCCGTCGGTCCGTCTGGGAGGTGGATGAGGTTCATGGCCTGCATTTTCTTCCTGTCCTCGTGGAACACGATGATGTCGCTGAAGTTGCGGTTGTTCGCGAACTTGACGATGTCCTTCAAGTCATACCCTCGCCGCTCGCAAAACGTCGCGCACGGCAGCAGCTCCATCACCTCCGACACGAACTGGAACGTCGCCTTCGTGGACTTCCGGGACGTCGTCACCAGCACGTTCGGCGGCCGCTCGCACCTGCGCGCGGGGGGCCGCAGCGTGCGTCGCACAGCGACGTGGTGCGTGTCGGGGGGGAGCAGCGGGTGGGGGCGACGCGCGGCGCACCGGAAGTGGGCGGCGAACTCGTCCTCGGCCTCGTCGGCCGCGACCTCCTCGTCGCCCGGCTGCACCATCGTCTCGTCGGGCTCGCGCGTGTTGTCAATGGTGCGCTGCACGGGACGGGGTGGCGGCTCGATGCCCAGCTCCAGGGCCTTCTCGCGCTCCTGCGAGAACACGAACGCAACGGTGTACAGTTGCGGCGTTGTTACGGCCCGCTGCAGTGCCTCTGCCCGAAGCAGCGCCGCGCCGCGAAGCGACGTGCTGGAGCAGTGGGCGCCTGTGCCGTCCTCGCGCGAACGAGAGGTGAGACGTGGAATGTACGGCACGAAATTGGGGCGAAAGGTGACAGGCATGATGTGGTGCGTGCGCGCCGGTGGCGCAGCGGCCGGAAGCCCGGCCAGCGCCACGCCGACGGAGGTGCAGCCCGCGCTTGCCTTTTGCCGCTTCTTGCGCTCCGCCTTCTTCGCTTCGTCCTTCTTCTTCCGCAGCTTCCCATAGAGCTGACCGCGGACTATCTTATTCTTAATGTGCCTGGTGCGCTCCCCAATGCTGGCCCCATCGTCGTCCTTGAGGCTGGCTTTGCCAGCACTGCGCTTGCCCATCGGGGCCCTGACGCGAACAGCCGCCGCGGGACGCCACCTCCGTCTGTTTCGAACCGGGCGTTGCCCAACGCTGAGGTGCACTGGCCAGACTACGCAGCTGCCCGTCCCAACAGGGCCCTCCGAGGCCCTGACTCACTGCAGCTACCGCTGACAGCATGACACAAAGTAGTAATTGACACCGCGCGGCGCGCTCGCGACTCGCCACTTGTCCTCACATCACCGCGCCGCCAGCCCCGCCTACCCGAAGCTGAACAGGCGAAGCGCGAGCATCAGCTGCGCGGCCGCCTGCGTCAAAAGCGGGCTGGTGCGCATGGCCAGGTCCAGCGCATCCGGGGACGCCTTCAGCCGCTCGCACACCTCCGCGTTGCCCTCCACGTCCTGCACGCCGACACGAACACGCAAAGGTCAGCCGCCGCCCTCCACACCCACCACGATATCTGATCCCGCACTGTGGTGAGGGATGGTGCGTCGTGGCGGGGGCGCGCACCAGGACGCGCTCCGTCGTGATGCCGCGCAGGAGCGCCAGCGCGCACGCGTGCACCTCGCCGTACGGGGAGTCGTAGAGCTGCTCGTTCCCGTACGGCACCACGTCGTGCGCGATCTCGTCGCGGCACCAGTCCGGCATCTCCACCACGGGGGGCAGCTCGTCCTCCTGCCCCGCCGCGGAACCCGTCGCAGCGGTGTTCGCGGTGCCAGGCGGCACCTCACCCGCCGGATCCGGCTCCGGCTCCGGCTGCGGCGGCTCCCACTTCTGCAGGCAACAAGGGCACGCAGCGGGACGCGGTGGGTCGCCGTTCGCGGCCAGGAGCGCTCGGGCGCGCGGCGAGCAGCGTCCGGGGGCGCGGCGGCCCACCTGGAACTCGACGGCCTTGTCCAGCGCGTCGACGAAGCACACGCCCTTGGCCCCGCGGCGCATGAGGCACAGGGGGCGCGTGGGGCGGTCCATCTTCTCCTTGCTCAGCACGCGGTCCGCATCCTTCCGCTCCGTCCTCCCCTCGCCCTCCCAGTCCACGATCTCCGACGCCCGCGCCATGCACCGGTCCTTCCCTGCACCACACAAACACGCATCACGCACCCGTCGCACCGCGCCGCGCGACACACGAGCAGCCCCGCACGCAGCACGCCGCACGCAGCACGCAGCACGCAGCACGCAGCACGCAGCGCCCACCTGCGACCTTGTTCCACCGCGACGACCCCACGATGAAGGCCCCGCACAGCAGCGCCAGGTCCTCGCACATCGCACGCTCCACCTCCGGGTCCTTGATCTCGACGCCCTCGACGAACTGCACCCCACACGACCGCACAGCGCACTGCACGTCAACACCCGGACGTCCGGGCCGCGCCGCACGCACGGCAGCAAGTACATTTGGCGCGGGGGCGCACCTCGGCGTCGCGCTCCTCCGGGAGGAGGTGCAGGCCCGCGCGCGAGAGCAGGAGGAGGAGCTGCCGCGGCGTGGTGCGGACGCCCAGGAGCGGCTTGATCGCGGGGAGGTCCTCCGGCCCCGCGACCCACGCGCTGCCCTCCCCGATGCCAAACTCAATGGGCTCCGCGAGGCCCTTGGCGTACACCGTGAGCGCGGCCGTGTTGGAGCCGCGCCCGCCCGTCGGCCGGAGGTGCCACCGGTCGAACGGCAGGACGCGCGTGCGCTCCTGCAGGAGCGCCATGGGCCCTGAGGCCACGACGGTGAGGGTGACCGTGCGCGCCTCGCGGTCCACGGAGGCGCTCTTCACCCAGTCCGTGCGCCAGCACTTCTGCTCAAAGTCCCACACGCCGCCCACCGCCGGCAGGTTCTCGTCCACGACGGTCCCCTCCGGGAGCGCCCACGTCACGGTCGTGTTGGGGGGCTCCGCGCCGTCCGCCGTGCTCGACGCCGACGGGTACGGAAGCCTGCGACGCGACGCAGCGGGGCGCGAACATCCACATCAGCGGGGGGGCAGAGACAGCCGAGATGCGGCCCGGCACATGTGCTGCGTGGGTGTGAGGTGCGTGATGGGCAGCAGGGGTTGGGGGCGCACTTGGTGGTGGAGGTCATGGCGGGCGTGACCGTGCGGATGGTCCACCCGGCGAGGTTCTTCGCGGGCGCGTGCAGGGCGACGAGGTCGATGCCCAGCACCCCCCCCAGGGCCATGTACTTGTTGGTGCACGCGGAGAAGTGGTGGTCGGTGGGGACGTGGATGCAGCGCATGCCGAGCATCTGCAGCGTGATCTGCTTGGGCACCTCGAGGTTCACGCCGATCGACGGCCACGTGATCGCCTTGATGCGGGGGTTCTTGGTCAGGTTGCACCACATGCCAAACCGGATCTCGTCGTGCGTGTGCGCCACCGAGATCGTCTTCTCCTCCTGGTCCACCGTCAGCTCGTCCGCCCGCCACAGCACGTACGCCGCCGCCTGCACCGCACGCACGCCGCACCACCTCCGCTCAGCGCGACGCCACCGCGCACGCACAGTCGTTCGCGCGCACCAACGACCGCGCGCACAGACACACGCACACGCGCACGCGCACGCGCACGCGCACGCACCCGGTCGAGTATGCTGGAGAGGTGGTCGTGGAAGCGGTGCATGTACTGCGCCGCCTCCTCGGCGCGCGCCAGGTCAAACTCCTGCAGGCAGAGCTGCCGCTGGTTCTCGAGGTCCGTGATGAGGACCTCGTGGTCGCCCGCGAGCGCGAGCATCTCGTCGACGTTCTTCGGCTCGTGCGACAGCGCGTGCGCCTCGTGCGTGTTCAGCTCGGCGCGCGACGACGCCAGCGGGAGGTGCGTGCAGCTGCGGGCGTGCTCCCACGCGCGCTGCTTCTCGCGCCGCTCCGAGGCCGCGGCCCTCTCGCGCTTCACCTGCGTGGCGCGGGCGCGGTGTCCGTGGCCGGGTGAGGGCGCAGCTCTGAAAAACGCACAGCGCAACTGCGCGGTGTGCAACGGCAGCGGCGGCTGCGGCAGAACTGTGCGCGGCCGGGCCCCCTGCACCGCCGCACCTCGCGGAAGAAGTCCTCGAGGCTCGCGAGCTCCTCGGTGATCCGCGCGTCCTCGGCTGCATGCTGTGCGGCGATGAGCTCCTGCCGCTTGCGCTCCTCCTCCTCGAGACGCAACCGCTCCTCTTCCTGCGCGGCAGTAGCGTGGCACAATGCGGGGTCCGGCGTCGGGGCGGAGCGCGTCGTTGGTGCCGCGTGGGCGTCGCGGGGGAGCGCGCCCCTGGGCTGTTGCACTGCAGGCGCCTCCTCCGTGCTGGACACAGCGCTGTCTCGCTCGCTGCTATATCCGACGCAGTGGTGACACCATGGAGCTTCTCCCCGGGCGCGGGCGGTCGCTGCGATCGCGGCGTCCACGCGGCGCGCCCGCTCGCCATGCCGGCACATGCACACCGCCTCGCGCCGCGCCGTACAGCCCGCGGCAGGCCCGAACGCGGACGATACTGCCCGGGCGGGCAGCCTAGGCGCTGCGCACCTCGAGGCGGAGGCGCTCTTCCTCCAGGCGCCGCGCTTCCTCCTCGGCCTTGCGCCGCTCCTCTTCGAGCTGCGCGGGCGTCTTCTTCTTCCCCTTCTTCCCCTTCTTGGGCGGCATCTTGCCCGGGTCGCGCGCTACAGGTAGGGTGCGTCACACACAACGCTGTCAGGCTGCTACCGCCGCCGGACGCCCGAGGGAGCGACGCGACGCGCGAGGTTGTACTTGCTCCTAGTGTGAGTGCTCTCCGGGACACCACGCTTCGCGTATGCGCCGCCGGCCACCGGCTGCAAGACGCTGCGCGAGGCGGGCGCGGGCGCTGCTATTCGTCGCGGGCGTCGCCGCGTCCCCGGCGGGGGGCTGTGACAGCCCGGAGGTGGGGCCTCACGCCGCGTCGCACCGGCGGGCTCCCGCGCCGCGGTCGTTGCCGCGCTCGGGTGCCGTAATCGCCCTCTTCTGTGCAGCCGCATTCTGAGGGCCCTGCGGGAGGGAATACGGCTGAACGGCACTCAGGAACCAAGAGTGGCAGAATGGTGAACATTCCCAAGGTCAAGAAGGCCTACTGCCGGGCGAAGGAGTGCACCAAGCACACGCTGCACAAGGTCACTCAGTACAAGACGGGCAAGGCCTCGCTCTACGCGCAGGGTAAGCGCCCAGCGCGCCCTCCACCGCGACGGACAAGGCCTGGCCTGAAAAGGCGCCGTCCGGTGCCTCTGCGGGCCTGTTCCCCGCCTCACGCCTCCCAGCCTCGCCGCCACGACCACCGGGGCCCTGCGGGGACATCCATCGGCGTGGGCCCGTAGCTCGAGCGCGCCCAGCAAGCAACTCGTCACCCTCCACGCTCGGTCCGAGGCAGTGCGCGGCCCACCGAGCGCGGGGCGATTTCTTGCCTCGTTTTGCACGAGCCGGCATGCGTCTGCTGGCCGACTGCGCCTCGCACGGCGCTCTGACGGCAAGGCCCCACCGTGCCGGCTGCGCCCGGTGACGCCGCTGAGGACGCTCGGCCCCGCCAAAGCGCCCCTAGCGATCCGTCCAAACGTTTCACGCGCCCGAAGCTGATCGCGCAGCGCCGTGCCGCTGCGCTGTCTGCGTGACACGGCGGCAGCGTCTTGCTTTGGCACTCGAGGCCGCTGCGTGCATGCGTCGGCGTTTCAGCGCGCCAGTGATGCTGACATTAACCATGCACCGCAGCGGCATCGAGCACGCCGCGCTCGGCGCACCGCGCGCGGTCGTTGTCCGGGCTGCTTGGAGAGCTGCTCGCCAGCAGCGCGCCCCCCGCTGTTTCCAGCCCGCGGCAACGCCCGCCCAGCAGCTCACGGGCACCACAGCGCCACAGCCACGCGTCCCGCCGCGCATCTCACGGAACGCATGCCTCCCACGGCGCCCTCGCTGCAGGCAAGCGCCGTTACGACCGCAAGCAGTCCGGGTTCGGTGGCCAGACGAAGCCCGTGTTCCGTAAGAAGGCCAAGACCACGAAGAAGATCGTGCTCCGGCTGCAGGCAAGCGCGCCCTCCCTCGCCCCCGCCCGCCAGCCCACCCGCCCTCGCGTGTCGCGCCATCCCTCGCACCCACACGCCGTCGCCCGCCGTGCACGCCAGCACCGCGCCCCCGCTGCCCCCGCCGCCGCGCCCCCGCCCCTCGCTCGCTCGCCCGCCGACCCTGCGCTGCGCGTCCGCGTGCGTCCGCTGTGCAGTGCTCGCAGTGCAAGTTCGTGCACCTGCACCCCATCAAGCGCTGCAAGCACTTCGAGATCGGCGGTCAGACGAAGAAGCAGAAGGCGTAAACATGCCCCTGCGACATGCGCGGCGCCCCTAGCGCCTCGGATGTGACCCACGCTCACAATTGGCTGCCCAATGGCACACCACTTGTCGGCCCCTACTTGAAGCCGCCCCCGCGCCGCTTCTTCTTCCGCCTCGTCCGCAGCGCCTCGCTATCCACGTCCTGCACGCGCGCGGCCGACGACGCGCGGGTGTCAGACTCGCGGCATCCCCCCTCGGTCCTCGCGCAGCAGTGACGCGACGGGGCCCTCGCACCTGCCCGCCACCGCCCTCGCCCTTCCGGCCCACCCCCACCGCGTGCGCGTCGAGGCTCTCGAGCGCCACGTCCCAGTCCACCCCCTCCAGCCCCGCACCCTCCACCGCCCCCAGCAACGCATCCTGGTCTGCACACACCGTTGCACGCACGCACGCCCGTCACGCGCACCGCCACGCCCACGCACCCCAACGCCCCCCAGGTACGCGCGCGGCGCCGCACCTATCGCCCCGCCGCCCGCGACCACCTGCACGCCCCCCGCCTGCAGCCGCTGCATCACCACCAGCGGCGCGCCCGGACGCAGCACCCGCGCAGCCTCCCGCACGCACGCCGCAGGGTCCCCCACCTGCGAGCGCGGCACACAGCGACCCGCGCGTGTCCACCGGGCCTCACCCGCAGCACGCGCTCTGCCAGGCGCCGCATGCAGCGCGGAGCGGTCGGTGCCGGACAGCGGGGGGGACGAGGGCGCTCTTGGGGATCGCCTGTGCGCAGCTCACCTTCGCGAGGGGGCTCAGGAGCACCACGGCGTCGAACGACGCGTCTGGGAAACACCGCAGGTCGTCTGCGGGGCGGTCGCGGAACCGCAGCGGCACCTGCGCGCGCGAGGAGGGCCACGTGTGAGCGCGGGCTGTTGCGCGGGGGCGCGCCCGCCGTGCGTGCGCGCGGCTCGCGCACCTGCGCCTGCGTCCCCGCTTGGCTCCAGAGGCTCTCTTTGCCGCCCTGCAGCACCACCGTCGCCGACCCGATGTCGCGCGGGAGGTAGTACAGGTCCTTCGTATCGCCTCCGATCATGAGCGCGTCCGCGCCGCCTGCGTCGGGCGTGGGATGCACGGGCGTCTGTTAGTCAGGCGTCGCGCGCTGCGGGCAGCGGGAGGTCCCGGTGTGCGGGGGGCGCAGGTCACCTTTCGGAACCCATCGCGACAACATCGCGGCCCTGATGTACTGCAGCTGCGCGTAGCAGTAGGCCCGGAGCCCAATCACCGCCGCGGTGAGAGCCGCTGCGCCGCCGATCACCACGGCATCGTAGTCGCCCGCGAGCGCCCTTGGGATCCGCCGTAGCGTCAGACTCCTGGATTGGGCCCGGTGTCTCCCAGCACGCGAGCGAGGCCCGGGGCGACTCCGTAGCTGACGCACCCCAGGCGCTGGCCCGAGAGCCACAGCGCCGGCCATCCTCCTGGTGCGGGGGCGCCCAGCTGCAGGCGCGAGCACGCGAAGTGTTGCTCCGCGGGCGCAGCGTCACCTCGTGCGCCCCCGCTCGCGTCCGTCCGCGCGGGTTCCAACTCCCCTGCGCTCTCTGTCAGGCGCCTTTCCCGGGGACGGCAGCGGCTGTTGGGCCGCGCGGAGCGCTGCGCCGCACACTCAAGGGCCGGCCACCGCCTACGTGCAGCGTCGGGAGCTGGCACATTCCCGGGCTCGACAGCCAGGCTGGTGCAGTGCTGGTGCTCCTTGAGCCGTTCACCTGCAGCGCCGGGCCCGCGCAGCGACTACGGCGGCGCGGCTGTGCTCCACCATCCGGCTTCCATTGGAATCTGGGACGTAGGAGGTGCCGCGGGCACTGTGGGTCGAATTAGAAGAGGTTCGAGGTCAGCTTGCAGGGCCTCTCGCCTCGCAGTCCGGCACCCCGGGCGTGGAGAAAGCAGGCGTGAATGGCCGACAACGCAGCACCTAACCCCTCGACGGGCGCGGGTGCGGCTGTGGAGTCTGTTCAGCAGGTGGGGCCCCCGGAACGTTAGCCTGCCCCGGCATGCTCGTCGAGCGGCGCTGGCGCCGGCGGGGACGGCCCGTACTTTGCTCTGTTTCGTTTAACCTCGCGGGTTCCGACGCCCGCGCCGCGCCGAGCGAGCCCACGCGCGCTTCCCGGTACGGCTGTGTAACACCAGGGCGGACGTTCCCCCGGGCGCGCTCGTTTCCGACCGCGTGGCCCCGCGCCGGGCGCCCCCCCTCGATCTGCAGAACATGCGTGGGTTGAACCTGGCGGAGGAGGCGGGCGTGCTGACGGACAAGCCGGACTTGGTTTTTGAAGGCCAATATGGAGAATACAATCCCGCGACCAGCCAGCAGACGATTCGGTCGTGGGCCGGGTCGGGGCCGAACAAGGTGACGCGGGTGTTCACCACGGAGAAGATTGTGGGAAATGGATCGTTCGGCGTGGTGTTCTTGGCCCACAGTGGTGAGACTACAGAGAAGGTGGCCATCAAGAAGGTGCTGCAGGACCGGAGGTTCAAGAATAGGGAACTACAGGTATGGAGCGCATCCTCTGCCGCCCGGCGCGCGGCCGGAATGCCGGTTGACGGCCTCCCCGGCGCGCTGGCGGGTCCCGGTCCTGCTGGGCAGCATTCCCCCGGTGCCCCCGCTCCACGCAGCGCGCGCGCCGCTCCCGCTCGGGCCCCCGATCCGCTGAATCCACACTGGGACCGGGCGCTGTGTAGAGCGCACTTGCGGGGGCTCCTGCGAAAGCGCATGTCGAGGACTGCCTTCGCTGACCTGCGGCGCGGTCCGCTGCAGGGCCCCGCTCCGGCTTCGCGCGAGGATTCCCGCTCGCGAAGTCGGATCGAGTCACCCGCCGCGGTCCGCGGTCGCGCAGGCGCCGCCGCCTCGACGCACGTAGCGCTCGGCCCCCTCACTGCTCAACGGCCGTGTTCGGTTCGCGCAGATAATGAGGATGGTGAAGCACTGCAACGTCGTAGGCCTCAAGCACTGCTTCTACACGACTTCAGATGACGAGCTCTTCCTCAACTTGGTGCTGGTGCGCCCCGGACCGCTGCCACCCACACTGCACCCCCACGCCCGCCGCGCCCCCGGGCGCCCGCGCCGACCCCGCCCGCGCGATCCCGACGCCGATCCTCGAGCGCTCCACGCCGCGGCCGGCGCCGAACCCTCGCCCGCGCCGCCCCGCCCCCCGCCCCCCGCGCACGCTCGCCGCCCACACCTCCGACCCCCTCCCCGGCCCGCAGGAGTACGTGCCGGACACGGTGTACCGGATCAGCAAGCACTACGCGAAGCAGGGACAGCGAATGCCCCTGCCGTACATCCGCCTGTACGTGTACCAGATCTGCCGCGCCCTCCACCACATCCACCAAAAGGGCATCTGCCACCGCGACATCAAGCCGCAAAACCTCCTCGTCAACTCCCAGGTCCGACGCGGCCCCCCGCGCGCGCCGCACGCGCGCCCCCACGCCCCGCGCGCCCCCCGCCGCGACCGCACCACACGCACCCGCGGCCGGTGACGGGTGACCGGTGTTTACGCAGCAGCACACCCGCGCCCGGCTCGCGCCGACGCGCGCCCGCCCCGCCCGCCCGCGCAGACGCACGAGCTGAAGCTGTGCGACTTCGGGAGCGCGAAGGTGCTGGTCCGCGGGGAGCCCAACATCTCGTACATTTGCAGCCGGTACTACCGCGCGCCGGAGCTCATCTTCGGCGCGACGGACTACACGCCGGCGATCGACCTGTGGAGCGTCGGGTGCGTCATGGCGGAGCTCTTCCTCGGCCAGCCGCTCTTCCCGGGGGAGTCGGGCGTGGACCAGCTGGTGGAGATCATCAAGGTGCTGGGGACGCCCAGCCGCGAGGAGATCCACGCGATGAACCCGAACTACACCGAGTTCAAGTTCCCCCAGATCAAGGCGCACCCGTGGGCCAAGGTCTTCTCCAAGCGCATCCCGCAGGAGGCCGTTGACCTGCTGTCGTGCTTCCTGCAGTACGACCCGACGAAGCGCATCACCGCGCTGCAGGCGCTCGCGCACCCGTTCTTCGACGAGATCCGGAAGCCCGGCGCGTGCCTCCCGAACGGGCAGCCGCTCCCGCCGCTGTTCAACTGGCAGGAGGGCGAGCTCGACGGAGCGCCCGAGAACCTCGTTGCCAAACTGACGCCCAAGAACGAGTGACGCCGGGGCGACGCGACGCGCCGCCGACGCGGCGCCGACCTAGCGTACCGCGGTGCCGACCTAGCGAGCATGCAGCCACACATCGCTCACGCGCTGGGCTGTGAATGCACACGGACGCCCGCGGCCTCAGCGCTGCACTCCCCGCACATGTCCTCGATCACTCCTCAGGCATCCTCGCGGTGAGGGTGCTTGTAGGTCAGCGAAGTACTACTCCACCCCCCTCGGCCCCCGTGCAAGCTGCTGCATCGGCGGTCACTTTGTCACGACCAGCATCTAGCACATGGTGGCACGTTCACTTGGCATTGCGCGCGGGTACTCCTAGCGCAGCCGCACACTTCTAGACGCTGGCACGCCCGCATGCTGCGTCCTAGCGCAGGCGATTGATTCCCCCCTCAGCTGGTTATGCGCCCCCCCCACCAGGCAGTTGCAGCTTGCTTGTCGACCGTCGCCGCTCGGCGCCAGACACGGACGATCCTGTCCTGCGAACACACGGCGCGAGACGGCACACGGATCAGCCCCGCTGGCCGTCTGAAGCATGCAGAGAGATGGCAGCAGGGTACTCGAGCACCCCGGGGGGGTCGTAGCTGACTCACCCGCCGGCGACGACTGGCCCGATTGTAGCCGCGCTCGCAGCGTCGCCCGAGGCCGCCCCGCTCGTCGCGGCAGGCGTCAGCATCTGCAGGGGCAGCTGCGATGTTGCCTCCCGCCCTGCCGCGCTCTCGTCGCCCTCCGACAGCCGCTCGATGTGCTCCGACGGCGCGCCCGTGGCCTCACGGGACGCCCTGCGCGCGCCGGCGCCCTCCGGTGCGTCCCGTGCGCCCGCCCGCTGCCCGCCCCCGAGCATGCCACGCAGGCTGGAGGTCGTCCGTCTGATCGCCCCCACGACCCCGGCTGCGAACATGCGGGCCCAGCGGGGCGACGATGAGGACCTCTTGTACTGGGCTCGCGCTCAGACAGACCAGAGAGTTGCGGTGGCCGCGAACAACACTGCCTCCAACATGTTGGCAGTCGGGGCAGCAGGCGAAATGGTGGTTGACACGGGACGCATCCGAGCGCACGGGGGACGGAGATGGCGAGGGCGGAATGACATACCTGCGCGCGTGCGTCCGTCGACGCCGGGCGCGCCCGCCGCGAGCTCCTGCGGCGGTGCGGTCTTTGGTGCTTGCCGCTGGTAGCTGTCGATGAGCCTGGACGTCTCGAGCACGAGGTCCGCGGCCGAGGGTCGCTTCAGCGGGTCGGCGTCCCAGCACCGCTGGATCAGCCGCCGGAGGGCCCGAGGGGTGTTGCTGGGGATGGGGGGTCTCTCGTTGGCCATCACGACCTTGTACACCACCTACGGGGGACACGACGAGAGCGAGGGGGTGACGGCTGCGGTGCCGGGCGGCGCCGTCAGGGAGGGGGGTGTTCGTTCGTGTCGGGGGGGCACCGTGCCTGGAAGACTTGAGTCAAATCCTTCCAGGGGCGACTTGCCGTCCAGGCTTCGAGGACGACGACGCCCAGGCTGTAAATGTCCGCGCGGTCCGTGACTCGCTGCGGTGAGAACGGCGGGCACGCGCAGGGGTGTTGCGCAGGCGTGCATTGTGACCGCGAGGCAAGGGGGCGGGTCGTGGTGCGGCGGTGTGGGGGCGCCGCAGGCCCGCGCAGTGCGACAAACCTCGGCAGAGAGGACCTCGGGGCTCATGTAGTAGGGTGTTCCTGCGCATCGCCTCAGACAAGAGGGGGGGACTGTCAGCGATGTGCGTTGCGCGGTGTCACTGCGACCGCGTAAGGATGGCCGCAGGCGTGGCAGCGGGGCTCGCTCACCGTCGTTGCCGCCCCTGGACATCATCAGTGTGCCGTTGATCGTAGCGTCCGGGTCCGTGAGCTTTGCGATGCCTGCACAACACACCCAGCCACGTACCAAAGGAGTGTCGCCTGCACGAGCGCAGCTGCCGCGACACTCAAGCACGAGGCGCGTCTTCCGGTCGCACCAAAGTCCGCCAGCTTCACTCGGCCGTCTGGTCCGATCAGCAGGTTCTGCGGCTTGATGTCGCGGTGGATGATGCCCCCCGGGTGCAGGTACGCCAGCGCCACGGCGACGTCGTGCGCCAGCTGCAGCGTCTCTATGTACGAGTACGGCCGCTGCCCCGGCGGCCCGTTCGGCACGCACGGCGCGTACAGGCGGTCGTGGAGCGACCCGGCGCGCTCGAACTCCATCACCAGGAAGGGCTTCGGCTCCAGCGCGCCGCCGACGCAGCGCACGATGCGCGGGTGCGAGAGCTGCGTGAGCACGGACAGCTCGTGGCGCAGCGAGCGGTACACCTCCTCGATGTCGCCGCTCGTCGGGTCGCGGTTGAGGATCTTGATGGCCACCTCGAGCTCCGTGTCCGACCCGGGGGGGGTCCAGCCGGCCTCCCACACCTCGCCTGTGGCCACAAACACGCGGTGGCGGCGGAGTCAGGGGGCGGGGGGCTGCTCCGACCGCTCCATGTGGGGTCAACTCTTTGCACATGTGAGGGGGGGGTCGTGAGTGCGTGAGGGGGGGGCAGAGCGTCAGAGGCGCACCAAAGGCTCCGCGGCCGCAGCGTCGGATTTTGCGGAAGTCCTCGAGGCGCATCTCGTGCCACATGCCGAACGTTCCGCGGCGTTCGAGGATGCTCGTTGCGCCCCCGCCCACTTCGTCGATCCAGTCCATCCCGCTGCCCGCGCCCACGGGTGCAGTCGACAGCGAGCTCTCCTGCAACGGCCAAGCACGCACGTTGGTGCCGCGAGTCGGAACGCGCTACATGGTGACGAACGCGGTTTGTGACCACCACATTTCAGGTGGGCTCTCACCTGCGGCGCGGAGGTCTGTCGGCTGGTGGAGAACTGCTCGGATACAATCTCCGCGGTCGCTTCGGACGGGACGACGTGCGCGACGGTCCGCCTGCTCGGCACCGCGCCGGCGACCTGCGTCGCAACCACCATCCATGCAGGGGAGTGAATCGACAGTTGTACCCGACACCCCCTTCAAGCTGGACACGGGACATGACGAGGTCGCCGCACCTGCATGGCGGCGGGAGGCATCGGGCCCAGGCCCGGGCGCGCGCTGTCGTGCGGTGACTCGGGTGGCTTGGGGTCTGAGGACAGGTGGCCGGCCCACGCCGGGATGAGCAGCCCCGACGAGCCGTGGAGGGGGTCCGGGCCGCTTGGGGACCGCATCTGCAGGACCTTGCGCCAGCTCACGACGGGTCGCGCGGCGTCGGCTGCGGCGCGCCCTTTGTTGTTGGACGCGTCGCCCTTGCTGGCTTGCAGCAGGGCCTTGAGCTGCCGGTTCCGACGGATCCTCCGCCCGCACCACAGGATGAGAATGGTCGCACCTGCGCAGCGGGAGCGGGTTTGCGCGGGTGAGCCCGTCGCTGCCAGCAGAAGCACGTGCGTGCGAAAAGTGAGCGGACCACAACCGGAGCGAGCGCGTACCGAGCAGGGCGACGGATCCGACGCCTAGAAGCACGCCAAGCAGCATGTTGGTCGTCGACGCCCGCCGCGCCGCGCGCGCGGACAGCACACCCCCGCCGCCGTCAGGTGCCTCGCTGTCGGGCGCCGGCGCCCCTGGCTGCGTCGACGCATCGCCGTCGCCGGCACCGCCCACGTCCACCTGCTGCTCGCGAGGCGGCGGAGACGTGTCGCGCAGCTCCCGGACGATCTCCTCCAGGAAACTGCACCGCGGCAACCAGAATTCGACAACGGGTGTTGCACAACTGCCGACACAGGTCACTGCGCTACCTGAAAGGCCCTTCAACGCACTGGTCGCAGGACGCGCACGTCCACGCGCGGCTCAGGCTCGGGCCGCAGCCTGCGTCCGCGTCGTACCTGTTGAGGGGGCTCTTGCTGGTGCGTCCGTCGAAGGGCCAGTCCTGGGGGATGTCGGGGCTCACCTCCTCCTGCGACGCACAGCAGTACTCTGCACGGCAGGGCGTGCACAGTGGTGGTGTGGGCGTTTCGTCCTGGACGCAGCAGTCCACGCTGCGGGCTGCAGCGCGGATAACGTGGACAGTTCTTGATTGAGATCAGATCTCACCTGTGCGCACCAGGCACGACCCGGGGTCGTCCGGCTCGGCGCAGATGTACCCCGGCGGCGACACGCTCTCGGGGCAGAAGGTCTTCCCCGGGGGCAGCCCCCACGCGACCTGCGAGGCCCCACCGTCGCCGGCGATCAACAGCGGCATGCGCATGTTGGGCTCCCGCACGCGCGCGACGACGCCCCGCTGCAGCAAGACCTGCGCGATCACGGACCGGGGAACGCGGAGGCGCGCGTCAGCGGCGTCGTTCGCTGCGTGGACTCGGACACGGCTTTGTTGAGGCGTGGGTTCTGGCAACGTGCGCATTGCGGTGTGGGGCGCTGCTTGCCTCCGACTGCGCGCCCTGGAGGACGGTGGTGTTGCGGAACGAGTAGTCCTCGACGGGGTTGAGAAGGGAGCCGTCGGTCGTCGCCATCGTGAGCACCATCGTGATGCTCGTCGCTGCAACACAGGGGCACGAGCTGGGCGCTCAACCGAACCGACCGCCCGTCGACGTGTACCTCCATCAACGCATGGTCTCTCGCACGCAGTCGCGACGCGCAGCGTACTGCTGCACCGCACCTTGGCTGCGATTGCCTGCTGTGGCGTTCCCCGCCTGTCCGGCCGGCACGAGCACCACGTCCTCCGGCACATTGAAGCTCACCCGCGTGACGAACCGCGCCCCGGGCACCAGCCCGAGCACGACCGCGATGTCGCTGTTGAGCCGCGTCACCGCGCGCAGCCGCGGCCGCCCTTGCACGTCCTTGCACCCGACCACGACGCTCCCCACGCGCAGGTCGTTGCACGCCATCTCGTACCGCGACGGCTGCGTGTGGTTCCCGTTGAACCAGTACTCGAACGAGATCCTGGCCACTGGCACTGGCGCGCCCCCGGTGTTGGTGATGGCGGCAAACATCTGGTGGAACGGGAGGAGGCGCGGGCCGCCGAGCGGGGCGCGGACGCGTTCGACGGGGAGGTACTGCATCTGGAGGTGGTTGGTGGGCGTCACGCAGTCCTGGAACTGGCTCTTCAGGAGGCTGCGGCAGCGCAGGTTGTTGAAGATGACGTTCGCGAGCGGGGCGTACGGAAAGCCGGACGCCCACTCCGGGTTGCCCTTCTCCGGGAAAAAGACGATGGCCGCCTGCAAGGAGCGTGTGTCTCAACTTGAAGGGGGGGTCTTGAAGGAGGTGTAATACGTGACGATGAATAATTGCTCGATGGGGGCGTTCGGGCGGTGGCGGGGCGCCGTGGCCCTGCGATGGCGGGGCGCGCACCTCGCGGTTGCGCGCGAGCGACAGGTCCGGGACTGCGGCGCCGGTCGCTCTAGAGATCCCCACTGCAGTCAACAACAGAGACGATGAAAAGACAGTCAGTGTCCACCTTCGGCCTCCCGCCCCGCAGCCAGCGTACAGCGAGCACGCAGAAGGTGCACCGGTCCACCACTGGTCCATCGTCGCCGTTCCGGGGTGCGCGACCGTGCGCTGCGGGCCCACCTGTCGCAGTGGTGTTCCGCACGGCACTGCGCCCGTCCCCCGCCGGCTGCGTCGCGTTCTTGCTCGGGCTGAAGAAGATCACCGTGGTGTTGCCCCGCCCGGGCCGCTGCTCGCCGCCGCGCGTCTCGGCGTTCACCAGCGCGCTCTGCCCTGGGAGGAAGGCCTCGCCCGCCTGGAAGTCGAAGCTCAGCGCCCACGAATCGACCGGCACGTCCGTGAAGCGCCGAATGCCGAGGTAGCCCTGGAAGAAGGGCACCTCGACGCCGCCTGCGCCCTCGTCGCTGAGAGGCGTGAGCTGCTTGCCGACGTAGGTCAGCAGGATCGAGCACGCGAACCCGAGCTGCCCGGAGATGGACTTCTCTTCGGTTGGTGCCTGTGAGGTGCAGCGACAGAGGCCGTCGTTGATGGGGGCCGGGCGAAGCCACGCGCGGACGTAGGTCCGAGCGGCCTTGTAACATGAGGGAACGCACCCGGCGTTCCGGTGTCGTGCTCCGCGTGGAACTCGCCCTGGGAGTCGCCGTCGCTGATGTGTTGAGCAGATGGCGCGCGGTTTGGAGCCGCGTCCAGGAGGCGACGGGCGTTCCCGGCGCATTTTCTCCGTGCAGGAAACTCACGACGCTTTTGCGCCGGTCCTCTGGGTCCTTGGCGCCATAAGCCGATTGTTTGACACCCGTGTAGATGTGTGACGTCGTCAGGATCGCTGCGATCCCTAATGCAAGCGCCAGGAGGGCGCGGCAGAGCCTGCAAGTTTTGAAGGGTGGAAGGGCATCTGCGTTCCGTCAGACAAGCGCCCTGCAAGGGCTTTTCCGCCGCGCGTGGCACCCAGGATATTTGGCTTCCGAAGGTGGCGGTCGACTGGAGGGCTGTGGCCCGACATGCGGCGGTGGGGGCGGTACCGTTCTATGTGATGACTCGAACGTCGCATTTTCTCGCCGCCGCAGGCCCCCTCGCCCCTCGTAAGTCCACGAAAGAATCACTCGACGTCCAATCGCTGAGCGGGCCGACCTGCTTGCCGCCCCGCTGTCGCCCTTAGGGCCACGAACACCGTGCCAGTGGCATCTTCGGCCGCCGTGGCGGAAATTCTCGGTCACCTCCCTGCCACGAAGACTCTGCGCGGACTGCAGATCTCTCAACGGCAACGTCCGCATGGACTGTCGATCCCGGGAGCGACCGCTCCGTGTTTGTACCCACCTGAGCACACCCCCCGCAGCCCGCCGCGCCAGATGCTCGCCACGGGCGCCCTGGACGTCCCTGGCTGCGAACTCTCGCGCACCGCAGTGCGTCATGGGCTCCAAGCGAACGCAAGCGGCGGAACCAGGGTGGACACTGCAGCAGAGGTCATGGTGGTGCAGCGCCCGAACGGTGCAGCGACACAGTCCGGCGCGGTCACAACGGCATTCTATGCGCACCGCACGTCACGTCGCGTCACCTGTGCGCGTACTTCGCGCACGTCTGGCTGCACGCCTGCGGGATGTTGGCCAGGCACTTGGCGTAGCTGTTCTCCCCGTCCGGCGTCCCCGCGGGGTACATCTTGTCGCACGCGCTCGCGAAGCTGAACTGGCACGCCTCGCGGCACGCGTGCACCTTGTCCGCCTCGTGCGCGACGCACCGCGTCTCCGCCGCGCTCTCTCCGTTGAGCTCAGACCGCACGTCGATGCAGAACCGCTCCTGCCCGTCCACGAGCCCGGGGTTCACCGCCATCGACGGCCGCTCCAGACCGTGGCTCTCTGCGCGCCACGAACCGCAGGGGGGCCCGCGGTGTCGGGCGCTGCGGCGGTGAACAAGCACGGCGCAGCGGCGCCCGCGGGGACGCGCACACGAGACACCCCGCGGGGCCCGGGGGGCGCCGGTGCACAGCGCATGGGCCTGGTCATCGGGTAGCGGGGTCGGCTCGCGCGCCGTTCCTGCCGCGCGGGCAATCGGCGCACGTGGGGCGGCGTCGGCGCTCCGCACCTGCATACCGCATTCTGCTGCCGAAATCGAACACGCCCTTGATCGGCACGGTCAGCCGCTGCCGCTTCTGCCACGCCGTCAGCGCCTCCTCCGTCGCGGCCCCGAAGTACCCCGTCGGCTGGATGGTCAGCAACCCCCGCTGTCGCAAGAACCCCTGCAAACACCACACGTCCCCGCCGTACGCGCCCTTCCTGCGACCACGCGGACAGTGAGCGCCATCAGCGCGGGTTCCGCCGCGCAGACGCGCGAACGGGCGCGTCTGGGGCGCCCCATTCGGGGCGGATGTGCGCCTGATCACGGGCAGCGGCACGGCCGCTCGAGCCGGCCTGACGCGGCCGGCGGCCCGGGACGGCGCTGTTCTTCGCCGCTGCATGCCGGGGGGGCGCCGCACCGCAGGTCCCGGGGGAAGTAGCAGATGTTTTCCTCGGGCTGAGGTGCGGGGGCACCCTTGGACCCGCTGCCGCCCATGCTACCGCGTGCCCGCACGTGGCCCCGCCCTGAGCCGCCCTCGCGCTGGCTGCCGCCAAATCGGGCGTGCTCCAGGGACTCGAGCGGCGCCGGCGGGCCGTCGGCCGTGAGCGGTACCGCGCGGGCCCTCGGGTGCGCGCGAGGGGCACAGCGCGGTCCCCTCGCCCCGGTAGACGCGAGGGTCCGCGGGGGCAGAGCCAGTTGGGCTGTGCGGGGCGCAGCCGCGCCTCGTTTGCCGCGCGGACGGGGTCGCGTCAACGGGTGCGAGGAGCTGCAGCGCTGGCGCAGGTGTGCGGTGCGTGACGAAAACGCGAGCGGTGCGAGGGCGGTCTGTTCGATGCAGGGCGGTCACGCTGCTCGGGAGCTGCGCTGCGCCCTGCCGCGCGGCCCGCAAGAGCGCCCCCGGCGCAGCGACCGCGAGCCCGCCCACGCTTTTTCACCTCCTGCTTTACCCCCCCCCTGCCGCGCTGGCGGACGGGGTCGGCCGACATGGCGCCCCGGGCCGCCTCGTGTTCTGCAGAGTCCGCAGGCGCCGCACCTCGCACGTTCGCGCGGCGTTCCGAAGCCATTGCAGGGGCAACGACCCTGAGGTGTGTTTGCACGTCACGGGCGGGGCCAGGGCGCCGCGCGCTCCGCTTGTCGCGCGTGGCAAGCATAGAATAGATTGTAGTGATTTCCGTGACGCGCGTGCCTTGATCTCTGCTACGCTCTGGGCCCGTCGATGCGCGGTGTTGCGCTGCCAGCGGTGCAACGAGGCGGCGCTCGGGCGCCCACGCGCCGTGGTGCGGCTGCGCAGCGCCGCATCAGACACGCATAGCATAGGTTGTGCGGGCAGAGCGCCAAGATGCGGCTCCGTGCCCTCGCTCTCCTCGTCCTCGCAGCCTACACAGCGCCACTATGCATGGTACGCACGGCCGCCGAGCGCGCCACACGCTGGCCACAGACGCCCCTGCCAGCCTCGCTCGCCACGCAACGCGCCGGCGCGCGCCACGCGAGCACGTCCACGGCGCCCCCATCACGGGGCGGTGTTGCTCCGTCACGCAGGCACAGGCGTCCGCGGCGAGCCGGTTGCCGCGGCTCCGGATCGCCCCGTACGAGATCGAGGGCCCCATCGGCCGCAACATCGTCTCGTACTGCTTCCTGTCCCACATGTCGGCCCCCGCCTATCCACGCCCAACCCCCACCACGCGCGAAGCAGCGCAGGGGCTGCCCTGGTGGATGCTGAGCTACCTGACGCTGGTGAGACCGCTCCCCCGCACGTGCGCTCTCGTCACCGCAGCGCCACGCCCGTGCGTCGCCCCGCGACCCCGCTCCGCTGCCCGCGCGTGTCTGCAGGTGCGCTCGGCGCTGATGCACTCCTGGGCGCTGCACATCGACAGCGGAGGCATCCGGCGGGCAGGCGGCACGGACGCGAAGATCCAGGCCGCCGAGTTCGCCGAGTTCGTCGCCTCGCGCCCCCAGCGCGTGCTCTCCTTCCTCCAAGGTGCGCCACTGCGACGAGTCCCCCCCCAGGGGACTCACAGAGATGCCCAGGCTCGCAGCAGCGCGTGTGTCTCATCGGGACGGCGTGCGTGCGCCCTGCAGAGCTGGACCCGCTCACCGTTGTCGCCGTCGTGGACTGCCATGACCTGGCGCTGCTGGGCACCCCGGAGGAGGCCCTGGCGCGCTTCCGTGCGGCCAAGTCGGACCTGGTGATCGGAGGAGAGCGGTACGGGTGGCCGGATGACATCGACGTCGACGGCGGTGACAGGGGCGTGCTCCGGCTGCTAGGTGGGTTGCAGTGGCACACGCACGGCTGGACGTGCTGTTCCGTTCGCGCACGACCCGCACATCCCACACCGCTGCTCTTCTACGTCGCAGGGGACATTCTGATGCCGCGCGCCAACCCGGGCGCGTCCCCGAACGCCAACGGGGGTACGCTCTTGGGGTACGCGGGGGCGCTGCGGCGGGCGCTGGGATCGCTCGTCGCGGCGGAGCACGTCCTGCTGTCGCGCAGCATGGTGCGCGGGGTCCCGAACAGGGAGGGGTACAAGGAGGACGACCAGCGCGGCCTGAACAACCTCGTTCTCCTGTCTGCTGCATCACACGACGAAGTCATATCGAGGCACCTCGTCGACGACGCCGCGGCGGTGGTCGACGCGGTGCAGCGGAGCCTCGCAGATGCGGGAATTCCGCCGTTCCCCCGGTGCGTCCCCCGCGCACGCCCGCTCCGCGCTCTGTGCCGCTCTGTGTCTGGCTGCGTGCTGACGCGCCGGCCCCCGGCGCTGGCTCCGCAGGACCGCTGGCAGCGAGAGGTCGCTCTCGGTGGACAGCAACAACACGATCGTGTCCAACCTGATCGACCAGATGGGGCCCTGGTGGCGCGGCAACCGCCCAGTGGACTGCTGGCTCGTGGCGCGCGACAACGCCACCGACGCGGGGCGCCCGACGCCTGCGCTGCGCCACCACGCCCCGCCACCACCTGTCGACGTGCACGAGTGCCGTAACCGCCTCCGGCAGCTCGCGAACCTGCCGCCCGAGGACCTATCAGACCCAGTGACGGCAGACTGGCTGGCGGATTACGCCGGAGGTGAGACGTCGCCCGGGCCATGCCGCCACGACCGCAGACGTGGACACCGCTGTAGGCGACCCCACCGGTGGTCGTTCCGGCCGTCACGTGGCATGCAGAGGTGGAGGGAGGGCACTTGCCGCCAAGCGCGCCGACGGGCGACCTCGGCCGGCTGGCCTTCAGTGGGGCATCGGGGCGGCGGACGGGGTCGGAGAGCGTGTGGTGGGGCGGGCGGTGCTGGCACGGGGTGTCGGGCACGCGGCCCGTCATCGTGCACGCCCCCGGGGTACAAAAGCTCGGATTCATGTACGTCGCCGCGCAGGCCGGCGTGCTGCTGCCGCCGCAGGCGCGCACGGTCGCAGCGCAGTGCAGCGGCGGCGGGGAGCGCCCGGGGCGCCGCGCGGGGTATCTATTTTTGGAGGGGGACCTGGCGGTGTTCCTGGCGCGCATGGGGCAGTGCCGGCCGCAGATGAGCGTCGGCGACCACGTGCGCCCGGAGCTCACGGACGTCGTCGACGGCCTGTGCGGCGACTTCGGCACGCGCCCCGCGTGAGCGCGCCCCGCACTCCCCGGAAGTGACCCAAATTTTTGCGCGCTCACAAATACCTACTGGAACTTCGAGAGCCACGCGTCGAGCTTCGCCTCAAGCTCCTTGCTCTCCTCCGCCGCCGACTTCTTCGCCTCCGCCGCCGGCGCCTTCTCCTCGGCCGGCGCAGCCTTCTTCGCCTCCGCGGCCTTCTTCGCCTCCGCCGCCTTCTTGGCCTCCTCGGCCTTCTTCGCCTCCTCGGCCTTCTTCGCCTCCGCCGCCTTCTTGGCCTCCTCGGCCTTCTTGGCCTCCTCAGCCTTCTTGGCCTCCGCGGCCTTGGCCGCCTCGGCCTTCTTCAGGGCCTCCTCCTCAGCCTTGCGCGACGCCGCGATCGCGGCCTCCTCGGCCTTCTTCAGCTCCTGCTTCTTCGCGGCCGTCCGCGCCTCGGCCAGCTCCTCCTCGCGCGCCAGCCGCGCCTCCTCCGCCGCCTTGGCCTCCTGCAGCTTGCGCTCCGCCTCGTCCAGGGCCTTCTTCTCCGCGGCCAGACGCGCCTCCTCCGCCGCGCGCTTCTTCGCGTCGACCTCCTTCGCCGCCGCCTTCGCCGCCGCCTCCTCCTCGATGCGCTTGGCCTCGATGGAGGCCTCGAGCTTGTTGGCGGTGTTCTCCACGGCTCGCACCTGGGCCGAGTTCTCCGCCTTAGCCTTGCGCATCTGGGCGTCCAGGAGCGCCTCGAGCTTGGCCTCCTGCGAGCGCGCGGCGCGTGTGGGCCGGCGTGACTCACGTGCGTCGTCAGGACACGTGCCTGTGCTGTTGACGTGGTGCGTGGTGCGTGGTGCTGTGCTCCATGTGTGTGTGCGCCGCTGGGCGTGGTGGGGGCGCGGAGGGCGAGCGGGGCACGCGTGTCGGCGTGTGCGACGGGTGCGAACGCGTGGCGCGAGCGAGTTGGGTGGTGGCGGTGATCTTCCACCATCTGAGTACGTCAATGAAAAAAGAATCGAGAAAGGACGATTGAGAAGCGACGCCTGCTCACCATCTCAGCGATCTCCTCCTCCCGCTTCTCCTCCTCGTCCGTGATCGTGCCGACCTCCAGCGCGCGCAGCTTCGGCGCCGGGAGGCCCGGCGGCGGCACGTTCGCGGCGGCACTCTGCGCCAGCACCGCCGCGGCGAGCAGGGCGGCAGCGGTGGAGCGCACCACCGACGTGGCCTTCGCCAGGTCCGGACGGGGCGCGGCACGAACCGCCGTGGCGCGCGCGGCCTTCCGGGCGGTAGTCCTGCGCTCGGCGGGGGCGTGGTGCCGCGCGTCATCGGTCGAGCCGCGCGCACAGGCCGAGTTCCCCCCTCCACGAATCCGGGGGCCGCCTGGGCGTCGGGGCGCGCTGATCGGACATCGCGGGGGTCACCGGTCAGCGTGAAGTCGAAATCCGACGACCGAGTATCGCCATCAGCCGCGCGACTGCCGCGTGGCGTCGCGACCGGCGTCGCGACCTCCCCCCTCAGTCGCAGCGAGCGCGCCACGCCGACACGCAGCACGGCAGGTCGCAACCGGCGTGCCCGGTCATCAACGTGCGGTTGACGGCGAGTGGTGGAGGCGCGTTGCGCGCACCTGGGCCCGGCGACCGCCGACGTCCTGAGCGAGTGCATCATGCTCGGTCTCCTGGCTGCGAAGTCGGGAGGGGTCCTCGTGGGCGGCGGCGATCTACACGCGTGAAGGCAGTCGTACGGGGCGCATCGCGCGGAACGGAGGCGATAATTGCGCACATCGCGCGCGCGTAGGGGGGTGTGCTGCCTGACGCAAGGCGGGCCCTCGGCGGGTGCCGCGTCGGTGCCGCGGGGCGTCACGGGCGCCCGGAGCCCCCCAAGATGGCCAGGCCATGCGAAGCTCCCGGACGGCGTCGCTGACATTCGTACAGGGAACGTGGCGCGCGGAGAGAGAGATGCGACACACCATCTTGTGTGGAACGCGTTCGTGCTCGTGCTGCGCGACCTCGGGCCGTCCGAGTCCCCAGGCGGCCGCCGCCTCGAGTGATGCCGCGTGGTGACCCACATGGCCCTGTTCGGAATCACAGCACGCCAGATCGCCGATCTGGCAACACGGCGTGTTGCCCATGTAAGACGACCGCTTGCTCCCGGAAGCGGGGCGCCGCGCTAATTGCTGCTGCATCGTCCGCGAGAAGCTCGTGATCGACACGGCGACGGCCCCCGTCATGACGGTGTGGCGCAAGGCGGGCGGGGAGTGGGGGAGCGCGCCGACACTCGAGCAAGAGTCGCACGTGAGTGAGCGAGTGAGCGCCGACGGCGCCCAGCGTCGCGCGCAGCCGCTGCCTGCATCCTGGGCGCCCGGTGACACCGCCGGTCGCGCGCCCTCCGTTTGCAGCGCGTCGCGGAGATCACGTGGAGCTTTGTGTCCATGTACGACCCCGGCAACGGCACATAGTGGTGGCTCTACGACGACGACGAGCCCGACGACGAGGACGACGGCGACGGCGGGGACAGCGGCGAGGACGACGACGAGGACGACGCAGGGACTGGCGCGGGACCAGTGGCGATGTGAGACGCCTCGAGAGTTGGCCGCACTGCCGCGCGAACTCCCGTCGAGAGTGCCCGAGGGCCATCGACCGCGCTGACCGCGCCCCCACGCGTGCCGTGAGGCGGGCCACGTGATCGTGAGTCGTCAGGCGCGATGTATGCCGAGTAGAAGAAGTACCAGACCTCCACTGTGTCAGTGCCGCGGCGCGCGCGCACTGCGGGGCGTCATGGGCGAGCGCGCTGCCTCCACGTGACCAGACCTTGCATGGCTACCGGTTGGTGTCGTTGATATTCGTCCAGGGAACGTGGCGCGTTGAGAGAGACGCATCCAGGTCTAAAACGAACCCCGTGGTGCGTCCCTCGTTGACGTGCTGGCCCGGTATGTCGAGCACCGCATGTTTGGCTTTTGTTTGGACCGCCCGCGGCGCCGAAACGCGCCGACGCCCCCTCGCCCGTTCGCAGGGAACAGGGAAAGATGCAGAGGTCCATGCAGGGCGCCGCTCGCGCCCTCATGTCCGGTGTGCAGCGAGCCGCCGCTGACGGCAGTCGCAGTATGGGCACGCAGCCGCTGAACAAGCGCTTCCGCGAGGTGAGGAGCGCACAGCCCCCCGGTCATGCCCACCTCACCACTGCCCGCCCGGCTGCGGCGGCTCCACCCAGTTCCCGGCCCAGTGTCCGCGGTCCTCGCCACCACGCATCATCCACCGTCCACCACCGGCGCTCCCTCGTTCCCGGGACGCCCAAGCGCCCCCAGGGACGCACCTGCCCAGCACGCCAGCCCACGCCCGCTCCGCGGCCCCACAACGCCAGAGCGCGGCCGCCCCCGGCTCCCCACGGTCCCCCTCGCGCCAGACATCCGTCCCATCCACCTCGACCGCCCCCGCGTGCCCGCCACGCAGGTTACCTACTCCCTGTCCCCCAACCAGGTCGACGTGCTCCCGGGCCTGTTCCGCGGGAAGGCGGCCTTCTGGAAGCAGGTGCGCCGCAGCCTCCCTCACCTCCACCTGCGCGCAGCAGCCGCTCCGCGCGGCCCGGGTCGCAGCAGAGCCGCTGTCCGGGACGCAACAGAGTTGCCGCGCAAGGAGGGCGGGCGTTTCCGGCGGCGCCAGAGCGCGCCCGCTCCGCGCGACCACGTCACCCTCATGATGCATCATTCTCGTGCCTCTTCCGTGCGTCCTCGCCGCAGTTCGTGAAGGAGGAGTGGCTCAACGTCGCGGTGTTCAGCACGATCCTGTTTGGGCCCATCTTGTACGCCGACTGGTACAATGAGCGGGAGAAGATGCACCACCGCTTCTGAGCGCGGCCGTACCCTGCTCCGGACCCGCACGCGTGCCGTCCTGGCCATGTAAAGACTCAACTCAACGCACAGGCCACCGCCCGCGCTCCACGCGACACGCGGGAAGACCGGCGTCATCCGACACGCGCAATCGACCGACAAGAACACTCGCGCGCAACGCCCAGCGCACGTGCCCCCCCCCCCAATTTATGGTAGTCATCGTCACTCACATCGCGACATGCCCTCAGTACCCGCCTGACCGCCCGTACCCTCCCCCGAGCGCTCTCCGCCCGAACGGCGCCGGCCCGCGTTGCTGCGCCGCCGCCGCGCTCCCCAGCGCCCCGTAGTTGCTGTGCACGTGCCCGCCGCCATACCCCACCGCGCCCCCAGGCCCACCCTGCACCGCCTGCATCCGCGCCGCCAGGTTCGACGGCGGCGCGTTCGCCGCGTGCGCCTGGTACCCCTGCCGCGCGCCCGCACCGCCCCACAACCCGTGCCCAGCCAGCTCCGGCAGCCCCTCCCCCACCCCGCCACTCCCGCTCTTCCCCGCCCGCCGCGGCGCCGCGTGGAACCCCGCAGCCTCCCGCCCCGCGTGCTGCTGCCCCAGGGGGTTGGCGTTGATGATGTCCATCGCGGACAGCGGCTGCATGCCTGCACGGTACCGCGCGTTGCGCGCGTAGCTCCCGACCATCCCGCCCTTCGCGCTGCTCCGCCCGGACCCCAGCGCAGACCCGCGCAACCAGTCCGGCTGCGCCGCGACGCTGTCCTGCGGGTCGCTCGCGCGGTGGTGGACGCCGTGCTCCTTGGAAGAGCGCCGTTCGCGCGAGCCGGACTGTTTCCGGAGGTGCTCGGCGCCCGGGGACGGCTGGATGCCTGGCAGCTGCCCCGGCATCGCGTTGTTCGCGCGCATGCGCGAGAGCAGGGAGCCCTGGCCCGCGGCGGGCAGCGGCGCCGGCGCCTGCGAGGGCGCGACGCCGGCGCGGTGCGCGGCGGCGGGGATCGCGGCCTGCTTCGCGGCGCCAAGCTCGGCCTCGTTCCGCGACCGCGCACCCGGCAGCGACGGCAGCGTCTCGCTCAGCACCCCCCCGCGGTGCGCGGCCGCCGCCCCCGGCTGCTGCGCCCCCGCGCGGCGGTCCTCCGCGTGCACCCCGGCCGCCGCGACCCCCGCGGGCGACGCGTACGTGTTCGGGCGCTCCGCGGGGCGCGTCGTCCCGGTCCCGTGCAGCGTCGGCGGCACCTTCATCCCCACGGCAAAGTAGGGGTGCTGCAGCGCCTGCACCGCGGTCGGCCGCCGCGCGGGGTCCCAGTGGCACATCTGCGTCATGAGGTCGATCGCCTCGGGCGACGCGGTCGTGATGAGCTTCCCGAGCGGCGTCGCGTTGAACTGCGGGAACCGGAAGTTCATGGCCTGCGCCAGCTTGATGCCCTCGGGCCACGTGGACTGCGTGGGCGTGCCGAGGACGGAGCAGATCTTGTAGATCTCGTCCGCCTCGCTCGACCCGGGGAACAGCGGCCGGAGCGAGTACAGCTCCGCCATGATGGCCCCCATGGCAAACATGTCGATGGGCGCGCTGTAGTAGGGCGACCGCAGGAGGACCTCGGGCGCGCGGTACCTGCGCGCGGACGGAGCGAGGCCGGCGTGGGCGCGGGGTGCGTCTGGGCGCCGCTGCGGGGCGCGGGGGCGGTGCGGGGGGGTGCGCACCAGCGCGTGGACACGTAGTCCGTGTAGGGCGGGCGGGAGCGGATCTCGCGCGCGAGGCCGAAGTCCGCGATCTTGACGCAGTCCTTGGTGAGCAGGAGGTTCTCCGGCTTCATGTCGCGGTGGAAGTAGCCCTGGCGGTGCATGTAGGCCAGGCCCTGCAGGATCTGGTACATCCAGTTGCGGACGCGCGACTCGCTGAACGGCCGGTCGCGGTCCTTCGTGACCTGGTACAGGTTGCAGTCGAGGTACTCGAACACGAAGAAGAGCTCGTCCGACTCCCGAATGACCTCCTTGAGCTTCACGATGCACGGGTGGTTGAGCTTGCGGAGCGACTTCACCTCCCGCAGGTTCATGCACTCCTGCGCGGGAGCGAACGGCGACGAACGGGGTCGGGGAGGCCGGGGGACGGCCGCGAGGGGCCCCGGTGCGGCCGCGACGCCGGGAGAGCACGCAGGGGCCCCGCCGAGGGCTCGGGCGGCCGCTGGCGTGGCTCGCGGGCCGCGGGGGGGCTCGCGGGTGGGGCTCCGTGGGGCTCCATGGCGCTCGCTGCCGCGATTGGCGCGGCCGGCGCGGATCGCGTCCGGCGCCGCGGCCACGTTGCAGCGGGGCGTGCGCTTCGCCGCGCGCCGGGCCGGCGTGCTGGGCGCAGGGGCCTCTCAGTGGGGCCGGAGCGGTGCCTGGTAGCAGAAGGCGCCCGTCGACGCTGCTTCCGCGGCCGCTCGGCGCCCGGCGCGCGCGCAGGGCCCGCTCGGGCCAAAAGCGTTGTTGCGCGCGCCGCGTTCCGGCAGCGGCGCGGGCTGCGCGCGCACCTGCCAGGAGTAGAACTTCCTCTTCATCTTCTTGATCGCGACGACCTCGGAGGTCTGCCGGTTGACCGCCTTCCACACCGACCCGTACGTCCCATCCCCCAGCTGTTTGATCACCTTGTACCTGCACACACGCGCTCCCCACGCGCCGCTCACGCACACCGAACACCACACGCGCGCACGCGAGCCGCCCGGCGGCCCCGCAGCGGCCCACGTCGCCCGCCGCGGGCCGACGGAATCGGCGCTGAGCATGCGGGGGCGCAGCGAGCGCTGCCCCGCCGGGGCGCGCTGCGGGTCCGTGAGCCGCCGCGAGCGCCAGAGGGGCACAGCAGGCCGCGTGGTCTCCCGGAGAGCGCCCTCGTCGGGCCAGGCAGCCCCCCAGCGCGGGGCGCGCCCCGCTGCACTGTCCCGCCCGCGACGCCATCGCGCGCGGCCCGCAGTGGGCGGTGGCAGCGCGGCCCCGAGGCGCCGCGCCGCCCGCGCCCGAGCGCCCGCAGCGGCGGCCGGCGCGCGCGGAGGGCGCGCGTGTGCGGCGGTGGGGCGGTCGCGTGCTGGCAGAGCGGCGCGCACCTGTTCATGCTCGGCTGCCCGGCCAGCCCGTCAGGAGGGCTGTGCCGCGGGCTGCGGGTGCGCTATGTGCAGCGGCGCGGCGAGGGGCAGCCGGAGTCGCCGTGGAGGGCCCGCGGGTCCGCAATCCGCGCGGGCGGGGGTGGTAGCGCTGGTGCGGGTGCGAGGGCCGTAGACGCGCCGTGGTTGCTGGTCTCGGTGGCTGGCGCGCGCGTGCTGGAAGTGTGGGGCGCGGTGGGGGCGCGCGGGGCATCGAGGGGGCGCGCGCGCGGCGGGGCGGGCGGGAAAGCGCGGGGCGCGTGGCCTGAGTGCGGTCGGTCCCGTGGGCGCTGGAGGGGGCTGGGGGGCGCCGTGGGGGCGCCGGGCGCGAGGGGGGCGCGCGGCGGGGGCGGTGGGCAGTTGCGTGCGTCGCGCCGTCGGAAAGACTGTGACCGAGCGGCGTAGCGTGCGTATTGTTGCTGGGGGCATAGTGGCGTTCCCGGGGCCTGCGCGTCGCGTTCGCCGGGAGGCGCGTGCGGCCTGACGGCTTCGTAGAAGTTGTCGGAGCGTGCGAGCGGGGCCGTCGGGGCTGCGGCGCAGGCACGAGGACACATTCGGGCCGTCGCAGGCGCGGGAACGGGTCCTTGGCTCAAGTGCGCTGAGTGAGGGACCCAGTCGGCCGTCACGTAGTGAACATGGACTCCGACGACGAGAGGACCGACCTCACCCACGGCACAGGTGCGGAGCGAAAGCACGAAGGCGCCCGGCTTGAACGCGCCAAGCGTTGCCGCGCGGACGGCAGCGTCCTCCCGGTTCTTCGGCAGCTTTTCCTTCCGTATCGCGGCGCAGCGGCCCGTGAATGCCGCCCGTGGGCTCCCGCACGGCACCGCCACGGCCCTGCATGGCAACTTGAGCACTGCCGGGTCGCGAGCACCCGCGGGCGCGTATCCTTCCGCGGCCGCGTCCATCATATCCACGTTTCTTCAACACGACCGTCGAGCAGCCGCGTCGCCCCGAGGACGAGCGCCGGGAGCCCCTTTTCCTCTCCCTGCGCGGGCCCCTCCCCCCGCTGCGGCCCCGGCGGTCGCCGCTGGGAGCCCTGGCCGCGACGCAGGACCCACGGCCCCCCGCAGGCGCCCGCCGTCCGCGCGCCACGCCCCCACGCGCCCGCCATACCGAACACGGCGGTGCTTCCCAAGCGCTGTGTTTGACGGCCACTCCCTCGCGGCCGGGCCCCGCCGCCGCGCCGCGCCGCCCCCCGCTGCCGGCGCCCCAGCCGCTGTTCACGCCCGCGCCGCGCCCGCATTCGCGGATCCCGCCCCGCGCGCGCCCTCCGCGCCCGTGCACCTCGCCCACCTGCACCCACACCTGCCCGCGTTGCCTCCCCCGGCAGCGCCGCCACAGGCCGCCCGCCTCGCCGCGCGCACCTCCCCCGCCGCCCACCGTGCCGCGCCGCGCCCGAGCCGCGGTTCTCCGGCTCCCCCCGCGTCGCCGCGCCGCCCGTCGTCATCCTGCGCATCTTCGCCGGCCGTTCGGCGCGCACCGCCCGCGGCGCCCGCCCGCGCCCCCCGCCCGCGCGAGCACACCTCCCGCCGTGCCTCCTTCCGCGCGCCGCCGCCCACCGCGCCCCCGCCCCGCGCCGCCGCCCCCGTGCAGGACTGCCGCAGCCATGGGAGCTGCTCGTGCGGCCCGCGGGGGCCGAGGAGCCGCAGGACGCGTCCTTCACGCTCGAAGATGAGCAGCTCACGGAGCAGGTGCGCGCCCGCGCCGCCCGCCCGGCGCGCCCGCACGCCGCGCCGGCCACCCTGCCCCCAGGCACCCACCCCGCCCGCGGGCCCCCGCCCCGCTCCGCGCAGATCGAGGCCCTGATGCCGAACATCCTCATCCTGGACTCGTCCACGTCGTCGATGCCCATCGTGTTCGCGTCCAAGGGCGTCGAGCAGCTAACGGGGTACACGTCGCTGGACCTGGTGGGCGAGCAGCTCTCGGTGCTGCGCGGCGCGAAGACGGAGCAGGCGGTCGCGAAGGAGCTCGACGACGGCATCGCGGCGCAGGAGGTGGTGGCCGTGGACATCACGCTCCACAAGAAGAACAAGCAGCAGTTCCGGTGCCTGACGGTGGCCGTGCCGGCGCTGCAGAGCGACGGCTCGCCGCTGCGGCTCATGGTCGTGCTGCAGGACGTGTCGGACAAGCGGCGCAACGAGACGGGCATCGAGCGCGTCCGCGAGATGTGCACCACGCTCATGAAGAGCTTCATGCTGGTCGACGCCGCCAGCCACGCGTGCCCCATCCAGAACGTGTCGGGCGGGTTCTCCGAGATGACGCAGTTCTCGAACAGCGACGTGCTCGGGCTGTCGTGCCTGTGCCCCGGCGGCCCGACCACGGACAAGGGCGCGATGGAGCAGCTGGTGACCAGCATGCGCAAGGGGCGGCCCACCAGCACGACGATGCTCTGCCACCGGCGCAACGGCGAGCCCTTCTGGGCGCTGGTGTTCTCCTTCCCGCACCAGCCGGCGTCGCGCGAGAAGCAGCTCATGGCGCCGCTGGGGGGGTCGCAGAAGATGCAGCTGGTGCTCATGGTGGAGGTGACGCAGACGAAGCAGCGCAAGGTGGGCAAGTACGTCCTCGGGCAGGTGCTCGGCAAGGGCGCGTTCGGCGTGGTCTGCGTCGGCCGCGACACGCAGGTGCGCCCCCCCACCGACCTCTTGCTGCCGCGCGACCTCTTTGTTGCCTGGCTTGCGCGTCGCCGCCGCCCCTCCCCCCCGGTCGTTTCCCGGCCCTGGGCAGGCGCGTCCGCTTCGCCGAGTGTCGCTCACGCACCGGCGCCGCCCGTGCGTTTGCGCAGACGTCGGACCTGGTGGCGATCAAGATGATCAACGGCTCGAACTTCAAGAGCATCCAGGAGATCGAGAACGTGCAGGACGAGATGCGCGTGCTGTCGAGCTTGAAGCACGAGAACATCGTGCAGCTGCTGGACGTGCAGTACGTGGGCAACTGCATCTACTTCATCATGGAGTATGCGTCGGGCGGCGCGCTGCACTCCTACATGTGGGCCAAGGAGGACCACAAGTGCACCGAGGAGGAGGCGCGCACGATGATCCGGCAGATGGTCGCCGCGCTGGACTACTGCCACCGCCGCCGCATCATCCACCGCGACCTCAAGCCCGAGAACATCCTGCTGGACGCCGACTGCAACGTCAAGGTGGCCGACTTCGGGCTCGCGGCCATCACGTCGCCCTTCTCGCAGAACCTCGGGCAGTCGGTGGGCACGCCGGAGTTCGCGGCGCCGGAGATCGTCAACGGGAAGGAGTACGACGGCCCGACGGTGGACATTTGGTCGCTGGGCGTGATCCTGTACGAGATGACGGTGGGGTCGCTGCCGTTCAAGGGCGGCAACATGCGCGAGCTGTTCAAGAAGATCTCCAAGGGCGAGTACGACCCGATGCCGTCGAAGCTGTCGAAGGAGCTGAAGGACCTGGTGGCCAAGATGCTGACGGTCGACTCGGCGAAGCGGGCGACGCTGCGGGAGATCAAGAAGCACCCGTGGGTGTGGCAGGCGGGCGATGAGGAGGAGGAGATCGCGCGGGGCATGGACGGCGTGGGCGTGGACGACGGCGGGCGGCAGGTGGGGCGCAGCTCCTCGCGCGTGTTCAGCGACGCGGTGCACTCGTCGCTCAACCTGGTGATCCCGACGGCGGAGGGGCCGACGCGGAAGCCGCGGCGAGACGACGACGACCTCGAGCGCGACGCGGACGGCAAGGGGCGGGCGGGCGCGGGCGCCGGGAAGGCGGGGGGCGCGCCGGGCGCCGACAGCAAGAAGAAGGGGCTGGTGGCGGGGCGGGGCGCCGAGCAGGCGGGCATCACGAGCGGGCCGGCGTCGACGAAGAAGACGGGGGTGCGGCCGTCGTCGGACGCCAAGACCCCCCCCAAGAAGACGGGGCTGTTGAACAAGTACGGGGCGGGGGAGTCCGGCGGGGGGGGGTCGACGAGCGCGAAGAAACCCGCGGCCAAGACGGCGCAACGGAAGCCGCTCGTGTAGCTCGCAGGAGACCTCGCGATGGTGTGACGCGCCGTCGTGTCTGTCGGTGTGACGCGCTGCAACAAAACCGAAAGGGGGTGAGTCGAGGGGTCGCTTGTGTGCTCAGCGCCGGGGGCAGCGGGGAGCGAGCACACGGTGCCGCGACGCATGCGGCCGTGGTTCGGCGTCAGGGTGGCTGGTGACTCGTTGAGCTTCTTGCGAACCTCTTCAGCACTGCGCTTCACTGCGGGTGTTCCTCGCATGGTGACCGGCGCGTGAACCATGGCAGCGACATGCGAAGGAACGTGTTGCGTCGGAGGCCTCGATGGTGGTTTCCAGGTTGCCCGCATGGCGCTCGAGGGGATGACCTCAGAAAGTCGTGTGATGGCAACATCCTGTTCTTCGCACAACGACGCCGTGCGGCTCCAGCAAAAGCGGTGACGTGCCCACACCATGAGCCGTACTATCAGGGCTCTGCCGCAGTCATTGCCCGCGGCAGGCAAGACGAGCTGCACTACAATCACAAGCTGTATGGGCAGAGCATGCGGCTGCGTTTGAGGCGAATGTGGACGCCGCAGCGCACGCCCCGCTGGCTCCCGGTCGCACAGCCTGCGAGAGGGCCGTGTGGGCGTCGTGACACCGCGGGTCTCGGGGCGTCTTTCTTCCGTCTGACTGTATCAGGCGGCCTGCGGTGTCAGGGCGAACCGCCGTCGGCTTCTTTGCGACGTTCCGCATGTATGGCACCCCAGCATGATCCCGACGCTGCCGGACCGCGCGGACTCGGAGTGACTGCCAAGCACGGCCTGCGCGAACCACCTGGAGCGTGAACTGTGCGCGTCGGGGCACCTCGTGGGGTTTCCGCCCTCGTGTCGCGAGGTTCAGAGTAGGAATTGTCGAGGCCGTCACAGGCGTTGCGCGGGAACCATGCTCGAGTCGTTGCGGAGAGGCTTGAGGGGGTCGCAGGCCCTGTCCGGCCTGCAGCGCGCCTTCGCGACGCGCACATCCATGACTGACTTCGCGACGACGTCGGGAGCACCCTCGGACGTCTACACGCGCAAGGTGAGGCGGCCACGCCCCACATTCGTGCACAGGGGGCACCTACTCCTCGCTCCAGGTCTCCAGCGCCCGCACGCCCACCCTCATCGCCCCCCTCGGCGAAACAATATCGTTCGAAGATGTGACCATGGTCCAGGGTCCAGACAAGCGGTTGCTCAACGCGGGCTCGCAGCAGCAGCGCGCCGGGGCCCGACGGTCCAGCCCGCAGCTCGGTTGGCCCCGCGCCCGGCTCATCCCGCCACCGCGCGCTCCGTCCCCCCGCAGGCGGTCATCTACACGCCAGCCAAGTCCGCCGGCCAGTCTGCGCTCGGCAACACCCACGAGGGCGTCCGCGCCACCTGGAGGCTCGACTTTGACACCCAGGCACGTCACACCCGACCCGCGCCCCCGCCACAGCACCCCGCCACCTCCACACCGCCCCGCAGCGCTGCACGTCCCCGTGAACGCAACGCCCCCGCCCCCCGCCCCGCACGCGCCAACCAATCATGCAACGCACCGTCGCAGGTTGCGTGGGAGAACCCGCTGATGGGCTGGACGTCGACGGCGGACCCGCTCGAGGGCGTGCGGACGGAGAACGGTCTGGCGTTCTACACGAAGGAGCAGGCGGTGCGGTTCTGCGAGAAGTACGGGTTCGCGTACGAGATCAAGGACCCGCGGCCGCGGTCGCACGTGCGCTCGCGGCGGTTCTGGGGGTACGGCGACAACTTCTCCGTCAAGCGGAAGGGCATCCCCGAGGGGGGCCTCCGGGAGAACCTCCCCAAGGGCGGCGGCGCTGCGACGAAGAAGTAGGGGGGTGTTCCGGACACCCCCACGTGCCCTGTGAGACTCGCTCGTCCGCCGTCACACTGAAGAATGTGACACCTCACCTCACCTCACTCCCTCACTCGCCCCCAAGCCCGCCACCGACCCTCGCAGGAATAGTCCCTCCCCCCCTTCCCCGTGTAGCACTATTCTCTCTTCCTTGTTGTTTTACCCATGTGTGGTGTCACGTCATCGCTGGTGTTGATACTGTCACGCGAGCACGTCCGCGCCTCGCCCGCGCCACGTGCGGCGCGTCACAGCGAGAAGAACGACGACGCCGGCGCGTGGTGCGACGGCGGCGGTGCGTTGCCGCCCATCTGGTTCAGAATGCCCCCGCGGGACCTCCCCTGCCGGCGGCCAGGCACGTCCGCACCGTACCTGCGACCTCGCACAGCGGCGGCCGGGCCGATCTTTCAAACACAGACGACATCACTAAAGCAAAAACAGCCATGTTAGTAAGATGCATTGTGAGGGTCGTACCTGTCGAACCTGACGGGCGGCGCCCCGTTCATCCCGGCGTCGATGTCGGCCAGGAAGTCCTGGTGCGGCAGCGCGCCCGCGGACGCCGGCGACCGCCGCTGCAGCGGGTACGGCGCCGCGCCCCCGCGCAGCCCTCCCAGCGCGCCCGCCGGCATGCGCGACACGCGCGCCACCTGCCCCGCGTACGGCGAGTCCCCGCGGCCCCGCTCCACCTGCGTCGCCGCCGCGTCGCTCAGCTGCGCCTGCAGCTGCGCCGCGCGCCGGCTCTGCGCGTTGTACTTCTCGCCCAGCTCCTGCAGCTCGCGCACCGCGTCGTCGCGCTCCTTCTTGTAGTGCTCCGCGCGACGCATGTGCGACTCCACGGACTGCCGCAGCTGCAGCAGCTTGCCCTTCGCGTCCGCGTGGAGCATCCTGCACCGCGACGCGTCGTGCGAAGCAACGATGGGGACGCGATCGCTCGCGACGTGGAGCACGGCGCACATCGTTGGGCGCGGTGCGGGGGGCGGGGCCGTGCTTGAGTTTGCTTTTGACGCGGTCGATTTCCCTGTCCGCGGAGAGCTTTTGTTGGTTCTGGTAAAAGTCGATGGCGTCCAGGGCCGCGGTGAGGACGCTCTCGGGCTCCTGGCCGAAGTACGACAGCCGCATCGCGGGCGAGTCCTGCATCGCTTGCGTGACCTGCGCGGAACCGACCAGCCCCGCGAACGTCACGCTACGCTACGCTGAGTGCTGCGGCCCCAGGCGCTCGCGCGAGGGGGTGCGGGCGCGATGGCGCGCGGCGCGCTCTGGGACGAGCGGCCCACAGTTCGCTGTGTATGTGGGGCGGAGCTCGCACCTTGACCGAGCCCTTCTCGAGCTCTGTTCCGCAGACCTTGCAGGACAGGGACTCCTGGAACGCGCGCTGGGCGCACGGGAGGCAGTAGCTGCGCGAGATGCGGAGGACGGGCGCTGCTTGAGGGAGGCTTGACAGAGGGACTCAGCTGCTCCCTCAGAACAAGGCGGCGAGGCGGCGGGGCGAGGCAGCAGTGGGGCATTTGAGATGCTGGCATTTGAGCGGGAGGCAGCGTGCGACGGAGCGAGCGCGGCAGGGAGCTCTGCGTCAGTCGGAAACATTTCAGCGGACTCGTGCAGGCAGCCGCGGCGTCTCTGAGCCCGGGACGGCGTCTCAGGCGCGCGTGCGGTTGCACGAAAGCAAGTTGCGGGACTCTACCAGTGTCCGCAGGCCGTGATAGCCAGTTTCCCGCCCGGTTCCACTTCGTGCCAGCAGTGGTTGCACTGGAACGGTTTGGTTGCGGACGACATGTCGAATCACGCGCGCGAGTGCGGTCCTGCTGGTTGAAAAAGCGTCGCGTCGGGACGGTGCGTGGGTGGCTCGAGAGGTCGAGCCCGCTGCGACGTCGAGCGCTCACGTCGCTGCGCTCGACGGGAAGTGCCGCGGCGAGGCGTCCCCGCGTCGCCGTGTGGCTCTGGTGGGGCTTCGTTCGCCTGTGTCAGGGCAAGAGGGCCCCGCAGCAGCGACGCGTGGTGCTCGCACTCAAACGCGCCGTCAGCTCACATCCAGGCCGTGCAGTCGAAGCTGCGGCGGCCGCAACGGCGCCCCCGTCCATGCATGAAGCGCGCGGCAAGGTGCAACGAATGACGAACCCTGAGGACGACATATGAAGCGGTGGCCATCCCGCTCTCGGTGCGCAAGCTGCGGAACGACCCGGGGAGCCGCAACGCTACTGCTTCGCGCGGCCGGCACGTGCGCAGCTAGGCCACGTCACCGCCGCCGCAAGATGCCCACATGCGGCCCTGTCCGCCATTCTCCGCCGAGTCCGAGCGCGCCGGTGGGAGGGATGCTTGAGACAGACAAGTGGAACGCATGGAATGCCGGTCGTCGGCGCGAGGGCCGTGACAGCGCGGGAAACGGCCGGGAAGAGGTCACATACCCGTCTGGTCGGGGACCTGGCGGAGGTGCTTCAAGGAACGGACGTGGGTCCGCGAGCGAGCATTCCAGTAGCTGTACATGCAGTGCCCTCCTGGCGCCGCGCAGTGCGTCGCAGGAGGTGCCAGGGGCAGGAGCTGGGCATGCCGGCCCTGTGGCGCGTCTGCTCCGCGAGCAGGGCGTTCTGCGGGGCCGGACGACGAGGCCCTGGCAGGCTTACTGCTTCGGCTTCTGCTGCTCCGCGAGCCGCATCTCCCTTTGGCTGTTGGAGGTCGTCAGGAGGTCGTACGCGCTCTTCACCTTCGGGCCTGGCCGGCGGTTGTCCGGCACCGGGTGGCACTGGTCCTCGCCCTCCCGCGACGCCTTGTTCGCAGCGCGGCGCCTGCACGACGGACCACGCGCGCAGCGCCTCTCTCAGCCCCCCCGCCCGCGCTCCGCCAGCCAGCTGTGTTCCCGCGCGCTGCCCGCGCACCCCGCTCACCTGAACCCGGCGCTGTAGTCCTTCCAGTACTGCTCCTCATCCTTCGACACCCCGGACGTCACCTGCTGCGGGTCCCCGCTCATCCTCGCGCCGCTCTCCCCCCGATGTGACTTCAGCCAGTGCTACAGGGAAGCACGCCGCGGCACACACGCAGTCGGCTCCTATCAGCCAGCCAGCGACCGAGTGCCGCGCCCGCGCGGACGCACGAGGCCCTGTGCGCCGCGGCGCCCGCGTCCGACCCCCCCGCGCCCCTGAGCTGGCACCGAGAGGACGATCCGGGGCGCCGTCGGACGAGGGGCGTCGGGGGGTCGCGGGGCGACGCGGAGCGCCCGGGGCGCGTGTGCGGGCGCGCTCACGTGCCGCGGGCACTGCGGAGACGCGCGACGACCGCGTGCGAGCCCGTGCCGTCGCGAACACGCTCTCGGGCTGCGCGTCCCACGATCAGAGAGCATCTCCGACGCAGGGGCCGCAGGCCGCGGAGTGGGAGGGGACTCGGGGCTGGGCGGCTCGGTGCTGAGCTGGGGGGTGTGTTCCAGGCGCTGTTGCGTCGGGAGGAGACGGGTCGTGCGCGCGGCTCCCTCTTGCGCCCTGTGTGGCTGCCTGAGAGAAGGATGTCTGGGCCGGGGGGAGTGAACGAGCGGTGAGGCCGGGTCGACCGGGCCGCATCCAGTAGACGTAGATCAGGAGGCGCGATGGAGACGGCTTTTCACGCGGGAGCGAGGCAGCGCTGGCCGTCTGCAGGGGCGCGTAGGGGGTTCGCCACGCCCGGCCGGCACGGGGCCAAGTGCAGCATTCTCACGTCCTCCACCGCCCGGGCGCTCTCCACGGGGCGCGTGCGGCGCCCGCAGCGGCCAGCTCAGGGCGCCTCGAGGGGCCCTGGGCCTGCCCTGCCGCAGCACGAGAGCCCTCCCCGCACACCGCATCACGACCCTCCGAGCCACGCTCGGTGGCAGGACTCGCATTCTCAAGATCAGTCACATTCATGGCAACATCAAAGCAGGGCATCACAGCCCGACAGGACACGTCAAGCGAAGATTGACAGCACAGGCAAGAGACGGCTCCCAGCGCCGCCAAACGCGCGCCCTCCGCCACCACGACGCCTTGCCAACCATCTCACTCCCCACAGACCTCAACGCGCCCCAAACCGTCACGTCGCACCCCCTTGCCAGCCCGTGTGCACCACGCGGGGGGGATCCTCCCTGCGTTCGCGGCCCTCACCGCCCCGCTCGCGCGCCGCCCGCCGCCCCGCAGGCCCCATCCACAGCCCAGCTCGCACGTCGACCGGCGCGCGGCCGTGGCAGGGAGGCGCCGGCGGCGCCACGTCGTACCGCGCCCCCCGCGACGCACCCGCCCACACCTCGACGTCGCGGGCACGGCGGTTCCCGGGCGCGCCCTCGCCGCCCGTCTGGGACGCGTACGCAAACGGGCAGCGCAACGCGCGCCGGACGAACCCAGCGGAGCTGCAGTACGTGCGCCAGGGCACGGGGGCAGCCCCGGGCAAGCTCGCGGCAGGCGCCAGCGCGGCGCTCCCGGCGACGGACGGCGGCGAGGAGGCCGTGATCGCGTACCTCATGGACGTCCTCGAAATGACGCGCAAGCAGGCCTGCCAGGCCGTGGAGGTGCGCCAACCCTCGCAACCAACCCAACACTCCCCCCCGTGCACACAACCACCGCTCACGGCCCGCACCGCCCGCCGGAGCCCTCCCGGCCGCGCGCACGTGCTCTGACCACGGCGAGATCGCCACCGTGCGCCGCAGCGAGCGTCCGGCGAGTACGAGAAGGAGTTTCCGGGCAAGTGGGGGTGGTCGGTGGACGAGGTGGTGCGCCCGACCGTCGAGGTGCTCCTGGGGACCGGCCTGACCGTCGACGACGCGCGGAAGGCCATCCGCGTGTGCCCGGACCTCCTCCGCCGCCGCTCCGACACCATCCGCGCCAAGCTCGACTGCCTGGCCTCCGTCGGGGCTCCCGACGTGGTCATCCGCCGCGCGATCACGAACTTCCCGGGGCTCCTGCGGCTGTCCGCGGCCGACAAGATCCTCCCGACGCTCGAGTGGCTCCGCCGCGACGTCGGGCTCTCGGACCGCCAGCTCCACGCCGTCCTCCGCCACTTCCCCCAGGTGTTTGGCTACTCCCGGGAGTCGCGCCTGTCCGGGAAGCTCGCGACGATCGTGCGGCTCGGACTGTCGCCGCAGGAGCTCCGGGACGTGCTCGGGCGGTTCCCCGCGGTGATGGGGCTGTCGGAGCAGCGCATTACTGCCACGTGGGGGCACATGCGCGCGTACGGGTTGTCGGAGGACGAAGTGCGCGCGCTCGTGCGGGGGTTTCCGTCGCTGCTCGGATACAAGGCCAGCACGCTCGACCTCAAGATCATCGCGCTGATCTGCCTGCTCCAGGTGCGCCGAGTGGCTGAAAACACCCCCGGTCCCCACATGCCGCAACTGACGCGAGATCGAGATCCCGACCCGCGAAGGATGCGTGTGCTGGATGTGCAGATGCCTCTGGAGGCGGCGGTTGCGTTCCCGACGTACTTCGGGTACTCGCTCGAGCAGCGCGTGGGTCCGCGTGCTGCGTTCATGCGGAGTGTGCTCGGGGACGCGAACGGCGTGCTGCCGCTGCGGGAGCTCGTCGGACACCACCTGGGCACGGAGCCCACGCCGGGCGCCGTGGCTGCGCTGCTGAAGCGCGCGTGCAGCGAGCGCCGGGCGCTCCCAGCGGCGGCAGCGACGACAGCAGAGGTGGCGACGGAGGGCGGGGCCGCGGGGACGCCGATCACGTCGACGACGTCCACGCTGCTCAAGGTGCGTGGCTCGTCGCGGCGCGGCTCGGCTTCGACTTGGCGAGTTCGCTGCCACTCATGTTTTCATGATTCAATGTTTCCCGAATGTGGCGGTGCAGAAATACAGCAGTGGGAAGCTTGGCGGGGATCCGGGGTGGCGACGGCGCAAGCGCGGGCTGCTAGGGTCGCAGGATGACGCGGGGTCCGGGTCGGAGGGGCCGGTGGGTCGGCGGGGCGCGCGAGGGCTGACGGGCAGCGTGGACGGCGACGCCAGCCAACAGGGGCCGCGGTCGGTGGACGAGCTGCGCGGGTCCGTGGTGCCGGAAGAGGTGCCGCAGACCGTCTCGCTGCTGGGGCCCGTGGAGGACGGTGACGCCTCACCGGCAGACCTGGAGGTACGAGTGTTTTCGCGCAGCAGCAATCAAGAACACACAGTCTTTGATTGCTCAGCATCCATACTTGTTTGCGGCGTCCCGCTCGCCTCCGCTCCGGCAAGCACGCCCCAACCGTGCGGCTCCTTCGCACGCCACATGAACGCGCAGGACTGGGAGGGCGGCGACCCGGTGCTGCGGCAGGCGTTCAAGGATGCCCGCGCGGCGCGGAGCGCCAGCGCCTCGCGGCCGGCCGGGCCGGTCACGGGATCTGGCGCCCCGCGGCGCCCCCCGCGCTCCGTCCCGCGTCCGTTCCGGCACTGGAAGTGGCTGGTGCTGACCGACGCGGCTTTCGTGGAGTGGCTCTCAGGGGAGGCGGGGCGGCACGCGACGGACGAGTCGGACCTGCTGCAGCAGAGCATCACGCAGCAGCAGTACAAGCTGTTCGCGGAGGAGTGGCGGCAGGCGAACTCGCAGTGGCTCAAGGAACTTGCGCAGGAGCTAGCTGCACAGAGCAAAGTGTGACGCAACACGCGCACGAACGGCCCCGTCCCGCAGCGCACATCTCGCGTCTCCAGCCGGGAACCTCTGTCACAGCCCACCCAGCCCATGCGCGAAGGCGCAGCGAACGTGCGCAGTCATGCATTGACCAAGCGCTCCTGCAACGGGCAGGAGGCGGCGTCGCGTCTGCAGAGGACGTGCGGCGCTGCAGTGCTGCCGTGCGGGACCCCGTCAGCGCGCCCGTCTGCCCTGACAGGTGCACTGCTCGCCACACATGCCCCCCCCGCGCGGCCCAGGCCAGCCCTCCCGCCACAGCACCCGCCAGCACGCCTCCCGCCGGAAGCCCTCTCCCGCGAGGCGCAGCTGCTCGCGCGCCACCGCGAGCTGCGCGGCCGCGGCGTCCGCGCGCGCCTGCAGCGCCTGCCGCCGCTCCGTCTCAGCCCTGTCCTGCCCGTCCACCACCTCCAGCTGCGCACGGAGGTAGTCCGCGTGGTCCTCGAGCAGCCGCACGTCGCGCGCGTACCTGCGCGCAGAACCACAAATGCAGCGAGATCGCTCTCTCACTCAACAACATTCACACAAGTTGCAAGTCGACGCCACTGCGGGCCCGGTGGTGCGCGACAACGACGGCGCATGGCACTGCTATGTGCCTCGAGATTGCGTGGCTCGGCCCCGGTGGCGGAAGCGACGCGTTGCGAGCTGCGCTGGTGGCGGGTGTGTGGGCGGCTCACCGCGCGACGAGGAGGTCGCCCTCGCTCTTCTTTTCGGCCGGATACGCCGACGCGATGGCCTGCGCGGCGCGGAAGTGCGCCGCGGCGTTCACCATGTCGCGTTCGATCTCCCGCAGGTGGCGGCGGTGCAGCGCTGCAGTGTTCCGCGCACTGCCCTGCTGCAGCTGCGCGTTCGCGGCGCTCGCGCCCGCAGACCGCGCCTCCTCGCGAAGCTGCGCGACCTGCTTGCGCAGAGCTACGCGTTTGGCGTGGAACTGCGCGGAGGGAGCGGGACTGTTGATGAGGGGGGAAGAGCGGCAGGTGATGCCGTGCGGCTCTACTTGGGCAGAACGTTGCGGCGAATTGCATGATTACTATGACAGGAGTGCAGCTGCGCGAGCTTCGGGGACGGGAGACCGCGACATCGCGCCTGGATGGACCCGTTGGCAGGTGGTTGCTACGCGCGGGCCTTGCTCACCCGGAGCGCTTCCTCCTCGTCCTTTCGCGTCCCGATGATTTTGATGCCGGCCCAGTCGCCGCGTGGCCGGAACGGCCGGTCAGCGACCGCCCCACCGGTGGCCATGATGCTGCCAGGGCGCACCTACCCTCCTCCCCGGCACCACGCCGACGTCCCAGCCGGAACCACCACTTCTGCCTGCGCAACCAGAACTCTGACTCTGTCTCTACACCTGGGTTGCCGTAATGTGTGATATCTCGGTCCGAGGCCTGAGGGCGGGCCCGCAGGTAACAACCACAGCGCGTGATCCGTCGTCGCAGACGCTCTCCGGGGCAGAAACCGAAGACTTCTCGTGGAACACCAGCCCCGCAAGGTCACTGATGGCCCTGCTCGTAGGCTGCATGCCCAGTTGTCACCGGAGCCGCCCCTGCACGCGCCACGCCACGTCCGTCCCAGCTGGCAGACGCGCCCAGCACCCCCGTGTTGCATCGGAGCCCCATCGCCGACACCCGCCCGCACGGTCTTCAGCGCGCACGCACACCGCAGCCGTTGACATAACTCCCCCCCTCCACGCACACAGCCATCCGGGCACAACTCGCAGTCACACCCACCAGCCATCGCCCCGCCTCTCACTTCCACGGCAGGTTCGATCCGTTGAGCGGCCGCGTGCCCGTCCAGCGCGGCAGCGTCCGCTCGCGTACCTCCCACCGGATGGACAGCGGCTCGTCGGCGGCCCAGTTGTCGGCGATCTGCTCCCGCTGGAACGGACTCGGCTGGACCATCTTCCGCCCCTCCCGGTACCCCGGCATCCCGCGCACCGGGTTCTCCCTCCTCGGCGCCGGAATGTACCGCCGGATGCGGATCTGCGACGCACGCGGGGCGCGCGAGCTCGTCAGCACACGTCGTGTCAGCTGCGGCGAGGGGCGGGCGTGGCGGCCGGGGGCGCACGTTTGGCTCGTCTTGGAGCGACGGATCCTGGTTGATGAGCCTCGGCACGGTCTCTCCGATCGCGTCGGACGGTTTGAGGCCCGGCGGCACGTAGTTGCCCGGGCGCCGGCTGGTGCCGCCCATCTCCTCGACCGCGAGCGCGTTGTTCGGCCGGCCGTCCCACCGCAGCGACGCCTCGAGCAGCGCCTTGCTCTCGCGCGCGAGGTCCGACGTCACGCGGCGCTTCCCTGCACCGCGAAGCAACGAAACCGCGGCGCCGATCGCAACACGCACACACGCACACCGCCATGCACGAAGACACCGGACAGCTGCGACGTCGCAGGTCGCATCTGTGTTGACTGGTTCTACGACGAGTACCAGGGCTCTCGGACAGCCACATGGTGCCGACGCCCCCCACCACCGGCCGCTATACACAAGTCTCCGGCGGTGGGGGGCGTCGGCACCGTGTGGCGCTCCGAGGGCCCAGGCACTCTCCACAGGGTCAGCGAGTCCGTCAACGTGCGCGCGCGTGTGCGCGGGGCCCGGCGCCGCACCGTCCGCGGGGGCGATCTTGCGGTGGCCGATCCACATGTCCGCCAGGGGGTCGCGCTCCTTGGGCGCCGGGCCGCCGAGCCGCGGTTCGTGCAGCGCGCTGAACCGCATCACCGGGAACAGGTCCTCGCGCCCCGACCGCTTCTCCTGCGCACGGCACGCGGCAAAGAACACAGGGCGTGTGTATGGGCGCGCGGGGCGGGCCGCGCGCGACCGGCGCGGCCGCGGCGTGCGCGGACGGCGGGAGCGCAGCTGGGCAGCGGGCTGGGTTTCTCGCGCACCGGTCCCGGGCAGTTCCGCCGCCCCTTGGCGGGGTCGGTGAGCATGTGACCGAGCCACGAGTCGTCCGCTGGCTTCCCCGGAGCGCGCTGGTTGACCACGTCGAAGAGGTCGCGGCGGCCCTTGGGGTCCCTGCGACCGATTCACGGGCCGAGCGCGCTCAGCCCGCCCCACCACGCAGAGAGACGAAACAAAACGCGACAGGCAGCAGCCGCAGCGCGTCCGGGGGGGCAGAGGTGCTCACTCGGGGGGCCTGGCGGCTAGTTTTCCCTGCGCTGGCTGCACCAGGGGGTGTCCGATCCACGAGTCAGGGTTGGCGGAGCACGGCAGCCCTCTCATGTCATGTGAGTGCCGCAGGGTGCCCGCCATCCGCGTGGAGTCCTGCGCGAGCGAGGGAAACAGGAAAGCGTGTTGTGCGTCCCGAGCGGCTCCAGTTGCCGGGGCTAGCGGGGCGGGGACGGCGGGGTGGGCTGCGTGAGGGGCGCGGTGACGCACCAGCGCCGCGGCTGCGCGCTCGCCGAGCTTCCTGTCGTAGTCCTTGCCCTTGTTCCAGGGCTCCGCGTACCCGCGGCCATGCCGTCCGTGCCTGTCGGCTTCGGTCTCGGGCCTGCGCGCCGGGAGTAACCACGGTGCGGGTCGGGCGGTGCCACCGACCGGTGCGGGCGGTCGCGGGGGCGCCAGTCGCGCGCAACGAGCACTAAGACACATAAACGTTCCGCTGAGACGAGACTCCGCCGCGGTCGGTCGCTGCCGGGGCGGCCAGCACGCCCACATGCTACCGCATGGCAACACATCCACGCCGCGCAGCGGTGCGGGGACAGATCGCAGATTTTCGCTCGCATCATCAATACTCGACGTCTTTGGAGCTGTGCTGCGCCTGCAGATCCTCGCTGCGGCCCCTCGCGCGCGCTGCAGGCCCGGGGCAGCCTGAGCGTTGCCGCGAGCGCCCGGCGCGCTCACCTGTCCCTGTTGTAGTCCGCGCCGATGCTATGCGAGTCCTTGTGGAACGGACCGCGCCCGAAGGGCGTCAGGTTCGTCCGCGGGTACCGCTGCGGGCCGGGCTGCTCGCGCACAGTCGAGAGCGACTGCGAGCCCCAGGTCGCACGGTAGCTGTTCAGCGTGTCCGCCCAGGACGCCGGCCCCCCCGCCTCCGACATCCTTCCGGCCGGGCGTCACGCCCGCAGGCAGCCCCGTCCCCGGACCGGGCGCCAGCCCGCCCTGCTGGGCCCGCGCAGCACTCGCTCGGCCGCCCGTGGTCGAGCGGCGACGCGGCTGAGATGGTCGTCCGTCGCGAACGAAGCCGCAGGGTGCGCCCGGGTCTCGTGTGCCGCGAACGCGGCGCTGCGGGGCGCCATCGCGCGGCGCTGCGGCGGTGGGGGGAGCGGGGCCTATTGACACGTGCAGGCATGCGTGACGGGCGGGTGGGCGGTCGCGGAGGGGCTTCTCGGGCCCACGCACGGCCGCTGGCGTCCACTGTACTCGCGCAACGAAAAAGGGCACGGAGACGTTGGAGCACCGCACGGACACTGTGAGCGCTGTGTTGCTGCTGCATCGACCGCTGGCGCTCTTCGTTCCCTGCGCGCAAGCAACGAAACTCAGGCCCGGCCGCTTCTCCGGTATCAGACTGTGTGCTGCGGCGCGGGTCTGAGCGACTTCACGCCCCCCGTGTCCTCGGGAGCGCGCTACTAGGGAGCCGGTCCGGACTGGCGTTTGCGGGAACCTCGGCGGTCGACGAAACCATGAGCGAGCAAATCTTCCCCTGGTGGGAAGTGCAGATGAACCCGGTGACGGGCGTCTGGCTCTTCGCGCGGTACACGCTGCTCATCAATCGCCAGCGGCTCACCCTCGACAAAATGATGGAAATCGACGTCGACGGGGAGCTGACGCGCGCCGACAAGAAGCGCATGAGCTTCCTCTACGAACAGGCGAGCAATAATGCACACTCCACCGCAGCGCACTGGCCGCACCGCGCCGCACCGCGCACGTGCACCTGAAACACCATACCGCGGCGGTCACGCCGCGCACGCTCTTCGACCCGATCAACCGCGGCGCGGCTGGGCCATCCATATCAGGACCACTCAGTCGGTCTCGTCGAACCGGCTTTTCCCGCACGGCGCTGCCCCGCTGCCCGCCGGCGAACCTCACCTACCAACTCCGCACGCGCGCCCCGCCCGCCCCCGCGCAGAGCTGCGGTCTCCGGCGGTCGTTCCACATCACCCAGATCTCCATCGTCCTGTTCCTGCTCGGCCTCGCCCTGCAGTACCTCTACTTTGCCGGTGCGCCCCATGATTCACTCCATCTGCAGTTGACACACATCATGCTCGCGCCCCCGACCCCACGCCCGAACTCACCGGCTCCCGCGCCCACACCGCACCCGTACACTCGCGCTCAACCTGCACGGCAACCGCGCAGTCGCCCACGCCCCGGCGAGCGGCGCCCGCACCGCCCGCGTCGTCGCGCACGGCGCCAGCACCGCGGCCCCCCACCCTCCGCGCGCCGCGGCCCCGCTCCCGCGCAGTCGTTGCGGTCACGGAGGACGAGGAGGCCGTGCGCGGCATGAACGTGGGGTCGCAGATTTTGGGGGGTCTGGCGATGTTGGGGGCGGCGATCGAGATGGGGGTGTCGCACATGCCGCTGAAGAACGAGGCGACGTTCCAGGACCGGTGGAACGACGAGGTGGACCACAAGCGGCACCCGGGCGCGGCGCTGGAGAAGGCGCGCAGCAAGGTGCGGCTGATGAAGGCCTCGGCGTCACAGGGCCACCTGTCCAACCACGGCAAGGTGGACGTCGGCATCCCCGGAAGCGGACTCGCCTACTGACGCAGCGAGCACATGCGAAATGAGGAACGGGTTACAAATACGCGTCGGGTCGAATTTTGCGTCGAAAACGAAGATGATGAACAACGAGCAGCTCTGATGGGGCGTGGGCCTGTCGCTGCGAGGGCGCCGCGCGTGCCCGTGGACGCGGTCGAGCACGTGCCCATCGTGGCGGCTCGCAGCGCCCGTGTGAGCCACCGCACGCTGTGTGGGGGAACTGGCGCTCACTTGCCCGGGAGGCCGTGCACAGCAAAGCTCGCGAGGCCCGCCGGGCGCAGCACGTCCTCCACGTCGCTCAGCGACGTCGCCTCGACGACGCAGAGGTCCCCGCGGGCACTGCTTCGACAGTCCCCCCCCACGCGCCCCTCGTGCTGCGATGCGCGACACCCGCAAGACCGCGCGTCGGCCTCGCACGCTGTCTAGCAGCACGGACGGCGCGATGCCAGCGACGCCCCTTCCCTCACGCGCCACTTGTTGCCACAAACAGATAAACAATGATATCTGCGCGCATGTGTTCGCACCAGTACGTCCATCATCCGTTCGCGGCACTTGCGCCCCTTCGAGTCCACGTCCACCGCCGTCGTCCGGTGCAGCGCCAGGTACCGCTTCAGCTCCGCCCCCCCGCCCACCAGCAGCAGCAGGATGCGCCGCCCGTGAAACACGAGACTCCCCCGCAACGACAGCTCCTTGCACCACCGCCGTATCTGCTGCACGTACCCTGCACGCACCGTCCCCAGCAACGCGAACGCATCGGCCGCCGCTCGTCCTGCGCGGCGCAACGCCAACTCTCCCCCTCGGGATGTCGGCCCGCACCTGCCCTGTCGCGCATGTGATCGATCCAGACCAGCAAACACCTCGTCGCGTCGCTCTCCTCGCCCCTCTGCGCCCCCGCGTCCCCGTCCCCGCGCCGTGCGTCCACGTGCGCGGCCAACTCCCCCCGCGCGACCTCACACACCCGAAACACCCCCGCAGAGGCCTCCGCCGCGCACTGCGCCGCCTCCTGCGCCGCCGCGTCCTGCAGCCGCGCCGCCGCGTCCCGGGGCAAGCTCGGCGCGGACACTGCGACCTCGAGCGCGCTGCCGTCGTCGGGGTAGCCCCGCGGGAGGCGCAGGTCGAGGCGGCACGAGGGCGAGGCGGCGTCGGTGCCGTCGGCGGCGGTCTGCGGCCGGAGCGTGAGGGAGACCTGCGGGCTGGGGAGGGCCCGGTTCGGTCGGCATCGCGATGCGTGGGTGGCGAGAAGCAAGGATGACGGGAACAAGCGGAGAGGGACTCTACCTGCAGAATGTCGCATTGGTTGGATATGTTTATCGCCTGGGTGGCGTCGCCGAGGCTGACCTGTTCAATGATGTCGCCTGTGATGCCGCAGGCGTGCTCCCGAACGTCCTGCGCGCGCGGGGAGGCGAGCCGGGGTGGGCGGTCCGCGCAGGTGCGTCGCGTGGCTCGCGTTGCGGCGCGCGGGCAGGTGCGGTTTCTCTTACGTTTGAAAACGCGTCTGCTCCGTATATCGAGTATATCGCGAGCAGCTCGTCCACCCGGCTGTCGCCCATCGCGCACGGGGTGCGCCCCTGCGTGCGCCACCACCGGCGCGCACGTGGCGGGCCGGAGTGGCAGCGCCGCCGAGCGAATTCGATCCGCGTGTGAGATGGATGCAGCACAGACTACGCGAGACTTGTAATTTCCGGGCCTGCGCTGCCCGTCGGTGAACGCCAGGGCTAGCTGGACGACGCACGCGCAGGCTTGCGGCCCACCACACGCGACGAGACGAGACGAGAAACGCGCGCGGCGTCGGAGCGGCCTGTCGCGCGCCTGCGCGCGGGCCCGCAATGGCCGCACCGGCGCTTCGGCCGACCTGGTCGGACCAGCGCAACATGACACCCCCGAGAGCGAGGGGGGTCTGACTTTTGAGGAACACCGACGAATGTCGCCCCCCGGGTTTGGCAGCGACGCACGTACGCCTGGCACGCCGCTCACTGATGCTGGCCGCGGCGTCACAGCTCCGCTCGGCGCCAACGCGCTCGTCACGGACAGCGGCGTCTGACCAGCGCCCCCAACTCCCCCTGCTCCTGCTTCCGGGCCCAAGGGCAGTGCGCGGGCGGGGGCGGGGGGGGGCAGGCCGTCGAGGGTGGGCGCCAGAGCGCCTGAAACAGCCACGGCCCGGTTGAACGGGCATGACTCCACGTGGAGTGGCAACGCGCACGTGGTGGGCACGTGGGGCGGAAGTGGGGTGCGCTGCGCGGGTGCGTGGGCGCAGAGAGCGGGCGGGGGGCGGTTGCGCTCCAGTGAGCGGCGGGCGTAGGTCCTAGAACACCCCCAACGGCGGGGGTGTGTTCCACATAAGGGGGGGTCACGGAAAGTACTGCGCGTGCAACGCGTACAGCGGGGCGCGTGGGGAGAGGACGGTCTTTGTGGGGATGGATCTTGCGGTCCACGCGGGTGGAGCAGTCGTCGGGGGCAGGGAGGGAAGCGGGGGGGGGTGGTTTGGGGGGGAGGTTGTCGAGACTTGGCATCAGCTGCTGTTGCGTGAACGTGCGCGGTGCAAATCACCGTCGAGGGAGCCGGTAGTGGGCGTGGGCACCAGTGTTGTGCCCGTCGCGTCGCCAGCGCTGCTGCGGCGCCCTCCCGAGTGCTGGTGGGGCCCGTCCTGGGGGGTGGCGGTAGCGAGCAAGAAATTGAACACAGTTCGAGTCGCCGCGGCATAGGGCGCAGGTCCTGCCGGGCCGCGCGCCGCACGTGCGATGTCAGTGCGCCTGCGCGGGGTGCGTCGTTGCGCACTGCAGCGCGGCGCAGAGCTGGCCGCGCAGGGCGCGCAGTGCCGTCGCGGGCGAGTCTTGCGCGGCGGCCCGGAGCCCGCTCGGCGCGAGGGAGCTACGGCTGCAGCTCCCCGGTGTCAGCAGAGGTGGCGGTGTCGAGGGCGCCCAGCGGCGCCGGGTGCGACGTGTGCGCGAAGAGCGTGCTGCTCCGCATGCCCTCGAGCTCCGTCCGGGGCAGCTCGGACACCGCGTGCCCGTCCGTGCGGCGTTTCGGGGCCCTGCGCCCTCCCGTGGAGCTGCACCACCCCCCCGCGGCGCCGCTGCTGCGCCTGGCAGGCGGCCGCTCGCCCTTCAGCGCCTTCGGTACGCCTGCGGGGCTCGCAGCGGGGCGCGCCGGGGCCGTGAGCGACGCGCATCGGCAACAACGAAAACAACAAGGTCACCGCCGCGCAGCATCCGCCACGGCACGCGGCGGGGCGAGGGGCGGGGGTTTCGCGCACCGCTGTCGGTCTTGACGTTGGGGCTCATGTCGCCGCACGTCACGCGGGACTGCCGGCTCGCGCGCCGCTCCTTGAACAGGGAGATGCGCACCCCGCTGCGACGCGGCGCGAACGCCCCGCGGTTCCCGCACACCGGCACCTTGCCCCCTCTGTCGCCCTCCAACCCCTCGTTCACGTCGCTCAGAATGAACCTGCGCCGCACGGGCACGACGGCGCCGCGCAGGTCGTCGTGCACTCCACCGCGGCAGTTGCGTGCAGCAGGGACGAATAGGGGAGGGCGCGCGGGGCGCGGCGCGACACGCCGGGCTGCCGGCAAGCTGCTGCGGCGCAGGCACGCCGCGGAGCCGCTCACCTCGCGTCGTACGCGACGCCCTGCGCCTGCTCCCCGGGAGCTGGAGGCGGGTGGCCATCGTCGGCGCGCCACGTCTCCCGCGAGTCGAGGCTGGCGTGCGCGTGCGTGCCCGAGCGGTCCGGCTCGGGGGCTCTGGTGCGGTGCGCGCATGCCTGCGACGGGCGGGGGGGGCGCGGGCGGTGACGGCACGCCCGGACGTGCCGTGGCGGTTGGTGCAGGCACCTGTGGCCGCTGGGGCGCGAGGAGCGGGCGTGAACACTTCGGACGTCTTTGCGTGCATGAAAGTAGTTCGGAGAGGTCGTTGCGGGCAGGAAGAGAGCAACATGTTCCCAGTCGTGGACGCAGGGGCCGTGGAAGGCAGGCCGCACCTGGCCGAGCTCCGTGCCGCGCGGCACAGACGAGCAGGACCCCATGGCGGGCGGCTGGCGTGTTGACGGGATGGAGTGAGCCCGCGGCGGCGGGCCGGGCGGGCTTGGGACCCGCGAGCGAGCCGCGTGGCAGGAAAAAGGGTCTGCCACGTCAACTGGTAGAACGGCCCGTGAACGTCCGTGCGTCGCGCTGTCTCCGACGCAGAACCTTTTTCGCGGTCCAGATGTGCCGGAGCGGCGCGCATGTGCCGCGTGTCGTCGCACTTCGACGACCCGCGCGAGGCCCACAGGGAGACACAACAGAAGCCCCCGGCGCCGAGCACGCGTGCTCCGAACGGGCTCAATTCGACAATAAACAGGTCTTGGTGTTGTGTCGATCATGGTCGACCCCCGCGAACGCGCGTTCGGGAGCGCGCGCGGCTCGGACGACGCGATACCTGACCTGGCGGTGACCTCCAGGAGCACCCCCCGCAGGGCGTCTCAGGGCTCATTGGGGGGCCACGCGTCCCGCACCCCGACACTTCTGACATCGAAGACTCCGGAGAAAGTCCAAACACGTTGACAACACGCTCTCACCATGACCGGTACGCGCCCCGACCCGAGCTGCAGCGTCACATGCCCAGCACCTGCGTGCGTGCCTCGCTTCCGGCGCGCCACGGCCCTGTTCAGCCGTCCTCTCGCTCTTCATATGCTACAGGCACTGACAAGCACGCTACTCAGCAGCAGGACGCGACGTGGACCACCCAGGTGCGTGCTGCCTGTACATGATCAACCACCACCCCCGCGGCCCCGAAATGCGCCGCGAAGTGCACACAACTCGCTGCGCTGCGCGCTCATATCACTACGAACACGCCGTCTGCGCATCGCGCGCGCCTCGGCGCCGCCCCCGGGCCTCGCTTCGCGCGGCGTGCAGCACGCCATGACGACGCGCAACGGCCCGGCGCGCCTCGCTCCGTCGCGCAGGTCCACGACGCGCTCGCGTCGATCGAGAAGGCGTTCCAGGCCTCGAAGGAGCGCGCCGAGGCCGTCGTCGAGGAGCTCCAGGGCGCGGCGACCTCGGCGACGGGCGCGACGCGCGACGTGGTGGAGGGGCAGCTCGCGCGGGCGCGGGCGAAGCTCGAGGAGCTGCGCGCGGCGGAGCAGGACGCGCAGGAGTCGGTGAAGCACTCGGCGACGGAGCACTCCGAGGAGGCCGCGTCGAAGCTCGCGGACCTGACGCAGGCCGCGCAGCGCAGGGCGGGGGACCTCGCGCGCGCGGTGGGCGGTCCGAGCGACGAGGAGCGGCGCGCGGAGGAGGAGGCCAGCAAGACGATGGCGGACAGGGCGCGCGAGACGGTGTCGGGCGCCGTGGACGCCGCGGCGGGCAAGCTGGGCGCCGTGCGGCGGACGGTGGTGGGCCCGACGGAGGCGGAGCGGCGCGCGGAGGAGGAGGCGAGCAAGACGCTGGCCGACAAGGCGCAGGACAAGGTCCAGGAGGCGGCCGACGCCGCGCAGACCAAGGCGGGGGAGGTCGCGGACGCCGCGGCCGCGTACCGCGACGACGCCGCCGAGAAGGCCGCCGCGCTCAAGGGCGACGCGGTCGACAAGGCCGGCGAGGTCCGCCGCGCCGTCGTGGGCCCGACCGACGAGGAGAAGCGCGCCGAGGAGGAGGCGAGCAAGACGATGGCCGACGTCGTGCAGGACAAGGTCGCCGGGTACAAGGAGAGCGTCGCGGACGGCGCGGCGGACGTGCGGCGCGCCGTCGTGGGCCCGACCGCGGCGGAGCGGCGCGCGGAGGAGGAGGCGCAGAAGGGCGTCGCGCAGAAGATGGCCGAGCGCGCGCAGGGGCTGCTCGGCGGGGAGCGCGAGTAGGCGCGGCCGAGGCGGGCGCGGCGCGGACGGCGCGGGCGGCGCGCGGACGCCGTGTGAGCAGTGCATGACGTGCGTGATGGAAGTATGCGCAGTATGTGCAGTGTTGTTGTGCGGCGACGACCTCTGGCGGCTCGCCCTGACGCGGCAAACCGCTCACGAAGGTCGACTGTCGTGCGTGAATTATCAAGCACGGGGCGCAGTGATCGCTCGGCACCGCGAAACCAGCGAGCTCCGCTGTGCTAAAGTCCCGCTGCTCACCTGGCGTCCTGTCGGGGCCGCGTTGCGCCGCAGATGGTCTTCCTCGGCAGGTCTCGTCCACTGAGAACGAGATTTTTCCCGAACGCACAGATGTGCCTTGCTTAGAGCCCGCGCGGCTTCGGTCGGGCCGGGCTAGAGGCCCCACACACATCGCTGGTGCCGGGCGTCGTCGGTGCGCGCGGGCACGGCGCTCGGCACTTCTCCAAAGCCCGTCCCCTGAGACGCCATTCTCGAAGCCTGGAACACGTTCCCCACGAAAGGTGCGCGCCGGTACCGCGGCGACTTCATCGAGGAACACCTCGAGCTCTGCGCGATTTTCCGGGCCGCCGCCGTCGCTCGCTCCGCCTGAGGTGGATTGAAGAATTTTGTGCTGCGACCTCGCGGGCCGACAAGGGCACTTTGTGCCGTTTTGGGAGCGTTGTGCTGCCTCGTTTTCTGCGGAGAGGGTTTTGCCGCGAGGCACGCTTGACCCTGCTCCACCTCCCGCGATGCGATCTCTGCATGTCGGAACACCGTCGCTCCCCTCCATGCGGCGGTCCAGGCCGCCCTCCAGCCGTCGTCCCGCTGCCCGGCCCATGATATCTCAACTGCTGCGCAGCGATGCCGCGCAAGTCCCGCCCGACACCCGCGACGGACAGGCTCGCCGTGAGGCTCGGCACCCCCCCCAGGCTTGCGAGGACGGGGCTCGGCGCGCGTGCCGCCATGACGCCTGGGGAGCGCTTGGACCTCGAACTGCTGCTGCCACGCTGCGTGCGGATCCACCGTCAGCTTCAGACCGGACGGCGACGCCCAGTTCGGCAAGGGGGCGTGTTCATGGTTATGAACCGGAGTCTTCCCGCACGTGGGGTCGACGAAGCACACACCTCGGACCTCGTGTCACGATGTGTGTGCTTCGTCGACCGCACTTGCGGGAAGCCGCCGGGGTATAACCATAAACACGCCCCCTTGCCGAACTGGGCGGCGCCGTCGGGGCTCGAGCTGACGGTGGATCAGCACGCTGCGTGTGGCAGCAGTTCAACTGCCACAACCCTGTATGCCCTGCCCACCAGTACCCGTACGACAAGAAAGGCCTCGCCTACGTCAACTTCTACTGGGACCGAGCCACCAAGGAGCGCGCCGCGCATCTCGCGGACGGTCATCGCCGCTGCATCGTCGACAGAGGCTCAGGAGGGCCAGCGGACGCGGCAGCGGCAGCGGCGTCCGCCTTGGCCTGCTTCCTGCGCTGGCATGCGTGCAGTTTGGCCTGCGGGCAAGGAGACCGCCTGAACTCGTCCTCCGGCTTCTCCACGCCGGGTGCCACCGTACTGGGTGGCCAACGGCGTGGAGAAGCCGGAGGACGAGTTCAGGCGGTCTCCTTGCCCGCAGGCCAAACTGCATGCCAGCGCAGGAAGCAGGCCAAGGCGGACGCCGCTGCCGCTGCGGCGTCCGCTGGCCCTCCTGAGCCTCTGTCGACGGCCCCAGCGGCGGTGTGGCTCCTTCCCCCGACGCCGGCCCGGGCGCGCGCGTGTGAGCGTGTGGCGGCCAGTGCGAGCGTGTGAGAGAGGACGGGGTCAGGAGCGACGAGTCACAGTCCAGCTCGGTGCTGTTGTGTTGCTGTTGCTGTCTTGCGGCATGGCACGTGGGCGGTGCGCGCGGTCACGGCCATCCGTCGAGCGCACGCTAGTGCGGCGCCAGTGCGACGTCCTAGGCACGCAGAGGGGCTGGCAGCGGTGCGCGTCGCGTGCCGAAGCGCAGGAGGAGCATCCGGCGCACGTCGCGGGAACGCAGCACGCGAGTGGACGGCCCTCGCGGTCCGCCCCGCCGGGCAGGCGGCGAGACCGACGCGACGTGGGCGTGGCAAACCTGCTCCCGTCGCTCCCCGCGGCCGCCCCGGAACGGGCTGCGCGGCGCCGCACCAACGCGCCGGCGATGCGGGCCCCTCTCCTCCGCACGCACCTGGCGTCCGTCGCGGGCGCTGCTCGGCGAAATCTTGCACGAGGAGGATCCGGCGCGCCATCGCAACGCTCAGCGCGAGCGCGGGCAAGCATCGAGGGCACAGAAGCCAGTGGGTCTGCGCGCGCAGAGGGGCAGCCGGGGCCACACAACGAACGAACGGTGACAGCAGCACACGCGGGCAGCGCGTGGGCGTGCATGACGGCCGTCCCGTGCGCGGAACTCCCGTCAAGAGCGACCTCCACTAGCCCGCATGCCCCTCACTCGAACTGGTGAGAGAGCTGGGGCCCTTGCGCGTCGGCGCTCGCGCGGCACGGGCTGTTCAGCTACGTCCACGTGGCTTCTCGGCGAGGTGATTCAGGACCCACGCCGCGGGCCGCATGTGCGGTCACGCATGGTCGAGTGCTGCGCTGGCCCTGCGGCACAGAGCCCACGTCCATAGCACGGGTCGCGGGGCTGGATATTGATGGGGTGTGTCGTTGCGTCGCAGCGCGGCATGCCCACGTGCGCGCCAGCGTCCCCGAATGCGCACGCACGGCGTGCTGGGAGACTCCTGCGCACCGAGTCGGTCTGCCGGGCCCCCGCGAGCTCATGAATGGCGCGACGGCGCGGCTCGCAGGGCCCTCTATCACCTGGTTCACGCAGGCGGCACGTCGGGCTCTGTCCCCGAGGTTCTTTCTTCCCGGGGGACTGACGGAATGGGCATTGCATTGCCTGGTTAGTTTCCCGGTCGTCTTTGTCCCTGGAGGTTCGTTCCTCGCGGGGTCACGAGGTCGAGCGGGCGGCGCGGAGCGGCGCAGCGCAGAGGCGGGTGCTTGGCTGGCGAACTTGGAGGCGCCCACCACCATCATCACCACGCTCTCGGCGCCGCTACAAGGACGCGTTCGCGCTCTCGTCGCGACAGCTTTGTGCGCAGACTTGCGGAGACGCCGTCGGACGTGAAAATCGCGCAAAGGAACGCGCGCAACGGCCGTTGCGGGGCCAAAAGCGTCTGGGGCACTCCAGGGCGCTGGCAACGTCCCCGCCCGGCGCGCGACAGCCCTGTACGGGCAAAACAACGGTCCCTACGTCCGCCGAGACTCGAACTCGAATCTCCGACTTGGAAGGTCGGTGTTATACCCTTTAACTACGGACGCTCCCCTGTAGCCATGAGCAACAGGATGAGTGGTCAACGTCGAATTTCGTGCATCCCGAAGCAGTCCCACGTGGACGATGCACGTCGCGTACTACGAACCGTTTTAACGTTTCATGGCACCAAAGAAGCAATTGACCACCCGCGCAAGAAACGAACGGCGGCTGTGTTGTGGCACCACGTCTCGCGACAGCGGTCCCGGACGTCCGGCGCCGCTCGCGTCCACAGCTCGCTCCTCGCGCCTTCGCGGCGCCGGTGAACACGTCTCCCTCGACGCGGGCATGGCACTGCTCTCTCCCCAGCCCACCGCGGCGACCCTGCGCCTCGTGGCCGCGGGCCCCCACGCGAAGCGCCCCAACCCGCTCCACGCGACGCCGTGGTACGCAAACGTCCTTAGGTCCGGTGAAAACGTCTCGCGGCGCCCGGAACGCCCGCGTACGCAGCGTCACACACATATGTGTCAAAAAGTCCCTGCTTTTTCACGAAAGACTTTTTCACGCGCAGGGACCGCGGAAGACGCGGGCGCGGCAGCGGTGCTCCGCCCGCCGCGCCCTGCTTCGCCGGAGGTAACGGAGCCGGGGAGCGACGGCGGGGGTGCGCGCGGACACACGCACGTGCTTCAACCAGCAAAGCACAGGCGCTCATCGGCGACCTGCAGCAGCGCGCACCAACCCCGGCGCAGGCGCAAGGTTCGGGGCGAGCTCAGCGGACGTACCGGCCGCCCTCATTCCCCCCCCCCAGGGAACCCCCCCCTTGCGGCGCCGCACCGGCCGGCCTAGCTCGACGCGCCACTTCCAGCGCACCCTCCCCGGTGCCGCGGTCAGCACCTAAGACTCGCGTACGCGCACCCCGCACCTGGTTCGCTGATGACCTCCCCGCCCCCCGCGTCCATCGATCGCGCGCGACGAGCCCCTCCTGGCGATTGAGGGAGAGGGACTGCGGGGCTGGAGCCGGCCCGCCGCCCGAATGGACGGTCCCGGACGCCTTCCCATCACGGAGGTGATACTACACGACGTCACTCCTGCGCACGATGACAACGCGACGGCGCCGGAGGAAGGCCGGTGCCGCGCGGGACAGCTCCAACAGCCACAGGCACCTCGCGCACTGGTCGCCATGCGCGGGCGACGCCTGGGTCACGCGTCGCGCAGCAGGCTGCCCCCTGCCACCGCGCGTGGACCCACGTGAGGCCGGCTGGCGTGGACCACGCGAGCCACACTCCCCAGGCGGTCACTGGCCAGTGACCCCCCCGGAGTGCGCTCGCTGTCAGAAGGGCCGGCCAAACCCCGCCCAGGGCTCCGCGGCGCGCGCACGCCCGGTCGCTGCGGCGACCAGGCTGTCAGTAAGTGCCAGCCCCTGCAACACGCGCAAGCTTGCACGTAAAGTAGTAATTGATCACCCGCGCACGAAACGAAATGCGGGTGTGCTATCGTCCTGATCAAGGCAGCAGCGTGCTAGGAGTACTCGCGCGAAATGCCATGTGAGCATGTCATCGCAAGCTTGCACGACGCCCGTTTCCCCGCAGCGGCCCACCCGCGCCCACGCCGCGCCCTGTCGAGTCACACGCGCGCGTGCGGCCGCCCTCAGCGCCGCCGGCCCGTCCGGCGCCCCGCGTGGTCCTGCGCGGCGTCCACGGCGTCCACGTCCACCACCGCGCCGCCCGCGTCCCCCGCCGGCGGCGGCAGGCTCTGCGGCGCCATGGGGTACCCCTGCGTGGGCGGCGGCGCGCGCAGCCCGCCGTCCGCGAGCCCGATGGACCCCTTCTCCGTCGAGAAGAGCTGCTGCCGCAGCACGCCGTGCAGCTCGTCGAAGAGCCGCCGCTTGACGCTGTCGAAGGCCATCTCGAGCTTCTCGAGCTCCTCGGTGGCGTTCTGGTTGTACATGAAGAGGCCGTAGTACAGGTCGAACGAGTCGTTCTTGGTGTTGTTCACCAGCGACAGGAGGCTCTCGAACCCGCGCGTGTTGATGTCCGTCGGCGCCAGCTCCATCTGCCCGAGCATGCGCCCGACGGTGTGCGTGATGAACTGCGACGACGCCGCCTGCCGGTCGTGCTCCTCGCACGTCATCTCCACCATCCGGCACCCCTCGCCCTCCCAGAACTGCAGGAACGCGTCGCACCGCTCCTTCCGCCGCCGGTCGGGCCCCACGCGCACGCGCTCGTACATGAACGTGAGCCCCTGCCACGAGTCGCGCCCCGAGTCCGGGCCGAACATGGGGTGCGTGCACAGCAGGTCGAAGTGCCGCGGGAGCGCGTGGAGGAAGAGCTGCTTCGGGAACTCCTTCACGGACAGCACGTCCACCACGAGGGTGCTGCGCCGCAGGCGCGCCCACGGGAGCGACTCGACGACCGCCTTGGTGCTGATGATCGACGAGCACAGGATGACCACGTCCGGGTGCTCCTCGCAGAAGTCGTCCGGGTCTGCGGGCGGGCGCGCGGGGAGGGGCGGCGGTGGGCGGCGCCACCGGACCGCGCCGCGGGCGCGCGCTGCGGCCTGCAGCGAGAGAGCAACCGTCGTCGGGCGGGGACGCGGCGGGGGGTCTTCGGGCGCACCGCCGAAGAAGGACGCGCCGATCTGCGTCGCCGCGTCGGTGTAGTCTCCGCGCGAGGTGGCGATGACGCGGTGTCCGTGCGTGATGAGGCGCTTCGCGATGAACTGGCCGAAGTTGCCGAACCCGACGATGCCCACCTTGAGCTGCTTCTCCTTCCACATCCGCTCCTTCATCTTGGACTCGTAGTCGAACGGCATCGCGGCGTCGAGCGCCTCCACGCGCAGCCGCGCGCACCCGCCCGACCGGCGCTGCCCCGCGGCGGACCGGCGCGGACCGGCGCGACCTGCGGGGGCAGCGAGGCGTGGCGGGTGCGGTGAGGGCGGGGACGGCGGCGCCGGGGCCGCGGCTGCGCGTCGGACGCAGCAGCAACGACGACGTGCAGCGAGCACGTGGGCGAGAGGGATGTGGGCCGCCGGCGCGCGGGGCTGCCGCGTCTGTGAGCAGACGCGAGCAGCGTGCGCTGGACCCTCGCATCGAAGCGCGCGTCCGACGCACTGCTGGACGAGCGCCCAGGAGGAGGCGCGCCAGAGACCCCGCCGCACGCCCTCACAGCGCGCGCGGACGCTGCGTTCCGGCGGCGCGGCACGCGTACACGTCCGACGCGACACCGCGCGCCTCGATCCCGCGCCGAACGCGCGCCAGGGCGCGCGGGCGCGGCCGCCCACCCAGGCACCCCTGCTGACCGCAACCGCGCGTGGCCGGCAGCCGGCGCACGGGGGCGTCCGCGACGGTTCCGGCGCCGTCTTGAGCGAGAGCGGCGGGAACCGTCGCGCGGGGTGCGGAGGGGGCGGGTTATGCGCTCACCTCGCGGGAGAGGACATCCCGACACCGCAGCCATGCCGGTCCTGAGCGAGCGACGCGCGGGGAGGCCCCTGCACGCCGCCGCGGCGCTGTTCATCGCGCTGTCCACGCGCTGCCGTCCCCCTGCAGCCAACCCTGCCGTGCGTGGCGCCCCGTGGCAACCAGACAAGCAGGCAAGCAATCAGCCGCTCGCGTCCCCCTGCGCGTCACACCGCAGACCGCCCAGGTGCTCCCAAACGCCAGGGCCAAAACGTGGCACGCGGCCGCACGCCGCGCACCCGACAAGCCGCCGCGCGACGCCACTCGCGCTGTCAGGTGGAACACCCCCCCCCGCGACCCCCCCCGCCGGGCGCGACAGCGACCGCCACCTCCCTCGCCCCCGTGCGCCTCGTCCGCGACGCGAAGGGGCGCGCCGGCGTGGTGTCACACACACACGTGGTGCGTTCAGTGCGTGTCTTCACACGTCCGTGCGGCCGGTCGCCGGCAGGCGTCCCCTCTGAATCACCTCCGCGTCCCATCACGCGCCTCCCCATTCCTCGCTCTTCGCGAGGAAGGCACGCGCCGCCGCTCGCCCAGCCGCCCCACGACCCCCCCGTCCAACCCCGCACACCCCCCGCCCGCCCGCCGCGCATGCACGCCGCGCCCCGCCTCACGCCAGCGGCACGACCTTCTCCCACGTGAACTCGGGCTCGTCGCGCCCGAAGTGCCCGTACGCGGCGCTCTTCTTGTACCGCGGCTTGAGCAGGTCGAGGGCCTTGGCCATCATGCCCGGGCGGAAGTCGAACGCCTTCTTCACCATCGCGAGGATCTCCTGGTCCGTCTTCCCCTGCGCGGTGCCGTACGTGTCGACGTGCACCGACAGCGGCTCCGCCACGCCGATGGCGTACGACACCTGGACGAGGCAGCGGCGCGCGAGCTTGGCCGCGACGACCGACTTGGCCGCCTGGCGCGCGATGTACGCGCCGGAGCGGTCGACCTTGGTGGGGTCCTTGCCCGAGAAGGCGCCGCCGCCGTGCGCGCCCCACCCGCCGTAGGTGTCGATGATGATCTTGCGGCCGGTGAGGCCGGCGTCGCCGTGCGGGCCGCCGATGACGAACCGCCCGGACGGGTTGATGTGGTAGATCGTCTTGTCGTCGCGGTACTTCTCCGGCACGACCGGCTTGATCACGTGCTCCATGATGTCGGCGCGGATCTTGTCGTTGCTCACGTCCTCGTCGTGCTGCGTCGAGATGAGCACCGTGTGCACGCGCAGCGGCACGCACACGCCGCCCTCCTTCTTGTACTCCACCGTCACCTGCGTCTTCCCGTCCGGCCGCAGCCACGGGCACGTCCCGTTCTTGCGCACCTCCGTCAGCTTGTACCCGAGCCGCGTCGCCAGCACGTGCGTCAGCGGCATCAGCTCCGGCGTCTCGTCCGTCGCGTAGCCGAACATGTGGCCCTGGTCGCCCGCGCCGATCTCCTCCGCCGTCTTCGTGCCCATCCCGTGCACGCCCTGCCCAATGTCAGGCGACTGCTCCTCGATGTGCACCAGCACCTTGCACTTGTCGCAGTCCAGACCCACCTGCGCACGAAAGACGCGCCGCGCGCCCCGTGAGCCGCCGCGCGGGCGCGCCGTCGCCGCTGCGTGCGTGTGTGCGCGTGCGCGCGGGGGGGGCGTGGGCGCACCTCGGCGGACGTGAACCCGATCTCGCGGCAGGTGTCGCGCACGACCTTCTCGTAGTCGACCTTGGCCTGCGTGGTGATCTCGCCGAACACCATCACCATGCCCGTCTTGGTCGCCGTCTCGCACGCCACCTTGGAGAGCGGGTCCTGGGCGAGGCACGCGTCCAGGATCGCATCGGACACCTGCGCGGGACGGACGCGGACGACGTGCGCGCTGGGCGGGCGGGCGGGGCCGCGGTGGGCGCCGAGGGGCGCCTGGGCGGGAGGGCAGGGGCGGGGCAGGGCGCGGTGGCGCTGCGCGAGGGGGCAGCGGCGTGACGTTGCGGGCGTCGGGCGGGGGCGCGGAATTGCGGCCATGCCGTGCGAAGGCGCGCGGCGGGCGGGGCGGGCGCGGGCGGTGCGGGGCCCGGCGCGGAGCAGGGCCAGCGTCCGAGCCGGCGGGCGCCCTCGATCGCCCCGCGTGCGACACGGCATCTCGGGCCCGCGCGGGCGATGCACAGCACGAAGAATATCCCGCCCGGATACGCGGCGGGCCCGCGTGGCCCCGCACCGGGCGCCGCGGCGCCCGCGAGGCTTCTGTGCCTGCACTTCTCAGTGCATGGGGCGCCTCAGAGGAGGCCGCCCGGCGCCGCGCACCTGGTCGCAGATCTTGTCCGGGTGGCCCTCGTTGACCGACTCGGAGGTGAAGAGGAACGTGTCGCCCATGTTGACCTGCGAACGGGCGCGGGGGCGCGCACGGGCAGCGTCTCAAGCACCGCGCACCGGCCCCAGCACCGCCCCAGACGCGCCCCGCGCGCGGCGGGGCAATGCCTGGGCGCTCGCCCGCGGCGCGAGCCGCGCCGCGCCCGCCGGCGCGACCTGGCGCGACGCCGGCCGTGGGCGCGCCGCGGAGGCTGGCGGGCAGCGCTAGCGGTGGGCGCGGATGCGCGCGCAACGCATGCGGTCGCAACCGGCCCCGCAACGGGCTCACCTGTTTCTTCACTACGCGGCGAAGGAGCAAGGGCGTGGCGCGGCGGACGGGCGCGCCGATATGGCCCGTTCCGGGCGTGGCGGGCAGCCTGGGGCCGCTATAGGCCCCCACACCTCCCGCCGGCGCGGGCGGCGACGAGGGGCGCGGGAGGCGCAATGCTCGCCCTCTTTCCGCACTTGTGGGGGCTCAGGGCGGTCGCAACCATGGTGGAGATCATCGAGCAGGTGCGGAGGCGCTGCTGAGTTCGTGCCGGCTGGCCCGCGCCGTGGCGCCAGCCGCGGCGGGAACGCGCGCGCCGGCGCGGCGGCCCGCCTGTGTGAATCGCGTGCTCCCGCATGGTCGCCCCGAACGGCGCGACGCGCGCCCTGGGACGCGAAACGACCGCTCCCCGCTGTGTCTTCCGCTCCGTGCAGCACGAGAAGGCGTACCAGAAGCAGGCCGGGGTGAATGTCGGGTGCGTACCTCGCGCGAATTGACGCGAGCGGCGCGCTGCGGGCCCGCCGGCCGCGCGACGCAGCCTGTTGTCCCCCGAGCGGCCCGCCGTGCGCCGGGGAGGGCTCGCGAGTCCCGCAGCGCATTCCCGGGCGGTCGTGCGTCATTCCGTCGTCGCGTTCGTGTGCGTGACGCGCAGGTTCCGGAGGCCGGCGAAGAGGGTGCCGGGCAAGCACGGGCTGCGGTACCACAAGACGGTCGGCCTGGGCATCCGCACCCCGAAGGAGGCTATCGAGGGCAAGTACATTGACAAGAAGTGCCCGTTCACCGGCACGGTCACCATCCGCGGCCGCATGATGACGGGCATCGTCAAGTCCACCAAGATGACGCGCACCATCGTCGTCCGGAGGAACTACATGCACTTCATCCGCAAGTACTCGCGGTGAGTCCCCGCGCGAACCCTCCCGCGCCGCCGAACCGCCGCCTGCGCCCCCGTGCACGGCGCCGGCGGCCCCTGAAGGCCACCGCCGCTGCCGGCCACCGCCCCGCGCCGCGAACGCGACCCCCAGCGACCGGTGGTGCGCGCGCACGGGGATGTCCCGTGCTCGTCTGTGCCCGTGGACGCCCTGAGCGCGGTCCGCGGCGCACCCGCTCGCCCCCGTGACGCCCTCACCCGCGCCGCGTGGGCACCGCTCGCACCCGCCTGGCGCCGTTCGCCGCGCCGCGGCGTGACGCACGCACCCCTGGCGCTCCTCTCATCTCCGCCAGCGCATCCCTCTCTCCTGCCCCCAACCAGCCACCTCCACAGCCGGCACCTCTCCCTGCCCCCAGACGGGGGTAGCTCAGCGCCGCTTTGCTTTGCCGCGCGCCGCACGCGCCGGCCCGCGCACCTTGTGGCGCCGCCCGCTGCCGCACCCCCCCCGCGCGCACGCCCCCCTCCCGGGCAACACAACACACGCTGCCTGTTCTCGCACACGCGGACGCTCCTCCTCCGCCCCTTGCCGCTCCACAAACCCCCGGCGCTCTTTGCGGCCACTCTTCGCGGCCTCTCTTCGCGCCCCGCGCTGCCTCCGACCCTCCCCCCCCCTGACTCCCCCCGCAGGTATGAGAAGCGCCACACCAACACCCCCGCGCACATCTCGCCGTGCTTCCGCTGCAAGGAGGGCGACAAGGTGCAGATCGGGGAGTGCCGGCCCATCTCCAAGACGGTCCGGTTCAACGTCCTCAAGGTGTTCCCGTCGACCAACAAGGGCGGCAAGGGCTTCGGCTCCTTCTAAGAGGGCGCCCAACAGCCCTCATGTAGCAGCCCTGCCCCGCTCATACGGAGCTGTCCGCGGCGACCACGTGTGACAGACCCTGACGCTTGCGCTGCCGACGGTGCGCCGCGATGTGCCGCTGAGCCACCGGGCGGTGGGAACACGGCGGCGAGGGACGGAGGGGTGCCGCAGGGGTGGGTGTTTGGCCCTGTTGGGGCGGACGGGTGGGCGGGAGGAGAGTAGCGCGCGGATGGCTGTGCGCTGCGTGGTGTTTGGGGATAAGCGGGCCGCTTGAGAGGGCGCTGCTGTCGCAGTGTGTGTTGGGTCGAGGACAGCACCACCGCATGGGGGCGGTGGGCCGCTGGCGGGCGCGGTGCGCCGTCTGGGGACTGCGTCGTTGAGGTGCGGCGCGAGCGAGATGCGGGGGAGACGCGGCGTCGGGGGGCTGCACGGGCGCGGTGTGTGCGTGTTGCGCGCGTGGGGTGCTTGCGCCCCGCGGAATGACCGATGGAGTGGATTTCGCGGAGAAACGGCGCTCGCGAAGGCTGCGCGCAGACCGAGAGAGGTCCGACGCGGAACCACGTGGTCACACACACTCCCTGACAGGACAGTGCTGAGAGGTAGGATTGTGTCGCGGCACGTGACGGAGGGCCGCTGCCGGTAGTCGGCCGCGGAGGAGACCATCTCCGCCAGCACGGCGCGTCGCCCTCTCGCGCTGGCGCTCCCAGTCAACGCAGCTGGATCTCACTGCTGCGGCACGTGGCTCTGGCGGCGTGTGCGGACGCGAGCGGCGACGAGCTGCACACGCGGTCAGCGACGAGCGCACGATGCAGCGTGCGGGCCATGGAGGCGACGCGCGCGGGTCGCGGCTGGCGTCGCTCGCATGCGCGGCACACGCCCGCTGGGAGCGACGCACGCGGCTGCGCGTCGCGGGGCGGCGGTGGACGAGCTCGGGCGCATCGCTGTGTACTGCGCACGGCGAGGCCATGTCGCGCGGTGCGGCGTGCGTCGCTGTGCCTGTCGGCAACTGCGCGTTGGGAGGCCGCGCGGGTCTCAGGCGGGTGCACCGGCGCCGCGGAGAGCATGCGGATGCTGTGTCTGGGCTGCGAGGCGCCTGCACGGGCGCGGGTGTGCTCGCCGAGCGTGCCGTGCTCGGAGCAGAGGGGGCCGCAGCGATGCCGTTGCGGTGTGTGACGCGATTGTCACCGAAGATGCGCAATTCCGGGCGCGCTGGTGGTGCAGAGCGCTGGAACATTGATTGTGTGACCGAGGGAGATGGTGTTTGAGTGGTTTGAGCCCTAGTTCCGTCACGAAACCGCCCGCGCCTGTCGTCGGTTCAAACCGCAGACAAGTCGCCGCGCCCGCAGAGCCTCGTGTGGGCGTAACCGCGGCGTTCAAGCCGCGTGCGTCGTTTTATTGCGCATGTTGAGGTCGCTGAGCGGCTGCACGCGGCCAGCGAGCGCGGCGTCGGACCCCGCACGCGGCGGAGAGCGCTGGCTGTCGAACGCCAGTTGAACGCAGCGCCGCGTTCCCGCGAGACCGGGGCGCGAACGTGGACGCCCGGTGCGCTCGTCGCTCATGTATCACACGATCGGCGCTCGCGCAAATTGGCTCGCTCTAAGACCGCGGGAACGCTCCGGTATCGGCGGCGACGTGTTGCTGCGGGCATCGCGCAGGCTTGGGCGTGCCGCGAGCGTCGCGCCGCGGGCCCCGCAGCGCGCACCCGCGGTGCCGCGCGCTCGGTGTGATCGTGGTGCGTCGTCGCGCCGGCGGTGGGCGCCTCGAGGGCGTCGCGCGGCCCCAGCTGCGGCCACAACGCTCCTGCGTGCGTCGTAGCTCGCACCGTTGCGGTCCGCGCTCGCCGCCCCGCGACCCGCGCGCCCCGCGCACCGCGCCGCCCTCACTGCAGATCCACGACGCTTCCATAGTCATAGTCAGTATGCGTGTTCCCCGCCCTGTTCCCGCTCACCGTCACTCCGCGCCCCACCACCTGCACCCACACCACGACGCGCCCCGCACTCACCACCGCAGTCGCGGCAACGCACCCCGCACACACACACACACGCGCGCTGCACGTCGCACACCCCCACGTTTCCCCCCCACGCACCCCCACTCACCTCCGCTCCATCCCCTGCCCACACGCCGTACTCCCTGTTGTTGCTGCACGTGGTGTTGCGCAACGTGACGCGCGTGGAGGAGTAGCGCGCCCACACACCGCACGACTCGTTGTTGCACATCTCGCCGCCCTCCACCGTGACCTGCACGCACGCGCACGCGCGCCGCCCACGTCGCGCCGGGACCGTCGTGCGGCGCCCCGCGGTGCACCACACGCAGCGCTGCCTGCGGGCCTGGGACGCGCCCCCGCAGCGCGCGCGGCGAACGGACCGCACCTCTGCTCCGGAATACGCGCACAGTCCGTGAGTGGAGCCTCTCGGGTTGTCGCTGAGCTTGCACGCCTGGAGGACGACCCCCGTCGCGCCCTCGACCGTCACTGCACCCACGTAGCCATCTGCGCGCGCTCGCCCCGCACGGCGCGCGGCCCGTGAGCGCCGCGGTCGCGCGCAGCCGGGCAGCGGGGTCGACGAGCAGCGGGGCGCGACGCGTTGCGAGGCACGGCGGCGTCGGGCGAGGGCGCTCAAGACCTGTGTATCCGGTGACGGTGACGCTCTCCAGGCGGAAGCCCCGCGCCGGCTTCGTGACGACCAGCTTCACGCCCCGCAGCGTGCCGTTGCGCAGCGTGACGTCGGGGCGCGTCACCTCGATCGTGTCGAAGCCCCCGCCGCTCACCTCGCGCCCCCCGAGGTCGATCACCTGCAGCGGACACACCAGCAGCAGCAACAGAGGCGTCGATCCCGGCGCCGGGCGAGCTTGCGCGGGCGCAGCGGGGCACCGTTCGCGCTGGAAAATATTTGTAACGGCGTGCTGCGATGCGACGCGGCGTCGAACGGCGCCGCACCTTCCCGGAGCCGGCGTTGAGTGCCTCGCGCAGACCGTCCACGGTGCAGAGCCGGCGCTCCGCCTCCCAGACCTTCTCGAGGCTGCAACAACGACGCAGCAAGCAAGGATGTCTGTAGTCTCAGCCTCGCACCAGGACCACCACGCGCGCCCTCCATGCATCGGAGTGGTCGTCGCAAGCGACAGCTGTTGCCCGTTATCATCCCCGCACCTCGCCGTGTCGTCCACGATGGTGATCTCGCTGCCAGGCCCCGGCTTGGTGCGCGGCTGCAGCGGCGGGCACTCGTACGTGATGCTCCGCGCCAGCTGCGCCCGCGAGCCCTCGCCCTCGGTGACGATCAACTCGCCGCCGCACGACGTGCTCAGCGTGCAGCCGGACGCCAGCAGCACCGCCCCACCCGACGCTATCGCAGCGTGCTTCCCGCCATGAACGGAGCCACCGCGCAGCCACAGCACGCTGCCAGCCCCGTCGACCTGCAGGCTGCTCGCGTCGCCGCGCACCGTCCGCACCTTGCAGTCCCGTAGCTCCATCGCGCCGCCCTGCGACACCTGCCCCGCGACGCCGTCGTGCTGGATGTCGCAGCCGCTGACTTGTGCGACGCTGCCCAGCCCGCGAGCCAACAAGCACACCTGCACGCCCGTCAGCGCGCCGCCGTCGATCTGCAGCTGCCCGCCGTCGTCGGCGACGAAGCCCGCGCCGGTGACGCGGCACTGCCGCATCTCGAGGCGACTCCCGCTGCCCGTGATGTGCCCCGTGCCGACACGGTCGCACGTGATCGTACAGTCCGAGAGAGCCGCGTTCCCGCCTCCTGCCACCGACAGGACAGACTCGACTCCGGCGTTGCGTCGCATGGTGACGCGGCATGACTGCATCTCGAGGCGACTCCCACTGCCCACGACGCACCCCGTGCAGGCACGGTCGCACATGATCGTACAGTCCGAGAGAGCCGCGTTCCCGCCTCCTGCAACCGACAGGACAGACTCGACTCCGGCGTTGCCTTTCACGGTGAAGTCGCAGCTGGAGAGGACCGTGCTGTTGCCTCCCTTGACTGCCATCAGGGTCATCGCCTCGCTCGCTGTGCCGCCGGTGCGCATGGTGATCCTGACGTTCTCCAACGTGATGTTCGGGGCCGACACCAGCAGCACATGTTTTTCGTTGCCGCTGCGGAATTTGTACTCGTCTGCAACAGGCATGTCGTACACGATCGACGCGTTCCGGACAGTGATGCCGGCCCTGTCGAGCACCATGCCGTCGTCGAGCTCCACGACCTGCAGCCATCGCACGACAATTAGACGTGAGCACGAGCAGGTGAGCAAGGATTCCGTGAGGCACACGCCCCATGCGGCGGCAACGTCGGCTTGTTGGATGTCGAGATCTAGGAGGATGCCGTGCCGAAACCCCGAGTGCGCGGGCTTGTTGTCCCAACGTTGCTTCGTCAATAAATCAATCAAGGTGTGCGTCAACACGCATGCACACAAACACATGCACTGAGACGCACATGGCATTTTCGCGCCCACGGCACGCACCGTTCTGCTACGGGCTCCCGCAGAAGCCCGGTCGCCGGTCGGCAGCTCCACCCAGCGCGTCTTCTCCACGCGGCGCGTCTTCGGCACGCTGCGTGTCTTCTTCACGCGGCGCATCTTCTTCACCTGCACAGGCGTCTCCACCATCTTCCGGCCCCCGAACAGCTTCTTCTTGCCCTCGACGAGACGGATCTCCGTGTCGTAGTACTCCTCGTCGGCAGAGTACTCTTCCGTCTCGTGGTACTGCTCGTCAACGCTGTACTCCTCCTCGACGAAGGTCGTGACCTTGCTCGGTGCGATGGTCACGACGGCGCCTTCCAGGTCCAAGACTTCTCGGGTCTGGTCCGCTAGCAAACTGCGCAGGACGTGGGAGTCGATGTGCGTCCGCGCGTCGTTCGGCATCGTGCCGGGCTCCTGGCTGCGACCCGAGTCCGCCGTCTCGACCGAGAGCGTCTCCATCTTGCCCGCCAGCGTCGCCACGGCTGGCCCTGTGTCCTGCACGTCGTCCCCCGTCAGCTTCACCATCACCTCCAGCGCCTCGATCGCCGTGGGCCTCTCCGAGGCCTTGGATTCGAAGCACCTCTCCAGCAGCGGCCGCAGCGCCGCTGGCACGCACGCTGGGATCTTCGGCGCCTTCTTGAGCGCCACCAGGGCCGCCAGCACCTGATTCCTTGTCAAGCCCTGGTACGGCATCTCGCCCGACAGGATCTCGCACACCGTTGCGGCCGCCGACCACATGTCGCTGTGCGGACCTGGCTCGTCGCACCGGTCGGGATCCATCTGCTCGGGCGGGGCGTAATTGGGTGTGCCGAACTCGTTCTCGCGCAGCGACTTGCTGAGCGTCTTGTCGGTCTCGCGCGACAGCTGGAAGTCCGTCAGCACCGCAGTGCCGTGCTCCGTCAGCAGCACGTTGGCAGGCTTCACGTCGTAGTGGCACAGGCCCATGGCGTGCAGGTCCGCGAGGCCCTGGAAGATGTTGCGGCAGATCTGCAGCTTGTTGTCGACGGACAGCGGCCCGAGCCGGCCCTGCCCGCTCAGGCGCTGACTGACGGAGCACGGGTACCGCCGCATCACCAGCATCACGCGCGACCGCGCCTCGTCAACCAGGTAGCCGTGCAGGGTGCACACGTGGTCGGAGCACAGCGACGCTCTGACCATGCGCTCCGCCTCGTTCTTGACGCGCTCGACGACTTTTTGTGCAGACATCAGATCGCCCCCGATCTCGACGACCTTCACCGCGACGTTGCACAGGTCCGTGCCCGTGCCATCGCGGTCCCATACGCCGCCGTACACGGTGCTTCCGCCCTCGTGCGAGATCGCTTGGTTGCTCACCTTGATGCGATCGGGCGCGATTTTAAGATTCGCCTGCGGACACAGGGCAGCGTCGCGCTGTCAGGGACAGGCCGCCACGTGGCGTGCAACGTCACTGGAGTCAATTGCGAACAGACATGTTCATGCATGACGTCAGTCGCGGCTCGCAGGGACAGGCGCGCTGCGTCGCTTGCACTGACGTACCAGGACCTCGGCCAGCGTCCGCTTCTGCTCCTCCTCCTTGATTCGACGGATCTCCGCGGCCATGTTGCCAACGATCGTCACCCCCTCCTTCTCGTGGCCGGGCTTGAAGCACTTCGTGTCCGCGAGCACATTCTCCACGCTGCGCTGCTCCTGCGTGGCGTCCACGCTCGGACTCGCGAACGTGCCCACGACGATCTCCAGCATCGCCTCCATCCTCTCCATCCGCGCACCCATGTCCTCTTCCTGCGCCAGGACCTTCGCCAGGTCAGCCCCGAGCCGCTCCACACCCTCCTCGACGGTCACCTGCAGGTTGCTGAGTCCGCCCTGCACGTCCTGCACGCCCGCGCGGACCTTCTCCGTCAGCTGCACGTTGGCACCCGCGAGCTCGCTCATCGCGCGCCCCAGCGCCTTCGCCGCTTCCTGGAGCGCCTCCTTGCGCTTCTTCGATGTCGCGAAGACCTTGATGCGGCTCTCACGCTCCCACGTACACGTCTCCGCATCCAGGATCGTTAGCGCCTCCTCGATCCCCTGCAACGTCTTTGCCAGCAGCGGTGCTGACCCCGAGTCCACGGCCCTCAGCTCGTTGAGGATCTGGTGCACCTGGAGCACGTGCGGCCGCAGGGTCGTGCACGCGCGGCGGATCCACGCGCAGTTCTCCAGGCGCGTCAGCACCGCCTGCGTGAGCACCAGGCACGCAGACACCACGGCCTCCGCCACCATGACGTCTGCAAGCAACCAGGGCAGCGCATTCATGCTCATCTTCGTTCCTCTGGTTTTATGAAACTGTCTTAATCGTCCTGGTTCAGTCCGAACGGGCCGCATTGCTAGCATAGTGCACTCCGCTGATGACGGGCCCCCCGGCGAAATATGCGGCGCGCACAGGTGTCCGCCGGCACTTCCATGCAATACATAAGGCATCAACGGTCAGACGAGCTCGAGTCTAGAAACCTGCGCCCCTCGCTGGCGAGATGTAGTGGCCGCCCAGCGCACGCAATGAGGGCGGCGGTCGGGCCAACAAAGACCACCAACTCAGCCCTTCTAGAGCGATTCACCGAGTGTACAGTACAGACATCAGGCCACGTGTGCACAGCCGGCTCCGGAGGCGCGGAACGCGGCCTGGCGCGCCAAGCCTCTCACTAGCTTCAGAGTGCGTGGCTGCGAGGACGATCGCCAGCCTTGTGCGCGTCGACTCACCGGAACTCGCCGCTGTGAAATGATTCCTGCGCGTCCGCGCAGCACCGACCCCGTCGGACCTTCACTCGGTCCGTGCAGCCGGCCTGGTACCCCCACCTCGCTCGGCGTTTCGTCTCTGACCCGCGCACACGCCCCCTCGCGCCGCGTGACGACCCCGACGCGGCGGCGCAGGAGATGTTCTACTGACGGAGCCGCTGGCGGCGGGCCCCAAATGGCGTCCGAGGGCCGGCTGCGGCGCCACGCGCCCACGTCCCCCCCCTGAGCCACAGGTGGGGAGCACTGACGTCAGCCACACCGCAGCGGGCCGTGCGCCGAGCACCGCGCTCTGCTCCCGCGCACGCACCAGCTAGCGACACGCGTGCGCCGCCCCACCGCGTGCGGGCCGCACCACCACCGGAACAAGAGCCTGGAGGTGTGCCGCAGGTGCTTGTGTTGCTGACACGGACCGCATGCAGCGGGCGGGTGCGGGGAACCGGCAACGCGCCGGCGCGCTACCTTTCTGCGAGGCCCCAGCGCTGCCCTGCGTGCTCGTGCCGCGCCCCGCGTGTCAGCGGCGGCGATGACACAAGAGCAGCCTGTTGCTTTGTGCCCATACGACGCGGCGCTGCGTCCGCGGCTGCACCCAGGTCGTCGGTCGCCCGACGCCTGCGTGGCGTGGTGTGTCGCGGAACGCGCCCCACAGGGGCGTTCGCGCTTTCAATGGCACAATGTCGGCATGGGGGGACTCCGCGACGGAGGGGCCGCGCACACACGCTGACGGAGGCCGGCGCGTGAGTATACGTTTTCGTCGTGCGGGCGCGCGTGCGTCCCCAACACGCCTCGTCAAACCGCGGCACAGACACGACAACAAGCGCTCCGCACCGCGTCGACCCGTGCGCCGGGCAACTGGACGACGTGCGCGCCGCCGCAGCACCACACGGCGCCTTCGTGGGCGCCACTTGGTGTCGGTGCAGCTCGGCGCGCGAGCCCCTTCGGAACGCATTCCATGCCATCAGTGCCCCCTCTGTGCGTGTCACTGACACGGTGTCCCAGACAGTCCGAGGGCACGTCTGGGCGCCAGTGCGGTCTTTGGGGCCGCCCCGCCGCCCTGGCGCGTACGGTTACTTCGTCGCCGCTCCAGGGTACGGCGTGCTGCCGATGCGGCGGGACTAGCGCGCAGCAGGCAGCGAGCATTCAGCGCTGACGTACAGGAGGGGCTTACGAACAGACGGGGACGGGACGGGGCGGGTGCACGTGCGCGAGAGCACCTGTCGATCTATGGATGCTCTTCTGCGTCGCAGCGTCGTGATCCTGTGTCCCCGTTCGCCGGTGCGGTGCGTTTACCTGCACGAGGTGCCAGGGAGGCGCTGCCCTGCGCCACGCGGGCCCATTGCGCCTCCCCGACCTGCTCGAAGCCTTTATCGCACTCAGCTGTTGTCATCGATGGTCCTGCTGTCCTGTTTGCTGCACGCGGGGCACGGGAACGCGTCCACGGCTGGACCGCGCCCAGCGCCGGCCCCGCGCCCGATCGCACGCAATCGCTGGCGTGGCGCTCGCCGCGCCCGACCTGGAGGGGCTCATTGTGCTCGCAGAGACGCCATGCGCGGTCTGTTGCGCCCGTCCGTCGGGTTCGCCGCACGTGAGAGCGAGGCGCGATGCACCTCCACGTTCCCTCGCCTCACCAGCGGCGCCCGCCTCCACACGGCGACGCCGTGGCGCCCGGCGACCAGGCCGACGCAGCAGAGGCGCCACGTCGGCGTCATGGCGGCGTCGAGCGCCCACCCGAACACAGTCACTCCCAAACCCACCGCGGAACACAAGCTGGCAAGTCTCCCGCTCCACGCCACGCTCTCGATCCCACGCACCGCCGTCGCCGCGCACACAAAACCCCCACGGCCGCACCACGCCCACACGCCACGAACACACACGACGCACGGCCGTGCGGCGCCCTCGCGCAACGTCAACTCACACCCCACGCCCGGTGCGCCGCAGGGGCACGAGCTGCTGCGCGGCAGCCTCGTCGAGTTCTCCACCGCGGAGTCCCTCGCCCGGCGCCCCCCGCCGACCGCCGTGCTCCTCCACGGCATCCTGGGTTCGCGGAAGAACCTGACCGCGTTCGCCAAGCGCATCGTGGACCACTACCCGACATGGCAGGTGCTGCTGGTGGACCTGCGGTGCCACGGCGAGTCCGCGCTGCTGTCGCCGGGCGAGCCGGGCCCGCACTCGGTCCAGTCGTCCGCGCGTGACGTGCTAGACCTGCTACGGAGTCTGAAGATCTTTCCGACGATGCTGGTGGGGCACAGCTTCGGGGGGAAGGTCGTGATGAGCATGGCCGCGCAGTTCGGGCAGAGGCTGCCGCGCCCGATCGACGTGTGGGTGCTCGACACGCTCCCCGGCTACGTCGACGTCACAGGCAAGCACACGCGCCTCACAGCCATCGCACCACGAACGCGGCCGCACGACGCAGCTGCTATCGCGACGAAACGGGCGCGAGATACGCCCGTTTGGACAGTCACAATCTGAGTATCCGAAGAAACCATTTCCCAGTCCTGGTTCCCTATCTGTTGGCAGGTCCCGACCGCAAGGACCACCCGGCCGACCTCATCGAGGCGCTCAAGGACATTCCGATGCCCGTGCGGTCGCGGTCCCGCGTGGTGGACTACGTCATGCACACCGGGTTCTCTGAGGGCGTCGCCAAGTGGATGACCACCAACCTGAAGCCCGCGTCGCGCCTGCCCAAGACCCTGGTGTCCAAGGTGCTCGGACGGCCCACCAAGGCCGAGCCGGAGGTGCCGCCGCCGAGCGCGGCGCAGGGCGAGGAGCTCCTGTGGAGCTTCGACCTCGACGGTGAGCGCACTGCCCGCCACGTCGCGTGGCGACGCACGGTGTTTGTGTGCTGTGTCTCGCACTGTGCGTGCGTGGATGCGACGGAGGGGGCTCACGTGGCTGTGCGCAGGGATCTCGGAGATGTACCGGTCGTACGAGGAGGAGGACTTGTGGGACCTGGTCAAGACCCCCCCCCAGGGCCTGAGCCTGCACTTCGTGCGCGCGGAGCGGTCGAGCTGGCGGTGGCGGAAGGACGACCAGGAGGTCATCGAGCGGCACGGGCACAAGGTGCACCTCCTGCGCGACGCGGGCCACTGGCTGCACACGGACAACCCCGAGGGACTGTTCCAGCTCATGACTCAGTCGCTCGGCCCGACCGACAACCGGATCGAGGAGGCCGCGCGGAGCCGGAGCCCGCGATAGCGCGGCCGCGCCGCTCGGGCGCGTAGCCCGCGCCCCGCCGACGGGAACGACTCTCTGTTTTGATGTAAGATATGATTGAAGCAAACCGTTGTGTTATGTGTCTCTTTTTCGCCCTTCCTCTTGTCTCTGTGCCGTATTCAGCATTTATCCCACGTGTGCTCGCATCAACGGCTCACGCAAGCACCTGGGAAGGGTGGGAGGACTCGAACCATGTCAGACTTGCACTGTGTCGAACACTGCCCCCCCAAGGGTCCCGCACGTCGCGCACCGCCGCCACTAGACACCACGTCCCACACTCGCTCACAATACCGAGTCACATCGCCCCTGCACGCCTCCCACGTCGCGCACTCCACTCCCCACGACGCCCACACCCAGCACATCACTGCTGCGTGAGCACGCCCTTGCTGGACGCGATGGTGCCCTGGCGGCGCGGGTCCGCCTCGGTCGCCTGCCGCAGCGCGCGCGCGAACGCCTTGAACGTCGCCTCCACGATGTGGTGCGAGTTCTTCCCTGACAGCATGCGGATGTGCAGCGTCATGCCGGAGGTGTTCGCCATGGACTGGAAGAAGTGCTCGTACAGCTGGCACTCGTAGTTCCCGATGCGCTCCGTGGGCAGCTCCACGTCGCACGTCAGGTGCGGGCGCCCCGAGAGGTCCAGCACCACCTGCACCAGGGCCTCGTCGAGCGGCGCGGTGAAGTTGCCGAAGCGGTTGATGCCCTTGCGGTCGCCCAGCGCCTGCGACAGCGCCGTGCCGAGCGCGAGCGCGATGTCCTCGTTCGTGTGGTGGTCGTCGATGAACGTGTCGCCTGCGGGGGGGGGTGTTGAGTGGCGGGGTTGAGGTGGGGAGGGGTGGCGCGGGGGCTGCGTGGGAGGTGCGGGGGGGGGCGGGGCGCACCCGTGGCTTCGAGTTCGATGTCGAAGAGGCCGTGCGAGGAGAGTTGGTCCATCATGTGGTCCAGAAACGGGATCGACGAGTTGCTAGAACACTTTCCTGCGACGACAACGAAATGCTGCGACGTTGAACGATCGAATCACGTGGATCGCGGGGTCCTGGAAGGGGTGTGTGGCCGGCGCGCGAGGATGGGGGAGCTGCGTGCTTGCACGTCGCGCTGCGTCGGGCGCAGGCCGCGGCAGCGCACCTGTGCCATCGAGGTTGATCTTCAGCTTGATGGAAGTCTCCTTCGTCGTGCGCTCGACGACGCCGACGCGCTCGCTGCTCGCCATGACCACTGCGCGGCGACGGCAGACAGGTCGCGGGCACCCCGCGCGCGCAGGACGGCCTCCTGGCGATGCCCCGCCGACAGACGTACGTGTCAGCAGCCGCTGAGCGCAGTGCATTCTATCGGACGTCGATGCGCGTCGCCCGGAACCGCACAGAGATGACGCAGCACAGCACACGCGCAAGCTCCTAGGACACGCGACGGTGGACTACGAAACACGCAGCGTGGCACGTCCTGGTTCTCCCGTATGTAGCGGCGCGCTCCCGTGCGACGTACATCAGCTGCCAGGTGCGCCGCGCCGCCATTCCCCCCCCCGCGCTGTCGTACCTCGCAGACCCCACGCACGCCTTCCGTGCAGCTCGTTTCCGGTCAGGCCGCCGCCCACGCCTCACTGGGGCCGACCTCCATCTATTCGCTGCGCAACTACGCGTTCGGGTGCAGAGCCATTCGCTGCGGCGGCGCCGCACACCACCCGCAGGACACCCGCACGTCGCCCGCGCCTGCCTGGTGCGCGAGCCCAGTAGTCTCCGCCGCGTCCGCCGTACCGCGAGTGGAGAGATGGGGAAGCAGGGGAGCCGGTCGCGCAAGCGGCAGCTGGAGGGCAAGCACAAGTACTCGCTGGGTGAGGCCATGACGGACCCGGAGGCCCTGGGGGTGCGCGTGCACCCGCGGGCGGAGAAGCGGAGGAAGGGAGGCGAGGACGAGGACGAGGCTGGGGACCTCGACGACATCCCAGGAGCCACCAGGTGACGCCCGAGAGCACCCCGCGCAGCCTCCGTCGCCCATGCGTCGGGTCTGAGCGGAATCTCTCGACGAACATGCGCCCACCGCGTTACTCCAACTACGGAGAGCGCGCCGCTCGCGTAGCATCGCCTTCCATCACGGCCACACGGCGCTGCGTCGCACCGCTCACACGCACGTAGGCTGCCCCCTCACGCCGCCGCCTCGCACGCCACGCCGTCGCAGGGCCGGCATCATGGAGCTCGCACGCGCGCAGCAGCGCGAGGTCGAGGCCGAGGTCGCGGAGGGCCGCGCCGACGTCGACGGCGGCGAAGAGCGCCCGCGCGAGCGCCGCGCCATCCTCGCTGACGCAGTGCGGAGGGCCGCGGAGACGACGGGCGCGGCGCGGCGGGCGCCCGCGGAGGAGTGGGTGCCGACGAGGGCGGACAGCGACGACGACAGCGTCGGCGCGCCGGACGATGATGACGCGTGGGAGGCTGCGTGGGAGGCGGAGGAGGAGGGCGTGACGGAGGAGGACCGGCGCGCGATGGAGGCGTTCATGGCGCCCGCGGGCGGGGAGTCCATGGCCGACAAGATCATGCGGGTGCGGCGCGGCGTCGTGCCGCTGTACAGCATGCAACGTGCAGCGGCGTTGAGGTCGCTCAAGCTGCGCGCTGTGCTTCGCTGCTGCTATTGCAGAGTTTACGGGAGCAGCAGGCCGCGATGGGGGCGGACGTGCTTCCGGAGAGCGCCCCGGGGGACCAGGGGGGGGAGCCGCGGCTGGTGCGCACCGGGCTGGACCCGAAGGTGACGCAGGTGTACACGGGCGTCGGGCAGCTGATGTCGCGGTACACGTCCGGGCGCGTCCCGAAGGCGTTCAAGATCATACCGTCCCTGGAGGAGTGGGAGGAGGTGTTGTGGCTGACCGACCCCTTTGCGTGGACGCCGCACGCGGTGTACCAGGCGACGCGGATGTTCTCGTCGAACCTGAACGCGCGCATGGCGCAGCGGTTCTACTCGCTCGTGCTGCTCCCGCGCGTGCGCCGCGACATCGCCGAGAACCGCCGGCTGCACTTTGCGCTCTTCCAGGCGCTCAAACAGGCCTTCTACAAGCCCGCCGCGTGGTACAGGTGCGCCGCGAGCCCCGCTGGTGACACATCATGCTGCGCATCCGGCCTGACGCCCGGCCTGACACCACTATAGCAAACTGACCCCCTCTTTTGAATGTTGGTGGTGCAGGGGCATCCTGCTCCCGCTGTGCCAGTCGCGGACGTGCACGCTGCGCGAGGCCGTCATCCTCTCGTCCGTCCTCAAGCGCGTGCACGTCCCCGTCCTGCACAGCGCCGCCGCGCTCCTCCGCCTCGCGGAGATGGAGTACGGCGGCACGACGTCCTTCTTCATCCGGGTGCTGCTCGAGAAGAAGTACTCGCTGCCGTACCGCGTCATCGACGGCCTCGTCGAGCACTTCTGCCGCTTCCACGACGAGGAGCGCCGCCTCCCCGTCGTGTGGCACCAGTCGCTGCTGACGTTTGTGCAGAGGTACAAGGGAGACCTGAAGGCGCAGGACAAGCAGCGGATCAAGGCGCTCTGCAAGGAGCATTACCACTACCAGATCTCGCCCGAGGTGCACCGCGAACTGGACGGGTCGCTCCACCGGGGGCAGCGCGCCATGGCCGCCGCGCCCGTCAGCCGCCTGGCGGCCGCCGGCAAGGAGGACGTGCGGAACCTCCCGCCGGTCATGATCCTGGACGACTGAGACCAGCGATGCGTAGGCTAGCGTAGCGTGACCGCGTGTGGTTCGTTCGGCGTCGGGCGGTGTCGCGAGTCACATGGCCGAGCGCTCTGGTGTTTGTAAGTGCGCTGCCGCCGCGTCCTGCGCCCGAACGAGCGCGGCCCGCACCGCGTCGAGGTGCGGGCCCTCTAGCCGCGGCACGCGGTGCCCCACCCCCTCGACCTCCACCACCAGGGGGTCTGTGAAGCACTGCGTCAGACTGCGTGACGCCGCGGGGGGGACCACCTTGTCGGCGAGCCCGATCACGTGGACCGTCGGGTACGGCAGCGTGCCGTCGTCCCGCCCGAGCCACACCGACTTGTCCCGCGGCGCGAACCCCGAAATGATGATGCCCAGCGACGGAGGCAGCAACAGGGGGGTGTGCCGGTCGCGGTGCTGCGCGGCGAGGATCGCGGCGGCCATGATCGAGCCCTGCGAGAACCCGAGCACGCCGTGGAAGGGCCCCCGCGACGCCACGAACCGCCGCACCGCCTCCAGCGACGCATCGAATCCGTCGTATTCGATGACGCTCTTCCCGCCGCCTGCCTTCGCGGCCTGGACCGCCGCGCGCGCGTCCCACCACTGCCTGGGGCTGTGGCGGTCGGGGTGGCGCGCGAGCTCGACGCCGTCGCGGTCCGCGCGCGCGGCCAGGACCGCGGAGAGGCGCTCGGCGACGTCGTCGCCGCCGCCGCCCGCGTTGACGTGCGGCGCGTCCATCGTGACGAGCTCCGCGAGGTCGCCTGCAGGCGGGGAACGAGGGCTCGCGGGCGTCAGGAGGAGGAGGTGTTCGGGGACAATGTTGCGCGTTGCGAGGGGGGCGATGTGCGACAAAGAGCGCGTACCGATGCCGTCGCCTGCGTCGCTTGTCCAGCCGGCGAGGCGCAGCTGGGAGTCGAGGATCCACGCATCTGTTTGGAAGGAGTGGAGGCACAGCAATCTAAGCCGCTGGTTCGTGCGCGGCATGCTGCGCACGCTCCTCCCTGCGCCGCACTTCACCGGCCTGGCCGCCGACACACGGACACTCGCAGACCGGCAATTCAATCGTGCCGCGATCCTCAAGCTGTGAGTCGACCGTAGCGCTGCGCTGGTGCCGCACACAGACGGTGAGAGCCGCGTGCCAGGTGCCCTGTTGCTGAGCGTACACCCAGGGCGGCCGCGCCAGCCCCGCATGCGCTCCCCCGCCCGCTTCCGCGCAGGACAAAGGTCTACGTAGTGTGTGTACTCGCTGCGTGGAGGATGCGGGTCACTCACGCTCCGAGGACCGCCCAATTGAGCTACGCTCTAGTGGATGCGCGCTGGAGTGCAGCGCTAGCGGGCAGTGGGGGCGCGACGCAGAGGACGCGTCCGTGTGCAGCCAGACGAGCAGTCGATCGCGGTTCTGCACGTCGCCGGCGCACCGACGATACTTGCAGGACGGAGCGGCTCAGCGCAAAGTATGAGGAATGTTTTTGTTTCCACCCAACAACACCCCCCACGTCCCGGCTCCACACGCGCAAGGCGGCCGCGAACGTACCTCGAGACTCGCATCCCCGCCGCCGTCCGACACGGTGCTCCAGCGTCTCGCAGCGCACGTTGCGTGTCACTCAAACACACCACGGCGCCTCTCTGCCGCCGCGCCGGGCGGGGCCAGCTCACGCGCGGGCTCACAGGTACTGCTCGACGAGGCCCGTGCCCGCGTACAGCGCGGTCCAGTACAGCGCGAGCGCACCGATCCCGGGCGGCGCGTGGTAGAAGGCCAGCGCGGCGAGGCCCCACACGGTGGCCACGGAGCCGACGTACTGCGGGTGCGGGCACACGGAGAAGGGGAAGCCCGTGTGCCAGGGGATGGACCGGCCGAGCTTGCACCCGTAGTACACCCCGGGCAGCCCGATGGCTTTGTAAATCCCTGCGAGATGGGAATCCTCGACTGAACGTGAGCGCTGCGAGACAGCGGGGCTGCAGCGGGCGCGCGGGGCAGGCAGCGCGACGGCGGCGGCGCGGCAGGCGTGCGCGCCTGTGTTGAGCGACTGTCCGACGAAGACGAGGCCCCCGAAGAGCAGGTATTGAAGGGGGTGCACCTCGAGCCACGGAGACAGCGAGGTGAACGAGAGCTTCGCGGGCGCGTCAGTCGTGATGTACCTGCGCGGCGCGTGGGGGAGCGCGGCCGTTGATGCGCGCGCGACGACGCCGCGGCGCAGGAGGGGGCGCGCGCAGGAAAGGCGGGACGTGGGGCGCCGGCGGCGCTGGGCCGACGAGGGCGGCAGTGCGCGGCAGCGGCGTTTGGCGGGGCTGTGGAGCATGCGAGGGGCGCGGTCCGATCGAGCGGCACGCAGCGGTGCGGGCGCGGCGCCACGGTAGTGCACAGACAGCTTCACGGCAGGAATCGCCGCACGCAGTGCCGCTCAGAGCCGAATTGGGGGTCTGCTTCGATTTCGTGATATGGTGCGTGGCCTGGGACCGCAGAGCGGCGTCGGGACGGGCGCACCAGCTCCCGACGGCGGCAAACTGCACGAGTTTCATCACGCCGGCGATGTAGGCGAACACGTCCACGGAGCGGTCCTTGAAGACCGCGTAGAACGGGAGCGGGAAGTGCCACAGCCACGCGTAGAACACGTGCGGCACCATCAGCGCCAGCACCAGCGCGAGAGGGCCCATCGCGCCCGCCAGATGCCACCCTGATACTTGGCCCCGCACCGCCCGCCTGGACGCACTCCGAGCTAGCGCAGACCCGAACGTGCGACGTGGGGCTCGCAGCTGGCCTGCGCGACTGTTGCGCGCGCCGCCTCCCCCCGCACGGCCTTGTTTTCGCCCCTCGTGACCCCTGGTTTCTTCCCGCTGGAACCCCCCCCTGCTCGCGACACAGTGCCCCATTGGCCGAAACTGCGCGCTGGAGCGGTCACTCTGGTGGCGAACGAAGCGCTGATAACCCGCTGAGCTCTCAGAAGCGTATCACCGCTCTCCGCGCGCGGTGCGTGGGGCGCGATGAGCGTCCAGACGACCGCGACACGCAAGAGCGAGGCCGCGAAGCAGCTGGATGGGATCAGACGGGCAGAGAACGACGCAGAATTGCGCTCCGGCGCACAGCGGTTGACGCTGGAGCTGCAGGCGGACGAGTCAGGGGCAACAGAGGTGCTGCAGGATGAGCTGGCCGGGGTGGTCGCACGGCGGCTCGACATGGTCGACTTCGACGCGTACAGCGCGCTGCTGGACTTGCTGAGCGTGGCAGCGAGCAAGGGGGCCGTGGGTCAGATCCCGGCAGAGGACAGCAGGGCGTTGCAGCAGGCACTTTTCTCGGCGCAAGCGAGGGCATCGAAGCTGCAGCACGCGATCACTGCACTCTCGTCCGCGCTTGGCAGGCCGGATGCTGCGTTCTCCACGCCCCAGAAAGCGGAGTCGGCGCGGGACACGGCCGCAGCGACCCCACAGACGGAACACGTTGGAATTCCAAGAATCTCAGCGGACAGCACGCCCACCAAGCTGGATCCGAGCGCGAACGGCGCCACCGAGTCGCCCGAGGCCGCCTCTCTGCCGGTGCCGAGGCGCTTGGCGGAAAACGACGCGGAACGGCCCCGGATGTCGTTTCCAGTGAAGTACCTGCCGCAGGTGCCCGTGGTGAGCTGGAACCTGAACGGCAGCGGCCCGGGCAAGGACGCCGACAAGTACGACGACGCGACGCGCGCGGAGGTGCTCGGGTCGTTTCTGGGACGCATGCAGTGCGGTGGCGGCGCGGGCGGCGCGCGCACTCCCCCGGGCATCATCTGCCTGCAGGTGCGCCGCACGCAGCGCATGACGAACCGCACGGCCTGTCTGTGCCCCACGGAGGCACTCGCCCGTCTCGCGAGCGTGCAGCCACCTTTCACTCCCCCCCTTACCACCCACACCCCCTCTCTGTTCCCGCGGTGCAGGAATTCCGCGACAGCGGCTCCCCCGACGGGGCCTGCGACGCGCGCGAGGCCGTGGCTGCGGCCGGCAAGGCCGCTGGCGCCGAGTTCGGCTACGTCCACGCGGGCCAGCTCCTCACGATGTTCGACACCTCTCGCTACGAAGTGTACAAGCCGCGCAGCGACTCCACGAGGCCGGACTGGCAGCCGCCGACGTGGACGCGCAGGAAGTTCGCGTACACGCCGCTCACCGTCGTCCTCCGGGAGTGCGCGTCCGGTGCGGGGGAGAGCATCGGGTTTGTCGTTACGAACGTGCATCTGCCGGGGGGCAGCGAGGCGAAGGGCGGGGGGGGCGAGGACGCTGGGGACGGCGCGGAGGATGCTGTCGAGGACGCGGAGGAGCAGTTGGCGCAGGTGCGGACGCGCCGGAGCACGCTGCAGCGGGAGGAGTGGCGGCGTCTGTTTGGGGGGAGTGACAGCGTGTACGCCGAGGTCATGCGCGCGGCGAACGTCCCGGTGGAGCCCGCCGAGGCCCGCGACGATGGTGGCGTAAGGGCTCTCGTACATCTGGTCGTGGGCGATTTCAACCTGCAACAGCTGTGGCGACAGCGTGCGCAACAGGACTTTGTTGACGACTGGGCGACGATGATGAGGACGTGGGAGCCGTACGGCGTGGCGCTGCGGGACGCTGGGCCGTCGCAGTCCGGGGAGAGGGACGTCGGCGCGCGCGTGGTGTCGGCGTCGGGTCTGAACACGTGCACAGGCTTTGTGTCGGACGGGCTCTTCGTGCGGCGGCAGGTGGTGCAGAAGAGGGGCGGGGTGGGGCTGGGGGGGGACGCGGCCGGGCGGTACAAGCTCGAGGTGCGCGTGCAGGCGGGGATCGAGCCGCTGCGGCGCGTGGCGCGGGGGTCGGGGTCGCGCACGTTCGGGCTGTCGAACCACCGGCCCGTGGCGTCTGTGCTGACGTTCGAGGACAGGGAGGTGAAGGCGGCGAAGAAGGAGAAGGAGAAGGCGGACGGCGCCGGTCCAGGCGACGAGGATGCCGCCTAGCTGTGCAGTGTGACGAACCATCATGGTTCGAGGAGGTGGAAAAGTAACAACGAAGGGGAAACCCATTGGTTGACATGTCTCGCCTGACTCAGGGCCAGTGCCGCGCGGGCATGAGATTCGAATTGGGGCGAATCATGCGCTGCTATACTAGATCGATCTTCCGACGGCCCTGCGATCGAGACATGCGCGCAACGCTCGCTCATTGCCAACACGGCATCACTCGGCCCCCGTCCTACCCCCCGAACCCAATCAAGCTCCCGGACCCCGGCAGGTTCGAGCTGTACGCCATGTACTCCTCCGACAGCTTGTGCTTCTCCACCAGGTCCTGCTGCTCGATCAGCTTTTGCCCCTCCTCCAGCAGCTGCTCCAGCGTCAGCCGCGGCGCGTCGAACCCGTCCACGGGGTCCCGCGTCCCGTCGACCTTGAGCGGCCGGTCCCGGAACAGCCGCGCCCCGAGCCGCTCCAGCGCCACGCGGCCCTCCTGCGCGTCCCACAACTGCTCGTTCACCCACTTGTACACGTGCTCGTCGTACGTCGCCTGCACCAACGCAGCGCGTAAGCCGCACACGTCGCTACAGCCGCAACGGCACGCCCCACACAGATTGAAACGCACAAGGGCGCCTTCGAGTCAAAGCATGAAACAAGCAGCAAGGCACGCAGGCTGCGAGGAGGAGAGCGCGCACCTGCCGCACGGCGCCGAAGAAGTCCATGGACTGTCCCGGGAAGGCGTCGACGAGCTTGGCGAGGTCCTCCTCGGACACGTGGTCGTCGCGGTACATCTGCAGCATCGTGGCAATGATCTCCTCGCGGTTGGGGTTCCAGTAGAACTTCTCCATGCGGCCGTCGCGGATGAGCGGCGCGAAGAGCGTGCTGAGGTCGTTCCCGGTGACGATGATCGGGATGCGGTTCAGCCCGCGGCTCGTCGCCTCCCACGTGCCGCCGACCGAGACCGTCTCCGGGTCGTCGCACAGGTTCATCAGACACCCCTGCACAGCGAACGAACGAGAGCGCGGTCGTCTCGACGCCTTCACGGACGTCCACCGCACGCACGCACGCACTCGCGGCAGCAAACAAAAAAGCCGCCGTTCGAGGAGGTCGCGATACCATACTATGGTGCGGAAGTGTGAGGGGCGCGGCGCGGACCTGTACGATCTGGTTGTTGACGGTCACTTGCGTGTTCTCGAACCGTCCGATCCCCGCGTCGATGTCGTTGATCACCAGGCACGACAGCTTGCCCTGGTTCTTGCACACCTCCGCCGCGCGCCGGTACCGGTTGCGGATGAGCGCGCTCGGCCGCCCCGCGATGGAGTCCTCGAGCTCGCCCGCGGACATGATGATCGGCTCCACGCCCATCTTCTTGAACGTGAGCTCGGTCTGGAAGGTCTTCCCCTGGCCCTTGCCGCCCCAAATACCCAAAATGAGGGGCACGCGGCAGTCGAAGTCGCTGGCCATGTAGTTCTTCACGATGTGCAGCGCGATCGCCTCCGCGAACCGCGGGCTCACGTAGTAGTCTCCCACCAGGTTGTTGAAAGACCTGAACACAAGAACGATGAGAAACAACGACTAGGTCAGCACCGGCTGTGGGCACGTCCCTCCCTGCGCTCGCCGACGCTCAGAGTGTTCTCGTGGCGGACGCGTGGATCTGGTGCGCCGCACCTGAAGTCCCACGTGCGCAGTTCTCCGGAGGCGATGTCGCTCTTTTGCCCGAGGAAGCCGCCCGCGTACAGGTGGTCGAGGTGCTCGATGTTCTGCCCGTGGTCCACGTTGATGTTGTAGTTCTGCAGGGGCCGCGCGGGACGTGTCGTTGTTTTGCGGGCGCCGACAGCGCACGGGTTGCGCTGGAGCACACCAGGGCGGTGCCGAACGAACGACACAGAGAACGAATTGAAAAATTGCCCCACGGCCATCGAGTTCAAGAGCTGGAGATGGCGGCGCCGGTGCGAAACCGCGGCCTGATGACGCGATGACGGCCTGCCGCGGCATGGCTCTGGCGGCACCAAGGAGGCGACCTCTCCGTCCCAAGCGCATCGTTCACCGGGCACTTCGATCACCGCTCGCCTCTCCCTACCGCAGAGCCGCCTCAGGGCGACAGCTCGACCCCGCACTGTTCCCCTCGACCCCGCACCAGGCCTCCCTCTGTCCACCATCCAGACAGCGGGATCGCGGGGCGCGGTCGCGGTGGGTCCTCATTGCGCACGTCCGCGCACCTGCTTCTTCCCGATGGCTGCGAGGAGGTCCTCGTCGTCCTCGGCGCCGTCCTCCCGCGTCTTCCAGCTCTCCGAGACGCGAGCCCCACGCTTAGGCAGCTCGGCCTCCGGGCTCACCGCCCGCACCGCCACGTGGCGGCATGCTGGCTGGCGGCGGGCGGCGTTGGGTGCGCACGGCGCGGATTGCGCGCTGCTGGCGGGGCCGGAGCGCTGGCACGGACGCGCCGCGAGTCGGTGCATGGTCGGACCGTGGGAGCGCGGTGCTACGAACCCAACGGAACAGCCGATACCGCCGTTCGCCTAGTTTAACTAAGAATATCCCACTGTTCCGCGGCGCAGGCGTCCGGCGCTCCCTTCGTCGCGCAGCCGGACATTGTCTGCAGAGGGGGGGTCCCGAAAAGCGCACGGCCCCGTGCCCAGACTTCCGATGCTCACCTGCAATGCCCCCGTGCTCAGCTCATCAACTGCAGCTCTCAATCAGCTTGATCACTCCCACGACGCAAAAGGGTCGTCTCGCCCCGACGACCTGCTCACTCATGTGCGTGCCTCCCAGCCACCGAAACGACAACGCATCGGGCGTCACATCCCCCGCCACCCGCGACGGCCCTGCGGCTCGACGGCGCCCTCGCAGCGTCGGCTGTTCTTCTGTTGCGAGACGGCGCAACGGGCAATGGATGTTCACTGGGCGCCTGTGGCTCCCTGGAACTCGAGCCAGTGCTCCACCGCCTGCTCGACGGACCCGTCGTGGTTGGCCAGCAGCTCGATGGCCATCGTGCGGCTCAGGCCCATCATGTCCGACACCGTCTGGATGTTCTCCTCGGGGATGAACTGCACCGCAAAGTACAACACACAACAGAAATCAATACACCCCCCTCAACGCGCACGCGCCGACGCCACCGCCGCATCGACGGCGCACCACGCTGACACGCAAGTCCTCACGACAAACGCCAGCAATGTGAGGAGGGGGGGGGAGGTTGTTCTCGCGACGTACGTCGAACTCCTCCCGAATGTCGTCCTCGCCGGCCTGGTCCTCGATCAGGTCCTCGATCATCTCCTCGTCGTCGTCCTCCTCGTCCTCCTCGTCCTCCTCGTCCTCCTCCATGCTCTCCTCCGCGTCCTCGTTCAGCGTCCAGTCCGCCTCAAACTGCAAACACACAAGTCCTACACAAGGTCACGATGATTCTTCCGGCGCAACGCACACGCGGCTCCTGCACACGCGGGGAGGGCGCGCACCATCGGGCCGCCGGTCGTGCGCCGCTGTACCGTCCGCACCACCGTGGGGGGGCCGGCCCCGCGCCCCGCACCCTCGTCGCGGACAGGGTCCTCCCGCTCGCGCAGCAGGCCGTTCCGGCGCGCGTACGCGCGCACGTCCTCCTCCGCCTCGCCCTCCCGCGCCGGCGGCCCGGGCCCGTCGTCCGCTGCAGGCACAACAAGAGCAACGCAGCGCACCGTCAGCACCGACCCAAACAACACAGCCGCCGCACAGGAACAAGCGCTCTCCGTCTGCGCGTGCGGCGCACCCCAGAGGAGGTCGATCACGGAGTCCCTGTTGGCGCGCAGCGCGTCGCAGTGGAAGAGGGGCTCGAACACGTCCGTGGCGCGCCCGCGCGTCTGGCGCCACCAGCGCCTCTGGCCGCCCAGGAACGCCGACACCGCGAGCAGCAGCTCCGGCGGCCGCAGCCCGAGCGCCTGCGCCGCCACCATCCCCGCCGCCTGCGCCAGCATCGACGGCGGCTCCGCCGGCCGCGCCCGCGACGCGTCCACGAGCGCCAGCGCCGCCCGCCGCAGCCGCCGCCCCAGAAGATGCGGGTGCCGCTCCGCCAGCGGCGCCATCTCGCACCGCAGGACCGTCATCGCTTCTTTCCTCTTCCCCTGCGCCGTCAACGCCAGCAGGTGCGCGCGCAGGAGCTCAAACTCCACGCCCGGCCGCTCCGGAAGCGAGTACATGCCCGCTGCGCCCCCCGGCGACCGCTCGCCGCCCGTGAGGACGCTCTCGGGGCTCGCGCCGGCCTCGGCCGCGCGGCGCTCTTCCGCGGCCTCGGCACGGATTTTCCGGAGCTCCGCGACGGCGCCGAAGTAGTCCCCGCGCGACGCGAGGCCCTGGACGTCGTGGCAGCGGCGGACGGTCGCGGCGTCGTACTTGCCGACGCCGGCGGCCTGCCGCCAGCCGCCCCAGGTGCCGGCGTACTCGCCGTCGGGCGCGGGCGGGGGGGCCTTCCAGCGGAGCGGGCGGAGCGTCGGGCGGTCGGGCTGCTCGGCGGGGTCGTCGGCGACGCGGTCGGGCGCGTCCTCGATGATCCCGCGGAAGACGGCGTACTCGTACACGATGCTGCAAACAAACACACAACAGCACGAACCAACTGTTGCAACTATGAAAAGACACCGTGTCACTCATGTGCAATCTTGCTTTTCAATCACGTCATGTGCTTGGCCGATGTTCGTGCATCTGGCTGCGGCCAGCGTGCTTCGAGGACAGGTGCGAACAGTGCAATGGTGGGCAGTGTGCAATTGCAGCCCGCCGCGCAGCTCCGCACGCACCTGTCCACGGACGACGCCGTCAGCGTGACGCGGTGCAGCTCCGACCGCACCGCGCTGCAGCGGTCCCCGTTTGCGACCGCCAGCGCCGCCACCGCCCTGTCGCGCGGCAGGCTCAGCGTCGTCGACAGCGCCGCGATGTCGCCGTCCAGCAGCTCCCGCTCCGGCTTCAGGACGCCCGTGGTCGACCCGAGCACGCCCGACACCGCGCACCGCTGCTCGATGATGTCCACGGCCGTCGACAGCGCCCCCGGGTCCGCGCTGTTGTCCGGCAGGCGGTTCGAGTGCGCGATGAACAGCACCGACAGGTACTTCAGGAGGCGAGGGAGCGCGGGGGCGTCCGCGTCCGTCTCCGACGACATGACCTGCGGGTACGCAGACACACGGACAAATCGGCGCGTGAGCCGCGAACCGCCACCAGCTCGCGTCCGGTCGCGAACGGCGCCGCGGGGGGCCTCTTCCGCACCGTGAGGATCATCGACACGAGCTCGCGGCGGCTCTCGTGCAGCCGCGGCAGGCTCGGCAGCCCCGGCGGCCGCGGCGCGTCCCCTATACCCGGCGGACACGTCAGCAGCAGGGAGCACTCCTTCAGCTCCTTGTACGCGTCGGGGTACGCGCGCTCGGCGAGCGCCGCGAGCTCCGTGAGCAGCGGCTGCACGTCCTTGAGGCCCGCGCGGTGCCTGAGCACCTGTTCGATGAAGTGCTGCCGCTGCAGTTTGAAGGCGAGGGACGGCTCCGCAAGGACCGCGGGGCAGCGCTCGTGCAGGAGCGCGCGCGCGGCGTCGAGCTCGCCCGCGAGGACGAGCGCCTCGACTTGCCGCGCGTCGCACAGCTTCGCGGTCCCGCGCGCCCGCCGCGACCCGCCCTCGCTCGCCGACGGGGGGGGTGCCGCTTGAGCGCTGCGAGCGGGGGGGGACGGAGCACTGCTGTTGACGGGTGCGGTGGGCGGGAGGCGGCTGGATGCGCGAGGCGTGGTGGAGCGGACGCGGGCGCGCGGCGTCGCGGACCTGGCGGGTGCGGCCCGTGGGGCGTCGCCCGAGTCATGCGTGGTGGTGTCAGACACGTCGTGCACGAGGCCGGCCGCGACGAGGTACTCGACGACGAGCGCGTCCATCGCCTCGAGCCACAGGACGTCCTCGGCTGCAGGTGCGTCAGGGGGGGGGTTCGGATTGCTGTGCTGGTGCACGGTGATGCAGAGGTTTGGTGGTGTCGGAGGGGGCGTACCGTCGCGGTGCGGGGGCAGCGCAGCCTCCCAGGCTTCGGCGGGGGGCGGGAGCTGCGGGTGCTCCTCCATGGTGGCGCTGTGAGCTGGAGGGGTGGTGTGTGGTGCCGAGTCCACGCCCTCAGCCGCGGCGACGCGCCGGGCCTGCAGCGAGAAGGATATCGGGGACAGACAGAGGCTGTGTGGTCGGTTTGGGACGGCGGCGCGGGCCCGTGGAGCCGGGGGAGCGTGGCACAGAGCAGGAGATCGTGACGGGGGGCGTGGACCACGATGCGACGTACGCGGGCTGGGAGCGGAGAACGAGGAGCGCGTTCTCGAACACGAGTGGGGGAGAGGCCGGGCGAATGCCGCCGGCACGGGCGCGTTGCGTCCCAAGGAACGGCGCGCAGATTGCTGGCCCGAAACGCCGCTATCGGCTGGGATGGGGCGCAGCTCGATCACCGTTCGCAGTTCCTTGGGATGTGAGAAACCCGTGACAGCCTGCTTCGCGATCGATATGCCCCGAGCGAGTGGCCCAGAGGGCCCGCAACGGTTCATGCACACCGACGCACCTGTCCCCGCGGCCTTCTGCAGAATGGCGGCTCGCTGTACCCTCAGCAACCTACTGAATCACTCAAAGACTCCCCTCCGCCGATCGAGGGCCACAGCGCCCGACAATTGGCCCTGGTGCCGCCGAAAATCGAGCACACCTATCAACCGCCCAAGTTCTCCCTCTCCGTGGGCACGACGCACAAAGTACGTATCTCAGACGCAGGACGAGTCGACACTGCACGCGACAGCTGCGCCGCAGCGCCGTTCAGCCCCCCCGGGTGACAGGGAGCAGGAAGAAAAGTCAGACATCACCTGAGGCCAACACCCCCCGCGCCGGCCGCACGCAGCAAAGGGGGGCGCGCCGCGCGCACGCAGCGCAGACTGCGGGCGCCAGCGACACTGCGCGTGATAGACTGAGTTGACTTTTCCTCGTCTTATTTGAAGCGGGCCCTTCTTTGATCCTGCTGTTCATAGCTCGCGTTGCCGCGGCGGGCTCCGCCCACGGGGGCCATTTATGCGCCAGGCTCTTGGCCTCGCTGAGTAGTTTGCGGCCACGGACGTCGAGGGCTGGAGGGCGACGTACCTGGCGGGGCGAGGCGCAGCAGCAAGGTGCTGGAGACACGGCGTGGCTGTCGCCCAGGGGCTGAAGGCTGCGAGCGCGATGTCGCTTAGTGAGTTCCCGCGCCCACGGCCCCAGCGCGAGCCTCGTCCCCGCTCGCGCGCGCCCCGGCCGGCCACGCCAGGCACAGCTGGCCACCGCAGCCCCCCGTGCAGCGGCGCCCTGCGACCGCGACGCGGGCGGATCCTGTCCGCTGTATGCGCTCCCGGGGACGCAGCGATCCGGCGGTCGGACGCCGCCGTCCGGCAACATCGCGAGCGCCGCCCGTGCAGGCCGCGTCAAAGCCGCGAGCTGCTACGCGGGAGCCTCCGCCCGCGCGCTGCCACGCTATACCCCGCCGCCCCGGGCGCCCGGATGCGCCGTTCACGTCGCTAGGACAGCCCGCATTGCGCGCGGCGCCACGCTCGCCGCCTGGCGGCCCCCAGGCGCTGCGGCAACCAACGGCGCACTCTCCGCCCGGCCTTTCGTGCGTGCAGGCCGAGTTTCCCTGCGCGAGCAGGCGTCGGATTGGATAGTGATGGAGGGGCGGTACCGTTTGGAGGGCGAGCGGCCACAGGTTGGGCGTCAGAAGCTGTCGCACCAGATGCCAGCGGCCGGAGCATTGCCGGCGCGGAACTCCCTGCAGCTGCCGGGCGCCATCCTCATCGCGGTCGCGAGCACACTCCACATGTACAACAGCGCGCAGGCCGCCGAGCCCGCCGTGGCGTCGGTCAGCTTCTCCCCGGCCACGATCACCGCGCTCGCGGGGTGCCCCGAGGTGCCGGGCGTGGACGTGTTCGTCGGACTGTCGACCGGCGAGGTCGCGATCCTCGACGCGTCCACGCTCAGCACCAAGGCCGAGATCCCAAAAGGTCCGCGCACGCGCCCCCAGCCCATGCGCTCTCCCGCCGCGTCCGTTGCCGCACAACTCCCCGCGCGTCGCGCTCCCTCTCGCCCGGCCACGTGCGCACGCCCGCCGCCGCGCCAGCATGGTGCGCGGCTGCCGAGCGACGCGCCGTGCCCCTCCGCGCCGTTTCCGCCCGGCGGCGACCGCAGCACGGCGGCCTGACTGCGACGCCCGCGCGTTCCCTTCGCGCAGACGTCGTCGTGCTGTGCAAGCCCGACGAGATCACCATCGGCAGCGACGTGGTCGCGGCGTCCATCCTCCCCGGCGCGTCGGACGCCACCGCGGTGGTGGTGTACGCGTGCGGCACCGCGGCGACGTTCGTCATCCCGGAGGTGGACCCGGAGAGCAGGCTGACGAAGAAGGAACGCAAGGCGATCAACTCCGGCATCGGGTTCTCCGTCACGGGCATGGCGACGCGCGTGACGGCCGCCACCGTGACCGCGCCGCCGATGCTCACGGGCGCCGTCAACGGCCGCCCCGGACGCGAGGTGCGTGTTTGCACGCGACAGGGGCTTGCCCGTGGACCCCGGCTCCTTTTCGGGGTCGAAGACAGATAGAAAAATGGTCGCAAATATGGTTTGTTGATTGATTGTTGATTGTTCGTGTGGTGTTTCCTGCGCCGGTGCAGGAGCTGTCCGTGCAGGACAGCCTGGACGCCTCCGGCAGCACCGCGACCAACAGTCACGGCGGCAACGGCCAGAACGGCGCCGCCGCCAACGGCCTGGTCAGCGAGCAGCGGCTGTCGGCGGGCGCACACGTCACCTGCGCCGCGCTCTCCCCCGACGGCCGCATGATCGCCATGGGCTTCGAGTCCGGGACGACCGCCGTGCTCGACCGCGACACCCTCGCGCTCCAGCAGGGCTTCACGTCGTTCTTCGGCTCGGTGCTGTGCCTGGCGTGGTCGCCGGATGCCGCCGTGCTGGCCGCGGGCGGGCAGGACGACCTGATCGCGGTGTACTCGCTGCGGCACCGTGCGACGCTCGCGTGGTGCGAGGCGCACCAGTCCTGGGTGTCGGGCGTGGCCTTTGACGGGCAGCACTGTCAGCGGGGGAGTCGCGACCCCACGTCTGACGAAGTGACGCCGGACGTGTACCGCGTGGTGAGCGTCGGACAGGACTGCCAGCTCGCCGTCTGGGACGTCGTCCTCGACGCCGACATCGTCGAGGCGGCGGAGGAGCGGCGGGACGCAGCACTGGCGCTGGCGAACCGCGCGGCGTCGATCAGCGCGGACGGCGGGGGCAGCGAGGTGGGGACGCCGGGCGGGCAGGCGCCGGGGGGGCTGTCGATGGCGCTCGGGGGCATGTCGGTGGGCGGGGGCGCGAAGGGCGAGGGCGTTGTTTTGCCGTCGGTGCCCCGGGGGGGTATGACGCTGCTGATGCCGCTGGTGGTGTGCGCGGTGCACCCGGAGCCGTGCTGCGCGGTGCTGCCGTGCGAGGAGTATATATTTACGGTGGACTGGGCGGGGGCGGTGCGGGCGTGGCGGCGGCCGCGACCAACGGTGGCGCAGCTGGCCATCTCGCGGAGCCACGCGCGGAAGCAGAGCCAGACCAAGGTGCACAAGGAGAGCCTGGGATGACGCGGACGGTGTGCGCGCGCTGTTGTGACCCGGAGAGGTCGCCGGGGGGGGTGTCACGCTGACACAGGGGCCGGGGAACTGCGTGCTGTCGAGGCACGGACCGGCGCGCATGGACGCGTGCTCATTCGCGGTTCTCGGCACTTTCGATCCGGAATAATCTGCGTTCGAAATGATCAAGGAGCTGAAGACTGTTCTCGCGGAGGTGGCGGCGGACCTCCCTGAAGCCGACAAGCACGACGCCGCCCACTGGCTCAGCTGCGCGCTGTGCCCGATCTCGCGCCACGACGCAGCGGTGAGTTCGACGACGCCGAAAACTCACCCGCGAGTCGGACTCGCGGTGCGACCGCCTGGAGTGACGGGAGCGGGCCAACTAACAAAGACGTTTGCACGTCGGTATTTTTCCGATTTCCGCACGTCGCCGCGTTCGCTTGGTCGCGAAACCGGCGTATTCCTTCGACTCAGAATATTTCCCGGCAGCGTGTGAGGCCGCCCGCTTGACGCGTGCGCGTGCGCGTCAGTCGCGACCTCCATCGCCCACAATCGATTCCCCGACCGCCGAAGCCCGCCTGCTTGCAGTCCAGGACCATCGAGAGCTTGCGCCGCTTCCACGCGACGCCCACGAAGGACGACCAGGTCCGCCCCCCCCCCCGCGCTTCCCTGGAACGCCCCAGCCGACAGCTCACTCCTGCCTGAGCATGGTGCTGCCCCCCGACCGGCCGACGCTCCGCAGGGGAAGCTGATCGAGGACGAGACGCGTCTCTGGGAGGCCGCGATCAACGGCCTCGTCCAGCTCTTCCTCGGCGACCGCATGGAGTCCCGCAGGGACGCCATCACCTGCCTCTCGCAGATCGCAGGCAAGGCCGCCGCCGCCCGCACACACGCGCAGCGCACCTCGCACCATGCGCGCGTCTGCGGAGCGCCGTCGCATCGACCGAGCGTCCCACGCCGCGCCTGCCGCTGACAGCCGAGTGCTTGCGTTGTTGTTGTACAGACAAGTCGCGCTTCGCGAGGCAGTACGTCATGGACGTGATGGCGCGCCACGGCGTGCACATGCGCATCCGTTGGGAGACGAACGGGTTCGATCCCTGCCGGCCCGTGTTCGAGTACAGTCAGACCAACTCGCGGGACTCGCTGGCGGCGATGCGTGGCGCGCTGCCGGCCATGGCGTGGCTGACGGTGCCGGACGACGCCGCGGGGCTCGTGCCGGAGGACAAGCGCACGACGCGCAAGGAGGGCGTGCTGGAGCCGTCGACGGTGTAGCGGCGCGGCGGGGCGCGGTCGGCCCCTGTCACTGACAGTCACTGACTGTCAGGCGCAAAGCGAGCGCGGGCGTTGAAGTTGGCGACGCGTCCGGGGCGCGGTGTGAGTGTATGCGAATGAGGGCGTGGGCCATGCGGGCGCTCATGCGCAGCAGGGCGCCGCGACCGGAGAGCGTAGCCTCACATTGATCGCCGACGACATCGGGACGCGTGGTGGGGCTTGCCGACGAGTACCCGCACGCCCGCGGGGCTCGTCACTGATCGAAGACTTCACTCAAGCTGCGTGCGCAGGTGCTGGGACCCCGACATCTGTTGCTGCAGCTTGCTCATCCTGCGTGCGGGCACTCCACCGCGTCGTTGCTCTCGGCCGCCCCTTTCCTTGGTCAAGGTGACCTCCGGTGTGACGCATTTGTCACACTGCATGTTCAATACATTGATCGATCTTGGTCACGAGCCTCTATGGCTGACCACAGCTGCACATCGTGAAGCACTCATGTCAACATTGCGACGCACTCATTTAGCGCACGCCATATCCAGAGCCAGCTGTCCGCTGTGTAAGCACATGCGCATTTCAGCCCGCCGCGTGACGGACCACTGAGATCTTCGAATCCGCGAAACACGACCGTTGAATCCAACCCCCAGCCGCAAACAACCCTCCTACTCCGTCCCCGCCGCTCAACCCTCGCCGCCCGACTCCGTCAGGTCGTCGAAGCTCCGCGACCGCTTCCCCGCAATCGCCTCCGCCACCATCACCGCCCGCGACCCCTCCCCGTCGAGCGCCGGCCAGTACGCCCGCAGCTCATCGGCACTCACCCCCAGCGGCTCCCCCCCAAGCGACCCCTCCGTGAAGTGAACCGACCCCACCTCGGACCCCGCCCTCCCGTGAGAGCCCACCGCGGGCGCGCTCCCGCGCGGCTCCTGCTCCCCGCCCTCCAACACTGATGACGCGCGCGCCTGGCGGAAGCCGAGCTTCGACATGACGGACCGCGTGGCGTGGAAGCGATTCCACAGCACGCGCGGGAACCGCTTGAGCTCCGGGAGGTTGCGCGTGCTGCCGAGCGTGCTGCCGAGCGGCGCGCTGAGGATGCCTTGGGGCTTGGGGCGGAACACCATGGGCACGAACTCCGCGCCCCAGAGGACGTCCTCCGGCACGCGGTACGTGCGGCGGCGGATCACGGTGCTGCCGGTGCCGAGGTGCGTGCCCTCCACGACCACGACGAGCTCGGAACCCGCGTCGGCAAGGAGGCCCTCGGGCGACGACCACGCCGCGAGCGGGGACCCGCTCGCCGACGTGTCGTGGCGCAGCTGCAAGAGACCGAGCACGCGCGTAGCGTCGGCGATCGGTGGCGTGACAAACGGCGGCGAATGCGCGCGAAAAAAGCAACACCGTGCATCTGTTGGTGCAGAGACGCGTCGCACGCCCGTCGTCCGAGCCGCGCACGCGGGACAGCAAAGCGCGCAAGCTCGCGCACCTCTGTTGGGAACCGCAGCCACAGCTGCTCCCCGCCCGCATCGAACCCCACCGGTAGAACCCTCTCCACCTGACTCAGGCCCTCCCGCTGCCCCTCGAGCCCCAGCGCCTGCATGTCCGCCGGCGCCACGATCCCCGCGTCCGGATCCGCCAGGTCCAGCTCCTTCCACCGGTACAGGTACATCCGCGCGGTCGCAGCCACGATTTGCGCGGTGTGCGTGTCCGCCACGCGCACCGCCACCGCGGCGCCGTCCTCCCGCGGCATCACGACCGCCTTGTTCGACAGCACAAGCGCGTTGCCCTCGCCGGGCTCCGGGAACGGCAGCGGCGCCTGCGCCGACGGCTGCTCGCGCACCACGAACAGCGACACCTGTTGCATGTCCTCGGCTTCTGGGAGGCCCGGCTGCGGCTCGACGTCGTGGAACTTGGACAGGTCGACCTTGTACCGCGCGCCGGACTGCCCGCGCGCGTCCGCGTCCGCGTCGCCGTCCCCCGCCGTGAGCTTCGGTTTATATATGCAGCTCTTGAACACACACCCCCACTGGATCTCCCGCGCGAGGTACGACCGCCGGACGAGGAACGTCGAGCCGATGTCGCTCGTACCCTGCAGCCAGAACACGATCTCCGCGTCCAGCGACGTCAGGCTCTCGTGCGTGTGCCCGTACAGCGGGCTGGCCTCCGACACCTCGTGGCACACGACGAGCGGGAGCAGCATGCGCCCGTTCACGTCCGGGAGCTGCAGCTCGTACACCTGCACCGGCACGCTCTCGCCCTCGGCCGTGCGGCGCCCCGGGCCCCACACGTACAGGAACGCCGACGCGCGCGCGTCGACGACGGGCGTCGGGCGGATGTCCGCGACGCGGAACATGAGGCACAGCGTGCCGTCGCGCCGCGCGAGGCAGACGGACTCGGACACGAACACGGAGCGCGCGCGGTACGACGGGTGCGAGATGCGCGCGAAGATGACCCCAATGAAGACGGCGTTGATGACGACGGAGACCATCGACTGGACGAACATGACCCAGTACGTGGACACGCAGTCGGTCGGGCTCCGGAAGCCGTACCCGATCGTGATCTGCGTCTCGATCGAGAAGGCCCACGCCGAGTGCCAACCCTGCAGTATAAAAACCGAGTGGGGGGGGCGGTGTTGGAGGGGTGTTGCGGGCGGCGGCGGTGGGTGCGGTCGTTTCGCACGCTTCCGCGCGTGGGGAATGGCGCGTGTGGTGGACGGAGGCAATACGCAGAGGTGGTATGTGGCCGTCGGCGCAGGCGTCCAGGGGCCTTGCGCGGCGGGGACTCGGCGTCAAGCCCGAGCCCGGTCGCACCTCGTTGAACTCCGTGAAGCAGTCCGGGTCCGCTGCGGCGATGCCGTGCCAGATGGCGCTGAAGAGCAGGATGGAGAGGAGGTATACGGCGAAGGTGACGAGGGTGACGTAGTGGAAGGGCATGTTCACGACGGTGGTGAAGAAGTCGCGCGAGACGAGGTGCCAGAGCCGCGAGAAGTTGCTCCAGGCGCCCTTCGCGCGGCCCCCGGCGTCGGGCTCGAGGCTGCCCACCCACTGCACGCGCGACTTGCCGGCCTGTTGCCCCGCGCCGATCAGCGCGGGCACGCCGAGCATGGCGCGCTCGAACTGGTACATCACGCCGCCTGCGAGCGAGCGCGGGCGCGCGCAGGGGCGTCGCGGGAGACGTCGCGCGCGCGTGCGACAACACGTGCGGGCGGCCGTTGGCGCTCTGTGGACGCGGACCGACGCCGTTTCCGCGCCTCGCGTGAAGGAGCAGTTCACGAGAGGCGCTGGAGCGAGCTGCGTCAGGGGGGTACCTTTGTCCATGGGTGCCAGCCGCCTCGCATGGTTCTTCCGCTGCTCAGTGGCATGCTGCATGCGGATGAAGGCCGGTATCTTGAGCTCCTTCTCCACGTCCTCCTGCGTCTCCCCCGACGCGAGCATGCCGCGCCTCAGGCTCGTGAACTTCCGCAGGCTCGCGCCAGACCTGATGCCCCGCGAGCTGCCCTCGCGCGAATGCGACTCCCACCCCCCGCGCTGGCTCCTCGCGGACATCTTCTGCAGCATAGAGGGGCCGCGCGAGGGCTTCGGCGCCGACGGAAGCGCCGCCCCGCCCTGGCTTCCGCCCTCATTCGCCTCCATGCTGCCCCTGAGAGGGCCCTGCGGCCTGGTGCGGAGACGCCGGCGCCTTCCCGAGTGCCTGGGTGCGCGAACGGGGATCGGTGCCAACTGAGGTCGCTGCGCGGGGGCAAAGTTGGCGGGGCGAGGCCCGCAGCTCAGCTGAGCTGGCCCCAGCGCGTCAGACGAGCCTGCGTCGGTGAGGCAGCCGACACGCGCTCGCGCTGTGGCAGCGCCGTCAGCCGCGCATCGCCAGGCGTCGCGAGCACCGGCCCGCCGTGGCAGCAGCAGCGCGCCGGACGGCGTCGGTCGACCAGAATGTGTCGCACACACACACACGCGCGCGCATAGGTGGAGCATCATCGTGGGGCTGCCAGCGGTGCCTGTCCGCGCCGCGCTGATCCCGGGCACGTGGCGGGCGGCCCGGTGAGGCGGCCGCTGGCACTGGCGCGATGGGGCGGGTCATGGCGCAGCGCACCATGACACCTTGACACAGTGGAGCCGAGGGGTTGCCCGGGCCGTGGGGCGCGGAGGCGATGCGGCATGGCGGTGAAGCGGCTGCAGGGCCGGGGCGTGTGGCAGGGCAGGGCGGCGCGCACTCGTAGAGATGAGTGACGTGCCCGGGGAGGTGGCAACGTGGGAATGTCGCGCGAAGCTCGCCGGCAAAGACCGGTTCGAGAGCGTATGTGCGGGTTTTCGCCAGGAACAGCTCGCGGTATGAGGGCCGCGGCGCCCGCCGGGCAAGTCGGGCGTGGCGCAGCGGGGTCGCTCAGCGACAGCCCCCCCGCCCGCTGCGGAGCGCCGTGCGCGGCCATCGGGGCGCGCTGTGTCCGGGCTGTTCCAGAGATACCGCTGCGATACGCGGAGGAGCGCGTGCGATGCCCCTCGCAGGGGACGCCGTCCAACACACTGGCAAGCTCAACTGCAACGCTGCCCCGCGCGGCGCTGCGACGTGACGTCACATGAGATGGTGTCTGGGGCGTCGAGCATGATCGAGAACCGCGCGGCGCATCGACGTGTGCGCCTGATGGGCGCAGGCGGGGCCGCAACGCCGCGAGATGCTGGCGCTGGCATGAGCACGAGCCTGCTGCGCCCCGGCGCCGGGGCAAACGCCGCCCGACCGGACGCGAATGCTAGTCCCAGTTCAGCGACGCCTCGCGTGCGGCCTACTTTGATCAACGGCGCACCACCCGCCTGGGAGGTGGGCCGTTTTCCTGCAGGCGTGCAGCCGCGTACCGCGCGGCCCCTGCAGCGGCCTGACGAGCGAAACCAGCCAGGCTCGACGCCCATCTGCCAGATCAGCGAGTCTCCGCGGGGAAACGCCCTGGAACAGCGCAGCACGGCCGGTGCCGCGCCTCAGAGGGGCGGAGGTGACGACGCCATTCCGGGGCCGATCAGCGACGCACAGCCGCAGGAGGACCTCGACGCGCGGCTCGCCCTGGTCCGTCAGAGGATCTCCCACATCCAGTCCATCCGCAGATCCCAGGTCCGCCCCTCGGTCCCCCCCCACGCGCCCAGAGCACTACGCCGCTGTGTGCCGCGGACGGTGCCTCGCGCACCACGCGGCGGACCCGGCGCGAAACCGCACGCGCACCACCCCACACGCCATGCGCATGCGACCGCGCCGCTCCATCGCGTCGCTCCGCAGGTCCAGGCGTTTCTGCGGCAACAGGGCGTGGCGCGGCAACACGCTGCCCACGGGGACGCGCCCGCCGAGTCCCCCGCCGCGGTCCTGGCCGCGGACCTCGCGTCCGACCTCCGCAGGGACCTCGAGCGCCCGAACTTCCCGGCCCCGGCCGGCTGGCGGCCCGGCGCAGGCTCGGACGACGACGACCCCGTGGACGCCCACAGCGCGCCAGCGCCGCGCAACGCGCCCGGCGTGACGCGCAGCGGTGCGGCCCGGGCGCCGCCGCCGTACCGCCCGCGGCCGCCGTGGCGCGGACGACGACGTCGACGCCGCGGCGCCGCAGCGCCCCCCTGGCGGGACGTCGACGGCGCCGTGCGCTGCCGCGCGCAGCAACGACCGGGCCGGCGCGCAGGCGGCGGCGCAGGGCGCGGGGACCGCGGGGTCCGGCGCGCGAACTCCCTCAATGCCGCGGCGGCGACGCCGGGCCGCCGGCCGCGCGGCGACGGCTACGACGGTGCGTCGCTGCAGTCGGTGCTCAGCACGCCGCCGCGGCGGCAGCGGGAGCAGCGGGAGCAGCAGCAGGGCGGCGAGCCGGTGTACCGCGCGCGCGTCGAGGGCCCCGCTGCGCTGATCCGCGAGGTGCGTGCGATGCGGGGGGAGTACGGACCGGGCCCGAGTCGGTTGTATGATGCGGCGTTCGCGGCGGAGGCGGCGGCGATGGAGGCCGCGGGGGGGGTGTGGGAGGGCCGTGCACGCGGGGGCGTGGCAGGGTGGGTGGACGTGGGCGCGGACGCGGGGTCGTCTGCGGCGGAGGCGGTGCGGGACCCCGGGCGGCGGGGGCGTCCGGTGGGGGACGGGTTCGGTGGGGAGGGGCTGGGGGAGGTGTTGGCGGGCGCGCGGCGGCGGAGCGGCGGGCGCGGTGCGGGGGAGCCGCAGGAGCTGTCGGAGGAGGCGCGGCGGCGGTTTGTTGGGCGCGCGATACGGGGGAGGAGTGTGCCTGACGTGTCGGACTGGGGAGGGGGGCTCGGGGAGATCCTCGCGCCCGCGCACACGAGCGCCGCGGCGCCGGAGCCGGCTGCGCGGCCCGCGCGGTCGCAGCGGCGCCTCGCCGCGCGTGCGGAGGCCGCAGGCGCTGCGGCGCACCCTGCGCCCCGGCAGCCGCGCCGCAATGCGGGGGCGGTCCGCCGCGCCCCCGAGGAGCAGTCGCAGTACATCGCGGAGCTCATCAGCGCCGCGGAGTCCGCGCTGGCGGCCGGCCGGCGCGCCAGCTGGGTCGACCCGCTCGCAGGCGCCGACGACATCCCCGTCGCTGCGGAGGAGCCCGTCCCCGGGCCGGACGACCCGTTCTGGGACCCGGTGCCCCGGCGACGCTCGCCGCTCGCCCCGGCGATGGTCCGGAAGCTCCTTGCGTTCAAGTACACCCCGGAGGCGTTCAAGAGTCATACCAAGAGGGAACCGGTCCCGGACCCCCCCGCGCGTCCCAACGGCGCGCGCATCCGGCGCCCGCACGTCAAGGGCGCGCGCGGGAAGCCCGCACTTCCGCCCGAGGCGCGCGGCGCCCGCCCGCCGCGCCCTGACAGGCGTGAAGACACCCCCCCTATCTGGCGGTCGTCGTCGCGCGGGGAGGGCAGCGGCGCGGAGGGGACGAGCCGCGCGAGCGGCGCGGGGACGTCGGCCGGCGAGTCGTGCGCGGATCCGGAGTGCGCGATCTGTCTGGTGGAGTTCGAGGAGGGCCAGGCGCTGCGGTTGTTCAAGGGATGCCGGCACGTGTTCCACGAGGAGTGCGTGTCGGAGTGGTTCAAGACGGGGGACTTCCGGTGTCCGATGTGTCGGTGGGACCCCGCGGCGCAGGGGTGGGACAGTCGGGAGGTGTGAGGGTGGTGTTGTGAGACTACCCTGTTGGTGTGTGGGTCAGTGGGGCGCAGGCAGGGTTCCGGGAAGCGGTGCATTGCGGGGCTTATGAATGGACGACCAGCTGCGAGCGTTCGCAGGTTGATACACTTCGGCCGAGGTAAACCGCGTTGTCTGAGACGCTGCCCTCTCTTCAATTGCTTCGTGAGCGTTCGCGCGTCATGAGTCATGCATGTCGCTCGGAGCAGCGCGCACGGCGCACAGGTGTCCTTCTAGCATCCGCAGCCCAACGGAGGAGCGCGCCAGAGCGTCTCAGCAGGGATGAGGCCACAACTCAAGGAATCACAATGTCGTACGCGATGTCGATGTATGGACTGTCGGGCCGCGGAGCCCGGCTCTCTGGCGCCACGCGCAGCGACTGCCCCGCCAGCACCGGCTGCAGCTTCCGCTTGTGTTCCATCAACCGATGGCAACACTCCATGAACAAAGTGTTTGGAAGTGCAGGGTCCTGCGCCAGCCGCCGCAGCCCCAGCGCCAGCCGCGTCTGGTCCGCGAGGTTCGCGCGGCGCTCCGCCTCCCCGCGCACGCGCTGCGCCACCGCCACCGCCTCGGCGCCCGCCCGCCGCGCATGCTCGACCAGCAGGTCGGGTGGGCAGCCGATCGGAGCAACAAGGGCTCCGGAGGCGGCGTCGACGGTGAGCTGGTCCTCGTGCGGCGCGGCGGGGTCGGCGGGGTGCATCTCGAGCGGGATGGCGGGGAGCGAGAGGAGCGGGGCGCCGGCGTGCGCGCCGTGGGCCTGACAGTAGCTGTGCAGCGCGGTCAGGTGGTTCCAGTACGCCGGCGTGAGGGTGTCGGCGTGCGTGGCGTACAGCACCGCGACGCCGAGCGCGTCCGCACACCTGCGGAGGAGGAGGGTGCGCGTCGCGCTCGTCACACAGCCGCACTCGCATGGTGGGGCAGGCAGGTACGTACACGCGCGTCCAGGAGCGGACAAGTCTAACAAAGCGACCGCCGGCACAACCGGGGCATGCATGACGCGTGAGAATGCAAGAACGTAGCAAGAGAGTGGAGGAAGTATGCGAGGTGTCGTGCCTGTTCTCGAGGGCGCGGACGTCCGCGACGCGCTGCTGCTGCGCGCGCACGCCCGCCAGGTCCATCTTCGCGAGGTGCGCGATCCACTCCTCCACCGGCGACCGCACGTCCAGCCACACGGTGCCAAAGCTGTCAATCGCCGTGGCGCGGCCCAAGCATATCCGCGTGCCCGCGAGGGGCTGCTCCCCCGGGAAGATATTGTACTCGTCGATCACGTCCAGCGCCCGCGCGAGGTCGAGCATGCGGTCCACCTGCAACGAACCCAAAGACGAAAACCATTCGAGAATCCTCGACTGCGCAGCCATTCGATCGCAGGGAGTGAGTGTCCGCCCGTGGCACGAGCCCCACGCACACCGTCCCCGCCGCCCGCACCTGCTGCGACGGCGGCAGCGCGCTCAGCGCCGCCGTGTGCGTCACCGACACCCCCCGCCCGAACCGGAACGCCGCCCGCATCGACCCCACGCGCGCCCGCACGCCCATCATCTCCGCCTCCTGCCGCCGCAGCACCTCCGCCGCCTCCTGAACGAACTGCGCCAGCGGCAGATCGGCCCCGTCCAGCTCCGCCGCCAGCCCTTGCGACCATGCATGTGCGGCGTCGTCGTCCTGCCGCCACGCGTCGCGCTCCGGATCGTGCGCGGCGCCGCCCTCGATGAGCCCGACGGCCACGAGGAGCTTCCGCAGCGCGCGCGCGACCGGCGCGGCCGGGGCGCCGCCCAGCGTGCGATGCGGGGGGGGGAGTGACGCCGCCACCTGACGCAGGCCCGCGTCGGGCCCGCCGTCGGGCTCGCGCAGGAAGAACTTCACCCGCAGCGCCCCCGTCGACTCCCCCAACCCCCCCTGCGCCGCCCCCGACGATCCAAACCCTAACCCTACCTGCATGCGGATTGCGAACAGGCGCACGCCCCGGTCGGCACCCTGAGCGCGCCCCGCGGACCGCCTAGTGCCGAGGCAGCGTCTGGGGGCGCGGCACGACCCCGCACCTCGCTCAGGTACTGCTGGAGCGCCTTGAGCGACGTTTCGTTGGTGGCGCGCTCGACGGGACTGTCGTGGAAGAGGTCCGGGTGGACGAGGCGGTAGAGGCCGCGGAGCTTGCGCTTGAGCTCGGCGTGCCCGGTGTCGCCGGCCGCGTACCCGCGCGCGAAGGCGGGGGCAGCGGGCGGTCTGTGAGGGCCCCGGCGCGCGCATGAGGCTGCGTTTCTCGGGTGGTCGTGCGCGGTACGAGATGCTTGGGAAGTGACTGCACTGCGTGCATCGCCGGCGCCCATCTCTCGGCCGCACCCGCACACGGGGGCCGCCGTGAGCCCGTCCGTGAGCTTGTGCACGGCGCGGGCGTGCCCCAGAGCCCGACGAAGGGCGCGCCGTGCGGCCGTCATGCTACGCTGAATCCACACTCGCGGCCAGCACGGCGCTCATCGCGCCTCCACCACTCCCGCCCCCTTTCTGTGCCCTGAAAGCGCTCGCAGCAATCGAACCACGCGAAACTTACGCCGTCTGCTCCATCCACTACCTCGACCTACAGCCAGAGGACACGGCGCGAGTGCGTTGGCTCCGGGAGGACGCGCGCACAACGCGCCGCGGCCTCATTCCCCCCTGATGCGGTGACCACCCCCACGCCCGTGCAGGCAGCGCCGGGCCCGAGGGCGCGCCGCGGCGCGGCGTACGAACAACCACGCAGGAGAGAGACGTGCGGTACGGCTTTCCAGGCGCGCATGGCTGGCTCTCTCCGTCGCGCGAGGGCAGCGTAGGCTCCGCCAGCTGGGAGGGCACACGTCCGTGCAGGGGCCGCCGGGGGCGTGAGGAGGCGCGATGGCGGCCGCGCAGCACACGCTGAACTTCCTCGCGCAGACTCGCGCGGCGGGACTGCCCGAGTTCGCCGTCAATCCGGCAGGTGCGCCGCGCTTGATGCTGCCGGGGCTCCTGACCGGGCCGTTGCCGCAGCTCAGGCGGTCTCACGCACCGAACACGTGGCGCGGAGATTGATAGGGAAGCTGATATTGGTTAGCGATGGATGACGGGCTGTCTTGCCCGCTGACTGCGGCGCACGCCACGTCGCATTGGCCTGCTGAGCATGCGCGTGCGGGCGGCACGCATTCGCGGGGGTCGCCGGGCGCCGAAACCGCCCGTTTCCCTACATCCATGTCCTCTCGCTCCCCCGAGGGGACGGGCGCGGGTGTCGGAGAGCGATGCGCGGTGCAGTCGGGCGTCACCACTCTGCCTCTGACTCCCACGGCACTCGCAGAAACAACGCGGAGCGAGGCGTCTCGCGCGGAATCTAGCCGCACGGAGCCCTCCATCGTCGACGGCAAGGTCCCGGCGGTCCGTTTCGCGACCACGCTGGGCTCCACAGGCATGACGCCCGCGCAGTTTGGCCTCACGTCCGACCCCCTCGCTCCGTGGGCGGCGCGGCTGACCCGGCGCGGGAGCGCGAGGGGCCGCGTCATGACCGAGTCCGGCGGCCAGGTGCTTCTCCGCGGCGACGCGCTCACGGCGTTCTCCGGCCGGATCGGCACCATGCCCCCGCTGAGCCTGCCAAACTACCAAAAGCACCTCGCCGCCGACCACGAGGGGTTCGAGAGGGACCTGAAGGGCCCGAGCGTCTCCACGTACATCCCGGAGGCCGACCTCCCGCGCCTGAACCTCACGCACGAGCAGGCACGTCGCCCCTTGATGCACACTCCAAACACCTCCTAAGCCGGAGCCACCCACCGCCCGAGTGCACACCGGCGCCGCTCCCGCGTCCGCGCCGCGCAGGTCGAGCGTCTGGACCAGCTCCTGCGCGCGTTCGTCCAGGGGCTGTCTCCGGACTCGATGTTGATGTCGCTGGAGGCCTGGCTGGGGCTGCTCAAGGTGGTGGAGGGCGCGCTCGGACACAAGCTGTACACGGACGACATGCTCACGGCCGACGATAACGCGTTCACGGGCGTCACGGTGCTCGAGGTGCTGCAGCGGTCCTGGGCGGCGCTCCTGGCGCACGTCAACGCGCGCATCGGGCTGGAGGCCGGCGCGGTGCCGACGGGCGGGCAGCGCGCGCTGAACGCCGTGCGCGCGGAGATCCGGAAGTTCCTCGCGCAGGTCGACCAGGTCCACGCCGAGATCTCGCGGACCATGCCGCCCATGTCGCGCGCCGAAGGTGCGCACCTGGCGGCTCGACACAAACCCCCCCCCCCTCCCCCCTCCCCGCGCGCGACAGCTCCGCCTGCGGGGTCGCGACCGCTCGCGCCGTCCCGCGTCGCGCCACGTGCTCCGCGGCCCGTTGTTATGCTTTTCTACTGCACCTGATTCAGAAACACCCCCCTGCGCTCTTCGCAGGCCGCACGTCCCACGCGATGTCGCGCGCAGGCTCGACCAAGTCCCGTGCGGGCGGCGCGGACCCGGAGGAGGTCCGGAAGCTCCAGGGCGTCGTGCGCACCCTCCAGGGCAAGCTCGTGGCAGCGGAAGACTCCAGGGCCCGGCTGGAGGTGCAACTCCGCGGCGCGGAGACGGAGCTGAGCGACGCGCGGACGGACATCCGCTCGGTGATGCATTCGTGGGAGCGCCTGGAGTTCCTGCAGGACCGGCAGGGGCAGGTTGCGAGTTTTAATTTGTACGCGGGGCGCGTGGCGGAGCTGGCGCACAAGCTGCACGCGACGTCGGACAGGCTGGGGCGGGTGTCGGACCGGCTCGCGGGCGTGGAGGCCGGGAACAAGGATTTGGAGGCGGCGCTGGCGGAGACGCAGGGGAGTCTTCAGAAGAAGACGGCCGAGGTGATGGATCTGAAGTCCACGCTGGTGGCGTGCGGGGAGCGCATCGACGGACACCAGAAGAAGGCGGAGGTGCGCAGCGCGGAGCGCTTGCGCTCCAAGCAGGCCTGCGTGTCTCGAAGCGTTTGCCAGCAGACAGGCATCCAGGACTGGCTGTGGGTGTTTCGCAACACCGACCTTTGCTGGTGTTATGCGTGCGCGTGTCCGCAGGAGGCGTCGAAGCAGTTCGAGCTGGTGAACGAGCAGATGCGCAAGGCCGAGGTCGCGACGAAGCAGGCGCGCGAGCTGCGGGACGTGGCGGAGCGGGAGCTCACGGAGACGCGCCAGGACAACGCGCGCCTCACGTCCGAGGTGGAGCGGAAAGCGCGCCGCCTCGAGGTGCTGGAGCGCGAGGTCCGCGAGCTCAAGGGCATCAACGAGAGCCTCGAGTTCCGCATCGAGCGCATGACGGCGGAGCACAAGGAGACCTCGGAGAAGCTGGAGAGGCTCGAGGGGCTGATGGCGAGCATGGACGGGGAGGCCAAGGGCCAGATGTCGGGGTTCCAGCGCGCGGTGGAGCGCGCGAACGCGCAGGTGCTGCGGTGGAAGCAGCGCATGGACATGATCAAGCACCAGGTCCGCATGATGCTGGACGTGGACGTGGGGCCGCTGCACGTGGCCATCGGGGAGACTGCGCAGGGCGCGCGGAGCTTGCTGGCGAAGGAGCGGAAGTGGGCGGTGTCGCAGATACGCAAGCTGGGGCAGATTGCCACGACGATGGTGGCGGAGCGGGACGCGAAGATCGCGCAGCTGCACTTGGACGCGGAGCGCGCGGCGGAGGCGTCGGCGAAGCGCGAGGGGGAGCTGAAGGCCAAGGTCCGGGAGCGCGACCTGCGCGTGAAGAAGCTGTCGGGGGAGCTGCTGGATAAGGACAAGGTGATTGCGTCGCTGACGAAGCAGCTGGAGGAGACGATGAGCGCGCTCGCGGGGGAGCAGCGGCAGCTGCTGGAGGCGACGGCGGCGCTGGCGGCGACGCGGGAGGAGCTGGCGGAGGCGCAGAAGAAGCTGAAGAAGCTGGAGGAGCTGCAGACGTACCTGGCGACGATCCAGGAGGAGAACGCGAAGCTGAAGAAGGACAAGGCGCAGGTGGAGAACAAGCTGAAGAGGGCGCTGCTGAACGTGGACGAGGGGCGCGAGGAGGTGGCGCGGCTGAAGGCGCACGTGAAGGACTTCGTGGAGCAGGTCCGGGGGCTGGAGGGCGAGGTGGCGGTGCGGGAGCGGCGGATCGAGAAGCTCAAGGGGGAGCTGGCGGACCTGTCGAACGAGTGCTCGCAGCTGACGAAGGAGTACGCGCAGGAGAAGCAGCGCGGGGAGTACCTGGACCAGGAGGTGGAGAAGCTGCAGCAGCAGATCGAGGAACTGCAGAACTCGTCGGTGCACTTGTTGGCGGACAAGTACCGGCAGCTGATCGAGCGGGTGGTCAAGGTGAAGCGGACGGTGCACAAGGACGCGAAGCAGAAGGCTCTCGAGCGCGTGAAGTCGGCGCGGCGGTCGCGCGCGGTGTCGCTCGGCGGCGCGCTCAAGGGCAAGGACGACAACGAGTGGGGGCTGATGAACGAGGTCAGCGCGGACGCGCTGGGCATTCCGGACGAGCCGGAGATGGAGGTGCGGCGGCGCACGAAGAGCCAGCCCGCGGACAAGGTCGCCGCGCCGGCGGCCGAGGGCGACGCGGACGCCGCGGGCGCGGAGGGGGGGGAGTTGGGGCAGGAGGCCAGCGCGGGGAGTGTGGAGCCGACGGAGGAGGAGCTGGTGCGGGCGCTCGAGCAGGCCGACGCGGAGCAGCGGAGAAAGGACGCGGAAGCAGCAGCAGAGGCGGCAGCGGCGGCGCAGCGGCCGTTGTCGGCCCCCGAGGCTGCAGGGCCGCCGGCGGGGACGGTGACGGCGAAGGTCGAGGGCGAGGCCGAGGACGATCTTCCGCTGCCCGAGAAGTCGAAGAGCGCCATCGACGACCCCGCGGGGGCGTTCCTGTCGCCGCCGCGGCGCGTGCCGGGGGCCGAGGCGGTGGAGGCGCCGGTCGCGAAGGGGCGGAAGCGGCGCGTGAGCTTCACGGCGGTGCAGTCCGGCAGCGCGATCGAGGGCGAGGAGCCCCGCAAGTTCCACGTCAATGCAATGATGAATCTTCCCGACCTGGACCAACTGGGCGATCTGGGGTCCGCGGACGACATCGAGGAGCTCTTCACGATCCTGGACTCGCTCGAGCCGCTGATGCCGGAGATCGACGAGAACGGGACGTACCGGATGGTGCTCGAGGAGCGCTTTGGGACGTGGCGCATCGCGCGGGGGGGGGTGTTGACGATCCAGGGCATCACGCGGAACTTCCCGGGCGTGCTGATCCCGCCGCTGCCGCGCAACATCGAGCCGCGCGAGATCGCCAAGGCGCAGACCAAGCAGCGCGAGCCGCCCGAGGACTTCCAGCGCGCAGCGCTGCCGCACGCCGTGCCGCCGGCCGCGTTCCGGATGCGCAAGCCGATCCCGGGGATGCGCGAGTGGGTCGAGCGACACCTCGACCGCCGCGTGCCGCTGCGCGTCGCGCAGCAGGGCCCCGAGGACGCGGACATGAGCGGTCTGGATGACGCAGCTGCAGACATTGGCACGCGGCAGCCGCGCCCGCCGTCGTTCATGGGCGAGCGCACGGGGACGCGGTCGGAGTCAGGGACGCCGGCGCGGCAGCGCAAGTCGCCGACGCGCGGGAAGAGGGCGTCGCGGCGCACGGCGGGGGGCAGCCCGGATCATAGTCTCCGCGGCGGCACCGTCAAGAGCGGCGAGCTGTCGGACCCCAAGGGGGAGCCGCACGGCGGCAGCAGGCACGTCGCGAGCCTGCCGCTGGGTGGGCCGAGGCCGGTGTTGCGGACCGGGGAGGACACCGCGTCGCCAGTGCTGTCGCGGTTTGCCAACCCTGAGGCGGCGCGGAGGGGGGACGCGACGGAGCAGTACACCGGGATCGCGTTCAAGCGCAAGACGAAGAAGCCCGGGGCGCGCAAGAGCCCTGCGCGGAAGTAGCCCGGGCCGGTTGTGAAACGCCCGGTGACGAGCGCCCGGCGTGGAACGCCGGCATCGAACTGTGCGCGGCCGCGCCCTTGACGAACGGCACATGCCAGATGTCGTGCGTCTGGTGGGGCCGCGAGCACGCCCCCTCCCATACAGGTGACAGCAGGCAAAGTGTTAATTGACGTGTGTTGCTTTTTTTTGCACAGAGAGGACAGCACAACTCCGCTCGCGGACCCCAGTAGACACGTTCGTCGTACGGTCATTCTTTGTTACAGTCTAGCGGCGTCCTAGGTACCGGCTCTTGGATGAGCGACCTTCCTTTTCCTCTTATCGTGTAGCTCGACGTTGGTCGACGTGGCGCGTGCGACCGGGGTCCCTGTGCTTGGGTCAGCGCGTATCGCGCGTCGCCGAGAGCAGTGATGGAATGGAGTGGCAGTCAAAGCATAGTTCCTGGCCCTGTATTTGCAGGCGGTTCTGCGACGCGGGTAGGCCAGGGGGCAGGGCGGAGAAGCGAACGGGGGGCAAAGGGAGGGGGGGGCGGGGACAGCGGGGGAGGGGTGTCGGATCATGGGCCGGACAGCCGTCTCAGTGATGGTTGAAAAAGGGGGCTTGGGATTCGGGTGCCCGTCCAGGGGCCTCGCAGGACGTATTTGTGTGCGAACAAACGGCGTGGAGTGGGTTCTTGCGCGGGAAGAGCATTCCGTGCCGCGGAGTCGAAGGGAGGGGGTGTCTGAGGGCGACACCCCCAGCGCACAGGGCCTGGCGCCGAGCCTGGCGGCGTCAGGGCTGCGAGCTTGCTTGGCGTCCGGTGTGCGGCTCGGTACGTCTCTGTGCGACGTGGAGCGGCCTTCCGCGGCCGGAACCACGCGCACGGCGCCGCGCTCGCACCCGGACGCTACTGTGAACAATTGTGTGTGGCCTCGCTGAGCGTGCCATGCGACCTGGCCCGAGCGGCCAGTGCAGGGCCCTTGTATTCAGAAGGGAGGTGTCGGCAGGATGTGTGCCTCAGTGCGCGCCGCTCCTCGCGGCGTTGCGTTGGGTGCAAGGGGAAGGGAGCAACCGCTCCCGGGGGGACCTAGATCTCGCAGAGTCTTGACCGAGTGGCGCGCGACGAGCGCCGGCCAGCTGCGGAGCTCGCAGCGGTGGCCCGCGCGCGGCCGCCGCCGCTCAGACCGCGCCAAACTCCGACACCCCGCGCTGGCGCCCCAGGTGCAGCCCGGCCTCCTGCTCCGCGGCCCGCAGCGACTCCCGCCGCTCCTCCTCCATCGCCTTCCGCTGCGCGTCGATCGCCTCCCGCGTCGAGAGCGGCTTGCCCGCCAGCTGCCTCCCGCGGTACTTGTTCAGCAGCGCCACGGGGTCGCCCCCCCTCTTCAGGACGGCCATCGCCGCCGCGGAGAGCCCCTGCGACGGCGACACGCCGTTGCTCGACGTGGGCGACCCCATCTCGGCGCTCTGGCACGCCATCACGAGCTCCGCGGGCGCCTTGCCCTCCCGGAACTCGTCCATGGCGCACTGCAGGGCCTGCTGCAGCCGCTCGCGCTCCAGCACCTCCCGCGGGCCCACGTGCCCGACCTCCGTCACCGCCCACGTGAGGAAGTCCCGCTCGCACAGCGCCTGGAGCGCCTCCTTCAGCCGCGGGAGGATCGCGTAGCACTGCGGCATCTCCCCGCCGGACTCGGCCTTGAGGATGCGCACCACGTGCTCGAAGTCGCTCAGGATGCGCGCGACGTCGCCCTCCTTGAGCGGGGGCTGCGGGCGCTCGGGGTGCGCGAGCCGCGCGAGCATGGTCAGGTCGGACTTGGGCAGCCGCGGGAAGAAGAGACTGATCATGTCCTCGACCGTGACGTGCGAGCGGTCCTGCTTGTCCAGCCGGCGGTACATGTCCACGTCCATCGTCTGCAGCGCCTCGCGCGCGCGCTGGCGGCGGCGGGTCGTGAGCACCTCGTTCGGGGCGCCCGCGCCCGTCGGCGACGGCGCGGTCTCGCTGCCGTTCTTCTTGATCGCCGTCATGTACCTGGGGGGTGTTTCGAAGCCGGGGAGGGGGGGTGTCAGGGGCTGCGTGTCAGGGGCCATGCGCGTGCCCGGCCGCGGATGCATCTGCCTGGGCACTGCGCGTCGCTTTGCTGCCGCGCCACAGGGGCTGTCGTGTCTCACCTGCGGAAGACGGCAGGGGTGATCTTGCCGGTGCCGAACCCGCGCGCGAACGCGGCCATGTCGACGTACACCTCCACGATCGTCATCAGGTCCGCCACGCGCAGCGACATGGGCGGCACCGAGATCCGCACCACCCCGCCCTGCACCTCGCCCACCTTCATCGTGCTCACGGGGACCGCGGTGCCGGAGGGCGCGCGGGTCCACCCCCCGGGGCTGCTGACGTCGTCCGCGAGCGCGCCGTTGAGCGACAGGCTCCCGCCGCGCTCGGGCAGCTCCAGCGAGCGCCGCGGGCCAGAGCTGCCCCCGGGGGCGGTCATCGTGGCCGAGCGCTTCATGCAGCGCGCGTCCAGGGTGTCGGCGACGACGGAGAGCCGGCTCTTCTCGAGCGGGCACGCCCCGGCCCTGAGCGGGGCGGGCGCTCGTCGCTGGGAAGGAGACAGAGAGGGGTCCCTGCGCGGGGGAGTGTTTTGTGGGAGGTGCGCTCCGGGAGCCGTTCGGGCGCCTGCGGCACCGTGGGCGGCGGGGAGCGCGGGGTGCGGGGTGCGGCGGCGCGGGGGCGCACTTGCTGGGGGACGCGTCGCCTCCTGTGCTCATGGAGCGGGGCCGTTGCGCGACGCGCGGCGGGCAGGCTGTGCGCGCTTGCACGTCGACGCTCTTCTCGCGGTGGAGGGAGCCGTTCTTCAGCGTCTCGCGGTCCTTGGAGAAGTGATCATTGAGCTCCCTCTTGAGCTGGTTGAAGTCTGCGAACAAGAGAGCCGGGCTGGTGTCTTCGCAGCGGGCCGGGACAGATGCTGAAGCATGGGAGGTCAGGCTGGGCGGGCCCGGCGGGCACTGGAGGGCGGAGCCGCGACGTGGGCGGTCCCGGGTACCGAACAGGGCAGTTTGGACTATCAGGGGTGGCGCTAGCGGAGCACGCGGCGGCTTCGAGCAGGGACGGACGCCGCCTCGGTGCCCTCGCGACAGGCTCGCTCGTGCAGCGCATCCCGCGGGCGCGGACGGTCGCGCCGGCGGCGGCGGGGGGCGAGCTTGTTGCTGGGGGCACTAGCCAGCGCAGCGGGGGGAGGGGGCGCGGCCGTGGAGCTCGGCTCGTCGCTTTCGAGTCTCGATAATCTGGGCAGCCCACGCGCGCGGGCGCGACGGCTTTCAAGGCCACGGTGGCGGCGCAGCTGGGCCCCTCGAGGGGCGCGCTCGGGCCCTCGGCAACCGCCCTCGGCATCGGCCCGGCTGCGACGGCGGCCCACGCGGCGCGAGCGCATGCGCGTTTCGAACTTTCGTGACCAGGGCGCTTCCCGGCCTTGGGCGCGGGGGGCGCACCGCTGCTGCCGCAGGGGAGCGAGGGGCTCCCCTGGAGCAGCTGCTCCATTTTGGCCAAACGGTCCGCGAGCCCCGCGGCGGGCTCGTCGACGGCCGCGCCTCCCATTGCGCAGACGGATGAGCGATGCGTCGGTTCGGGCGTCGAGGGCGCTTGTCTCGCCCGTTTGCAAGCGCTGCGATGCGGCCTCGCTCCCACCGCGCAGTGTGCGCCAATCGATGCGGCGGTAACGCAAATCCACGACGGCACACTGTCGGCGCCGAAGTGTCGCATCGTCGCGCGGCCCCGGGCAACGGCGCAGCCTGAGGCATAGGCACCAGGTCACCTGAGGTGCCTTTAGAGCCCTGCGGCTGCGGTCCGACCAGGCCGCGAAAAGTCCCTCGACATCCACCAGGGCGCAGTTTGTGTTTCTTGTCGCGCGCACCGCCATCGAACGGCGTCTCTTCACCGCGCACGACCGCGGGGCTCCACTCTCCCTTGCTCGCACCCCATCGAGCGTCGTCGAATCCGCGATAGCCGCCGCGCACGGTGCTGAGTCCGCCTCGTCGGGGGCCCTGACGGCCGGCGCGACCACGCGCCGATATCCGCAGACTCGTCCAGCCACGCAACGACGGCCGAGACCCCTTGACCTGGGCCTGCGGCGGAGTTGTAGCGACCTACAACCTGCGGTGCGACGCGGCCGACGCGCGTCGAGCGGGAGAATCACGTCCCACGCATCCTCCCTCACGAGAGGAAGGGAGCACGCGGACCCAGAGACAGCCGGCAGCGAACAAACTGTCGCGCGTCGAGGGCCCTGTGACGCGACACCCGTGAGCGCCCTTCCGTGACGGTTGACAGAGCGAGTCGCGGGCTGGGCCACCAGGCGCGATCGGGCCGGCGAGGGAGACGCTCGCCCTCGTGGCCGCGCGGGCGTGCGCTCCTCGTCGCTGCTGCCACGGCGGCCGAGCACCCCCAGTGCCCACGGACGTGCGCCGGGCACGGTCGGAGAGGACCACCGCCTTGGTACGGGACCGCCGCCTTGGCAGTCGCGACTCGCGCGAGGACACACCATAGAAAAGACCATTTGTCCTCTCTTTGAGACATGATGAACAACAGAGAAGAAGAATCGCAGATGCGCTCACAGATATATGGTTCGCGGCGCGCGACGCGCGCGCGATGCGGTCGGGGCAGCGGCTCGCGTGATCTGAGATGAGGCTGGCGCGCCACTGGCGGCGTGGTCGGGGCGCTGCGGCAGCCATCGCCCCTCGGAGCGCTCTCGTGTGCGAGGGCAGGTGATCCGTGCGCGCGGCGCGAGTCGTCGCTGGGGCTGGATCGCCTGTGCACGCGCAGCAGCCTCTTGGAGAGGCGCGGTCCGCTGCGGGGCGCTCTGAGGGATGCAGGGAATCGTGGAGGGGGGTGAAAGTGATGTGTTAGCCAGGGATGATGTTGTTGCGTGAGACGCATCGGGAGCGCGGCCGGAGGTACCCCGGTGCCGGACTCCGATCACGCAGAATAGAGGCAGGCGGTGAGGGGGGGGTCGGAGCAACGCGAGTCTTGAATCACGCCACGGAGCCGGAGATGGGAAGAATGTGGCGAGGTCTAGGTGGGCAGGTTTGCCGACAGCCCCGGAATGTCAGACGGGGCGCCGTGCGGCTCAGACGCAGTCCTCGAGCATGCCGTCGGGGGCGGGAGAAGGCAGGGGGGGGTTGGGTGGAAAAAAACTGCCCGCACGCACGTCAGGTGATCCGACCGTGCGTGGCGCGGAGGGAAGAACGAAGGGGGCGGCGCTGCTGCGCTCCCCGTGAAAATCGGCGTTGCGGGCCAGCGTCACGCCGTCTCGTCTGCGAAGCGCGCCAGGCGGGACCGTCCGCTCTCCCGCGTGAGCGGCGTCTGGGGCACCAGCGCGCCGCCGCTCTCCGAGAAGGTGCGCGGCGCGCTGCAGTGTGCGGCCGCGGCGCCCTCGCCCGTGGAGGACCCGCCGGTGGCGGACAGGCGCCCGCGCACGAACCGTGCCGACTTGCAGCGCTTGGTGCGCGCGCTGAGGGAGTTCCCGCTGCAGGGCGCGGAGGGGCGGACGCGGAGGCGGTCAGGGGGGCGGCGAACCGGCGCGCGGCGCGACCGGCAACTCGCGGCGGGGTCGCGGCGTGTGACCTTGACCCGTGAGCCTGCGCGTTTGCTGCGCGGGCCGCGTGCGTTCCGGAGGGAGGTTTCGCGCGCCGCGGGGGGCGAGCACTTACGGGTCGGTTTGAGAGGCGTCGCGTGTCGCGAACTTCAACGTCTTCACTTTCGGCGTCCCGCGGTCGGAGCGGGGGGAGCCAGTGGCGCTGCCACCGCCCACGGCGCTCGCGGCGCGCTCCCGCAGCTTGACCATGAAGAACGCCGGGTCCTTCGAGAGGCCTGCAGCGGAGCGGAGGCACCGCGCGCAACGCGTCAGGGTGCGTGTGCGACCCGCGCGCGCAGAGGTCCTCCTACGTGCAGCTGAACGGACACATGGCTGCGGGGTGCGGCGGCCGGCGCGCGCGAGGGGACGCCGCCGCGCGAGCAAAGGACTTCATGCATGTGGAACGCCCGAGGCGCCGAAAACGGTCGGCGCGCACGGCGTGGTTCGCTGCGCAGTGAGGGTGGGACGCAGCAGGCACGCGCCCTGAAGCGCGCCTCGAGGTGTCTCAGCCGTCGCTGCGCCGCCCGCGTGGCAGCAACGAGGTGTCTTGTGTCGGGTGCGCACCTGACTCGAGCCCCGAGGGCCGCTGGCCCTGCTGGCGCAAGGTCATGTTGTGCTCGAGCTGGTGGAGCATGTCTTCGAGGGCTGGCTCCGCATCGTCGTTGACGATTTCGATAAACTCATCCTCTGAATCACTGTCGAGCTCGACAAAGATCTTCTTAGGCGCTGGCGCGGTCGCTCCGCCGCTGCTTATCATCGTGAGGGGAAACGCGCCTGTGAGCGAGGGTGTCGCGCCACAAGTAATGCAGCGAGGTAAATTGGGATCTTTCGACAAATCGTGGCGCGCCCAAGGGGTCGGCCGGCCTTGTCACGCCCGCGCGCAACCGTGCCGCTCGTGCGTCAGGAGATACGTCAACCACCGTCATGCTCGGCCGGAACAACCCCGGCGCGCGAACCCGGCCACCCGACACCCCCATACATGCTGCACGTGCGACCGTGCGCGAGTCGGAGCACGGACCGCCTCGGGACCCGCCTCGGGACCCGCTCCCGCCCACATCCTGTGCCCGCGTGTCTCCCACGGGCTTCATGGCGCCGACCGGCCGCGAGCGCGAGCGCGGCAGCGCAACGCCCGTGCGGCGCCGCGCGGACCGCTGGCCGCCACGGCACCCCTGCACGCGATGCCCACGCGGCATCTCGCGGGGCGTAGCGACGCAGTGTCAACGTGCACGAGGCACGTTGCGCGGCAGGCAACGGAGCGGTGGCGGGGCCGCGGGGACGGCATGTGTCCGCTTCCTTGTGGCTCGCATCACATGCCTTGCGTGCGGGAAGGCAGGCTGCGCGGCGCCGCAGTTGGCACGAGGTTGTGCGTTTGCCACGAAATGCTCAGGCGACGGAGCGTCACGAACGACGTGCGCTCCAGGGCCTGTGCAGGGTAGCTGGCGTGCGGGGAGGTGTGGGCGTGAGGCCATCGCTGGCTGCCCCTAGGCGTGGCGTGGCATTGTACAGTGCAGCGTTCGGAAGATTGCCCGGGTTCGCACAGGCCGGGGCAGCAGGTGCCAGGGCGGAGAACCGGGGAGCACGGGCCGAGGCACGCGGGTGTGGCCCGCGCGGAGGAGTCCGGTGGGGCGGAAACGGAAGGGAGGGGATCGCAGTTGAGACGAGCGCACCTCTCATGAGTGGCTTGAAGAAGAGGGCGGGCGTAAATATCTCGGTGCCCTGTTGGTGTCAGTGGCAGACCGGAAGGTTCGAATAGTGCCGGGGAGGGATGGGGGGGGGTTCATTACCGTTCCTTGGCAGGCTGAAGATCACTTTGACTAATATGACGTACAGAGCCTGGAAATCAACTCTCAACTCTACTCGCGGGAGGGCAGGGGGTCGGGGGAGGGGCCGTGCGTGACGTACGCTGCCATCGATCACGTCACGCCGGCGCGAAATAAGAAAAGGGAGGGGGGGAGGGGGGGGTTGGTTGTAAACGGTCGATGCCCACATGTCGTCGTGCATGGGTACAGAAAGAAGCCGGCGGTTGCCACGCACCGTGGCGGGTGCGGCCTCGCTTCCCGCGTCACGGCGCCGCGCCAGCGCGGGCCTTCGAGGGCGCGCGTCCCGGGCGGTTGAGGGGCGTTGCGGCCACGATCGACTGACCGCTCTCCGAGACAGCGCGCGGCTCGCTGAAGCTCATGGCCGAGGTGTTCGCGGCCGTGGAGGCGCCGTGCGCGGAGGAGAGGCGCCCGCGGACGACGTGCACGGACTTGCAGCGCCCGCGGACAGATACGCCACTGCAGAATATCAGGAGAGACGGCGCGCTCGTCAGGCGGTAAGCGAGCTGGAGAGCGGCGGAGACTGAATCTGCCTGAGTGATAGCATGCTCGACGCGCATTCGACGGCTTGTCGGAGCAGCCAAGCGGCGTGGCTGCGCCCGGCCCTTAGCTCATAGGTCCGCGCACTCAGGCTTGGCGCGAAGGGCGGACGCGGGGCGCCGGAAGGCACGCGGGCACTCACGGGTCGGTTCCAGACACTGCGCGCGTCTCAAACTTCACGCGCCGGGTGTCCTTGTCCGAAGTATCTCCAGCCCCTCCGCCGCCGCCCAGCGCGCTGACGGCGCGCTCCCGGAGCTTCGCCATGAAGAACGCCGGGTCCTTCGAGATGCCTGCACACGGAAGTGCGCGCGAGGACGCGTGATCGCGCGTGTGCGACGTAAGCGCGCGCGAATCCCACCATGCGCCCTGCGCAAGGGGCACGTCGCGTCGACGGGCGACGTCCGCCGACGCGAGGCCTCGCAGAGCACGCAAGCGAGGATCTCACATCATGTCACGCTTCTGGAGCCGTGAGCGGCCGCACGCACGGCGAACCGCCGCGGCAGCGACGAGGAATAGGATCAGATGCACTCACGGCGGCTCGGGCCATTTCAAGCGTGCGGAAACACCTCCGTGCCATCTGCGCCATCCGTATGACGACCATGAGCTGGGTCGTCCTCGCGGGGGCCGAGATTCCGTGGAGCGCACCTGTTTCGAGGCTCCCCGCGGCCTGAATGCCCTTGTGCCGCAACTGCAGCTTTCTCTCGAGCTGCCTGAACATGTCCTGGAGCTCGGGCTGCTTGTTGTCGACGAACTCCATCACGTCGTCGTCGTCGTCGCTGTCGATCTCGACGAACACCTTCTTGACGCGGTGTGCGGGCGCACCAGTGACTGGGTTGCGCATCGTGGGGCCGCGGAGGGGGGGATGGCGCCGCGGGGGGGCGAAATAAGAATGCTTGGACGAATTGCGGTGCCGCCAGGCGGCCGGCCCCGTCCTCCCCGCACGCGGCAGCGGCGCTCCTGGCGTCAGGTGCAGCAACCCCCCCTGTCTGACTCATGATGATGACGCAGGCGGCCCGGGCCGACGACTGCGCGAGTCCGGCCACCCGAGACACCCGCACGCGCAGCTGGAGAGATAGCGTTCCGGCGCCACACGTGGACAGCGTCCCCCGATTTGTCCCGCAGGGAGACGCTTGCCGTCGTTGCTGCGGCAAGCGCGCACACGGCTCCCTGCGCGGCGGGCGGCGGCACGGCGAGGGCCCCACCGCGCGGACTCTTGTATATCTGGTCGGTCTGACTCACATGAGGTGCGCACCGAAGATCCAGGTTCCCTACGCAGCCGCGGCGGGCCAGAGGGCGCCACTGCGTGGTGGTGCGCCGCTGGGGGTGTGCGCACCGGCGTCAGCCCGTCGTCCGCGAACGGGTGATCGAGCTGAGGTGTTGCGACAAAAGCTCAGTGCCACGCCGCCCTGGTGCGAGGCAGGGGGGGTGCGGGAATACTGAGGGGGGGTCCTTGCTTCGAGCGCGTGGGGAGGGGGGGAGAGGGGCGGGTCATTGTCGAGAGTGTGACTCTGGAAGGTAGACGACAGAGCACAGTCTGGGCACGGACGGAGGGGGTCGTTTTGATCGCCATCGCGGGGGAGGCGGGGTCGCAAATCACGCGTCAGGTGCGGGTAGCGGGTGCGGGGTGATGGCGTCCGCGTTGCCCACCGCCTGAGCAGCGAGGCCACGTTCTTGCGCACGACGCCTTGCGGAGACGGTAAGAGGGGCACTGCCTGGCGTTTGTTGATGATGTTGTGTTGTTCCTGTTATACTTTCAAGGTGCGGGGAGGGGAGAGGGGGGGGTGTCAAGGGGGGGGAGGGGGGTCGGGCTGATGCACGGGCGCAAACCCCGACCAAAAAGCGGAGAGGTGGGTTCCGGGGGGGTGTACAGAGCGGGCGCGAGGGGATCGAGGGGCGTCCCGCGCCCCGCGTCACGTCGCCGTCGCGCCGCCGCTTCACCAGTCGTAGCGCGTGACGCGCACGACCTCGTCCGTCGCGGACTCCCCCTCGATCCCCGCGGCCTCCTCCTGCTCCGGCGTGGCGTCGTCGCCGTCGCCGCCCGCCATGGCCAGGAGGTCGTCCGGGTCCGACGTGCTGGCCAGCGCGGCCTTGCTCGTGACGCACGTGCTCACGCCGTCCGCGTCGACCACCGCCACGTCCCCGGGCCGCAGCGACCGCGTCAGCAGCGCGTCCGACAGCTTGTCCTCCACCAGGCTCTGCACGGCGCGCCGCACCGGCCGCGCGCCGTACTCCGGGTCGAAGCCCTCCGCGACGACGAAGTCCACCGCGCGCTGCGTGAGCTCGAGCCCGATGCTCTGCTGCGCGAGGCGCCCGCGGGTCTTGTCGAGCTCGAGGTCGACGATGTGCGCAATGTCGGGCTGGGTGAGGTGGTGGAAGACGACGACCTCGTCGAGGCGGTTGAGGAGCTCGGGGCGGTAGTGCGCCTTGAGCTCGTCCATGACGAGCTCGCGGACGCGCGCGTGGCGGTGCTCGGCGGCCGTCTCGCCCGGGGCGCCAATGTCAAAGCCCAGCTGGCTGCCGCCGCCGGCGATCTGCGCCGAGCCGATGTTGGACGTCAGCACGATCAGCGTGTCCTTGAACGACACCGTGCGGCCCATCGAGTCCGTCAGGCGGCCGTCCTCCAGCACCTGCATGTGTCGCACACACACCACGTGCACCAGTCAAAACACCGGCAGCGGAAGACTGGAAACGCGGCGAGCAAGCGACGCCATGTACCGCACGCGACGCGGGGGCCGGCGCATGGCACTCCCCCCGTCGTCCCGCACGGCGCGGCTAGTGCTGCGAATACACGGCGACGCCACCGCACGACACCCCCCCCCCGCCGCGGCATTGCGTGCGTGCGTGCGTGTGTGTGCGTGCGTGCGTGCGTGCGTGCGCACCTGGAGGAGGATCTGCAGGACGTCCGGGTGCGCCTTCTCGATCTCGTCGAGCAGCACGAGGCGGTGCGGGTTGCGCCGCACTTGCTCGGTCAGCGTCGACGTGTCGCCGTACCCCACGTACCCGGGCGGCGACCCGATGAGCTTCGACGTCGAGTGCTTCTCCAGGTACTCGCTCATGTCCAGCCGGATCATCGCCTCCCGGTCCCCGAAGTACTCCTCCGCCAGCGCCCGGCTCAGCTCCGTCTTGCCCACGCCCGTCGGCCCGCAGAACATCATGCTCGCGATCGGCCGCGCGGCGTCCTTCAGGCCCGTGCGCGCGCGCAGCATCGCGCGGCACACCGCCTCCACGGCCACGTCCTGCCCGACCACGTGGTCCTTGATGCGCCCCTCCAGCGTCTGCAGCCGCTCCATCTCCTCCCCGTGCAGCTTCTGGACGGGCACGCCGCTCCACTCCGCCACCACGTGCTCGATGTCGTCCACGTCCACCACCGGCAGCATCGCCGCCTGGTCCGCGCGCCCCATCTGCGTCGACTCCAGCTTGATCACCTGCTCCTGCAGCCGCGCCGCGTCGCGGTAGTGCCCGCGGGCCGCGGCCTCGTCGCGCGCGAGCTGGAGGCCGCGGAGGTCGGCGGCGAACTCGCGGCGCGCGACGCAGTGCTGCGCGCGCGTGAGGGAGCTGGCGGGGCCGCGGATCTGCCCGTCGGCGGTGCGGCGGCGCTGGCGCTCGGCGACCTCGGCCGTGTCGAGGGGGAGGTTGGCCGCGGACTCGTGCGCGATGATGCGCGCGCGCGACCCGGCCTCGTCCAGCACGTCCATCGCCTTGTCCGGCAGCTTCCGGTCCTGCACGCAGCGAACGCTGGGGCCACGGACGCTCGGGGACGCGCCTGCTTGATGCACGATCATACCTCCACGCGTCTACGAGTTCCGCGCATCGACCAATGCGTTTGGACCGAGGGGCATGCATGGGTGACAACGCGCTGGACTGGCGCGGCCGGGCGCGCACCTGGATGTAGCGCGACGACAGCGCCACGCACGCCTCGAGCGCCTCGGGCGTGTACTTGACCCCGTGGTGGTGCTCGTAGGTGTGCAGGAGGCCCTTGAGGATGTCGGCCGTCTCCCCCTCCGTGGGCTCGTCAATCATGATGGGCTGGAACCGGCGCTCCAGCGCGGGGTCCTTCTCGATGTGCTTCCGGTGCTCGTCCAGGGTCGTCGCGCCGATGCAGCGCAGCTCGCCGCGCGCCAGCGCGGGCTTCAGCAGGTTGGAGATGTCCAGCCCGCCGCCCGACCTGCACAGCGACGGACGGTGATGTGACGCGACGTGATGCGATGTGACGTGATGCGGCGGCGAACGAACAGGCGAGCGGTGGACGCGCACGCACGCACAACACGCACAACACGCACGCACGCGCAGCACGGGGCGGTGTCGTGGCGAGGGGTCCACGCACCCGCGCGACGCCGACCCGGCCCCGACGACGGTGTGGATTTCGTCGATGAGGAGCACGACGTTCGGGTCCTCCCTCGCCTCGCGCACCATGTCCGTCACCCGCTTCTCCAGCTCCCCGCGCTCCTTGGCGCCCGCCACCATGAGCCCCACGTCCACCTGCATCACGCGCACCTCGCGCAGGAACTCCGGCAGCGCCTCCCCGCTCGGCGTCGTCCCGCGCACGATGCACAGCGCGAGCCCCTCCGCGATCGCCGTCTTGCCCACGCCCGGGTCGCCCAGCAGGATGGGGTTGTTCTTCTGGCGCCGCCCCAGGACCTGGATCACGCGCTCCGTCTCGTCCTCGCGCCCGATGACCGGGTCGATCTTGCCCGCCGCGGCGCGCTCCGTGAGGTCCGTCGCGAACTCGTCCAGCGCCGACGGGCCCTCCTCCTCCTCGGGGGCCGCGCCCGCCTTGGACGAGCTCGCCGCGGTCGCCGGGCGCGACGGCGCGCGCGAGGGGTCGCGCCCGAGCTCGGCGTCGGCCTCCGCGGCGATCCGCCGCATCGCCTCGGTCTGCGCGGGGCAACGCGGGCGCGTCGCGGGCTGGGTGCAGCGCGCTCGCGTGCGTGCGCGTGCGCGTGCGGTGCGGGGCGCCGGGGCGGCGCGCTCGGGCGCGGGGGCCGCGGCCGGCGCGCACCTTGACGGCCTCGACGCTCACGCCGAGGTGGAGGAGGATGCGCGCGGCGGCGGTGTCGTTCATCTTGAGCATGGCCACCAGGATGTGCTCCGGGCCGATGAAGTTGACCTTCAGGCGCTTGCTCTCCTGCGGGGCGGTCGCGTCGCGCGGGGGACCACGTGGGGCGTCGCGCGGGGCGGCGGACGCGGCGGGAGGGGCGCCGGCGCGGTGCACGGAGGGGGCGGGGCCCAGCCGTTGGCTCGCGGGGGTGAACGTGGCAGGGGCGGCCGCGGCGCGCGGGCGGGCGGCGGCGGGTGGCGCGCGTGCGGGCAGCGCAGGGCCCTGCTGCGCGCGGGGCGGTTCCGCGGCCATCGAGGCCCGCGGCGCGCCGGGAGCGCGCAGCCCGTTCAAGCGCCGCCCACCCAAGCAGAGCGGTGCGCGGCGTCACGGCGCGTGCGGGCGGCGCGGGGCCGCGCGGGGCGGCGCGGGGGGCTGCCTCACCATGACGGAGGCCTCGAAGACGGCCTTGACGCAGGGCGAGAAGCCGAGGTCGCGGACGGCCATCTTGACTGGTCCGGCCTTGCCGTAGAGCGTCTTGGCCACCTGCCGGGCCTGGTCGATCGAGATGTTGGTGCCCATGAACTCCGGGGACCCGACCGCGCTCTGCTGGCACTCCGCGATGAGCCCGAGCAGGATGTGCTCGGTGTCGACCTGCGCGCGGGGGCGGAGCGGGCGGAGGGTGCGGTCAGTTGCTTGAAAAGGGGGGCGCGCTCCCGGGGCCGTCGGGCCGCGTGGGGCCTCGACGCGCGGGATTCGAGGCCGGGGGGGCCGATGTCGCGCGCGGGGGGCGGCGCGGCGGGCGGAGCGGGCGGCGGCGTCGAACTGCGGGGCGCCCAGCTCAACAAGGGTTCGAGGAGGGTACGGGGGCGGGGAGGGTGCGGGGTGTTTGCGGGATGCGAGGGGCGGGCGGGGAGGGCGGAGGGTGCGTCGCGCCGTGGCGGCGGGCGCGGCGGGGGGCGCGGCGGCGCGCGGTCGCGTTTGGTTCAGGAGGCGAGCCAGGGACGCGGGCGCGGCGAAAATAGGGGGCCTGGGCGGCGCGCGGGGCGCGGCGGCGTCGCGCTCGTGGGGGAATTGACCGAGAGGGCCGCGTGCATTGCCGCGCGCGGGTGTGTGGGGCGCGCGCGGGGAGCCCGAGAGCGGTGAGCTGGCCGAGCCGTAGTGCGGCGGCCGTGCGCCGCGCATTCCCGCTGACTCGTCAACGGCGGCGCCGCTGGGATGATTCTATTGCGCCCTCGGCAATGCGCGATCGCCCGGGCCGCGCGGGCCGCGCCGGGGCGCCGGACATGGTCGGATGCCTGGTAACGGTTTGAGAGGGCAGCGCCCGCAACGGGCGGCCATGCGCCGCAATGTGCGCCGCGCAGCATCCCTGGGCGCCACCCGGACGCCGCAGGGCCCCGCAGCGGCCCGGAAAACCCCCGCTCGGCGCCGGAACGGGCCCAACCACAGTAGGTTGCTGCCCGCAGGACCTGGCTCGGCCCAAACGCACGGCGCACCTGGACGCTCCCGAGCTTCTTGGTCTCCTGCTGCGCGATGATCATGGCCTTGATGGCGCGCTCCGTGAAGCGCTCGAAGACCGCGGTGACGCGGACCGCGCCGCGCCGCGCCTGCCGGCCGGGCGCCCTGCTGCGGGTGGAAAGGGCACCCCGCGCAGCGCTCCCGGAGAACGCTGCGGTCTGGGACGCGTGCCGCGCACCCCTACGCGACACGTGCGCCAGGCCCGCACGCGCCGTGGCCCGGACGGCGACCCCGCGCGCTTGCGGGCGGGCCGTCCTGGCCTCTGCCGTGACTTGAAGCTGCATCCTGCGGACCCGTTACGGACTATACAGCCGAATTACCAGGTCCACGCCGAACTTGGAATATGGAGGTGGAGATGTGCCGCGCCGGGCGACCGCGCGCGCCCTTGAGACGCCGGAACGGGGGCCAACGTCCGAGTCGGACGGAGGCGCTTTTTGCCCACGCCTCCAAAGTTCCTCGTTCCGGGCCTCGAAGGCCTCGGACGCGCCACACCGCGACAGCTCTTTCTGTGCCCACGCCGCACCCTGAGACCTGGCCGCCCGCGCCGCGTCCTCGGGCCCGTAGACCGGTCGCACGACTGCCACCGCATCAACCGCGCCAGCGCCGCCCCCCGGCCCCGCGACGGCCCCGCGCGCCCGCGACAGCCACAGACCACGCCGCTCGAGCCCCAACGACGCGCGCAGCCCCGCTCCGTCGCGGCCACGTTCGCGCGGCCCCGCCCCCTCCACGCCCCTCCACCGGTGCCAGCGCAACCCGCACCCGGCGGATCCGACCGCCGCGGCGACCCCGCGGACGCCTGAGCCGTCCGGACCGCGCTCCGGCAGCCGCGCGCGCAGAGGCGCCCCGCGACGCCCGCCAGCGCCCCCAGAGGCGCTCCGGCCCCGCCATGTTCAAGAAGCACTCCATCCTCGACCGGAAGGTCCGCAACCCGGCCTCCGCGTACAAGGTGAACGAGGAGACCGTGGAGAAGCAGTACACGAAGGAGCAGGACCGCATCGCGCACCGCCGCACGCAGCAAGGTGCGTGGGCTCGCAGCAGCGTTGCCGGCCCGCGGCGCACTGCGCGCGCGCACGCGGCCTCCCGCGGGAGCCCGCGCGGCCCGCGGTGACGAGCGTGATCTGGGGTGTCTGTTCGCAGCCGAGACGGACGAGAGGATCCGGAGGGCGTACGACCCGGAGGACGAGGAGCTCTTCCAGGGCTTTGACAAGACGTACGCGCAGATGAAGGAGCAGCTGGCCGTCATCGAGGACAAGCGGCGCGAACAGCGCGAGTACGACCTCAAGGTGCGCGCGGGGGGGCTCGGGCGGCCCGCGCGGGCCGCAGCGCCCCGCCACCCACCGCCCGTTGTTGCTCTGGGACGGCCGCACCGCGCGCGCGGGGCGCGCCGGATCCGCGCGACGGGACCGCCTGCGCGCTCCTGCCCGCGTTCGCATCCCGCGGAGCCGCACGCGCCGGTGCGCGCGCGTTCCCGGGCGCGCAGCGGGCCGCGAAGGCACCGCCACGGAGCCCCACGGCCGCACCAGACGCCGCGGCGCCGCACAGCGGCCCGCGCCCCACGCGCCCGCCCGCTCCCTCGCGTCCACGACGGTTTCCCCAGCGGGCCGCGCCCCGGCGACCCCGCGGGGCGCCGGGATGGCCTGGACGCCCTCCAACGACGCCTGTTCCCGCCCCCGCGCCGCGCCGCAGGTGCCCGAGTGGGACGCGGGGTACCGGCCGTACAGCGCGGTGCCGTGGAACGACCGCGTGAACCCGTGGGCGGGGTCCGCGGAGTACGAGCAGGAGATGAAGCGGGCGTACCTGACGCAGGTCAAGCAGGAGAACTTCAAGCTGGAGGAGATGCGCAACGAGTGGAAGCAGTACGAGAAGGACCTCGACCGGTGGGAGTTCAACGAGGCCATGAACGAGGGCGGCGTCGCGGGCGACTACTGGAACAAGCACAAGGGCAACGCCAAGTGGCTCAAGCCCCGCGGGAACCGCGCCGCCGCGCCCAAGGTGCGCGCCGCGCCGCTCGCGTGCGTGCGGAGCGTCTGTTTCGCGGTCCGTGGGCGTGGGTGTGCTGCGACGCGAGTGCGACGCGAGTGCGCTGTTGTGTCGCGGTGGCGGTGCAGGAGGACGTGAAGGCGTACAGGCACAAGATGGGCCACGAGGGCGTGCTGCAGTGGTCCGTGGAGCAGGGCATGGGCGCCGCGGGCGACTACCAGCGCAGCACGGACCGCCCGCTCACGGCGCCGCCGCGCCGCACGCCCGAGCCCGACTCCGCGTACGCGCTCCCGGGCCCGGCGCCGACGCGGCACGGCACGGGCGCGTACCCGTGGTCGCACCAGAGCTCCGTGCAGCCCTTCGCCTCGCACGACGCCGTGGGCGTGCCCGCCGCCTCGCCCACCGCCCCCGCCGCGTCCCCCAAAAAGTCCTACCCCTGGGAGTGGGACGCGCAGCCCCGGGCGTGAGACTGCACCGAGCGCGCAGCCGCGTGAGGTGCGGCCGGACACCGCACAGCACGCATCGGTACCACCACGCACCACCCTCACTTGTAGCGTACACCACGCCCGGGCCGGTCCAGCGACTGTGTGATCCGCAGCCACGCGGCTGTCGCCCTCGCCGCTGCAACGCCGTCGCTGCGCGGTGGCCGTCACGTGTCGTGCGCGGCGACGCCTGCGAGCGGGGCACGCCACCCGCGCGCCCAGACCCGGGGGTGGGGCTCCGCCCGCGATGCAGAGTCGCGCCCGGACATGCGCGGACGCCCTGTGCCGCGCCGCGGTAGCTGCGTCAGGGGCTCACGGGCGCAGCGGCGGGCGCGGTGACGCACAGCGCGGGCGGCAGCGCCCGCTCCTCGGCGCGCAACCCTGCCAGCTCTCAGCCGTGCCAGCTCCGCCGCCCGCGGACGCACGCGCGGTGTTGTGGGGGCCTTCCGGCGCGGAACACTGCCAGAGGACCATGCAAGGTCTCTCGGACGACCGCAGCCGTCGCGGGCGGCGCCGAGGCCTGCACCGGGCGCCTAGGCGACTAGGGTGGGAGGGTCCCGGGGGCAGTGGCGCCCGGTGCACACACAGGGACCGCGTGCTGCCCTGCCCTGCATACAATACACGCGTTCGGTGTGAATCGATCGCGTGCCCCATCGGCATCCTCCGTGGGTACGACGGCACGTTGCGTGCACCTGAGGAGTGAGGCTACGATGCTCTTCTTGTAGTAGCTAGACCTGACCGAGATCATGCGGACGTTCCTGTGGATCGTGCTGGTCGTGCTGTCGCAGGCATGCATTGCCGTCGCGACGGGCGCCCCGCCGCTGGCGCAGCGGTCGCTTGCTGGGCAGCGCTCCTGGAGCGACGCTGGCCGCACCGGGGGGCCGCGCCGGCGGACTCAGGCCGTCGCCAGTGGCCTGGAGTCCGTGTCTGACGAATTCGTCGCCTTTTCTGGACAGCAGCCTGCCAGGAAGCTGGCGTCGGTGCGAGCCCACCCAATTGCACAGTCGCTCCTCACGACCAGCGGCCAAGACGCTCCAACCGATCGAACGAGACCGCAAACCTGCACACATCTCAGAGCCGTATCGAACAGCCCGCCAAGCGCATCGAACGCTCCGCCACGCTGCCGTCACGGCCCCTGCTGCTGCTCTCATCTGCCTGCTCCACCGCGGCAGCTGCTGCGCGGTCGGTCCAGCAGTTCACGCGCGCGTATTTCGAACGCCGTTGACGTGACCATGAGTGCGCGACCCCCTGCCCGCAGGCGACGTGTCTCACGGACCAGACGCCCTGCTCCTTGCTGGGCGCGGCTGCTGTCCCGGCAAACGCCTCGGGGACGTTTGGACGGTCGCTGTTCGTCGATTCCGAGGGCGCGCAGGCCGTGATCGGGGCGCCCGCGACCGACACAGCGCGCGGCGTGCGCTCAGGGGCCGCGGTGGTCGCTGCGCGCACCGCCTCTGGCTGGGCGACCCAGCAGCTGCTGCTGCCGAGCGACGGCCAGGCGCACGACCACTTCGGGTCCGCCGCGGCCGCCGCGGGCGCGACCGTGGCCGTCGGCGCCCCGCTGGCCAACGTCCCGGAGCACAACGACACGGGCGCGGTGTACGTGTTCAGCAGGGACGTGAACGGCACGTTCCAGCAGACGCAGCGGCTGCAGCTGCCTGACGCGCCGGCGACCTCCTCGGGTTCTCCGTCGCGATGGCCCCGGGGCAGATCCTCGCGGGCGCGCCCGGGACGAACGGCACGGGCGCCGTCCTGGTGGCGTCGGCGGTGGGGCCCAACGTGACCACCGACGTGCTGCGGGCGCGGGACGCGACGTACGTCAGCTGCGACGTGGTCGCCGCGCGGCGCATGCTGTCCGAGCGGCGCCAGCTGAGCTCGCAGACCACGGCCTGGATGCGCCGCGAGTCGGACTCGTGCACGTGCGGCGGGTCGGACGTCCCCCCGGGCTGCTGCAGCTGCACGCAGTCGTCCCTGGGCGACTCGTTCGGGGCGCGGCTGGCGATCGACGGCGGCACGCTGGCCGTCACGGCGCCCGGCGACGACCTCGACGGCACGCAGGGGCACGTGGACCTCTCGTACGAGTGGGGCAGCACCTACATCTTCCTGCGCCTGCCGCAGGGCGGCTGGCTGCAGGCGCAGAAGCTCCGGGCATCGCAGCAGACCCGCGGGCTGCGCTTCGGTAGCTCGGTCGCGCTCGCGCACGGCGTGCTCGCGGTGGGCGCGCCGGGCTACCAGGTGGGCTCTTCCGCCGTGGGCGCGGTGTTCATCTTCAACAACGTGGGCGGCGTGTTCCGCGAGACCGCCGTCCTGACCCTGCCGGACGCGTCGAGCCCGGCGTCGTTCGGGCACAGCCTCGCCGTCACCCCGGACGGGCAGGCCGTCGCGGTGGGCGACCCGGGCACGGCGGCGACGCGCGGGACGGTGACGGTGTTTGTGCGCACCAACGCCACCAGCTGGGCGCCCGCGAGCAGCGTGTCGACGGACTCGGTGCAGACGGGCGACCTGTTCGGTGCGTCGGTCGCTTACGACCGCCCGGGGTCGTTCCTGGTCGGCGCCCCCGTGCTCGACTCGGCTGCGGGGGGGGTCTTCGCTCTGACGGTCAACACCTCCTGCGTCCACGGGCCGGCGGGGGCGCACGTCGGCGCGTGTATGCATGGCGCGGACGGCGACGGCGACGGCAGCCCCGACCGGCTGCAGCCCACGCCCGTGGCCGGGGTGGACCCCACCCTCCCGCTGGGCAACGGGTCGTTCTACGGAGCCTCGGTGGCGGCCCAGGGCGCGACGGCGGCTGCGACGCTGCGGCGCGGCGCCAACGGGACGTACGCGTCCGGGGCGGTCGTGTTCATGCGGCGGCAGGCGGGCGCGAACGAGTGGAGCGTCACGCAGGTCGTGGAGCCGCAGGGCGCTGTTCCCGGCGAGTACTTCGGACAAAGCTCGGTGCTGTCCGGGAAGATCCTGGCGGTCAGCGCTCCGCGGGGTAACGCGACTAAGGCCGCGCACCCCGGAGCGGTGTACGCCTTTTACGAGACGCCCTCTGGGGCATGGACCTTCCTGTCCAAGCTGATGCCCAAGGCCCCGCTGCCCGAGGAGTTCTTCGGACGACAAGTCGACATGGACGGCGACTACCTGGTGGTCGGCGCTCCGCGTCGGAATGACGCCGGGGCGGCGTACATTTTCCGCATCAACTCGACTCTGACGTTCACAGAGGAGCAGCGCCTGCAGGGCACGGACGCCCCGCCGTACATCCGCGACCTCAACCCCAAGAGCACTCCGCCGTACCCCGTGGTCGAGATCGACGGGTGCGAGTGCCACGTGCCGTTCGTGGCGCCGAACGGCTGCCGGTGCGCGCAGAACGAGAAGTACGACTTTTTCGGCACCAGCGTGGCCATCAGCCGCGGCACGATCGCGGTCGGAGCCCCCGGAGACGACGACGACGGCCCCGAAGGCTACTACAACGTCAACCTGGAGTGGGGCTCCGTGTCCATCTACACCCTGAACACCGACAGGACCTGGAGCTTCACGCAGAAGCTGCGCCACCCCGACTACGGTCAGGCGGCGGGCGAACAGCTGCGCTTCGGGAGCGCGCTGGCCCTCAACGTTGACTACCTCGCCGTGTCCGCGCTCGGCAAGGGCGTGGTCACGGGGGCGCAGGGCGAGGGCAGCATCGTCCTCTTCAAGCGCAGCAACAGCTTCGTGTTCGAGCCCGCGGGGATCCTGCGCTCGCACTTGCCGGGAACCGGGGACCTGTTCGGGCTGCAGATGCGGTTCGACAGCAACCACTCGCAGCTGTTCGTCGCGTCTGCGTACCACGGCGCTGGACTGGACGGTCCGCACGCAGCGGACGACGACCTGGGCGTGGGAACCGTGTCCGTGTACGACTTCGACGAGGGCTCCTGGGCGCTGCGCGAGGAGCTGGTGAGGCCGGCGGGCAGCGGCGCTCGTGACGGTTTTGGGCACGCCCTGGCCGTCACGGGGGACGCCGTGTTTGTAGGCGCGCCAGCTTCGGAGGGCACGCACGGGAGCGTGTTCGCGTTCGCCCGCGACCTGTGCCCGCACGATGCCAACAGCACGGGGTCGCACTTCGCCCTCTGCGGCGCGCGGTACCTGCGCGACGTGCTGCGCGCGCCCGACGTTCCGGAGTGGGTTGGGGACGCGGTCTACGAGGTGGGCATCCCGGGGCTGCCGAACCTGCTCGACGAGTACGAGCTCGGGGGGCTCACGGCACGCGGCGGCTCGCTGTCGTGGACCAACGTCACAGCGTGCCTGCGGGACGTGACGCTGCTGGCAAACATGCGGCAGCCGCTGCTCGACGACACCGACGGCGGGCGGTTCGCCGTGCACGAGCTGTGCGTGTCGGCGCCGGTGGAAGACGGCCCAGCGGCCGAGATCGCGTCGCTCGACATGACGGTCGCCATCGGCCAGGACTCGGATGCGCGGCACAGGAAGCTGGGTGCGCAGGTGGTCGAGACGCGGTTCGCGCTGACGCACCCGTGTCCGCACCCGCTCAGCGCCGCGCCGCCGACGACCTCGAGCGTCGACCACATGGCGCTGTTCTGGCTCCCCGGGCTGTGGAAGCGAGACGGGGTGTGGTTCGGCGGCGCTGGGTGGACGGGGAAGGTCAACATCACCCTCGCGCCGCCGGACCTCAAGTCCGCCGACGTCGTGCCCGTGTGCAACGGCACCCGCGTGGACGCCTTCGACGTGCAGATGTCCCTGCACGTTTCGCCGTACGAGGTCCTCACGTCGATCCAGTACGACCCCACGAAGGCGCTTCCGTCGCAAGTCGCGTTCTCTGCGGAGAACTTCGTCTACTCGCACGAGACGCGGCACGTCGGCATCTCCGGGCGCCTCATCGGCGAGGTCATGAACACCACCCTTGGCGACGCAGAACTCGAGCGGCCCGTGAGGATCCCCGACGGCAAGGACATGCGCCATGAGGTCAAGTTCTTCGCCACGCAGGTCCTTTCCGCCGACCGGCTCACTTCCGACCTCGACAGCCTGAACGCAAGCCACTACCGCACCTCGGTGTTCCACTCCTTGGAGTGGGCGTCGCGATCGAAGGAGCCCGAGGAGTGCGGGTGCCGCAGCGTCGAGCAAACATGCATCGACGCCGACGGCGACGGGCTGTCGGACTGCTTCAACCCGCTCGACCGCCCCCTGACCTTGCCGGGGGGCGTTGCTCAGGAGCACGCGCAGCTGGGGCACGCGCTCGCTCGCTCGGGCGACGACTTGCTGGCGGCCATGGCGTGGTGGGACGCGGGGGGCAACACGTCCTTCGCGCAGGCCGGCGCCGTCGCGCACTTCAAGCGCGCCGTCGACCCGGTGAGCGGCACGGACATCTTCGAGCCCTTTGCCGTCATCGAGGCGCCCTCCCCGGCGGCCAACGCGCACTTCGGGTCCTCGATCGACGCGAACGACGGGAAGCTCCTCGCGGTCGGAGCCAACCTTGCAAACGTCGCCGCGCTCGACTCGGGCGCCGTGTTCTTGTACGAGAAGGGCGTCGCAGGGCACTTCAACCACACGGCCACTCTCGTGGCCAACAATGCGACCGCGCGCTCCTTACTCGGCACCTCCGTGGCCGTGGTGGGGCGCACAGTTGCCGCAGGCGCCCCGAACCTGGGATCGTCCGGCTCCGTGGTGGTGTTCAAGGAGGACCCCTTCAGCGGCCAGTGGAGGGAGCACCAGCGGTTGTTCCCCACCGACGCGCCGTACACCAGCACGTCTCCCATCAGCTGTCGCCCGTGCGCGAAGGACGGCGTGCCCGACCGCTTCGTCCGCGAGGCTGAGAACTGCGTCTGTCCGGCGGAGGGCGCATCGCCTGCCGATCCGTGCGTGTGCCAGCAGGCCCAAGCCGGCGACTCGTTCGGCATGTCGATCGCCGCGGACCGCTCCACCATGGTGGTGTCTGCCCCCAACGACGACATGGACGGGCAGGATGCGTACCTACCGGAGAACGGAGACTTCGACACGGGCTCCGTGTACGTGTTCGCCCAGGACGACTCTTCCTGGACGCAGGTGCAGAAGCTGCGCCCGTCCACGGACGTGCGCGGCCTCCGGTACGGGCGCGCCTTGGCGCTGCAGGGCGACTTCTTGGCGGTGACCACCACCACACTGGAGGTCCAGGGCAAGCCCAACGCCGGCGGCGTCTACACGTACTACAGGGAGGTCGGCGGCGTGTTCGAGTCGACGGGGCTGCTGTCGCACCACCAGCCCGCGCCCCACCAGTTCTGCGGCGCATCCGTGACCTTCTCCCCCGGGGCAGACATCCTCCTCGTGGGCTGCATGGGCGACGACGCCGGCGCGGGGTCGGTGCTCACCTACCGCCGCAGCGCAACAAACAACAGATGGTCGCGCGCCGAGAAGCTGAATGCTTTCGACGGGCTCTTCGACGAGCGCTTTGGAGCGTCCATGCTCTTCACGGGCAACAGCCTGGTCGTGGGCGCCAGGCTCCGCGAGGGCGGGCGCGGAGGCATGTACGAGTTCCAGATCGACCTTTGTCCCGACGAACCATCGCAGCTGACGCCCGGACCGTGCGGATGCGGAAGCAACACCGACGGCGACGAAGTCGAGTCGTGCTTGACGGGGCCGCGGCTTCTCGACGTGCCCTCGTCGTCGGGACGGCAGCACGCAGGCTTTGCGGTGGCGCTGCGTGGCAAGGAAGCTGTCGTCGCGGCAGCCCGGGCGACCACCTCGGCGGGCGTGCATGCCGGCGCCGTGTACGTGTACAACCGCACAGACTGGAACGCGGCGCCGCAGACGCTCACGGCCAGCGACGCGGCGGCGCACGACATGTTCGGCGCGGCGGTCGCGCTGGAGGGCGACACGCTGGCCGTGGGCGCCCACATGGCCGACGTGGGCGCGGCGGCGGATGCGGGCGCAGTGTACGTGTTCGGCAGGACGGCGGGCACGTGGGCGCAGAGCGCGAAGCTGACGGCCGGGACGCCCGCGGCCAAAGCCTTCCTGGGCTTCACGCTGGCCATCCGCGGAGACGAGATCCTCGCGGGCGCACCTGGCAAGGGACCCGGTAGCGGCGCAGTGCACGTGTTCAGGCAAGGCGCCGGTGCCTCGTGGGCGCAAGTACAGGTTCTGGAAGGCGTCAAGAGCAACTACACTGCATGCATGCTGCTGTCGCGTGACGCCTTCTACCCGACCTCGTGGGACCGGGAGGCCAGCGCCTGCGATTGCAATGCTTTCGTCAACTCGACGTGCTGCGACTGCCGGCCAGCTCAGCTGGGCGACTCCTTCGGCGCTTCCATGGCTGTCGACGGCGCCTTGCTGGCCGTTGGGTCTCCCCTTGAGGACCAGGACGGCACAGATAGCCACCGCGATCGCCAAGCTGATTTCGGGTCTGTCTACCTCTTCGTTCAGTCGACGTCATGGACCCTGTCGCAGCGCCTGCGTCCGACGAATCTCCTGAGGGGTCTGCGCTTTGGCACGTCGCTGGCGCTGTCGGTGTCGTCGAGGACCCTCGCAGTGCAGGCAACGAGCGAGGTGGCGGGGCAGTCGCCAGTGTTCGTCTACCGCAACTCGCTGAACGGCTTCGTCCCCCACGGCAGTCTCGTCCCTGCTGTCGGCGTATCCAACACTGATCTCGGCTCGAGCATGGCGGTTCTCTCCCCGGATGCACTGCTCGTAGGCGAGCCTGGCGCGTATGGCGGGGAAGGCACCGTTGCCAGGTACGTCAGGGCCGCCGACGGGTCCTGGTCGAGGCAGTCGAGCATGGAGACGGCGGACCTGAAGGACATGCGCGGTATGGCTGGGGAGTCGCTCGCTCTGGATGGCTCGCACCTCCTGGTTGGTGCCCCGCTGCGAAGGAACGGCACCGGCGGCGCTTTCTTCGTCGAGCTCGACCTGTGTCCGACAACAGCGCGGGTTTCGCCCGGTAGCTGCGGCTGCAACGCGGATGTCGACGGCGATGGCGAGGACTCGTGCTACGCGATGAAGCAGTCGCTGCTCACGCCAAGCACCTCCGCGGGAGACGGGTTCGGGAGCGCGCTGGTGACGGACGAGACGCAGACGGCTGTTTCCGCCCCGAAGACCGACACGTCGGCGGGCGTGCAGGCCGGCGCTGTGTACGTCTACAACCGCACAGACTGGAACGCTGCGCCGCAGACGCTCACGGCCAGCGACGCGGCGGCGCACGACATGTTCGGCGCGGCGGTCGCGCTGGAGGGCGACACGCTGGCCGTGGGCGCCCACATGGCCGACGTGGGCGCGGCGGCGGATGCGGGCGCAGTGTACGTGTTCGGCAGGACGGCGGGCACGTGGGCGCAGAGCGCGAAGGTGACGGCAGGGACACCCGCGGCTAGCGCGCACTTCGGAGCTTCATTGTCCATGCGGGCCGGAACGATGCTTGTCGGCGCGCCAGGCGAAGCCAAGGCGTATCTCATGACGTACAAGTGGAGCGCATCAGTGTTGTGGGACACGCTCGAGACGCTGACGGGCGACGGATCGTCCAGCAGCAGGTTCGGCGCCTGCACGGCACTGCGCGGGAACTACGCGGTGATCGGTGCCCCAGACGAGGCCCCGGCGGCGGGGAAGATGACCGGCGCTCTCTACGTCTTCGAGGCGAACGACGTGCAAGTCTACTACCGGCTTGTCGCGGACGGGCTCGCAGAGGACCGCATCGGACTTTCGGTCGCCATTTCGGGAGGTTGGATTGCCGTGGGGAGCACGCAGGGCGCCTCGGGAAGCGTCTTCATGTACCAGATCCTGGACGGCATCCCCACACTTCGCGTGAAGCTGGTCCCCACGCTGCGCGTCCCCGCGAATTTCGGATCCGACGGTATGACGTTCTCGTCTGACGGGAGCGTCCTCTCCGTCGGCAACCCAGGCGAGGGCGGCGGTCGGGGCGCAGTGGTGTTGTTCCGGCTCCTGGGCGCGACGTGGGTCGAGCAGCCGCCCGTGGGCGGCGATGCTGCGAACACCTTCTTCGGCAGCGCGGTCGCCATGCACAGCAACTCCCTCACGGTGACTGCCACAGGCAACGAGGTCATCAAGGGTGGGCTGTTCGACATGACCATCGACCTCTGCCCGGAGTCTTCGGCCGTCGTCGTCCCTGGACCGTGCGGCTGCAACCCTGACGCGGACGGCGACGGTGTCGAGGACTGCATGCGGCCGACGGGGTCTGCGCTCAGCGCCGCCGCGGCCGCTTCAACAAGCATGTACGGGAGCGCGCTCGCACTGACGGCGAATCGTGCAGTTGTCGGCGGGACAGGTGACGGCGGCAAAGGCGCTGTGTGGGTGTTCTCGCGCAGCGCCTTTGGCAGCGTGTGGCCAAGTGCGCCGGAAGGCAAGCTCGTTGCAAGCGACGGCGCCAGCGGGGATGACTTCGGCGCAGCCGTCGCGCTTTCCTTGGACTTGATGATCGTTGGCGCTTCGGGTGCAACGGCGAGCGCTCAGGCTGGTGCCGGAAAGGCGTACATGTTCCAGTACACGGCGGGCACCAACTCGTGGTCAGAGACCGGGAGCCTCGCCGCGCCATCACCTGCGGCCAGTGGCGGGTTCGGGAGCTGCGCTGCTACCGTCGCCGACGGCACGTTCGCCATCGGCGAGCCAGGTCGTTCGGCCGGAGGCAGGGTCTACATCGTCTCCAGCGGCTCCGTCCAGCAGACACTCACTCCGAGTGATTCCAGCGCCGGCGACGAGTTCGGTACCTCGGTGGGCGCGTCTTCCGGCCTTCTTGTCGTCGGTGCGCCGAGGGCTGGCGCGAGCGGGGCTGCCTACCTGTACCGTGACGACGGGAACTCCTTCGTCGCCGTCACGAAGGTCATGCCCAACTTCACGTCGCCCGAAACGAACATCTTGTTCGGGACGGCGGTCTCGGTGTCGAACGGCATCGTTGCGGTCTCTGCGTCGGCCTTCTACGAAGGCAACAGCCTGGGTCGTGGCGCTGTCTTCGTGTTCAGGGAGGTGCAGGATGGCTTTGCCCAGGCTGCCATCCTGATGTCCCCGCAGCCCCGGTACGCTGGCAGCTTCGGGAACGCCCTAGCACTGACACAGACAGCGGCCGAGCTCGTCGTCACGGAGAGCGTGTCAGACGGGCCTGAGGGCCGCGATGCGCTGTACGCAGTGCGCTACGCTCTTGACGGCAACGCCAGCCCCAGCCAGCCGACCCGGACGCGCCTGTCGTCGTACATCGCCGCCACGACGGCATCCACGGCAGTGGCAATCGACGGCCCAACGATGCTGGCCGCCCTCGTGCCCGCCAGTGGTGAAGTCGGGTCCGTGCATGAACTTCAGACCGATCTCTGCCCCGATAGCCAGGCAGCGCGCCCGGGCCCGTGCGGCTGCACGGACGACGCCGACTCGGATGGGGTTCCTGACTGCCTCACGTCGCAGACTAGGCAATCCGTCCCGGCGCCTGCCAACGCGACGGACGGCTTCGGATCTTCCGCGGTGGTTCAAGGAGCGAGAGTCGTAGTCGGAGCTCCTGCGGCGACGGCCGCTGGCTCTGCAACGGTCTACGGGCTGACGAACAACTCATCGTGGGGCCTCTCGTCGACGCTCCAGGCCTCTGACGGCACAGTCGCAGACAAGTTCGGCACCTCGCTGGCAATCGAGGAGCCATACATCGTCGTCGGTGCTCCCGGGGCTGCCAGCGACGCCGGTGCTGCGTACGTCTACGAGCTCGCATCCACCGGTGCGTGGGAACTCGACCAGAAGATCGTGCCCGCCGGTGCGGCGTCTGGCGACACGTGGGGCAAGTCGCTCTCTCTGCATGGCGCCGTTGTGGCCGTTGGCGGACCGGGGGCTGGCAACGGGAAGGTGGCGATCTTCGAGAAGCTGCCAGGCCAGGCTTGGAGTGCCCTGGGCACCGCGCTGACAGGCGCGATGTCGGGAGACCTCTTCGGCGCGCGCGTGGTGCACGCGCGCGACGGCATGACGCTCGTGATCTCGGCGCCGGGCTTCTCATCAGCGGAAGGCGCCGTCTATGTCTACGAGCGCGCGGCCGGCAACCCGTACGTGCAGAAGCAGATGCTGCAGGGGAGTCAGACGGTTGGGGTCGCCAACGCTGGATTCGGTGAGGCCATTGCTGCGAATGGGGACATGCTCGCGGTCGGTGCATGCTGCGCGGGCACGAGCAAGCAGGTCTTCATGTTCCAGCGACTCGCAAACGGGCTGTTCAACGAGGTGGCTCTTCTGCCGTCGGCCTCTGTGCCCACGCTGTTTGGGTCGTCCTTGGCCTTCGCGGAGTCTGGAAATCTGCTCTTCGTGGCGTCGCGAGGCGGCACGGCGACCAACCAGGGGCCAGGGGCCATCACGGCCTTTGGCAGGCAGGACGACGGGTCCTGGCGCCGCCTGTACGAGTACGTGGACGGCGATGCGATCCCGTCGGACCTCTGGCCATCATCAATCAGCATGGACGGTGATCAGATCGTCACCACAGCCCCCAGCGAAGGCACTGGCGCCTTGAAGGTTCGCAGCTACAGGATCGACCTGTGCAACGAAAACCCCGGGAAGACGCAGCAGGGCTTCTGTGGCTGCGAGGCGGAGGACGGAGTCTCGCTCAGCGGGCTCCCCGCCTGCATGTCCTGCCCGGTGCAGCAAGACGATGTCGACAAGGGATGCATCCACCGCGGGAACGAGCTGTACCGCGTGCAGAGCGACGCCCCTGGGCTGGCCAGCCGCCTGTTCGGAGAGCAGCTCGGGCTGCCGCTTGCGTTCACGACCACGTGTTTCGAGCGCACCTTCGCCGGCTTCCGGTCGTACTTCCGCTCCTACAACACGTGGTTCCCGTCCATCCGCGCGTCGCCGCTGACGGACGGAATCAACACGATCCCGGCGTGCATGACGCCCGCTGCGAACGTCTTCGCGTGGGGGCCCGTGACGACCGAAGCCGCGCCTCTGGACGCGATCGCGTGGACTCTGGACCGCACCGCGACCGGCATCGCCTTCCTGCCGCCTGGTAGCCGCAATTTCTTCCGGCTAGTCCCGGGCACTGTCGTCGAGCTCTTCGAAGACACGGGCTTCCGCGGCGCATCGGTCACGCTGGTCAACGACGAGCCCGACGCGGACATCGTGTTTGACTGCAGCGCGGGCGGAGCCTGCGTCGAGTCATGGACGGACGGATCCGGGCGCGCGAAGTCGCTGCGCTTCTACTCGCGGGCGGCGACGCACGTGAGGGACTTCTACGGCACCTCGGCGCCGACGCCCACGGTCAAGACGTACACGGGCAACTTTGAGCTCCAGCTCGGCACCATCTCGGGCGACGGAGCGAACTCGACGCTCGTGCCCTCGGCGGCCACGGCCTTCTCGGTCGGCCCCTGGACAGAGGCGCGGTTCCTGCAGGACCTGGGCGCCGACGTCGACGTGTCGCCACGACCGACCAACCGCCTGCTGGTCGTGTCGAACCCCAGCAACGTCGAGCGGCTGGTCACCACCGGGGAGGTGTTCTCGAACATCGCTGCCATCACCGTGACCGAGTCCACCCCCGGCTGGAGCTCTTACTCCCCCCTCCAGGACGGCAGTTTTGCCGCATCGGGATTCTACACGGACGTCATGGAGGAGTACTTCCTCACCGGCGGCTTCGAGGTGGGCGGGAACGCCACCGTCGGCCTGACCACCCGGATGGGCATGCGCAAGTTCAGCCTGCGGGCCAGCATGATGCACCTCGCGAATGTCGATCTCCGGACGTCGCCCGAGTTGCACGAGCGCGTGAAGATCACCATCAACGGCCTCTTCGAGTACGCCGCTCCGCGCGATGCGCCCGCGCCGCTCACCTCGGTGACCACCCCGGACGGTCCGTTCCCGCTGGCGATCGACCCCGCGACGCTGCTGGAGGAGATTCCCTACCGAGGGCAGTGGAACCCGTCCGCGTACTGGTGGGCGGCGGTCGACACGAGGCACGACTTCGGCGTCGCTGTCCTCGACCAGGGCATGTGCGGGTCGAAGCTGTCGATGCACAAGGGCAAGTACTTCTACCCGCGGCAGGAGGGCAAGCCGATGCTCATCGGCGTCTTCTTCATGCTCGACATGTACGACCGCTTCCCGACGTTCTGGCAGGACAACGAAATGACGGTGTTCTTCCGCTGCCAGGGCCTGAAGCCCGTGGGAGCCGAGGTCAACTGGCCCAATGGGCTGATGGTCGACCTGGGGTCTCAGTTCGGCAAGCTCTTCATCGAGAACCCGACCATGATCCTCGACCTCGCCGCCATGTCGGCTGTCCGGCCCGCGACTGTCCGCGGGACCATTGCTGGCATGACTGCCGAGATCGACGTGTTCATCGACGATGCGCGGTACACGCGCGTCGAGATCCGCACCACCGGCGACCAGCGCGTGAACGTCGGATACGCGCTGGGCAAGATGCAGGACTCGCCCTTCTTCCGCGTGGTGCACGAGTCTGGAGTGCCGGGCGTGCCTGTCGCGGGGCAGGCCCTGTACGGCTTTGAGATGTACGACGTCCAGATGCTTCACGGCGCGTCCACCACCGACGGCCTCAGCCCGTACAAGCTCACGGCGAACTTTACGGACCCCTCGGAGAACGCCACGCGCATCGAGAGGCGCAGCTCCGCGGAGATTCTGCTCAACAAGAACAGCGGGAACGTCACCCTGCTGCAGTTCGTCGAGCTGGGCACGACGGCCGAGGGGATCGCGTCCTACACCGTCGCGGGCAGGCCGTGCGACACCACGGTCGAGCCCACGTTCGACATCGACTTCGCCGTCGGCGACATCTTCCCCACTGGGGGCTCCATGCGCGGCGGGACGGGGCGCTTCTACTGCACGCCCGCGCTCATCGGCTGGCAGGGCGGGCCCTGGATCCAGGACATCTTCCTCAGGGCCTCGTCTCCTCAGCTCGCCGGGATCAGCCTGCACCTCCCGGTCCTGTTGACGGAGGGGCTCTTGGAGTTCTCCATCTGGCACAACGACCTGCGCTCCAGCGCCGGCGGGATCCTCTGCAAGTCCTTCGACCCGCCGGACGCGAACTGCTTCCCGCGCCTGGACTTCACCGCGGAGGCACCGCTGCTGTCGCTCGCTCTCTCCTCGGTCAACATCTTCACGCCGCCAGAGCTCATCGGAACCACCATCCCCGGCAACGACTTCCCTCTCATGCTCGCGTCCGCCCCCCAGCTGAATGACCTACTGAAGGAGGTCGGCATCCCCGCGGGCCCGCGTGACGTCCTCGAGATCCTCGACGTGGGGTACTTCAACGCCACGCAGTCGGGCGCGAGGCCGGGCGAGGCCAACGTCGAGTACGTCCTCGACCCCCGCGTCGGCGACATGAAGCTGACCGGAAAGATGTCGACGGAGCGCGTGACGACGCCGCTGGAGACCTACACGGCCATCAAGAGCCTGCAGGTCAACCTGGCTGCGGCAACGTTTATGGAGGTGGACTTCTCCATCGATCGGCCGTGCGACGGCAGCTCCCAGGCTCCGGCGGCTACCAAGCTGTTCAACTTGCCGTGGGCGAAGTGCGTGCGTCCAGCACCGGGCGCGCCGTGCGAGACCCTGCTGTCCAGCACGGCTGTGACCGTCAACACGACGGCGTACGTGAGCTGCGACGCACGGAGCGTGCGCGACATCGTGGTGCGGGCCAACGTCACGGGCATTGAGCTCGAGGCGGGCACCACCGATCCCAATGACCCGCCGCTCTTCAGGCAGCCGCTCAACTTGACCGACGCCAAGTTCGACTACTCCTACTCGCAAGCCGATCTCCGCGTGTGGGGCATGCTCGACTCGCCGCATCTTCCGGATCTGCTCACGGAGTACCGCGTCTCGCTAAGCAGGACGGTGCGCGCGATGTTCGCCTTCGAGCCGGGCCTTCCGGAGCGGCTCAAGCTCGCGGACAGGATGTCCATCTTCGACAACCCGGCGCTCGCAGACGCGCCCGTGGTTGGAACTCCGGCGCACACGATCGGCCAGTTGGACCTCGGTCTCGGGGGCGGTCTCCTGGAGGCTGTCTGCATGCACGGCATCCCCGAGGTGGGGCTTGCGAAGCTGGACACGACCAACATTCTGTACCTGGACACCATCGCGGACCGCTGCTCGTCGTTCGCCGCGGTGCTGCTGTACAGCCCGCGCGTCGAGGTGATGCGCACCGAGGCGGGACTGAACCTGGAGTCCGCGAGGGTGCGTGTGTATGGGTACGCACTGCCGCCTGCCGCCGCTGCGGATCCGGCGGCGAGCACGCGCATGGAGGCGCGCATGGAGGTCTACCGCGGGCGCGTGCGAACGTTCCAGGACCCGGGCGGTGGCACCGTCCAGCGGTACGACTTCAGGCCGTTCGACCCCGCAACATTCGCTGTTCAAGCTCGGGACCCGTTCTGGAACAACTCCGTCATTGTGGGCAGCACGCGGCTGTCGGAGCTCGGCCTCACGACGCTCGGCGGACTCAGCTGCGTCGACCAGGACGAGAACTACCGCGCGGTGTGTACGTACCCGTTGATTCAGGAGCACGACGTCTGCGCGGCGGGAACCATCGCACTGAACGCCACGCTGCCGCTCGCGGAGATGCTCGACCACCCAGCGATGCCGGCAAGCATCAACGCGACGGGCCGCGCGGACGTGAAGTGCGCGAACTTCCAGCTCGTTGACTTGCTGATGTCGGTCGACGTCACCAACCCCCCCTCTGGGCTCACGTGGGACGGCCTGGCGGGCAACCTGACGGTGGAGCACCTGCGGTGGGACAGCCTCGTCATCAACGGGGCTGGTTCCGACTTGGAGATCCGCGGCACGGCCTGCGTCGGCGTCGACTGCCTGATGAGGGCGTATGGCATCATCGACGTCGCGCGCGGGGAGTACACGCGGGGCGCCGCCGGATCCACGACGCGCATCTCGCTGTACCTCCCGCACCCCGATCAGAGCGCTCTTGCAGGCCCAGCCAGGGCTGTGCAGGGCGAGGTGATCGGCGTCGACGCGTTGCTGCCAGCGGCAGTGGGCAAGGTCCTCCGGGCGCCCCTGCCGCTGATTCAGGACGCCCCGGCGCTGTACTCGAGGGAGATGCTCGTCACGATCCCCGAGCCGGAGACGCTGGTCACGCGCGGCAACAGCTCGAACACGACGGTCGTTACGGCAGCGCCCACTTTGACACCCCTGGGCGGGAACGCAACGACCACCTCGTCCTGCACTCCCACGGCGGCTTCCGACATCCACGTTTCCGCATCGCTGTTCCAGAAGCGCTGGATCGTCGGCCTGCACCAGGCGACCATCCGGGCGCCAGGCATGATGTGCGGGCCCAACGGCACACACATCATGCACGAGTCCTTCCGCCTCGCGTCGGCGGCCGCGGTCACGGTGGTGCAGAACGCCACGAGCCTGACCGGGACGCCAACGAACTCGAACCGGCCAAGTTGGGCAGCGGATGTCGCGGCGGGTGACTATGCAGGGCTTGCTGCAACGACCAGGAACTTCAACTGCAGTGTTGCAGCGGAACAGCGCGCCAGCGAGGTCTCTCTCTGGAACATGCCGTTCCGCATGCACCTGCTCGACGCCGAGGCAGCTCTGCACGTCATCGCTGCGGTTGACGGCAGCCCGGCAAGCAGCCCGGGCCACAAGTGGGCGGCGTTCAACGTGCGGCCTTCTCGGCTCGGACTTCCGTGCGCGGGGAACATGTCCTTCGAGGCCGACCTCGGCACGATCGCTGTCGGGACAGTCGCGCTGGGGCAGCTGCACCTCAAGCAGGCCACGGTGAGCTACACGTCTGCCAACCACACTGACGACGGCGGGCAGTTCGTCGTTCGCGGCAAAGCAGGGGTTCTGGACGCGACGCTCACGTTCCTCGCGTCCGGTCCGACCGCAAGCAACGCCACTACGCTCGTCCTCGGCCTGCCGGCTAGTTCCGGGACGGTCACCCTCGATCAGCTCGGTGACGTGGCCGCGCCTCTCCTAGAGGGCTTCCTCGCGGCAGGGATTCCGGGAATCCTGCCCGCTGGAACTCCGCAGTCCTCGGCGGCATCTGTCGTCGTGAGCAGTCTCTCCATCGAGTCGCACCCGGCCCGCCCCACCTTCGAGGCCAAGGGAGTGGCTTCGGCGCCGACCTTTGGCAACTTCGACCGCGGGGCGCAGTTCGGGTGGACACGAGGCGGCGGAGGCGGTGCTTTCCACGTCATGTACACCGTCCAGGGCGCGTCTAACGAAGCGCTCGCCGCTCGGCCAGGCTCCCCCGCACTGCCGGCTTCCAACGACACGGTCCCGACGTACTCCGGCGCGACGGTGGTTCGTTGGAACGAGACCTGGTTCCGCCTCGATGGTTCGTCGTGGGTCCATGACCCTGCTCTCGACCCCGACGCCTGGTGGGTGTACGACCCGGCGACTTCACGCTGGATGTGGCGCTTCAAGGCAGGCGCAGTTGCACTCACCTGGCCCGCAGAGGTGACGGCGGGGCTGCACTGGTCCGCGTACTGGCGACTGGCGGTTGCTCGGGCGGCGACAGGTGCACCTCCGGCGCCAACGCCTGCCGCGGGCGTGAGCTACTCCCTCGTGTGGACGCGACGCTACCTGTCGCGGCCGGGCGTGTCCATCACCGTCGACTCGGCCGTCGACCCGTGCACTCCAGCTGCTGCCGGGTCCATCACCGGATCCGGCTTCGTGCTGGGACCCGCCCCGCCGCCGGGGCAGAATGCGAGCATTGTGGTTCCAGGGCATCCCCTGCAACAGGGCGGGCCGCGGCAAGTCATCGGCTACTCGGACGGGGCAGTGAACCTCACGTGCTCGAACTTGACGATCACTGGCTTCTCCTTCGTCGCGACCCAAGCTTCGTTCCAGTGGGCCATCGACGCGCTGGCGTTCAACGAGACCTTCCACAGCGCCTCACTGGCTCTCTCGGACGACGATGACGACGAGGCGCTCAGATTCGCCGAGCTGAGGGGTATCGAGGCGACGGGGCTGCGGGCGACGCTGCGCTTCGACCCGCAAGGCGCTGCGCCCCAACTGCAGCTCTCCGGCCCCTTCACGGCCAAGCTGTCCAACGTCGTGCCCTTGCTGCTGGGCGATGCGCTGAACGGCAACCTGTCGGCCTGCGTCGCGTACGCCGGTCTGCCCGGGGTCGATCTGCTCTCCGTCAACGGGACGAACGCCGGTCAGCTGAACTGGACAACCCCGCTCAACAACCTGGTCATCCACTTGGCGGCGAACGGGTCGCAGGGCCACCCCCCGCCGTTCAGGTGGACGGCGGACGTCGCTGTCGGCGACGTGGTCGCGCATCTCGACGTCACCGTGGGGTCGAACGCGTCGACTCCGGGCGCCAGCAGTAGCTCTGCATTCCCGCCTGAGGTCCCCAACTACGGGGCGCACCCAGGTGCGATCTCGGGGCTGTACGCCGCGGTATGGCGTGGCGCGGACGCGAGCTTGTCGAACGCCCGCAAGGCCCAGCGGACTGTCGGGCAGGCAGCCGTGGACCTCGGCGCAGTGAGCATCGTGGGCACCGCTGTCGGCAGTACGTCGGAGGCACCGTGCGCGGGCGTGGCGGTGTCGAGCGCGTTCGACGTCAGGAACGGAGCGCTGCTTGCGGCCCCTGTCGTCACTGGAGCGGGAGCCACGACCATCACGTGTTCGGGTGGCCGCCCACAAGGCATTTCCACATCTGGCAACCAAATCACGGGCAACGCCGTCGTCAGGACGCCTCGGGAATCGTTCGAGATCAGCAACGGCGAGGCGTTCGTGACGTGGAGCGACGGTGCTGTCAGGCTGGCAGGTGACTACCGGGGCGCGTCCACGGGCACCGCGCAGGCAGGCAACACGACTTTCGCTGCCTCGGCGCCGCAGTTGGCCGTGCACACCATCCAGCTGACGGGCTCGCTGCAGCAGGCCATGTGCGCCTTCCCGACGCTCGCGTCTGTTCTCGACGCCCACGGCGTGCCCGGGCTCGCGGCTCCCGGCAACACGGCGGGAGCTGTGTCGCTGGGGAGCAGTGGGGTGTCCGTCATGTCGGGCGGGGCCTCTTCGCTGTCGCTGGGCGGTCCGGCGACGCTCGTCGTCCAGCTGGCAACTGACACGGTGGTCCTCAACGCCCAGGGCAGCGAGCTGCACTTCGTTCCCGGACCAGTGAACCCTTCAGCGCCGAACACAACATTCGCGACCTCCTGCACAGCTCCGGCCGGCAGCTGGACTATGCAGGAGCGCTTCGTGGGCACCGGGTATGAGCTCATGGTCGAGTGGGGCAATGCGACGCAGACCTGTTGGTATGCTTCCAGCGTGGTAGCTCCTGTGGCCAGCTCCAAGTTCGAGCCGGATGGCAGCGTCGGGACCGTTGCCTTCTCGGCGGGCGCCACCGCGTCCGCGACGTGCGTGGACGGGAGGTCTCAGCAATTCGACGCCACGGGGAGCATTGCCGACCGAGCACTGCCCCTGGTGTTGAACGACGTGTCTGTTGGGAACGGCACGATTGTCTCCGCCGGGGCCCGCTTCCAGTACCCCGCACGGGAGATGACCATTCACGGCCTTGTCGCGGGGACGGCGGGGACGGTCGGCATGAGGACGTCGTTTGCCGTTGAGGCACAGGGCACCCCAGATATCGAGATCGTCGCCCCCGTGTCCAGTTCAGCGGTGCGTTTTGACCTCGCAGGGTCGCTTGGATTCGCTCCAGCTCTGCAGAACGTGGTCGCAGGGAGCGGCTTGGAGGGCAGGCCAGGGAACTGGGGCCTGTTTGTGCGGGCCAACGTGTCCCGCACAGCTGGTCACGCCGACCTGCACTTCGAGACGATGCACCCGTCAGGTGGCATCGTCGGGATGACGATGCTTCTGGAGCAGCCTACGGGCGCCGGTCCGCTGCGTCCGCTCTCGAGCAGCGTCGATTTCAGGCAGTCGACCTCCTCGGTTGCTCTCGCGGAGAGCCTGGGTGTCATCCCGCGCCGCAACGGCACCTGCGCCGACGGTATGCAGGACGTCGAGCTGGCGGCGCTCTCAGACACGCTCGCCCTGCCCACGGACTGGATGAAGCCCGGGGTGTCGCTTGCGTCGCGGGGCAAGCTCGCCGGGGAGAACGTCACGGTCGCGGGGTCGTTCAAGAACGCCACGGGGGGACTCTGCCTTCCGGCAGTGCTCTCTGGGAGCGTCACGACGTACACGAGGGCTGGCGTCGTCGAGCTCGCGGGCCTGGCCGCGGTGTCTTGCACGCCCTCGGGCGAGCTCCTTGTGCTGAACTCCTACCTTCCAGCCGCATCGAACGTGAGTCTTGCGCACCCGCTGACCGGCGACTTGGATCTGACGGTGACGCATGCCGTTCTGCACGTCGACCTCGGGACCTCCATCCCGGCGCCCTCGGTCGACTTCTCGGCGAACATCACGCGCCAGTCCCTCGCGGGGTCCATCGCGATCAACTACACGGATCTGTCCGCGCCGGAGTCGCTGGAGCTGGCTGGTTCGGCCGGACTCGACATCCGCCCGGTCGTCCTCGCGTCGCAGCCGACCGGGATGCTCTCGGCTGTCTTCCCGACGGCGACGGTGTCGAGTGCGACCGTGTACAGTGGCCCGGCACTGACGGTGGCCGACGCCAAGGTCGAGGTTCTGCTGCACGAGAACAGGGTCAAGCTGGACGCCACGCTCGAATTCGCGGGGCAGGGGAACGTCACTGCGCAGGTTGCGTCCTCAGTACGGCTGATCGACCCCCCGCCTTCCAGCGGCGCGTCATCGTGTACCGCCGGAGCAATGTCCGGGCCGGAGTCTCAAGGGAACGTCGCACCAGCTGCGGCTTTATCTGACGGTGCAGCTCTCAAGAGCCTGGCGGACATCGTTGCGTCGGAGAACACGACGGTCGTCTTGTCACGAACGGACGACTACGGGCGGGAAGTCGCCGTGACAGTGCACGGCAACGATGTCTGCGGGCCGTCGCAGATCATCGATGCCACGCTGCGTCTGAAGGTCCCGCAAGTCGCGGACTTCTCTGCGGCATTCAGCAACGACGTGCAGGTGGTGTGCGATGGTCGCCGAGCTGACTCGATGACCCTGCCGACTCAGCTGGCCGGCTACATGGACCTGCAGCTTGGCGTGCTTGGCGCAACTGACGTGAGTGGCGTCGTCGTCGACTTGTCGCTCGACTTTGAGCAGGTTTCGCTGGTTGGCACGCTGTCCGGGCATCCAGCTATCAACGCGACCCTCAGCACCCGGCTCTCGTCAAGCGGTGTCAACGCGTCGATATTCGCGGTTGAACCTGGAAGCGTCCAGTCGTTCCTCAACGCGCTTTCCGATTACGCGGGCAAGCGGAGCGTGACGGACGTCCTTGTCGACCCCGTTGGCACCTCGGTGCTGTACTCGGACGCCTTCGACAGCCTGCGTGTGTCGACGGACGTCGACGGACCTGCGCTGTATGAAGCGCAGACGGTGCTCGCTGTTCCCGTCATCGGCGACCTCGCGATGAACCTCACGGTGTCGATCGACGCCACGAACAGGACCCTGAGCGACATCGATCTCGCGAGCACGGTCGAGCGCGCGTCCTTGCGGATGCCCGAAGGCTCTGACGCTTCGTTCGCGTCGCTCGACGTCGTCGCGGAGAGGCCATGCTCGACCGGAGTCGCAAACGGCACCATCGTGCTTGTGGCCGTCCCCGGCAGGAACGAGTCCTTCGCTGCCACGTCAAGCTTCGCGACGCACTGCTCGAACACAGGACGGCTTACCAAGCTCGACACGATGCGCGACGCTGCGACCGGGGAGGTTCTGAAGATCGATCAGTTCTCGACGTCGCTCGTTGGCGTTGTATCCAACTCCACTGTTGGGTTCAGCCTCGACGGGTCGTTGATGGAATTCGAGCTTTCGTCTGGCGATGCTGGCACCACGTTGCTGCGCGCGGACGTCTATCGCGGAGTCTTGCCCGTGGGTGTCCTCTTCGACTACGGCAACTTCACGACGACTTACGCCAACATCAACGGAAGCCTAGGCATTGATTCGCTGGAATCTGCGCTCTTGCGGCTCGGTGTCCCGGGAGTCCCACCACAGGAGTCGAACGACAGCATCGTTCTGAGCAATATCGGCGTCGTGGTCTCCGAAGGGGGCACCATGCAGTTGAATGCTGCTGTCAACCTCACTGGAAACGGCACCGGCAGCTCTGCGGACATGTTGATGTCGGTTTCTGCGACCTATCTGGTCGTTCTCAACGCAGACTCGAGCTCTTCGGCTTCTCTGACGTATGTGGAGCTGCAGAAGGAGTTGTTCAACAAGTTCGGAGAGCGCGCTGCCTACATCGCCGTTCGCGGCGAGAATCCTTGCGAGCCAGGCGCTTCAGTCAACGCCAGCGCCATCATCGCCCAGGATCCTTTCGCGGGCACGTCGGGCGACGCCCTGTCAGTGGCGGCCCCTGCGCACCCCGTGTGCAACAGTGAGGGCAACCTCATCTCGTACAACGTCAACGCGACCGTGGGCCAGCTGGCAGGGATCAAGACCGGGTCGCTCGGACGAGTCGACCTGACGAATGTGCGCTTCGCGTTGTCCGGAGAGACCCTCGTCACGTCCTTGTCCGGGCGCGCGCAAGGTGTGGACGTCGCGGTCCTGCCAGTCGATTTGACGAACTTCACCGAGACCGCGACACTGCGGGTGACAGCGCGGGACGGAGCCCTGCCACTGTCCCTGAGTCAGCTGTCCGGCGCTCTCCTGGCATCATGCGGGGGCTTCGGGCACGCGCTCGAGGCCGCGTTGCTGGAGACGGGGTTGATCTCCTGTGGCCCCTCCAGCACGTGCGCCAGCGACGCCCGACTGGTTGGAATGGACGTCGTTGTCTCGAACGACACGCTCGTCATCTCCGCGGGCAACATCATGGAACGCTACGGAACGTGCGGGCAGCGTTCCGTGGACGCGAATGCGATCGTTCAGCTTGAACGCGCCTCGGCAGGATGTTCATGGGACACCGAGCTCCGGCAGTTGCAGACCTCGATGCAGTCGGACTCGCTGTCGTTCACAGTGTCATCGCAGTTCCCCTGCGCATCGAACACAGCCAACATCACGAATCTGCAGCTCGGCCACCCGCTGGCAGAGCCCGCGACGGTGACCTCAGCTGCTGCCGACGTCGTCTGCAACGGCAGCGCCTTGTGGAGCATTGCCTTGCGCACGCAGGACCTCTCCTTTGCCTCATCCCCACCTCGTCTGCACGCGAACCTTTCGGACGTGTTCAGCTACGTATCGGGGATGGACCTGGCTCTGGAGTGTGTCGCTGACGCAGCATTGTCGACCGTGGCGCTGAGCGGGAGCACCGCAACCTCGAGCGGCGTGAAGCTGGGCGACGTTCCGGTCACGTTCAGCTATGACCTGTCGGACTCGCGCAGCTGGACGTGGCAGCTCGGGAACGCGTCCTCGACGGCTCCAGACGCCGGGATGTCGGCACTGGAGCTGCTTGACTCGCTGAACTCCCAGGCTGTCAAGCAAGCCATCATTGCGTTCGGCATTCCAGGCATTGCGCCGCCGAACGATGAGAGCGGTTTCGCGGCTTCGAACATCACCGCCATCAGCGCAGCGGTCGCGTCTGATGCGAAGTCGCTGGTGCTGCGAGGAGCCGGAACCTTCATCAGTGGCGAGTCGACCGAGATCGCCATGCGCGTTGACGAGCTCGCCTCAGGTGCTCTCGAAGTAACCGCCTCCGGGGTCCGCGTGCCGGGCACGAACAGTGCGTTCCACACCCTGTTCGCTGTCAAGGGCCCCGCTCCATGTGCCGGGAGCAGCTCGACCTTCACCACAGGCGCGTACGCGCTCCAGATGGTGCAGCTGGACAGGTCGCATCCTGCGATCGGACGACCGGTCACGAACGCGTACATCCCAGACTTGCGATTGCGGAACTATCAGATCTCGACGCTGTGCGCCGACTTCCTCATCGGCGAAGAGAAGTGCACCCTCGGGACCGTCCGCTTCGCATGCGCCAACGGCGGAGTGAGCGACGCGTTTGCGACTTTCGACGTCAATGTCACACAGGCGCTGCCGTCAGAGTTCAGCGGTGAGCCGGAGGCCGCTATTCCAGCCTGGGACGAGTTTGCGCCCGACGTCGCAGGTCTTGGTGCGGTCGGACCCGTGCGAAACGCTTCCGGGTCGCTCTCTCTTGGCGCCGGCGTGCTCAACATCACGGGCACTTTGAGCGCCCCAGGCAGCGACGCGTCCGTCAGCGTGGACCTCGGTTTCAACCTCGCGGACCCCTACTCCGCTGTCTCCGCCCACTTCGCGCTTCAGGCCGGCTCGACGCCCGTGCAGCTCGGCCAAGCTCTCGCGGCGCTGAACGTGGCGCCGGTCGCCGCTCTGATCGAGCAGTCGGGACTGCCGGGTGTTGCCTTCGCCAAGCATGTCTCGAGCGGGTCTGACTCGGGCTCTAGTCCAAGCAGCCTGAACGACCTTTCGGTCTCAACCCTCGACGTACGCCTGGAGCAAGAGTCCCTCGTCATCGTTGTGGATGTCGTCGTGGCCGGCATGTCGGGCGTTGTTGCATCGCACCGCCTGGAGGCTGACGCCAGCACGTGGGTGCAGAGCGCGGCGGGCTCGTCGTTCGACAGCGCCCCTACTCTCACGGCGATGTCGCTGGACATCACAGGTGGCGACGTGCGGGTCTCCCTGAGCGGCAACGGACGCCCATGTGGGCTGTGTGCTCCTTTCACAGGTTCCGTCTTGCTCAGCGTGCCCGGCGTGAGCGTGGGTGGAGCGCGCGACGGCATCGTCATGTCGGGTCCGGCGTTCTTCAACTGTTCGACCAGTGGTGCCCCCCCCGCGACCGACTTCACCATCCTCGGCACAGGGCTGACGGGCAACGTGAGCACGCTCGCGCTCGGAACGGTCGCCGCGCACAACATGACGGCAACGTACCGCCACCAGGGCAGCATGCTGTCGTTGACGGGCAAGGCGGACGGTGGCCACGAGGTCGCGGTCAACGTGGGGCGCCTCGGCGCGAGCGACGCCCCCGCTGACGCTGCTTTTGCGATCCTCCCGTCGTTCCACCGCTATCTGGAGCGAGCGTCGCTGTGTCGCGACACGAGAGTTGGAGTGACGTTCAACGCCTCGAAGGGCGCCGGCGACGTGTCAGACGGAGTCCCCGCCACGATGAGCACCTTCACGTGTCCCGCCGTCACGCAGCAAGCGTGCCGCAGGGCCGATGGCAGGGCGCGTGGATCTTTCGAGCCAATCCAGTGGCACCCCTGGCTGAGTTCGGCGAAGCACGTCTTCACGAACGGCACAAATGCCACCTCGAGCAATTTGACGATCGCCGTCGACGCGGGCCAGCTTCCGAACTGCACAGTGCCCATCCACGTGCCAGACAGCGAGGAGCTCCTCTCCTGCGATCTCCCGCTGGTGGACACGTTCGCCGACCTGGACAGCCGAACGACATTCGCTTCGCAGCCAGCAGGCATCGCTGCCGCGGAGGGCGCATCATGCGCGTGCAGCACGTCGTGCGCGCCCGGGGCGACGCTAAATGCGACGTCCTGCAACGTGGCATGCAATCAGACGGGCCTGCACGAGCTGCTGCGCCTCTCGGTGACGACACCCGCCGGCTCCGCAGTTGCCTTTGGCAAGGTGTTCACGGACGGCATCGAGCCGCTGCTGCAGTCGCTGGCACTGCCCGCGCTGCTCGTTAGCACCCCATCCATGCTCGGAAACCTGTCCACCACGGGTCTAAGCGTCGCCTTCGACAACGTGAACGGCTGTGCCCGCGTTTCTGGGGACGTCGCCATCCCTGGCATTCGAGACCACTCGCTCGCGATGTCCGCGTGCCGCAACGCGACGCTCCTCGGGATGCATGTCGCTCAGCGCAGCAACCCTGCGCAGGCTCGCTGCGTATCCCTTGCGGACGGGTGGACGGGCGCGCGGATGCCCAAGGACTACGGAGCCGCTCTTGTCGACGCAGCTTCGCAGCCCGTCGTCTCGGGCGCCGACGTCTTCGTCGCGCGGCAGCTATCGCTGAACGTTTCGGCTCCGGGCGGCGGCGTTGATGCTGTCGCGCTGGACGTTCCTGGCTGCGCAGCTGGTCCTGGCTTGCGAACGGCGTCTTCTGCGACGCTCGCGCTGAACCTCCCGGCGCTGTCGCTGCCAAGCACGCCGGCCAGTCTGACCGTCTCTTGCCTCCCGACAGGCGTCCTCGGAAAGCCAGTGTTCGGCGGACACGTCTTGTCAGCCACGGTTTCCACCGCCGACATCGACATCGGTGCTCACCGTCTCACGGTCAGCAACCCGACGTTCGAGCTGTCGAGCGCCATGCGCGCTGTCGAGGCGCAGGCCACGGCTGGAGGCTTCGCGATGCAGGCCTACGCGGCGGTCACGGATGCTCTTGGGAACGTGGCGAATGGAGACGAGGACTCGTTCTCCGTCGGACTCGCCCCGGGCGGTCCGTTCACCACGGTCTCTGCTTTGAGTCAACTTCTGGTCGGCTCGACTTTGTCTCGGGCCATGTCTGCCGTCGGGATTCCGGGCATCAATTCGACCTCGGACAGCCTAACCGTGCTGTCGTCGTTCACGCTGGAAGGATCGAGGGACACGACGATTCTGGGCGTGTCTTCTGCCCTTGACAGTGGGATGACGCATGAGTTCCTGGCGAATTTCACTGCGTCTCCCGCCGTGGCTGCAAACGTCACCTTTGGCTCCCACATCCTCAACAACCTCACAGCCTTGTCCGTCAATGCATCGATGAAAGCTGCGAGCGGATCGATCGCTCTGAGTGTCGAGACGAGTATGCCAGGTCATCCGTGCGACGTTCAGTCGTCGTCTTCCATGGATTTCTCTGGGAGCGGACTGTTCGCAGCCCCGACATCCATTGTGGGCAGCGCGGCGTTCCGCTGCAGCGTGGGCGGCGACATCGAAGCGTATGACCTGCTCTTACAGTCGGCGTCGGAGACTCTTGCGACGGGAGCGCTCGGGAGCTTGGCCGTCTCTGGGCTGTCAGTCGCTTACGACAGTTCCACGCGTCGCGCAAGTGTCGCGGCAAGTGCCGGCGGTGCTGCGGCCTCGTGGAACGTGTCCTCGGCTTTCACGTTGTGCGGAACTACGGCATGCCCGGCTTCGTCTTCTGCGTGCTCGTGTGCGGGCCAGCACGGGCTTTGCTCCACATCCAACACTACGCTCCGCAACGTCAGCAATCCTGTCGCCGTCGACGACCTGTCCACCGCACTCGGGCTGCCGATCACCGCGGCAATCGTAAGTGTTGGCCTGCCCGGCGTCGACAGCTCTCAGGAGAGCTTGATCGGGAACGCGACGATGTCCGGTGCGACGTTGGAGTTTGACCCGTTCACGGAGTGCACGACGGTTTCTTGGGACGACCTCAACCTCGACGATGGCACGCAGCTGCTATCGTCCGCTGTCGAGCTCTGTCGCGTCTGCAGTGGCGCGCAAGCAAGGAGGAGTTTGAGTGCAACCAACCTGGGCAACACCACTCTGTGGATGAACGACGGCAGCGTCTACGCGTCGCTCCACTACGGCGCACTCACGTTCGTCGCCACCGGGCGAAGTCCTTGTCGCTACTATTCCAATGGCCAGGTCCAGGAGGTCACGGCCGCGGAGGGACCAGCCTCGACCACAGACCTCAACGCTGCCTTGCCGTCCATCGGAGTATCCGGCACGTTCCCTGGCACGTACACGCTCGGCTGCAGCGGGGGGCGCATCTCGTACTTCACTGCTAGCTCAAGTCTGGGCGCAACACGTGTCTCGACCGGCGCGTTGGTGCTCGACGTGCCGTCCTCGGTGCTGACGTACACCTCGAGTGCCTCACAGGTCGCCCTGGTTGGCACGTCCAGCGATACGAGCGACATCTCCCTCACAGTGGCGCTGCCCAGGTCCCGCAGCGGCCCGCCAGCGGTGTCCATCGACACGTCGAGCCTGCAGGTCCAGGCAGGGTTCCGCGAGCAGGCGGGCCAGAACATCAGCGTCGGGACATGGCTCAGCACGCGCGGTTCGCCGCTGGTCAGCGGGCTCGTTGCCGCGGCTGGAGTTCCGGGCGTCGCTCGCGCGGAGCTGATGCAAGCGCGTGTCGTTCAGGTCGACTCCGTGCTGGCGCCCTCCTTCGTGTCCTTCTCCATGTCCGTCGACTGGGACGGGATGCGCTGGTCCGTCGGCGTGGATGCCGGCGTCTCTACGACGTCGACCGCGGCGTTCTCAGTCGGCCCCGGGAACTGGACAGCAAACGGCACGACGTTCGATGTTCAGCGCTTCAACTTCTCTGCAACAACGCTGCAAGCTCGGTCCGGAGCAGTGTCGGTCGCTGGAGCTGTTTCAGGCAACCCATGCAGCTCGCCTGGTACTGCGGAATTGTCGGTGAATGCATCAACACTGTTGGACCGCGTGTTGGTCGCTGCGGGCAGCGTGACCGTCACGTGCGGTGTCGACGGCGTTGGGGACTACAGCGCTGCGCTCAGCTCTGCTGCGCCAGCGCTGCGCACCGGTGTTGTCGGCAACCTGCAGCCCAGCAGCACTGTGCAAGTTGCGTTCAACAGCAGCGACACGAACGTTGCCCTCGAGTGGGCTAGCGCGGGCGCCACCATCACCTGGGGCTTCCAAATGTGCCGCGACAGCCTCCAAGGGCCGCAACCGCAGCCAGCGTGCGGTGCTCCTGCCTTCTCGGAGTTCGGCGTGTGTGCGCCCAAGCGCGCCCAGGTCACGTTCGGGGCCAGCGGCACGCGCCTCGGAGACGCAGACTCCTTCCTCGGATCTGGTGCCTCCGTGGCCGCCGCCGTCGGCGAGGTTGGGCTCCCCGGCCTCACACAGGTGCTGTCTTCTCAGGAAGCACAAGACGTGACCGTCCAGGGGGGCTCGATGATCATCGACGTTGCATCCAAGTGCGCGGACTTCGTCGGAGGCATGGCGACCTCTGTCAACTCCGCCTTGGAGCTGCCGGAATACGAGATCTGCAAACCCTGCTCCGCGGGCGTCAGGCACATCGGGCGCTTCAACGTCTCGGTCGTGGCGCAAAGTGGGACTGTCGCGCTGCAGTCGTCCGGGGTTGCGCCGTGCGTCGTGATCGGCGCAGGCCAGCAGGCGCTGCCTGTGGTTAGCTCGGGCACATACCTGTCCCCGCTGCCGTACGAGGCGTTGGTGACGTTCACGATCGCTGATGCCGGCATTGGAGGGACGACGCCAGGGACGTTCACGCCTGTCTGTCAGCAGCAGACCCTCATCGGATACAGGGTCCGCGGAATCGTGCCGTCGATCAGCCTCGACACGTACCCGATTGCGGTCTCGATCATCAACGCGACGTTGCAGTACTCCACGGTCGGCAACCAGCTCGCGGCGCTGTCGGTGAACAACGTCACTGAGACGCTCGTGCAGTTCGCCCCCGTGGGTGCCCGTCTGCAAAAGCTCAACTCTGTCAACCGGCAGACGATGTCCGTCAGCGAGGTGCGGGGCAACTTCGGGGACCCCGTCGTGGACTGGCTACTGGAGCTTGGCACGCCGGGAATGAACGACGCAGTGGACGCGCTGCGCGTCCCGTACATCTTCGTGGATCTCGACTTGTACGACGAAGCCGCCGACGCCTACAATCTTGGCACCCTGATGGCAGAGTTCAACCTCAGGCACGACGAACAGTTCGCACGCACGGAGCTGGGCCTGCGCGTGACGATCCTGGACGCAAGAGATCGTGCACTGGCGAGAACGGACGACGTCGACATCGAGTTCGCCTCCACGTTCATCGAGCAGAACCTGCCGCAGGCGGAATGGCCGTCCGTGGGAGTCCGTGCTCGCGGCGTGTCTCCTTGCGGCGCGGGGGCTGAGGCGAACGTGACCGGCGCGCTGATCCTGCTGAACATGCCCTTCGGGCTCGGTTCTCCGAGCTTCGATGCCACTGTGCAGATCATCTGCAATGACACTCAGTTGGCCAACATCGACGCCTTCGCGACTCTCGAGAAGCTCAACGTTCAGGTCGGCTTCGTTGTGCCGATGCAAGACGTTCTTGTCACGGCGAAGATGGGCGAGGGCTCTCTTTCCGTCGTGGGAGATGTCCAGCGCCTCCGCGGTGACCTTTTCATCCCCCTGCGTGGCCAGGCGGACTACCGCGACAACGTGCGGATGTACATCACGAGCCAGACCGACCTGACGTGGGCGGAGGTGCACACCAGTGCGGGCCCCAGTCTCGGAGACAGGCTGCGCCACACTGGCGCGCCAGGCGTCCAGCCGTCCCGCCTCTCGGACGGAGAGATGATCGTTCGCGACGGCCTCCTGCTGACTCTAGCGACAAGCTGGTTCTCCGCCTCGTACGAGTTGGAAGGCGACGTCGGCTCGCAGGCCAACGCGTTCGAAGTCGACTACCAGCTTGTCCGCGGTGCCCTCCCCGGGCGGTGGCTGTTCAACCAGACCAGCTTCACCGCCCACGTCAGGTGCAGCCGGGGCGCGGACGGGTACGTGGACACCTCGAACTGCACGATGCAGGTCGACACCGCGGGCCCGGACCCCTGTCAGGAGTTCTACCTCGCGAGGGAAAACGGCACTCCGCTCCCGGAGATCCCGGCGTGGAACGCGACGCTGCAGATGCGGGACATGGCGTTCGACATCGGCAGCATGAACGCGACGGGCGTCGTGAACTTCACGTGCTTGCGCCCCACGCGGGACAGGCCGTACGGCGAGATCAACACGTGGCGCTTCGAGGGAATGAAGCAGCTGAACCGAACGCTCGACGTGGGCCTGACCTTCATCGAAAGTTTGGAGTCGACGCGGTTCGCGGTGTACTACGACGAGGGCCGCCGCATCGCTGCTGCGCAACTGTTTGTGGGCAACTCAACTGCAAACAACACAGTGCCCAAGGGCGCTTTCGACAGCCTCTTGGACCTCTTGCTGTACCGGGATCTGACCATCACGGAGGAGGACGACGTCTGGCATCTGTTCGAGCGCATCACGGCAAATTACAGGACGTTCCTGCTGGTGCAAGACCTCCATGTTGATGTCTTGCCGGTTGTTCGGGCGCGCATCGACCGGTGCCTGGGCGAGTACGGATGGAGCACAGGCCTGCTGGCTGGGTTCTTCACTTCTGAGTACATCGACGGGTCCTTCGTGCACGACCTCACGTCCACACAGCTCTGGAGCATCTCGATGGCCAGCATCGCGCCCATCCCGCTGCGCATCGTGCCGACGATTCTCGAGGGGTACCTGTATGATTTCCTGACGGACTACGGCACCGCTCAGCTGGACGCCAAGTTGGACGAGGCGTTTGCTCGGGACATTTGGCTGTATCTGGACACGTTTGACCACGAACTCGGCTTGCCCACGGAGGGAGACCTCGACATGGAAGGAGCAGTGCGCTGGGACGACCCGGACACGCTCACGCGGCTGAACACACTGGTGACGGCTACGTACGAGCGGGCGAGGACCGTGAACGCGACCTTGGTAGCGTTCGCGTGGGAGTACACACAAATCTTCTTCGTCAGTGCCGAAGCTCCCAGACCGAGCATGATGGTCGTCAGCGTAGGCGGGTCGACGCCGTGTGGAACCGCAGCGGGTCCGGCAGCCACCCAGAACGTGGCAAGCGGCGACCTCGAGACAACGAACATGCCGTACGGCATCGGTGACAGGGAGATGCCGGCGTCGGTGACGTTCACGTGCGTCGACGGCCGCATCGACGACTTCAGAATGCTTGCGCTGCCGGGCAGCTTCGACGTGGACCTGACGGACACCAAGGACGCGCCCGCTGACAAGACGCTGATCGTTCCCGTGTTCTTCGCGGAGATGACGTTCGAGCGCTCCACGGAGGACCTCACGGTGCTGGGCGAGACAGCGCGGCTCATGGCGCTCCTGACGGTGTCGCTCGACCGGGCGCGCAACAACGTGGTCTCGGGCCTGCGTCTGTGGAACGACTGGGGCGACACCAATCACAACGGGATCTTGGCAAGCATCGGCGAGCTGGCGCCGATTTTCGACAACGCCGGCGTCCCCGGCATCATGCCATACCGCTACTGGCTCTACATGTCCCGACCAGGCATGGAGATCCGCGTCAAGATCGTGTACGGCGTTCCAAAGATCGGAGGTTCCTTCCCGCCGATGGACATCAACGTGCGCCTTCCGACCGAAAGTCGGGTGCTCGGGATCGACAACGAGATTGTCTCGGGGGCTTGGCTTGACGTTGAGTACTCGATCGTGAAGATCCGGTCGCGTGCGATCGACTACTTTGTTGTTGGGGATGTGTCTTTCGACACCGGGCAAAACTGCCGCTTCGGCGCCGACAAGTACATCGATCGGTCGACGTGCCGCTTGGTCGCAACAGGCATCCGCGGCCCCAACCCGTGCTTCGAGCTGTACCGCTCCATCGAGCTGGAAGAGCCCCTTGCGGGCACGCGCACGTGGTCCGGCTCGACGGCGACGTTCCGCGACCTGCCGCTCAGTACGCCAGACACGGTCGAGAGGGACTCGACAGTTCGTTTCTACTGCGAGACGCCGCGGACAGTCACCCCGTACGGGAGGCTGAACTCGTGGTTCCTGGAGGCGCTCTCGCCTCAGCCCAGCCCCTTCCGCGTGACGCTGGACTTCGTGCCAGACTGGGACGCGCAGCACTACGTCGCCTACTACGACGAGAGTCGTCGGATGATCGCTACGCACTATCTGGCGCCGGCCATGCCGCTGGCTGTGCCCAACCCGGGCTGGCTCTTGGTGGATGCCTACCTGATCTGGCTGCAGTACATCGGCGAGGCGGAACTCGGTGGCACGGAGCAGTACGACGGCCGGGAGGACGTGTACAAGTTCGCCATCGTGGGTCACAACCGCTCGATCGTCTCGGACGAGCTGAGGTTCCTCCCGCTCAATTTCGACACCATTGTCGTCACGTTCGACGACGACACGCGGACCATGTACGCTTACTCCGAGACACCGCTGGCGGAGACTGTGCTGTCCTACCAGGACCGCGAGGACAAGTTCCGCGGAGCCCGTTTCCGGCAGAAGTCTGCCAAGGCCAGCCTGGCCACTGTGGAGCAGATGGCAGGCACTCTCCTGCGCAGCTGGGTGTACCAGCAGGGTCTGCCGGGCGCCAGGCTGAAGATGTCGGAGGCGGCGATCCAGGAGCTGTCCTACGTGAGCGGGCTCGAGGTCTACATCGACCTGTTCAACGACGACACGCTGCAATACATCCCCGGGGGGCTCATGAACGTCCAGGCGACGGCGCGGTACCCGCACGAGAACAACACGTACACGACGAACATCGTCATGGACTTCGTCGACGCGATCTTCGACTCGCGCGTCCTCGTCAACTACCGCCTGACGTCCGGCTTCGAGTTCTTTGTCAGGGACGGCACCGGCGAGAACGTCGTGCCCGCGCCTGCGAGCTCTCTGCTTGTCAACGCCGAGTTCGAGGACATCTGGCCTTGCAAGAACACCCTGGCTCACGACGTCCCGGCGCGCGTGCGATTCGTGCGGGGGCCGTACGGGCTGTCGAGCTTCGACAGGGAGACGGGAGTCAACGGCCTCGACGCGCGCTGGTACCTCGTGTGCGACTCCAGCGGCAACATGGTGGACTGGTCGGTCGTCGCTCAGATGCCCGAAATGTCCCTCAGCTTGGGACTGCCGATGGTACCCGCCAGAAACATCAGCTTCCTCCTGCGCATGGAGGACGCTGTTGTGCGCGGTCTCGGAGTGGTCGCGGACGCTCAGAGCCCCGCGAACGCGCCGGCAATGACCATCTCCGTCACGGTCCCGCTCGAGCGAGACAGGATGCGGACCCAGGCGGTTGCGGTGCTCGAGGTTGTGGACGACATTCCTTTCGCTCGCATGGAGCGCGACGTCGGGTACTTCCTTGGCTGGCACTTGCGCCGGGCCGGCATTCCGGGGGTATCCCCGACGGAGTTCGGATCGTTCGAGGTTCTCGGCGGGACCAAGCTCGAGCTGCGGCAGCAACAAACTCTGTTCTACGGTGGCACGCAGGGGTCGCTCAATGACTTCGGCACGATGGTGGAGTTCGGAGTGCTGTCGCGCCGCCGTCTCGGTGGGAGTATCTACGAGTGGTACCAGGCCGAGATGAACGGCACAGTGGGCACGATGTGTTCCGTGCCGAGCACGGACAACAATTTCTACGTGCCCGACACGAGCTGCAAGAACGTCGCGTACTTCAAGGGAACCGACCCGTGCTACGAGATGACGCTGAATGGGCTGCCAGCCCCGCGCAACTGGATCGTTCCGGGCATTATGCGCGATGCGCCGTTCAACATGCCGGACCTCGCCACCAGGGGCAACCTGACGTGGCAGTGCGCTGCCCCGCGCGGAGATGCGCCGTTCGGCTACATCATCGGGTTCCGCGTCAACTCGCTCGTCGAGGGCTCCAGCGCGCAGGGCCGCAGGATGCAGGAAGCGATGGCGTTCCAGCTCGTGGGGCAGATGGGCTTCTTGGCCCCGTTCCCGGGAATCGCGGAAGTGAACCTGACGGCGTCGGTCTCGATGTCGCCTGTCGAGGGCATCACCATCGGGTACGATCTCCTGAGGAACATGTTCGTGTTCCGCTTTGACTGGGATCCTTCAGGCTCGAACGAAGAGATCGAGTGGACGGAGATCGACGAGCTGTTCTCGTTGGCCATCGACGAGGGCGCGCCTTTCCCCAACAAGATTGTCGGCGACCTCAAGGACTATTTGTCGAAGGACCCCGCGAAGATGGCGGAAGATGCCGCCGCTGGCGCCATCGCCAAGGTGACACAGACGAAGATGGTGATCCAACTGAGGGGCACGCCGAGCTTCCAGGGCGCCGGCGCCATGCAGTTCAAGGACATCCGGGACATCGTCGGTCTATTCGACGCTGCGACGGGTAGCTTCACGGGCATGGTTACGACCAAGTACTTCAAGGGCGTGTTCGACTTCCAGGTGCCGGGCACGTACATCATCAACGGCGCGCCGAGAGAGCAGCCGGCCGGTCTGCGCGGTCTCGACGTCTCGCAGCGTGAATACGACCCGGCCACGGGTGACGGTGGTCCGCTGGGCTGGCTGGACCTGCTGGACACAGTTGGCAGTGGTGTGTTCACGGTGCTCACGGAGCTCGCTTCCGGACAGGAAGCCACGTCACCCGACTTCTTCAGCACGCTCGGTGGATCCGACTTGAACAACATGCTGACGTTCAGTGGTTTGTATTTCACGATCAACGGGTTCGACTACGGAACGATGGAGCTCGTCGACGGCACCATGTGGGCCGGCGGGCTTCTGACTGTCGGAGGCACGTTCTTCGCCGGTTCGGTCGACGCGACGTTCTACCAGCTGCCGTGCAGCAACTCCTCGACTTCGTACTTGTGGGAACTGGGCTCTCCAGACCCGGAAGACGTGGCAGCGTGTGTGGAGCAGAGGGCGCAACGCCAGCTCGCCGTGGACGCTGCCACGCGGCGCAGTCTGTTGGCCTTCGAGGACCCGAGCTCCGGCGCCCTGTCTGGCGACGCGTCCCTCATCGGCGATACCAACCCTCAGGAGGTCCTCCTGACCCCCGCTGGGAGCCAGGCTCGCCAAGGCGCTGTGGCGTGGCAGGGTTCTGCGGGCAGCACGGTGTCGGTGTCGTTCGAGGTGCGCATCAGCAAGACGGCTGCCGGCAGCGACCTGCCGGACATGCAGGCGCTGTGGTTCTTCTTCGGCACTGCTGAGCCAGCGAGCGTGCGTGAGACGGACCCACGCGGAGGCGTGCTGCTGTACATGTACGCGGTGTCGTCGACGAACGACGAGCTGGGCGTGCGGGCTGGCACACCCACGGCAATGAAGACTTGGCGGCGGTCGGGCGTCGGCTTGTTCAGGCGCTGCGCGACCGCATGGTGTACCGTGACTGCGACTTTCCAGGTCACGGCTACGGCGGTGACGGGCAGCGTGCGCGTCGTGCGCGCGACCGGCACGGCATCGACGTACCGCTTCTCGGTGGCTGCGCCGGCGGGCGGGCTGCCGGACGTGGCGAACGTGCAGCTGTGGCACGGCATTGGCGCGCGGCACTCGGCGCTGGAGGCGTACACGCGGGTGCGGTCGCTGTCGGGCGGGCCGGGAGCGAGCACGCAAGCACCCCAGGTAGCGACAACGCCGCCGACGACGACGAGAGGGGTGGAGACCGTCGCGGCGTCGCCTGCGGGGTCTTGTCCCCGTGGATCTTACAGGGGCGCCACGGGCGGATGCCTGCCCTGCCCGGCCGGCTGCCTCGCGTGCCGCCCGCGCCAGGCTGTGCAAGGCCTGAACTGCCAGGTCGACGAGCCTGTGTGCACCTCATGCGTGGACGGCTCTGCCTTGCGGCTGTACGAATACGTCGCGGGTGTTGGCGAGAAATTCTGCGACGTAGGTCAGTGCATTCCCTGCACGGCACGCATTCCTTACTGCGAGTCCTGCACCTGGGAGTGCGGTTCCAGCCCGTGCCGTCTCCCAGATCCGGTTGCGCGCATGCGGTGCACGAAGTGCAACGACACTGCAGTCGAGATCCGAACTGGAGATGCGCTCACGTGCGAGTACGTCGGCGCTGGAGCCGGCGACCAGGGGCAGGACCCGATCGGCCGGATCTTCGGTGACGAAGGCGACGACAACCGTAACAACACGAAGCCCATCGACATCTTCCAGGAGGCTGAGGGGATCAACCAGACCCCGGACTCCTGCATCGAGGAGACCCCTGTTGGGAACGTCAACAATTGCGAAAAGGACGACCTCGGGGACCAGGCGGTCACTGACGATCCAGAGGACGTCATCTGCGACTGTCAGGCAGATGCGGGCGGGCCCGTCGTGGCGGTGAACGGGACGTGCGCGTGCCCAGAGAGAGACCTGCCAAATGCTCGGGAGCTCGACTTCGACGATGAGGATCTTGGAGCGCGATTCCGCCGCACGCCCGACAACCCGATTCACATTCACTCGTACTTCTGGTGCACTGAGCGCATGAGGACGAATAGCGGCCTCTCCATCCTTGACTTGGACAGCTGCACAATTGAACTGTTCGGCGGAGCCACCAAGTTCCCGGTCTGCAGCTCGCTGACGTGGTACGTCCGCACCCGGACTTGCATTCGTGTTCCTACTCATGCGCGCATGCATTGACCTTCATGGGTCCGAACGCTGACCTCGCTGAGTGTTGCTGTGTGTGCAGGCCTGCAAGTGCGACTCCTGCCGACACCATCGGCACGGAGATCATCATCGGGTTCTCTGTCAAGCTGGAAGATATCGGGATGTCGGAGCCGCTCTCGGGCGACTTCAAGATCAACCGGGTTTGCGCCCCTCCCGATGCCCGGCACAACAAGGGCTGGGTGAAGACCACGAAGCTGTCCACGGCGTCAATCTTCGACGTTTTCAAGCGCCAGGTCGAGTCCATCGTCGTCGACGCGCTGGAGGAGTTGCTCGGAGACTCGCTCGTGCGCTCCGTGGCTGGATCAGTCCTGGACGAAGACACTGGCATCCTGGGCACAACCATCCGCCAAGCAATCGAAGGCGCTGGCCTGTCGTCCATGGTCGCCGAGATCGAGACGCAACTGGGCGTCGGCGACGTCGCGCAGCTCGCTTCGGACGTGTCGGCGACCACTGGGGGGGCGCTCGAGTCCAAGATGAGCGACCAGGTGCTCGGGAACCTCGGGGTGACCGTTGCGCGCGAGACGCAGCAGATCGCTGTCGCTGAGGACGGGAGCCCGCGGAGCGCCGCGTCTTCAGGCGTTGTGCGTGCATTGCAACGCGCAGTGAGCAGTGCGCTGGACGCCGCCTCGGACGCCACGCTCTCGACCGCTTTGCAGCAGGGGGCGATTGTCGATGCGGACGCGCTCTGCGCAAGCATTACGGCGTATGCTGCCTCTGAGGCAGTCACACTCGCCGACTCCCTGACGTCTGTCGTCATGGACGGGCTGGCGGCAGTCGGGGGCGTGGAGGCCTCGGTGCGATCGTCGATCCGGAGCCTGATCGAAGACGCCGGAGGGCTGGGCGAGACAGTGACGAATGCTGTATTCGCTTCCATCCCTGGGCCAGTTCTCGGTGTGGTTGTCGACAGCGCACAAGCAGCCGTCGAAGACGCAATCCAGTCTGCTGCCTCCGACTTGACGGCCGCGGTGTCTGGGTCGGTGACCGGCGCGCTGCGCAGCGCCGTGCACGCGGCGTCTCAGCAGGCCATCGAGGGCGTCCTCGCTGGCGGGCAGGCGGTGTGCGGTGCTGTGCGCGAGGCGGTGGCGCGCGCGGTGGAGGAGGCGGTGATGCGGGCGCTGGCGGAGCACGGCGGGTCGTGCGCGGTGGGGTCGGTGGCCGACGGCGCGATGGTGCAGGCGGCTGTGCTGCAGGGGCTGGGCGAGGGCCTGGTGGCGGACGTGCGCACCGAGGTGGAGACGGCGGTGCAGGCGGCGGCGAGCGTGCAGGCGGCGCTGGCGGGCGGCGCGAACGCGTCGGCGGTGGCCGCGGAGGTGTCGGCGCGGGCGCTGGCGGCGATGGCCGAGGGCGCGGCGGCTGAGGTGGCGGCGGTGGTGCAGCGGGGCGTCGAGCAGGCGTACTCGGCGCCGCTGCGGGAGGCGCTGCTTGCGGCGGGCGGGTCGACGGTGCGGGCGGCGATCCGCGCCGCCGTCGCGGGGGCGCAGCAGGACCCGGTGGGCGCGTTCGACAACGTGGAGGCCATGCTGCTGGCCGAGGCTGGGGGCCTGCGGGCGGCGGGTCTTGACGCGGTGTCGGCTGTGGTGGGGGCGTCGGTGGGCGTGGAGGGCGTGGTGCGGGCGCTGCGCTTGGCGGCGGAGACGGAGGTGGCCCGCGGCACGGCGGTGGCCGAGGCGCTGGCGGACAGCGTGGGTGCCGCTGCGGAGGCTGACGTGCGGAGCATTACGGCGGCGGCGGCGCGCGGCGCGGTGGCGGCGCTGGGTCGCGCGGCGTCGGCGGAGGCGGTGGTGCGGAAGGTGGTCGCGGACGTGACGGCTGAGCTGGCTGGGTGCATGGACCTGGCGCGTGCTGTGTCTGGCGACGTGGAGAGCGCGGTGACGGACGTGGCTGCGGGCGTGGTAGCGGCGGCGGACGCGGAGAGCGTGGCGGCGTCGGTGGTGCGGTCGATGAGCGCGGCGGTGTCGCGGCGCGTGACGGCGCTGGCTGGCGAGGCTGGTGCGTTGGCGGTGGCGACCCGCGAGGCAGTGCGCGGGGCGGTGGAGACGGCGACGTCGGCGGACGTGCAGGCGGCGGCGGCGCGGGCTGTGGGCGGCGCGGCGAGCGACGCGGAGGCGACGGCGCGCGCGGTGGCCGGGCGCGTGGTGAGCGAGGTTGTGCGCGAGGTGCAGAGCCGCGTGGACGGGTTGGTGCTGACGGCGGTGCGCGACGCCGCGTCCTCAGGGAGCTCGGGCAGCGTGCAGAGCGCGATGAGCGGCGCGCTGTCGGCGACGGCGCAGGAGGCGGTGTCGGGCGCAGTCGCGAACGGCATCACGGACCCTGGCACCGTGGTAACGGCACTGAAGCAAGCCCTCAGGGGCGCGCCGGTCAACTCGTCCGGGGCAGTCGACCTTGCCACACTCGTATCTACTCGTATCGGATCGCGCGTTGTCGGTGTCGTCTACGCAACGATTGAGGCCGAGCTCTGCGACATTGTGGACGAGTCGATCTCGATTGCAAGCAGCGAGGAGTTCGTCGACAATGCAGTGGCGCTCGAGAGCTCGGGTAGCATGTCGGCAGCAACTGCGGCATCGATCAGAGAAGCCGTCGTTGCTTCCCTGGGAGACGGGATCAGATTCGACATGAAGCGGGCCGTCACCACGAACGTTGTGCACGCTGTCAAGGACAAGATTTCGCGGTCCGTGTCGACCGCCTACTCGGAGGGCGTCAGCGGGGCTGCGCGCAGCGCTGCGTCGGCGGCTGTGTCTTCTGCAAAGGAGTCCTTCATTCAGCTGGTGAGCGAGAGCCTGGCTCCGCTTGCGACACAGGCCCTGCAGGCGGAAGTCAACTCGGCCATGGCCAATGTCGGAGGGAACTTTGACGTGGCAGAGGCCGTCAACAGTGCTCTGAACGTGGAGTTTGCAACTGTCCGCGAGTCTATCATGACGGTGCTCCAGGAGGCCGGTGCGGAGATCACGACGACAGTGTCGCGGATCGCAGTCGCGACGAGTGAGTCGGTGTCGCGCGAGCTGGCGCGCCTGACTTCAGGACAGGTCCTTCGAGATGTTGCGGACACCGCGATTGCAAGCGTTCGAAGGTCCCTGGCCGCCGCGATATCTGTCATCGCGAATGCGATCACGGAGGGCCTGGATGCGGCGGAGCAGCTCAGCGACTTCGACGCAGTCTGCAGGGCGGTCTCGAAATCGGTGGGAGATGTGGTGACGACGGTGGAGAGCCTGGTGACCGGAACTGTGCTTGCGGAGACTGTCGACGCGGCAGCGAGCGCCGCTGCGACGGCGCTGTCCTCGTACATTGGCAGCGCGGCCAGCAACGCCGTGCGTAGCGCCCTGTCCGAGGCGTCCTCGAGCCCTCTGAGCCAGCAGGTTGTGCAGGCAGTGGAGGAGGCGGTCAGGTCGACTGCCTCGGCATCGATCATGGACGTAGCGACCCAGGTGTCCAACGCCACGAACGACATCCTCGCCGACGTTCTCGACGGGCCGGTGACTGATGCCATCAGCGTTGTCGCTGACCTCACCACAGAGACGAGCGGCAAGGGTTGCGCGTCGATCGTGATGTCGGTTGTCGCCGCCGTGCTCAGGGACACGGTCGTCGGGCGGATGGCGCAGGACATCCAGGACGACATCAAGGCTCGGCTGGTGGAGGAGGTCACTGATCCAAACAACGGCGCGATGGCAGGCGTGCTTTCCACCGTGCTCGGCGACGATCTCGGAGGGATCATTTCTGATTCCATCGTGGAGGTCGTCTCTGGCTCAGCGAATTCTTCTTCTGAGGGGGTTGCTGCTGCTGTTGCCGGCCATGTTGCTGCAGAGCTTGCCAGTCGTGCTCTTGCCGAGGCAAGCCCGCTCATCATCCGCGAGATTTCCGCGTTCGTCGACAAGGGAGCGAACTTCGCAGAAGTTTCGCGATCGCTGGACAGTGCGCTCATTCAGGGAGCCCTTGAGAATGGCACTGCGACGCTGGAAGGAAGTCTGCTCCATAACATGAGTGGAATCCACCAGGGTGCTCTGCCGGACGCCCAGGCGCTGTGCGAGGGTGTGGCGTCAGCCGTCACCGCGCAAGCAGCCAGCCTGGCAGAGAGCGTGGCTCAGGCTATCGTGGACGAGCTGGAGGCGCTGGGCGGCGTGGAGGCGACGGCGCGGGGCGCGATCATGGGCGTGGTGGCGGACGCGGCGGCGCTGGCGGACTCGGTGGAGGCGGCGGTGGCAGGCGCGGTTCCAGGCGCCCTGCTGGGTGTGGTGGTTGACGGTGCGCGGGCGGCGGTGGACGACGCGGTGCGGTCGACGGTCAACGGGGCTGCGCAGGCGCTGTCTGGGTCGGTGACCGGCGCGCTGCGCAGCGCCGTGCAGGCGGCGTCTCAGCAGGCCATCGAGGGCGTCCTCGCTGGCGGGCAGGCGGTGTGCGGTGCTGTGCGCGAGGCGGTGGCGCGCGCGGTGGAGGAGGCGGTGATGCGGGCGCTGGCGGAGCACGGCGGGTCGTGCGCGGTGGGGTCGGTGGCCGACGGCGCGATGGTGCAGGCGGCTGTGCTGCAGGGGCTGGGCGAGGGCCTGGTGGCGGACGTGCGCACCGAGGTGGAGACGGCGGTGCAGGCGGCGGCGAGCGTGCAGGCGGCGCTGGCGGGCGGCGCGAACGCGTCGGCGGTGGCCGCGGAGGTGTCGGCGCGGGCGCTGGCGGCGATGGCCGAGGGCGCGGCGGCTGAGGTGGCGGCGGTGGTGCAGCGGGGCGTCGAGCAGGCGTACTCGGCGCCGCTGCGGGAGGCGCTGCTTGCGGCGGGCGGGTCGACGGTGCGGGCGGCGATCCGCGCCGCCGTCGCGGGGGCGCAGCAGGACCCGGTGGGCGCGTTCGACAACGTGGAGGCCATGCTGCTGGCCGAGGCTGGGGGCCTGCGGGCGGCGGGTCTGGACGCGGTGTCGGCTGTGGTGGGGGCGTCGGTGGGCGTGGAGGGCGTGGTGCGGGCGCTGCGCTTGGCGGCGGAGACGGAGGTGGCCCGCGGCACGGCGGTGGCCGAGGCGCTGGCGGACAGCGTGGGTGCCGCTGCGGAGGGTGACGTGCGGAGCATCACGGCGGCGGCGGCGCGCGGCGCGGTGGCGGCGCTGGGTCGCGCGGCGTCGGCGGAGGCGGTGGTGCGGAAGGTGGTCGCGGACGTGACGGCTGAGCTGGCTGGGTGCATGGACCTGGCGCGTGCTGTGTCTGGCGACGTGGAGAGCGCGGTGACGGACGTGGCTGCGGGCGTGGTAGCGGCGGCGGACGCGGAGAGCGTGGCGGCGTCGGTGGTGCGGTCGATGAGCGCGGCGGTGTCGCGGCGCGTGACGGCGCTGGCTGGCGAGGCTGGTGCGTTGGCGGTGGCGACCCGCGAGGCAGTGCGCGGGGCGGTGGAGACGGCGACGTCGGCGGACGTGCAGGCGGCGGCGGCGCGGGCTGTGGGCGGCGCGGCGAGCGACGCGGAGGCGACGGCGCGCGCGGTGGCCGGGCGCGTGGTGAGCGAGGTTGTGCGCGAGGTGCAGAGCCGCGTGGACGGGTTGGTGCTGACGGCGGTGCGCGAGGCTGCGTCTGGGAACGGCACGGGCAGCGTGCAGAGCGCGATGAGCGGCGCGCTGGCGGCGACGGCGCGGGAGGCGGTGTCGGGCGCGGTCGCGAGCGGCACGGCGGACGCTGGTGCGGTGGCGGATGCCCTGCGCGGTGGGCTGAGCGGGTCGTCAGGCAGGGCGTCGAGCGACGTGCTGGGGTCGATCAGGGGTCGGGTGGAGGCCGAGATGGGCACGCTGGACGTGAGCGCGGCCGCGGATGCGGCGCTCGCCAGCGGCGTGGTGCGGTCCGCACTCGAGGCTGTGGGACTGAGCGACAGCTTGGTGGCGTCGGTCGAGAGCGAAGTGCGCGCGGCGCTGTCAGGCCGCGCGACCGACACGGAGGCATCGCTGCGGGACCGCGTGGCGAGCGGTGTGGAGAACACGCTGCGGGCAGCAGTGCTGCAAGGCCTGAGCGGGTCGGTGCTCGGGCAGGCGCGCGCGGCTGCCGCAGGGGCCCTCGCGGGGCAGGTACAGCAGCTGCGGCGTGACCTCGAGGCACAGATCTCGACAGAGATTTCGACAGCTGTGGCGGACGGCCTCGCAGAGCTGTCGAGTGTTGCAGAGATTGGCCGCACCCTTGGTCCGGTGATTGAGGTGCTGATGCAGAGCGCTCTGGAAGGACCCACCGCAGCGGTCACCGCAGAGCGTGTGTTGGCAGACGTGATCGCTGCGAGGGACGCTGCCCTTGGCTTCGCACGGGGCATCTCGTTTGCCTTTACCGAGGCCATGGCAGCAGGAACTCTCCAGTCCACGGCCGAGGACATCATCGACGACGTGGTTGCCGGCGTCAAGAGGCGCTTGACGGCCGCCATGGACGAAGTGCGCGCGGCGATCGACGCTGTGGTGCCGCCCACGGGAGACTTCACCAGCCTCGACCCGACGTGTGTTAGCGTGATGGAAGCGGTGCAAACCGTCGCCGCGACGGTCGACGGAGTGGTTTCCGGCGGCACGGTTGCGGCCATCGCGAATGACATCGAGCAGGTGGTTCTCTCGGCAGTGCGTCGGAATGCCGATGCCGCGATGACGGGTGTCATTGACGACGCTGTATCCAGGTCTTCCAATGGCGCGTCCGTGACGTCGGGCCTGCTCAACGCTGTCAAGACGGCCATTCTGACCACCGTCGACAGGGAGCTTGGCCGCGTCACGGGCGCTGTGGTGGACTCGCTGGTCTCCACGATCGACACGCTTCTCTCTGGGAGTGCTGCCGACACCATTTCGAAGCTGACGGGTTTCGTCGGCGGGGTCGAGGGCGACAACTGCGTCTCCATCATCGTCAGCGTGATCCGCGGAGCGCTCCGCGGCACTGTCGTCGGGCGAACGATCGAGGAAGCCAGGGTGTCAGTCCGTGACAGAGTCCAGGAGCAGATCACTGCCGCGGACGGAGTGATCAGCGGAGCTGTCTCTGGCGTCTTCGGCGTGCCGGTGTTCGGCGACGTAGCGCAGGCCGTCAGGGGCGTCGTCTCGGGCAACATTGATGACCCGCAAGGCTCTGCAAACATGCTGTCGAACACGACGCGTGACGCAATCCTCTCCAAGGCAGCCGACCTGGCTCTCCGCGGACTGACAACGTACGTCAGCGGCGGGATCACGAACAGGACGGTGTACGACGCCATCCAGGGTCTGCGGTCCAAGGCCGAGGGCGCAGTCAAGGAGGCCGTGCTGACGTTCGCGCTTGACAGCAGCCAGCTCACGGCCAAGCGCATCATGTCGTCGCGGCGCTCGCTGATGGCCTTCGAGGACCCGAGCTCCGGCGTCCTGTTCGGCGACGCGTCCCTCATCAGCGGCACCAACCCTCAGGAGGTCCTCCTGGCCCCTGCTGGGAGCCAGGCCAGGCTCGGCTCCATCGGCTGGCTGGACGTGTCCGGAAGCACGGTGTCGGTGTCGTTCGAGATGCGCATCAGCAAGACGGCTGCCGGCAGCGACCTGCCGGACATGCAGGCGCTGTGGTTCTACTTCGGCACTGCTGAGCCAGCGAGCGTGCGTGAGACGGACCCGCGCGGAGGCGTGCTGCTGTACATGTACGCGGTGTCGTCGACGAGCGACGAGCTGGGCGTGCGCACGGGTACAGCGGGGACGCTGCAGACTTGGCAGCAGTCGAACGCAACCCTGTTTGGGCAGTGTGCGACCGGGTGGTGCTCGGTGAGCGCGACGTTCAACGTCGCGGCTACGGCGGTGACGGGCAGCGTGCGGGTCGTGCGCGCGAGCGGCGCGGCGTCGACGTACAGCTTCTCTGTGGCTGCGCCGGCGGGCGGGCTGCCGGACGTGGCGAACGTGCAGCTGTGGCACGGGATCGGGGCGCGGCACTCGGCGCTGGAGGCGTACACGCGGGTGCGGTCGCTGTCGGGCGGGCCGGGAGCAGGCACGGCGGCGCCGTCGACGACCGCTACGCCGGGCCCGACGACACCCGCAGGAGCGACACCCCAGGCGACTACGCCAGCTGCAACGGCCACTACAGGCGCGCCGCAGTCGCCCGACATGCTCGTGGATGCTCTGCCGGACGCCCAGGCGCTGTGCGAGGGTGTGGCGTCAGCCGTCACCGCGCAAGCAGCCAGCCTGGCAGAGAGCGTGGCTCAGGCTATCGTGGGCGAGCTGGAGGCGCTGGGCGGCGTGGAAGCGACGGCGCGGGGCGCGATCATGGGCGTGGTGGCGGACGCGGCGGCGCTGGCGGACTCGGTGGAGGCGGCGGTGGCAGGCGCGGTTCCAGGCGCCCTGCTGGGTGTGGTGGTTGACGGTGCGCGGGCGGCGGTGGACGACGCGGTGCGGTCGACGGTCAACGGGGCTGCGCAGGCGCTGTCTGGGTCGGTGACCGGCGCGCTGCGCAGCGCCGTGCAGGCGGCGTCTCAGCAGGCCATCGAGGGCGTCCTCGCTGGCGGGCAGGCGGTGTGCGGTGCTGTGCGCGAGGCGGTGGCGCGCGCGGTGGAGGAGGCGGTGATGCGGGCGCTGGCGGAGCACGGCGGGTCGTGCGCGGTGGGGTCGGTGGCCGACGGCGCGATGGTGCAGGCGGCTGTGCTGCAGGGGCTGGGCGAGGGCCTGGTGGCGGACGTGCGCACCGAGGTGGAGACGGCGGTGCAGGCGGCGGCGAGCGTGCAGGCGGCGCTGGCGGGCGGCGCGAACGCGTCGGCGGTGGCCGCGGAGGTGTCGGCGCGGGCGCTGGCGGCGATGGCCGAGGGCGCGGCGGCTGAGGTGGCGGCGGTGGTGCAGCGGGGCGTCGAGCAGGCGTACTCGGCGCCGCTGCGGGAGGCGCTGCTTGCGGCGGGCGGGTCGACGGTGCGGGCGGCGATCCGCGCCGCCGTCGCGGGGGCGCAGCAGGACCCGGTGGGCGCGTTCGACAACGTGGAGGCCATGCTGCTGGCCGAGGCTGGGGGCCTGCGGGCGGCGGGTCTGGACGCGGTGTCGGCTGTGGTGGGGGCGTCGGTGGGCGTGGAGGGCGTGGTGCGGGCGCTGCGCTTGGCGGCGGAGACGGAGGTGGCCCGCGGCACGGCGGTGGCCGAGGCGCTGGCGGACAGCGTGGGTGCCGCTGCGGAGGCTGACGTGCAGAGCATTACGGCGGCGGCGGCGCGCGGCGCGGTGGCGGCGCTGGGTCGCGCGGCGTCGGCGGAGGCGGTGGTGCGGAAGGTGGTCGCGGACGTGACGGCTGGGCTGGCTGGGTGCATGGACCTGGCGCGTGCTGTGTCTGGCGACGTGGAGAGCGCGGTGACGGACGTGGCTGCGGGCGTGGTAGCGGCGGCGGACGCGGAGAGCGTGGCGGCGTCGGTGGTGCGGTCGATGAGCGCGGCGGTGTCGCGGCGCGTGACGGCGCTGGCTGGCGAGGCTGGTGCGTTGGCGGTGGCGACCCGCGAGGCAGTGCGCGGGGCGGTGGAGACGGCGACGTCGGCGGACGTGCAGGCGGCGGCGGCGCGGGCTGTGGGCGGCGCGGCGAGCGACGCGGAGGCGACGGCGCGCGCGGTGGCCGGGCGCGTGGTGAGCGAGGTTGTGCGCGAGGTGCAGAGCCGCGTGGACGGGTTGGTGCTGACGGCGGTGCGCGAGGCTGCGTCTGGGAACGGCACGGGCAGCGTGCAGAGCGCGATGAGCGGCGCGCTGGCGGCGACGGCGCGGGAGGCGGTGTCGGGCGCGGTCGCGAACGGCACGGCGGACGCTGGTGCGGTCGCGGATGCGCTGCGCGGCGGGCTGAGCGGGTCGTCAGGCAGGGCGTCGAGCGACGTGCTGGGGTCGATCAGGGGTCGGGTGGAGGCCGAGATGGGCACGCTGGACGTGAGCGCGGCCGCGGATGCGGCGCTCGCCAGCGGCGTGGTGCGGTCCGCACTCGAGGCCAGTGGCGGGCTCCAGGTCACCGACCGACTGGTTTCCGCCGTCGAGGATACGATCGCACTTGCGCTGGCTGGCCGATCAGGCAGCATGGAGGTCTCGCTGCGCCGCCGTGTGGCGGCTGCCGTCGAGAGCCAGTTGCAGCATGCAGTCACGCAGGGAGTGAGCGGGTCGGTGCTGGGACAGGCGCGTGCAGGCGCCACGATGGCGCTGAGATCCGAGCTCGACGCATTCACCACGCGGGTCTCGAACGACGTGCTGCGCACCCTGTCGAAGGCGCTTGCCGACACTGTGCACATCCAGCTGCTTCCGGCGGAGATGGGGCAGCTGCTGGCACCCCTCGTCTACGGCGACGTGTCTGCCAGCATCGCCACTGATCTCGCCGAGAAGGTTGCTTTGCGGGTTCGCAGCGCCCTCGAGAGAGCCGCGGACCTGGCCCGGGGGGTGTCAGAGACGACCGTGTCTGCGGTCTCGGCCCTGTTCCAGGAGCGGACGATCAAGTCCCTCGCGGACAAGGTCACCACTACCGTCAACGAGCAGATGTCCGGGATCATGGACCAGTTCGAACAAGCCCTCGACGCACCGCTGGAAAGCGTGCTCGTCGACGTGGTCAAGGTCGCGATCGCGGGAGACGCGGACTCGATCTGCGACTCTGTCGTCAGCGTAGTTGCTGCTGGCGCATCCGCGACCGTGACAGACATCGCAGCCGTCGTCAGCGGACGCCTGACCGCGTCCCTGCGCGGGGCAGTGAACCAGACCATCGTTGAGTCGATGCTGGTCCTTTCTGGAGAAGTGCAGCGCGGGCTGAGGGACGCGGACATCACGTTGTCGCGCCCGCTGCTTGCGGAGGTTGTGGCGGCCGTGCGGGACACGGCGTCCAGCTCCGTCGCCGAGCCGGCGGTGCTCCTGCTCGAGGACAAGGTCGTCAACGGGACGCGCGACGCGTTGCTGGCGGCGATCGAGGACGTGATCTCGGGGAGCCTGCGCGACGCAGTTTGCGGGCAAGTCGCCTCGGCGACCTCGGGCACGGAGTTCTTCGCGCCCGTCTTCGACGCGGTGAATCTCGTGGTCGACGGCGTTGCCGGCGGTCTGGCCGACCAGCTCGCGAGCTGGGGCCTGGACATGAATTTCTTGAATCTGGACTTCATGGACCCCTTCCTCCCGAGCGACTTCGACTTCGGCTACGAAACGACGCGCGGCACGTTCTGGTTTGATGCAGTCTTCAACGACGCCATCCGCCTGAACTTCCAGCGAGCCGCCAGTCCGGACGGCACGCGGACGAACTACGCGCCGACCTTCGAGCTCGTCCGGTCGATCACAGTCTGGGACGTGTTTGGCATTCTCGGGGACATCCTGGACTCTGCTGGCCTGTTCGACTTCTCGGCCGTGCCGTTTATGAAGGTGCTGGAGCCCTACCTGGACTTCGGCATCGCGCATGGCTCCTTGCTGTCGATCCAGAAGGACGACAAGAAGGGCGTGTACAGGTTCTTGTTCGACGGTGCAATTCTGCTCCCTCCAGCCGCTGGACAGCTCGACCAGGACGAGGGCTTCAAATCGTACGACCCGCAAGGAGGCTACGGGCTCGCACCTGGCGAGGACGTGCCGTTCGTCATCCCGTCGGACCGCCTCGGGATCAGGACAGCGTTCACCGTCGAGAAGCCCATGTCCGGAGGAGGCGCGAAAGGCGGGTTCGTCTCTATCAGCGTCGTGGACATGGTCAACGTCATCAGCTCCATCGGCGGGATCGACTGGCTGCCGCTGTGGTTCGACATCATCGGAGTGACGGACGATCCGCGCAAGGCGTCGCAGTTCGACCTGGTCTTCTCGCTCGGCAAGCGCGGTGAATACCCGAAGCTGCTCCGAGAGGACGTCCTGCGCGAGTCCGCGAGCTTCCACGAGGGGCAGGGCGTCGGTCGCGGCGGGGGCGCGACGCTCCCGGAGGAGCAAGTCCGCCGCATCTTCAGCAACGACCCCATGGTGATGTGGATCGACCCTGACGCGGCTCGCGGAGGAATCGTAGGAACGCTGCTGCAGATCATCGGTGCGGTCATGGACGCGGCCTTCGGGCCGGCCATCGACGTTCAGATCGTCCCTGTGGGCTTCGCGGCGATCGACCTGAGGGTGTTTTCTGTTGCCGACATCGAGATCAGCGAGAAGATCTGGATGACGAACATCTTGATGGAGATCACCATCGACGTAAGTCACGCGCGCGATGTGCACCCGCCCCGTGAAGTGTCTCATGCACCGCGCCCTTCGATTCCACTCATCTCCGCTGCCGTGTTGTGCGCTTGCTGCAGATGACTCCCACGCCGCCGTTCGGGTTCGGCTTGGAGTTCCACTTCCTGGTCGACACCGCGGAGGGAGAAAGGGAGCTGATCTTTGGGTTGGTGCTCAACTTTGACTACAAGCTGGGTGCGCTTGGAGGAGAGGTGTACCTATTTGTCGAAGGAGGGGGCTTACGGCTGACGCGCTCACTCGTAATTTACGAGATCTACTTGTCGACCTTGATCCAGATCCCGTCGCTCGTACCGCTGGAATTCCTGATGTCCGTCGACGGCCTTTACGGCGACATTGCCCTGAAGGGCGCCGTGTTCATGGACTTCACAAACCCATCCAAGCCCGGGTTCGCATTCAAGGTGAATGTCTTCGGACTCTTCGGGCGCGAGATCTCGAGGGCCAGCCTCATCCAAGGGCTCCTCGACGACGTGATGTGGGCCCTGGCGCCGAACGAGCCGACGATCCAGCTCCCAGACATGGTGCGGAAGGGCTTCGAGATCTTCAGGAAAGTCAGGAGCGCGCGCGTCAGCTTCAACCCCCTGCCGCTCGTATATCGCGTCGGCACCCAAGTCATCGAAATGGGCTACATGGCGGAGGTGGAAGACTTCAGTTACCTGATGTTCGATATCCTCTATGCCAATTTCGAGTACAAGTTGGATCCGCTCCCGAAGATCGAGGCGGAGCTCAACATAGCGCCCGTCAACTTCTACGACATCGCCGAGATGTACTTCGCGAAGAACGAGACGAACCGGGGACCGTACTGCTACCTGCGGGCCACCATGCAGCCAATCGGCCGCCGGGCAGCAACGGAGGAGTCCCCAAGCGCGCTCGCCGCACCTGGAGAGGCCGAGAGCGAACTCGGTCGTCGGGAGCTGCTCGAGCCCGCGGACTTCTTCTTGGTTGACTGCCAGGGCTACCTCAGGTTCCTGGACACGGAGTTCTCAATGAGAGCGTACGGCACACCGGAGGACTTCCTCGCCGAAATGGACGGCAGCCTCTTCGGCGGCAAGGCCAGCCTGCAGGCGTCTTTCTCGTTGAACATGGGGTCCATCCTTGCGGTGCCGGCGCAAGTCGAGGCCAGGTTCCAGTTCTCTTTGCGGGCAGGAGATGGCAACGATTCGGTGCTGACCGTGCTCCTCGAAGGCTTCTTGGACATGTTCTTCGACTTGCTGCGGAGGCTCGTCAGCGAGATGCTCGCTACGGCGTTCGACATCATCCAGACCGCGCGCGACGTGGCGCAGGCTGCATTCGAGTCTGCGCAGGCAGCCTTCAATGCGGCATTCGCGGCCCTGGAAGAAGCGAAGGACGTCGTCCGCCCCGCGCTCGAGCGGGCACGCAGTGCGGAGCGGTTCCACCGCAGGGCAGCGGATGGCCAGGACTGCAAGTGGTCCAAGCCATGGGCGTGTGCCGCCAAGGCCTTCCACCGTGGCATGCAGGGCACGTTCGCTGCGACTGCCGCGGGTCTCGAGGGCGCGTTCAGGGCCGCTGAGGAGCTCCTGAACGCGGCCAAGTACGCACTTGACTTCGCGAAGAAGGTCGTGGACCTCGTGCTCGAGGGCACCACCATCTTTATCCGCCTGGTGGAACAAATCCTGGACCAGCTGATCCGCGACCTGCAGTCCGCGTTCAGCTCGGCACCTGACGTCGTCACGTTCTTCGCCGACTCCATCTTCGCTGTCCGCTCTTTCAAGGTCGACCGGGTCTTCGGCACCCGGGTCAGTCGTTTCAGTATGGACCTGGACGCCAACTGGTTCAACATGGGATACTCGACGATGACCCTGAACTGCAACTTCAACCTCGGCTCCATCCTCTCCGAGCTCACCGCGGGATCCGTCCCCAAGGTCTGGGAGTACATCCAGTCGCTGATGCCCAACCCCAGCGACTTCTGGACGCTGCGCCGCCGAGGGCTCCTGTCGCTGCCTGAAGGCAGCTTCGCGGCCCTCGCCGCCAGCTCCGCTGCAGCTGCGTCGCACTTCCAGCACGCCAAGGGCAGGCTGCTCGAGACGGTCAAGAGCGGTCGCTTTGCTGACGATGCCGCAGAGGACATCAACGACGACGAGGGGGCTCCGTTCCGACTGCGCTCGCTGCTGCAGGCGTACCCGGTCAACGGAACGCTCTTGCCGTTCGAGACTGCGAGTCCCGAGGAGCTGGCGAGGCTCGACAGCTTCACGTCGTCCTACGACCCTGTCGTGCTCAACGCGGCAGGCGTGACGAACCCACTCGCGCCCGGACAGCCGATCGTTCCGTCCACGGAGCTGACGGGGCAGATGAGGTCGGCGGTCGCCGAGACACTGAACCCGCGAGCGGTCCTATCGTCGTCGTTGGAGGAGGTGGCGGAAGCCAGCCAGGCATACATTCCAGCTGGCCTGCGTCCGACGGTCAGCCCCGTCGAGGCGCGGGCGCTGCAGGAGGTCAGCGCTTTTGGCGCCGCGAACCGGACCCTGTGGGTGGCCGTTCAGCCGCGCGCTGACTCGGCATCCGTCGCTGGTGCGGCGGCTCTGCCCACGTGCACGTCAGGCCTCGCGGGGCGCGCGTGGCTTGTGCCGGAAATGTCGTCTGGGCCCAGGCCCGCGCGCGTATACGAGCGATCCGGGCGAGTTTACGAGGCGCAGGAGACCTGGTGGCCGGAAGCCGTCCAGCAAGGGCTGGTGTCATCCAACGACACGTGGCCTGTCAACTCGACGGATGTCTTCCAGGCGTGCAAGCTGCCCCTGCAGTCCCTCGAGCAGGAACTCGCGCAGTTCGCGTTCAAGTACCTCGGCTCGCGCTTCGTTGCGCTGGACCTGGCCTCCGCGTACTCGTTCGAGGTTGCAAACGCGACTCAGTCCTCGTTCGACGTGGCGCGCGATGGATGCGGTCTCGCGTTCAACGTCTCGACTACCGAGGGCCACGCGCTTGAGCTCCGCGAGAACAGCGAGCTCATCGCTGGTGACATCCCGCAAGCTGGAGCGGCCAACCTGACGGCAGCGGGTCCGGAAGTGATTGCAGAGCTGCACAAGTGCGGGTCGGCAAACTACTCACAGTACCTGTCGCTGCTCTCGGAGCCCGCCCTGCGGCACCCGAACTTCCCGGGCGGGCCCCTGTGGCTGGCTCCAGGAGAGGGCACCGGCGCTGCCGCTCAGCCCCCGCGGTACGTCGCGTTGAAGATTGCGAACGTTGCGGTGAACCTCACCATCGGCGACGGCGGGCCGGGAACTACCAGCGTCGCCGAGTTGGCTCTGGCGACGGAGGAGCTCGCCAGTGGAAACGTCGCGCGTGACTTCGCTGCTGCGCTGCGAGCCGCGGGCGTCGTGTTTGTTGGGGACGACGGCGCGGTGCACGAGGTTCTCGTCGGCGGGCTGCCCACCGTCAACATCGATCTGTCCGCTGAGAGGGCGCGTGCGTACCCCACGCACAAGCTTGCGATGACCTTCGCGGCCGGGTTCGGCGGCTCGGGCGAAGCGGCGGCGCTGGCCTCGCTGGAGCGCGCAGTCGATCAGAGCCTGGCCAGCCAGGTCGAGCATCTGACGAACCGGACGAACACGGGGAACAACTTCTTCACGGTGGCCAAGCGCGACGACTCGGCCGTGCTCAGGCGCGGCCTCCTCGCGGGGCTGAACTCAGGTGTCGTCATTACGGTGCACTTCGGTGGCGCGCACGCGCAGGACATGGCGTTCGTAGCCCACGCTCACCTGTCGTCGGCGTCCTCGCACGCCGCCATCACACAGGCGGCTGCGAACATCGCGGGCGGCGGCGCGGCCTTCACGGTCGCGAAGCTCCCCACACTCTCCACGATGGGCGGCCGGCCGATCCAGGTCTTCGCGCCGGGCGCTCCCACCGCGAACGCCACCAACGCCACCAACGCCACGGTCATCCCGAAGATCCAACCGTCCGAGACGGTCGCCCCGCAGGCGACCACGCCGGCCCCGGTCGACGCGGGCGCCACCCAGCCCGCGAGCACGGCGCCTCCGGGCGCAGGAACGGGCTCGGCGACCCAGCCCCCAGGAGGGGGCCCCGCGACTGGGGCGACCCCCACTCCGAGCGTCGCGTCGAACGTCGACGTCACGATGCGGATCAACGGGGTCACGGCATGTTCGTTGGAAGTCTCGGCCGCGCTCGAGGGCGCACTTTTGCAGTTCGTCCAGCCTCGGCCGGTGTCGGCGCTGACCAAGTCCTGCGCAGCCTCGGCGGGGCGGCTCCGGTCCCTGCTCGAGCGCGCTCTGCGGCAGGGCGGTGCAGTCTCGCTGGTCGTGCAGCTCTCGTTCTCGAGCCAAGTTGCCGGCGCGAGTGTCGCCCAGAGCATCAACTCTGCCGCGTCCTCGATCGTGGCAACGCTGGTCGCAAGCGGCGTGCCTGCTCAGAGCCTCGCGCTGCTGTCAGTCGAGGACGACTCCGGGGAAGCCCTCTCCGGCGACGTCGCTGACGGCGGAACCGATGGCGGTCTCGGAGCAGGTCCGATCGTTGCGTTCATCGCAGTGGGCCTCTTCGTCGCGGCGATCGTCTCGATGGTCATCGCGGTGCGGACAAGCCCGCGATTCGCTAGGACGCTGGCGAGGGCTGTTCGCGGGGCGGCTCGCTCCACGCGCATCGCTCCGGTCGCAGAGCGGGGTCCGCTGTCGCCCCCCGTTTCGGGAACGACAGTTGCGCCCCGCGAAACGTCCTCGCAGCCTTCTGGGCCGTGGTTCGAGCCCGGTGCATCCACGGCCCTGGCCACGGCCCGCTCTGCGGGCGTCCATTCCGCCACGGAGCGGGCACAGGGCGGGCAAGCGAGAGCCACTGGTGCGTCTGCGGGGGTTGCAGAGCGGTCATCGCGTCGGAGCAGCGGCGAGGGTCGCATGTCGATCAACATGCGTGGGAGCGACATGCCGATGCCAAGGACCCTCAGCATTCCGTCATCGCGTGGGGCTTCGTCACGGGGCACGCCCCGCGGGAGCAACACAGAGCAGCGCGCCCGTCGTCCCAGCGAGCTTGTCGCGCGCGCCGCTTCGCGCAAGTCGAGTGCGCCAGTCGGGGCTGCGTCCGAGGAGGGGAGTGGGTATGCCGCGCAGGTGCGCAGGTCCATCCCCCGGACCGGCTCAATGCTCTCAGAGGGCCGCGCGGGCAGTCGGCCGCAGTCACGGTCGCGGATGAGCACACCAGGAGTGGCTGCACGAGGAGTGAGCTCGCCAGACGCGAGCGCACGGGGACTGGGCTCGCCAGGAGTGGGCACGCCCGGGAGGAGTGGACGAGTGGGCTCGCCAGAGGCGGGCGCGTCAGGGCCGGGGAAGGAGGGGAACAACGAGTCCGCGTAATCAGCGGAAGTACACGCGAGCATGGAGCAACGTCGGCCGCGCGCGCGCCGATCCGCTCGAACGCCCCGAACAGGGCTCAACGTCTCATGCAGAGTGAGGACATTAGGTGCTAGGAAACAGGTTGTTGTGAGACCCTCACTCAAAACGTGGCCCCTGTCTGCGCTCAGACGAGTTGCCTGTATCGCGGTCTAGGCCTGGTGGAATGATCTTCGGAGTCACAGCCTTGATGGCCGACTACGACGTTAGATGTTGAAAGAGTCACTTGCTGCCACCCAGCTCGGCCTGCACGGCCCGGCACAGCTTGCGGTTGGACGGCACGAGGTCCAGGCACACGCACGCCACCGCGGTGTCCTCCATGGTCACCCGCTTGTCGACCAAGAGCTGCTCGAGGGCCAGCTCTCGCTTTGCACGCTCCGCCGACGCCTGCGACTTGCGGCCCATCCATTTCATCGCGTCGCCCCTGCGCGGGTTCGAGGAGATCTGGCGCGCGTGTGTGAGCGCGTGGAGCGTCGACCGACGCCAGCGGCACGTCGTAAGACATGATTGGTTGATTGTATTTTCATTTCTTCTCTCATGTGTGCGGGGTTTCTGTGTCGCAAGAGGCACGGAGCGCACAGAACGCCGCACGCGCGCGCCGGCTGCCGAAACGTGGAGCGTCGGCGCGCCTCGCGCGGCAGCAGCGCAAGCGCAGTGTGGGGCAGCTCCGCGCCCTTCGCCACGCACCGCTCGATATCCATCGCCGGCGCGGCGAGCCAGAGGATCCACCGCGGCATGTAGAACGCCGGCAGCCGCAGCACGTGGCCGTACTTGGGTTTCAGCAAATCAGATATCTCGAACAGGTCCATGCTGGGACCCCCCACAATATACCTCCCCCGACAGGCGGCGTCGCAGGCGGCGACGCAGTGCGCGGCGGCGACCTCGCGGACGTCGCACACGGGGAAGCCCATGCGCGGAATCATCGGCCAGAGCTTGCCCGTGAGCATCATGCGCATCACGTCGACGCTCTTCGAGGCCCGGGTGGTCAGCGGCGGGCCCATGATGAACCCCGGGTTGATCACGCACAGCTCCCAGCGCTGCTCGCCCGCCTGCGCCTCGAACAGCGCCCACGCGCGCTTCTCCGCGAGGATCTGCGCGCCCACGGGCCAACGCGGTGCGGTGTAGGGGGGGGGTGCGGGTCCGGGCCGGGGGGCACGTGGGGCGGCTGCGTCGATCAGTGGAGGAAGGGGCGGCGGAGACGGACCTTTGAGCGCGTGTATGGGACGGTCGCGGCCTCGAGCGTCGCCCAGTCGTCCTCAGTGTGCACGTAGCTGTCTGGTCGCTCGAAGTCGCCTTGGATCGCGCCCATGCTCCCGGTATATATCACCCGCTTGACTGTCCCGCTCTTCTCCACCGCGCTCAGCACGTTCTCCACGCCCTGCGAGCACCGCGCGGCGCCGTGCAAAGCACGGTGAGCACACAGAAGGCGGGCCCGGCGCGCGCCTCCCGCGACGCACGCACGTACGTGCTGCCCCACTACGCAGGCCGCTGCCCCGTCGTTGCGTGTGCGCCCGCGGCGGGTGTCGTCGGCCCCGCACCGCGCGCCCGCAGCCCGCGCCCAACCACCAGCGCACCTGAATCGCTGGACGCACCACCTTCTCCTCGGCCTCGTTCTTGCCGACGTTGACTGCCACGGGCGTCGCCGGGTGGATCACGAGCTCGCATCCCGCCACCGCTGCGTCGTAGCTGCCGTCGCGCGTCAACTCGGCCGCCACGAGCTCAATGCTGCCGGGCGTGCCCTCTGCGAGGGCGCGCAGCTCGTCCGTGGCCTTCCCGTTGACGTCGCGGACCGTCCCGACCACATGGTGCCCGAGCAGGAGCAGGCGCTTCGCGATCCAGGACGCCAAGTAGCCAGAGACGCCCGTCACACACACCTGCACGGGCGGCATCAGGAGAGAGTGAGCTGGGCGCTCGCGTGCGCGCACGAACGCGCATGCGCTCCGTCCTCACACCGGCGCGCACTCCTTGCGTATCCCTCCGTGCCCTCGAGCCACAGAGGCGGGCCTCGGCCGCGATGCTGCGGCGGTGGAGGCCCCGGCTGGTCACAGACAGCACAGGGCAGTGGGGGGGCACCTTGCATGGCGCGTGGCCCTTCTCGACGTCCGTGAGCGGCACCCTCTCGACGATCTCGTTCGGCAGGGCGAGCTGCGGGCTCATGGCCGCCCCCGCGCGCCCCGCGCCACGCCTGGTGGAGGCCCTGGGGCAAGTGCCCTGTTCGCGCGGCGCTGTAGACGACGACGGCGGTGCGGACGTGGAGGCGTGGCGGTCCTTTGCTGCGCAGTGAGCGCGGAGCAGTGGCGTGGCGCTGCGCAGGGGCGCGCAAAGTGCGGTGGATGGAGAAGGAAGCGGCGGTTCGGGGGAGTTCGGGCGATCCAGTCTTCCCGCGCGCTGTTCGGCCACGACTAAAGCAGCGGCCTCCGCCCGCCGCGCACACTCACATCCACCGCAGCGCGCACCTTCGCCCCCTTCTATACCCTCGCAGCTACCTATCGCCACACTTCGCCAGCCAGGCGCCGCGGACAGCGTCGCGAGAGGCCTGCACCCTCCACCAGTGCCTGCCCCCCGCGCGCCCTCTGAAGTGAACGCGATGGCGCCGCTCCGGCTGCAGATCGGCGCACCTTCGCGTCGTGTCGTCGTCCAGGCGCCCTCTCGCTCCGCGGGCGCGGCGATGCGCGGCCCCGGAGCCACGTCCAGTGCCCGCGGGCACCCAAGAGCGGTCCAGCGGCGCGTCGGGCGGCGAGACGGGCGCGGGAGCGTGCGTGCGGCCACCACCGGGGACGTGCAGACGAGCGAGCAGCTCGTGTCGCAGGTCCGGCCCCCACAGATCCCACGAAAGCGTGAACCCTGGGACTGCTGAAGAGGCGACTCGCTCAGTCGACAGCTTGGGAGCCGTGTTGCAGGTGCTGGAGATGATCAAGGGCACGGACCGCGGCGCCGACGTCGAGGTGACGAAGCGGGCCGCCATCGACAACATCCTCGAGGAGCTGGAGCTGCGCGGGCAGCAGCAAATGCCGCGGTGGGTGTTTGCGAACACCACGCGTTGCATCACGCAGCGTGTTTCGCGGCCGAGGTCGCGGTGGATGCGCCGCGATCGAGCGGCGCGGCGTTGCTGGAAGAGATGCGTGCTGCGGCGCGTGCGCAGGGGCAGACCTGACTTCTTGCGTGGTTTTTACTTGGGACTGAAAGAATGTCTGTTTGCAGGCCGCTGGATAACAACCCGCTGCTGTGGGGCAACTACGAGGTGGCGTACACCAGCGCCGGCCCGGCGCAGAACGGCGCGCCCGCGGGCGGGCGCTTCCGCGGCCCCCTCGGTACGCCGCAGCACCCACTGCCACAACGCGCACGCGCAGTCGCACATCCTCGATCCAGGACCAACGGCCGCGCTCCCTTCTTCCCCCGACGTCGCAGGTCGCCTGCTCTTCCGCACGCGCGGCCTGTACCAGTCCGTCTTCGAGCCCAGCGACCCAAGCGACCCCCCCACGGCGGTAAACAAGGTCGAGTTTTCCCTTCTGGGGTTTCTACCTGGCTGGGCGGGGCTGCGCGGCAAGGTGGAGCCGGAGGGCGCGGGGAACATGGACACGGTCAAGGTCACGTTCGCGCCCGCGCGGGTGAACCTCTTCGGCCTTGAGATGGTGCGTGGCACACCGGAGACAACCCCGGATTGCATCGGCGTCGCTGCCCGGGCGAGCGCTCGCCTTGGTCCGATCGTAGGAGGATCCTGGCGCCTGCGTTTCATGTCTGGGATCTCGCGAACTCGTCATCCGCACACGACCACAACCTCACAACGAAAGTTGACACGATTTCGCAACAAGCTCTTGTTGCTGCCTCCTGCAGGTGCTGGGCAAGCCGTCGTCCGTCGTGCTGCAGACGGTGTACCTCGACGAGCGCGTGCGCCTCGGGCGGGGCTCCCGCGGCTCCCTCTTCGTCTTCCGGCGCGGTGGGGCCGCCGAATCAGCAGGCATGGAAACCCTGGGGACTGGCGCCGGGGTGCCCGGGCGGATGGTGCTCGGGGCGATCACGCTGGCGCTGCTGTGCGCTGGGCTGGCGCTGGTGGTCGGCGTGCCGCCGGGGTCGTCAGGGTGGGCTGGGAAGGTGGCGGGGGCGGCGTTGCTGGCGGTGACGGGGCTGTGCGGCGCGGTGCTGCGGCGCGGCGGGCAGGAGAACGACCCGGACGCGGGGTCGGCGCTGAATCAGGAGGAGATGGAGATGGCGGAGCAGATGGCCGCGGTCGCGGATGCAGGCGCGGAGGCGCGTGCGGGGTAGGTGGGTGAGGCCGTGTGACAGCGGGGGACGGAGGGACGCGCACACACCGTGTGGGGGCGATGTCAGGAAGACTCGAGCGAGGTGCGGACGGATAGAATCGACGGCGAGGAGGCATCGGGTCGGCACGAGGCAATCATAGTTGACGGTGCTGGGCGCGTGGTTCCGCAGGCGAGGCCGGGTTCGGTCAGCAATCGCGAACGATGGTGCCAGCACAGGGTCGAATCGGCTCTGGACTGGCCGGAGCAGCGGCCGGACTCGATCACCGCAATGCTGTTCGAATCGTCATGAGACGCCGCCAGCCCCCCTCAGCTGCGATCGGCGTCACAACGTCGATCCTCGAGCAAAGACTGCCCCTCCGCTCCGCCCGCTGCCGCGCCCCGCAACCGATCGAGAAACCATATTCCCTCCAATATCCAACGTACGAATCAAACTCAACACCTACCGATCCTTCTTCCCCTCGTCCGCGTCCCGCAGCGCGTGGCTCGCGAGCTGCTCCGCACGCCGACGCAGGTGCGGCGCCGGCGGCGCAGCAAACACCCGCCGGCACCCGCGCTCGATCCCCAAGCAGAGCCCAAACACCAACACCCCCCCCACCATCATCCTGTCTTGCAGATGCGCCGGGATCGGCACGAGCTCGAGGCTGTCGCGGAGCGGCGGCGCGAGATCGAGCACCATGCCGACGTACAGCCCCGCGACGGCGACGAGGCCGTAGTAGAAGCCCTTGTTTTCGGCCAGGGGGGTGTTGAAAGGTTTGCCGACGTAGTTCGTGGCGAAGGTGGTGGCCATGGCCATCGTCTGGGCGAGGAAGCAGACGCTGTTCACGAGGTTGGGCTTGAAGTCGCCGTCGATCGGGAGCTTGTCCGCGGGGTCCGTGGGGCGCGCCCACAGGTAGGCGAGAATCAGGAACGTGAGCTGGACGGCGAATTGGCCGATGAGGGACACGAAGACGTAGGGCGAGAGGATGTGCGGGTGCGGGCGCTCGCGCGAGAGGCGCTGGAGCGGCTTCGCCTGACTCAGGAAGAAGAACATCCCCGCCTGGAGCATCCCTTGAATCGTGGCCTGGTAGTCTCCGAGCTTGATGCCCTCGAGGTATAAAACCGAGAGCGAAAACGCCGAGTTCAGACACAGGCACCCGAGCACCTTGAACATCACCACCGTCGTCACCAGCGTGCACCGCCCCTGCCGCAGCACATCCGTGCACGGCAGCACGTCCGGCGCGCGCGCCGTGAAGGGCGCCGCCATCGACGCGTCACCGGGCCGCACCATCGGCGCGCCGTCCATCCCGCCCTCCGCCTCCATCTTGTCCAGCATCGTCGCCCACCCGACCACCTGCTTCGGCACCTGCGGAACGCCCCCCGCCCGCCCGCGCATCGCCCGCTTGATGACGTCCACGTACATCTGGGTCCCCTTGCCGCCGTTGAGGCCCTCGGGCAGCACGAGCTCCATCCGCGCGCCGCTCTCGGTCTCGAGCGTGAACACGAGCTCCTCGCTCGGCGCGCCCGGCGCCGCCGCGCCCGCCACGGGCTGGCACGTGACGCCGTCTGGCAACGGCAGCCCGGTGGGCCCGGTGCCGGGCGCGCGGTCCGGGGGCGCGCCGTCCTGCTGCGGCTTCTTCGTGGGCGGCGCGAGCAGCGCGACGCCGACGTCCGCGGCCTTGAGCGCCCCGACGTCGTTCGTCCCGTCGCCACACATCAGCACCGTGGAGCCCGAAGACTTCAGAGACCGAACGATGATTTCTTTCTGCTCCGGGGTCGTGCGCGCGAAGACCTGCGCCTGCGCGATCACCTCGTCCGCCACACCCACCGCCGCCGCGTGCGACAGGCCGTCCCCCGTCACGCATAGGTCGTACTGCTCCGCCACCTGCGCCGCGGCGCCAGGCTTCCGCGAAAACGGCACAACGACGCTGCGGTCCGGCGCGGTCCACGCAAACGCCGAGTCCGGCATCGCGGCCGCCGCCTTCGCGCCCGCGGACGCCGACTCCCCCCCGCCGGCCTCCCCCGACACCCCCAGCACCAGCACTGGCCGTGCCACAATCCCCGTCTCGCGCGCCACGTGGCACGCCGTCAGCGGCGCGTCGCCCGTGATCATCACCAGCGCCTGCGACGACGCCGCGAGGAGCTCCAGCGCCGGCGCCGACCCCTCTTTCACCGGCGTCTCGAACAACGCAAACCCACAAAACTCCAACCCTGACTCAGCATCGGCCCGCGCGTACGCCGCGAGGTCCGCGTCGGCGGGCAGCGCCTTCGAGGCCAGCGCGAGCACCCGCGTGCCCTGCGACGCCCAGTGCGCGTGCGCCGCGTCGTACCCGGCAGGCACGGTGCGTAGCAGCGCGCGAATCGATTCCGGGGCCCCCTTCGCCGCGACGATGCGAGCGCCGGCGGCGCCGCGCTGCTCGGCGATTGTGGACATCCGGCGGAGGTCGGAGCTGAACGCGTTCCGCGAGAGGATGCGCCACGGCGGCGGGGCCGGGGCGGAGGCGGAGGCGGCGGGCGTGACGGCGTTGCCAGCAGCGCGCCACCCGAGGCGTTCGAGGGCGGCTTTCTCGAGGGGGTCGCCGACGGCTTCGCCGTCGACCTCCGTGACGCTGTTGCAGACCAGGAGCGCCGTGACGGCGCCAGGCGGCATGGCCCGGGGGTCCGTGATGAGAGTCCCCCCCTTCTCCGCGGCCCCCGCGCCCGCGCACGCGACGCCGAGGAAGCGCATGTCGTCGGACGTGAGCGTGCCGGTCTTGTCGAAGCAGCACACATCCACGCGCCCCGCGAACGGGATCCGGAAGGGCTCCGTGCAGAACACGCGGCGCCGCAGCAGCGCCACCAACGAGGCGTTGACGGCGATGGTCAGCTCCATCGGCAGCTCCGGCGGGACGACGGACGTGACGATGATCACGCAGTCCAGCAGGAGCTTGTACCGCGACCGGTCCTGCTTGAGCCCGAAGTACAGGACGTAGGCCGAGGCGCTGATGGCAAACACCAACAGAAAGAGAATGAAGAAGAAGGCTTCCCAATTGTTGGCCGTCACGCGGTCGGTCGAGTAGAGCATCGTCCGGATCAGCCGCCCCTGCGCGGTGCCGAACCCCGTCCGCAGCGCCACGGCGGGACACCCGCCGTCTGGCGGCGGGGGCACGCCCGCCACGCCGCTCCCCGCGCCCGCGGGGGGCGAGTGCTGGAGGACCTTCGTGCCGCCGAAGATCATGTGCGCCTTGTCCGCGTGCACCGACAGGTGCGCCTCGGTCCCGTCAGGCCCCCGGGGCTTCCCTTTAGGGTCCAGGGGGTCTTTTGTTTGAGGGATCGACTCCCCCGTCAGCACGGCCTCCTCCGCGACGACGGAGCCCGCGAGGAGCAGCGCGTCGCACGGGAACACGGCCTCCTCCGCGGGCGCGGCCGCGCGGCGCCCCCCGGCCCCGGGAGCCGCGACGGTGCGGCCGTTGGCGTCGTCGGTCGGTTTCGCGTCGTGCGCGGGGCGGACGACGGAGATGAGGTCGCCCGGGAGGATGGCTTCGCCGGGAATGCGGATCCAGCGGTGCGAGCGGAAGGCGTGGATGTGTTGGCGCGGCGACTGGAGCCCGCGGAGCTCTCGGAGGTTGCGCTGGCGCTGCATGACGACGGTGCACTCGAACGCGACGAGCATGAAGAGCGTGAAGAGGGAGTAGTACCAGTACTCGTCGAGCATCCAGAGGCCCACGCAGAAGATCTGCACGCACGGAACCGCGTGCCTTTGTTTCGTTTCATCCCTGTGCTGTTGTTTGGGCCAAGACGCGATCGTAAGAGGAAACGTGGACGTAGGCGCATGCGGAGTGTGTTGCGGCGGCGTCCCGCACCTGGAAGATGAAGAACGGCGCAGTCATCTGTTCCTTGAGCAGCTCCACAAACGTGGGAATAGGCACGACGAACTCGTTGCGGCCGAACACGGCCGCGGCGGTCGCGACGGCCGCGTCGCCCGCCAGTCCGCGGTGCGCGATGTACTTGGACAGCGGCAGGCGCGTCGGGTACGGCAGCGGGCGGAAGGCCCCCGCCGGTCCGTCAGCGGGGTCGAGCAAGAATCGCTGTTTCCGGAACGAGAACGCGACCTCCGTGCCGGCGTGGGGGATGGCGTTGCGCTCCAGGGGCACGACGTCCTCTGCGCCGGCGTGCTCGGCCGGGAACACGCGCACGACGGTGGCGTCTGCGAGGGAGGGCGCCACAGAGAAGCGGCAGAAGCAGCGGACCGCGACGATCCAGTGGCAGAGGAGGCGCACGAGGACGGAGAGGACGGCGACTCCGAGCGCGAGCTGGAAGCCCACCTGCGTTTGCGCGGGGGCCGGGCGCGCGCGAGGCCGGTGGGTGGACGGCGGGGGTTGCGGACGGTTTGTGTGGGGTGATTGTGGGCGTGTGGGGGTGTGTGGGGTGGAAGATGTCGAGCGAGAGACTGGGAGGTGCGAGCGGCGGTGCTTCGATCGCGTTCGGCGAGCGTCCGGCGCTCAACGGCCGGCGCGGAGGCTGGGAGGACTTCAAGCAAGCGTGACGTTTCCCGGGCAAGGTGATGGGATCGATGCTTGCATGAAGAAAAATCTCGTGGATTCCACGGTCCGAACCGCGGGCAGGTCAGGGCGTGTTACGCCACACCGGCCACACGGGTGCGCCCTCTCTCAGCAGGGGAGTGAGCTGCCCGTCCGTCGCGCGTGGCCGCGGTAGTGCTCGCACGCTGTGGCCTGATCAAACACAGACGTATCTCGCCCAATGTGGCATGGCCAGAGAGCGCAGTGGGCGCGGCATCTGTCGTGAAAGGAAGCACCTTGATGGCCCACCACTCGCCGTGCATGACGTGCTTCAAGGTCCAGTTGACGACCAGCGTGTACAGCAGCAGAAACGGCACGTAGTCCGCCCGCAGCCATTGCGGCGCATCCTTGTACAATTTCAAGCCAACGATGCTGCTCAGGGCACTCTCATGCAGCCCAGGCGGCCCCGCGGGCGCCCCCTGCCCCTCCCGCGCCACCAGCGGCGCCTGCAGCGTGCCCCCACTACCGTCCTTGCCAGGCGCCATCGTTCCTGGCCAAGAACAGCACGCCGGCGCCGCGCCCTGCGCCCCCGTCCCTCCCAGCACACCCAGGCCAGTACCCGATCGACCCGGCCGCGCGATGCGGCCTCAATCCAACCAGCGATGTCAAGTGCACCGCCGGCGTCGCGCACGCCCGCAACCAGTCGTGCCCCACGCAGAGTAGTAATTGACCACCCGCGCACGAAACGAAATGCGGGTGTGCTGGGACAGAAAGAGAAATGCGGGTGTGACTGGGCGGAAACGCGCGACAGACCCTATACATCACCAATATAAGGCACGGGCCGCGGGGGGGGGTGCCTGGTGCATCCCGCGGCATGTGGCCACCAGGCACGCGCGCTCAGCCACACAACGGTGCCGCAGGCGCGGCGGCAGACGGATCCGCGACCCGACCGCTCAGGCTGCGGTACGTGCTGCTCAGCAGGTTCAGTGTCGGCGGGCGCCAACATGGAGGTACGAACCGACGCGTGCGCCACCGCTATGCGATCACTTTGTTGATTGACGCCCCCTGTATGCCGTACCTCCTCCCGAACCGCCCACGCTGTGATGCACTTCCTGGCCAGGACTTGGTTTTTTCGCGCCGACAGGCGGGAGCGTGCGCCTGCGGAATCCCCATGCGAGTGCGCACCAACCCGACTGCGCCAGTGATCCTTGTCACCGCAGGATGCGAATGCGGGCGCGAATGAGGGTCCACCAGACGGTGCAGCGCCGAACGGCGCGGCAAGCTTGCCCGCAGGCCAAGCAACTGGCCCGAAGCGACCTAGCAAGAGCGTGTTTCACACGGTGCCGGTGTCTACGCCTTCTCCAGGTGCGTCGCATTCGTGCGGGCGGTGGCAAGGCGCATTAAACCCACGCCCGCGCCGCCAAGGCCGACCCGACCTATTTCACCTCTCTGCAGGTCCCTTTGCGCTCGCTGACCTCAACTGGGTCACGGTTGCGTGGGCGAAATCCAAGACGGGGTTTGCGGCGATGGCACGCTTCTCGGAGTCGCGCTGGGACGACATGAAGGAAGGCGAGGCTCGCGTCGCAGGCCTCCCGCTGTACATCAGGAAGAGCAATGCCTCCAAAAAGGGCCTACCAGGAGGCGAACTGCACTGCTCGGGCGGGCCCGAAGATCATCGGGGAGGAGCCTCCCAGGCGCGGTTCCAAGGCAGGTCGCGGAAGGCCCTCGCGGAGCTGGAACGCCAAGGTGAGGGACCTACGCTGGCCACAGCATGATGGGCGCGCACCTTCCGTCTCGCGCACCAATCTTGCGCCTCCGCTGGCAGGCAGCTTGCCCAACATATCGTCCTGCTCTGAGTCTGTGTCGCAGACAACGTGACCGCGGCGGACGCCGATGCGCGAGGGTCGTACAAGAAGCGCAAGTTCACCAAGTCTCAACTCGGGACGAGCGTGCGGTGCGGGTGCCAGGTGTCCCTGAAATACACCACGCTCGACGAGGGTGAAGGGAACGTTCGGTCTGTGGCGGTCCGGTACGACATCCCCGCCGACTCGGAGGCAGGGCCGCCGCAGCACTCGGGGCACGACGTGGGAGAGTCTCTGCGAGAGGCGATTCAGCAGCACGACATGGACGGCATCCGCGGCTGCATCCCCCATCGCCTGAGTCTCAAGTCGCGCGAAGTACTGAGCGCGTATGCGACGATGGGCGTGGCCGTGTCTCGGGCGCTGTCGGGCCTGAGGGAGGACATCATGGCAGACTTCGCCGAGGAGACGAGCCTGTACGCTGAGTACGGGAACTTCTGGTCCGCCATGAGCCTGCTCGGCGCAGCCCTGAAGAAGCAAGAACTGCGCGACTTCCTCGCGACGAGTGACGACTACCACAACGCGAAGGCAAAATGCAGGGGGGATGATGGCGTGGGCTTCGCCGCCGACGACCAGCGGAGCTGCGAGAACATGGTGCGCGAGAATCGCCACATCTACCCTACGTACCGGCACCTCACGGCGACGACGCCGATGGTCTTGGTTCTGATGACCAAAAACATGGTCAGCCAAGGAGTTGCACACTGGAACAGGGAAGGCGCAGTGAAGAACATCTGCTTCGACGTCACCTTCGGCACGAACCGCTACAACTTCAAGACCTGCGCCGTGAACGTCGTCGGGTCGGCGGGTCGGTGGCGGCCGATCGCGATCTGCGTGTTGAGCGACGAGACGGCAGAGACTGTTGGGATGGCGTTGAACTGCGTTCGGGCGGAGCTGAACAAGGCGGGCGCGGAGAGCTGGGGCGAGACGCGGCCGGGCAAGCGCGCGGTGTTCATGACGGACTGCGCGGAGGCGCTGAAGCAGGCGGTCGCCACCACGTTTCCAAGTGCAACGCATGTGTGGTGCACGTTCCACATGCTGCAAGCGGTCCTCAAGAACCTGCACAGCAAGATCGGCCAGGGCGCGGGGGTGGGGGACCTGAAGAGGCGAATCTGGTGCGACATCGTGGACATGCTCCGGAAGGCGCGCCGTGATGTGCTGGGAGCATATATTGCATCTTCGGCGCGCGAGCAGCGGCAAGCGGACGACAGGGTGGCGGAGGACGCCGCTGCCGACATCGCTGCCTTCAATGCGCGGTATTCCAGCGACAGGCGCGCTGCGTCGTTTCTCAAGTACTTCAAGTCTCAGTGGGGTGCATCTGAGGTGACCGCGATGTGGATGCTGCGCTACCGATCGACGGACATCCCCACGACGGACAACGCCAGCGAGTGCCTTTTCAAGTGGATGAAGGACATGCTCAGCGCGCGGGGCGTGCGGTGCGTGCATCATCGGCGGCTTGATCAGTTCCTTCTGCACTGCATCTCCCAGGACGAGGAGCGGGCGGCGCTGGAGGCGGCGTGCGCTGTGGGTCTGCGCCAGCCCAGGGCGCTGCAAGAAGCGCTGCGAGTCGCCGAGAACGGCGGCGAGGCCTTGCGTCAATACGTGCAACAGTTGATGGTGATGTGGCCATTGGTCGACGGGGTGCGAGAACCCACGGACGCGCCCGAGCAAGGCAAGTGGGAGATCACGCGCGACGGTCGCTCTCGTGTGCTGGACTTCGTGGGGGGGAAGCTGACGTGCACGTGCGATCATCATGGGGTGTGCCATCACATGGCTGCGGTGCGTCAAAGGTACAACTTCACGTACAAGTGGTTCAAGGACGCTGTCGCGCACTTGGGGCCGTCCGTCGCGAGGCCACTCCCGGGGGACGACAGCTCCGAGGAGCAGGAGGGCGGCGCGGGCACCAACGCAGCTGCGAGAGCAACAGGCGCTAGCGCTGCTGTCGTCGGCGACCCCGCGGAGGGGGCGGGTGCTGAAGCACAGGAGGTCGCGTCGCCGCCGAGGCAGGCGGAGCTCGCGGCTGCGAAGCAAAGGATGATCGAAGGGATCAACGCGTGCGACAACAAGGAGCACCTGATGAAGCTCTATCGGGCGTTCCGAGATTGGGAGCAGAGCGGCCGCAACGGGTGAGCGCGGAGCACGCACCACGTGCGGTTGGCTGCTGGTTGTCGTGGCGCGATCTGCCCCGATGCACGCGAGCGCGCTCGACAACTTGTACACGCAAACCTTTTGCCCTGCAGGATAGAGTGGGAAGCCGGCGCGATCCGCAGCAAAAAGCGCAGGGAAGTGTACGCTCTGAAGCGGCGGTCGAAGAGAGAGCGTCGACGCGATCAGCGCTCGGGCGTGGCGGGAGACGCCTCCCGAGAGGGTGCAGCAACGTCATCATCGACCGACTCGGACCCCCAGACGTTGGCGCAGCGGTGCACGTGGAGGGTGCCGCGTGCGAACGAGGAGCGCGACGCGCTGAGGGCGAAGACGCGGCTGCCCGGGGACCCAACTGCTTCTGCCCCTCCAGCAGGCAACAATGCTGACCAGCGCACGGGCGGGGGTGGCGGTGGCCCGGCTGCGGGTGGGAGTCGGCCGGCAGACCCCGACGCGGCAGGGGAGCTCGTGCTGTCCGCGGCTCTGGCGCCGGACTGGTCCCAGCTGCTGAGCCAAGCACAAGCGACACAAGGCGGGCCGCCCGCGACACAAGGCGGCCAGCGTGCACTGGACCCGCGCGTCGACGAGAGGCACCAGGCGTTCGACTGTCTCGGGGAGCGTTTCATCGTACCCGCGGAGCGCAGGGCCATCGGGGGACCGACTGCTCACGAGCAGTTGTGGGAGGGCTGGCGATGGTGCCGCGAGTGCGGCAAATGGAGGACCAACGGGTTCGTACAGACCATGACGGCCGCTGTGCAGTACTTCAGGTGCTCGGAGTGGGACCCGGTCGGCAGATGTAGCGCGGATTGCAGCAAGTGCCACAGTGATGGCAGAGCCCGCAACAGCACGTGCCACCACTACGGTGCACCGCGGGGAGCACGCAGGTAGCTTCGGTGTGACGATACGTACCCGCCGCGCCGAAAAAACGGGCCGTCTCGCGACTGTGTCTCGCCTGAAACGCCCCCGACCCCACCACCTCATACTGGTGAAGTATAGGCCCTGCGCACACCCCCCCGCGCGCATCGGACCCCCTGCGCGGCCCCGGCCCGCGCGGCCCGGGGCCCCACGGGATCGTCGGCGCGGGGCCGTCCCTGTCGCCGCCCGCCGGCGGCCCTCCCCGGCGTCGCGCGCCGCCGTCGTCGTAGGAGTCCCCACCTGCCCGCCTGTCGTCATACCCCCCCCTCCTGTCCCCCCCCGGCGCCCCGCGGTACCCGGGCGGGCTCCCCGCGCGCCGCCCCGCGTCGTCCCTCCCGACCATCCCCGCCCACTCGAGCACCGGCCCGCGCCCCCCCGCGTCCCCCCCCGACGCCCACGACTGCTGCCTCGACACCCCCCCCGACCCCGTCCGGCGCACACGCTGCCCGTCCTTGTACAGCCGGTTCCTCGCACGCATCTCGCACGACAGCGCGTAGTCCGCGACGGTCCCGAGCCACAGCGCGAGACACGGCAGGCTCGCCGTCGACGTGTTCCCCACCAGGTCGTTCAGGTACGCCATCACCGCCATCAGCGCGTCCTCCTGCCTCGGCGTCGCGGCGAGCACGTCGAGCGGCTCCTCCGCCCCCGGGTGCTCCACCAGCAGCCGCCGGTCCGCCGCCACGCCGATCCGCTTGCACATGTGCACGTCGAGACCCCCGAGCGTCTGGTGCGGCGCGGGCTGGCGGGCCACCGCGGACTGCCGGATCGCGGGCACCGTGTCCGCGGGCGCGTCGGGCGGCGGCTCGAGGTCGACCAGTTTGCGCTTCCACTGCCGGCGGGACTTGGGGCCAGTGCGGGCGTCCACGTCGACGGTCGCCGCGCCCGACATCCCAGCGTACCACGGCAGGGGGCCCGGCGGCTTGGGGTCCGCGGGCGCGGGCTCGCGCGGGCGGCGCGCCGGCGCGCGGTCGTCGATCTCGTCCGGCGGGGGCTGCGCGGGCTCCGAGCCGCCCGTGACGCGGCGCGGGGGCGACGGCGAGACCGCTGCGTCGACGGGGCGGCGGGGGCGAGGTCGGAGGCGCGTCGGTCGCGCGTGCGTGGGCTGCGGCGGCGCGCGCGGGCCCTCACCTCGCCGCCGCTTGGCGTCGCGCTGCGCCCCGTCGCTGCCCGGGCCGGGCGCCGGAGCGCGGCGCTTGCCCCCGAGCAGCTCGTCGATGCGGTCGTAGTCCGGCGTGTCCTCGAACGCGAGCGCCTCGAGGCACCGCGACACCCCCACGAGCGCCTCGACCACCGGCGCGCCGCCAAAGAGCTTCTCCGGGTCCTCGATGCACGCGCGCTTCTGCGACCGGATCGCCGCCCGCGCCTGCCGCTCGCTCGCCGCCGCCCGCGCCGCCGCGCGCCACGGCAGCGACCCCGTCACCAGCTCCACGAGGATGTACAGCAGCGACCACAAGTCGTCGCGGCGGCCCATGTCGCCGCCGGCGAGCGCGCTGGCGGACGCGTAGACCGAGGACCCGCGGAACGACGCGGAGGGGCGCCGCGCGACGTGCTTGCCGTCGTCCTCGCGGTACCGGCGCGCGAGGCCGAGGTCGATCAGTACGACGGCGTGGGTCGGCGGGGGCACCGCGGGGTGCTCGAGGCAGAAGTTCGCGGGCTTGACGTCGCGGGAGATCCAGCCGCGGTCGTGCAGCGCGCGCAGGGCCGCGAGCATCGAGCGCCCGATGGGCGCGACCACGTCCCAGGCCAGGCGCGGCGCGCCGTCGCCCTGCAGGGTCGGCAGGACGTTGTCCTTGCGCGCCTGCGTGATGTTCTTGCCGTAGAGGTCCATGGCGATGTAGTAGAGCCCCGCGTGCGTGCCCTCGCCGCGGTAGGCCGCGTTGCGCGGGGTCCCGGCGAGCGCCTGCAGGGTTGCGGCCTCCACCTTCACCACGCCCGACGCGCTCGGCCGCTCGAGCTTCACCGCGACGTGCGCGTCGTTCTGCCGCCTGTCTCGCGCCTCGTACACCTCCGCGAACTGCCCCTCGCCGATCTTCGCCACCACCTGCAAAACGCGCCCAGGCCCAACTGTGTCCTTCCCGGCGCGTCGCGAGGGCCGATACAACACGAAACGGAGCGCACAGGGGTGGGACAGGCTGCGGAGCTGCCGCCGGGGCGCGCGGCGTCGATGTTGCGGGCGTCCCCGCGACGGCGCGGGGCTGCAGAGGGTGCTTGGGTGGTGGGCGCGGGAGGCGCGTTGCGGCGTGGGCGGCGCACACCTCATAGCGCCCGGGCTCGGGCTCCTCGCCGATGAGGTCCCCGGGGCTGAGCAGGGGCGGCCGGCCGCCCGCCATGGCCCACGCGCCCGCACAACGCAGCGGCGCTGCTTGCGCGAACGGCACGAGGTCCGGGGGCGCGCGACGGGTGATTCGGTTCCTGCGCGCGACGCAGCGAGCGGCCGAGGGCGGAGTGGCGACGGGGCGCGGCGCGGGGCCGCCTCGAGCGCGCCGGGCGACGTGACCGGCGACGGGCTGGCTCGGTGCAAGTGAGACGAGCTTTGGACTCCCCCGGGGGGCTCTGCGCGGGTCCAGTGCGGCGGGGACGGAGCGCGGGCGCGCATTCCGCGCTGGAGCGTCACGGGTGACTTGCGTTCAGGCTGCGGAGTCACTGGAGGACGTGCTTGCGGGCCCCCTCGCTGTAGAGGTGAGCGTCGCGCGCCGCGGGCGGCCCCGCCGCGGTTCCGAGGGCCCCGCGCGCGGCTCGTGCGTTTCACATTCGAGCGGCGCGGCCGCGCCGGGCTGAGTACGCCCGTGCCCTGCGTACCCGCGTGTGCTTGCGACGAGCCGAGCGACGCCCGTTTCTGCCGTTTCCCGCAGACCTGGCCGGGACGAGATGGTCAAGCTCACGGATGTCGTTAGGAACTCGGTGGACTGGTACACCAAGGTGACCCTCGCGCCCCCCTGCGCGCCCTCTCGGCCGTTCGGTTGTGCACTCGGCTCGCCCTCCGCTCCCACCGCGCCACGCGACCCCTTCGCACGCAGCCAGCCCCCCCGCAGCCCCCCACATCCCACACAGCCCGCACCAGCCCGCCTCACCCCGCGCCCTCCGCCCCCCCCGCCCCGCTACAGCCCTTCCACTACCACCCACCCCCCGCACCGGTCTCCCCGCTCGACAAGATCCACCCAGCGGGCGTGAAGATCCCCACGGCGTCGGGCAAGATGCTCACGCCCGCCCAGATCGCCGCCATGGAGGTCGTCGACGTCTTCCCGCGGTTCTACAAGGGCCCGTACACCGGCCCCTCCGTCGTGGGCACCATTGGAATGGCCCTGGGCGCCGGCGCCGCCGCCGCCCTCGCCTTCAAGGTCCGCCCATGCGCCCCCGCCGCCCCGCGCGCCGCCCCGCCGCACGCAGCGCCCGGGAACGCAGCGCGGGCGCCGCACACCGCCCTGCCGCGCGCCCCCGGCCGCCCCGCGACCGCCCCGCCGGCTCGGTCGCTTCGGTGCTGCGCAGATGTGGGCGTGGGGCGAGCAGCGGATCATCGCGCAGTGGTACCAGGACTACGAGAAGCTCTGGAAGGTGCGATACGGCGCCGTGACGCACCCGCCGCGGGCCCCCGCCCGCCCGAGACACGCTGTAGACTGCGCGCTCGCTCACCGCCGCGCTGTGCGGGGTCGCACGCGCGCGCGCGGGAACCTCCTGCTGAGACGCCGGCGCGCTGCCTCTCCCGCGTCCGCAGTCGGGGCACTTCGACATCGTGCCGAACAAGGACGGGTACACGTACAAGCGGGAGTAGGGCGGCCGTGCGCGGGCGCACCGCTCCAGCGCCTTGTGAGTCAGACTGTAAGCTGCAGGCACGTGCGCATTTGCGCGTGTGGTCAATTGCTTCATATGTTGGTGTCGGTCGAGGTCCCGCAGCGCCGCGCGCGCAGCTCGCCCCGCGCGGCCGCGTGCACGTCGCGGCGCCGTCAGCGGCGAGCGGGCGTCGCGCGCCGGCCCGGGGCAGCGCAGGGTGTGCGTCGGTCGGTCAGCGCGCACCGCGACGCGCGCGTGCCGTCGGCGGCGGCCGCGGGCGCCGGCAGCGGTCGGGGCCGCCGGGGGCTGCACGCGCCCGCGCGGGGCGGGACCGTCGTCCGCGGGCGGAGGCGCGTGTGAGGGGAGGGGTCAGAACAGGTCGTCCGCCCCGCGCGGCGTGGCGCGCGGGCATGCCTAGTTGGGCCGCGTGGGCTGCGTGTCGAGGCAGACGACGCTCTCGACGCGCTGAGAGGTTCCATCGAATCGGCTGTTCGACGGCAGCGGAGCTCGTGACTATGTCGTTCACTGCGCACGCTCCCCGCGCGCACCCGTCCGCGATGTTCGGATCGCGCGGTAGCTTCAAGTCGTCCGTGGGCGGAGCAGGTGCGCTCGGACGATCGCGGGCGCCCCGCGGTGCTCGGTCGCGCTGGCCCGTCCCTCCCTTCCCGAGAGCAGCCCGGCACGCCCCGCTCGCGGCGAAAGGGCCTGTATCGGGCGCTCCAGCGGACACATCCTGTTCAAACTCGCGCGGAAACGCATCGCCGCGCCCTCGCCGAACCGCTCGCGGGCTCGCAGCCGCGTTCCCTTTCCCCTCCCGAGCACCGCCGGACGCGCGGCTGCGGCCCTCCGCGGCGGCCGGCGCTGCCGTCTCGACGGAGCCCACGCGCCTCCCGCCGTCCACCCACCGCGCGCGACCCTCTGAACGGACCGCACCGCACGCCGCGCGCCCCTGTGCTCCAACGCGCTCGCCGTATTAGGCACGCCGCTGGCGCCGCGCCCGCGCAGCCCGAGCCGCCCGCGCGGCACCGCGACGCCCGCCTGCGCCACTCCAGCGCCGAAACGACGTCCGCGACCGATCCCACGTTCCCCACTGCCCCAGGACGGCATGCCAGAGCTCCTGGGCCCCCTCCGCAACCCGCGAGCGCCCTGCCACTGAGCCGGTGTCCGCGCGCTGACCGGCTCCTCCTGTGGCGTGCTGCGCAGTGCGGATGCCCGTCGCGGCTGCTCACCGGCGCGGCGCGCGGCGCGGCCCGGCCCGGTCGGTGGCGGTCCAGGCCAACCTGTTCAGCCGCTTCGGGCGCGTGATGAAGTCGTACGCCAACACGATCGTCGAGAAGATGGAGGACCCCGAGAAGATCCTCGAGCAGGCCGTGTCCGACATGCAGGACGACCTCATCAAGATGCGACAAGCCTCGGCGCAGGCACGCACCGCACGCCCACGCGCCGCGCACGCCCCCGCGCCGCCCCACACGCGCTCCCAGCCCTGCCCCGCCCCCGCTAGCCGCGCCCCGCCCGCGCAGCAGCCCCGCACGCCGCCCAGCGCGCTCAGCCCCGTTGTACATGTTTGCGTGTGCAGGTGATGGCGTCCCAGAAGCAGCTGGAGGCCAAGTACGAGTCGTCGAAGTCCGCCGCGGACGACTGGTACCGGCGCGCGGAGCTCGCGCTCCAGAAGGGCGACGAGGAGCTCGCGCGCGAGGCGCTGAAGCGGCGCAAGTCGTACGCGGACAACGCGGAGCAGATGTCGCAGCAGCTGGTGGCGCAGAAGAAGGCGACGGAGCAGCTCATCCAGAACACGCGCACGCTCGAGGCGAAGCTCGCGGAGGCGAAGAGCAAGAAGGACACGCTCAAGGCGCGCGCGGCGAGCGCGAAGACGAGCAAGCAGATTGGCGAGATGGTGTCGTCGCTCAACACGAGCAACTCGTACGTGGCGTTCGAGAAGATGGAGGAGAAGGTCATGGCGATGGAGGCGGAGAGCGAGGCGGTCGCGGCGCTGTCGCCGGCGAACGACGACATGGAGCAGAAGTTCCTGGCGCTCGAGGGCGGCGACGTGGACTCGGAGCTCGCGGCGATGCGGAGCAACCTGCTCGGGAGCGGGAAGAAGGGCGAGAAGAGCCTGCCGGAGGGGCGCCCGCTGCGGGACGCGATCGACGACGAGCTCGACGCGCTGCGGAAGAAGGCCAAGGAGTAGGGCGGGGATGTTCCGGGGGGGGGGTCGGGCTGGGAGGAGGCGCGGCGGCGGAGCGTCACGGCTTCGTTGCGGCGGCGCGGGGAGCGAGGATGGACCCTCGTCGGTGCGGTGAGGTGAGGTGTCACATTCTTCGCGTCGTGTGACACAAAACAGAACAGATCAATCTGTTGGTTTCACTGCGCGTCTCCTCGCTCGTTCTACCCTGGTTCGCCGCGCGAGTCTCGTCCCGTCTACCGTCCCGATCCAGTCTCGTGCACCCTCGCGGCGAGGACCGCCTTGCCCCCGCCGCCGCGCTCAGCAGATGCTGAACTGCCCGTACACCACCTCGCGCACCGCGTAAAACGCCCGGCTGAGCGGGCCCTCGATCTGCATCTCGCCCGTCGCCGGGTTGCGCCGCACGACGATGCGCCCCGCCGGCAGCACGAGCGTCTCCTTCGTCACGTACGACTCGAGCCCCGCGGCGGCCAGCGCCTGCTTGAGCTCCGACAGCTTCGCGCTGCCAATGAAGATGTTGCCCGCGCCGGCGCGCGTCACCGCGGCGGCCTTCAGCACGGGGAGCTTCGCGTCGGGGTCCGGCGGGGTCGGCTCCTCGTAGCTGAACGCCGTGGGCGCGCGCACGGGGCCCTCGGGCTCGTCCATCTCGGCGTCTTGGTCCGGGAGACCCTCGACGGAGACCTGGCCTTCGACGAAACCGAGCATGTACTCGCCGACGGTTCTGAGGCGCGCGTTCGAGAGCAGCGAGGACCCGAGCCGCAGGACGAACGACGCCGTCTGCGGAGACACGTCCACGGCTTGGCCGCGCTGGGGGCGCTGCACGTGGGGCTTTTGCGTGGGCGTGGCGAGCAGCGCGGTCGATAGCGCGTCGCACACGTCGTCCTCGCCGTGCACGAGCACGACGCCGCGCGCGCCGAGCTGGGCCGCCATCGCCTGCAGGGACCGCCCGTCGGCGCGCCCGTCGTACGGCACGTACGCCACCGACGCCGCCAGCTGCAGCCGCGCCGTCTCCCGCGCGATCTGCGTGCCCTGGCGCACGCCCATGTGTCCGAACATAGACACCGCGTCGAGCGTGTCCAGCAGCGACCCGCTCCCGGCCGCACCCGCGCCCTCCGGGCGCTCCACGCGCGTCTGCGCCACACGCACACGCCGGCGCGCGCACACGTCGGTTCAGGCGCGCGGACGGAGGCGGGGACACGAGGCACGCGTGGCGAGGGCGCCGCGGCGCGCTCGAGCGCACGGGGCGACCGGGCGGCGGCCGCGGGGGTGTCTCGTGCGATATGTGTCCTACCTCGGGCTTGATCATCGCAAACTCCCCCTCCCGGATCTCCTCGCCGTAGAAGTCCCAGTTCGGCCGCTGGTCCTCCGTGAACTCGTCCGGAAACATCGGCCCGACCGCGTGCTCCGGCACCGTGAACCCGTCGACCAGGCACTTGAACTGAGTCAGGTACCCCTCGCGCACCCCCAACTCCCCCGCCCCGCCCTCGTCGTCCCGCACCTCGCCGTGCGCCTTCGCCTGCGCCACCACCTCCGCCACGTCCGCGCGCGCCTCCTCCCCCTCGGGCGCCCGCACCGCCTGCCGGATCTCCTGCGCTCGGCTGCCGCCAATCGCGCCGCCGCCCGCGCCCTCGCCCGCGCCCAGCTCGTCGCCCTCGCCCACCTCCGCGCCCGCGACCGCGACCCGCTGCGCCAGCGGCAGGTCCTCCGTCAAGCGCGACTCCCCCGCGCGGCTCGCCCCTTGCAGACCCTGCAGCCGGTGCGCCAGCGTCCCGGGCGCCGCACCTGCAAGCGACCGAACACACAACGCTGGACCGCTCAGAACGAGCGAACCGCGCCGCGAACAACCCCGGCGATCATCTCCACGCTGCCGGCCGCCGTGGGCCACGAGGGAAGGGGGGGAGTGGGACGTGTTGGTTCGCGTCAGTCGTACGTTTCGTAAAGACGATGGCGTTCTTGGGGTCCCGCGCCCAGTCCGCGAGGAGCCTGCGCCCCGGCCCGACGTCGAGGCTCTCCGTGGTGGCCACAACGGCCATCGGGCGCCGGCGGTCGAACTTCTCCCGCAGGTCGGCCACGCTGGCGCACCGCTTGAAGTGCCGCGTGTTGAACGACACCTGCCCGCCGTCGCGCCCGCCGCCGATCACCGACGCCACCAGCTCGTCCGACATGTAGGTCACCTGACTCTGGGCGTACTCAAACACCTTCCGCGACGTCGCCGACACCAACACGAGCTGCGCGCGGGGAGCGGAGAAACACACACCGCATCACGATCTCCGCGCCTGAGCTCCCCGTCGGCTGACACCCCCGTCAAACCTCCGCGCGAGGCCGCTGCACGCACCGCACGTCCACGTCCCGGCGCGCAGGCCAGTGCACGCGGCCCCGCGGTGCCACGCGCATGCATGCCGTGGGCAGCGCACCTGGTACATGTAGAGCTGCATGCGCGCCCAGTGCGCCTCTAGGACCAGGACCAGCTCCAGGAGTCGCCCGACGGCGTCGACGGGCAGCAGGACGTTCCCGCCGGCGCGGAGCGTGCGCATGACGGTCTCGATGAGCGCCTGGTCGCGTTCCGGGACGCTCAGCGGCTTGTCGAGCGGCGCGGCGGCGCCGAGAATGAGCACGGCGGGGCGGGAGGACACGGCGGCGAGGTTGCCGCCGCTGAGGGCGCGCTCGCGGCGGTGGTTGACGTCCGGCGCGTACACGACGTCCTCTCCGCCCTTGCTGATGCGCCACACCGCGCCGCCGACCATGTGTCCCGAGGGATACGCGGCAATCGAGATTCCTCGACTGCGGCCGCGCAGGCTGGCCGGCTCTTGGTACCCGAGCGGGCGCAGCCACTTGAACGCGGCCTCGACGTCCGCGAGCGTGAACGGCGGCTCCTCCGCCGCGTGCGACACCGCCAGGCAGTGTTCGATGGCGCACAGCTTCCCGAGACGGTGGGTGGCGAGCGTGGAGAAGATCGGGCACTTGAGGCCGAGGGAGGCGAAGGCGTACGACACGCCGCCCATGTGGGCGACGCTCGGGTGCGACAGGAGGAGCGCGTCGGCCTGCGGGCGCGTCGGGAGCGGCGTGCAGTGAGGAAGGGGGGGGGGGCTCGGGCGCGCGCGGGGCGCCGAGGGGAGGTCGCGTGGAGACGACGCATGTACGGAGGGTTCGGCGCGCGGGGAGCGGGGCGGGGTGCCCGCGCGGGGCAGTGCGTGGTCGCGGCTGCCGGTGGTGCGCGCAGGGGGTGGAGCTCGCCTTCGCGCACACGTCTGCGAGGGGCGCGAGGACCTCTGGATCGCACGAGTCCGTCCATCCTAGATCGAGCAAGATGTTCGCGTCGTCGATTTGCAGGAGGTAGCACAGGGGCCCGTCGGAGGACACGCCCAGCAGCGGCGTCACCGAGATGCCCATGGCGTCCGCTGCTGCGGGCACTTCCGGCGAACTGCCCCCAGAATGTCACTATCTACCTACGTTGCCCCTGAGACCCACCCCGCATCGCGCGTCGTGCCCCCACACTGCTCACAAACCCACGTCCAACACTGCAAGGCAACGTTGCTGCACAGCACACGTCGAGCCTGACGTCCGCACGCGACTGACGTGCGCTCGCACTGCAGACGGCCGCGAGAGTCACGCAGACGCGCGCCCCGCGCGGCCCTGGAGCCTCCGCACCCCCCCGAACTCGCGGTAGGACCAGGCTGCCTCACAGCCCCCGCGCACCAGTCCGACAGGCGTGCGTGGGTGGCCCGCTTGGGCGGGGGCGCCGGCCGTCGCGCGCACTCGACCTCCCAGCACCCAGCCGTCGCGCGCACTCGACCTCCCAGCACCCAGCCGTCCGCCTGAACGCGCTCGGTGCGCCGCGCTGGACCCTCGCGCCAGAAGGCGGCCTGAACCGCTGCAGTGCCGAGCTCTCTCTGTGCGAGCGCCTCCGCGCGGGCTCCGTGGGCGGGCAGCGTCTGCAGCAGACGGGGAGGGGGGGGGGAGTGCCTGGGGCGGGTGTGGAAGGCGGGGGGCGCGCGATGGACGACGGGGTGGGCCGGTTCCTGCGAGCGGCTGTTTCGATCGACAAGGACGCGTCGAATGATACGGGCTACGTGAAGGTTGTGACAGTCGCCGAGGACGGGTCCCTGATCCTCGCGGACGCGCACGGCCGCGTGAGGGCGCTGAACGTGCGGTGAGATCTCCCAGACAGAGCAGAGTGGTTGTCTGCGCGTGGGACGACCTATGAGCCTCCGCGGTGCCTGCCAGCTGGAGGAGCGAGCTGTTTCGAAGCGCCCGCGCTGATCCGTGACGCGGCGACGCCCTTGCGCCCCGCACATTCGGGCGTTCAGTTCCTCAGTCGCCCACGGCGCGCGCGTGCGGGACCGCAACGCGCCGGACGCCAGCCACCGCCGCCCCGAGCGAATGGAACTTCGCCGTCCATCCCACCGCCAGCCGCGCCGCGTCCTCGCTGCGCCGCGGGAGCCCCTTCCCGCCCCCCCCACCGGCCCGCTGCCCCTCACGGCGCGCTCGTTCCGCAACGCACCCGCAGGGACGAGCTGCAGCGAGGATGCTTCTCCGCGCAAAGCAGGGGCGAGCGTCCGCGCCCCGCGGTCGCCCCGAGGCGCGTGTACCGCCCGCTACCCGACAGGGCGCAAGTCATCACGCACGTGGCGGCGCGCCACTGCCACCCGCGCACGTGGGTCGCGCTGTGCGGATACGACCCCGACAGCCTGAAGTTCAACCCCGTCGTGCGCGTGCTGTGCCTCGACGAGGCCCAGCGCAAGGGCAGCGTTGACACGGGTGCGTCCCCCGGGAATTCACGCCCTCGCGCCCAGGCGCCCGCTGCCCGCGTGCTGCCGCCGCGGCGGCCGCAGGCAAGGCCGCCGTGCTGCGCGTCGCGCTCGGCCGTCGCGGTCGTGTGCTCCTGCGACGGCGCGGTGGCAACGGGTGCCGCCGCGCGTCGGCCGCGTGACCGGGGCGGCGTGCCTCCTCGCTGCGCAGTTCCGCCGGAGATCACGTACGAGGTGGACGCCACGGAGGTCGGCGTGGATTTCTTCCGTCACATGCGCGGCGGGCGCGTGGTGCACGCGGCCTTCCACCCCGCCTCGGCCGAGCCGCTGCTGTGCGTCCTCACCACCGGCGGAACCTTCGCGACCTTCGACGTCGTCAGGTGCGTCGACCCGCCCCGCCGCCCGCGCACACCCGCGTCGCCGCCCCAGGATACAACCCGTGTCACCGCGCCACCGACCCGCGCCCGCCGTCGCCCCGCCGCGCCATGACGCGCCACACCGAACCGCGTCGAGCCGGCCGCGTCCGCGCCCCGCAGGGACCCCGCACGGCCGGCCACGACTGTGTCCATCAGCGACGCCGTGCGGCGCGGGTTCGTCGGGGGGCTGTCTGCGCAGCAGGCCCGCCCGCAGCCCACGTCGTTCGCGCTCGGTACGGGCGCGGGCTGGGCTGCGTTCGCCGCGTACTTCCTCTTCAGCGACGGCGGCGTGTATTGCGTGTCGCCGATCGCCCCCCTCGGGATGATCCTCACGAAGCGGGAGCGCGACGAAATGCGGGAGCGCGTGGACGGGCAGGTGGGCTCGAGCTGGCTGGACGACGTGCTCGAGCCGATGCCGGCGCCGGTGCTGCTGGCGGATGTCGACTCAGGGGCGATGGCGCTGTCAGGCAGGTACAAGGTCGACAGGGCGGGGCGCGCGGCGTGCGTGGCGCAGGGGCCGCTGGAGGCGGCGGAGGGCGAGGGCAGCGACGGGGCGGGGCGGTGGTCGGCGCTGCTGGCCGTGTCGCACAGGGGATGCACTGCGCTGGTGCGGGCGACGGACGGCGGGCGGCTCGCGACGGGGCTGCTCGTCGGCGAGCCGATGCCGGTTTTCCCGCCCCCTGCGGGCCCGGAGCGCGGCGCCGGGGGGCTCACGCGCACGCCGGCCGGCCCCGACTCGGTCAGCATCCTGCCAGTCGACGTGGCGATCGCGCTCGCGCCCGACGACAGCGACGACGACAGCGACGAAGACAGCGACGACGAGCGCTCCGGCGGCGGGGACTGGGGCGAGCGCTGGCCCGCGCTCCTCCTGCCTGACGCGAGCGGGGGTGTTCCGGGGCTCTTCGCGTGCCACGTCGGCGGCGTCCACGCCGTGTCGCTCCCGTGGCTCCAGAAGGTCGCGGACTACGTGAGCGCGGCCGCGGACGGCATCTCCGGCCAGCAGCTGCAGCGCCTCCCGGAGACGAGTGCGACGTACCTGCGGGGGGGCGCGGCAGCGCGGGCCGTCATGGCGGCGACGCACGTGGGCGACAGGACGACGATGGGGTGCGCCGTGCTCTGCCTGGGGCGCGACGGCACGGCGGACCTCGTCCGCCTCGACGAGGAGGCGGGCGGCGGGGACGCCCTCGTGCCTGACAGCGCTGCGGGAGACACCCCCGGCACGCCGCTGATGCCGCCCTCGCCCGCGGCACGCAGCCCAAGGTACGCGGCCGCCCGCGCCGGCCCGTCGAAGAGCCTCCCGTCACCGCAACACCCCCCCGGGACCGCGACGCCCCCCCCCCGCCCCTTTGCACGTGCAGCACGCCCGGGTCGGCGTTCCCGCGCGCAGGCGCGCCGGCGGAGGGCATTCCGCTCGAGGAGACGCTGCTGAGCAGCGAGGCCGAGCGCCGGATCCGGGCCGAGCTCGCCGAGACGTACGATTTCGTGTTTTCCTGGAGGGCGCCAGACACCCCGCGGCAGGCGCCCGCGCAGGACGCGTCGACCACGGCGGGCGCGAACGCGCTCGCGAAGGCGGCGTTCGAGCTCAACGAGTCGCACGTGAAGTTCTGCGAGCTCGCGCACGCGCTGATCGAGGACCGCTCGCAGGCGATGTTGGAGGAGGCGCGCAGGGCGGCGGAACAGGTCGTCGGGCTCCGGAAACGCTACACCGAGCACCTGGACACGCTGGAGGAGTGCGAGCGCCGCCTGCGCCGCGTCAAGGAGCGCGCGAACCGGTCGCAGGGGGACGTTCAGGTGCGGAGTCGCCGCGCTGCGCTGCGGCCTCTGTCGTGCCGCTGCGAGGGCGCTGGCTTGCCGCGTGGGCTCGCGCGCGGCGCTCGTGCTCACGTCCTGCGGTCTCTACGCGCGATGCGGCTCGCAGGAGGTGTTGGCTCAGCTGCGGGGGCGCCCGGTGCCGCTGACGTCAGCGGAGCGCGCCGCGCAGGGCGCGGTGGCGGCGGCGAGGGCGGTCGGGAGCAGCGCGGGCCCGCTGTCGGTGCAGGAGATGCGCCGGGAGGCGACGGAGGCCCGGAAGTGGGCGGCGCAGTGCCTGCACGACGCCCCCCGCCCCCTGCCGTCGCACACCCCCCCCGCGCCGCCGGCAGCCGGCACGCCGCTGCGGCAGCTGCGCTCCGCCGGGCGCATGGCCTCGCTCGGGTCGCCCGTCCAGCGCCGCCCCGGCCCGGCCACCCCCGTCGCCCCCTCAACACTCCTGCCCCACAAAGACGCGGCGCTGCTCCGGGAGACCCAGCAGCTCACCCTCAAGGTCGCGCGAGCGCGGTACGCTCCCGCCCCCCCGTACAGCGCCTCCGCGGCGCAGCGCGGCCGCGGCCTGCGCGTCGCACGCGTTCATGCAGTCCGCTGACGCGCACACGCCTCGGGGCGTTTCTCGGTGCAGGGCCGAGGTCCTGGCGTCGGGGCGCGGCGCGGACGGCGCGCGCGGGTAGTGCGGGACGGCGCGGCGCGGTCCGCGCGGGCACCGCGCGTGGCGCGGTGCGACGTGTCTCGTCTGTTGAGACATCAACCACCTGAATTGTCATCCAGGTGCTTGACGAACGCTCGCACGCTGTTCGCGCGCGAGAGCGCCTGCATGCGCGGCGGACATGCGAGGCCGGCTCCGAGGCGCCTCGCGGCGGGGGCCCGCGGCGAGGACCCCCCGTGAAGGCTGCTGCCGGGGATGATCGATGGCTGTGGCGCGTTGAGGAGCGTGGTCAAACTTGTGCGGGAACGGCGCAGCAGGGCCGCGTGTGGCCTCGGGGCGGCTGCTCGGGGGGGCGCCGTGGGCGTGGCTCGCTGGCTGCCGCGGCGGAGCGGCTGCCGGGGCCGTTGGAGGCGCACACGTGCGGGAGAAGGTGCGAGCTTCAACTGACGAGGCTCTGGGGGGGCGGCCCGTTGAGGGCGTGGGGGCGCGCGGGCGCGCCGCATTCTTGAAATTCTCGTTTCTTAGTATTGTACGAGCACTTCTTCTGCACGTCAGACGGAAAGGAGCACTGCACGACGCGACGAAGCGGAGCCTTCGCGCGACAAGCATTCCAGCCGCGTTCGGTGATGTATGGGCGCCAATAGCTGCGCAATTCGTTGTTGAAGAACTGAACAGTCGAACCTGCCGAACGAAAGCGAGCGAGATCACCGTGTCGAGGTGCGCAGCCCGAAGATCGGTCTCCGTCGCGTTTGTATCGTCGCGACTTCCGGATGGGTGGTCCAGCGACCGCCCCGAAGCGCGCATCGCTCGTTCAGATCACCGAGTATCTGTCGCGCGCGTCGACAGCGCGCGAACGCGCCCCCCCGTCGACGCTGGGCCGCCTCTCGATCCCCGGGTGTGCCTGTCTCGACTCCCGCGATAGGGCGGCCTTGTAGCGGTTCTCGCGGGGACACATGCATCTCACGTTTCTGGAGAGACGCCTGCGGCTGCGTGCCGCGGGTTTGCCGCGCAAGAGGCCCCGCGAGAGCGGATGCCTTGTTCCGCTTGATACATCGGCCTCTCCGCCTCGCAGTGGGCCTCTGCTGCGAGACGATGCCGTCCTCGGGACATAGTTTCGAAGAAAGCTTGCGCACAGAGGGCCGCCTCGGCCGCCGACGCGGGGCCACGCCCCCCCACTGGCCAGGCCGCCCGCTTCGCTTCCGTCGCCCGTGACGGCCCGCCACTCCGCGGCTGCGTCCGTTGTCCGCCCGAACCGTTCTTTCATGAACTCATCCTCCGCAATTCGCGCGTTTCGCCCCGTCCCCACCGCCGCCGTCCCGCGCGAGGCCGCCTCGCACGTTGGCCAGTGACTCACACCCAGCTGGCCCTCCCTCGCGTTCCCGCCGCAGGACGAAACGCAACCACTCGACCCGCAATGTGGTCCATGCATGACACAGACGCCGCGGCGAGCCCCGAGCTCGCCGCCAAAGGACCCCGCCCCCTCTCCGCGTCCCCCGTGGACTGGGACGCCACGCAGGCCCCGCACGGCCCGCGGCGGCCCGCGGCCTCGCGGTCGGGCCACGTCGCGCGCGCGTCCGCGCCCTTCGGGACGCGGCTCGACACCGTGTGCGAGAACGGCATGGTGTTCCACCCGCGTCCGAAGTGTATTAGGCGCCTGGGAAAGCAGCACTCGGCGGTGCTCGACGCGCTCCCGGACGCCGAGACCGACGGCGCCGACCCGATCCTCGCGGACGAGCGCCCCTCCGCGGTCACCGACAACTCCGCGGAGACGCCGGCGTCGTGCGTGATCATCTCGGGTGCTGTCGTGCCGGTGCCGCCGTCCGGCGCGCTGGACGCCACCTGGCTGTCGCAGGCGCTCGCCGCCAAGGAGAAGGTCTCGCTGTGCGTGCGCACGTCGCGGGGCGAGGCCGGCTGCACGGACGGGCTCGGGCTACCGGTGACGCCCATCACGCCGTGGCCGCTCGAGCTGCACACGGTGCTGGCGTCCGTCGGGGACCGCACCTCGCAGGCGAGCGGCGACGACGCGCACGAGGCGGTGGCGCCGCGCCGGCGCTCGAGCTTGAAGGTCGCGGACGTGTCCCTGCGCCCGCGCCGCACGTTTGTGGCCATCGGGGGGTGCAGCATCCCGGTGAGCAGCGACGGCATGGTCCCGGTGATGATGGGCAGCCGGAACAGCGACTTCCAGTGCGGGCGCGGCAACAGCGGCGACGGCGGCGAGGACGGCGCCGCCACGCGCGCGCGCCTGCGTGTCGCGCACTCGCACTCGCACCTCGGGTCGCTCAGCGAGGGCGTGGAGAGCCACCCGGGGCTGCCCGAGGGGTTCCCGCGCGTCGGCCTGACCGAGAACGCCGGGGACGCCAAGGGTGCACCGCGCATGTCGGGCGAGAGCGGCGCTACGAACAGCGTGGCATGCTCGCGCCTCAAGCGCGACCACGCGTCCACGCGGCGCTACGAGCTCTTCCGGTCGCAGACCACGGACAGCGGCAACACGCAGTCCGCGACCGAGCCCTTCCGGCGCATGCCGCGCAGCATGGAGGTCGTCCGCAACCGGTCCACCCTCGAGGTGGACGCGCCGCGCGAGACCATGGCCCACGCCGCCCGCGCCGACGCGCGCTCGAGCCGGATGATGGAGCGCGTGCACCCCGTGGGCGTCGCCGACGTGCCCGAGCCCCGCAGGCGCTTCGGCTGCTTCTGTTTCTGAGGACCCAACAAGTCGCCCTGGGACTCTGGCGCGGCCGCGCGCGCGTGCGCCGTCCAGGTGCCGCGCCCCGGCATTGCCCCCCTCCCTACTTGCACTTTCGTCCCCCCGGACCCCGAGTTCTGACCCCCCCAGACACCTGCCTGACTGGGAAGGGGACCCGTTGCCTTTCGCTCGTTCACTGAGCGACCCCCCCCCACCACCGACCCCTCCCGCCCTTCCCCCCCCGCCCTCTGCTTTGCACCTGCCATCGCCCGTGGCCCGCGCACAGTGCCTCGCCAGAACTGTGCCGGGCATGCGCATCGCCTCACGGCCCGAAACTCTGTCAACTCTCGCACCCCTGGGCATCTGTCCGAAAGATCCTTGTGTGGAGCACGACACACACTCGCGCGTACTACCAAGACGTACTTTAACGGCGCCCCCGTTCACTCCCCCCCCCCCTCCCTAGCATGCCATCCAAGGCTGAGCAACGCCAGCAGATCGTTGCCAGCCCGACTGACACTCGTACCGCTCATGGCGCTCCCAGACAACTTCCCGGAGCCACAAACAACACAGCTCGCGTACTATGGCGTGTCCGCCCAGGACTGCCGAGCACGAGGCCTATGTCACCCCAGGCACACGCCAGCGCCGCACGCCCGGCCAGCCGCACTCATCGAGGCTGCACTGACACCTTCCACGTGCACGCCACCGATCAATCAACTAATACACCTCGGCGGCCAACTGCGCCCCCCCCCCCGGTTCCTGCACATTTGCCTGCCGCCAGCTGCACTCCCGAGTCGCGGCGAGCTGCACTCCACGCAGCGTGACATCGTCGCCCCGACGCATGTGCGCGCCCCTGACGCCCCCCCGCCGCGGCGACGCATGACGTCACCTTGACAACCGTGCCTCGTGCATCACATCACCACCCCATTGCCAAATAGCTCCACTGTCACGCAGCATTCCCCGTCCATTCCCTGCACCTTGACCCATCACCGAGCTGATCTGAACTCACAACCCGTCACTTCATTCGACGGTCACTTATATCACGTATAGCACGCCACTCGACCTGCGATTCGTATCAGATGCGTGCTACTACTGCGACACGCCGCGCCGAGCGCGCGCCGCCCGGCAACCCGCGTCCTGGCTGCGGCCCCGGCGCTCGTTTCTCTCATTTCTTCCTCAGTCGTCTCCACTTTTCGCCAGTTCCCCCCCCCCTGTCAGCGTGATGGGCCCGACACCCGACACACCGCACCACGCAGTGCTAAGCCGCGCCTGGCCCCAGCCACACGCATCTTTCCGCCCATAGCACACACCACCTCCACACACTCCGTGGTCGCGACACACGCGTCCCACCCCTTTCACTCAACCAAGTACCGTATTGCTCCTCACTGCGAGCAGCCGTGCGCGACGCGTGGTCGTTTGCTCCCCTCAGGGGGCTCTCACCCGACGCGCGCGCGCAGTGCGACTGCTTCCCCGGCGCTGTCGCGCGGGGTCAGTCCGCGGCCACTTGACACCACCATTACTAACACCGCCACCACCGCCTCAAGGCCGCTCGCTCAAGGCCGCTCGCTCTCAGCACGAGAGAAAGATAGCACGCCTCGACCGAACACCCCCGCAAGCCCACTGCGGACGTAGCAGCTCCACCGCCCGTTCCCGCCGGCTCGCGCAACGACCCTTGCGCACACGGCCGCGGCTGCCTCATTGCGAGGCGCCGCGAGGTGCTAGCCCCCCCCGCGTCCGGGCACCTGACCCAACAATGATAACCACTCCGTAGTGACTTCTACGCGCAAATATCTATAGTACGACTGCGACCGCATGCACCTTACACATCCGAACCGGAGCCCCGCCCACCCCAGCCCCCCTCTCATCAACAGCAACGCCTCTGCGAGGCCCCATGCGGGCCACGCCTGCGGCGAGTGTGACCCTTGCGCCCCAGGCGCCAAAACCCCTCCGCCGCCGCCGCTCCCTGTGCCGTGCTGTCGCCGCCACGTCTCCGCGCCCCGCGCGGCCACAAAGACCTTCCTTGCGCCCCCTGCCCCGCTGCTAGCAAGGACACGCACGTGGCGAAACTCCAGCGCGCGTTCCCGGCAGACGCCGCGCGTTGTCTTGCCCACCACGTGTGACGCACCCCGCGCGATCACGTGCGCGGCTTCGCCTGCGCGGCGCGGGCCGCCAGCGCCCCCCGCGACGTCTTGCAGGGAACGCGCGCGGGAGCTCATAGGTCAGCGAATCACACGCGAACCACGAACCACATGTGTGTTGCCTACGAACACCGGGAGGACTGGTCCGACACATCAAGTGCGGTCATGGCGGGAAGCAGCTTTGCCTCCGGTGCGGACGCCGCCGTGGCGCGCGGCGTGGGCCTCGGGGCGGCGCCGCGGCGCGCGTCGGCCAGACAGACTGACCGACGCGTTGACTACTACTACTGGCCGGTGTGGACAGGTCGTGGAGCGGGGCGGCTGTGGGGCGGCGCCGCGGCGACGAGGCGTCACAACTTGCTGCAAATAGAAAGTGCGCGCACCTCAGACGCACTACGCCTCGCAACCACATCCAGCGAGGCCGGTGGCATGCGCGCTTTGCCGCGCGTCATCGTCTCCTGCGAAGCCGCGGCGCGGTAACGCCCCTGAGCTTCATGCTGCGAAGCCTGCTTTGCTTTAGAGATACCGACATGGGAACGGCGGCGTCGAGGTCGACGACGCAGGGCGCGGACAGCGCGGCGTCCGAGTCCAGGGTCAAGACAGTAAGCGGCTGGGCGCCCCCCGGGGACAGCGCGAACGACCTCCGCAGCCTTGCCGACATCTGGACCTTCGACGTGTCCGCCGGGCGGGAACAGAAGCCCGCGGGGCGCCGCGGACCGCGCGCGCGGAGCAAGGACCAGGAGCCTGCTGCCCCCCGGCTCCTCTTCGGGTGCCTCATGCGGCCGGGGATCGTCGCGGAGCCCCACGACGACGCCCTCCGCCCGAAGGACAGCGCGGCGACGCGAAACTCGCAGGCACGCCCGCACGCGCCCGCCACGCACCCTCTCGCTCGACACTTAGCCAGCGCAGTCACGCCCCGCGAGGCGTCGCCGCGCGCCGCCGCGTTCGCGCGCCCGCCGCGCCCCCGAGCTCCCCCGACCACAGGCCGCCCCCCGCGCGCCGCGAGCCGCTCCCTCCGCGCCCGCGCGCGGCGCCACGGGACCTGGCTAACGTGGGTGCACAACTGCCCAAACCGGTGCAGGTGAGCGCGGCGCTGCTGCTTCGTCGGGAGCGCGCGCACTCCTCGTTCAACCTAGGCAGCGTCTTCTGCCACTCGGGCAGCCAGGGGCACGCGCTCACGCTCCCGATGGTCACGGACGCGTGCCCGATGGAGATGCGCACGTCCGAGTGGTCGCTGCACCGCTTCACCGTGCTCAAGGCGCTCAGCGTGAGCGAGCACTCGAAGGTCTACCTCACCTCGGACATCTACAGCGGCCTCCAGGCGCGCGCCCCGCCCCGCCCGCCCCGCGCGCGCGGCTAACGACCTTGCCCGAACCTCCCACGGCGCGCGCCCGCGGTTTCCCGCCCGACCGCGCCCGCCCGCGTCCGCCGCGCAGGTCGCCATCAAGGTCGTCGACTACAGCACCCTCGACGACGCCGGAAAGGTCAACCTCGAGCGCGAAATCCGCCTCCACTCGGCGCTCAAGCACCCCAACGTTCTGGCCATGTACGGCGCCTTCCGCGTCGACCACTTCCTGCTCATCCTGCAGGAGGTCGCGCACAAGGACCTCTCCTCCGTCCTCGAGGGCATGCCGCTCGACGAGTCGGTCATCGTGCGCCGCGTCCTCTTCCCCCTCCTCCTCGCCCTCGAGTACGTCCACGGCGTCGGCATCATCCACCGCGACATCAAGCTCGAGAACGTCGCCTTCTCCGCGACCGGCCAGCTCAAGCTCATGAACTTCGGCTTCTGCATCGACGCCGTCGGGGAGCGCCCCGTGTCCCGCCTGGGCACGCTCGAGTACATGGCGCCGGAGCTCGTGTGGCCGGGGGACCTCGCCGAGGAGGAGCCGGAGGAGCGCGGCGCCCCCGGGTCCCACGACCGCGACAACGTGCGCGCCCGCGCCGCCCCGCGCCGCCCCGCCGCCGCCCGCGCGGCGTTGCCGTGCCCGCCACGCCTGCGCCCGCGCCCGCGCCCGACGCCCGCGTATCCCGCGCCGCGCCGCCCGCCGCAGTTCGACGAGAGTAAGGGCAACCTGCACACGCGGCAGTACCGCACGTCGGTCGACATCTGGGCGCTGGGCGTGGTGCTGTACGAGCTTCTGGTGCGCCGCAAGCCGTTCGAGCGCGAGTCGCGCGGGGAGCTGGCGCGCGCGATCATGGCCGGGGAGTGCACGATCCCGCCGTGGCTCGGCGCCCACGCGCGCGCGTTCCTGTCCGCGTGCCTCTCCGTGGAGCCCTCGCAGCGGCCGACGGCGTCGGCGCTGCTCACGTGCGGGCTCATGTCGGCGCACCTCGAGCGCGACCACCTCGAGGTCGCCGCGCACACGAACGGCGCGCACCGCGGCCGCCGGCACTCGGTCTTCTCGGTCGTCGGCGACAGGATGGTCGAGGTCCGCGGGCACAACAGCGTCACCACGCCGCTCTCGTCGCGGCGGCCGTCGCGGGACAGCTCGCGGCCCGTCGTCGGACGCATCGGGTCGTCCGCGCGCATCTCGGGCGCGCTCGGCGCGGGGTTCCCGGCGTGCGCCGCCGCGCCGGCGACAGACGGCGTCTTGGGCCCCGGGCGCGACTCGAAAGCCCACACGCGGTCGGTCAAGACCCAGAGCCTCACCGGCGAGCGCCGGCTGTCCGCGGAGGCGCAGCGGCAGACGTCCTTCATGGACGACACGTGCGCGAGCGCGCTCATGGCCCTCCAGGACCGCTACCTCCACACGATCGCCTCGGCCGACGCAGCCATGATGCAGGCCCAGCGGGTGATCTGGCAACAGCAGCGCGTGATCCAGCAGCCGCAGGGGCGGTAGGCCCGCCCCGGGCGACAGCATGGCCCCGCCAGCATGGCCCCGCGCAGCATGTCCCGTTGCCCGCTCGGTCGCCAACCCCCCGCCCCTTCCCGCCCCCCCGGACCGAAGTTGATGCCGACCGCGACTTGCCCTCGGACTCTCCTCCTCCTATGCCGCCTGCTCCAGCTGCCGCGCGGCCGCAGCCCTCGGAGCCCCTGGCACCTACCCGCCTCCCACCGTCCAAGTCCACCCCCCCTGCTGGTACACTAAATTACCGCCCCCACGACACCTGCGATGATGTAGCAGACACGGACCCCCTCGGACCACACCTCTTCGGTGGGCCACACCACCCCAATCGTGTCAGCACCAGCGCAATGTTCAAACCGAACCCCCACCACCTCCACCTCCACCACCACCCCTGCGTGCCTTCCACCCCGGATGACAACCTGCTTGTACTCGACTCATGCGTGCTGCCTGACACAGGCTCCACCCCCTTCTGTAGCCCTGAGCACCGTATTCGCTCCCACCGCCAACACCCCCTGAAAACGCGCCTGGCAGGGCAGGCCAGGCAGCTCGGCGTCCCCGCGCCGATGTATCTCCGCCCGAGGCCCTACGCTTACCGGCGTCTCTCGACGCCCCACCACGTCGCCCCCGCACCCCACGTGGGCCGACGACTACCCACGCTCTCCCGCCGACTCGCCCCCTCTAAATGCCGCGCCGGTTGCGCGGCCGGAGCGTACGCTCCCTCGTGCAAAGCCGGGAGTATCTACAGGAAGGTTCCCACCTCCGGAGCATTTCGATGAGAAGTATCCCCCCCCACCCAACCCCACCCCACCCCCCACGGCCCAGTGCCTAGTGTCCAGCCAACAACGCAACACGCACCCAGCGCCCTCACACTCCCCCGTACACCCCGCCCTGCCCCCCCCCTCAGACCTTTGTACTCGCAGTTCTGCACAGCCGCACCCGCGGCGACCTTGTCGTAGTAGATGCCACACGACTCTGTGGCGTTCTCGGAACCAACGATGCCCCCCCTCTATAGCCCCGGGGCTCCCCGGGGTCGTGGCCGCGGCCGCCCGCGCGCCGCGCCGGCCTGCCTCGCCGTCTGCGTGTTGCAGGCGGCGGTGCGGCGGGCGTGGCGCGCGGGGGAGGGGGGGTTTGTACCGCACATGCATGCCCCTCGCCTGCTTATGACATTGAATGTTCCACACCGGCTCTTGCTGCCAGGCCCCCGCCTGGCCCCGTGATCTGCAATGACCTTGAAGCAAGCTCCGACGCAGTGCGCTGCCGCTCGACACACCGCCGCCAGATGGCGCTCACGTACGGCGCAATAGCTATGCGACGTTACCGTACCCTGGCGGGCACCCTGTGACGATGCGCGCTCCATCGACCCGACGAGAACGCTCAGTGTCACCGCCGCCGCGACAGCTCCGTCTGCTCCCACGTCGCGCTTGTGGGTCAGCGAAGTACAATAGGTCAGCGAATGAAAAACGAAAAACAAAAGGCACAATCCAGCGAATTACCTTGTAGGTCAGCGAACTACAACACGAGCGTAGAAAGCAACACATCGCCGGGCCTCCCACGCTCGCCGTGCTCCTTCCGCGCTTCGCGCGCCACCAGCACGCCGCGCGCGGACGCATCGGCACCATGCCGTCGACCTGAGTCATCTATTCCCTCTGTCGGTCATCCGTCACCTGTACACACCCCTCCATCTCGCGCACGGGCGCCGGTCCGTCACACGCGCGCGCCCGCACGCAGCGCCTACTCGATCTTCGTCGGCGGCGTCGGCAGCGTCTGGTATATCGGCAGCGCTGCTGACCCAGGCAGCTTCAGGTACAGCGCCAACACATTGTCCCACTTGCGCGGGATCTTCTCGCACGCCTGCTCCACCACCGCCGCGACGTTCTCCACCGCCTGCGCCACGCATCGGGTCGAAGGCGCGATGAACGCCGCGCGCCGCGCATCGCAGGCGTACTGCCCAGCGCAACCTGCCCCCATCGACCCGTTGCGCCTGATGCGCTGTGTCAGGAATCGCGTCCAGCGTGCTATTTGTACGTCACCGAGTACGCGGCAGCGCCGCGCACGCGCAGGGTTCGGTTCGAAGGGGGGGGGGGAGTGTCACCTCGTCGACGCCGTCCTTGACCCTCGCGACCCGCACGCTCAAGCACGTCCCCTGCGACAGGTACAGGTACGTCGCCCCGAGCGCCTTGCGCACCTGCGCGCCCCAGTTCGCCCCGCGCAGGTCCACAGGCACCGGCTGCCTCTTCTTTCTGAAAAAGGTCTTTCCGAGCAGCTTCGGCAGGGACGGCAGGACGCGCTCGTCGGCGAGGAACACCTCGTACGACGCGCACAGCTTCCGCTTCGCCTCGAACGACTCGTACTTGGTCCGCAGCTTAGACAGCCCTATAATCTTGGTGATCCCCGTCCCCTGCATCTGCGCGTGGAGCTCCTTCGCGAGCGCGTGCCCCTCGCCCTTGTGGTCCTTGACGATCAGACACACCTCGCAGCCCCCGACCTCGTACAGCGGGTGCGGCACCGGCAGCCTGCGCGCCCCAACAGACGCACACGCGAGGGAGGTGTGTGCGGTCGCTCCCGAGCGCTCGCGGCGCGCGGCGCGGCGGTCGGCGCGCGCGCGAGGTCCCTGCGCACGCACCTCACGGGCTTGTCCTTCCGCGGCGTCACCGGCATCTTCTGCAGGGCGATCTGAAGAGACATAAAGTCGTCCCCGTCCGGGAGGAGCTCGCTGCCCTCGTCCTGGAGCTTCCCCGCGTACTTCTTCAGCGCCACCACCGCCTTGCGCACCTGCGCCGCGCGTGCGAGCCGCTCGCGTGTCGGTGCGGCCGCGCATCACTGCCGCGATCGCGGGTGGGGGGGTGCAGGGGGCGTTGCGTGCTCCGGGAGGGGGTGTGTCGCGCCGAGGCGCGCGGCCGGACGTACGCGGGTGCGGCGCGTGTGTTGCGCGGCGCTCTGGCCTCGCGCGGCGTCCCGCCGCCGCCGGCACGGGCTTGCACAGCAGCGGCTTGGGCTGGGCGCCCCCGCGGGCCGCGTGGCGGATCGGCGCGGCGCTCTCCGCGCGAATTGCGATGTTCATGCATATGTGGATACGGCTGTCGCTCGCAAGCGGGGTATCGCGGCCCGCAGTGCGCGTGCGCGCCGTTGCGGCCTGCGCTGCCAATGCAGCGGAGCTTGCCTGCGCGAGGTCTATTTCCGGCTTCGTCTTCTTCCCCATCTATGCGAGTGACAGACTTCCGGCAGCTCCTACGGCGCGTTTCGCGCGGATGTGCCACGGCGGCCGGCCGGGCAGCGCTGGTGCTGCTTGGGCGGGCAGGACGTGCGCAGTGCGGGCACCAGGACAATGCAACGCCCAAGCTGGAGGCTCCGTCGATCCCGAGCTTCTTCGGCGCGCGCTCGCCACCGCCCGCCGTCGTCGTCGGACGTACGGAGGGGGGAGAGGTGTCCCGTGCTGAGCGAATGTTGCGCCGCGAGCCGTGGCCGCGCCCGCGAAGCCGCGCGCGGCACTCGCGAGGACGCAGCCGCGTCGAGAGCGATTGCGGGAGCCTCGCAGACCCTGAGTCAGGCCACCGTTGACGGACACACGAGGAGAAGGCTCCGTAGCACTGCTGACTAAAAGGACCTCCTTCAGGGGCACCAAGGCCCGGCCGCGCGCGCGCTGCATGCATCTGTCTACGGTTACCGCGCTGAGAGGCCATGGCGGACGATTTTGAGAGGCTACTGCAGAGTGTGGTGGCAGAGGAGGCTGCTCAGGCAAACGGGGCCACGACGTCCCAGGTGCGCGGCCACGCCGGCGCCCGGGAGAGGTTGATGCCACTGGGTGCGGTCGCATGGGTCAGGAGGAGCCCGGCGCTCTCTCATCGCGCGGACGGGACGGCTTTGGGTGTGGGAGTGGTTGGAGTGAGCCCGTTCCGACCGCACCGTGGTCTCCACGCTCTTTGCGCCCCCGCGCAGCGTCCTCGCCGCCCATTCCGTGCACGAGCTGGATCCGAATTGCTATTTCAAGGCCACGCGGGGGCGCACCGCGAAGGCATCCTGGGGCTAGTGTCCTCCACGTTCCGCCGCATGTGCGCCATATCGCGCTCGTTTCCGCGGTCTCACAGCGTCTCCTTGTGCGTGCGCGATCGCAGGGCGTCTACCTTGATCCCAACGCGCAGCAGAATGCGTGGTTCTCCGCTCCGGGGGTCGGCGCACAGCAGCAGCAAATGCCGGTCGCCGACGGCTCTTCCGGCGGAGCGCCGCCGCACACCGACGGCAACACCAGAGGATCGGCTGGCACCGCCGCGACCAGAGGGTGATTCCCCCCACGCGCCCCGAACACCCCCCTCAATACACCCTTCTTCCCACGACAGCATCGCTCGGCACGCCGCACGCTTCCAGTCGCCCGCGGGCGGGACCCACCGATACCGCCATTCGCCGTCCTGAGCACCGCCCAACGCGCCCCACGACCCGCCCCACCGCCGCCAATCACGCCCTTTCTGTGTGGGCCGGGCTTGCAGGCGCGGACGCGGGCGCGGACGCGCCCGCAGCCGCTCGCGGGGCAAAGCCGCCGACGCCGGCGACAGCTCGGCGTCCAGCGGCGACGAGGCCGGCGGCAAGGGGTCCCGCAAGCGCACCGAGCGGGCACGCATCGCCAACCGCGAGGCGCAGGCGCGGTACCAGCGCCGCCGGAAGGAGAAATTCGCCGAGCTCGAGGGCGCCGTCCAGGTACCGCCACGCCACGCCACGCCTCCACGCCCGCTCGCACACCCCCGTCACGCCGCAGCACCACCACCACGTGCGGCTCGAACACTGTCCAGCCGCGACCTCCCGCCGAGCCGCCGCCCGTCCGTCCGCGCGCTCGCGCAGGAGCTGACGGGGCGGCTGAAGCAGCTGGAGGCGCTGGAGTCGGAGATGGAGCGCGTGCAGGGCGAGCGGCGGGAGCTTGAAATGCTTGTGCGCGTCAAGGAGGCGCGGGTGGATCGGCTGAAGATGGAGAAGAACATCGAGCACGCCATGTGGCTCGGGCGCATGCCGCAGTCGCTGCAGCAGGTCATGGAGCAGCTGCATCTGGACCTCCTGCGCGTCCCGGGGGGCCTGCAGGCCGCGATGCGGGTGGTCGCGGAGGCGGCGCCGGGCGCGGAGTCCGCTGCGCTCGCGACGCACCCCGAGGAGGGCAACACCCCCGGGAGCCTGTCCGAGGAGCCCGATCTGCCGTGGGTGGCGGGGGGCAAGGGCGACGGGGGCTACGGGCACGGCGCGCGCGTGGCGGCGGCGTCGTCGGGCGGCGCGGGGCCCAGCACGGACGGCAGCGTCCCGGCGCACGCCGAGGCCGGGTCGCCCAGCGCGCTGCCCGTGTGGACGCAGCTCGGTCTGGCGCCGCCCGACCCCATGTTTTTCGGGGCGTACGAGACGCCGGAGACGGGCCCGATCCCCGCGAGCCTCGCGGCGCGGTTCAAGCGGCTGGTGGCGCTCCAGAAGTTCGAGTTCGAGGCGTTCTGGGCGCGCGAGAGGCTCGACGGCGCGACCGCGCCCGGCGACACGCTGCCGCCCGCGCTGCTGGAGGAGATCGAGCGGCGGATGAAGGGGATCGTGCTGGTGGCGATGATGACGACGAAGACGAGCGTCGTCCCGCGCGTGGTGGCGCGGGAGCACCTGCTGGACCTCCGGGAGGTGTTTCCAGAGGAGTACTCCCGGCAGTCCCCCCGGTCGGCGTGGCGCGACGTGATCCAGACGATCAACCTGAGCGGGTGCCAGGTCAAGGCGGTCCGCCTGGGCCTCGAGGCGTACCGCGAGCGCAAGGGCCGCCTCGCGAAAGCGCGGCAAGACAAGAGCATGCAACTCATCCGCACGCTGGTCGCGCCGCCGCCGGGGGGCGCGGGGGACGCGTTCGTGGACAAGGAGAAGTGGTCCGGCGAGCTGCAGCTGCTGCTGAAGAGCCTCCAGGCCCTCGACTTGGTGCGTTACGAACGCAAACACACGCGCGCAGCGCGTGCCTCTTGCTCCGCGTGCCGTTGCTTCGCTGGTCGTCGCGCGCGTCGCTGAGCGACGCGCACACCCGTTCTGACGCGCGGCGTGCGTGCGCGTGCGGGTCGCGGTGCAGGAGGGTCTGCAGCCGCTGTCGGACCTGGCGCTGCTGATTTATACCGAGGTGCTAAAGCCGTTCCAGGCCGCGCTGGTGGTGCACATGGCGAGCCCGCAGTTCCACGACGTCGTCGGGTTCGCCAGCGCGATCGTCGCCGTCCGCGGCCACACGGAATGCGACCCCCTCGCGCCTTCCTGACACGTTGCGTGGGGTATGACACCCCCCCTTTTCTCGACCCGTTGCACGTCCGGCGCGGCACGCTCGTCGCGCCGGCGTGGATCGCGCCTTGCCGTCCGATCCTGCGCGCACCATCCTCGGACGGGAGGTGCTGCGTCAGGCGCAGTGCACGCGAGCAGCCTGCTCGCACGGCGTTTGCCACCATAGCAACAGCAACGACTACGCAAGCACCTGCATTTGTCGCACGGGACGACGCACGGCGACTGCTGTGCCCACCGCACAACGTGCGCGTCCTCGAACGCCAGCGAGGCTCGTTGCTGTTCTTGCACTAACCAACCGAGCACTGGCAGCTGGGTGCCCGCAGTGCGTGTAATGAACTACCAGTACGGTTGACGTGCCCACTGGAGGTCACAGTGACCAAGAAAGGGGCGGCCGAGCGCTTTCGCTGCGACGGCAGTGGAGGGCCCGCATGTCACCGCCAGCGTCGCGGCCCCACCCCGCCCTCCTCCGCTCAGCGACAGCAACAGCCAAGCCCCAGCCCACACATAAACAACGCCACTTCCCGCCCTCCCAGAGCCCCAAGCCACCACCAATCTACCACATCGCACAGCAACCCCCCCCCTGACGCGACAATCGACCCCCCCTCGCCCCCGCGCGCTCACACGCCGCTCACAGCCCGGACTTGACCGGCGCCCCGCCCTTGAGGAACTTGCTCACGCTCTTCCCGATGTTGTCGAACACGTTGTCCGACATCTCCTCGAAGCCGTCCTTGTCGGGCATGACCTTGATGCCCTTGGGCACGTACCACTCCGCGGGGTTCTCCTTGTCCCGGATCTTGTACCCGAACTCGAGCTCCTTGGCGGCCTTCAGCATGGGGTACTGCCGGCGCACCTGTCCGCACACGCTGTTGTAGTCCTTGTACAGCGCCTGCGCGAGGTTCTTCGTCAGCGTGTCCTTGTACAGCTTCTGCCCGAGGTCGCTCTCCTGCGACTTGACCAGCATGTTGGCCGCCTGCGACGCACGGGCACCGCGGGGCGCGTCATGCGCGCACGCACCCTCGCGCGAGCCGCGGCGGGCGCAGGCGGGCGGCGCGGGGCGGTGGGGGCGTCGCGAGGCGCGGGGGACGTACCGCGCCGCCCTTGATGATCGTGAGCGGCGCCCAGGACGGGAGCTTCTTCGAGCGCACGAAGATGACGAACTCCGCGTTGTTGGGGTCCACGGGGGGCACGGGGATCTGGGGCTGCCCGCGCGGGGCGCCGCCGCCCCTCATGCGGGTCTTCCCCTTGGCCTCGACCACCACGGAGCGGCGCGCCTGCGGGCGTGCGTCGGCGCGGGCGCGGTTGGGCCTGGCAGGAAGGGGGGGCGGTGGGGCGCGGTGCGTGGCCGTGGCGGTGGCGTACCTGGGCGCAGCGGGCCCTGGGAGCCACCATGGGCTGCGCGGGCGTGCCGGTGAAGGTCGAGCGCCTGCACGTACGGCGAGCGGGGGGCTTAGCTCGCGAGATGAGCCAGTGCACGCCGCGGCAGCGCACCGGCGTGTGCGGGGGCGCTGGCCGCCGATGCGTGGCGCCACGGGCTCGACGCAGGACGGAACGCGAAATCGCGCGCGTTTCCAGGCCCCCACGCGACGCGCACGCGGAGCCGCAGCGCGCTAGGCCCCCGGTGGCCAAGCACGCTCGAGGGCTGCCGCAGAGCAGCACGGGGCGCGATGAGAGCGCGCGCGTGCCCCAGCGGGCAGCCACGGGGGTCTGTAGGCCGTCGGACAGCGAGACGGGCTGCGTGGGGGCCGCGGGGCCGCGGAAACGGGCCCCCTAGAGGGAACATACAGGGAGCCGATTGTAGCCTGGAAGGGTCGCGTCGGCGCTCCGCGCGGGCGCGGTGGGGGCGTTTGGCGCGGCGGCGCGCGTTCGTGTAAATCGAGGCCGCGGCGGGGCAATGCGTGAGGTCTGGGCGGGGCGCGCGCGCGCTACCGCGCGCCTGGCATCGTTGGGGGTGCCTACCTGAGCGCGCCGGCCTGGCAGGCGGGGGCGAAGGTCGTCGCGGATGCCACGCTCATGATGACTGACTGGTCTGCTGCGGCCGCGGCGCGCGCAGGGCATCACATGAGCCCCGGCCGCGCCACGCGGCAGGGCCCCCCCTGTCGTCCTGTGCTGGACGTTGCAGCGAGTGCGGGCTTCGTTGCCGGTGGGGGCCGCCGCGCGGCGCCGTCCGTGGCCAGCTGTCGTTGGGGTCGTTCTGATTTCAGAGGCCGCCATGGCGATGCTCCGGAACCTGGGGTACGCCCTGCGCGAGACGGCGTTGATGCTCGACCGGCTCGGGTCGCGGTTGACGGGGTCGTGGGCGTTCCGGGAGGAGCTGAACCGGCACCGAACGCTGATGTCACTTAAGGACAAGGTCCCCGCGATCGCGTCGGACACCTTCGTCGCCCCGAGCGCCGCGGTGATCGGGGACGTCAAGGCGAGCACTGCCCCGTCGCCAACGACGCGCGCCTCGCGCTGCCACGCCGCCAGATCCACGCCGCACCGCCGCACGGCCAGCGGCTCGCGCGGCCTGCGTCGCCGCTCCCGCGCTGACACCGCAGCAAACGAGTGCTACAGCCCGGAAAGGCGCCCCACGCCGCAGCCGCGCGCCCCCGCGCGCTCCGACCGCTCGCCACGCCACGGCGCGCATGTCCCGCCCAGCCCCGGTCGCACCCCGCCGCTGTTTCGCGCGCCCGCGCGTCCAACGAGCTGAGAGCGGGACCCAGCCCAGCTCCCAGCACGCCCGCACCGCCGCGCCGCACCCCGCACCGCCGCGCCGCACCCCGCACAACACAGCGAGCCAACACACCATCCCCCTCGCCCGCGCAAACCCGCAACTCTCCCCTCCCCAGCGCCCCCTCCCCAGTTTCACCTCAGCAGCACTCTCCCGGCCACCCACGCGCCACCGCGGCCCGCCCTCCGCCCCGCACGCACCCCGCCGCCTCCCTGCCCCCCTCTCCCGCCCACCCGCCCCGCCCCCGCCCCGCTCCCGCCCCGCAGATCGGCCCGGGCGCGTCCGTGTGGTACGGCGCAGTGGTGCGCGGGGACGCCGGCGCCGTCACGATCGGCGAGAGCACGAACGTCCAGGACGGCGCAATCCTCCACCTCTCGCCCGGCACGACCCCGGGCGCCGCCCCGGGCCTCTCCGTCGGCGCCCGCGTCACGATCGGCCACGGCGCCGCCGTGCAGTCGTCCACGATCGGCGACGAGGCCATCATCGGGATGGGCGCCGTCATCGAGGAGGGCTGCACCGTCTCCACGCACTCGATCCTCGCCGCCGGCAGCGTGCTGTCCGCCGGCACCACCGTGCCCACCGGTCAGATCTGGGCCGGGAACCCCGCGCGGTACCTGCGCGACCTCACGCAGCAGGAGGTGGCGTTCATCAAGGCCGCGGCGTCGAACTACAGGTGCGCCGGGCCGCCACCGCCCCGCGCAGCGAACACACAGGCGCACACGCACTCACCGCGCGCCCGCCCGCCGGCTTCGTGCCCCGCAGCGCGCTGGCCAAGCCGCACATGGACGAGGCGTCGAAGACGTTCGAGGAGGTGGAGCGCGACAAGGCGGCGCGCAACGAGAAGCTGCGCGCGAACGTGTCGACGTTCCCTATGAACCCGAATTTCGACGACCCGTCGCACAGCTGGGGCAGCGACATCGCGCGCGCGGCGGAGGGCCGCGCAGGAGGAGATCGAGCTGATGGGCGGCACCAAGGCGTGAGCGCTGGCGCCCCGGACTTGGAGGTCGAGGGGGGGGACTGTTTGAGTTCGAGGGGGGTGTGAGAGAGACTCGCGAAGCCTGGAGAGCGGGCGCGGAGCCAGGGATTGGGTGGGTGGACGGGCGGGGCAGTGTGGGGCGCTCATAGTGGTCGTGCGAAGGGCTGTGCGCGGCGCGATGGGTGGCAACAAAACGCGGGGCGGTCGGTTCTGGCACTGCCAGGCAGCTGCCGTGCGCTGGCTGCAGGTGAGCGCGCAGACGCGGCGTGGATTTACCGCCGGCGGCGCGGGGGAGCGGAGCCGTTCCGCACGGGCCGTGCGCGTCGCTAGGTGGTGTTTGGAGGGGGGTGCATGGAAGCGAAAAAGCAGCGGCGGTGCGGGCTGAGCGCGCGCTCCGAAACGCAGCTCATCTACGCAGTGGATTACAGCGAGGCGCGCGCGCGGGCGCTGTCGCGCGGTTCCGGGGCGCTAGAGCCCGCGAGAGAGCGCTGCGCGCAGCACCGGCCCCGTGACTGCGTCCACGGCCGCGTTCCAGGCGCGCACGGCGAGGGTGCGCTCATATGGCCCGACCAGGGGCAGTTCCTCCTGCGCGGGCGTCACACACGGCGCGGGGGAGGCTGCTTGGTGCCTCTCAGGGCACCGCACGCGCGCGACCCGCTGCGTGCACGGCCCCCCGGTGCGATCCGCGCGGCCGCTTACACAGACCGCGGTGAGGGCGCGGGCGCGATCAGATCGAGTCAGACATCGTCAGGTTTCTCTCAGAGGGACGGAACCCCTGCAGGAACAGCGCAGGTGCCCGCGGTGCCGCGCCCCGGCATCCTGCGGGCCCGCCGTTCGCCGGAGAGGTAGCTCACCTCGGCCTCGAGCTCCCTGCGCGGCGGCGGCGCTGCGGGCAGCGCGTCCGCGGTGCGCGCCGTGGACGCCCAGAGCTCCCGGTAGGTCGACGTGGTCAGCACCGTCCCGGCGCCCACACCGGCCAGACCGGCCCAGGCCCGCGTCGGCAGCGACATGCTCATCGTGTGGTCCCACCCGCGGCCCCAGCTGCCGGACCACGGCGCCGTCGACGCCGCTGAGCGCGTCTCGTGACCTGTGCCTGGGTTGTGGTCCGCCCTCGCGGAGATGGCAAGGCACAACGCGTGGCCTGTGCGCCGCGAGCGCTCGGCGGCTGTGGTGCGGTGCGCGGGGCGCGTCGCTCTTGGCCGCGTGGGCCGTCGCCACGCGGTAGGAGGGCCGCCAGGCAGACTGGGAGCCAGCTCAGGCCCGCGGTCGGCTTGCGTCGAGGTGGCGCGCGTACGCGCTCCGCCCGCACTCTGCAGCCGACGTCAGTCGACTGAGGACTAGGAAAATCCGCCTCGCGTTTGGCCGGAAGGCTTGCGCTGCGTGCACGCCGCGTTCGGACCTGCCTGGCTTGTGCAGGCCAACGGGAGCCGCCGGGCGCACTGCAGGCCATCGTCGCGACGGAGCAGATTCGCTGAGAAGTGAGGATATCAGCGCACACGACGGAAAGCGTACGAGGATGACGGCGCGGACGCAACGGGGCAGGCTCGGCCTCGAGAGGCAAGACCCCGTCCTCCCACACGCGGCCTGCCGTGCGGACTTCCGGCCGCGCCATAGCCGAGTTCAGTTCCACGGCCTTCGCGAACGGGCAGTTGTTACTCGTGAGGCGCGCTTGAGACGCCTCGAGGCGCTGTGCCCACCACGATGGTTCGAGCCGCACATCGACGCGATGCGGCCGCTTCGCAGCGCGAAAGTGCACGTGCGTCGACCGTTTTGGTCAAGCTAGGCTCGAAGTGCCGCGCCGCAGACCCGAACACGTCGCGACAGCTGGCACCTCCCGCCCGTTGCCGAGCCATGCGCGACCGGGCCGCTCACGTCGTTCTGCGGCCCGCGCCGTCCCGTTCCGACGCTCCTCGCCCCTCCGTCGTGATCTTTCGGGGATTCGGGCGCCAGATACGGCCCGCCCGCCCCACCGAATAGATTTCCCGCAGCGTCCATCGGCGCACTCTACGCACTCGCCCGCCGCCGCACCCGCGCCCCCCCGGCCGCCGCACCCGCCCCATCGGCGCCCCAGCGAATTTTCCCGGCCACGCGCGGCGCGCTGTGCCACACGAACGGCGCAACGACCTCGTTCGACCCGGCACTCCACGTAACTGCCATTGTGCCTTCCTCGTGCCTCGCGCGGAATGCCCGCCGCGCGCCGCCGCCCTCGCGCCGTATCTGAGCGCCTCCGACCCCGACGCGCTCCCCCTGCAGGCCGCCGAGCCTGGCCATCCCAGCGCTGAAGGACAGCGACCTGATGCTGGCCGACGGCACGCCAGAGTGCCGCCCGCAGGCGGCGCTCGTGCTGCGCGTGGACGACACCGTGACGAACTCCCCGATGTCCTCGCTCACGCTGCGCGACGCGACCGTCGCCGACGAAGTCCAGAGCCCGCGCCAGCACCCCCGGCAAGACAACGCAAGCGCCCTGCGCAGCACCGCGCACCGCAGGGGCGCGTCGCCCGCGGCTGCGAGCGTCCTCGCGCGCGAGGCCGCCCCGAGGCGGTCCCGGTGGGTCGAGGTCGATCCCGACGAGCTCGTCGACGAACCGCTGCTGGTAAACCCCCCCCCCCCGCTCCCAATGGTCAACGCCCGCGACCGCGCCCTCGCGCCCTCGCGGCGTCGCGCGGGACACCCGCGCCGGACGCACCCCAGCATGGACTTCAAACGCACGCGCCCGCTCCCGCGCCGCACGGCCAATACACCCCCCGTCGTGTTGTTTTTGTTTCCGTCGCAGATGACCCTCGAGCTGCCGGGGGAGTGCGACGCGCGCCCCGCCCGCGAGGCCGCGCACTGGGCGGCGCTGGCCGAGGCCGGGCGCCGCACGTCGCAGTGGGTCGCGACCTCTCCGACGCCCCCCGCCGGGCAGTGCCCCGCCTGGCTGCGAGCCGTGGAGACGGTCGAGGAGCTCATGGGGAGCGCGTGCCGGCGCACGTCGTTCGGCACGGTCGCGAACGAGCCCGAGCGGCTGCGGGCGCCCTCCGCGGCCCGCGTGACGGATGCCGTCGCCCCCGCGCCTGACTCGGCGATGGAGGAGCCTGACGCGGGCGGGGGGTGTGTCGCGGGCGCGCGGGCGGCGGACGGGGCCTCGTTCTGCGAGAAGAGGCGGCTCAAGCGCTTCAGCCTGGACGCCCCGTGATCCCTGGCGCCGACGCACACCCACGGCTCGCTGCCCCGCGGCACCGGTGGAGGCGGCATGCACCGCCTGCGCAACTCAGCAGCATCCACATCGCGGCACCGCTCGTCCCGGCCAGCGACTACCGACGAGACGCTACGGACGGGCGCGGGACGGGCAGTACACTCCCCCCCCCCCTCCCCCCCGCAACACCCCCCCCTCCCTACTTGCCATCGATTTGTTTGTCACTCCGCGCTGCAATCAGCCTCGGTCTCCGACCTGCACTCCAACCAACAACGAAGGTCTTGGCGCGTCGTCTGCCGCGCCTCGTGGCCGGCACCCCCCGCCCGCCTCTCGGAGCACGTGCCATATGGGTTGCGCGATGTCTCTCGCGACACCGCGCCGCAGCCGATGCTGACTGGCCTACGTCAGCTCTCATCGCTCTCGCATCCAAACCAACACCCTACGTCGAACTCCACTACCAGGAACCACCGGGTTGCCAGCATCAACGACACGCACACGCACGCTGCTTCCCGCTCGCGGCGCAGCTCCCCGCAGGAGCTGCCCGCCCCTCGCGACCCCTCCCTCCCGCCCTCCCCCAACCTACCCAGCCCGCGCACGCCCGTTCGTGCTGCGCCCGGGCACCGGCCTCCCCGCGTGCCCGGCGGAATCTATGCACTGACGCTCCCGCGCTCTCTATGCCCGGCGCCCTACCAGCGCCGCGCAGACTCATACTTCAGCCGCTCTCGCGAGCCCCCTGCACCCAGCCTCCCCTACCCTTCACTCCCCGCCCTTGCCCCGGACAAACATTCCTGGGACTACGACCTCAGAGTATTGGCTTCACAAGCTAAGGCTCGGGCCCTGTTCCATGTCCGATGCCACACAGCCCTCGCTCTATCGCTATCCGACAGGGCACAGGCACGCGATCTGCGCTCGCTTTGTTTGCCACGCCAACACGTACCCTCAACCCCTCCCCTACCCAGCCGCGCCCCCTAGATTCAGCAGGGGACCTGCACATGCCAGCGATGCCGCTCCTGACCAGGCCTGGACATACCACGCTCAAATGGCGGAGGCCCGGAACGCCGCGCGCATCGCAACACGCAACGTGACGTGCGCAGAGCTCTGCGACACGACCCTCCCAAACAACCACCCCCCCGCGGCATACTCGAGGCCCTATGCGATTTACCGACCTTTCACGGCCGACAAGTCCCAGCGAGGCGGCGGCGCCTGCCGTGCAGCGACGATTGACGCGCCGCCTTCCTCGCTCTCTGACTTACACGCGCACACGCACACACACATACACAGTGTCAGCGCTTTCGGCTCTCACCTACCGACATATCCCACGTGAGCGCTCCGCAACACCACCAATCTGTCGAGTCCTCGTCTGTTCGGACGCATACATAGATGACAGAGGGCGACGCAGCCGCCAGATCCTGCGCGGAGCCTCGGACGCCACAGCAGCTGCCGACTGCTTCTACTCCGACACCCCCCACTGTGACCACGCATCCTGTCTCGTTGGCCACCTGCCGTACCATTTCGGTCGCTCAAGCGTCCTCGCGGTGAGGGTGCTTGTAGGTCTGCGAAGAACTACGTCCTCGCGGTGAGGGTGCTTGTAGGTCAGCGAAGAACTAGCAAAGTACTGTACCATTTCGGTCGCTCCGGCATCCTCGCGGTGAGGGTGCTCGTAGGTCAGCGAAGAACTATCCTCGCGGCGAGGGTGCTTGTAGGTCAGCGAAGAACTATCCTCGCGGTGAGGGTGCTAGTAGGTCAGAACTATCCTCGCGGTGAGGGTGCTCGTAGGTCAGCGAAGAACTACCCTGCCGTACCATTTCGGTCGCTCGCGCGTCCTCGCGGTGAGGGTGCTTGTAGGTCAGCGAACTATCCTCGCGGTGAGGGTGCTCGTAGGTCAGCGAAGAACTATGAGGGTGCTTGTAGGTCAGCGAAGAACTATGTCCTGCTGGTCAAGCGTTGTCCTGCCGTCCCATTTCGGTCGCTCAAGCGTTGTGCGAAGTACAAGCGTTGTGTCGAGCGCGTGGGAGCGACCCACGCAACTTTCCAGACGCGGCCATCTCGTCCCGTCCGGGTTCCTGCCCGCGCCCGAGCACGCGCAAAGCACTGCCTCACAGCGAGCGCTCGCACCTCCCCAGCCCATGCCCGTGCGCGCCGACTCAGGCCACCGGATGGCACAAGTCTGCCAAACCTATGTGGCCCTCCCTGATGTCTTCCGCGACGTTCAGACTCCCCGCGCTGACCAGCACGAGCGTGCACGACACCATCATGATCGCCAGCGCCAGCACCACCACCGACTGCCGCCCCGTCCGCCGCACGACGTACGCTACGCCCGTCACGCCCACCAGGCTCGCCACCAGACACGTCCCGCCGAACACCAACGCGAGCTGCACGGGGAGCAGCCCGTTCAGTGCAAACTGCGTCGTCGCCGCCGACGAACTCGACAGCACCACCACCGCCGTCGACGCCGACACCACAGACGGCAGCGTACCCATCTCCAGTAGCACGGGGCCCAGGACCATGCCGCCGCCGATCCCGACGAGCCCGGCGACGACGCCCGCGACGCACGTCATCGCGAGCAGCTTCCGGACCGCGGGGGAGTGGTAGTCGATCCCCGACGGCCCGACCTGCGCGGCAGGCGGCAGGTGGCCCGCTGCCGCGCCGCCGAGGAGCGGCGTGGCCTGCGCGGCGCCCGAGCGCCCGCTCGCGGCCGCTGCGGCGCGCTGCGCGCGCGATCTTGCGGACAAAAGCACGAGGGGCGTCGCGAACACGCCCAGAGAGAGTTGTGTTGCCATCACGCCCCAGTAGGCGCCACTGCACCGCTTGGTCTCGAAGGAGCGCACGAACTGCAGCGCGAGGAAGGTGGCGAGGAGGCCGACGACCTGCGCGACGAGGGACAGCTGCGCCCACTTGCTCGGCGCGCCCCGAAGCAGCCCGGCCGCCGACGTCGACGTCGACGCCCCCGCTTGCGCCTGACTCCGGCGGCCCTGCTCCGCCTCGACCTCGAACGACCCGATCGACGTCGCCGACCCGCGCCTGCACAGCACAGCACGAACCGTTCCTGAGCGGTCGCCACGCATGTCGATGCCACCGCCATCTCAACAAACAACAGGCGCATGCAGCACCGTCACGCACGTTGGCTGTCCCTCCGCGCCCCCCCCGAGAAGCTCCTGCCCCTGCGCGCCCCCGCTCGTCCGCTCCGCGCCATCGCCCGCGCTCTGCGACCCCGGCCCTGCGAGCCCCTGACAGTTCGACGGCGCACTCTGAGCCATCGGCGTCGGACTCGTGCCCGTGTTGCTCGGCGCGGCGGGCACCGCGACGGGCCGCGCGCGCACGCTCCCCCGGCGCTTCAGCGGCGGCTGCCGGACCTTGTCGTCGCCCTCTGCGTCGCGCGCGCCGCGCGCGAGCGCCGCGGCGGCGATGGGGGAGTGCCGCGGCGAGGAGCGTTCGCGGCGGCGGGCCTCTGCGTCGGCGGACTCCTTCATCCACAGCTGGCGGCCCTTGACGACCGTCTTGTAGCACAGGAGCAGCAGCGCCGCGACTAGCACCACAAAAATGATCCATGAGGGCGCCACCATGTTGAACAGGACGCCGACGGTGAGCGAGGACATGAGGACGGGGAGCATGATGAGGCAGAGCTCGAGGTCGATGAGCGGCATGTTGGGGATGACCGGGTGGACGCGGAACGCGTTGACGCAGATCGAGGCGATGGCTCCGCCGGCGATCATGGACTGGCTGAGCGCGGTGGCGTTGCGGAGCGGGAGGCCGAGGACGAGGTTGAACAGCGCGACGAAGACGGCGCCGCCGCCGATGCCGCCGGCGTTCGCGAGCGCGGCTGCGGGGCGTGGGGGCGCGATGGGCGGCTGTGGGGGGGCGGTGCAGGGCGCGCGAAGGCGCGCATGTCGTCTCGTGCGGCGGATATGCGACGGAAGAAGCGAGCGGGGGGGTTCGAGGAAGGTGCCGGATCCGGTGCGGCGGGCTAGGGGAGGTGTAGGTAGATGCAGGGACAGGGCTCGGATGGGGGGGACTCGCCTGATACGAAGGAGAGCGCGAGGCACACGATCATCCGTGTGTCCCACTCGATGTACTCCTCGCCGTGCGGGCCGAAGTCGACGCCCTGGAGGTCACGCAGCGCGGTCAGTGGCGGGCCGTGGGCGCCCTCCTGCCACTGCGCTGCCTGGCCGAGCGCGACCCGAATCGCTCCCCATAGAGGCCGCATATGCCCTAGCGTCAGGCCCACGCTGGAGCCCGCGCGCTCACGGCGCTACGTGCGCTTCCGACGGGCAGGGCCACTGCACGGCTTCGTCCCGCTGGGGTCGGCGGAGACACGCTGCGAGAATTGCGCCGTCGCGTACGCCTCAGTGTGGACACTCTCGCTCCTCGGGATCGACGTCGCGCCCGGGTCCCCGTCGGCCGCGCGCTGCAACCCGGACAACTGTGTGCTTGATACCTACGCTCCAGGGAGCAGCGTGAACGACAACAGACCTCGAGCGCAGCCGCGGTGTCTCCCTCTGGCACAGCAATGCAGCCCGCCGCGGCGCAGAGTCGGGGCTTGACGCGACGGGCGGCGGAGGCGGAGCGTCTATGCAAGAGGCGCACAACGATTGGCCTGAGCCGCGGCGCCACCCCGCACGCGAAACGCCCTTACTTGCGCGTAGCGTCCCTGTCGTTCTGCGGCTCCCGGCCACCACGTCGCACCCATCACGCACGAGGCCTGAGCTCCAGTCCGCCTGACAGACATGAGCGGACAGGCCCCGGGGGCGTCCACGGACACAGCCCTCGGCGCCGGGAGACGCAGCGCCCAGAACAGGCCCTGCACATGTCGAACGGCCCCTCGAAACCCCACGTGCGCGCACACAAACACAGAGTAGTAATTGACAAACACAAACATGCATGCCCGCGCGTTCCCGAGTCACACATGCGTCCGCCCGGCGGCCCCGGCCCTCCCACGCAGCGCGTCTTCAATTACTCCGCTCTCGCGCCTTCTTCGGCTCCGCGGCGAGCGAGAACGCGGACCCGAGGATCATCACCGTGCCCACCGCGGACGACACGCCGGTTCTCTCGCCGAGGACGGCCGCGCCGAGGACGAGCGAGAACACCACCTGCAGGTAGCTCACCGCGCTGCCGCGCCCGGCCTCCTCGAGCTGCATCCCCCGGCTCATGAGGACCTGACCGAGGAACGCGAAGCTGCCGGTCAGACTGAGGAGCGCCAGGCCGCTGGGGGCGACCGGGGCCCACGACGCGCCGAGCACGGGGAGGTCCGCGAGCACGGAGCCCGGCACGAGCGAGTTGAACGTCAGAATCGACCCTGCACCACCACAGATCCAATAAAACAAAACAAATTAAAATAAACAAGAACAAGAACGTTTGCGCGAGCGCCGGGTCGACACGGATCGCGCGCAGGGCGGCCAGCGGGCGAGCTCCGGCGCTGCCACGCCGCCGCGCCGCCGGGGCGTACCTCCGCAGAACGCGCAGACGAGCGAGAGGAGGAGGACCGGCACCAGCGCGGGCACGTTGCGCTTGCCAACCCTCCGGAGCACGATGAGGGCCATGCCCTGGCAGATGGCGCCGAGGACGCCGAGCGCGACGCCGAGGCCCGCGGCGGGCCCGACGGCCTCGGAGGGCACCCAGGGGAGGAACTCAGGCTGCGAGATCAGGAGGACTCCCGCAAAGGAGGTGACGCCGGCGGCGGCGACCTGCAGAGTCCAGGGCTCGCCGAGGAAGAGCGCGGCGGCCATGGCGGTGATGATGGGCGACGTGAGGCTGATGGCGGTCGCGTCCCCGAGGGGGAGGAGTGTGATGGAGGTGAAGAGGGATGTGATGCCGACGAAGCCTGACGTGGCGCGGAAGAACAAGAGGCGGCGGGTGCCGCGCGGGCCGAGGTACTTGTCGGCGCCTTTGAGCTCTGCGGGGGCGCGCGGGCGCTCTGTTTCCGTCTCAGCAGGCCGCCGCGATGCAGCGTGGCTGTCGCGAGGGATCGGCGGTGCGCGGGGGCGTGCTCGGCGCACCTGACCGCGAGAGCATGAGCAGCGAGACGGCGGCTTGCACGACGCTGCGCGCCACGATCGTCTGCAGCGTTGGGATGGCGACGCCGTGGGCGAGCTTGACCGTGAGGCCCATGAGCGACAGGGCGAGGCCGCTGAAGAGCATGCAGGCCATGCCGTTGTTCCACACTGCGAGCGCGGGCGCTTCGACGACCGAACGCGGCCCGCTCGCGCTCCGTGGCCCAGCCGCGCCCTCCGCGCACGGCACCGCAGAACGGCCCCTCGCGCGCAGCGCGTCGGCGTCGCCGCGGCGCCTGCGGTGCGCGAGCTCCGTGCATTGCCGAGGATGCCCGTGCGATGGGGATCTCCGCGCCGCTTGGGCGGCGCCCGCTGCGAGGGCGTATGGACAGGAGCTGCTCTGTGAGGCAGAAACACGCCCGCCCGCGAGCAGCTGCGCGGCGTTCGTGCGCGGAGAATCACGGGAGCTCGCTACGCGAGCGTGCGCTGCATCAAGCCGTACCTCGTGCACCGCCCAGAGCGCAGCCCGGGCGCTGCACCGCCCCTACAAACCGCCTCGCGTTCTCCGCGGGCCGCACGCCCACGAATACCTTCATGCCTGCCTGATTCGAGCTATGATCTAGTGTCCCTCGGGTCGACTACGGGGCCCGAATCACGCCCCCTCGGACCCCCGCGCAGAAAATATGCTCGCTAGCCAAGTGTTGAGAGGAATGTGCCGCGGACGCGCGAATCGACGACGTTTACTTAACGTCGAACCCCTAATTTCCACACAGAAGATCTGCTGCGTCGTCTTGTGCGCCGGTACGCGCGGTCGCCGCCCGCATGAGCTCAGAAGGGACGAGAGAGAGGAGTAAAAAGCGAGACACCCTGACTCGACGCTCACCGTTCGCGAGTCGCCCAGGTGGCTCGCGGCGCGCCGCGCGGCCTCGGGCATCGCCGTGCACGTGCCGTCACTGCTCGCCCGCTGAGCTACTACTGCAAGACTGATAAATAATTAGGCGTTTCCGTTTCTTTGGTGCAAGGTACCGAGGGACCCTCCCCAGCGCCTCCACGCGCTCCCGCATGCACCTCTCGAGCTGCCCGGCCGACACCCCGCCCTCGCGCACGCTCGCCGCCACCGCCGCCGGGTCCCACGCCCGCCCCGAAGCCAACAGCCCCCCCCGGCTCTCGTCACCAATGCCCCCCCCCGCACTGCCCGCGCGCTGTGCCGCGCGCGCCGCCTCCATCTCCGCCAGGCTCGCCGCGATCGCAGCGCGCAGGTCAGGGTCGTCGTCTTCGACACCCCCCCCCTGACGCGACCGCTTCGGCATGCGCAGGGCGTCCTCGAGCCTGCGCTGCACCGCGGGCCGCTTCCGGGGCGTCTCCTCCGCCGGCCGCGCCTCGCGTCCGCCCTCGTCTTCCCCTTCGTCGTCCCAGTCCTCCACCTGAGTCGACGCAATGGAGCCCTCGTCGCTTGCGCTGCGAGAGACGCCCGCCGGCTCCGGCGCAGCCCGGGCCCCCGCGTCCTGTCGCCCGTCCGCACCGCTGAGCCACTGCAGGATCCCCCGCTGCCCGCTCGCCTGCCCAGACACCCCCCGCATGCCCGACGCAGTCACGGCAAACCGCACCACCAGCGCGCCGGCCCCGCCGACCTCGGCCATGGCCACCGCCGTCGCCGCGAGGTCCGCCGCGAGGTTGTCCTGCAGTCCCGACACCGGCTCCGTCACTCCTGGGTCCAGCCACGCTTGCATCGCGAACCCGTCCGCAAAGGGATTGAGCGCGGCCCACATCTGGGGAATATTTGCTGCGCCGGCGCCGGTATCGCCGCCGCCAGCGCCCTGCAGCGTTGCGCGCAGGACGGCGGACGCGGGGGGGCCTTCCAGGAGGGGTGTGGGGGGGTGTCCTGGCTGACTTGGCCGAAGCGCGTGGGCGCGCAGGGCGGCCTGGAGGAACCAGGCCGGGCGAGGGAACGGGCGCGCGCGCGACACCGTCTGCAGGTCGCCGGACGGCGAGCACAGGTCGATCGCGACGGTCGCTGTTGTCGGCCACTCCCCACTCGCCAGCAGGTTGGCCTCCGTCCTCCCCACGAGGTCCGGACAAATCTGCAACAGCGACAACGACACATGCAAGCACGTGGAACACCGCCTTCGGGAGCGCGGAGCGGAGCTGAACCTGTCGCGGCAGCGCGGTCTGGGCTGTGACATGTCAACCACCGTCACGCCGCTGGCACCGCGCCGCTGGAGCCCCGGACCGCTCGCATATCACCGGCCCGTCGAGCACCAACGCACCGCTGCCCTTCAGCCGCCTGCGCGGGCCGCCGGCGTCGCGCACCTGATCCAGGAACCACCGGACTCGAGATTTGAAGTCTTCGTTTCCGACGCGGATCGGACGCTTTCCCAGCACCTCTGGCCCGGGCGGCGGCCCGCGGCGCGGCAGCGCCGCGATCGTCGGCGACATCTGCGCCGCGATGCTCTTCGGCGGCCCCCGTGGCCGCACAGGGCTGTCGTCGCGGCCGAACGCGAGCCGGACCGCGAGCGCCGCGACGTTGCGCGCGACGCTGCACGCCGAGGCGATGGCCTCGACGGCGGCGAGCTGCCCGTCTGTGCCCGGGCCTGCGCACTGCGCCGCGAGGCGTTGCAGATCCCCAGCGGTGCGCAGCTGCAGGTGCTGTGTGAGAGCCTCGCACGCCCGGGCGCCGATGCCGGGGAGCCGCGTGAGCGGGGCGTCGTTGAGGATGTCCTGCGCCGTGAGAGCACCGCGGAGAGGAGCCGCTTGCGCCCACAGGATCGTGCGCAATCGCTCTTGTTGCGCACGATTGATGCAGGCGGCTGTGCGTGCGCGGCCGGCAGAGACTCGCCGCACCTGGATCGCGCCGTCGCTGAGCGCGAGCGCCACGCCGAAGGGTTTCGCGCGCGCCGAGCAGGTCAGTTTTGCCAGTAGAGGGTTGCGGGACACCCCCACGCTGACCCTGACGCCGGTCCGACGCAGCACCTCGGCCTGCACGTCCCTCGCGAGCTTCTCCGCGCCGCCCTGCGCACAGCGCGCGCCCGCGGCGCCCTCAGAACCGCTCGACGCTGCTACTACCCACGTGGTGAGGTGACGCACGAAGCGATAATTAGAAAACGAAAGAGCGGCTCGCGTCGCGGCGTTCGGGTCGCTTCGCACCGCAGAGGCCATGCCGCTTCCCGGGGATATCTCCAGGTACGCTTCGTCGATCGACGCGCGCTCCATCGGTCCTGCCCAGCCGAACGACGCGATCACGGCCATGATGCAGGCGCTCGCGTTGCGGTAGGGGGCGTAGCTGACGCGGCCGCTGCCGTCCTGCAGCGTGTATGCGTTCACCATGGCGCCGCCGACCGCCTGGAGGAGCCGCTGGGCCTCCACAGGGACCATGTGTTTCCTGACACCTGCTTCCCTGGCTTGCTGGTTGAGCGCGATGATGTCGCCGTGCTGCGGCCAGGAGGGTTCAGGGTACGGGATGCTGTGGCGGCGTGCTCGGGTCGCGGGAGCGCGTCGAGAGAGCAGGGGGTGGGGAGTACCTGAACAACAGCCACTGCGAGGGTGGAGATGTCAGGGTCCCTGAGCTGCTCGACTTGCACGAAGAAGGAGTCGGCATCGATGCAGAGAACGAATCTGTCTAAGAGAACGAATCTGTCCACCGGCTGGAGCGTGCCTTCCATCGTGGAGCGCGTGCGGACGGTCTTTGTTGTCCAATCACCAGTGCCCGCGCCAGCGAGGGGGCGCCGGGTGCACGCTCCAGCGCGGTGAATCACGCATGGTCAGATAGTCAGCTACGCGTCTGATGCGCCTGCTTGCGCCAAGCCTTCGCACGAAGGTCGCTTCACGCCACCTGCATTAGCTCCCTGCGTGCTCGACACCGGCCCCGCCCCCCGGCCGCGCGCGCCGCAAGGCGTCAATATCTCTCCACGACGCGGAGAAATCTCGAACACGCTCGACGCCAGCGCAAACAAATTCCCTCCGTGGGACGCTGGCAGCGGCAACTGATGTGGAGGACGCAACACCTGGGCAGCGATCTCTCAACCCGCCGCGGCGTGGCATCATGATGGGAGCACGCGCCCGCGCAGCATCGAGCTGCGCGCGTCCCAGCCGGCGAACTGACGTGGCACGCACACGACATCAGGCCTGACTCAAGACCGAACATGAATTATCTGACTGTTGTTCATACCTCGTCAGCAAAGCGAGCGAGCTCGTCGAGGGCCGTAGGACATGACCGGGACAGGGTGACCGATCGCCACGACAGCGGTAGAGTGCCCGCACGCATGAGAGATCATGCAAGGCGCACATGTCGACCGTCAAACACACGCAGTCAGTTTCTCGGTCGCCTACGAGCCCGCGGCGTGCGAGTACTCGTCCGCAGCCCCGGCTCGCGCCCCAGTGGCCGGGCCCCGTCGATCGGCGACCCTGCCCGGCATCCGGGTGGCACTCGCGCAACACATCACGCACGACTCGGGTGACGGCGTCTCGGCGCCCTGTCGCGCGGCAACCAGTGCGCCTTCGTCACAGGTCCTCGTTCCGGCCATGCATCCTACTGCAGAGGCCGCGGTGTTTGGCGCCGTCCGCAACGCGGCTCAAAGACATCTTTGTGGTTGTTGTTGTTCGTGACATTGTGACAACGTGGTGTGCGTGCAGCAGCAAGGAGCCCAGCCGTGCGCCGCGCGGGGCGGCGCCAGCGCAGCTCCTCGCCCGTGTTATTGTGTGCAATGCTTCCGTTCGATGCAAAGAACCCTCCCGTCCAGGCTGCTCTCCCCTGCCCTCCCCGGGCGCGCATCATCTCCGCCTCGCGCTCCGCTTCCGCGCGTCGCCGCCCATCTCCAGCACGTGCGACCGCGACGCAGCGGCCTTCCGCACCGCCGCCGGCACGGGCGTGGCGTGCGACGCGTGCCTCCTCACCTCGGCGGTGAGTCGCTGCTCTGCCGCTGCCGACTCCTCCCGCGCAGCCACGTGCCCGGACGCGGCGCCGATGCCGTTCACCACCGCCGCCGACGCCCCGAACCGCAGCCGGCTCATCGCCGCCGCCGACGCGCTCCGCACGTCACCGCTGTGCGCCCGCGTGCGTGCGAGCGCGGCAATCGCCGCGCTGTTCGGCGCGTGCCGCGACACCCCGCTCGTCGTGAACACCGAGCTCCCCACCGCGTCCCCGTTCTCCCCCGCCGCCACCGCCAGCCACTCCTTCCCGCTGCCCCGCTCCTCTCCGAACCTCACCACATACGTTTGCATATACCCCTTGCCCTTCACGAACAACGGGTGCCCCTCCGCGTCGAGCCGCTTGATCAAGTGCCACGGCATCGGCGGCACCGCGCCCGCCGTCTGCGGGTCGTACACCAGCTCCGGCACCACCCTCGCCACCGCGTCCGACACATGTATCTCCCCCGGCAGCCCGCTCGACTCCATCCGCGCCGCAACGTTCATCGCGTCGCCGATGAGCGTGAATTTCGGGACCTTCTGCCCCAGAACGCCCGCGGCGACGGGGCCCGCGTGGATCCCGACCCGCAGCTGCAGCGGCTTGCCGTCCGGTCGACGATAGGACTCGGCGACACGCGAGATGTTCATCGCGAGGCTGACCATGCGGCGGAGGTTGTCGGCGGGGTCCGGCTGCCCGGGCTCGGCGCCCGCGACCGCGACGTACGAGTCCCCGATCGTCTCGAGCTTGAACACGCCGTGTATCTCGCACAGCGTGTCGAACTGGCTGTAGAGCTCGCTGAGGACGGAGAGCACCTCGCTGGCGTCGGAGAGCTGCGCGCTGAGCTGCGTGTACCGCACGATGTCCGCGAACATGATGACGACCGCCGGGAACATCTCGCGGTACTCCCCGCGTCGGCGAACCGCGTCGATCACGCGCTGCGGCATCATGCGGCAGAGGAGCTCGCGGTGGCCGACGTTGCCGGCGAGGACGCAGAGCGTGACGAGGCCCGCCGCGACGGCGACGAGGACGACCGCGACGACCGCGGGGACCCACCAGCCCGGCTGGAAGTCCCCGTCGGACTCGGCGACCTGTAGAAACCACACCCCCCCCCCGGGGAGCGCCACGTCGACCTGGACGGACGCGCCGCCGAAGTCGTCGCTCTGCGCGATCGTGATCTCGCTGTCGCCGAACACGCGGAACAGCCGGTACTGCATGCCGGCCTCCGGCAGCGCCGACAGCGTCGTTTGCGACAGGAGTTGGTCTGCGAGAAACAGGGCGGTGGCGAAGCCCCAAAACACGGTGTTCTCCTGCTCGTCGACGGGCCAGTAGTTGAAGCACGGCGCGCCGGCGTGCGCGAGCTCGCCCGTCGCGGCGTCGACCCGCGCGGCCGACTTGGCGCACACCGCGTCCCACGCGCCGCCCCGGCCGACGCGCGGCTGCGCGAACGACGCCTCGCGCGTGCCGTCCGCGCGCACGCGGATGTCCGCGCGCGCGGCGTTCGCCGGGGTCAGGCGCACGCGCACCGGCACGCGCGCGAGCCCCCCAAACCCCCCCTGCTGCAGCTGGAACGGCCCCACGATCGACATGCGGCGGCTCGCGGCCTGCGCGAGCGCGCTGGCGCGCTGCCGCTCGTCGTCGATGATGTTGAACCCGATGATCGCCTCGTTGCCCTCGAGCGGCTCCACCGCGGCCACGATCCCGTCCGGCGCGAGCTGCAGGTTGGCGATGACGCGTTGCGTCGCGCCGCCGCGCAGGACGGTGTCGTAGAGGTCCGGGAGCTGCGGGAGGGAGATGTCGGGGTTCGGGAGGTCGCCGTACGCCACGATGGACGCCAGGGCTTCCGTGGGCGCGAAGAAGAGCGTCAGGACCTCTGTCAGGTCTGTTGCCTCCTGGGTCGCGATGCTGCGCGCTTCCGTCATGCTGCGGGGGCGGGCGGGGCGGGCGGGCGGCGTGGGTTCGGCGGGGCGGGGGATCGGGGGCTGAGGGCGCGGGAGTCGAGGATCCGGGTCTCGGGATGCGCACTTGTTGGCCTTTTGGTTGTCAACGACGAGGAGGACCGGGACGAGGAGCGCGGCGAGGACGGCGCACGTGGCGAGGATGCTCCAGAGCACGATGAGCGGCCTGACGCGCACGGCGTGGAGCAGCAGCCCTGCGGTGTTGGCCAGCCACGCGAGCACGCACGAGCGGTGCCTCCAGTCCCGACTGCCCGCAGGCAGACCCTCTTTCTCGATCTCCGGCGCGGAACCGAGCTCGGCAATCGAGGGCACGGTCTCGCTCCCCGCCGTCGGCCCCACGCGGCGCATGTGGAGGCTGCTGCCCCGCGGGGCCGACGTGTCGCTCCCTCGCCGCCCCGAGACGTCCACGCTGCCCCTGCGCGAGCGCTTTTCCGCCACGCGCAGCCCGTGCAAGGCACCTGGGCTGAGGACGCTCGAGCCATCGAACCGCGTGACGTGGCCCCCGGACTTGGTCGGGGCGAGGGACTCCTCGGAGTCATCGGGGCTCTTGTACGGGGCCACGAGCTGCTCGTTGAACGACGCCGCGTTCGTACGCCGCGGGACGCTGGCCGACGGGGGAGCCTTCCCGACTGCCTCGTCGCCCTGCGTGGACGAGCCGGGACACGGAGGTGAGCGCGGGGTAGGTCAGTTCACGGGGCGGGCTGGCGCGGCGCGGCAGCGGCCGGGGTGCGCGGGGGGCGCCGAGACGCGTGGGCCTGGCTGGGGAGGCAGGTGACGAGCGCGGGCACACGCACCGGCTGCGACGGCATCTGGGACGACGCCGCTCCAGTGCGAGTGGGGAAGGGGCGCCTGCGGGGGTCGGGAGCGCCAGGGTCGTCAGCGTCGCGGCGCAGGAGGGCGAGTGTGTGTCTGGCAGTTGTAGGGGCCACCGGCGCGCCGTGTGCGCCCGCGACGCGCGCCGCAGCTCACGGAGCACGCGCAGGGCGCGAGAGATGCGGCGGCGACGACGACTCCATTCGAAAAGCGGCGTGGCGGCACACAGGTCCCGCGGCTACTGCAGAGATCTGCGGCAGGAACTCGAGGGCGCCCGCAACGCGGCCCCCCGCACCTAAATTACGCTCATCTGTCGTGTCCCGGCGTCAAACGCCGCGCATCTGCGCCTGGGGCCCGGAGCGCGCTCGCCCTGCCGCGCGCGCTGCGTGCTGCGCCCGTCGCTGCGCCCTAGGGAGGCAAGTGACGCGGAGTCCGACCACGGAGCCAGTCTGACAATGCACGCCTGTGCAGGAACTGCACGAGACAGCGCTGCCCTGCGGCTGCTTCGCCTCCCAGGCCCCCCCCGGCGCGTGCCGGCGTCGCTGACTCATCGCTGGCGTCTTGCAGCGAGCAGGGGGGGCGTTTGCGCGCCGCACGCGAGCGAGGTGCGCGAGGGCGCCGCCTGCGCGCCCCCCCGGGCACTCTCGTTGATCTTGTCACGCGGACGGCTTCGCGCGCGCGTCCCCGGCGCCGCTGCAGTGCTTCGCAGCAGAGCAATCGCGTCCACTCTCCCGCGAGTCCCGGGCGGCCAGGAGCGAAGCGTGCGCCATGGGGTGAGCGCTGCACCCCGCCGACGCGACGCGTGCCGCGCCTCGCCGTTGGACCCTCGCGGATGACGTGCGCGCGGCCGAACTGGGTGTCACAAAAGAAGGACACGACCCGGGGGGCCTCGGGCGCGTGACGACACGCTTTCCTCGCGACTCTGCGCCGTGGTTCTTCTTCTCGATGCCTTCGCGGGGAAATCGCGTCGATTCCGCCACGGTCCTCGACGTCACGGCTGTAGAAGCAGCTCGGATGGAAGGCGCCCCGCGCGGCGTTGTCCGGCGCGCAAATCGACGCCGAGTGCCGCGCTGCTGTAGATAAACCTTCTCGCTTTGTGTATGCGTGCCGCGCAGGATGCCAAGCGCCGGGACGGCCCTGCTCCGCGGGCCCTCTGGGCACACGAGCGGCCGAGACTGCTCCTGCGCGGCGAAGAAGAAAGGCTTCGGGAAGGCCGCTCCTCCGCCGCCGAAACCAGCAGCCAAGAAGACGAAGGGCCCCACGGCGCGGCCCACGAGGCGCCAACCGGCCCCAGGTGCGCCCCGCTCCACCCCACGCCCTCTGCTCCACAGCCTGCACGCCGCGCACGCCCCTCGCGTCATCCGATCGACCGCACACGACCGCGGCCCGCATCCCCTGCGCCGACCAATTCAACGCAATACACCCCCTGCATGCCCCCTTCGGCGCCGCACGCCCTCGGAAGCTCAGCCCCGCCACTGCACGCGCGTCTTGCCGCGCGTTCCGAGCCGCTCGCGCCGTCCCGAACCGCGGCGCAGGCCAAGGCCCGCAGCAGATGCGCGTCGCCGCGCCGCCGGACTCCCCCCCTGACGACGGCGTCGACCTCCTGGAGGACGCTGAGTTCCAGGCGAGGCTGGCGCGTACCCGCGAGCAGGGGGCGCAGCGGCAGCGGCAGATGCGCGCTGCGGCGGGCCCGCTCGGGCCGGCGAACGGCGGCGCGATCAACTACGACGCCCCGCCGCCGATCACGGCCACGCTGGCGTCGAACATCACCAACCCGGAGGACGCGCCGCCGGGCGCGCGCAACGCCGCCGGCGTCGCGGTCGCGGCGATCCTCGCGGGGATCCTGTTCCTGACGTCCGGTGCGCGCCGTCGCCCTCGCGCGCCGCCGCCGTCACACCCAAACTCACACTGGCATATGTTTTCGCGTTCACGCATTCATGTGTACGCTTGAGCCGTGTTCGCGTGTGCGCTGCAGGGGTCCTCGACGGCCTCGGCGGCGGCGGCGGCGCGCCGACGGCCGTGGACCAGCCAGGACTGACAAAGGAGCAACGCAAGGTGCTAACGGAACAAGCGAAAGAATTCGAGGCGAAACTGGCCGAGGACGCGAGCGACGCGGACGCGCTGGAGGCGCTGGCGGTGACGTACGCGGAGCTGGGGCGGTTCGCGGACGCGGAGACGAAGCTGGTGCGGCTGACGGCGGCCAAGCCTGGCGACGCGGATGTGTTGCGGCTGCTGGGCGAGACGCGCGCGCAGCAGGGGGCGTACAAGACCGCGGCCGAGGCGTTCCTGAAGTCGATCGAGGTGCGCGCGGCGCGACGGTAGTGTTGTGCGTGAACCTGCCGCAGCGTGGCGACGTGAGGCTGTTGCGGGAGCACGCGCTGGTGGCCCCGACGCGCACGCGCGCCGCACGGCCGGCGCGTGGGGTAGCGAGCGCCGTCGGCGCACGCGGTCCCTGGGCGCGCGGAGCACTGCGAGCTGACTGCATCGCGACCTGCACGACGACCTGCAGGTCGATCGGCCCCTTGGGGGGCCTGACCGCGGCGCTCCAGTCCGCCCGGCTCGACGCCGTCAGCTCGCAGTGCTCCGCGCGCCCAGGGGCCGCTCGACGCCGTCGGCGAGGCGCTGCGAGCTAACTGCCTCGGTGCCGCGCGCCGTGCTCGTTGTCGCAGGTCTCCGGGGCTGGAGCGACGGTGGAGCAGCTGGCGGAGTACACGGGCGCGCTGGCCGCCGCGGGGGAGAACAAGAGGGCCGTGTCCTACCTGTCCAAGTACGACGTGCCCAGCGAGACCCCCCCCGGGGGGGTCTCGGTGTCGGACGTGCGGCTCCTGCTCGCGCGCGCGTACTCGCAGTGGCGCGGGCACGCGAACGAGGCGCTCTCGATCTACGACGCGATGCTCGCTGAGCGCCCCCACGACTGGCGCGTATACGCTGCCAAGGGCCAGCTGCTGAAGAACGAGGGCCGCGAGGCGGACGCGCAGCGCATGTTCATCCAGGCGCGGTACTACGCGCCCAAGGGCGAGGCGGTCGAGGCCAAGTAGGCGCGCGGTGTGACACGGGAGGACTGCTGTCAGGGGGGGTGTTGCAGCGGTCACCGCCGGTGCGTGGGGGCGCGCGCGGGTGATGGGGGCGCTCGGCGGCTGCGTCGCTGCAGAGGTGTCGCCGTGGCGCTGCCGGAAGGGCTGTTCACTGCTGCTGCGCCAGTCGGAGCGACATACATACATACACACTCGTGTTGCAATTCGTCGCGACGTGCGGTCTTGGATAGGCGTTTCAGCGACCGCGATGGGCGCTTTCGCGCCTCTGCGGGGTCTCGCTGCCCCGTGTCGGTGCGTGGCTTCCGCGCGGCCGCGCCCGCTGCGCGCGGCGGGGGCGGTGGGCGGCAGCGGCGCTGGGTCGGCAAACGAGGCCTCTGGCGCGTCGCGCATGGGGAAGGGCGCCGAGGAGGACCCGGAGCGTCGCAAGAACGTCGCGCTGTACAGGAGCATTGGGCCGCAGGGGTCGACCGGGACGTACCGGGGCGTTGAAGAGGAGCTGGGCACCAGAGCCTCTGGGCGGCCGCGCGTGAAGCCGGAGGTCCTGTCGCCGGCGGGCGGCTGGGAGCAGCTCCGTGCTGCGGTCGAGAACGGCTGCGACGCAGGTGAGGGCCGACGCGGAGCAGGACGATGCGTGCGTGTTGATCGCCTGCGACAGATTGATGACCCGCCGCTCTCCGTCCATGACCGCGCATTTCCGTCTCCGCTACAACCTGCAGTCTACTTCGGAGTCGAGGGTCTCAACGCGCGTGCCAGAGCGGCCAACTTCACGCTCGACGAGCTCCCAGAGGCCCGTTCCCGACCCCCTACGGCTTCCACGCACCCCCGCGCGGCCCCCAGACCCGCATCACGAACCATGGGATACCAGGAGCCTCGCAAGACGTCGCATTCTCATGGTATCCCATCGTTCGTGCATCCGACCCCGCGTACCCCACGCCCGGCGCCGCAGGTCATGACATACCTCCACGACCGCGGAGTCAAGGGCTACGCGACCATGAACGTCCTCATCTTCGAACACGAGCTCCCCACCGCGGAAAAGAAAGCCAAGGCGTTCGCCCGCGCCGGCGTCGACGCGGTCATCGTCCAGGACGTTGGAGCCTGCGAGGTCCTCCGCCGCGCGGCCCCCTCGCTGCCGCTCCACGGGTCCACGCAGATGTCGATCACGTCAGGCGAGGGCGCCGAGTTTTCTCGTAGACTTGGCACGGACCGCATCGTGGTCGGGCGGGAGCTCTCCGCGCGCGAGATCGCGCAGGTGGCCGCGCGGACGGACGCGGAGATCGAGGCGTTCGTGCACGGCGCGCTCTGCGTGTCGTATTCGGGGCAGTGCTGGTCGTCGGAGTCGTGGGGGGGGCGGTCCGCCAACCGCGGGCAGTGCGCGCAGGCGTGCCGCATGCCGTACGGGCTGATCGTGGACGGGCGGCTGCGGGAGATGGGGGACTTCAAGTACCTGCTGTCGCCGCAGGACCTGATGGCGCTCGACCTCATTCCCGAACTGGTGAGCGACAACGCACCCTTTTTATTATTCATTCATTTCTAGTATTCGTTGCTAGGTTCGTCGGTCTAGGGTTGATTCGCCGGTCCCGCTCCTGCTTCCGTGCTGCGCGGCATCGATCTCCGGCCCTCGCATCGTCCCTCTTTTCAAGTTGAAGAGCGGACTGTGTTTCATGATGTTGCGTGAGTCCTTCGCCGCAGATCGAGGCGGGCGTGACGTCGCTGAAGATCGAGGGCCGCCTCAAGGGCCCCGAGTACGTCGCCGTCGTCACGCGCGCCTACCGCGACGCCGTCGACGCCGCGTGGGCCGCCCTGAGCAGCGACGACGCCCCAGCGACCGTCGACGGCGCGGCGATCGGCGCGGCGGTCATCGACGAGCCGCGCAGGCTCGCGCTGCGCCAGGTCTTCGCGCGCGGGCAGGACGAGCACCACGACGGCCTGACGCAGGGCTTCCTGGGGGGAGTGAAGCACCAGACCCTCGTGCGCGGCCGCGCGCCGCGGCACCGCGGCGTGTGCCTCGGCCGCGTGGTCTCCGTCGAGCCGTCGCGCTCCGCGGCCGGCGGCCGGCGCGGCGCGAGCGCGGCGCGGCGCAACCGCCGCCGCGCGGGGCGCGCAGCGGCGGCGCCGGGGGGGGTGTCGTTTGGGTCGAGCTGCTTGGGACGGAGGTGAAGAAGGGCGACGGCGTGGTGTTCGACGTTGGGGATCCGGAGCGGGAGGAGGCGGGCGGGGCGGTGTGTGGGCTGCGCACGCAGGGGGGCGCGCGCGTGGAGGCGTGCGGGGCGGGGCTGGTGGGGATGGTGGTGGAGGGGGCGGGAGCGGCGCGGCTGAGGTGAGCGAGCTGTGCGCGCAGCGATCGATCTTCCGTGCCGATCTGGCATCCAAGCCACACACAGACAGCTGAGGTTTGGCGACCCCTAGTGCACACACACACACACGCATTCCGCTCCAGTGCATCAGACGCTGCGCTCTCAACGGAGGGCGCAGAGAGACTGCAGCGTGTGTTGTAGGAGAACGCTGCGCGCGTGCGTGTGTTCACCAGGGTACTCGAGAGAAATAATAAGAACCATCTGTTGTTGTTCTATCGCCGCTCCCTCTCGCGTCCACGCGGACCTCATCGATCCGCCCCCACCCCCACCCCGCCTCCCACCTACCCCGTCCCCCGGCACCCACACCGTCCGACTCGTGTTCCCTTGCAGCGAGGTCGAGCCTGGCGCCCTGGTGTGGCGCACCCGCGACACGGCGGTCGAGTCCGCGGCGCGCGCGAGCTTCGACGCCGTCTCCGACGCGGACCGCCGCCGCGCGCCCGTCGTCGCGGCCGTCGAGGGCCGCGTCGGCGAGCCCCTCACGCTGCGCCTCACGGACCCCGCAACGGGCGTCTCCGCGACCGCGGCAACCGCATCGCCGCTTACCGCGGCGCAGAAGCGGCCGCTCGACCGCGACGCGATCGCGGCCGCGCTGGGGCCGCGCCTCGGGGGCGGGCCGCTGCGGCTCGCGTCGCTCGACGTGTCGGGCCTCGACGACACCCCACCGGGGGTGTTCCTGCCCGTGGGGGAGGTGAAAGACGCGCGGCGCCGCGCAGTGGACGCGCTCGTCGAGCTGCGCAGGCACCACCCGCGCGCCGACGGCGTCCGGTCGAAGTCCGTCGTTCCCGGGCTCCTCTCCGACCTGCTCTCGGCGCCGCTGCCGCCAGTTGCCGCGGACGCGCCCCCGGCCGTCCGGATCCTCTGCCGCACGCCGGAGCAGGTCGCGGCGGCGATCGAGGTCCCGTGGCTCGACGAAATCACGCTCGACTTCCTCGAGGCGCACGGGCTGGAGGAGTGGGTTCGCCGCGTACAGCGCGCAGGGAAGCGCGCGGTGGCGGCCGCGCCGCGCGTGCTGAAGCCCGGCGAGCAGCGGCTGTGCGACTTCTACCTCGGCCTCGGCGCGGACGCGCTGCTCGTGCGCAGCGCGGGCCTCCTGCAGCAGCTGCACGAGGTAAGTCACAGTCGCTCGTAATCACACACACACGTCATTCCCGACCCACACCTGTGTATCAACATGCCGCACTATCATTTCCTCGTCTTCGTGTATGAGACCACGATACGCCGCGCTCGGATCGGGATCCGCTTCCGCCGCCCAGGCACGGCACGGCCTGTGGCTGCGACGCCCTGCGCCACCCAACCGCACCCACGACCGCTCCCGCACCCCGCGCCGCGTGCGTGCAGTACGGCGGCCCCGGCGCCCGCGTCACCCTCGCCGACGGCACCTCCGCCGAGGTCCCGCCGCTTCTCGGGGACTTCAGCCTCAACGCCGCCAACTCGGTCGCCGCCGCGCTCTTCCTGCGCGAGGGCCTCGAGCGCCTCGCGCCCACGCACGACCTCAACGCGCACCAGATCGCCAACCTCGCGCGGTCGCTCCCCGCGGACCTGCGCGCCCGCATCGAGGCCGTGTGTCACCAGCACCTCGCGATATTCCACACCGAGCACTGCGTGTTCTGCCGGTTCCTGTCCAGCGGCAACAGCTACCGGGACTGCGGGCACCCGTGCGAGCGGCACCACGTGCACCTCCGGGACGGGGCCGGGAAGGACCACCTAGTGCTGGCGGACATGGGCTGCCGCAACACGGTGTTCGACGCGCAGGTGCGCACCTCTGCGCCGCCCTGACAGGAAGCGCAACAGCGGTCCTCGCATCTGCGGCCGGCGACTGACTCTCTCGTTGCATTCGCGACGCCGTGCTGCCGCAGGCGCAGTCAGGGGCGCGGCACCTCGCGGCGTGGGTCGCGGCCGGCATTCGCAGCTTCCGCGTGGAGCTCGTCGACGAGGCCCCCGACGCCGTCGCCCCCATCTTGGACGGCTACCGCGCTGTTCTGGAGGGGAGGAGGTCCGAGGAGGAGCTGATGGCGGCGCTGTCGCGGCTGCAGGACCGCAACGGGCGCGCGCAGGGCGTGGGCGAAGGGTCGCTCGCGGTGCGCGCGGAGCGCGACCGCGCGACGCTGAATCCGACGGCGGCGACGAAGCGCGCTGCGGCGCGCGCGTCGTGACGTTGGTCCGGCGAGACGCGGGCGGGTGTTCGGGTTGTCGCTTTGTGTCACAGGTTGCAGCTGCGACGTTGTCCGTCTCAGGAGGACTGCCCGCGAAGCGTGTGACTTCTCGTGGCTAGCTGGACCTCCGCTTGAACGACACGGCGCCCTTCTTCGCGTCGAACTCGACGGAGAGCGCCAGCCCGATGCCCTCCCACGGCCCCGACGCAGCAGAGCGGCCCGAGTAGTACAGCCGCCACTTGTCCGCGGCCATCGGGACTGCGACGCAGAAACAAAACAAAACGCGCGCTCAGCCACCGCATCGCAACGCTCGCGCAGCCCGTGGCCGCGGAATCAACACAGCTCGATGAACTAGCAGGTGGATAGAGGTTTTCGTCCCACTTTTGCGTCTTGGAGTAATACAGTGCAGCGCCGCGGATGACCTGGATCGACTTGGCGAGGAGTCGTTCTTGCGAGCCGTGAGCGAGCGAATTTCTGCCAACTCCTTTTCGGCTGCGTTGCTGGTCGGATGCAGACGACGGAAGGCCGGCAGCGAAGCGACCAGCAACGCAGCCGAAAAGGCAGAAATTCGCTCGCTCACGGCTCGCAAGAACGACTCCTCGCCAAGTCGATCCAGGTCATCCGCGGCGCTGCACTGTATTACTCCAAGACGCAAAAGTGGGACGAAAACCTCTCTATCCCGTGAACCGCTCCCCCGGCGGGTGCAGGGTCGTCCTGTGCACATCCTGTCTGTCTGCGTGTGTTCAAACTGCGCCTTTGCGCGAAAACCAGGCGAGAAAAATCACGTAATTTGCGCGCGAGCGCAAGCCAAGTCAGCTCCGCGGCCCCTCGCCCCCCCGCGGGCACTCACCTGGACACGGCGTCCCGACGCTGCCGGCATCCCACGCGCCGTCCGCGCCCGCGGTCAGCACGGGCTCCGGCAGCGCCTTCCACCCGTCCATTCCGTTCTTCGACGTCGCCAGCCCGATCGCCGTCGTGCCGTCCTCGGCCACCCCCTCGTAAAACATCAGATACTGCTTCGACCCTGCGTCACGAATCACCTGCTGGTGGCGCGGCCCCATGGCGTCCCACGCGTTGCCGGAGCCCTCGAAGATAATGCCCTTCTTCGTCCAGTCGAAGCCGGTCGGCGACGTCGCCACCCCGATCCGCGAGCGGCCCGTAGCGGGGTCCGCGGCGGCGTAGAAGAGTCGCATGTCGCGCGGACCCGCATTGAACATCTGCGCGCCGCGCACGAAGAGCTCGTCCCACTCCCCCGCGTCGCCTGCGGCCAGCGCACGCGCGTGCAAGCGCTGACGGCCCGTGCTATGACTAGCAGCACACGCAAACTCGACGCCGACGCGCACATGCGGTGCGGACCTGCGTCGAAGATGGCGCCGGAGTGGTGCTCGCCCTCGATCCGCGCCCAGTTCCGCCCGTCCTGGCTCAGCGCGAGCCCTGGACGCATGCGCAGCCCCTCCACGGCCGCCCCATCCGGGCCCACCGCGCCCACGTCGACGGGCTCGAAGTCGCCCCCCGTGTAGAACATCCAGTACATTCCCTCCCCGCCGTTCACGCTCCCGCTCGACAGCACCTGCACGTCGTGCGTCGTCACGTGCATCGTGTCGTGCGACCACCACTCGTCCGCGTTCGGCGCGAACACGACCCCGACGTCCTCCTCGCCGCTCGGGCCCTTCACGCCAGAGATCGCGCCGGCCCCGCGCAGCCAGTTCACGCCGTCCGAGCTCCTGCACGCACCCACAAACGCCACAGCGCTCTCAGTCGGACACACGTCCCAAACACACCCCCCCGCTCTCCGGCGCGGCACGCGCGCGCAGGGGCCGCACCGCGCGATCCCGACCGAGCCGGCGCCGGGCGCTACGGCGTCCACGGACTCCAGCGCGCCCCCCTGCTCCTTGCTGCGCCCGGTGTACCACAGAAACCACCGCGTTCCTTCGTCGTTGAGGAAGTACCTGCGACTCACGCACGCGGACGAGGCTGCCAGATACTGTGGCTGCTGCGTGGGGCGTGGGGCGCCCTGGATTTGTGCAGGAACGCGGCGATGGAGGCGTGGAGAAGGTTGGAGTGTTGTGTGATCCGTTCGCGATTGCGGCAGCGTGGACTCAGAAAGCGTTTCGTGGGCGCGATGGCGCGTTGATGATCGCGTGCGCGCAACGCGACGGTCCGCGGCGCCGGTGGGCGCCGCATCGGCGCGCGGCGCGGCCCTGGAGTGCGTGGCGGCGCTGGTCCGTGCGGCCCGGGGCGCGGGGGCGAAGGCGAACCTGACGACGGGGTACCCCACGCTGGCGTCGTCCCAGTCGCCGTCGTTCCCGAGGCCGAAGATGAGGCCTGCGGCCTCCGTCGCGGTCGCACTGTTGGACGCCCTGACGGCACTGCGTAGCCTGGACGCGCGCGCGCCGGGGGCGATGCGGGCGCTGGGCCGCCGGAGGCCGCAGGCGGGGGCGTGGGCGGCTCCGCAGAAGCGCGGGGCTCCCACGGCGGCCATGGCGGCGCGGTTGTGTCGACGAGAGAGTGCGCTGGAGCAAGGATCTGCGGATTGTGGAGCCCAGGTGCGTGGCCGTGCCCTTTGGACCGCGCGAGAGCGTCGTGCACGGTGGAGAGGGGGATCTGAGGCAATGGGCCGGTGCGTTTGCGGCGCGCGCGGGGCGTGCCGGCGCGCGTCGGGCTGTGCGTGGGACGGACGGGCAGGGCGTCGCTCCGTGCGCGGCGGCATCGGGGGGCCGGGGCGCGGGGTGGGAGGCAGGCACGCAGAGACGCTTGGCGCGGCCGGAAGAGTACCGAAAAGGCGGCGGAGCACCCGTGGGCGTGCGCGCGTGAGACGACTGGCGAACTGGCGCGCGAAATTGCGGCCCCTGGGTCCGGCGGCACTCGTGCTGCGTCGGCAGCTGGATCTGGCGCAGAGAGGGCGGTCTCGGGGGACAAGATGAGCTTCAAGCATCCGTCAGAGAGCAGGCTGGACCCCTCGGTAATGCCTGTAGCAGGTCTTCCGAGCTCGCAGGCCGCCAAGTGAGTTCCAACCACCCCGCTCGCGATCTTTCTCGCACGCACGTGCACAACCTAGGCCGCTGCGCGCTCCATTCATGTGCGAGGGAGTTTGACCGCTTCGCCCACCATCAACGAAGACCACGGTGTCCCTACCGCCTAGGCACCGTTGTACCCACGTTTCCGCCGCATTTCGCGCGCCACATCCACCTTTATCCCACAAACAACCGATCCAAAGCGCTTCTACCCGATGTTTCCCCTCGACTCCCCAATGGCGGGCCTCCGTGCCCTGCCAGCCTGCTCCCCCTGCGCGCGCCGCCACGCCACTCCGCGGTCGCAACATCCCCCTCCACGATCCCAATCCCACCCGATCTTCCAGCGCGCGGCCGCGCTGGCCCCGCAACGGCCCCAGCCGTCCCGTCCGCCCACAGCGACCACAGCTGCCAGGCCGCCACCTGCCGACCTCCGCCCGCCCGCACCGGGCCCCCACTGCCCGCCCCCGCCCCCGCCCCACCGAGCAGCCTCCACACCCTCCCCCGCGCGCGCCCCCCGCGCCCCGGCGACCCCCCCACCGCGCACAGCGGCACCCCCCCCTCCCTCGCACGCCTATGTGTACCCCCCCTGCCCGCCCCAGCACCCCCAGCTCCCTCACGCATCCTCCGCGCCCCCCCCCCGCGCCCCGCGCTCCGCAGATCCACCTTCCGCGGCGCCCCGATCGTCAACGACTGCGTGTACACCAACGGCGGCGCGCGCGAGCACGTCACGCTGCTCCCGAGCATCCGCCGCATGTCCGGCGACGCGCGCTCGCTGCCCTCGACCCTCCGCCGCAACGACATCTCCGGCGCCGTCCCGCGCGTCACGATCCCGCTTCGCACCGGCCGCTTCACCAGCCCACTCGACCCTGACTACGTCCTGCCGTCGCCGGGGGCGTTCGTGCCGGTGCCGGGGCGGTTCAGGCAGGTCCGTCCGAGCGCGACGATCACGCGGCGGGACATCTTCGGCGCCGCGCCGCAGCCGCGGACGAACGTGCGGTCGCCGACTGCGGCGCAGCAGGTGGAGGCGCTGGCCACGGCGGTGCGGGCGCCGCGGACAAGGGCGCCGGCGAAGCACCCGATGTGGAGCCTGAACACCAAGGACATCACGGGGGCGCAGCCGCGGACGTACTGGTCGCCGCTTGACCCGCGCTCGCATTACAAGCGATCGGAGGTGAGGGATGCACAGTGCAGTGTCGCTCCAGCTTGCGCCTTGCACCCGTCGTGGACGTGTGGGCGCCCCAGCGTTGGAGTAGCTGTACAAGCAGTCCCCGCCGTCGCCTGTGCGCTCTCAGGGCAAATGCACACTGAGAGCGCACTGGCGACGGGGCGACTGTACAACTACTCCAACGCTGTGGGTGTCGGTATGCCCACGACGGGTGGAGCGGGGCGAGAGGGGAGCGCGTGAATGCGTGGCTCGCCCGTGCCGTACTCGCGCGGCGAGCGAGCCGGGCGACGACGACTCCGGGCCACTTGTGCCACCCACCAGTCTGTCTTTGGGCTCTCTCGTCGGCTTTTTTCTGTCGTCTCTCGCTGGGGCTCCACTTGCGGTCCGCTCGCCCGCGTGCCCGCAGATGCTGGACCGGTCGCTGAAGGCGGAGGACATCTGCGGCCCCCCAAAAGCGCTCCTGGCGCACGGCACCAAGAACGTCGCCGGAACAATGCCCGGTGCCAAGCGCATTACCGTCATCAACCGGCCGCTCAACTTCATCGAAGCGTTCGCGCTCTGACGCCCGACCGTTCCGCAGCGCACGTCCGAACCACCGGCGCCGGAAACCTCGGCGGCAGCAGCGCCACAGTTGTTATTGTTGAACAATGCATGTTGGTGCCTGATCGTTCCTGGATCCCGCACTCCTGCAGCTACGCCACCCCCCCTCTGCACCGTCAGATGGGCGCGCAGCGGGCTGAGACGTCCCTCGCGCTCCCCTTGGCAGAACACATGTGACAATTGACACAGGCCCACGCGCGCTGCGAGCGGCGCTCGGAACAGAACCGAACGCGGACGCACGCAAAGCCGCCCTGCAGGCTCGGCGCCCCAACACACACTGCGGCAAACGGTTGCACGGTTGCTTGAAACAGATAAGTATTTCCTCATGAACACTCAAATGTACGAAGTACAAGGGCGTATGTATGTCTTTCACAACTTGCCGCGCGCCCCTAGGCGATCGGGTACGACGTCACGCGTCCGCTCGCATGCAGCGCCGACAACACCCCCCCCCCGCCCACAAAACTCAGCGCCTCAATCGGCTCCAGGTCCCCCCCCGCGTCCGGCGGACCCGGCGACACGTACCCCACGAAGCTCGGCCGCACCGTCACGCCGGAGCTCACCGCCCACAGCGCCACGCACCCGCGCGCGGGGTGGTCGCCGCCCAGCGCCACTGCCAGCCGCGTCCCATCCTCGCTCAGCGCGAGCCCCGTCACGACCGGGCCGGGCCAGCCCTTCCCCGGCGCGTCCCTCCGCTCCAGCTCGCTCAGCGGCAGCGACAGCACCGTCGGGTGCACCGACGGCGGTCCGCTCAACCGCATGCACGCCAGCTGGCGGCAGCCCTCGTACGCCACGAAGACCGTCGCGGCCGCCCTGGCGCCGCCCGGCCCCCACACCGCGTGCGACACGCCGCCCGACGCCCGCGAGGCCTCGAGCCGGCTGCACACCCACGTCCGTGTCAGCCAAACATGTGTCGTACCCGAACAGTCCCCCGCCAGCATGTACGACCCGCACTGCGACCACGCGATGGTCCGCGCCGGGCGCGGCGACGCCTGCACGCGCGTCTGCGAGCCCGTCGTCGCGTCCAGCACCACGACGCCCCCGCGGCCTTGCATGCTGTACGCAATCAGACCGCCGCACGGGGCCCACGCTAGGGCGCCGACGGAGCCCGTGGCGCCGCCCGGCGGGGCGTGGTGCGCGGCGGAGCGCCAGAGGCCTCCGGGTTTCGCGGCCCGGAGGCGCGAGGGCGACACGACGCCCTGCTGCGGCGCGTGAACAGCCGCGGGGATGTCCACGAGCCACACCCCCCCCGGGGCGCACCCGACGGCGACGACGCTGCTGGACTGCGGGCGCCACGCGACGCAGGTGGGTGCGGAGCCGGCGGGCAGGGCGATGGCGACGGAGGGGGGGAGCGCGGGGGGGAGTCGGCTCGTGGCGGGCGCTGCCGACACTGTTGTGACGAGAACGGCCGCGGTCGGAGCGCCCGCGACGACTGCGATGCGGTGCGCGTTGCCCGGCGCGGCCTGGGTGTCCAGGCGCTGGCAGGGGAACCCGCCGGAGTCTGCAGGAAGGAAGACACCGCCCCGGTTCGTTCAAACATGGTCGGCGCTTGCGTCGCCTTGATTGACTGGCAAACCGCGCCCCGGTTGCACAACGGCGGGAGCCGCCGCGAGCTGGCAAGACGGGCGCCGACGCGCCGCGGCGCGGCCGTGCGGGCGCGTCGCGCGGCCCCCGCGGTGGCGCGCACACACCTGCGACGCCAAGCGCAGCCGCCAGAGTGTCCTGCGGCGCGCTGATGGTCGTCCAGATCAGTCTGAGCGCCCAGAGAGCGAGGCGGATCAGGCCTGGAGCCGCGGGGCCCGCGTCCGCGCGCGTGTGCCGCCGCTGCGCGCCGCCCCGGGCTTCAGTCTGCACGCACGCGAGGCATTGCGATCGAGGATTGATGGTTGCGGGCTCACACGTAGAGGATCGACTGCGCCGCGTGGTAGGACGGGCGCTGGGCATGGCGGGCGGAGGCAGTTCGGGGCGGATCGGGCCGGAGAGAGCCCAGTACGGGAGTTGGCGCGCATGGAAGTTGTGCGTTGGCGCGCGGGGGGGTCGTGCGGGCCGACCTGGCCGTGTCCGACGCTGACGGAGCGCACGTCGTGCTCCTTCCGGTACGCCTCGTCGCCCGCGCGCGCAGACAGGTCCGGCAGGACGCTTGCGCCGGCACACACCCCGATGACTTGCACACCATCGCAGCTGCTCTGCTGCGCCACCTCGACGTCCACGAGCCTGCCCCCGACCTCCCCTATCGTCCTGATCATCTCAGTCACCTACAAGCGCCGCTGTCCCAGCCGGAGACCTCCGCGGGGCGCAGAACCGGCCGCTCCGGACTGCGGACACAACGCAATACACACTGGCCGCTCACGCGCAGCACGGGGCCGCAGGATGCGTCGCGAGCGCGCCGCCGAGTCGCGCTGGCCCACGGGCGGGCGCGGCGATGGCGGCGGGCCGCAGCCCGCCAGTCGGACGCGCTCGAACGGCTGTATGTCAGACAGGAGCTGCGCCCCGGGGCTGCGGGGCGGCCCCGCGCGCACGCATCGGGCCGCGGTTGCGCGGCTGGGTGGCAGTTGTTGGACTGAATCGGCAGGGCGGGTGCCCCGATCCGTGTCGCCTCGGCACGGCCAGTCTTTGAGCGTAAGTCACCTTCCGGGAGGGTCGCAGCCCGCAGTGAGCGTGGCGGCAGCGAGGCCCGGAGCGGACGCGGTGAGCGCGCGGAGAGCGAGTTGAGGAATCTTGTCAGGTGCGTGCGCGGGGAGTCCCGCGCCCGCGGTGCGAGGACGGGGCAGAGAGAGCATGGGGATGGTATCCGCGCGGGTGCCTTCGCGCGGCCTCGAGAGGCGCCACGTTCGCGCGGATGACGGGGACTTTATTCCGTTGGACCGCCTGGGCAGCTGCGAGTGCCCCGACGGTGTCGAACGACCCGTACTCGGCGGGACACAAGCTGCTGCGCCTCCGCGCCGCGCTCTGGACGCGATATTCCACCCGATGCGATCACACATTAATCATCACTCGCGGAATCATCGCGCGCCGTGATCGAAAGCTGCGCGGCTAGGCCGCGCTGGCGCCTTGCAAGCCCCCAGGCCCTCCGCTGCCCTCCCCGCGCCGCGACATCACCGCGATGACGCCCGACGTGCCACGAGCAGCGCACCCCCGGTGCCGTCGCGCCCGCACCGGCCCGCCAACCCGCACCCCGCGCCCTCTTCAGCGCCGGGGAACGCAAAGCACCACAGGGCTCTTCGTTCCTCGATGTCCGGTCCACCGTCACGCAGGACGTCCCCTGCTCCGCAGACAAGCCACGATGACGGAGCAGCGAGCCCGCTTGCGCACTTAGCTCGTCCGCGGAGGGCTCATCGGCGGCGGGAGCGAGCAGGAGAGCTGTAGCGCTCAGGGCCCGTGGCGGCTTCCGTCTGCAGCGGACGTGCTCGGTCGGCGCCGCTCCGGCACCACCACGATGGACTCGCGGCAGACCGGGCGCGGGGGCGGCCGCAGCGCCGTCACCGACGTCGGCGCCGGCGCGACAACCGCCACCCTCCAGTGTTCCTCCCCCACGGGCGCGGGGAACCCGGACACGCGCGAAATCGAGACGCTGCTGGCGAACGTGAACGAAGCGCTCAGCGAGCCGGGGTTCGTCGGCGCCGGAGAAGCGCTCACCGACCTCCAGGTACGCACTGCAAGGCCTCGGGCGCTCTGCGGTCGCCCGCGCGTGGCCGCTCGCGCCCGCCAGCCCCTCGCGCCCGCCGCGCCAGCACGCTCCACTGCAGTTCCCTCCCCTGCGCCCCCCACCCGCGCCACCCGACCGCAAGCACGGTCTCAGCGCCGCCCAGGCCCTCCGCCCGCTCACTCACGCCCGCCCCCCGCCCCGCCCGCAGCTCCATCTCTCCCGCGGCATCGCCGACCTCACCCAGACGCTCTACCAGCGCCTCTGGCTCGTCGCCCAGACCGCGGCGCTCTCCGGCGAGCCCATGACCGTGGTTGCAGCCTTCCAGCTGGTAGAGGCGCTAGCGCAAGTGTGCCGCGGGTGCTCGCAGGTAACGACCGACGCCCGCCCTCCCGCGCCGCGCGCCGCCAGCCCTGCGCCCCTCCGCCGCAGCCACCGCCGCCGCAGCCATGCGATCTATGCACACATGCCGCCGCCGACCGCGGCTGCGGCCCGGCGGCCCGGCGGCCGCGCAAGGCCCCGCGTCGCGATCCTCACGCGCGCGCAGCCCCCCGCGGCCGACACCGCCCGCTCACAGCTCTGCGCCGCGCTCTCCGATGCGATGCAACCACGCGCGTAGCGGCCGCCCCGCCGCACGCAGCACCCGCACCGCGACGAGCGGCCCGCGCCTCGGCCCCGACGACCCCCTCACGCACCTCCCCGCTCAACCCCGAAACAATACAATACCCCCCCCCCGACCCCCCCCCTTGCTGCAGGCGCCTGACTGGGTGGAGATCCCGCGGGATGTGGCGCCGAAGTGCGTCGTCGCCGCGATGGGCAAGCTCCGCGAGGACCCCGCCGTGCAGGCCGCGGGCGTGCGCGCCATCCAGTCCCTCACGGGGTGCCTGGTGTGCCACAGCCACCACGAGGGGCCTTTGCAGGACGCCATTGGCGAGGCCGGCGCGATCGAGGCGCTGGTCGGCGCGATCCCCACGCTGCGCGGCGCGATCGAGGAGCAGGCGGGCGCGCCGCTGCTCATGGGCCCGGGCACGTCGCCCGTGGGGGCCGGCGGCGGTGCAGGGCCTGACGCACCCCCGGGGGTCGACCCCGCCGCTCTGGACGACCACTGCCAGACGATGACGGACCTCCTGCACGCGCTGCACTTCATCTGCATCGGGAACCGCCCGAACCTCCTCCGGCTGCTCCGCGCGGAGTGCCCCGAGTGCGGCGTGGCGGGGGGGGAGTTTCCGGGCCTGACGCTGCTCGGGAACGTCATCACGTGGTGCGGCGCGTTCCCGGGCGTCGCGGTGCACACGGCCGTGCTCCTCAGCGAGGCCGCGTGCTCCGGCGTGCTCCCGCGCGACACAGCGGTCTTCCAGTTTGACTTCCTGGTGGTGCTGGCGATGGACCAGGCGGAGCGGCCGCGCGCGCTTTCCGGGATCATCTGGGCCGCGGGGCGCTTCCTGTCGTCGTTCTGCCGCCCGCGCGGCGCCCCGCTGATCGACTGGGACCACGACGGCGGCAACAAGGACCTCGAGACGGTGGAGTCGAGAATCGACAACTGCTGGGACACCTCGCACGCCCGAGTGGTCCCCGCGGCGCTGCACATGCTCCACCGGTACCTCGGCGAGGGCATCGCGGGCGCGGGCGTCGGCGACGCGGAGTCGGCCGCGGGCGACGACGCCCGCGTGGCCATGAAGCACGCACTTGACCTTCTCGCCGTCGTGGGGCCGCGGGTGTGCGAGAACAACCAGTGGGCGCGCGAGGAGACGCCGACGCTGCTCGAGCTCTGCTCGTTCCTCCTCGCCGTCGTGCGCGGCGTCGGCGACATGTGGACGCGCGCCGCCGCGCTGCGTGCGCTCTACTTCGTCCTCACGCACCCGCACGCCGCGGCGTGCCCCGGCTGCGCGCACCAGCTGCTCGCGCGCGCGCTCGGCGAGGTCGTCGACGTGATGGCCGCCGCGCGCGACGCGCAGCCGCGTTGCACGAAGGAATCGTTCGCGCTGCATACGTACGGCCTCGCCGCGCTCGGGCTCCTCCTGGGCCGCGTGCTGGACGCGCGGCCGGAGGACATCGACGCGCACGCGCGGTCGTGCCACGAGGACACGCTCAGCGACGGGGAGTGGTCGTCGGACGGCGGCCACGCCAGCGGGCACGACGCGACCACGCCGCTGCTCCTGCACCACTACTGGCCGTCCCTGCACGCGGCCGCGGACTACATGCTGCTGTTCGTCGGCTCGCCCGCGCGTCAGCGCGAGGGGTTCGACGACGAGCTGGGCGACACGGCCCCGCCTGGGTCTGACAGGGCGGACGGCGTCGGACTGGACCTCGAGATGACCCCGGGGTGTTGCAAGTACTCCTACCGGTGCTACCACCTGCACGAGCCGGTCAAGGGCCGCGAGGTCCTCCGCGCCGTCGAGGGCGTCACGTGCGCGCTGCTGAACCCCGTGCTCGCGCCCGGGGACGCGCGGGCTGCCGCGGAGCTGGCGGCGCAGTCCCCCGGGCCGGACCAGGGCATCAACGGCGCGTACGGCCCGCTCGGGAACACGCTCCTGCACCGCGTTGCGGCCTCGGGCGTCCCCGAGGCCGTGACCATCGTGATGGGCCTCGCGGGGCCGCATCTGGACCTGCTGCGGCGCAACCGCCACAGCGCGAACGCGCTGCAGCTGGCGAAGGAGGGGCGGCACGCGCGCGTGGCGGCGATCCTGGAGCGCGCGATGGAGGCCGCGGCGCTCGCGGCGCAGGAGGCGCTGCTCACGGAGCTCGACGGCGACGGGGGCGGCGGCGGGGCGGCCAAGGCGGGCGGGAAGGCGGGCAAGGCGCGGCGGAAGGCGCGGAAGCAGGCGGCGAGCGCGGCGGCGAGCGGGCAGGCGGCGGCGAAGGACGCGCGGGCGGCGGGCGCGGCGCAGGACGCAGCGGAGGCTGCCGAGCGGCGGCAGCAGGCGGAGGAGGAGGCGCGGCGGCGGGCGGAGGAGGAGCGGGCGTACGAGATGGCGCTGGAGGAGCGGCGGCGGCAGATTTTGCGGGAGGCGCAGCGGAGGGAGGAGACGGCGCGGGAGGCGGCGGCGGCGGCGGAGCGGCGCGCGGCGGAGAAGGTCGCGCGGGCGGCGGCGGCGCGGGAGGCCGGGCAGGGTGGCGGGAAGCGGAGGAGCAAGGGGGAGGAGAGGGAGCGGGAGAAGGAGAAAGATAAGGGCGCGGAGAAGGGGAAAGATAGTCTCCGGGAGAAGGAGCGGGACACAGACAGAGCAAGGGGCAGGGACGCGGGGGCGGAGGCGGCGCCGGTTGCGGGCGTCAAGGCGGGCTCGGGCAAGGCCAAGGAGCGCGCGGAGCCGCAGCAGGCGGGGTCGCCGGGGGCGAGGAGCAAGGAGGGGGCGGGGGCCGGGGGAAAGGAGACCGGTGCGGCACAGGGCGGGAAGCAGGGCGGGAAGCAGGGCGGTGCGGCGGCGAAGGCGGCCGCGGCGCCGAAGCGCGCGCCGGGAAGCGGCATCGCGACGGTGGTGGTGCCGGTGTCGAACGCTGGGGCGGCGCGCGCGCAGGCTGCAGGGCGCGGTGCGAAGGGCGTGGCGGGGCGGCCGATGGTCGCGACGGTGATGCCCGTGGCGGTGTCGGGCGGCGCGGGCCGCGGCAGCGGCGCGAACGCAGCGACGAAGCCTGCGGCGATCGCCGACGCGCCCGCGCCGGCCACGAACCCGTGGACGCGCAAGCCCGGGTCGCTGGCCGCGGGGGGCGGCGCGCAGGGGTCGCCGCCAAAGCCCGAGGACGGCGCGGCGGAGGCCGCGGCGGCGGACGCGGTCCCCGCGCCGCAACAACCGCAAGCGGCGTCTCCGCCCGCGATCGCCCCCGTGGAGCCCCTGGTTGGGTCCGCGCCGCTGGCGACGGAGCCGTTCGCGCGGGCCGCGCCGGCGCCGGACGTCGAGGCCGCGCCCGCGGTGCCTGCGCCGCCGTTCGGGCTCGGGTGGGGTCTGGGCGAGGCGCAGCCGGCGCCGCCGCCGCCCGGCGCTCCCGGGCCGCACTCGCTCATGTCTGACCCGCACGGCGGGCTCGGGTTCGGCGGTCCGGGCTGGCTTGGGCTCGGCGGGCTGGGCGCGGCCGCGGGCGCGCACGCGGGGAGCCACGACGACGACGACGGCGCCCCGGACGACGACGGCACTCTGCGGCATCTGCTCGGGGGGCTTGCGCTGGGCGACGACGGCGACGACGGCGACGCCGCGGCGCCGCAGAGCAAGGCCAGCGCGCAGCCGGGCCCGCCGCCGCAGCCCGACGGCGCGGGGGGACTTTTCGGGTCGTTCGGGGGGTCTCCGTTTGGCGGCTTCGGATTCGGCATGCTCGGCACGTTCGCGTCGGACAGATGGGGCGGCGGGAGCGCGGGCAGCGCCGAGAACGTCGCGCCGGACGCGGCCGCCCCGCCGGCGGGCGTCGGCGCGGCGCCCAACGGCGCGGAGCGCCACACCGTCGCCAATGAGAACAACAACGCCCCCCGGGGGGCGTCGGTCCCGGCCGCGGCGGCGCCGCCGCCGGACCAGGGGCGCGCGGGCGGCGGCGGCGGTTCGGCGAAGCAGCACGCGCAGGGGGGCCACGCGAGCGCCGAGGAGCCGCGAGCCATTGGGCGGTATCTCTGGTTGGGTAATTTGAAGCACAACGTCCCGCGGCCGGCGCTCCTGCGCGTGTTCGAGCCGTTCGGCGCGATCCAGGACGCGGTGACGTTCCCGGGGATGCAGTACGCGTTCGTGAACTTCATGACGCGCGCGGACGCGGCGCGCGCCGCCGAGGCGCTGCACGGGACGGTGATTCCCAGCATAACGGGCGACCGGCGGCTGATTGTGCGGGCGCGGCCGGCGAAGCAGAAGCTCGGGCGCGTGCCGCAGGGCGAGGTGGACCCGATGCTCGCGCCCGCGAACGGCGGCTCGGGCGGGTCGGGCGGCAGTGTGGGGGACGGCACAGGGAAGGGCGCGTGGGGGGGCGGCAAGGGGGGTGTGTCGGGCGGGGAGCGGGAGGGGCGCGCGACGAACGGACACGGATCCCCGCGGTCCATGCCGGCCGAGGGCGCGCCGACGCGGCACCTCTGGCTCGGGAACGTGCTGTTGCGGCCGCCGGCGGGCGCCATCGAGAGGCTGTTTGCGCAGTTCGGGAAGCTGGACAACGTGCGGACGTTCCCGGGGCTGTCGTACGCGTTCGTGAACTTCGTGAGCGACGCGGACGCCGCGCGGGCGCGGTACGGCCTCGACGGCTCTCAGAGTCACCCGGCGATCACGGGGGGGCGGGCGCTCATCGTGCGGTTCCAGAACTCCGGGTCCGTGGGCGGGAGCTCGCAGCAGGGGTCGACGGGGGGCGGCGCGGCTGTGGAGGCGGTGCGGTGAGGTGAGGAGGGGGGGGGTGTGCGGTTTGAGGGATCGAGGTCTCGGGGGGAGTTGGGGAGAGGGCCTGTGCGGGGTGCGAACAATAGGAGGGCGGGCATGTGACGCAGGCGTCTCGTTCGCGTGTGCGTCGCGGGGAACTGCGACGGAAGGGAACCACGGGGTGTGTGCGGTGCTCAGGGCCGCGTTGCTATCTGCGCACAACAGTAACCATGGCCCGTCCATCACGCCGGCTCGCGCCTAAAACCCCGTGCGGCGAAGCGACACTCGCGGCTACAGGAACGCGACGCCACAGCGGACGACCACTGGCGCCGACCGAACCATACAAAGCGAGCGACGACGCAGTCGTGCCACAGCGTCGTCGACCCCCCACCGATTTCCCTCGCTTCCTCACACGCATTCATGCACCGCACCGACACTCCCCCCTCCCACCTCCTCGACAGCTGCTCACGGTCCCGCGCGCGCGGAGCCCCTGGACCCGCCCCGCGCCACGGAACTAGCCGACGAGGTCACCGTGCCCGTTCCGCGCGACGTCACCTCCGCGGACGCGACCCCGGGGCCCTCGACCGTGCGCGTCGTCGTCGTCTGGCTGCCCCCGGGGGTGTCGACCGTCTCCGTCGCCTCCCGCACCGTCGTGTCGTCGGCGGCGGTCGGAAGCAGGACGGCGTCGATGGTGTGCACGACGCCGTAGCAGGAGAGCGCGTCGGGGGACGTCACGGCGGCGGAGGAGCCGCGCCCGACGATGCGCACACCGGACTCCCCCCTGTTGACGGTGAGCGTGGTGCCGCCGAGCGTAGTCAGGGACTGGCCGTCCTGCGAAGCGACGGGGGACGGGGGTTGGCGCGGATCTGGCTGAGCGGTCTCTGCGTGCGGGTGCTTCGCGGAAAGAAAAACAGGGAAACTACGACTTCGATTGCAAGTTGTTGGTCTAACTAATGTCTGTTCCAAGTTGAGCTGCGTGTGCATCGCTGGGGCCGTGTTTCCACAGACGGAGACGCGCCGCGGTCAGGTTCGGGCGAGATCTCACCTCGAGGTCGGCCGCCTTGGCCGCTCGTCCAGGCACGACGTGGTACTTGAGAACGTCGCCCAGCAAGACCTTGTTTCCCAGTAGAGCGTCCTTCGACACTCCCAGGTCCTCCAGGAGCCCCAGGAACGCCGCCTCCGTCGGCGCGAACAGCGTTCCGGAGAACTCAGGCCGCTCCAGAGCCCCGAGCAGACCCGCGCCCCTCGCAGCCTCGACCAGGGTGGGAAGATTGCCGAGCAATTCAGACGGTGAGGTGCAGCAGGCGCAGGCGCCGCAGGTCACCTCGCAGAACCGCGACCCGCCGCTCGGCGGAGCCTTTTGCATAAATCCGAACGAACACTTGCCGAAGTCGCGCTGCTGAGCGCAGGAGAAGTCGGCGGAAGGGGCAACATCAGTGCACCCACAGCCCGGCACGAGGACCGCGAGGGACCCCTGCGGGGGTCGTTCCGGACGGGGACGGACCGCTGTGAAGTGCGCTGGGGGCGCGGAGCGGGCGGGGGCGGGGCTGGCGATGCGCGGTGAGGATGTGTCTGTGCCTGGGAGGCAACGGCGAACAGGAGGGCGCACAGGAGAGCGCCCTGCCGTGTTGCGCCGCGGAGCCGGTCCAGCGCCATCTCTTCGACGTGAGAAGACGCCCGGCCGGGGGCTGCGCGACGGTCGGGCCACGAAGCGCGCGGGTCCAACTCTGCGGGTAGTTGCAGCTGTGGGCAGCGTCGAAGTCGCACGATTCTGAGCGCGAAGCTGCGAGGAGACGGTCCAAATTGACCGCAAGTGTCTCGCGCGCCCGCCCTCCGCGCGGCGCGCCGGTCCAACTGGGCTGCAGTTCCAGCTCACATACGCATGAGTCAGGTCCGCCGCGGCCCCCGCCGCGCAACGAAACGCTTCCGCCCTCACATGAGGTTCTGGATTTGCCGGTGGACGCCGCAGAGGTAGTCCACGTACGACGTCCCGGACGCGGTGCGGTCCTCGACCAGCCTGTTGTAGAATTCGCTCTCCCGCGCCTCGCCCGGCCGGAGGACGCGCATCCGGAGCGGCCGCTGCCGTCGGTTCTCGATCTCCTCGACCACCGCCCACAGCGCGCGGCTCAGCGGGGTGTTCTGCCGCGTGACTGCCAATGACAACTTGGCTGCCGCCGGAGTCTTGTCGCGAATGGCTAGGTAGCCCTCGTGGCCCAGCAGCTCCGACACGACCTGCGGAGCGCGTTTGCGGGCGAAGGAGGGAGCGTCCGGCCGCTGCGGGGTCTCGAAGGTCTCAATCAGGCACCGAGAGTCGAGGAAACTCGACTGGGAATCCGTGGCGCACCTCTGGCTGCGACGACACGCCGAAATGCAGCACCGCGTCGAAGCCGTCCTCGAGGAGGTACACGCCGTCCGACTCGATCAGCTCGCTCGACAGCCGCATGCGCGGCGGCATCCTGATGCCCCCAAACACCCGGAACCCCCCCCGGGGGGACTCCCCCCCGTTCTCAGCCCCCTCGGCGTCCTCCTCGAACCCGTCGAACAGCCACGGCGCCGTCTCCCGCAGCGTATCGATCCGATACATCGCCGGATACACCGTCGACGACGCCGCGGCCGGGCCCTCGGCCATCGCGGCCGCCACCGCTGCCGCGCGCACGTCCGGCGTCGCGTCCTGCCGCAGCGCGGGGGACTTCAGCAGCGCGTTCGCGTAGAGCGGCAGCAGCTTGAGGCCCTCCGGGAGGATCAGCTGCGCCATCGACGTGGACGTCGCGCAGTATTTTCGGTACGCATGCAGCACGGAGACGACATGCCGGGTGACATGCAGGCGGACGTTCGCGAGGCTGCGGCCGGGGAGCTGCATGAGGACGCGGCGCTTGAGCACCGCGACCTGCGCGTCGGTGTCCGCGGTGCGGAACACGTGGCCCAGCGCGGCGGAGGTAGGGCGAGCCAGCGTGTGGACGCGCACGCGCCGCTGGCCCTCCGGAGTGGTGTAGAGCAGCGCGGCCTGGAGGAAGACGTGCGAGCTGTCCTTGAGGCGCTCGTCGTGGCGCAGCGCGACGATCACGCTCGAGTCAGGCCCAACATGCGGCAGGTCGCAGTCCTGGGGGGTGCTGCGGAAAAAGGACCCGTAATAGTCCTCCACGGAGATCCCCTGCGAGGTGCGGACGCGCAGGATGGCCTCGAGGCCCGCCGGACGCGCGAGGGCCGCGCGGATCGTCGCGGCGAGCTGCTGCTGGCCGCTCGGGGGCGCCCAGGAGGGGATGTGAGTGGTGCTGCCTGACGTCAGCCGGGGGAGGACTGAGAGGGTCGCGACGTCCATGTACGTGCCGGGGCGCGGGCACAGCACGAGGTCGATCGACACCTGCGCGAACCGGCGGAACCGGCGCATCGTGAGTCGCGAAATCTCGATTGCCGGCCATGCGCTGAGGGGCTCGCGGAGCACCGCACGCACCTGCGCCGCAGCAGCGTCCGCCGCCACACGCTCGACCTCGCTCTTGTGCGCAGGATGCAGCACGCTCAGCGCCTCGGACTCGCTCTCCGGCGGCCGGTTGCACGCGTCCCCCCGCACCGCCAGTGCCAGCGCGCCTTCCGTCGGCAGCTGGCTCATAAACGCGTGCACCTTCCCGCCGAGCGGACGCAGCTGCTCGATGCACGCCCGCACCGCCGCGAGCCCGCACGACGGCGTTTGCGGCGCATCCTGCGGCCGCTGTTGCGCGTACTGCCCCGCGCTGCCGCCCTGGCCGGCGCCGAACAGCCCCGGCAGATCCTTCAGGAGCTGCCGCACGGCCTGCTCGCGCGGCTTGAACGGCACCAGCGTCTCGTACGCCGCGGGGGCGTACGGCTCCGTGAGATCCGGCATCACCAGCATTTGCGGGGAGGGTTGGGATCCGTCCTGGAGGCGCTCTGGGACCTGGAAGAAGGCCACGTGGCGGTCGTGCGTCGCGATGCCGATGCGCGTGCGCTTGCTGCGGCCCAGCGCGGGCAGCGCGGCGAGGATCGCGTCGCAGATGCCCTGAGTCAGGCCTGACTGGACGGCCGCGGGGGAGGTGTCGATCAGGAAGACGTGCGCGGGCTCCATGGGCTCGCGGATGCAGTACGCGGGCGGCGCGACGATGTCGATGGACCCGCGGGTGAGCTCGGGGCGCTCGCCGACGTCGCGCCGCCGCCCGTCGGTGCCGAGGTGGCAAAAGTACTCCTGCGCGACCTCCGTGAGCGCGGAACAGAAGCAGCACACGAAGGACTTCCCTCCTGCGGGGGACGGGGGCGTGCGCCGGAACGACGTGGGCTCGGCCACGCTGTTCCAACACACACTGCGGCGGCGGCGGCATGGGCGGGGCAGCCATGGCGCCCGGTGTCCTGCGCTACGCGCGCGCGGCTCAAGCGCCGCAGCTGGCGTCCGGCGCAGTTGCGGTGAGAGCGGGGAAGGGGGGGGGTGTCTCACCGTGTATGAACCGGAAAAACGGGCACACGTACGCCTTGCAGCGTCCGCACCGCGGCGGCCCCGCGGGCCCGAAGTCCACGACGGGGATCCTGTCGTCCTGCGGCCGCGTCGGCGCGAGCGGCTGCACCAGCAGCGCGAGCGGCATATTGCTAGACGCCAACACATCGCTCGACACCGGCACCGTGTTGAGCGTCATGCGCATGTGCCGCGGCCCCGCGCAGCCGCGGTCCTTCACGGAGACGTTCGCGTACGACGGCGGCGGCGCCGGGTACTTCCCGTCGTCAGAAATCGTGTAAAAGTAGTCCTCGCTTCGATCGTCCGTGGGGGGCCGCGGCATCACCGCGGGGTCGATCCCGGGCCGTGCAGCGCTGGCCGGCGCCCCGTGCTGCTGCTCGCCGGGCCGCTGGCTGAACTGCGGCGCAGGCGGGGACTGCGGCGACCGCTGCAGCGGCGCCTGGCGGCGCTGCTGCGGGGCCGCGGGGCGCCTGCGGCGGCCGCTGCGCAGGCGGCTGTCCGGGCCGCGGGCGGCGCCGCTGCGGGCGCGTGCGGGCGGGGCGCGGCGGCGGCGGGCGACCGCCCATCGTCATTCCGCCGAATTGCGCGGCGAGCTGGGCGGGCTGCATCGGCCGCGCGGGGCCGCGGGGCGGCACGGGGCCCGTGGGGCGCGGGGCGCCCATGCCCTGGAGCGGCGGGACCATCATGGGGGGGTTGGAGGGGGGGGTCGTCGGCCGCGCTGCGGGGGGTGTTCCCATGGTGACGGGGGGGCGGGGTCCAGGGAGCCAGCCCGGCGGCGGGGGGCGAGCCGGGCCGCGCGGGTCCGGTCCAGGCCGGTAGCCTGGCGGGGGGCCTCCGGGGCGCGCGCTCGGCGGTGGCGGGCCGGGGCGGGGTGGTGGTCCTGGGGGCATTTGAGGGGCGCCGGGGCGCGGTGGGCCGCGGAACGGCGGGCCGCTGGGCGGATGAGGAGGTCCTGCAAGGTGCGGGGGGGGCGGGGGACGGCGAGGTGGGCGGTGCGGAGCGCTGCGTGGTCCCGGGAGCAAGGGAGGCGGGTGGGTGCCGCTGTGTTGCGAATCGTGAACGGACGGGCTGGTTTCGTGATACGGCGTGTGGATGGTGGACTGGAGATGGCGTGGCGCGACGGGCGCCGTGAAAGATTGAGGCTGGTGGGTGTTACGGAGGCGCGATGCAGCGTGGGGGAGAAACACTGGGCCGTGCGCATCGAGCGAACGCCAGCACAGCGTGAAACTGGCTGGATGGCCTCGACAGAGCACGAGATCTGCGCGACACGCGCCGTCTGGCCCCGTGCGGCTGAACCGATCGCCCGGTGGCGCAGGATGTTTCGCTTTGTCAAGTGCCGCGCTCCCACGTCGCATGCACCCGCCGGGACGCACGCCAGAGCCAAGCCAGCAACAATGCCGTCCTCTGCGGCAAGCTCTCACTCGGCTCTAGGCGCTCGGGCGCTCGGGACGCACCTCGGGGAGCTCCGCCAGAGAGCGCGGCAGCACTTTGCGGGCCCTGCGGCCACGCGCCGGGCGGCCGCTGGTCCCGCTGCGGCGGCTGGCTCATCTCGCCGTCTACGTCGCTAGCTCCACGTGCCGGAACACGCACTGCGAGCTCCCATCCGGCCGCTCTGGCGCCCTTCCTCCGGGACAGCTGCTCGCCCGCGCTCGCTCAGCCAGCGCGTCAACCCGTCGACGTGATCGCCGCAAAGGAAAGAACGGGCTCTCGGGAGTGACGAGCGCGGGCGGTGGCCAGCCCTCTTCTGGCGACCTGACTGACAGCTGCGCTCCTGACTCATGAACACTTTACACTTACTTACTTCTACTCCCTGAGACACCCGCGGCACAGTTTCATCACCACACGAAACCGCCGTCATCCCGGACGTTCCGACACACCCCAAAACGCCAGCCTCAGGGCACAGCACCGTGCTGCACGCCCAAACACACAAGCCCCCCCCCCACCCCTCCATCCCGCCCGTCACGGCGTCCGCAGCGTCCTCCACGTCTCGTACGGCGCGAACTCCTCCTCGAAGTGCGCGCTCAGCGGCCCGTGCGCCACCAGCACGCCGTCGCAGATCACCGTCGGTCCCATGTCGGTATAACGCGGCTGGCACTCGAGGCCGTAGTTGTCGATGTCGGTCCGCACGCGGAACCCGGCCTCGTGGAAGAACCGCGTCACGTCGCTGTGGTGCGTCCCGGGGATCTGGTGGTACCACTCCTGGTGGCTATGCGTCCCGATAACGGCGGTGCGGACGCGCGCGCGGAACGCCTCGATCAGCGCGCGGTCCTTCGGATCGAACAGCACGAACTCGCAGCCCTGCAGCCGCGCGCGCGCCCCGGCGGTCAGCGCGGCCGCGAGAGCAGTACACGCTGACAAAGCGGGGGGGGGGGCGGTGTTGGAATTGCTACGGGGGGGTGTGGCTCGCCTGGCAGTCCATGTGGAAGACGTCCACGATCGCGCCGTCCGCGAGCTCGTCGAACGCGTCGGCGAGGTTGTCCAGGAGCCGTTCGACGACCTTGACGCGGGCCTCGCCGCGCTCAGGGGGGGTGTCGAACGCGGCGGCGGCGGCGGCGCCGCGGAACGCCGGGATGCCGTTGCGCTGCATGTGGCGCTCCAGGCGCGCGAGCGAGCTCGGGTCGACCTGCGCCCACACCGCACCGCACCACACCGCCGCGTTGTGCTCGCATCTGTTGTTGTTGCTCGCAGGTTTCTGCACGCGCTGGGCGGGGAGCGCGCGGCACGGCGCGCGCGCAACCAGTGCGCGCGGCGCCTGCGGAGGAGCCCGATCGGCCGAAGCGCAGGCGTCCCGCGCGCGCCCCCACCCAGGCCCACAGCGCCCCACACACACGCACACGTCAGCCTCCGCCGTGCGCGACCGGCGCGGGGGGCACGCACCTCGAACGCGGTGCCGAAGAACGCCGGGCCTTGCGGCCCGCGCAGCCGCCGCAGCGCGACGGCAGCGGCGGAGGTCCAGGTGCCCCAGCCGGCGCCGAGCTCGATCATGTGCATCGCGTCCGCCTCCGCGGGGACGTCAACGACGGCGCGGAGGACCGCGGCGGTCTCCCAGTACTCCTCGTCGACGCCTGGGTAGTCGGTTTTGACGGCATAGTGGTCGTCGCAACCGCTGTCTTTGATGGTCTGCAGCGCCTGGTAGCAGTCCTGGTGCTTCTGCTGGTACACGTTCTGCGAGGCGCGGCGGCGGCGTTGCGGCGTGAGGCCGCGGCGACGGGTGGTGAGGGCGGAGGGTCGGTGCCCTAGGGTGTGCGCCGGGAAGGGGGGGGGTTCCGGCGTACGAGAGCCTCTGGAACGCAGCGGTGTGCCGTCCTCAGTTACGAAAGGTGCACGAGAGCGTGTTTTGAGAGCAAACTATGCGGGGGACTGTACCCACTGGTGTGTGAAGGGTCCCGCCTTGAAAGGAGGCCCCTCCTCTTCGTCGAGGAGGTACCACGGGCCGTACGCGAACCCGTGGTCGTCTTTGACGAGGCAGAAGGTGCTGATTTCCGTCACCACCCCGACCCAGTTCGCCACGCCGTCGCACGGCACGTTGCCTTGCCACGGGGAGAGTGCGGTGATCGCAGGGTCGTGGTTGTAGTGCATTGCGGGCGCCAGGAAGTTCGTAGCGCGTACTGGCTGCGAGCTCGACGTCCCCAGCGCGCTCCAGTCCATCCTCAGGTCCTTCGGGGCCCGCATGACGGCTGCCAGCTTGCCCGCAGAGCACTGCTCCCCCGCCCCGGCGTCGTACAGCCACAGGCCCGCGAAAAACGCCGCGCAGACCCATCCCAGCACTGCCGATACGCGCGGCTTCGCACCGCGCATCTCGGCCCGACGTGTCGCTACGCCGCCAGCACCCCTACGCCCTGGCAGTGCCCTGGCAGTTACAGCTGCATCTCGGTGCGCGTGAGCAGCAAAATGGTACTAACGCTCTAGTGGTAGCAGACAACTAACTTAGGATACCGAAACTGCGCGAACCAGCGGAACTCCCCCCCGAACACGCGCCGTGGAGCCCGCAGCAGTTGACTGACAGACCACGATGCAATAGACCCCCCCGGACCTCCCGCGCGCGCACAGCCCGTCGCACCCGCCGGACGCACCGCCGGACGCGCCGCCTCGCACTTCACCCGCTCCCCCGCACTTCGTCACACCCCCCCCCCGCTCGGCTTTAACTCCACCCCAAACTCCCCCGCCATCTCCACGATCTTGGCGTCGCTCAGCCCGCAGTCGTACCCGCCGAAGATGCCGTCCCCGCACGGCCGCACCCACCGCGCGGCCTCCCTATCTAACTTCCGCAGCGCCACTCCTTCATTCTCGAGTGTCGAATACACCAAACACTCGGGACTGAACGGGTCCGCCGGCGCCGGCTTCCCCCCGACGATGTGCGGCCCGCGCACGCACGGCGGGTGCCGCGCCTGGTCCGTCCACCGCCCGCTCGTCATCTCCGCCGCCACCGAGTCCGCGAACGCGCCCCCCCCCCCCCGCGTACAGATACCGAACGTATCCGCACACAGCCGCAGCTCCGGGTACATTTCCCGCACGATGCACGCCTCGCCGCCGTCCTCCTCCTCCTCCGCGCCCCCCCGCCAGCTCGCCCCGCCGACTCCGTCCTCTACGACCCACTGCCTACGTCGCCGGAGCATCCGCGCAACCTCCGCGAGAGACGGCCAGTCGACGGGGCGCATGTCGGGGCGGAGCCGCACGACGAGGTCGTACGGCGCGCCGTCGTGCTGCTCCGCGACCTCGAGCATCCGCCACGTGCGCTGCATGCGCAGGAATTGCACCACCATGGCGTGTGCGCGGTGCGTGGGCCGCCCGTCCTCGGTCATGATGCAGTCGTACGTGAACTTGAAGACGTCGTCCGGGAGCGTGTCGGGGTCGTGGCCCTCCCACGAGTTGCGGCAGTGGCCCATGCCGTAGACGGGGCCTTGCGGGGCGACGCCGCGAGGGCGTAGGAGGGCGTACGCGAGCTGGAGGTCCTCGAGCTGCCGCTCCGTGCTGCGCCACTGCCCGAAGTCCGCGAAAATGTCCTGCGCGGGCCGGCGGCGGGCGGCGTCCGGGTGCGCCGCGGGCGCGCGCGGGCACGGCTGGGCACGGGGGGTGGCGGGGGAAACGCACCGCGAAGACGTCGACGTGGGCGCCCTGCTGCCTCCAGGGGTCGAGGATCTCGTCCTTGACCGACCTGAAGATCCCCCTGCGTGCGGAGGGGCCGGGCGCGGGCGCTCGCGTCGCGTTTCCGTACGTAGGGCAGCGGGGCGCTGCGGGGCGTGGCGGGCTCCAAAAAGCTCGGGGCTCCGGGACTCACTTGAACACGAACGTCCGCATCCCGCCCGTGATCAGCACCGCTGCCCGGGGCCGGTGCGGCCGCTCCGCGCCAAACAAGCACCGCAGCACGTGAAGCAGTCCCACGGCCAGCAGAGGCGCGAAACACAAGACAGCTATCGACCTGCGCCGTCTCCAGTTCCGCATCCCGGCGCCCGGCCACCCCGCGGCCCGCTCCTTGCCCGCACCCATTCAGACGGCCACGAACGACGCACCCATGGAGCCTAAAACGCGACCTCGGCCCACACCGCGCGTGATTTACCACCTGAAGCGCCCCGCGAGGTGCTCCATGCTCCAAGCGACCCAAGCGCGCAGGCCTGCTCCCCCAAAGACCCCCCCCCAGGAAGCCGCACGCGCTCCCCCTGCGCATCGCGCCCGTACAGCCCCGGACCCCCCCGCGGGGCCGCCACGGCACTAGACGCGCCGTTTCGGGCCCGCCGGCGCATACCTTGCACGCCACACCGTACCGGCTCCTGCACGTCCATCCCGCAGACCCCGCATCGCGGACGCACGGGCCGCCCTTCCTGCCACCTTCTGGAGAGCGTTCGCCACAGGAGAGCGCTCCGCGTGCCGCGCGCAGACGGAGGCAGGCGGCGGGCGAGGCGTGGGAGAGCAGGGCTGATCGCGGCGGACCACGGCAGGTGCGGCCTCCGGGCACACGAGGCGCGCATTCGCGCTCCCGCGTCATTTGCTGCTGTGTGTCTGCTAGCGCCGCGGAGGGTCGCGACGGATCGTGACGTCGGCGAGGCCGATGCCTCGGAGCTCGATCGCGGGCTCGCCCACGGCGTGGTCTGCCCCGGCGCCGCGAAAGCGCGCCAGGGGCGCGAGGTGTGCGCGGTGCGGCGCATGCGCTGTCCAGCTCGCCGGCGCGCACCTGCGAGCGCTTTTCGGGCTACCAGCCATTCCCGCGATGAACCATGATAGTACTCTTCCATATCCACGCACCCAGAGCGCCACCTCACGTCCCACCGACGCGTACAGCGCGCCGGCGAGCCCGGACCGGCACTCCGCGCCCCCGCCGCGCTCGTCCGCGATGACCCCGCTCACACCGACCCCCCGACCCGCACGCCCACGCAGAGAGCGCGCCGCACGATGGCGTTGAGCGCGAAACTCCTCCTCCCGGCCCTGCTAGTCGCCGTCCTGGGCTACGTTTACACGCAAGGCCCCCTCCTCCTCGCCACGTCCTACGGCCTGACCGCCGCGGCGGAGCTGTGCCTCAAATACGGCTTCCCCGTCCACCAGGTCGGCTCCGCGGGCCTCGCGCCCCTCCACATCGCCGCCGCGCGCGGACACACCGCCATCGCGCAACTCCTGCTCGACCACCGCGCGAGTCCCGTCGCTCTGACGGCCGACGGGCTCCCGCCGCTGTACGTCGCGGCGCGCGAGGGCCACGCGGACGTCGTGAGGCTGCTCGCGAAGCAGAAGGGCGTCGATGTGGACCAACAAGGTTTGGGCGGATACACGCCGTTGTTCGCAGCCGCACAGCACGGGCACCTCGGCGCCGTGGAGGCGCTGATCGAGGCCGGCGCGAACGTGGACTTCAAGACGCCGGACAAGCACACCGTCCTGCACGTCGCGGCTCTGCACGGCCACATTGCAGTCGTGAAAGTGCTAGCGAAGAAGACCACCTTCCCGGCGCTCCAGAACGCGGCCGGGTACACGCCGCTGATGTCCGCCGCGCAGCACGGCCACGCGGACGTCGTCGAGGAGCTCCTGAAGGGCCCCGCGAACGTCAAGCACGTCACCGAGGACGGCGTCACGGCGCTGCACCTCGCGGCGGGCGCCGGACACCTCGGCATCGTCCAGACGCTGCTCGCGCACAAGGCCGAGTACTGGCGCCGCACGCTGAGCGGCCGCACGCCGCTCCTCGCGGCCTCCGGCGCCGGCCACATAGAGGTTGTGCGCGAGCTCCTCGACGCCGGTGCCGTCGCGAACGCCACCGGGGAGCTGACGCCGATCCTGGCGTCGGTGACGTCCGGGCACACGGAGGTCGTGAAGCTGCTGCTGGAGCGCGGCGCCGAGGTGGAGGGGACGGTGGGTGCCGCGCAGGCGTCGCTCTTGCACGTGTGCGCTGGCGCCGGCCACGCCGACGTGCTGCGCGTGCTGATCGACGCCGGGGTCGACGTGAACGCCGTGGACGGCACGCTGCGCACGCCGCTGCACGAGGCGGCGTCGTCGGACCGCGTGGGCGTCGTGCGCGCGCTCCTTGACGCCGGCGCCGACGTCAACGCCAAGTCCCAGGACGGCGCGACGCCGCTGATCGAGGCCGCGACGTCGGGCCTGGTCGGCGCGATCGACGCGCTCGTCGCCGGCGGGGCGAGTCTGACCACCGCGAGCTCCGCGGGCTTCGCGCCGCTGCACTACGCCGTCGCCGGCGGACACGTGGCGGCCGTGGAGGCGCTGCTGAAGGCCGGCGCGGAGCCGGAGCAGCCGACGGAGCGCGGCACGACCGCGATGCACCTCGCGGTGGTCGAGCAGGGCGCGGCGATGGTCGATGCGCTCGTGCGCGGCGGCGCCGACGTGCACGCCGTGTACCAAGAGGGGATTCGTGCGGTGCACCTGGCCGCGAAGGCCGGGAACGTGGGGTCGCTGGGGGCGCTGCTGAAGCACGGCGCGAGCGCGGGCGTCGCGGACGACTCCGGCGCGACGCCGCTGCATCTCGCGGCGGGGAATGGCCACGTCGACGCGGTGGAGATGCTGTTGAAGAAGGGGGTGGATGTGGAGGCGCGGACGAAGGGCGGCGCGACGCCTCTGCATCTAGCGGCTGGTGCCGGGCACGCGGAGGTGGTGCGGGCGCTGTTGCGGCGGCGGGCGGACGTTGCGGCGCGGGACGGCCTCGGCGCGACGCCGCTGCACGCCGCCGCCGCGCACGGGTCCGCGGAGGTCGTCCAAGCGCTGCTCGAGGCGTCCGCGGCCGTGGCAGCGCGCACGACGGAGGGCGTCTCGCCGCTCGGCCTCGCGGCCAGCAACGGCAACGACGCCGTCGCCATGCTCCTCGTCCAGGCCGGCGCTGACGTGGACGGCCCCGAGGGCAGCGGCGCGCCGGACGAGATGCCCGAGGACGTCGCGGACGCGCTGGATCCGTCCCTCGGGGAGCCGCGCACGACGCCGCTCATGCTCGCCGCCTCCAATGGCCACGGCATCGTCGTGCGCATGCTCCTGCGCCACGGCGCGAAGCCGGACCGTCCGAACGAGTACGGCACGCGCCCGATCATGCGCGCCGCGCTCGGCGGCCACAGCCACGTCGTGGAGGTGCTCCTCGAGGCCGGCGCGGACGCGAACGCCCGCGACGGCACCGGCGCGTCGCCACTGCACGCCGCGGCGCTGAAGGACCACCTGCGCACCGCGCGCGTGCTCGTGGACGGCGGCGCGGAGGTCGACGTGCCGGACGCCGGCGGGTCGTCGCCGCTGCACTGGGCGGCGGCCGGCGGTGCGTGGCAGATGGCGCAGGGGCTGATCAAGAGGGGGGCGCAGGTGGAGCGGGTGAACTCGAGTGGACAGACGCCGCTGCACCGCGCGGCGGCGGCGGGGCACGCGAAGACCGCGAAGGTGCTGATCGACGCTGGCGCGGACCGGTCGCGGCCCGACGGGGCGGGGAACACCCCGGAGGACTTGGTCAGGGCGGGGGGGGACTCGAAGGGGTTCCGGGACACGGCCGAGGTGCTGCTGTCGGACGGGATGCGGGTGCCGTTCACGGCGACGACGTGACGACGGATGGAGAGGTGGGGGGGGTGTTGTTTTGGTCGGGAAGGCGTGTACAGGTTGTCGGACACGGGCTGTGAAGCTCGGACGGTGCGTGGGTATGGCCGGGGGCTGCGATCCGCGGGCATCGTTGTCCAGTGCGAGCGCAGGACCCAAGCGAGAAACACTTCCGCGCCACAGCGCGTCTTGCGCGTCGATTACATGCCGCCGCCACCGCGTCACGCGCCGTTGCCCCAAGCGGTCTGCGCTCCGCAGATCCTCCGGCGACCACCTTCGCTCTGCCGCGACCCTTCTGATCGCGCACTCCTCAGCTGAGCTGCCACTTCCCTGAGTCCCCCATGACTCCCCCCCTTGGTGAGTTGGTGGGCGACGCGGCTGGGGGGGCTGACGGACGCACATCCGGGGCGTCGTCCTCCTTCGCCTGCGCACCACAGTCACCTCCGCTAGCTGCCGCCGCCTCCGGCGCAGCCCTTTTGAGTCTCTTTGTCTGCACGACAGCAACGACGGCGCCCGCGACAACCAAAACGACCACCCCCGCGCCGCCTGCCGCGGCAGCGATGACCACTACTCCCGCTCCCGAGGACGATGATCCCCCCGCGGCTGACGTCTGGCCCGCGGTCGGCTCCTCGGCGCGGCCTGACTCGACTGACGACACGCCAATGTCGCTGACAACAGCAGTGATGCCTGTCCTGTCTGCGAGCCCGCGCTCGAGACCCGCAGGCGTGGCAGCAGCGCTGGTGGACGTGCGCTGGTGCACTGTCGTCGCGGACGCCTGGCTCCGCGTCTCGAAGGACGCCGAAACCGCATATGTGGCCCCTTGCAGCAATCGGCGCTTTGTTGCCGCAACGATGGACACGGACATGGTGACGTCGCCCGGGACGTTGATCCACTCCCGCAGCGCGAACTCCACCTGGCTGAGAGCTTCCGGCGTCGGAGTCTCCTGCAGGCAACGTCCAATCGTTCTGTTGTTGCTGTTGGAAATAAGGAGTGCGCGTTTGAGTTGTTGGATTCGATGAGGAGGGAGGCGTCTCACCGTGAACTGGATGGAGAGGCTCAGGGTGAAGCGGAACACTTGGGGCGGGTCGGTCGGCGGAGGCTGCGTGGGCACCGGCGCCCTAGTTTGTACCGGTCCGCTTGTTTGTACTGGCGCTGAAGGGGCCTGGGTGGGGCTGGACGGCCGACGAGGCGCAAATGTTGGCGTCGGGAATGGCCTACGCGTCGGCGCCGGCGCTGCAGTCGTCCTCGGTGCAGCAGTCGTTGGCGGCGCAGCTGTCGTCGTTGTCGGGGCCGGTGTGGTCGTCGGGGCGGCTGTCGTCGTCGGCGGGGCGGTGGTTGGCAGCGCCTGGCACGCGTCGCCCACGCCGTTCCCGTCACCGTCGCTCTGCTCGGGGTTGGCATCAGCGGGGCAGTTGTCCAGCCAGTTCACCACGCCGTCTCCATCGGCGTCCTCGCAGGCGCTGACGAGCTCCGGATCGGCCGAGGTCGTGCTCCGCGGGCAGTCATTCCGCGGGGAGAAGACCGCGAGCAGGTCGACCGCGTGCACCGCACCGGACTCGGCGCCGTTCAAGTCCGCGCGCGTTGCAGATATCAGCACCGTGCTGCCGCTGACGAGAACGTTTGCCCCGAAGTTGTCCCTCGTCAGAGTATCTCTGGGGACAATTTCGGCGACCTCCGGCCACGACCCGTTGCTTGCCCGCTGGTACACGTGGGCGAAGCCGTTTTCCGTTCCTTGGTACTCTACGGTGATACTCTTGCTCCGTACATCGCCCACGACGACGATGCTGCCAGACACCGAGATCGCCCAGCCAAAGAAGCTCCTAACTTCCTGCGCCCAGGGATTCGGAGACCTGTGCCGGGCGGCCCGGGACCATGACCTGTCGGCCTGCCGCTCGAAGATGTAGATGAAGTGTCCTGACGTGAAGGACCCTTCGCTGTGGACGACGGCCGTGTGGCCGCTGACCGCCACGTTTGCGCCCTTGTAGTTTGACCGGTCGGTCTCCGGAACCAGCCGTGCCGTCTGCGACCAGGAGTCGTCTGTCCCGTGCTCGAATACGTATGCTGCTACTCCGAAGCTGTTGGCTCCGACGATGATGATGCCGCCGCTGATTGCCACGGTCCGCCCGAACTGCTCCGCGCCGGCATTGTCCGGCGCAAGCTTGGCAGCCATCTCCCAGGAGCCTTGCGCCCGTTCGTACACGTACGCTGCCCCGGCGTTGGTCTGGTGATTCGGGGCGCCGACAACAGCCGCACGCCCGCTCATCTCGAGCGAAAACCCGAATCTGTCGCCTGCCGCCCCGTCTTCGGCCAGAAGCTTGTCGGTTTGCGCCCACGACCCGTCAGGCTGCTCCTGGAACACGTAGACGCAGCCGGCTTGTTGCCCGTTGTCGCTGTCGATGTAGTCCCCGAAGAACGCGACGTCGCCGCTGAGGCCAGTCCTTAATGCACCGACAAATCGCCGATCGTCCGTGGCGTTCACGGCAATCTTGGCCGTCTGAGTCCACGACCTGTCGCTGCCGCGCTTGTAAACGTATGCGGCCCCTTTTGCCGCGCCGGCAATCAGCGTGCCGCCGCTCATCGCGAGCCCGCCACCGAAATACTGGAGAGCGGAAGGCACGTCCGTGGCGTACTCCGCACGCACTGCGTCGCCCGGAGTCAGCACCGTCGCATTTTGGTACCTCCGCGTGCGCGGAGGCGGCGGCGAGGTGGGCGGGGGCGGCGAGGTGGGCGGTTTCGGTCCGGACCGGTCGCAGACATCGCCCACGCCGTCACCGTCGAAATCCTCCTGCCCGGGGTTCGCGTCCACGACGCAGTTGTCCAGCCAGTTCACCACGCCGTCCTCGTCGAGGTCCTCGCAGGCGCTGACGAGCTCCGGATCGGCCGCGGCGGACGACGTCGTCGCGCGCGGGCAATCGTCGCTGGGCGTGAGGAACGACCGAATGTAGTCCAGGGACACCGCGCCGCGCGTGCTCTGCGCATCGGGCGCGCCGGTCAAGATGATGCTGCCGCTCACCGCCACCGACGCTCCGTAGCGGCCCCGCGACTCGCCGCTCCTCGGTGCCAGCCTGCGCACCCACCTCCAGCTCCCGTTCGCGCGGCGCTCGTAGACGTAGACGCGTCCATCGCTCGCCATCGCCTCGGCGCCGACGACGGCGATGCTCCCGCTGACGTCGACCGATATCCCGTAGTTCGCGTTCGCCGTGAAGTCCAGGGTCCGTATCTCGTCGGTCTGCGGCCACGAACCGTCAGACTGCAGTTCGAACACGTAGGCCGACCCGGTCGGCACTGCCCGCCTCTCGCCGCCGACTTCCTCGAAGGTTGTCCCGCTGGCGGCCCCAGGCGCGCCGACCACAACGGTCGACCCGCTCACGGCCACGCTGTACCCGAACTTGTGGTTGGCGCCGCCATCCCGAACTGCGAGCTTCGTACGAAACACCGAGGTTGTTGTCAGCTCGAACACGTACGCTGACCCCGAGCTGTCGCCCTCGTCGTCGTCCTGGGGCGCCCCGACCGCGATCGTCCTCCCGCTCACCGCGACCGCGAACCCGAAGCGGTCGCCGTCCCCAGCGCCGCTGCCCGCCGTCAGCTTCACGTCGAACGACCACGCCCCGTCGCTGCCGCGGACGAACACGTACGCCGCTCCGAAGTCGCGTCCAGGACCTCCAGCGCGAGGCGCGCCGACGACAATGACGTCGCCGCTCACCGCCACGGCGAAACCGAACTCGTCGTTGACGGCACCGTCGGGTGCGGTCAGCTTGGTCGCCAGCGGGAACGACAGCAGTCCGCTGCGCTCGTACACGTACACCGCGCCCCTGACGTTGTTGTCGTGCGGCGCGCCGACCGCGATGGTGTCGCCGCTGATCGCGACCGCCTTGCCAAAGAGATTCGTGATTTCCCCTTCCTCCAGGTCCCTGGGCTCAAGTCTAGGGCCCGCGAACCAGACGCCGTCGGTTTGCTGGAAGAAAACGTACGCTGCGCCATCCTCGCCCACGACGGCGCCGTCTCGGCCCGAGACCACGGCGATTGCGCCGCTGATCGCCACAGCGCTACCGAATCTATCGCCGCTGCCCACATCAAACGAGTCGAGCGTGTTCGACTGCAGGAGCGCCCTGCCAGGCAGTCCGACCTCGCCGCTGCCAACATCAAAGGAGGCGAGCGTGTTCGACTGCAGGAGCGCCCTTCCAGGCAGTCCGACCTCGCCCGCGTGCGCACCATGCATGATCATCGCAAGGAGCGCGACAACCGCCGCGACGGCCGCACGAATCCAGAGCGACGGCCGAAAGTAGGGGGCTTGGCCGCACGCACGCGGTGCCCCGATGCCGCGCCTGCTCATCATGCCGACGCCAGTTCGGACCGCGCCTGCGATGTCATGGGAGGGAGTGTCGTAGGAGGCCGGTTGTACGGGGAGCGCGGGTCTCTGCGGCGGCTGCGGCCACCTCGCGGCGTGTATGTGGCCATAGATAGGGGAAACGCGATTGCGAAGCAATGAAATCGTTTCCGGTGATTTTCGGCGCAAATATGGGGCCTGCGAGCATGCGATATATCCTTGACGCGACAGAAGCTCGCGAAATAGCCCGATTCCGCGTCACGGCGCCCACGCAATCCAGAGTGGCGCGCCCTCTGCTGCGTCCGCACCTGGCGCGCGCGAGCCTCGCAACACGATCCTCGGCCCCGCACGAGATTGTGCGGCCACAATACATGGGCCAGGTGCGTTGAAGCCCTGCTAAAGCCGCTCAGACTCTTCCCGCCGGACAATCGGGAGGAACGCCCCCGAGCGGAGCACGCAGCCCGCACTGGCACAGCCGGTCCGCGCAGGGGCGCCTCGAGGCCCGCTGATGCGTCGTTTCCGGCCCTGGGTGGGCCGCGGGCCGCTCTGACGATGCTTGCGGCCCCCGCCGGGCACGTGCGGGGGCCACACCTGCAACGGCTTGCAATGCGCGGCGCAGGAGCAGGACGCCCGAGCGAGGGCGCGGCACGGCAGGGCATGTGTGCCGCGCTCGGTCCGCTGTGCGACGCTGCGGAGGGGCGGATTTGCCACGGCGCTGACGCGGGGGGAGTGTGTCAGGATTGCAGGGGGTGTTTTTGTGGAACCGGAACGCAGCCGGGGAGCGGCTGTCGAACGCAGTGGTGGATTCGTTCACGGCGACGGCGCGGCGGGGACCGACGGGGGAGTATTCGGGTAGAACGATCCGTGCGGACGTGATTTGCTCTTGAGTGGGTTGGGTGTTGTTTCGGGTCGGACACGGCGGTGTGATGCGCAGAGGATGCGCGCCCGCGCTGCTGCTATCCGTGGCGCCGCGGGCGGCCCGCGGGCCGCGCGGGGGGGGGTCGTCATTCGGGTCAGGCCCCGGTAGAACACAAGGGCACTTGCGCAGTGTCAGTGGCGTCGTGCGCGGCGCCGTCCGCGCAGTTTCCTCGCGACGTCTGTTGCGCACGTACGTAGCATAGCTGTCGCGCGCGCGTGGTCGATAACGTTCGGTGTGGCGGGTGTAGCGGGGCATTCGAGGCAACTTCAGAGGACGCTGAGGGGTTCGAGGCGCAATGCCGGTGCCGAGCACCAGCGATCCGTATCTCCAGTCGACGCTGGGGATCGACCCCGACGACCCGCGTTTCGTGAAGATGTCGAACTACGTTCAGAGGCACCGGCTGTTCCAGAAATTCGAGGCGAGTGCTGCGCCTGGCGCACACACAACCGTGCGCGCACGCTCACGGGCAACCACGGCCGCGCCTGGCCTGCTCGATCGCCGCGACGGGCACGACATGAGCATTTCTTGTTCCTGCGCCACTGGCCATGCGACATTCATCGCGGTGTGGCGCGCAACGACACGGGCATGGTGCCGCAGGCAGCAAAACCGCCTTGGCCCGCGTCCCCACCCGCACCGCGCAGGCGTTCACGGGCCTCATCGTGCTGCGGACCCCAGAGAACCCCTGGACGACGCTCTACGAGACCTACAAAAAGGTCGTCAAGGCGCACTGGTCAGAGGCGCGTGCCCAGCTCCCACGGCCCCACACGACCGCCAACGCGCACCTCCCCCGCCCACCCGCGCGTACCGCCCACCCTCTCCACCCCAGTCCGCGCCAGCCGGCGCAAACCGCCCCCACGCCGCGCAGCGAGCCCGCGACGCCCCCACGCTGCCCCCACATGCCGCGCGCGATTCCCCCGCAGACCCCGCACGCGCGGCCCCGCGCTCCCTCCCGCGACGCAGCGACGCTCGCGTTCCACGCGCTCGCGCCCCCCCGCCGCGAACCCCGCCCCCACAGTCTCGAAACGCGCAGGGCGAGACCTTGATCGATGTCTTAGTGCGCGTTTCCGGCGAGGATATGCCGCAGCGGGAGCAGCCGCTGGAGACGGAGTTCCGTCTGCGAGAGGACGAGTACGTGGACTACCTGGAGCGCAACCAGGTCAAGCAGACGCTCTCGGACGCGCTCGCCTGCATTCTCGGTGCGATGCCCGGCCTCGCCTGGCGCTCGTCGCGCGCCGCGGCCCCGCCTCGCGCGCGCGCTCGCAAGGCGGGGCTAGAACTGTGCACGGGCCGGCGCGGCGCGGGTGTTTCGTGCCATCGAGTCACGAACAAATAGGATTTTGTGTCTGGTGGTTGATCAAAGAGCTTGGAGTGGTTGCTCGTGAGTGCAGGGCCGGACTGGGACATGCCGGACGACAGCGACAACGCGCTGCTGCAGATGATGCGCAACTGGGCCACGACGCGCGAGGGCTACCAGGGCGACGATGAATACTACGAGGGCGCGGGTGGGCAGTCATGAATTCCCAACTCAAGTTCCGCGCCGGAACCTCGTCTCCCTCGCGGCCTCGCTCACGCCGCCGCCGCGGCCCCGCACCGATGTAACCCGGAATCCCTCCTCCCGCGCACCGTGACGTGCGCTCGCGACCCGCGCGGCGACAACAACGCTGCTTCGAGCCCGCACGCGTCGCGCGTGCCCAAACGAAGACCGCCAGTCCCAAGGATCGCTCACAAGTCCTGCTGGCTCCAGCCCGCGAGCCCGTCAGGCTCGGCGGGGAACCCGTCCGCGTCCGTCACCAGTGCCTGGTCCAGCGACAGCTTCGCGAGCTCCTCCTCCGCCGTCTCCCTCTCTGCGCAGCACGAAAGCACGCGAACGCGTGAGCCGCGACCCCGACCGCGAGCACAGCGCTCCGCGGCGGACAACGCACCCCCGCCGAGCCGCAGCAACACCTCAGCGCACCGCAGCGCACCTACGCCCGGCAAGGGGACGTCCTCGATGACCTTCTTCGAGATGTTCGACGCCATGCGCTTGAGCGACGTCGCGCGCATCCGCCCGAACAGCTCCCTCCCCTCCGGCCCTGCTTGCTCCAACTCGAGCTCCAACGCGGACTTCTTCTTGCTGTCGCCGCCCGCGGCCAGCATCCCCGTCTTCGAGGCCGCCGGCGCGGGCGCGGGCGCGGGCGTGGGCGTGGCCGGCGTCGCGGGCTCCGAGCCGCTCTCGGCCTCGTCGTGGAGGTCGCGGAGGGCCTTTTGCGGCAGCGTAGGCTGGGCGTAGATTGTACGCACGTCCTTGCGGCGGCTGCGGTTGAGCTCGTCCGCGCGCTCGAGGAGCATCTTGAGGCCCTGGTTCTTCGTGACCTCCGACGGGATGCGGCCTGGAGGCGTGCGGGGGGCGTTTGGCGTGCGTGGGCGGTGCGAGGGTGTGCAGAGGGGCCGCCTGCTGCTCCCGCGGCCGGCGCGGCGTCGCGTGGTAAAATACCACGCAGCGATCGCGCCGCGGACGCGCGTGCGTCCCGGCGCGGCACAACCCCCTCGCGCCCTCGCGGCGCAACCCCATGCGGTGCAGCTGTTCGCGGGGGCGCACCGTGGGCGTTGGCGAGGTTCGGGCGGCTCCCGGCCGCGATCAGCATCTGCGCGCAGTCGATCCGGTTGCCCATGCACGCCAGGTGCAACGGGGTGTTGCCCTCGTCATTGACGGAAGAAGGGTTTGCCCCGCGGTTCAGCAGCAGCTGCAGCACCTCCGTGCGCCCGTTGAACGCCGCCCTGCACGCGCCACGGCCGACCAGCGCCGTCAGCAACCCCCAGCCGCGCGGTGCGCAGCAACAGCGGCACGCAGGCGCACCTGTGCGTCGCGGTCCAGCCCTTTTTGTTCGGGGCGTCGATCGAGCACCCGAGCTTGAGCAGCAGGGCGCACGTGTCGACGTGGCGCTGCACTTTCTCCGGCCCGTGCGTTCCGCCGTCCATGGTAGCGGCGTAGTGGAGCGGGGTGTCGCCGTTGCGGTCCGCGCAGGACGGCGACGCGCCCTGCCCCGCGATCATCTTGACGCACTCTGCGGCGCGGGGCCGGAGCGGGGCCGGGAGCGTCGCGTGCGGCGCCGGAATCCAGAAGCGCGCGTGCGAGGTGGTGGTTGCAGGCCCGCAGCGCGGCAGCGCGTCTTGGGGCGCGTTCCGCGCCCTAGACCGCGCCGACTGAGCGGGTATCGTAAAGAACGAGAGGGGCGTGTGGCTCGGATGGGCGGAAACGCGCCGTAGAGCCGCAGCGGGAGCCGCATGCAGGTGGGCGGGCAGCAGGGCGGGCTGGCGGTGCCGAGGGTGTGGGGATGGTGGGCCGGAAGGCAGCGCACCTGTGTTGCCCTTGGAGGCCGCGGAGTGGATCGGGGCGAGACCGTAGCTGTCGCGCGCCTCGACAGGAGCCCCCCGGTCCAGGAGGAAGCGCACCACCTCCGTCTGCGGGGGAGTGAAACGCAAAAGCGCACAGTTCTGAATACTTTGTAGCAGAAGATCGCGAGGGGGAGCGTTGAAACGGGATTCCAGCCGCGGAATCCGTCGTGCGCGGCGATTGAGGGCCATGCAGGCCCACTAGGGGCTCCGCGCCGCGCAGTTGCGCGTCCGCTGCGCGTGGGAGGCCGCACCTGGTCGGCTTCGGCTGCGAAGTGCAGCGGCGTGGCGCCCATGAGGCCGTCGCGCTCGTCCAGCACGTGCTCAGCGACCCTTCCCACCGCACGCACTTTCTCCATCATTTCGAGGATCTTGTCGATCTGTCCGTTCTTGGCATACTGGTGGACGTTCTGCCGGTTCTCAGACGGCGGCGTTTTCTTGTACATGGCGCCAATCTGCCGCGCTTCCACCCCGCACAGACCCAAAGTTGCTTCCTGCTGAGAGCGATGCCACGGCAAGGCCGCACACGCTGCCTCCGTGCTGTGCACCGAAGCGCCTCACCAAGCACGCTGCCTGCTCCTCAGCGCGCGGCACAAAGCAGCGCGCCAACGGCCACGGCGCACCCGCGGATGGGTGCTGCTCCACACCTCGTTTCCGCGCCTGTGTGCTGCCTGCGCCGCGTCAGAGCCCGAGAATGCAGATCCCGGCAGCTTGCGCCAAATGTGACCCCGTCCCGTCCCGCGCAACGCCCAAATGCCGCCCACGACCCCTCCCCGCTCCCACAGCCCCTCAACTTCTACCGTCGGTCCGACACGCATCGCAACCGCGCCGCCCACGCCGCGGCTTCGCTCCCTCGCCGCACGCCCTCGCCCGGCACGCGCGCCCGACCGACCGGACGCGGGCCGCGCCGGCCCTCCGGCGTCCGGCGCGTCTTCGCACACTTCGAGGATGCCGTACACGCGCCGCAACTCCAGCGCTCACGCAACCACGCACGCAGCAATGATGTCAGCGGCAGCGTAGCCTTCCGGGCCCTGCGCCAAGCAACGC